TCGCCAATCTGAGTGCACGGGGCACGTATGTAATCCTTTCGTCTGTACGAAAGAGCTGTCGCGTAGCTACAGAAGCTGTGTGTATCCGCCGTTTGTGGTCTCTGCATCGAAGGGCCACAGCGGCATCGCGCATGCCAAACATTTGCGCACCCTTGCTCGAGTCGCCGATAGGGCTGCTATGTTGGGCCGTTTCAGGGGGGATAGCGAGGCCTGCCGAGCTCGGCTTGCCTGAGGTGAAGACCTACCCTAGACAGACAGAATGCTACAGGTGGGGTGGTGGGTGATGGGTGATGGAATATGATGATGGTGACACGGCAGAGGCAGACGAGCCAATGCATTCATGCGATGGCCAGTATGCCGGATTGCTGCGACAGGGAGAAGGGGAGCAAGCCCGCTGCTCGTGTGCGCCAATCCCTGGGCGACAGGGGAGTGGTCCGGCGGTTGCGGGTTGAATGGGGTTGAATGGCGGGTTGAATATCCCGCGAGAGAAGATGCTGACCCCTACTCGGCGGCTGAGGACCCATTCTCCCCTGCCGATTGGCACGCCCTCCGTCCCTTTCCCGCTGAAAAGACGGGCACCTCTGACGCCGGACGCAGTTGCCATGCGGGGGCACACCGTACGTAAACAAGTCTTGAATCATGGAAGCCATCAACCCTCCGGGGAAGAAGACAGCTGCGCGGGCAGTTCTTCTGATAGCCCATGCGCGTCAACGCGACTCGAAACGCCGGCCAGCAGTTCCACGTTGCTCGTGTACGCAGCGGTACTGGAGGAACAAGGTTCGGCCTTGACGGGAACGGGGACTGAGCCGCCCTCTGGCCCGACATGACATGTAAGCACACACATATAGCGAAGGCAGCTGCGCTGGAGCAGTCTATTTTTGAGCGGGCCGGGGCGCCAGGTCCGACGCCGGCCACCCAGTTTCATGGTTTCTTCTTAGCCCGGGGATTCGGAGACGGAAGTAGTCTGCATGTAATTATGTACTGTACGTATGTATGTAAGAGCAAAGGGCTGATGCCGATGAAGGCGTGGTGCACGATTGGCTCCGTGCTCTTACCAATCAACAGTGCTGGACGGACAAGCCGCTGGGCCGGCGCTTATGCCGTCGCGTTCCTTGCAGCATGGCATCAGGCTAAGGCATCGATCCGTACAGTAGATCTGGAATATACTTTGTACTGTAATGGAGAGGTGAGCGGCGATGCAGAGAAGTGTCCCCATATCGCAGATACAACTTGATGCCGTGCTATACCAAGACATTCTTGTGTCTCTGCTAGTCTGAGAAGTAAGGCACCTGTACCCACGCTAGCCACAGGTCAATGCACAGTGTGCTGCTTGCGCCTTCTTGACCTCTGTGTCCGATCGCGCACGCTCCTCCCCCTTTCGGCATCAGAAAACCTGAAACAGGCGATGCCCTTGGGCTGCAAAACATTCGTGCCTTCCCTCCACCTCCATATCCACCTCCGTCTCCACCTTTGACCTCCACCGTCCGTCTCCACCTCGACAAGATTCCACAGCCCTCGGTCATCATCCTCGGCAGAATCAGCATCGACAGCAGCAGCGGCAGGCAGGCAATTCAACAGCAGCAGCACCGACGGCATCCTCGCACTGACCGTGGACCCCCCTTCCCGACGGCCGTCCCCACTGCTCCATTCATCGATTGGAGCGGGTGCCTTGCATGGTTGAACCAACTCTCCGAACCCCATCTTTCGCCACGCACTCGCGCACCCACATCCAGCCCTGCGCAGCCCGAGCAAGACACGAGGCAAAAAGATGGGCGACGACGACGAGAGCTGTTGCCTGCCGCCCGTCGCTTCTCCATCCCACCATCAAGAACAAAGGCATACGCAGCCCTGGATGCCGCCCCTTTCCTGTCCGGGTTACTCTGCATATTAGATTCAACAGCAGTAACTACCGCCTAGATATATCGCACCCACCCTCCACACTGCAAAGCAAAGGTACCCCTGCCCGCCCAACTTTATCCCCGCGGCTCCCCTGCCCTTTGGGCCCGGCGCGCCCACACACTTGCGCACGTATGCATCACACAGGCAACCCGGCCGCCTTGACTTCAAGCCCGGCCAAGCAGACCTTGCCCCCGTCCGCCAGGTCATGTGTCTCTCGAGTCTGTCATGGCTCGCCTAGACGGCCTCCAAGTCGCCACGCAACATGGGAAGGCCTCGAGCATCAGCTCCCGCGAGGTCGAGTTCGCCCCGGATGGATGGACTTATCGTCGGATGGCAAGTCCGATTCCTCCTAGCGCCGCGGCTTGGCCCTCGCCTCCTTGGACTTGGGCGACTTTTGGCCACCCACGGACTGCCCCAGCCGGGCCGGGCTGCTGACTGTGGTGGCAGATGGCAAGGGCCCGGTATGTCCGCACTTCCGTGCCGGCCACGGCCCATCTGTGCCGATTCAGCTCGGCTTGTGCAGTCTCTCGTGCCCCCTCTCCATTACACACGGCAAACCTCTTGGTGCTCTTGTGACCTGATTTCTGCATTTAGGCTCACATGACTGGACGAGGCGTGATTCCCTCAGGCTTCCGGTGTCGAGTCGGCAAGTCAGCCGTTGTGAGGGCGAGCCTACCATCTTCACGTGCTCAAGAAGGGTATCCTGGCGGGAGAGCGAGAGACGGATCGTACTGTGCAGTGCCTTGAAGGTACGAGGTCCTCGCTTGTTCGCTGCCTTGCTCCCTCTCGATTCTGGTCGCCAGTAACAGGAGTGAGAGCGGGCAAGCTCGCGTTTCATCATTACCGTGGAGCGGTCCATGTCCATCGGATGCAGGCATGGGGTCTCCGAACCACGGACTTCCCCCCAAACCCGGCTTCCTCTCTTATGCATCTGCCCCTTAACCGTTTTTGCCAAGGTTCGAGGCCTTATACTTGGATTTCTGTCACTGTGAGTACATTTGCACAGGCGTTACAGTGCTAGAAGAGAGGGAACACATGAAAGTCGTTGACTACTGACTCGTTCTCAAAGGGTTCCTCCATGTTCCAATTCCAAGCCTCCCGGTGTCAACACATCCGTGTACGCACAAGCATGGATATGGATGGGGGCCAGGAAGCATCGCCGCGGCCTTTCGGGCTTTCTCCCCCTCTATATCATCTTCCTACTCTCCCCCACGTCCCCTTGTGTGCACCTTTTGCGTGGCCCCCATCCGATTAAGCGTGCTTTGTCCCCCTTCCCCTGAGTGTTGCAGCGTGCACTAGAAGGAATCGAGAATCAGCACCTGCCGCATAAGTCCTCCCGTCTGGTTTCTGAAACGCCAGAACCTCCAGGCAGACCGACCATCCATCTGTCCATCCACCCACCCGCCGTCATGTTCATCGTTGCATGGCTGGGGATTTGCCTCGATCCCTGTTGCCGCCGCCCGAGTCCCTGAGGCATAAACGTGCCGCTCCAGCGGCTAGCCTGTTGCCTTTGACTTACGTCTATGCGTCCGCGCTCATGGCTCTGGGGCGCCGTATAAGCACGTGGGTGAGTGCATGTATGCCGCCATCTCATCCCACACGCCGGCGCCCTTTGCCGGCCACGGATCAAGTAGCCGGACCACGACTGTTTTGCTCGTCCCCGTAAGCCCCCCTTTCGTCTCTCCGCTCGCATGCTAGCGTGGACAGGCCGTAGGTGGAAGCCTCAAGTCGACTGCTTTCCTCGGGATCCCGTAGCGTACGTTAGGCGGCGTCTCCCTCCTTTCCGCCTTGATTCCAATGCTGCCATCCATGCCAAGCCCTGCGCTTGACCTCCCCCAGTGTTTGATCGACCTGAGTCGGTGAACGCTGCTTGTCATGCCTCGTAGCATACACGCAGAGCGGATGGAGGGGAAAAAACAAGCCAACAAGCATGCCATCGGCGCTTGGTGCTGCCGTCTTGGTCAACGTTGACGGAGCGAGGCTAGGGTAAGTCCGGGGAGGAGAGGAAGACGGGGCAAGACTGGACGAATGAAAGGATGGTGATGTGCTCGACCTGAAGAAGTGCCCAAGTCACGAGACCGTCTCTACGATCGTGACTCAAGTGAGCGAGAGAGAACGTGCTTCTACATCGGCCAGCACGGCAGCCCATCATCTTCAACGGGGGGGGGGGCAAGACGCGCTGCGCCCACGGTTCGCCCCATACCCACAACTACCGTTGCACGCAGTCGCTGAAAGACCCAGAAAACGAGAAAGACAGGCGCCCCTCCCTCGAGACGAGAGAACGCCGACAGAACAAGGAAGAGGAAAGATCCAAAACAAGGGCCGATGAAACGGCTAGCCACCACTATGCCGCCGCAGCCAGGAGGGAGAGAGGGAGGAAAGCCCCCTCCCTCCCTGACCTGTTTCTAAATATACACCAGCTACGGGATATATACCTGCTGTATACCTGCCTGTACTGTATAGCCCTTGCCTTGGCTCGCGTACGAAAACAGATGGGCCTTTGGACCCCTTTGAGGGGAGGGAGGAGGACGAGGGGAGACAAAACAGGAGGAGGGGGCGACGAGTTGGCGCCGTCAACGTGCTGTCATCGTTGTCCGCGGCCCCCTCGGGACGGCATATCTTCGGTGGCACGCTTCCCAAAGTTCAGGATAGCTCGAATGACTCTTGCGCGAACACCTCTCAGCCCCCTTTTTCTTCACTGTTTCGATCACCGCGGGCATGTGACGGCGGCGGAGCACACAGCAGATAGGCCAGGGCATGCTGGGCCCTGTACATATCCAACATTACGTCGGGTGTGTTGGAGGAGCACCGGGGCTTCGTTCATCATGTTTGATGTGGTGGTCTAGACCTGTCGCGTCTTCGGATGCATCGCACTCAACGCGACTTGGTCACCTGCTCAGACCGACAAAGACCTCGAACAAGGCCTCTCGCCCAACACCATCTCCAAGTGAAGGGCCAGCACTTCACTCAGTCTCCCCCAGTGCCTTACACACTCTCTTTTCTCCTCATTGTCCCCCAATCGCGCCATGTACAGCAGCCCCCGTTCCGTACCCAAGACCGTTGGACCCGACCTTCAACTCCGCGCGCCGGCTGCCTGGCCATCACGACCGAGCCTCCTCCAGCTCCAGCTCCAACTGCCTGATGCGCTCGCTCTGGTCCTGAGAAGTCCAGCTCACCTTCTTCTTGAGCGACTCCACCTCGGCGGCCAGGTGTCCAATCCTGTCGTTTTGCGCGCTGATGATCTTGGTCTGGTTCTCAATCATGTACTTGATCTGGTCAAGGGACGATTCAACGCCGTTGGAGGACGTGGCCGTTGATGTCTTGACGGGCGACGAGGGCCTCGCAGGAGCGGGCGTCGGCGCGGGGTGACTCCTGGGGGGCGAGGCGGCTGCCTTGGGTTCCGAACGAGCGGGCACAGGGGTCCGCTGCGCCGGTCGAGAGACCTCCTCAAAGCTGGATGTCTCGTCGTCATCCTCGGCCACACCCCCTTCGTCATCCTGGAACTTGCTCGCCATGGCAGCCATGGACCCCTTTTGCTCCTGCATGGAAGGTGGAGGCCCTCGCGTGGCCGCAGCCGCAGGCTTGGGCACCTCCCTCGGAGCCTCCTCCTTCTTGGGCTCCGGCCTCGCGGCGGCGGCGGGCGTCGGTTGAGCGGGCGGCGGCTTGTAGTCTGACGGGATTTCCTTGGGTGCGCCGCCCTCGTAGATGCTCTCAAAGTCAATCTTGGCGGGGATGCCCGTCTTGCCGTCGAGCCAGTCCTTGGAGTTGGCGACTGGTTTCGTACCAATTGCGGGGGGGAAGATGTCGGCCTGGAACGTCTCGGCGCGACGGGGCACCGTGAAGGAAATGGGCTCGATGTAGGTGTCGTTGACCGTCTTGTACGCCCGCATGACTTCGTTTTCGTGAACCTGGCCATTGTCAGCCCGAGTATCTCGACGTCAGGGGGTGAGTGCTAGCTAACATTGATGCCGCGCCGGGGGAGAAAAGCGATACCTCGCTGAGGATCGGGAGACTTGTACTCGCTGAGGTACTCGAACTTGTCGTTTTCGTACTCGTAGTATCGAATGTTGCCATCGCTGGCTTCATGTCAGCGCAATCGTCCGGACAATACAGGGCAAGGTATAGAAATTACCCCTTTCCGGCAAGGTACAGGCAGTTGGAGCCGTCATCTGTCCGCTCGTCAGCGTCCCGTCCCGGGCCGGACTCGGCAAGGGAAACCCACCGTAAAAGGGGATGCAGACGCCCGAGATGGAGTCCAGCATGGTGAAGCCCCCAATGGGCTCGGGCCTCCCGGGCTCCCAGAGGCCAATCTGGCGCTCGCTCATCCTGGAGAAGCCGGTGGTGGCGAAGCGGTTGTGCTCGCCCATCCAGACGACCCTGCTGTTCTTGGCTCCGGTATGGCCCTGGGCCTCGTGTACGGGCTTTTCCTGGCGGACGTCCCAGACGCGAATCTTCTTGTCGCGTGACGTCGTGACGAGCATGCTGCCGGCGGCGTTCCACGACAGGCTCTGAACAATGTCGCCGTGCTTGAGGGTGAGGGGTGCCTGGCCAGTGGCCACGTCCCAGATCTTGATGGTGAAGTCGCCCGAGGCGGAGGCGAGGACGTTTTCGGCTGCGGGGTTGAAGAGGACCTGGCCGACTTTCCTGGACGGATGCAGTCTCGGGTCAGCGCTGCGACGGGGACGTCGTCGATGGTCCGCCTACCTGGAATGGCCGCCCAGCTTGGTCACGGGCGACACGTCGACGATTTCCTCGGCGTCGGTATAGAGGGTAAAGTCGCGCGGGACTTCCCAGATGAAGACCTTTCCATCCTCGGAGGCGGAGGCAATGATGCGGTCGTTGAAGGGGTTCCTTGATGCAGCAGTCAGTCAGCAAGGCGCTGTGGGAGGCGGGAAGGGGGGTATTGCCCACCAGTCGGTGTCGAGGACGGCAGCGGTGTGGCCGCGAAACAGGGGAATCTGGTCGGGCAGCTTGCCCCTCTCGTTCAAGGGGACGACGGCAAAAGCACCGCCGCCCGAGGCGTCCCAGTTGACCGAGAGATACGAGGGGTTGACCTGCGGCTCGGCATCAGTATCGGGGCCGGGGGTTTCGTCGACGGATGGTAGGCACCTTGACCAGGTTGGTGTCCCAGGCATTGCGGCTGATGTGCAGATTGTCGTAGCAAAACTCCTTGCGCGTCGATTTTCCAAAGACGTGCCCTGCGGGAGGCGGGTCAGCACCCAGGCCGTGGAGAGAGAGGGGCGAGGCTACTCACGATACTTGGACGCCCGCACGAAACGACCAGACATGGCGGCAGCGACTCGAGGGGCTTCGCGAGTGGCGTGAGTGTTGGGTGAATGAGCCGCGGGCAGGCCAGGCCGGGCAACAGGCTGAAACTGCGAGAGAAGCAGTCGGGGAAGATGGGCGGGGGAGGGGGGGGTCGGGCGGACGGAAAGGAAAAGAGAGGGAGGAGGGAAGAGAGAGGGAGGAAGAAGAGGAGGAAAGGAAGAACGCAGAGGCAATGGACGCAGCAGCAATGACTGCGGAGGAGAGAGGAGAGACACTGCGGGTGGGACGACAGAGAGGAAGAAGCCAAAGCGGCCGCGTTGCGATAACTTGTGAGCTCGCGTCCTCGCGTCCCCGGCGGGCAACGATGGTGCTGAGTAGCACGCAGGTACGGAGTAGAGGTACAGAACGGAGCACGGCCTGGCTGCCCGCGGGAGTGTACTGCTACCTCGACGACTTTGCAACGTACTGCATCTCTACAGTGCAACGCTCATGGTTAAAAAACGTGAAACCAACAGCCGCGCTGCGCCCCGTCGAGCAATCATCTAACGTTATGCCCTCTGCTCCGTACCGCGCATGAATCAGTCCCATGCAGTCGACAATTGACAGAAAAGACAACCGCGCCGTCGGGACGGCCGAGGAGCCGCTCAAACACCCATCACGTGACGCCTTCGACGACAGGCACACGGTCGACCGAAAGTCACAGTCAGTGCCCGGCGACAGTTATGCAAGCGATTCTTATTGTCCCTGCTGTCTTAATACAGTATCTTGGATAGGTACAGCCGAGAGTGCCACATCATCATGGCCCCTGATAGACAGAAAAAACACCCTCGACGCCGACATCGTTCGTCCCTTGCCTGGCACTCTCGTAATCTCACATGGCTTCGTCGAAGCGGAAACGAGGGAGCAAAAAGGAGGGTAGCGTCAAATCGCAAAGCACATGGAACATGACGGGCAAAGAAAAGCAGCGTCGCCGGCGTACCGTCCAGTCGTCTCCGGTGCCCGTCGCTCAGCTGTACGAGCTCTTGGTCCGCGTGTGGCTTCGACGGCCCTCGGACCGGCGCCGCAGCTGCTCTTCCCGCTTAAAGACGAGCTCGCACCACTTGGCCCGGGTCCGCACCCCGTGGCTCTCCTCGTCCGCGCCGCTGTCGCCACGCCCAATCACGTCCGAGAGAATCCTCATCCACGCTTCCTTGTCCGCGGCCGTGTCGGCGTAAAAGTCAATCACTTCCCCATTGTTGAATCGGATTCGGAAGCCCTCTTCCACAAACATGTAGCCCTCTTCTTCCTCGGCAAATGCTGATCTGCGGCGCTTTCCGTGCCTGCTTATCGTCTCTCGCTCCGTCAAGGCACGGCGGTCATCAATCAGCCGCTTGGCATTGGTCAGGTTGATGGTTGCTCGGGGCTGCCGCGTCGCCTCGTGGTACGCCGTCAACTTGGTGCCCACCAGTTTAAAGTATCGCCGTCGCCAGTACTGTAAAGAGTCCTCGTTAGCAAGTCGGGCCCTCTCCCTCGCTCCTTCGCTGTCAAACATACCGGGCAGTCGCCGCCTTGCTGGCTCAGGTGGCCTTCCCAGTTGCGGGCCAGCCGCTCCTCCGCCGCCTTGAGCTCTCTGATGCACGAGTTCATGCTCTTGGGCATGTCCTCGTCCTTGGAGTTCTTGGGTCGAGGGACAAACAGGAGCTGGAGCTCCAGCTTGCCAATCTGGTAGGGGGCCCGGCGGACCACTGCCGTGTTGCCGCGCTTGCTCTTGACGCTCGAGGCAAAGCTCTCCTCTTCGGTTGCCCACTCGTTGAACAGCAGCACCTCCGCCGTGTACGGTCGCCCAAAGCACCGACTCTCGTGCTCCTTAAGGCAAACGTAAGCTCGGGCGAAGCTGCCGTCCTCGGCGGCAAGCGGCGAAAGGAGCTGGTAGCCCGTAGGAGACGTGTTTCGCCGCGCCAGAGCCTCTCTCTGCTGCTGGGCGAAGCGCTCCTCCTCGGCCTTTTGCCGCATCTCGATCTCCCTGCGCTTCCTCGGCGACGCAAAGACCCTGCTAAACGTCGATGTCTTGGGCTTGGCCATCTTCGTCACCTCGACCGGAATGCTGCTGTGCGCCGGCTTCTCCAGCTTGACGTTCAACGTGAGCTGGAACTCGAGGTCGTTGGGCACGACGAGCTCAAACTCTTGGCCAATGGGTGCGTTGCGCGCAATCTCGAGCCAGGCCGTCGTGACGCAGTGGACCCCATTGTCCAGGGTGAGACTGAACCAGGTCCGTTCATCTAGATCTCTGTCAGCCGGGCCATGCATGGGGGACCGGGGAGGCACATACTCTTGGGAAGGGGCAAGTCGAGGTCCTTGACGCCCAGCACCTTGACAAACAAGCGTCCTCTCTCGACCGTGTCGATCGTGGCGGCTTCGGAATGAGTGTCCTCCTCGGCAAGGTAGTTGACAGCCGCGGCATTGCTGTCCTGACCGGGCAGAGGCGGGATGGCGCCAGCGGTCCCTGGGCGCTTGCGCGATACTCGTTGGCGGGCTTCTCCATCCCAAGGCTCGATGACCCATGACTGTGGCCGGTCTTGCTTGACGGGGGAGTTGTTGGCCGATCTGGTCTTCCAAGACATGTCTGCGTCCTTGTCGCTGGCCGTCACAACCTTGGTGTTTTGTCTCATGAGGTAGCCTCGCTGAGGGCCGAGAGTCGCGTTAGCACAGGGTCTTGGGTCTCTCCCCGCCAATCCCTCAGACACTTGTCCAGGAGGGCTTTTGGCGGCGGGGACTGAATCAACGGGAGGACTGTTGTAATGCACCTTTTGCGCCTCAATGACCCTCTCGAAGTCCTGGTCAAGGCTGAGACCCATGTCGAGGTCAAGCGTCAAGCTGCGGTTCTTGAAGCTGGAGTTGCGTTCGAGCTGCTCGCCCTGGGCCTCCTCTTCAGCCGCCGGAGTCATGTCGCGTGAGATGCGATTACGATGCCTCTCGGGGATCGGGGGAACTTCCGGGACCTCCAGGCTGAACTGCCTGCGGGCCTCTCTCATCGCGGCCAAGTCGGACGGCGTGTTGGAGACTCGTGTCTTGAGCTTCGAACCAGAGGCGGACCTGATGGTTGCGATTCGCTCGGGGATGGCTGGCGACTCTCGAGGCTCATCGTCGTCGCGCATGGGGTGGCGGATGACCGAGTCGGGCGTTCCGGGTTCGTCGTCGAACTCATTCTCCGGGTCTCCCCAGCCAGACCCGTCATAGTCCGGCATCGCCATCTGCCTCTCCGGGGTGTGAGGTCGCTCGACGCGGGTAGGAGCCTGCTGCGGCGGGGGGCCGACCGGGTCTGTCCTTTCCACGGCGTCTTCGGCCTTGGCTTCGGTCATGGAGTGCGTCATCCCCGCGGCGAGCACGGCCGTGGCGATGGCGACTGGGGCGAGATCGGGAATGGGATCGTTGAGCAGCAGGCGCTGAGCGGGCGAGCCGGCGCGCGGTGTCGTGATTCCGGCATCGACGTCCAGGCTCTGTGAGCTCTCACGAGATGGCTCGTCCTCTGAGTAGTGGCTTTCCTCATCGCCCTCCTGTGAGTCAGACAGGTCGTCCTCCTCGCTCCTGTCCACATTCCCATGGTAATCGACGGCTTCCTCTCCGTGCTCGTCAGCATCCCGGGTGACGATTACGCTACCCTCGTCATCTTCCAGGTACGCCTCGTGAATCGCGGGGTCTTCGGTGGTGGGAATGGGGACATCGGGGTCCAGAGCCTCGTGCGCCTGCGAGGTTCTCTCGGCGGAGCCGCGCTGGGATGCGGGAGTGCCGGCAGGAGAGGAGAAGTGATATTCGGTGTCATGTTCAAACGCTTTGTTGCCATTGACTCTGCGCATGATTGATTCGCGAGAGATGCGCGGCGGCATCTGGTAATCGTCCAGAATCGAGTGGTCGCCGGCAACGCCGTCGTGGTCCTCGGCCTCGTGACCAGGCACCGACTCGGACTCGGACTGGGGAGTGTCTCCGCGGTCACGGCCAGCGCCCCTTCTAAGTCGGCGCTCGCGCTGCTGCTCCGCGACAGACTTGGCGTTGCCATCGTCGGACAGCATCATGAGCTTGAGGCGCTCTTCGAGTGTCATTCTGCCGTTGCCGAAGCTCTGAATGTCCGACTTGCTGGCCGAGGCCGGAGGGGGGACGGGCAGGCTCCGATGGGCGCCGCCGCCGAGCATCCTCTCGGCGGTAGCTGACAGCCCGGGCGAGGCGGGCGCGGAGCCAGCTGACTGGCTCCTAGCATGGCCAAGGGCGGGCAGGGGCGGAAGCGGGCGATGGTCTCCGTTGGAGTTTGAAGAATCGGTGCGCTTATGGGATGGGCGGCCGCGGGCTTGGGATGGCATGCTCTCGGGTACCGGGCTGCTCTCATACTGCCCGCAGACGGCACTGGGAGGGACCATGGGGCTGTCGCCTCTCCAGTCGTCCGGGCCGACGACGGGCGTCTTGTCCGTGTCCTCGAGGGACTCGTCGAAGCTTTCGTCCTGGACGTCGACGTGGGCGGGGTCGTAGAGGACGTCCTCGTCGTCCTCGTCGTCGGCAGACTCGAAGCTTCCTTCGCGCGAGTTCGTGCCAATCGACGAGAGGTCTGGGGTGGCCATTTCATATTCGTTGATCTGGGGGGGGGCGGCGTCAAAGGTGACGCTTTTTGGGTGGCGATGGAGGAATCGGCCGTCGGGAAGCTCGTGTTCGTGAAAGGACGAGTGACCGGACCAGGTGCCCGACTCGGGATCAAAGGTGCCCTTGTTCAGCTTGGTAGGGGACAGCGACGACTTTGTGGGAGAAGGCTGGCCTCGGCTAGGCGCCCCGGGCACGATCTGGGCACTGGGCGAGAGGGTGGGAGAGCTCTTGGAGGGGCTCATTGTTGAGAGGCTCGACTTGCTCTCGAGGGCTTGCTCCTCCGACTCGGAAGAGCGAAGGCCGCCCGAGCTGGAGGGAGAGGTGAAGACAATTCCTTGGACCTTGGCGAGGGGTCTCTCGATTTGCGGAAGCCGGGTGGGATCATATTCCTGCTTCTGCTCCAGGGCCAAGATGTTGCTGTTCCTGACGCGGGAAGCTCGCTGGAGGCGCTCGATGGAGGAACGGCGCGTGGGCGACGATGCAAGGCCGCCCGCAGGGTGCATGTTCTCTGCGCTGCTGCGGTTCTGCCAGAAGAGACGGGGAGAGGGGGCCGAGTCGAGAGGCGACGACTGGAATGGGGACGAGTCGTTGCCGTGGACAGCCGCCTTCTGCATCACCGGGGCGTCAGCATGACTGACGGGGGGGCTCGCGTGGTGGGCGAGAGGGAGGGGGGGTTTCCGGAGGAATTTGCACGCACCTTTGACGACTGGTACTGGCGCCAGCTGGGCGAGTTGCGCCTCATCTCCGTCGGGGAGATTTCCGAGAGAGGGCGGGGCTGGCCGCTCGTCATCTTTGCGGGCGACGAGTTGGGCGTCGTCTGTTTGGCGATGCGGAGGGGATGCACCTGGAGGCGGGCGTTAGAGGCGGCCAGGTGAAGGCAGTCAGGGTAGTGAGATCCGTCATACCGGTTCAGAGGCCATGATGAGCACTTGTTGCTGACTGAGGCGTGCGACTGGAATGCATTGGCATGCGAGCCGAGCAGATGGGGCGAGACGGCAATGGAATGCCCCCTCGACTTGGCAAGAGGCTGGCCTGGCCGTCTGTCGCAGGCGAGCCGGGGATGAAAAAAGGTCGGCGGGTATGTGGCGGACCCTCAGAGGGAGTCGGACGGTGATGCGAGGCGGGAAAGAGGGGGCCCAACAAAGAAAGAGACACAGGCCAGGAGGAAAAGATGCAGGCCCCGAAACGCGACCGCACGATGATCCGAGGGTTTGCGCGTTCTGTCCGGAGCGTGCAAATGCGATGGGGATGCGAAGCGGTGATGGACGGGGAAAAGCAAGACCAAACACGCGAGGGCACGTCGCGCGGAAGGCAAAGGAAGCGTTTAAGGAACGCACGACAGCCAGGTGACGGCTTCGAGGGGCGTGATTGGCGGCCGGGACATAAACAGCAGGGCAAACAGCAGGGCGAGGCAGCCGTTGCGCGTTGCCCTGGCAACAATCGCGGTGGCTCTGCTTTTAGCACTAGCAGGTACGTACCGACCCCTCGAGAGCTGTTTTTCCCTGGGCGGTTGGGTGCCGGCGCCCAGCAAAGGTGGTACCTGTTACCTCACCCGACCGAGGTGCTCCCAGAGGGCCCAATCGCGTGCTGTCCTGGCGGCAACTAAAACATCTCCTAGTACGAAGGACCTAAGTTACTTACTTACTGTACTGTACCAGGCAGCGGACTCCAAAAACACAGCGCTTGGTTTTTAGTGCATAACATCGTCAACACTCGGGCGCGCAAACCCCTGCGAGCCTGGGGATGGCGGCCGCCGCTTGGGCCAGATGACGATGCATCCATCTAGAATGCATTTCCGATTCTATTCCTTCCGCTGCGGCCTGGTCTCGCCGCCCTGTTCCTGACCCGCCAGAGCCAACCAGAGCCAGACCCCCCTGTACCGTACTGCGAGCCACCCAACAACAACTCCGGATACAGACGCATCACATGCGGCATTCTCTGTGTTGGTGACAACACAATACAATACAGCATCCTAGCGCTGTATACACACACGCTTGTATGCGCGCGCGGTGTGACCTCGCCTCTGCATCATCCGCTTCTGCCGTTTCGTGACGCGTTGCACGTGCTCAATGACGATACGTGCTCCCCTCCTGCTCCCTCTGCAGCGTACCTTGGCGTCTGTAAATAGTGCCTAAGGTATATTCGTACGGATACAAGTGCAGAGAACAGCACTGCAATCCCCCACGTCGCTTCCTTGGCACCGAAACGGCCCTTGCGGCTGGGAAAAGCACCAGAGATAGCCCGGTCTGGGATCACCCCTCGGCACGGCCAACAATGGCTGAGTTGAATCAAGGGCGGAAGGGGAGAAGAAGAAAAAGGCCAGATTACGACGTGGCTGCGCTCTCAGCAAGACACTTGTTGGTGGGAGGCCCATTGGAGGCGGAGGCGGAGGCGGAGGCGGAAGAGGAAAGAAACGTGCGCCATGTATCACCGGATACAGTCAGGCAAGTGCAACAGCAGAGTCGCCGCTGGTGAGGATCCGTGTTTTCGTGCCTGTTCATTAATATACCCACCCTACCAACTTGGAGACGCGGGGTGCTGCTTCAATGCGGGCCAATGAGGAAGGCTCCGTCTTCGGCGGTGCAGCGCTCAAGCCCCCATGCATGCTCTCTCGTATTCATGCCTAAGTTACAGGGCATAATAGTCTCGGTAACCCAGGCAGGTTTTCGGTAATCCGCCGTGTGCTCGAGCGGGGGCGACGTTGGGGAGAGAGAGGCATTGGTGCTCCCTTGACCACATCGACAGCTTCAACCGTAGGTCCCTTGGTTTGGGTGGCTCTTTTCGTACAGAGCACCCCATCCTTCATCATGACTATATAGTGCCCACCTCCACGGTGGATATTGTACATGTGCTCGACAGTGTAGTCAAGGCTCAGACATTTCCTGTAGAAGAAACGTCAACCAGAGAGATGTCGACTCAGCCCTGCCTCTTGTTCCACTCGACGCAGTCGTCAAACTTGACTCCTGACCCGCCAAAGCAGTCCAACGCGCTGCCTATCGTGAGATCGACCTTGCCCTCGCTTAGCCGCGCAACCAGCTCCAGGTCGTCCAGCCGCCGCCCTCCGCCCGCGTACGTGACGGGTATCGAGCACCACTTCGCCAGCCGCGCCACCAGCTCCTCGTCGATGCCTCTTTGCAGGCCCTCGTTGTCGGCCGCGTGGATGAGGAACTCGGAGCAGTACGGCTCCAGCGCCGCGATTGACTCTGTTTGCCCATGTGAGCGAGGGCGCCCTTACCACCTGTACTCACGAAAGTAGAAAGATGGAGAAGCAAGAGCGGGGAGAACCAGAGAAAGACTGACCTTGGTTCACCTCCATGTCCGTCACCGTCTGCCACTTGTTCATGGCCACGAACCAGCGGCTCTCGTTGCCACCACGCCGCCGACAGCTGAGGTCGATGACGAGCTTACTCTTGTCGCCGCCGAGTGCCTCGAGCACGGCATCGAGCCTGGGCTGACTGAAGCGGCCCTCGGGAAAGAGGAACGAGGTGACGATGACCTAGATGCGCCCGTGAGCCAGGATCGATCAAGCCAAGGGCTCCTCCTCTCAGATGCTCTCCCAAGACAGACGCGCTGCTTTCCTATTCAAAGTTTCCTTTGTGTCCCATTGTGTCTCTCACCTTGGATGCCCCCGCGTCCATCCACTCCTTGGCGTTGCCATGGTTGATGCCGCCGCCGACCTGGAGATGTCCCGGCCAGGCCTGCAGAGCCTGCCGAGCAGACTCTTCGTTGCCGGGGCCAAGCATGATGACGTGGGCGCCCTCGAGCGAATTGTCTCTGTACAGCTCGGCATAGTACGCCGCCGGATGCTGCGAGACGTAGTTTGTCTGTAGCGCCGCCGAGGCGTTGTCGAGCGTGCCGCCCACGATCTGCTTAACCTGGCCGGCGTGCAGGTCAATGCACGGGCGGAACTTGGTCATATTTTCGACCTATCTCCCAAAAAATGTAGCCTCAGAAAAGGGGAAGCAAGGGCTGAGGGCTGGCCGCTGGAGCGGGCTGAAGCTATCGGGAGCCTGGAGCGCGGCGGGGCTCTCTTGTGCTTACCCGCGCCTTGACTAACCGGCCTACCAAAAAGTGGACCAAGTGTGGCCAGGCTAAGGTACCTAGTTAAGGCGATAACGCAGATGTATAAGTTATACAACCACAACTGATTCTCCTCAATTATTAGTGCATCCAAGACCTAGAAGCAGTGCGAATGTTCTTTTTGCGGCAACCACTTCCAGAATAAGAACGGAGCCGAGCGTCACATGGATTTTCTCCATGTGCGCTGCAACTCGTGGTCATGGCCAGTCCTATCGTGGTATTATGGTATATTTTATCCGTATGTCTCGGCTGTATGCCTGCCTGTCTGAGATTGGGTGCGCACGTGACTAGGCATGTGACTTGGTGACATGACATGCGCCGATGGTTCACATCAAGTTTGCGCTTTAGGCACGTGACACGGGTGTCGTTATAGACTCAGGCACTGTCCTGGCCTGTTGGCAAGCCGCATACTCTTTAAGTTATGCGCTCCCGACAAGGTGGCCACGTCAAAAGTTCAGAATGAGCAGCGATTCCCAGTCCCAGCTCCCGGCGCTGGCGACAACAACGCTGGATTTCATTCCCAGCTTGGGGTGAACATCGCCAACGTGCCCCCGGATTCCGGACTATGCAACAGACGGGATTTTACACGTGGGAGTTCCTGATTTATCGCGGCAGATATTCTGATGATGCGGCCTGGCGGCGATATTTCCATCTCACGTGGCAGTGCCTCGTGGACTCGCTCGCCTACGACGGGCGCCATCTCCTCCTCTCGCAATACTTGGAGTGGACCGTCACTGAAGATCGTAGTCTTGGCGGCGCGTCCAAGGCCGACGTCCGCGTCCGCTTTTCCGACAGGGCAGCTCAACGGCCTGTCGAGCGTGATGGGCAAGGCGTCCGCCACGGCCTCGCGGAGCGGCAAAAAGCCGTATTGCGTGGAGCAAGAGGCCCTAGAGCGAGTTCGGTGACTGCCGGCCCGTTAGGAAACGCGAGATACGTCCTTGGTGTGCGCCCGAGAAGTCTTCGTGGAAGTTTGCCGCCCAGTGCACGAAGCAGGTCGAGGCAACCGTAAACCTTAGGGAGCCCACGGAAGAGGAGAAGCCCAAGGTTGAGGACAAGGAACCCGCCAAGGAGGGCGAAGCAGAGAGGCAAGAGGAACCCGGGAAACAAGATGAACCCAAGACTGAAAGGGGGCCCCAAGGTCATCGACGACCTCATCGTCGAGCTCATGGCCAAGGCACCGCTTCCCCCCGTCGGCCTGGTAGGCGAGGTCGGCGGTGTCGCCGGGCCCGTTGTGGTGCTATGAGCGTCGAGGGCTCCTTGGAGGCGAAAGCCGCAGCAAGAACGTCAGAGAGATGCCGACGCCGTCATGCCCTCGGTCGAAAGGGCCATCAGGAACGCTACGGCGCACGCATCGATGCAAGCCGCCGCAGTGATGGAGTTCTAACCCGTACATCAGACCCCAGCTTTATTCGTCCGTTCATCTCCTCAGTCTTGCATCAAGTCTTTAAGACGGCAACAGGAACCATTGTTGCCCTGCATCCGCGTCCAAGAGCTTAGCAACAGCGCTACTGTTGCACCATCCATCAATCAACGCTGCTTGAAAGATCAGTGCTATCGGTTGGCCTTTGAACGCTCAATGCATCATTTATATCCCAGCCACTCCACAAACCCCCTTTTAGTTTGGCTCCGCATGCATGACCGGCCTTTTCCCAACGAGAGATCGAAACCTCATGGACGCAAATACAAGAGACGAAGAATAACAAGGGCCAAACGCCGGTCTAACCCCCGTGCCCTGTATCGTTTATGCCAACACGAGTCTAAGCCGAGCTCTTCTTTTTCTGTTCCTCTTGCGCCCTGCGGCCTTCTTCCTTGAGCTTCGCATCGTCGGGTCTTGTGAGCTCAACTTGCGGCATGAGGAGCAGTGCGAGAAAAAATGCCAGAACCGCCAGTGACGCGCCGACGAGGAAGATGACGCGGAAGCCTTGCCGATAGGCTGGGATAAGGATGCTTCTGATGCGTTCAGCCTCCTCTGGAGAGACTGTGGTGAGAAACCTCTGCGGATCGCCCAATAAGGTCTTGGTACTCGCCTGGTCCAGCGCGAGGGATGACAAGTCGCTGGCAAGTATATTGTTTCTAGGTCATTCAAGTCAACTGCTGTCTCTTGCCGTGCCATAGTCCTCGGGTGTGATTGGCAGGGCCCTTACAAGATGGCTCCGGAGACGGCCAGGCCAAGCGTGGAGCCGAGGTTTCGGACAAAACTGCATGACGCCGTCAGCAAATCTCACCAGATGACCTTCGACGTTCATCTTACTTGCGGAAGGACGTGACAACCGCCATGTCGCGCCGCTCTACGCCCGCCTGGGTTGCAATCAAGGCTCTTTGTTCCCACAATGTTAGCCCACGAACGAACAGATCGCACCCGAGGTCAGGGCTCTTACGGCTGCAACGTGTTTCCGACACCTATTCCAATGAGGATGGAGTAGCCAATCTGCTTGTCGATGCCGGTGGATTCGTCAAGCGTCGACATCAGCCCCAGGCCAACGGCCCAGCACACCCATCCGAAGAGAATGCACTCGCGGTAGCGGCCGACCCAATGGACGATGAGGCCCGAGAGAGTACTGCTGACAGTCTGTACAATGGTGATTGGCAGAAGCAGGGCCCCCGACTTGGTGGCCGAGTATCCGTACACGAGCTGGTAGAAGGTCGGGACGTAGTAGACCTGCATGACAAAGTTCCATCCGTTGATGGCCATAGTCAAGCATGCGCCGTTGACGATCTTGGACTTGAAGATGTGCACTGGATGGAAGTCAGCGGCAGTCGCGGGCTGGATATCGCGGTCAAGAGACATACGGGGCACCAGAGGGTATTTCGGTCCCTTCCACTGCCACACCACAAAGGCAACGGAAACGACTGATCCGACGACCAGTGTGGCAATGACGTGAGCCGAGTTCCAATCATACTCTCGGCCTCCCCATGTCAGGCCCAGGATGACAACCGTCATTCCCGCAAAGGCGAGGAAGATGCCGACAAAGTCGACGGCCTTGAGCTTCCTGGTGCGGGTCAGACGGACGTGACATGAGTGAGGGCAAGAGACTTACATTTTCCAATCGCCCTGTACCTTCTTCAGCGGCATGAAGAAAACGGCACAGCCGGTTGTCAGGACGGTCAGCGGAAGGTTCAGGCGGAAGATCCAGCGCCACGACTCGGCAGATTGGGAGGACAGGGCGCCGCCGATGACGGGCCCGATTCCGTTGGCAATGGCGACAACTGCTCCCTAAAGCAAGCGGTCAGCCGGCAATGCAGGATCCCCAAGGGGGGAACAAACAAACCAGAATGCCCTGGTACTTGCCGCGCTCTCGCAGGGGAACAACATCGCTGACAATGAGCTGGGCCACGGTCATCAAGCCACCGCCGCCGATGCCAGTGAAGGCGCGGAAGACGGTGAGCTGCAGGACCGACTGGGAGAGGGACGAGGCCAGGGAGCCAAAGAAGAAGATGGCAAGGCCGACGAGAAGGATGAGCTTCCGCGACCAAATGTCGGACAGGCGGCCGTACAGAAGCTGGCCGACGGTCGAGGTGCTGAGAGAGTTGAGACGTCAATGGAGGATGCAGTGCCGCAAATGCTTGTCCAGACTTACATGAAGTATCCGCTGGCTATCCAAGAGACTTGGTCCGAGGAGCCCAGCGAGTTTCCGATAATGTACAAGCTGGCGGCGAGAGTTGTCTGATCCATGAGGGCCAGTAGATCGACGCTTGCGCAGGCGAGGAAGATCTAAAACGTGTCGGCACACAAACCCCGGTAATCAGAGACGGGGCCACTGACGGTGATGATGGTCCGCTTGGGCACATAGTTTGTCTGCTCGTTGAACTGGTGGACTTTTGTCTTTTCGGAGCCCGAGTGGCCGTCATCACTGGCCGAGCTCGCATTGTCGCCGACGACGAGCGGGCCTGGCCCGGCATGGGCGTCCTTTTCCTTGTCCATGGCGAGGAGAGGATAGTCGGCTGGGCGCGTCTGGTGGGCTTGAGATGGGCGGTCGAGGGTCAGCGTCGACGTCGAGGTGACATGATGACGAGGGAGAGAAAGAGAGGGGAGGAGGAGGAGGAGGAGGAGGAGGAGGAGGAGGAGGAGGAAGATGGGAAAAGAGGAGCCAAGCAGACTCTCTGTCTTTGCTCACTCACCCTCGGGCAGAGATTTGCGGATGAAGATGACGATGGCGATGCTGTTGGATCCGCGATCCCCCACTTGTTTCTTTTACCATAAAGGTTCAGCCGATGCGAACCCTTGCGGCCACCGGCTGGCCTTTTCCTTGACTATGTTTAGGCTCCAGCGCCTTGCCGAGCCATGGCCGTGGTGGGCTGTCTTGATTATTCTCCTCACGCGATCGATTCGACCGTCTTTTTCTTCAACCGGCAATCGATACAATGAGCAGCTCCGGAAAGCATATGAGCAAGGGCAAGAGTGAGGTAAAATGAAATGAAATAATGGACTGTTGGATCGAGGAGCCCTTGCTTATTCCTGTCGGCCGGCGGGCCCCCGGGGATGGATGTGGATGGCCCGACTCCGCCCGGGCCGAAATCGTGGCACGGCCCTCTCTACCGCTGTCTCTTATATGTTTGACCGTTTGTCGCCTTCTTCTCCCGTGCGTGCTGCGGCAGACGGACCAGCTGAGCTCAAGCAGTTTGCGGCGGATAGTCGACAGTGGCTCCGGTGAAGGCTGCAGGTGGTTTCGCGAATCGACACCATTCCGCCCGGGGGCCTACGAATGTACATACGTATATAACAGCATCAATGCCATGGACCTTGGCGGATTAGGGTTCATTCTGGAGTTGCATGCCAACCCATTCCCACCTCCACAATGACAACGCATGGCATGCATGTTACACGCATGACAACTCTTTCTGCCTTCGCCCGGCTTCCAGTCTTCCCACCTCAAACGCGCGCTCCCTCGTGGCCGTCCAAGCAACGGCCCTTGAGGGCGAGTGCGCTAAGCCGCTAGAGCGGCATGAGTGCTTTTGAGAATGTTTGAAAGCGGTGCTAACTAAACAGGGGCGCCCAATCATCTCCACTCGCTCCCTTTCTAGCCGATCGCCCGAAATCCGCTCCACCGTCTCCGGGGAACCGGACAGGGGATTGTGCCTTGGCTCTGCCTATCCGGGTTAAGTGGATAGTCTTTAAGCTGCCCATGGCCCCAAATGCGTCGCAGTTGCGCCGGCCACGCGAGGTATATAGTTGGCTTATCCTTCGTATACCGCCATATCCAAGCCGCCTATCGTAACGTTACCTTTTACTTTATTTTTGAATGAACAATTCGAATATAATACTCCCGTGGCCAACTCTAAGCCGTCGACTAACCGTAACCGCAGCACTGGAGAAGTACGAAATGCGTGTCCGAGGTATAAAGTTATGGGAACGTTAGCCGACTGACTATACGAGTTATAGCCGGCCTGACTGCGATGCAAAGTGGGGTTATAGCCGGCTGATGGGGAGCTTGTCCATGCTCTCTCCTGCGGCTTGTCCCAAAGCTCGATAGCCATGCTACCCTGATGGTGGGTGTGCAAAGGAAGGCGTCGTCCGTTGCTGGCGGCGGAAACAGCCTCTTATTCTCTCTGCCTCATACATGCCCTCTCCTTTGTTTCACTCCGTCGTCATGCACGCAGACCCTGAAAACGGCCAAGGAAAGAGGCGTCTATTTGAGGCCACATGCTCTTCACTTGATGGCCATCCTCCGTACAGTAGTCGTATTCATCAAGGCCCTCGACGCCAAGTGATCCTGACCGATACAATGGTTGTTCATCGAGTCCCGAGGTGATCTCGCCGTGACTGAAGGGCCACTTTTCATCTGCAACGGCTGAGCGCCTCTCGCTCCCCTTTGTGCGCTACCCGACTGGGGCCTGAGCGGCTTCTGCTCCTCCATCGTCAGACAGTTCACCGGCGAGTGAAATAAAAGCCGCCTTGTCCCGCGCCCGGGCGTTGAATAGACTCGGGACTCAAAGGGGAGGCGGAGGCAGAACAAACAACCACCAAAACCCACCGTGAACACCACCTCGCCTACTGAACAGCTGCTGGCCAGGCTCGACAAAGCCCGCCGTCGGTCCCCTTGCGACTAGAGTCAAACTTAAAAACCCAGCCGTTCCTCGACTAAACATCCTGTCTCTTCCTCAACTCACCTCACCTCGCTCTACCTCCCCTCGCCCTACCTACCTTCACCATGGCCAAAACCTATGATACCGAGCTTTGCGTCTACAAGGGACCCGACGCGGTTCGCAACTACTTCGACCCCGAGATCGCGCCTCCGACGCCCCTGGTTGAGATCCCCGACTGTCTCAACCCGTATCGCCGACATGGCATTCGCATCTACGCAAAGATGATGACGATGCATCCGGCCAACAACGTCAAGGCCATCCCCGGTGCGTCCCGTGTCATTGCCCACATGGAGCCCAGCACTGACCCGAGATGCAGCCACGAACCTGCTCGCCAACACCGTCGAGCCGGGAAAGACAAAGACGGTCGTCGAGTACAGCTCCGGCTCGACGGTGCTGTCCATGTCCCTCATTGCCCGTGCCGTTCACGGCATTTCCGACGTGCGCGCCTTCTTGAGCAACAAGACCAGCCTACCCAAGATCCGCCTCATGCAGCTGTTCGGCATCGACATGTTGGTTTCCCAGTCGAGACGCCTCCCCGGTCCTAAGCTTCGCTAACGCCCGCCCAGAACCTTGTTTGGGGGCCCGTCCCAGCCCGAGCCATGCGACGAACGGGGTGGCATCCGGGCGGCGCAGAGGTTGGCGCAGGAGTCGGACTCTGTCATCAACCCCGATCAGTACGGAAACGACGATGTGAGTGTTGCTTGCCCGCTGGCCACGTCGATGCTGGAGCTGAACCGAATTTCTAGAATTGGAAATCTCACGTCAAATGGACCGCGCGCCATATCCTCCGCCAACTGCCCGAGATCAACCTAATTTGCGCCGGCATGGGCACGGCTGGTGAGTGTCGACGACCCCTACGAGCCATTGAGATGATTTGCCAACCACATGAAACCAGGCACCATGACCGGACTCGGCACTTATTTTCAAGAGGCCAAGCCCTCGGTCTTCCGTCTCGGGTACGTGTGCAAGACAGTCTTGACCAAAGAGGCTTGACTGACACGGTCTTGACAGAGTGTGCACCGCCGCAGGAGAGCGCGTCCCAGGACCACGGTCCTTCGGCCTTCTCGCCCCCGTCACCTTCCCCTGGGCAAAGGCCGTCGACAAGGTCGAAGAGGTCGGCGCGCACGACGCGTACAAGCTATCGCTCGATCTCACCCGGCAGGGCCTCGTCTGCGGGCCCTCGTCGGGCTTCAACCTCAAGGGGCTGTTCCAGTTCATCGAGAAGCGCAAGGCAGCTGGCTCCCTGCACGAGCTGGCCGGGCCCGATGGCGAGATCCACTGCGCCTTTATGTGCTGCGACCTCCCCTACCAGTACGTTGGGGAGTATTTCGACAAGCTCGACGAGACGCACTTTCCCAAGATCAAGAACGAGGTATGTCTGGCCATAGGAGCGGCGAGTGGAGGGTAGCGCTCAACTAATCATGTCCTTGCAGGAGCTCTTGGGCGTCGACCTGTACCGATACGACGAGAAGTGGGAGCTAGACGCCGAGGATGCCCTCCGGGCCTATTATGAGACCACCTTCCAAAATTTCCTGCGGCGGGCCTCAAATCTGTCGTTTGGTGAAAGCACCAAGCTCGAGCGTCTCGCCCAGCCCAAGGCCGACGCGACCGTCATCGATCTCCGGCAGGCCCCTGACTTTGGCCGGTTCTGCCTGCCGGGGTCCGTCAACATGCCCTTTGTGCAGCGCGAGACGCCGAGCCCTTTTTTCGACACCAAGGTGCTCAAGGATCTGTGGCAGCGGCTCGAGGAAACTTTCAAGGCGCCGGACCAGAAGCTCGAGGCGCTCATCCGCGGGAAGCGCGTGCTGCTGATGTGCTACGATGGCGACAGCTCGCGCATGGCGGCGAGCGTGCTGCGGGCCAAGGGGTACGAGGCTGACTGCATCCGGGGCGGCCTCAAGCCTCAGGTCCGGGAGGGAGACGACACGGCGATGGCAGGCGTCGGTGAGAAAGACAGCAATAGGCTGAGGCAACATGTTGCAGCCATTCCCGTGAGTGCCGTGAAATCGGCCTCGGGTTGAGCTGGCAACGTCAGTGCTGAGACGACGATTTGGAGTTACGGCCACATTGGGCACACTTTCATTTGTTTGGGCCAGACCAAGAACGAGCACGGAAAAGAAGAAGCATCACGAAGACTGGATGAAGTTATGTACCTCAGTCATTGCATAGAGCGGGGCCGCAAAAGACATGTGCACGGATACGTGCATATCTGTCAATATACATAAAGTTGACCAAGCTCTCTTAAGTACCTAGGTACTTACTGTACTGGTAGTCCTGTAATAATTGTACAGAGGTAGGCAGGTCGCCAAGGTGGGCGCTACTCCTGCACGAGACGATGCGCCTGCAGCCAACGCGCTACTGGCAGGCGAGCATGTACCGGTACGGTACCAGGGGTGGGCCAATAACGGAACCAGCTAGATATTGCCCTGTTGCCCGCGCCAATGTACCCCCAGAGTGCGGCGTACATGCCTCTCGGAAGCCCCGTCCGGAGCTTTCCAGCACCCCAGCGCGGCAGAGCCCCTTGAGATGCCCATTTGGCTTGGACCGCACGATGGGCAAGTCGTCGATTCACATATGGCGTAAAGGCAATCCCATATGCGCCTGGCGTGGCTGACACCTCCTTCCCTCGGGCCAACCCAGGTCTATACCATGTAGATGCATAGGCTGGTACGAGCTCCGGAGTCGCCACCTTCAGCCCCCAATTTTGCTTGGTTCCAGCACGGGCAACTACACCGTCGTCGGCTGCGCTGCCGATTCGTGAATAGCCCGTCGTCGCCTCGCATGGTGGGCTCCGGAGCCCCGCGGCAGATATGAGCTCGAGGACAAACGGTGACCGGCCTCTCAAGCTGGTGTCAGAGGCCGCTCGCGAGCGGGAGACGTTCAAGTTTGTTGCTCGCCCACATCGTGTGCGCCACCCGTCGGCTGACGACCATCCAGATACAGACCCTTTCTCCTGTCCGACTCTCGATACAGCCAGAGCGGCCGGCCCCTGCCCAGCTCCGAACTGACAACTTCGAGCGACAGCGTCTTGACGGCCCTCGCCCAGCTTGGCACCTACCAAACAGCAACGGAGCGCGCCCTCATCTCCCTCTTCGACGCGAGCCATCAATACGTCATCGCCGAGGCCACGCCATTGACTCCCCTGACTTCCGCCCTATCGAGCGACAAGTGCCCGGCCCCTCTGGCGCTCTGCGGCACCGCAATCTCCCGCGGCCATGGCGCCTGCGAACATGCCCTCTTCGTCTCCCCTGATCCCGGGTCTCACGACGCGGCAGAGCTTCCGCTTTCCCTTGTGCCTGACCTGACCACCGACAGTTGCTTCTCCTCCAAGCCACTCTGGGAGTCGGGCGAGCTAGGCCGCTTCTACGCCGCCGTGCCCATACGAACAAGTAGGGGAATCAACATTGGTGTATACTGCGTCCTCAGCCCGGTCGACACCGGCTGTTGGAATGACGAGTGCACTCGCCGCATGAGAGACATTTCCTACGCCATCATGGATCACCTCGAAGCCAACAGGTCCAGGCACGCATATCGGCGCAATGAGCGCATGAACAGGGGCTTGGGGTCCTTCATCGAGGGCAAATCCACCCTTTCCGGATGGCAGCACGGACCCAACGTAGCAGCTTTTGTCGACAACTCCAAGCTCGAGGGCGCCCTAGACGGCACACAGCAGCTCCTTGAACGTCAGGACCAAGAAAGGAAAGAGCAGGAACTGAGACACCGCGCGGCCGCCCAAACACCGCGGTCCGTTGGTGCCAAGCGCTTGCCGGGCAGCAAGCCCATCGAGAGGTTCAGGGAGGCTTTCAGCGCCAGCTACTTTGACACCTCGCACAAGATCCAGTATCCTCCTCACGCTGGCCGACCCGTTGAAGCTAGTTATCCTGGACACAGTGACGAGCCGGGCTCGGGTGGAACCGGCGCCGACGCCGTCTTCTCCAAAGCCGCCAACATCATCCGTGAAGCCTTTGAGGTGGCGGGCTGCTTATTCTTCGATGTGACGCTGGGCTCCTACAGCGCGCCAAAAGTCCAAATTCCCTCGAGAGGGAGCGACACGGAGGCGACGATGAGCCAGTCGGCCACGGCAAGCAGCAGCGAAGACCAACTCCCGACGTCACCGGCCGAGGAGCCAGACGCCGCGTGCGAACTGCTTGGGTTTTCCACGTCGGACGTGTCGAGCATCAACGACGCCGGGCTCAGCCGGAACGAGGGGTTCATGCCCAAGCGGTTCCTGGCGAAGCTCCTCCGGCGCTATCCTGGTGGCAAGATCTTCAACTTTGATGCCATTGGGGAGCTGCAATCCAGCGATTCCTCCGAGGACGACGGCGCACTCAAGGCCCTGACCGGCCGTCTCTCATCGGCCAACGGGAGCACCCACGAGGGCGCCTCAACCCCGGCGCCAGCAAAGAACGTCGCTGGACGATCTAGTCGTGCCAGGGAGGGGGCTCTGCTGCACCAGGCCTTCCCCGGCGCCCGCAGCGTCGCCTTCATACCCGTGTGGGATTCGAAACGAGAGCGGTGGTTTGCCGGCGGTTTCGTCTACACGCTCACCCCGACCCGGGTCTTCACCATCGAGGGCGAGCTGAGCTTCCTCCGCGCCTTTGCAAGGCTGATCGCCGCAGAGATGCACAACCACGAGACCCTACAGGCCGACAAGGCAAAGTCGGACGCGTTGGGTTCGCTGTCGCACGAACTGCGATCACCCCTGCACGGCGTCATCCTCGGCACCGAGCTGCTCAACGACACCGACCTCAGCGTCTTTCAGGGCAATGCGACGCACACCATTGAGACGTGTTGCCGCACCCTACTCGACACCATTGACCATCTGCTCGACTACTCCAAGATCAACAGCTTCGCGACAAAGCGCCGGCAGGGGCCTCGGGCGACGTATCCCAAGTCTAGACAAAGAACAAAGTTCGACCAGTTTGGCAAGAAGAGGCTCTACACTCATGCCAGGCTCGACGGGCTTGTCGAGGACGTGGTCGAAAGCGTGTTTGCGGGTTTTAATTTCCAGCACATGTCCATTAGGCAACTGTCCAAACAGGACCGGCTGACGCACACCGACACGAGGGCGCACAACCGGCTGGACTTTGCGCAGGCCATGGAGCAGCTTGGCCCGAGCGTGAACGGTGGGGGAGAGCCCAGCGTGCAGATCGGAAACGTGTCCATCTACTTGTTGATTGCCCCGAGATGCAACTGGATGTTCCACATGCCAGGCGGGGCGATTCGTCGAATCGTCATGAACCTGTTTGGCAACTCGCTCAAGTTTACAGCTAGGGGGGCCATTTGGATATCTCTCAGCCAGGAAAAGGCCCTCGCCAAGCGTGCAAAGGCAGACCGCAGCGTCAAGTTGACGGTCCAGGACACGGGCAAGGGTATCAACGAGGACTACCTTCGACACAGGCTGTTCAAGCCCTTTGCGCAAGAAGACGAGCTCGCGCCGGGCACCGGGCTGGGCCTGAGCCTCGTCAAGACCATCGTCTCGGAACTGCGTGGCCATATCTTTGTCGAAAGCCAGGTCGGGGTCGGGACCACAATTACCGTCACGTTACCGCTAGAGCAGTCACCGCCGGCGGCTGACCTGCCCGAGGACGACCGAGACTACGAGGAGCAGGTGCGCGAGCTCAAGGGGCTGCGCGTCCGCCTGTCTGGCTTCGGGTCCACCGGGGCCTCGGCCAAGGGCACCGCGATGCGCACCATTGTGGAGGACATTTGCCGCCACTCGCTCCATCTGGACCTCGTCTCGGAAGAGCAGGCCCGACACCTGGCCCCGGATCTTGTTGTCTGGCTGGACGATGCGCTGCCTGGTTCATTCGGGGAGATTGAGCGGCTAGCCAAGACGCCAAACGTCGTCATCTGTCAGGACGCTCTGGTGGCATACCAGCGCTTCATCGCGAATGAATCTGCCGAACATGGCGGCGTCTTTGATTTCATCTCGCAGCCGTAAGTGTCCGCTCGAGCTCACTCGTGACAGTCAGCTGACATTACTCAGAGTCGGGCCCCGCAAACTTGCCAAGTCAATAAAGCTCGCGTACAAGCGGTGGATGGGCCTTTTCAAAGCCTTGTCGCCACCTGTTTTTCCGCTGGAGCCTTTCCGACTCCCCAGTCAACCCGGTGCCCGGCTTCCAACAAATGCAGCGGATCCGGCGATGGACTCGGAGATCCAAACGCAGTCGGCCGCTGAGCCTGAACCCCCGACTCCGAACGGGATGCCGAGATTCTCGCTGTCGGTGGATATGGCGCAGGTTCGGTCTGGGGAACCCTCCTTTGACAAGATCCTCGTTGTCGACGATAACCATATCAACCTGAAGATATTGTCCGCGCACATGAGAAAGCTCGGGCGCGCGTACGAAACCGTGGTAAATGGCAAGGAGGCGGTCGACGCCTACACGCAGAACCCCACCCATTGGGCTGGCATCTTGATGGATATATCCATGCCGGTCATGGACGGTCTGGAGGCGACGAGGCGGATCCGCGGCTTCGAGCACCGGAACCAGCTGCGCGCGGTCCCGATCCTGGCGCTCACGGGCCTGGCCTCGGACAGCGCGCACCGGGAGGCGCTGGAGAGCGGAGTGGATGTTTTTTTGACCAAGCCGGTGCGGCTGAAGGCGTTGAGCGAAAATTTGGAGACGATGAAAGTCTTGTCCTTGGCGCAGGCGTGTGGGAAGTAGGACGGCAACGAGGCGCAATGCGATGATACACGATACCTGGCGCATTTCATTGGAGCTGGCTTCGCAGCATAGAGTCCCGTACATAGGCAACGAGGGATACGAGAATACGATTCGGAGGGATGGCGAATGGAGTGGGCTTGCGCTTGCTGCCTGTAATAGCAATAACATGATGGGATGTCGCTGCATCAGACGATGTACATGTTGCATGAAGCCTGCCTTTCTATTTCACAGCGTCCCCGGTCCAGCCACAGCAGGCCTCGTATTTATGGGCTCATCTCCCCGGCAGTAATCCAGGGTTCGAACAAGTCGCCGCTTCTTCAAGCCAAGCCGCCACTTCACCTCAAGGCCGGTCGCCTCGCGGCAGGACTCGGGACGCCAGGTCTGCGTTGGCCTTGTCGGTCGCGCTTGTTCCTTGACGATGCAATTTTTGCAGATGGGTCCATACTCGTTCGACGAGAGGTGGCGATGACGAGGGTGGACTTGATGATTGTGAGTGAGGTGATGGAGCGAGTGTGCACGATGTTATGGTGGAGGACGCTCTTCGTCTTCCTTGGGGGCTCTAGCCGGTCATTCATAGATGATCAGTCTCGTGTGCTCTCACATATCCTCTCCGCCAGTCCGTCATGATACACAGGGAGTATTGATGCAGCTCAGAGGGAACATGCTGTAAGCATATATAGCGACATGTATAAGCCAAGAGCAGATGTATTGGAAACAACCAAGCATATTGAAGCTAATGAGTGATGAACAACGACTTGGCGTAACAATGTATATGAGGTGCACGACGTTTATATGTTGCAGGTCGCATCCTCCGGGAGCCTCGTCGTACTCGCGGCTGCACTCCATGCTCCTTTTGACTCCGAGACAACGCACGCCGTCGACTTGTCCACTCCGTGATAGATGCGGGCTGACTCCGTCGTGCCGAGCAGAGCAGGGAATATTGGCATCGCCGGCGCAAGAACCCGTCGCGAATGAAACTGTAGGATCGTTGCCACGGTGGTCCGGCGGGCCTGAGCACCGGGGTTTACTTGGTAGACTGCACCGAAAGACATTCGGGAACCGAGCCGAGTTTCCTGATATTTGATTTCAGCGTCACCTCGTGTGGATCGAGACTCGGAGCGCCAGGGGAGGACGGGGTGCACATTGCTCAGCGCGGCGTAACCGGCGAGGCCTCTAGCCTCCAGAGAAAGAAGTCGTCGGGAGGAGATGACCCAAGGTGGGCGTCCGATTCGATTTCAGACGGGGCTCCAGACGATTCGACTTGCTTCAAGCTTTCCATACAAACGAGGGACTTGCTTCTTGAGGTAATTCCAAGCCAACTCTCAAGTATTTGAATATCTTAAGAAAACAGCACATCTGAGCAAACCAAGAGTTGTGATACATATCGTGTCCAACTACGCATTTCCCTCTCCTGCCACGTCGGTTCAAGCAGGGGTTTTTGAAATTGGGAAGGGCATGAAGCCAGTAGACTCATCGGGCCCGTTCAGAAAAGGGGAGCATCGTTCAAAGCCAGGCTTGAGATGACTGGGCCGTAGCTTGCAGCAGGACTCTTGGCGCCAGGATAAAAAGAAGCACCCTTGGCCAGCCGAGCTCGTTTGCAGCTTACTGCGGCATGGTCCACAGTGGCTGCAAATGCCACGTTTGCATTGAGAAAATCAAACCCATTCGCGAGAACCATGAGCGCTGCAACGCCTCTCGGGCTCATTGAGAGCGGGATGGCTGAAACGAATTAGAAGAAGAGCATGTATTTTCGCCATTGTTCTTTGCCTATCATGGTGCTTGCAAACGGACTGAATCGCGGCTGCCTGGCCGACCAATACCTGTTCAGCGATGTTGGGGCCTCTGGCCCCAGGTGCAGATTCGTCGAGTGAATCATAGAAGACTGCCCAATCACGTGTATAAATATCTCGCCTCGCTCCCCTCGTCTCTTTTTTTTTCTTCCTTTTTCATCATCACCCTCAGCGATGCTCTCTGCTGTTGACTCCTCTCTTCACTCATCACTCTTCACTCGTCACTCTTCATGGCACCTGCTATCCATCATCATCATCATCATCATCATCAACAACAACGACGGCTACTACACTACACCAAGAGGTCCTCGACCTCAACTTGCTCAAGCTTGTGAGAAGCTTCGCTTCGCTAAGCCCATTCTCACTTCTCTCCATTCCTCCTGCACCCAACAGGCCGCTGCACCACTGCCAACTGGCTGCCCACCTATAGATCCTGAACAGCCCATCGCCCATCTCTCCGCCCTTTCATCAAACTACACAAATGGCGACAGTATCCTCGACACACACTCTCGACTCAATCATCCATCCTCTCCAAGGACTTCTGCCGCTTGGTCACTCCGACAAGATGACTGCTCGAGTCATTTCGACGACGCCAAACGCAAGGCCTCTGCACCTCACTGTCGGACGGGGCAACCTTTATAACACGCACCCGGAAGTTGAAGATGCCAACATGGTCCTGAGACTCCTGACTCGAGCCCTCAACGAGCCGTCTCCCATGAGGGATCCTGTCAGCTGCCACCAACACCTCCATGGCATATAGGGTCCACTGCCAGGTCAACTATTGGAGTGTCACTTCACTTTTGCCTGCACAACCCAGTGGTTTCCTCACAGATCCAAATCCGATGTCGAGCATTGCCCGTCGAATTGCAGCAGCCAACACCAAGCAATGAGAATCGTTCCATTTTTGGCATGACCAGGGACCTCGCTTACATCTCGCCTGACTCGTTCCGCCATGACGTCCAAAGCCCTGGGATGTGACCCAGCAGGGTCAGCACAGCAATTCATCACTGGCGCGTGTTATCTGCCGGCTGGGGTCGCTGGACCGTCCCTGGAGCAGCTCCCCACATTGCGTGGCGGCTGCGAACAGCTGCCAGGGCAGCCAGGCACTTCGTCATCTTCATTCAACATCACGATGCACCGACTCTGGAGTCGCTGCCTCGCGGCCGCAGCCTCTCTGTGCACGACAGTCCCTCTGGGTTTTCGACTGTTCCTTGTCGATTGGACTGTCCCCTGTCGATTGGACTGTCCATCCGTCAGCAAGACGAGGATATATACCGCATCAATGGATGCATCTATTGGAACGTTCCGCTTTTGCCTGGTTTCCACACCCCTCTGTCCTTTCGAACCTTCGGCTGTCCTTCTGTCGCTTGGACTGGGAATCGTTCCCTCACGACCCTGCCTGGCTACCTAGCTAGCTTAGCATCTCCATCTTCGATCACAATCACGATGTACTCATCTGGAGCCACCACCTCACGGCCGCTGCCTTCTTTGTGCACCAGTCCTGGACAAGAACATGGCTGCTGTCCAGACAAGCCAACTCGATGTCGATCAAGCTCCACAAGCCGGATGAGGTGGAGGTCCTGAGCACCAAAGACACGAAGCTCATGGAGCAATTGTTCCCGGACATGGAACCCAATCCGGACGGCCTTAACGGCGGCAAACCGCCAATCGATTTCGACAAAGAGTTCAACAAGCTAGCGACGACACTCCGGGAGGGGGAGCCCAGCGTCAGCCGACAGATCCAGGCCCTGACCGACGAGCAGGCTGGGCTCGGGCCATTTCCCGCATTCCGAATGCTGACCCGACCCTTTATGACGAGACTCGCCGGGCATCGCCGTGGCTGCTTGGCACCTCGCCAGGTCCTTCTGCGCGGTGGTTAAGTTGCATCGGACGATCTACAATCTTTTCCGTCGCCCACGCGGCCGGCGAGACAACCCGGGCCAATTACCTTGCCTTTACTGATCAGCGTCACCGGACTTTTATCCATCGAGCCGGTCTTGCTCCTCCCCACGGCGGAGTCTAGGAGAGGTCCTTAGGATTTTAGGGTTAGGGAACACACCACTGGCGAAGCATTCTTCCGAGACGGGGGGCGAATAAGTTGACACACGCCAAAAACGAATCCTCTAGACGACATCGTGGTCGTACTCCTCGGACCCGAGCCCTGCCATATACAGGTACAGCCGCCGAGCTATGGGATACCTACTGGCGGTGGCGGCGGGCGGCGGACCCATCCGGCTCGTTCGTGTTTCTTTGGACCGGATAAGACACACAACCAAACACTCTCATGGATGAGCAGCAAACGCAGTAAAGGTCAGAGAACACTTGTTGCTTTGGTCGAGCAGGGTGAAAGGAGATTGGTGTCCACTGACGTGTGTGTCGTTGGCAAACTCATGGAAGAGGAACGACATGTCTTTATCGAGAAGCCATACAACACACACACGCGCACACACGATTGGTCTTGACGGCCACGCAACACGAGCCGTCGACAAGGCTAGCCCTACGTTTCCAGATGACGCCCGAGCCGCCGGGGCCGGAGTCTCGAGGAACAGACGGCTCCCGGCCGCCGGCAAGGCGGAGATGACGCCGGTAAGCATTACAGACACGACGGGCGGTGTTGTTGCGATCGGACCTTGGGGCGGCAGGTGATCGGATGCCATATATTTAGCTGGCTGGCGACAGCCACCTTACAAAGGAGGAGACAAGCTTTTGACAGAACACACACACACACATACACACGTTTGGCCGCAGAGCCGCTCCAACGGGTGTGCAGTGGTATTTTTATAATACCAGACTTGGCCCGGTACTCCTTGCAGAAGGACCGGTTCGGAAAAGCGCAATAAAAGGGTGAGACAAGGATCTACCTTCTGTACATGTATCTTAGCTCCAGTTCTCAACTTCATCATCGCCAGCCACTCCTACATGAAATCACCTCCAGATTCAAACTCAGTTTATCCTTGTGCAGGCTTTGATGCAGATGCACGGGAATGGGCCTGCATCTTGAGACACCAGGCCCGAGACTGGTCGCAGTGGCTTACAAGCCATGCAATGGCCTTTCACTATACGGAAGAGTCTTTGCGGCGGCTGAACAATCCAGGCTATTGGGAGCCTTTCTGGCTGGGGTCTGTCTGCTGCACAGTCTATCATCACTCGGGTAAACAGCGTTACCTAGCAGACCGCATCTCTTCGCATCTCGGAAACCAACGAATACCGCAATGTTGCTGGCTGTTAATATCCGAAGGGCGTCTCTCGTGACCACGAACGTACTCCCTTTTACCTAAAAGGCTGCTCCGCACTCAACTCGCACCCTGCAGCCGACAAAGCCGACTTGGCCCGGGCAACGAACCGTGACGGGGTTTATTCCCGTCTTTGAGTACTACCCGTCAGAGGATGCCGTCTCAAGCCGCAAGCCCCCCTCCCCGCCCCCGCGGGCCCTTTTAATGATGTTGGGCTACGAGGTACTTTCAGATCTTTCAATGTTCTCCTGTCGTATTCTCAGCTCGACGATGCCGTCGGAAAAGGATCGTCTCTACATCGCCTTGTACGCCCGGGGAGGCGCGCCAACCATGGCTGGACTCGAGGATACGTTTGTAGCCCCTCATTGTCAGCCACTATGCGCCCAAAACGCTCTCGTTCTCCTTTCCAGGTACCATTGGGCCTTCATCGTAGGGCCGAAAACAGAGTCGAGCAACAGTCGAGGTAGTCGCTTCCACGCCAAAGAAGGGCTGGTATTTGCAGGCGATCCGCCGACGGCGCAGTCGGTTTGGCAATACGAAGAGCGAGACACTATCATGGCTCCGACATCGATGCTACTTGTCCGCATCCTCATCGCCAAGGTCAAGAGCCTCGGCCGACTTCGAGCGCACGCCGCTTCGGCCAGACCAGGAGGGTTGGAACTGCGTCGGGTGGATCAAGGAAGCTTTGCAAGCCGCCATTGGCGACGGGAGAGCCTTGGGGACATGCGCCCGCGATTGGGAGTCTGTGCGCGACACGGTCATGTGGTATGTCGAGGCCAAGAAGGCTGCCCATCGGTTTGATGGGACTGTCCCGTATGATCCTACCAAGGCAGCGACATGGGATATGCTCGAGAGTGCTGAGCTGGCACCATGAACGGGGCGCCAAGGCAATGCGCAATTGGCCATCAACGCTTGACCATCAACGCTGGCGTCAAGGCAGGAGGTGTATCTAAAAGTCACCCAAATGCTTGCGACGGATGCCGTCCATCCGCAGCTCATGCGGCCTTGGTGGCAGGAAGCGGTCCACCTCTTGCGCCCAAAAGGCGTTTTGAGGGTTGGCATTCCTGGCACACGTGTACTCCCAGTACGGCGGAAACCACCCGGCAGTCTCCCAGTCGACGATGCCCGTGACCTCGTCCCCCTGAATCATGATGTTGAAGCTGCTCAAGTCGCCGTGCGTGAGGACGAGGTCATTGCCCAACCCTCTGTAGAAGCGAAACAGCTCCGACACGTCGGCAGGGAGATTTTGCTACTCAAGCTCCAAATCTGCGCCGTTTGCGAGGGCCTCGTGGAAGCCACGCGTTGTGCGTACGGACCCCAGAGCATCTTGGAGGGCAGGCGACAGTCACAGAGAGGCCCACCGATGACGTTGGAAACGCCAACTCCAGCCGGTTGGGGAACCGAACGCAGCTCGGCAAGCATCTGACGGAGCTGCTCGAGGATCCTGGTCTTGGAGTCGTGTGAGCGGCCCAGCCACCCGTGCCACACCACGCGTCCCTTGATCCTGCTCATGACAATGTACGTCTCGCCCTGGTGGACAAAGGCGCAGTGCACCTTTGGGACAGGGACAGAAGTATGCCGCGCGGCCGTGTCCGGGACAATGTTCGAGCGTAGGTCTGGAATGAGCCCAGCTTCATGCCATAGACCGGAAGCCAAATACACTCGGTTGAAAATGAGGACACGAGATGGTGGTGAAGAGACATGATGGTGCTCTCGAGTTGTTGGGCGACTTGACGCACAATGTTCGACAATCTACATGAGCAATTACGGAGCGCTGGTGTTTTGATTTCAATCATGACTTATTGTCTCCTACCTTTAGATATTTCTCAAGATGTACGTTGTGGACTCGGTTGCCCAACAGCCATGCCTAGGACCCCAGGAGTAATAATGATATTGTACATAGGATATAAAGTACTTCATTGCAAAATTACACTGTCCTAAAGCTTCTTTGACCCTTATACATAACCAAGCACTGCCAGAAGGACCAGATCCATTCTAGGGTTCTCTCGCAAAACAGATGCAAAATAAGGTCGCCGCCATTCTCTACCTCAGACAGAGATATTCCGAGCGCTGCGGCGTAGGGATATATACCATTCGTCCTCTTAAATGCAAGGAACCACGGGCGCGTGCTAACAATAGTAACTGCCGAGCCTAAAGAGTGGAGTCTTACCTGCCCCACGCTTTCCCGATGGCCGTCAGAGAAGTGCAGAAGCATGCCTGCTATTTCGGCACCGTTTCTCAAGATGCATGGAGTAGTCCCTATCAAGCCTTCGAGACGATGTGACGAAAAAAAGAAATCTTCCATAGCAATGTATACTTGGTTAACGGATGGTTGAGAATATAGTAAAGGAAGAGTCTCTATGCGAGGCATAGGACTTGCGAAGGCTAGAGCGTTGATGCCATTATTCGAGTCCTCATAGAAAACTCTACTAGTTCTAGGGCCAAGTCGTTCAACGAGTGTAAATAGCTTAGGAGGCCATGATTGCTTTAAATAGGTCCCTGCTATAAAGGTGCGACCTTTGTTCGTTTTAAACTTGATATGCCTTATAGTTAGTTCGGAAGTTCGAGTTAGGAGTATAGGCGACCTACCCTAACTGCTCTTTCTCGGGGAACCCAGGCCCTACATTGCCATATCTCTGGGATAATTTCACCTAGGTCCATAGGCATATATAACCAGGTAGCATGAGAAGCTGAGCGGTGACATATCTTCACCGTCTATATGGGCGTGGAATAGTGCGAGACCACTCGCCCAGAACACCGAGTACCCAGTTGTCCCAGTGTCGTTGCACCTGAAAGAAGTCATCCGAGCTAGAACTCTCTTCCGGAAATTTTGGTCGGCTGGACTTTCCTGTCAATGTGCAGGGGCGAGCTCGGGAGTAGGATTCGCCCCTCCGGTGATATCCGTGAAGTAATGGAATCGAACTTCTTCAGGGACGAGAATCCGGATGCCATATGGGTATTCTCCAAGGACTCGCTCAACACTAAGGCCCAGTTGTGTATTGCTTTTCCCATCCGAGTTTACTGTACCTCCAGAGTTCAGAAGATAACCTTGGGAAATTGGTAATTCATTATCCAGTAATTCTGCCAGAACTTCTCGGTTTTAGACCCAATATCGTGATTTTGCGCTTCGTAGTAATGACACTGGAGCGCCGTCGAGGTTGGGAGACTCATAGTAAATAATATCTTGCCGAAAATTGCTGACTTGGAAGTCAAGATGCCCCCATAACCAGCGGCTTACAGAGTAATAAGCTAATGTGTATGTAAGCCAAACAACAAAGTCGGCAAGACGTCCTACAGGCCGTTGTATCCTTGGAAATGCATGTATAGCCGCAGTCAACCATGGTACGCTACGGCCCCGCTGATCTAACAGGATGATGAAAAGGAGGCACTTTTCAAGGCGGAAGCACTTTTGCCTCGAAGGAAGTGAGAACGATTTGCTCGAGGAACAGTGGAGATCTCGGAGGAGGGCGACCACCAACTACGGAAGGTTCTCGAAATGGGCGGGGACGCTGCGATGACGGGAGGCAACGATAGGGGGCGAGTCCTCGGGCGCATAGGCACAGGTATACAGAATGGCCCCTGATTGGAAAAAAGCAACACTGTCACTGTCTTTCCTATAATTACGGCGGTTGTGACGGTTGATTCCGAGGACGCGGCGGAGAGCGCAGCGTTGGAAGGGCTGCGTTAGAGGCCTGGACAAGGTTGCGACAACTTACAAGAAGTCGCATGCATGAACTGGCCGAGGCGGTAACGATGTAAGGGATAGAGGCAAGGCTATAGGTGGGGATAGATAAGGGGATTATTGCTGGTTCAATCGGGTACTGCAGGAACCTATATATAATCAAGGAGCAAAGAGCCCATAACCATCGTCAAGAAGTAAGCTTGCTCAAATGAAGAAGTATTAATGGCAAAACCTTTCGGATCCGTCGTCGGCCTAGAATCGTCGGCCTGGAGTTATTAACGTCGAGAAGGCAGCAGCATGATGGAAATTCCTGAAGTAAAGCCGGACGAGGAGGTTGCGCAAGTGGAAGCCTGCCTGTCGTCAGTGGGGAACGGGCAAGAAGGCAGTAGGGAGAACTGCTGGGGGCCTCACATCTTGAGTTCGTGTGGCGATGCTGAAAGTGAAATGTCTGTCCTCTTAGCGTCGTGTGTCGGGGTGACATGCCAGTGGCGTGATGATGATATTTACTGTCTTGAACTAACCAAATGGCAACCCGAACAGCAATGGCTGAATAAAACCAACTATGAAGACACTTCGGCAAAATTGTGTTCACCGCTTGCTACCTTTATCATCTCATTAGATTAGTGATTAAAAGAAGGGTAGTCCTTTAAGCGCTCTTGTGTGCAAAGTATGCGAGCACGCATGATGAACTCCAGGCGCCTAGAAAAAGATACTGCGGGAAACATCTTGCCATATGGAACACTTCTCCTCTTAAACACGTCACTTGTTCATCTTTGCGTTTGCGATCTCGGCCCTCGGCCTTGGCTCCGAAGTCCTCACGGGAAACTCCCCTGTCCAGTCGGGGTCAAAAAGAGGGGAACGCTTCGTCCAGACACAAAAGGTCGAGCCGGGAATCGAACCCGGATCTGTCCCGATGAAGGAGATGTGAAGGGACTGTTCTGACCGTTATACTACTCAACCAGATGGCTTCTCATGATTCAAGATTGTCTTATTGAAATATATAGAGCTATTTCTTTTTGGGAGCGATGATTTTGGAGTTGGTGTCGATATAATTCCCAAAACGGATATCGCTGTAATTAACATACCGCGGCGCCGGGTCTGGGGTAATGGGAGGAAGGAAAAGAGAAAAGGAAAGACACGTGCGCATCCCACGTGTACAGTACATCCCACGTGTCGTCGACCGCTAAGCTAATTTCGGGGATTGCTCTTCTGTCGCCTGGCGATTGCGGCGGCAGAAAATGTGCTTCCTGTCGCGTCAACGGACTTTGCTGATGATGAAGCTGCTGCGCGTGCGCGACCATGCGACCGAGTCGGCTGGCGGCGCGTGGCTCCGCGTGTGAAAGTTACAGTTTTTTTAGGTATGGGGGCATGCTGCGTCTTTGTTGCTTGAGCTTCCTCGTCTCTGGGTGTCGCTCACCCGCCACATACACACTAGTTATAGACCAGTGGCATTGCGTCTCTCCAGCAAAATGCCGTGGTGTTTGATTTAATGGAGAAGTGCACAGATTGGAGATGAGAGAGGGCGTCGCATGCCGCGGCCTGCGCCCCACGCGTGCCTTGGCCCCACAACCAAGTCTGTTGGAGTAGACGGACAGAGTGCCTGATACGCTGCGGCCGGCGAGACCTGGAGTGAAAAGGTGGTTATTACGCGTCGCATCCTCTGCGCGTGGGTGTCGTCGTTGATAAAGGCGCTGCCTGGTGTCCTTTGGGTTGGCAGGCCATCTCAGCAGTATGTCGGAAGTATAGGTGCACAAGCAACGCTCTCGGGGACCGCGTAATTAGTAGGTACGAAGTAGAAGCGGTCAGAGCATCTGTCATGGTCTTCTTCCCCGGGCACCAAGACGTAGCAAGGACCTGAAAAGGAATGCGATTGAGCCAGTGTTTTGCGTCGGCCGAATTGGCAAACGATAGCCGCTTTATGTAAGCCATTTTAACCATGAAGCTTTAGTGCCTTTGCCCGGCTGCTGTACGTATCCAGGCCTCGGCTCAAAGCCGACGCTTTCCACGAGCCGAGCTCCTGCTTCATCCACCTTTGCCGCCCGAGCTCACCAGACCAGCCCTCTCCATCGCCTCCCACCCTGCAGTGCCCGCACCCGCTCGACACATTGAACAGCCGCCGCCGAGATGAAGACGATTCGATGTCTGCGACCGGCGGCAGCGCGAGTGCCGTTTCAGCGCTCGACGCTGCCTCGTGTCGTGCGGGCCTATAGCTCCAAGTCGTACGAATACATCCAGACGTCGACGCCCAAGCCCGGCGTCGGCAAAGGTGCGCGTGCCTCTTTCTCCACAGCCAAGACAAGCGTGCGGTTGACACTCGAGCCGCAGTGACGTTGAACCGCCCCAAGGCCCTCAATGCCCTCTGCACGCCCCTCATCAAGGAACTCAACGAAGCTCTCAACGACTTCAACGCATCCGACGACACCTCCGTCATTGTCCTGACGGGCTCGCACAAGGCCTTTGCCGCCGGGGCCGACATCAAGGAGATGGCGCCGCTGACCTTTGCCGAGGCCTACACAAAGTCCTTTATCGAGTCGTGGTCCCTGCTGACGACGCAAATCAAGAAGCCCATCATCGCCGCCGTCGCCGGACATGCCCTGGGCGGCGGCTGCGAGCTGGCTATGATGTGCGACGTCATCTACTGCACGGAGACGGCAAACTTTGGCCAGCCCGAGATCAAGCTCGGCACCACCCCCGGGGCCGGCGGCAGCCAGCGCCTGACGCGGGCCATTGGCAAGGCCAAGGCCATGGAACTGATCCTCACGGGCAACAACTTTAGCGGCGTCGAGGCGGAGAAATGGGGCGTGGCGGCCAGGACCTTTCCGACGCACGAGGCCCTCATGGTGGAGACGCTCAAGGTGGCGGAAACGATTGCCGGATACTCACGCGTTGCCATCATGGCCTGCAAGGAAGTGGTCAACAAGAGCCAGGACCTGCCGCTGCGGGACGGCGTCGAGTTTGAGCGGCGCGTCTTCCACAGCCTGTTTGGCAGTCAGGATCAAAAGATTGGCATGAAGGCGTTTGCTGAGAAGAAAAAGGCCGAGTGGACGCACTCGTAGGGCTCGACTGATGACAGGACGTAGTCCAGGGGGGCCATGAATGATGGTTCGCGCCGATCTCTTCTACCTGTGCTCTTTGGGCAACGTCCAATGCCCCATCGAGGGCTGTGCCTCGTGCAAAAGCTCGCTAACGAGCCCGTATCCGTAGTCATGCATGCCCTGCGGCCCCATTTTCTGCTCCGGCCCGTTTGCAGCCAACAGCCAAGGCAGCCCAGCCCGCTCATGCCGGCAATCAGAGAAGACGGCCGGCTGAATAATAAAACGGGGAGTCGCAGGGCCTGGATTGCAAGCCCCCCCAGTGGTCACCAGAACTCGACTAATGATAACGCAGCGATAAAATCCGTCGATAGTGATAACTATCGCTCGCCCAAAATCAGCGCCATCCTCGCAGACTTGCACAGCCCCAAATTTTGGTCGGCAAAAGAGCGAACAGAGGGCCAAGGGAAAAAAACAAAACTCGAGCTCCTCCGCAGCGGGACTCGAGCGGCCCGCTGGCTAACATGAATGGATTCTCGAAAGCCCAGCCTGGACCTGGAAACGGAGTTGACGTGCTCGGTGCGTGAGCTATCCTCCCTTCCACCTCTCTTCCCCGCCTTCTTCCTCTTCACCGCCTGTTGGCCACCCAGCAACCTCTGGCGCAAGCGACTGACTTCAAGCCAGATATGTACTGAGCTCCTCTACCAGCCGCTCACGCTGCTCGACTGCCTCCACACCTTTTGCGGCGCGTGCCTCAAGGAGTGGTTCAGCTTCCAAGCCGCCACCGCCGAGAGATCCCCGACGCCTCTCGCGACCGGAGCCGCCGTATTTACCTGCCCGTCATGCCGAAGTGCCGTGCGAGACACGAGGCGCAATGCCACCGTCGTCACCCTGCTCGACATGTTCCTTGCCGCCCATCCGGCAAAGGCGCGCTCGGCGGCCGACAAGGAAGAGATGGGCGCAAAGTACCAGCCGGGCGACCAAGTCCTTCCCAAGGTCAACTTGCGTGAGCCGACGGCGGGGGAAAGGCGCGCAGAAGAGGAGGATCGGCGGCTGCTGGACGGGGTTCGAGAGATGAGCCTCCGAGAGGCCACGGCTGGCTCCTCGCAGCCGCCACCGAGGTCGCGGAGGCGCACGCAGAGCCGTTCTGCCGACGACCGCGCTCGGAACAGCAGGAATCAAAGCTCCGACGGTCACTCGAGACGCAGGAGAGAAGGTAGCCGTCGCCCGCGCGCCGATGAAGGCAGCCGTCGCAGCTCGGACCTGCTCCCGGATGACAGAGAACGAAGGCAAAGAGAGTGGGGCGAGGCCTGGCCGCGTCAGGTTGAACATCAATCATCCCTGAGGTCTCTGATTGGATCGGCGAACATGGGCGAGCGGGACATTGAAAGGGAGATTGAGGAGCTGGCTCGCCAGATTCAGGAAGAGGGGCTCCTCGACGGCCTAGACTTGGACAACATCGACCTGAGCCGAGACGACGAGCTGAGTCGCCGCGTCACCGAGGCTTATCGTCGGCGGCAGAGAGAGCGGTCACGGCAAGAGACGGCAAGACGCAGCAACAACGGCGCGGCCAGACCGACCGACTTGCCCTTGACCGACTCCAGACGGCGGGCGCCGGACAGCAGCCGGCCCCGTACCGGATCAAGGCCACCAAGCGGGAATGGCCACTCCGAAGACCGCAGCAGGCCGCCACCAGCCAACCACTCGAATCTCGAGGTGCGCGATCCCGGGCGACGCACGAGACGGCGGACGGCTAGCGGCGGCCGCAGCGCTACAGCGCCGCTCTTCTCCCCTGGCCTTGAAGCCCGGCCGGCGGCTCGTTCCCAGACGGACCTGGTGTCCCGAGGCCAACAATCCGACCCGTCTACACCGCCGCGACAGATTTTCGGTGAGCGACGCAGCTCCAGCACGCCTTCGGTGCCGGCCCCCTTGCTGCCTCCCGGCGAGCTGCCCTTGAGCGCGAATAACAACGCGTCGTTTGCCGACCGGGCGCCGCAATGGAACCCGGCGGTGGGGGAGGCTCCGGCGAACAGTCACCGCGAGCCGGCATCGACACCACCATCTAGGGCGCATCGGCCGTCGGAACTGGCCATTGTGCACTCAGCAGTGTCGAGCCCCATTAGCAGCCCTACCACAGGCCACCCGCGCGCGAGACCGCAGCTGTACCCCGAGCCATCCATCACTTGCTCGCGGTGCAGCAAAACGCACATCGAGTACGAGCTGCATTACAACTGCGTGACGTGCGCCGGCGGGCAGTGGAACATCTGCCTCGACTGCTATCGGGCGGGCAAGGGGTGTCTCTACTGGTTCGGGTTCGGCTACGGCGCATGGAACAAGTGGGAAAAGGCACAGCAGCAGGACGAGTCATTGGCCAGGCCCCATATGCTGACGGCCAGCCGCTACCTCCCGCCGCCGTCAACGCCAGGTGGTGCCGACGGAAGAAAGACGCTGACGGCAAACGACCCGAAGACGAGGCTGGAGACTGGCACCTTTTGTGCGAGGTGCTTTGCCTGGACCAACTTTTGCTTCTGGCGCTGCGACGTGTGCAACGAGGGAGACTGGGGGTACTGCAACAACTGCGTCAACCAGGGCAAGTCATGCACCCACATGCTCCTCCCCCTGTCCCACGAGCCCCCGCCGCCGGCCCCTGGTCGCCCGCGCGGCCCGCGATCGCCGGGCCGGCCGGCGACGGCGACCATCTTTAGCGGACCGCAGGCATCCAGCATGGGGCCCTTTAAGCCGCTCACCTTTAGGACAAGGTGTGACGTCTGCCAGGACTCCATTGCGCCCTCGCAAGTGCGCTACCACTGCTTCAGCTGCACGAGTGTGCTGGTTCCAGACGCGCCGCCGGGAGACTACGACATTTGCGCGTCGTGCTACGGCAACCTCGTCGCCCAGGGGCAAATCAGCGCGGAAAACGGGCATTCCGGGTGGCGGAGGTGTCTCGGCGGGCACAGGATGGTAGTCATTGGCTTCGTCGACGGCAAGGTTGGGCAGTGGAGGTACGTCGAGCGCGACCTCGTGGGTGGACGAGCCTTGCGCTCCGAGCTCCTGGAAGAGACGGAGAGCCGGGGCCACCAAGGCGGTCTCCAGGCATGGTCGTGGCGCCGGGGCGACGAGACGTGGCGGCGGCTGGTGACGACGGACGTGTCGGCAACGGCGCCGCCGCCGACGCCCGGATCGGGCCCGGGCGGCTTCACGCAGGGCTTCCCGCCGGACGGAGGGTCGGGGATGCGGGCGCACGGGCGCTGGCCGTGGTATCCGCAGGCGGCGGCTGACGACGAGCTGCTCTTCCCACGGGGCGCCGAGGTGCGGGAGATTGAGGACGTCAACGGCGAGTGGTTCTTTGGCACGTACATGGGGGCCAAGGGGCTGTTTCCCTCGGGGTATGTGCGGCTGCTGGAGCAGGGGCCGTGAGAGGAGGACGAGATGGAAGAGTTAGAGCAAGAAGGAATGGCTGGACTTTATAGCGTGACGACCATTTTTGTATACCCGGTTATACGATGAGACTACAGGCCAGGGCACTGAGAATGCGAAATCGATGCGGAATCATGTTATGGAGAGCTGAGTCTCGACAGTGGCTAAAGGACGCCATCGAGGACGGGGTCAACAAGGTCTACTTCATTGTCGGCTACTACACTGTTCTCGATGCCACGATGGTCCAGGGGCTCAAGCAGAGTTCCAAATCCAACGTCAAGGGCGAGGTCCCAGTGGCGGGCATGGTGACTCACGGGGCGACGGCGCTCATCCCCGAGGTGCTGAACCTAGACGTGGGCGGTTCTATAAAGCGCGAGAGTAGTCACGCCGAGGCAGACGCTTCGTACATGGAGGGCGAACGGGTGTACGCCTTCTGCTATCGCCAGATCAATTTCAGCATTTTCACTCTTGGAAACAAAGCGGCCTCGGCAAGGCTCCAGCACGACAATTGCTGGGCTCTCACGGCAGATAACAGGGGCCAGGATGACGGGGAAGACGACGAGGGTGTTCAGGTTGATCTAGCCGAGAATGACGAGGCCGGAGAGGCTGGCGAGGATAGGTTCAAGATTCTAGGCGCTGGCGCCAAGTCTGACGACGAAGAATGAAGTCTTATGATAGCAAACTAATGGTAGAATGCCATCTCTAAATCAGCTGCTCGTCAGCGGGCCGAAGGCTTAGGGGAGACTGCCACTAATGCTTACGTGCGTGCGGACTAACGGACTTGCTGCGGCTAACCGGCAGTGTCCCTACGTGTAATTAATGCAGATCAATGCATGGGGTAGGGATGAGAAACCCGACTCCGGGAATCATCTGGAGCCCAACTTCACCTGGGGAATATCTACACCTCAGCTTCAGCCCCAGCGGTTTGTGAGCCAGACTGAGGCGTGAGTAAACAGAGCACAATCACCAAATGAACCAAGTTGAAAACGAAAGCATTGGTCAACAAAATGTGGAATCCTTTCAAGAAGACCAAGGCTCGCAGGACAGGTGAGACGAAGACAACAGTCCAAAGGCCGTTTCAGCCACTGCCATACTACGACTGGGGGCGCCATGTTCGCAGCTTAGGTCTTTTTGAACACGTCGACGAACACATGGACGTTTGGGATGCCCAGGCGGACGCCAAGGCCGATCCGGACTCGGCTGAGAAGCAAGAGACGGTGGCCGATCTTCTCATGTGTCGGACGCAAACTTGGTCCAACAACAAAGTAGGCTTCTACTTTGACTCGAGCGAGATATTGCGCGCAATCAACAAGGCAATCTCGTTGACACCCCTGGACCAGCCGGACCAGCTCCTACGATGCGAGAGCAAGTTGGCCATGTTCTACGAGAGACGGTATGGGCTGAAGGGAGACGTAAGCGACTTGAGGTCCGGCATCCCCCTGGCCCAACGTGTGGTAGCACAGACGCCAGACTCTGATTCGACGAAGCCGTTTCGCCTCACATGCCTCGCCAATCTACTCGCCTACCGATTCGAGAGGGAGGGCAACCTGGACGACGCACACAGTGCAGTCAGGTTTGCTGCTGAGGCAGCCGAGCTGGGCGAGCAGGCAAACCAGGGCGACGACGGCAACAAGGATGTGGTTTCGCGGCTGAAGCGCAACCTATCTGTCAAGCTCGAGATGCGCTCGAGCCGGACGGGGAGCCTGAGCGATCTGGAGCAGGCCATCCAGCTGACCGAGCAGGCCCTCGATCTTGTAACCGCCCGCAATCCGGATCGGCTGCGCTACATTAGCGAGGCTGGAAACATGCGGGCAATCAAGTTTCAGAAATCCAAAGATATTCGTGACCTCATGCGCGGCATCGCGGCCATGGAGCGCGCAACGTCGGCCACCCCAAAGGGCGACGCGGGGTTGCCGAGGCTGCTCGATAACCAGGCCAACGGATATCTCGAGCGGTATGAATGGGGAGGGGACAAGGAAGACCTGAAACTGGCCGTCGATAAGGCCGAGGCTGCGTATAATGCACAGTTCCTCCTCGACCGAAACCATCCAGACATGGGCCGGTATATCACCAGCACCGCGCGGAAATACGCTCTCCGTGCACAGATATCGAATCGCCTATGGGATGAGGGCCTGACGGCGACCTTTTCGAAAAGGGCTCTGAACGGTCTTATAGCTGGGCATCCAGGTCGCGCCGAAGTCCTCGAGTGTTCAGCCGACGCACTGGCTCTGGCATTCAAGGGGGAAGCACGCGTGCGGCCCGAGGTGCGAGAGGAGGTCAACCGTCGCCTCCAAACACAGCAGCCGAGCTTCAAGCAAAGCTTGGCTTGGAATGCCTCACGACGACCTGTCGTGGTCGAACTGGTGGAAACTCCCTCACGAAACCTAGAGAAGGCCATGAGCCTCTACCGGCAGGCGGCGTGCTTGGAAAACGGCCACCCCTTCACCAGGATCCGCGCCTGCAAGAAAATGGGCGACTTGAAGTTGAAGAACATGGAGTGGGACGATGCGGCTAACGCGTACGAGATGGCCATCAGCCTCTGGCCTAGGCTGAATCCGCGGACCTTGGCGAGGGGCGACATGGAGTATGTCGTCAGCAAGCTGTCCGGGCTAGGACCCCTCGCAGCCCACTGTATGTGTCGCTCCAAGGCACGCAGATCGGCCGAGGAAGCTCTCCAGGCCCTGGAGTCCGGTCGCGGGGTCATCGCTAGCCTGACTATTGACGTCTCTGACCTGAAGAGGGAGTATGGCGAGCTATATGACGGGTATATCGAGCTGTGTCATGTTATATCGTCTCCCTTGCTGCCCATTGGCGACACCGACGCCGACTCCAAGGTCTCGGTGGCCGCAGCCATATCCCAGCGGAACCAAGAAGTCGAGGATCTGAAGCTGCTCGAGCGCCAGATCCGCTCCAAGCCCGGATTCGAAAGCTTCCCGCGCACTCGCTCAACCACCGAGTTCACCCAGCTTGCCGGTCACGGGCCAATCGTGTGCTTCAGTACTACGGGGAATTTCACCGTCGCCTTCATCGTCACCACGGCCCGGGTCGCTGTCATTCCTCTCAACGACATCGAAACCAAGGACCTCCAGGGCCACGTCAAGTTATTAGTCAGGGGCAAGTCCCCTACCAGTGTCGCGGCGTCTAAGAAGGCTGCCAACAACAAACGCGTATGTGAGTCGCTGCAATGGCTTTGGATTATGGCAGTCGAGCCCGTCCTCCAGCACCTCGGTCTCATCCAGGAGGCCCCCCCGGAGAGGCTCCCGCGTATATGGTGGGTCACGAGCGGCCTCTTGGGTCTCCTGCCACTGCACGCGGCCGGGAGCGGCTGGCGCACCTCGAGGGACAACACCATGAGCCATGTCGTCTCGAGCTACGTCCCGACCTTCAGGGCGCTTGCGTACGTGAGGGCGAAACGGCCAAGACCGCTGGGGGATGCCGGCACCGAGCTTCTCGTTGTGAGCGTGCCCAAGACGGAGGGATACAAGGAGTTGGACGTCAAGCCCGAGGTTGACGGCGTCATGCAGAATTTCCAGCAGGGCACGGTCAGGGGTTCAGTCTTGCTGACGCCGTCTCGAAAGGAAGCGCTGGACAGGTTGAAATCTGCCAACATTGCCCACTTTATCTGCCACGGCGTCTCCGAGGCCACGACGCCGTCTGCGGGCGGCTTGGAGCTGGGAGACGGAAGGCTGACCATTCACGACGTTGGCTCCTTGTCCCTTGACCACGTGCAAATCGCCTACCTCTCGGCTTGCTCAACGGCGCAGAACAAGAATAGCGACATTGTCGACGAGACGATTGCCGTCGCGAGTGCCTTTAACCTCGTTGGCTTTCCACACGTTATCGGGACCCTGTGGGAGGCAAGCGATAGAATTGCCGGCAAGGTTGCTCCGAGGTTTTACAAGATGCTCGCCGACAACATCCAACAAGGCTTTGGCGACAACGCTGCTGTGGCGTATGCTTTGCATCGGGCCGTTGCCAGCCTCTGGGAGGACAAGAAGAATGGCCAGGGCAGGGTGGACGAGTGGGTGCCTTTCATCCATATCGGAGCTTAAAGGTAAGTGATGGACCTGCAAATCTGCCGGTGTAAGCCGTACAGAGTGTTATAAGGGGAGACACGGACCCAGGGGTGCCCAATTTTCCTACCTACCTACAATGCCTGGCAACAGGCAGGAGCAGCAGAGACAGTAATAGAGCCAGCAGCAGAGTAGATTAGGCAATGGTACATCTTTGCCAAGGTTCACGTTGATACAGGGCCTTGTAGAGACTATATTAGTTACTCTACATCTCCGGCGGCATTGACGACCCCGATGTCCAGCGCTACTCCCACCTATCGTCATAAGGTACCCTATGCCGACGGCTTCTGGCTCCCCGTCTCGACACGTATGCGTCTCCGCTGTTGCTGCCACTGTCGTTTCCGTTAATCTCGTCCTGATCGAGCGTATGACGCTTCTCAAATCCCCTGTCCAGCAGTCGCAACGCATTATGTAGCTCATCTTCGCGTGTCCCGGGCCAACTGCGCAGGCTTAGTATTATCAGATGCCGGAGACCATTCTGGCGCCAGAGTCATGTACACAGGGCGACGATTAGCAAAATCGGCGTCGGCTTCAGCCAAAGCGCCGCCTTAGCCTCCAGGCGTCAGCATCAGAAGATGCCGAAAAAGAGCGCTCTGGCACCGGGGCCATAGGCACAGCGGAAGGGTTAGCAACCCCGGCATTGGCTTCGAGCCTTCGGCGAAGCGCTCCCTTGTCGTCAGGTCCTGGATCGTCTCCATGTCCTTGTCTCCACTGCTCCAGTAGTTTCCGCCACCACCGGGTCGTGCGCTTGAGTCGGGGCTGGCGGGTTGCCTCCTCTTGGCTTGCCTCCAAGCCCCGGTCGCCGTCGCGCGAGCTTGTCAAAGACGGGCGGGCGTGCGTGTTGGACCGGGGCGGGTCCACCACCTCGATTCCAACTGTAGGACGTTCGTCACCGGGGGGGGCCTGGTCTGGAATCGGGCGCGGGAACAACCTGCGCCTGAGAGAAAGTGTCCATGGGCGAAACCCGGGCGAGGCGTCGATGAGAGAGTCCTGGCCTTGCTTCGGGGGTGTGCCCGACCTGGCCCTGAGACGTTGGATGTGCTGGCCGGGAGTTTCACCTCCTTCAGATTGCTGCTGTGTGTCAACAGTTGCCGCTTCGCCTCTGTCATTCTCCAGATCTTGAGTCTGCTGTCTCGTCAAGCCCTGCGCCGCCAACCACTAGCATTGAACGTTAACCATGCCAATGTCAAGTGCGAAGGGTCGGCAGGCCATTCCACTTACATGTGCCTTGTTGGCGGTCTCCCCCATATCTGGATTCGTCTTCACTTGGCAGACTGCTGGCACCTTCTGTCGACGATATTTGAAGACTGACAGAGATGTTCGCACGTTCTTTCGACGACTTTTGAGCAGTGATCGAGTTATGGCATTATTTTCGGGGTCTTGGAGCTGCCCATCGCCAGCCTCGGTGAGAAATCCCCACTCGAAGCGAATGCGGTCCTCTGGTTGTATCTCATCGAACAATGATTCGTCAACAAAGTCGCTTGATGGGTCCTGGTGCCACAAGAACTGCTCTCCTTGCTCGCTCACGAGATTATTTGGCGGCATAAAATCAACAGCGTGGCTCACCCCATGGCTTCGGTCCTGCGCCGCTGCTCCGTCGACGCGCTGAGCAATGTACTCCCTGTATCCTCCCCACGGTGTATAAGGGCTTGGTGAGCCTGGATGGTGAGGATGCGAGGTGGGGATGCTGTCGGGATCGTCGAAAGTCGGCCTGATGTGCCTCTCGGGATCCTTGTTGATTGTGGTTCTGCTTTCCGGCCTAGAAGCCGAGGAGCCTCGCTCCCCCTCGGAGCCCTCTGATCCCTGGACTTCAAATGACGGCAGAGATTTCAGCGCGAGAAACCTCAAGTGGCCCACGATGTGATCTTCTAGATTCCTCGTAGCGTCTACGGTGCCGCAGAGCGGGTAAGATTCAAACATGGGCCCCAGGGGTTGGACCTTCCTCTCGGCGAGCACACAAAGCTGCGGCTCTGTGAAAGAGCTCGGGTGGGCTTCTCTCATGTGGCTCAGGTACTCGTCCTCACTGAGGAAGACGCACAGGCCGTCAGTGGCTGAAGAGCTCATCCGACCGGTCGCACTCGTCGAATAAGCACACGTATGCATCGAGGTCGTTGGTAACATGGGCCCTAGGCAGTTCAACGCCGTCAGCATGCGTGTAATGTATGAGCGAGAGGGGCCGGTCACGTACATACCTCCATTTCTTGTCGTCACTGACGGAGAGACTCGGCAAGGCGTAGAGGCAGAAGGGGCAGATGATCTCTCCAGCCGCCATGAGGCAGTCGTTCCAGTCTGACACCAGGCCGGTCTGGAGTTTGGCGTTAGTTTCCGATATTTTGCAGTGGAGTTCTTCCGATATCATGTAGTTGAGCTCTGCGAAGAGTTTGCCTCCTTCAACCCATCTATCCAAGAACCGCCGTTTGAGATGCCTCGCGTACGGAGCAAGGCCGGGGAAGGAACGAAGCCATGCCACATGTGCCTTTTCCCGTCGCCTTCTCAGTAGCTTGTACTGTCGGTGGGCGCGGCCGGTTGGTGCACGAGGGAAGACGAGCTCCCCGTGATTGCCGAGGGCAACCGTCTCGGTGGCTGAAACGATAGAGGGCGCCGCGACTTTGTGATAGTTGTCGGCGGCCAAGGTCGTAGCACTGGGTGCGGCATAGTGCACGATGCTTGGAGGGGGCGCCAGGTTCTGCGCAGAGGCCTCGTCGGCCAGCCCTGGCGTAACAGCATCCTGGCGCCGAGACACGGGGAGCTCAACCTTGGGCCGCGAGACCGTCTTGTTGGTCCGGATGGGCTTCTCCCCATATCGTGACCTCCTATACATTATCCTCCTTCGCCGCAGGACCATGGAGGAAGCGAGGCGCTGGCGGAGGCAGTCGGTGATGCCAGGGAATCGTCCGCAGATGTAGTTGGCATAAAGCTCTTGCAGCAGGGGCTCGGCATCGTTCCCATCGTCGTCGCGGAAGCGGTAGACTTTGAGGTTCTGTGATTCCTTACTGGCCCTTCGGATCGTCTCGGACCATGTCAACCGCATCAGGTTCATGCTGGGCCAGGAAAACGACCTCCTCATCCGCGTCTTGCAGATATTCGAGTCGCTCATTGCTCCCGGGGCAACGACGCACTCCGAGGCGACACAGGCGTACCCGCGGCAGCATGCCCTCAACCGCGCCTGGGGTCATCTACGACAGGGGAGCGCAGACGCGAGGCTTGACTTTGCCACGCGCTGTCTGAGGGTCAAGCAGCCTTTCATGCTGCAAGACTACGACGAGTCCTTCGCCGCGTGGGAGGAAGATGTCGTGGCGAGGTATCCCGAGGACGGGGCGCAGTTGTCTGTCGACGATTGCTCCCCGCTCAACAAGAGCAGGACCGAGCCATCGTATGCCGTCTGGAGGACAGCGCAGTCGCTCTTCAAGGCTCTCGCCGCCTCCACCAAGTGCCAGTGCCGTCCAGCGCACGAGCTAGGTGCCAGCCTCTGTCTCGGCACGTATCGGAAGCCCCAGCTCGACGACCGGAACTGCTTTGCCATGTTTCTTGCTTCCGGCCAATACCTGCAGGAGGCCCATGTGCACATCGTCAACGACAGCGTGGTGCGGTTCGTCGTGGGCGACCAGGCGCAACCCATGGCCAAGAAGATGCACTATAGGCCCATGGTGGTCAACATACTGTGCGAGCAGATCGCCAAGATGCAGAAGATGGCCTCGCAGCGGCTCGAGTTAAAGGTCGAGAGGGGCCGGCTCCTCAAGCTTCGATCCGAGAGGAGCAGCTTCCGCATCGATAAGAAGCGGCTCCCGGTGCCGCTGCAACACTTCATCCGGGAAGAACCCCGGTCATTGACGGAGAAGACCAAACGCATCCTGGCCGTGCTGCTGAGCTACGCCCTTCTCCATCTGCACGGGACTCCCTGGCTCCAGCCTACGTGGGACTCGTCGCAGATTCTGTTCTTCTACACCCAGTCGTCCACGATCCCCCTGAGGCCCTTTATCCACGCCCAACTGAGCGGTCGCCAAGTTGCCACTGGCTTGAGCGACCTCGGTCGGCGGGATCCGGGGGCGGGGTCCGTTCCTTTCGACGACGGACCAGATCACCTTGATCCCGATGAGCTTTACCCGGCCAACTTGGATCCAGACGATGTCAAGCACCCGCTCCCAGCTCTGGTGACCTTCGCCGTCATGTTAATGGAACTACACTTTGCAACTCCGTTCCAAGTTCTTGCGAGTAATCGCGGAATGGAAATTCCCGAAGGGCAAGACAGTTGTACGTGTTCACTCGACGTGGCCTCGGTATTTTTCGAATATAAACGAGAGATTCCCCAGAACTCCCAATTTTACTACGCCATACAAAGGTGCCTGGACCCCAGGATATGGCAAGATGAAGGGGGGCAAACGCTGGACGACCAGGTGCTAAGAGCCACGGTATATTAAAAGATTGTCCGGCCGCTCGAGGACGAGTTATGCACAGCGTTTAACTTCATCACCATCGAGGACCTTGATCAAATTGCTGAGACGGTGGATTTCGGCAGGTGGGGGCAGACCATCCAGCAGACCGAGGATCGTGTTGGAGAAGTGGTCACGTCTTTAGTTGACGAGACATTGCTCAATCAATGCCGGTATTTAATGGCGTCGCCTCCCAAATCGCCGCACCTCTCTTACATTGCTTGCAATTTGGTTCCGATGGCCCTTCCTCTGCTAGGTCGAGGGCAGCTGTTGACCCCGACATCTGGATACACGGCCGCCAAATTCTACGACAATGAGAGGCCTTCTGGAGCTCACCCCGACGAACAGTACGTGCCTAATGACCTAGTCCCCTTTCTTTCGTTTTACTCCCCCAAGGGTTCAATTCCGTCCATCTTAGCTTTGTCTTCGCCCCCCTCAGATGATAAATTGCTTGGCCTCAAGGCCACTTCGTGCACACCGACGGCGTGGGTTCCTAACGTAGCCTGCAGGCTCAAGAGCTACTTGATCTGGAAAGCCGACTGCAGGTCCGTCTACAAGAAGTACATTGATCCCTATTTGCAGGATCCTCCCCAGTCACCCGTCAAGGTTGCGATACTCGACTCTGGCGTCGATGAGACGCACAACGCCTTGAAAACGGGACAGATCAAGCTCAAGCGCAATTGGACGAGTAAAATCAAAAAGGCGGTTCATGACCGCGACGGGCATGGAACCTTCACCGCGAGTCTGGTCGTCGACTATGCCCCCGACGTGGAATTGTACATCGCCAAGATAGCGGACAAAGCGCTGTGCCCCCCTGCCGTAATTGCAGAGGTATTTCGCCTCAGAGTTTCCCGAGGCAGCGGCTGACCTGCGGCGCAGGCTATAAAGACGGCCGTGGATGACTGGCACGTCGATGTCGTTTCCATGTCCTTTGGGTATCCAACGAACAAGATCGACGGCTACGGAGAACTGGAGAAGGCTCTCCTGCACGCGCATTCACGGAACGTCTTGATGTTTGCGGCCGCTTCGAATAGCGGCGCGAACCTGGACCGGGCGTATCCTGCCCGCGATCCGCATGTCATCTGCATTCACTCGACCGATTCGCATGGAAACCGGTCCAAGTTCAGCCCCACGGCGCTCGCCCGTGATGCCAACTTGGCCACCATAGGCGAAGCCATCCAGTCTGCCTGGCCGGTTGGGCTTTCCGATATTGATGCAAACCCAGACTGCGTCCAATGCAAGTCTGGCACCTCGTACGCAACGCCTATCGCGGTAGGCATCGCCGCGTTCCTGCTACAATATGCAAGAATCCATCTGGCGGAAACGGCCCATCTACTAAAGCGCCAGTCGAGGATGAAAGACGTGCTTCTCAAGGTCGCCGAAAAGACCCAGCACTCCATATGCCGGGATGATTACAATTACGTTGCGCTGAGCCTCTTCGAGGACAACCTGTTTGGGAATGAGAAGGAGGTCATAGACGTGACCCTCGGAGAGCTTCTAAGGCGTTAGGGAGAGAGGATGTTGATTTCCCCGTCGCTTTGGGACGATTGGGCCATGAAAGACTTCAAGACTTAGACCCGGCCAGGGCAAGGTCTCCACGCTAAGTGAAGGGAGACAAGACGTCGACTTACGAGGCAGTGACCCTCCGATCTAGGTCGTCCAACTTCCTGTCGACCGCGCGCACCTCGCTCCGCATGTCCCGCATATCATTACGAATCTCATTCCGCATGTCCTGCATGCCGTTGCGTATAGCTTCCAGCGCCTGTGTGAGTCGACGGCCGTCATTGACTGCCGGTAGGTTCTGACAGCGTGCGGCCTGCTCGGTCAAGGACTCCAAGTTGCGGACAGCCAGAGAGAAGTCGGGCTGCTCTGGCGCTTGCTCCATGGCTTAATGCGTCATCGATCCCGAATCGATGAAGACGACTCCGTGAATGCCAAAGCACAATGCAATGCGCCTGTCCACAGGTTATGCCCGACGTGTCCGCGTCTCCGCAGTAACAGCGCGACGTCACCTGACTGGTGCCACTGCTCTCGTAAGCAAAACACCACGTGCATGTTCCCGAGAACAAGCCTACCCTAAACCAAGTTGATTTTGATTTCCGCTACGGAAAAAATAATGCTCGTCTGCACTCCGTAGAATAGATGAACAGGCCATGTACTCAAGAAGTGGGCGAACGAATGCATCGAGTCGTATAGCCCTTGATACACAGAGGAAAAGTCCATCGCTTGATTGCCTAGCAGCTCTAACAAGGTTGCTTTTCCAGCCTAGATATTGAGTTCAAGACGCAGTCCTCAGGAGAAGTAAACGTCTACGAAGGGGGTTTGGCCTAGTCTGGTCAGAGTGTCCGCCGTTGCTGCTGTCAGGGCAGGCCGCTGTCGTTTTCATAAGTATATAGTCTATCTCGACTTCTTTCCGCTCCAACCAATCTGCCTCTTACATCTTATTCTACCTTTCAGGCTTTCACCTGTTAACGCCCCTTGAGGCTAACCCTCCTTTGCATACATCTAGTCGAACCTACCGATGATGGCGGCCCTCAACGCTTCGGGGTTTCAAACACGGCGTATATTTACTCATTAAGAAAAAAGCGCCATGAGGCCAAGGATATCCTGAGTCTCGGCCACTCCTTCAGAGTGCAGCAGCGATTCTACCTGTCCATGTCCTCTGAATGCCGCAAGCTCCCAGGCGTAAGTCTTGTCGAATTCTTCGAATTTGCCGGCTCCCAGCAGCAGCCGTACGATTGCCCCATGCCCTTTGCAAGCGGCCCATGATAGGGGCGTCTCGCCTGTCTCACTCCTTGACTCGGCATTGGCCCCCTTGTCGAGAAGCAGCCGCACAGCGATCTCCATCCCTCTCTTAGCGGCCAAGATTAACGGCGTCTCGCCATTATTACTCCTTGAATCGACGCTGGCGCCTTTCTGAAGAAGTAGCTGTATAATTTCCATATGCCCTGTCTCGATAGCCCAGAACAGCGGCGTCTGGCCACTCTCACTCCTTGGCTCGGTGTTGGCTCCATTCTGGAGAAGCAGCCGCACAATGGCCTCATGCTCGTTTTCAACGGCCCAAAATAGCGGCGTCTCGCCTGTCTCACTCCTTGACTCGGCATTGGCCCCCTTGTCGAGAAGCAGCCGTACAGCGACCTCTATCCCTCTCATAGCGGCTAAGATTAGCGGCGTCTCGCCATTATTACTCCTTGACTCGACGCTGGCGCCTTTCTGAAGAAGTAGCTGTATAATTTCCATATGCCCTGTCTCGATAGCCCAGAACAGCGGCGTCTGGCCACTCTCACTCCTTAGCTCGGTATTAGCTCCATTTTCGAGAAGTAGCCGTATAACGGACTCGTGACCATTTTCCGCGGCAAAAGATAGCGGCGTCCGGCTAAAGTTTTGACTCTTACCCTCAATATCGGCGCCCTTGTCGAGGAGTAGCCGTATAACGGACTCGTGACCACTTGCCGCGGCCCAAGATAGCGGCGTCCGGCCAATGTTTTGACTCTTACCCTCAATATCGGCGCCCTTGTCGAGGAGTAGCCGTATAACGGACTCGTGACCATTTTCCGCGGCAAAAGATAGCGGCGTCCGGCTAAAGTTTTGACTCTTACCCTCAATATCGGCGCCCTTGTCGAGGAGTAGCCGTATAACGGACTCGTGACCACTTGCCGCGGCCCAAGATAGCGGCGTCCAGCCAATGTTTTGACTCTTACCCTCAATATCGGCGCCCTTGTCGAGGAGTAGCCGTACAACGGACTCGTGACCATTTAGCGCAGCCCAACATAGCGGCGTGGCGCTCTGCCCCTGAGCCTCAATGCTGGCGCCCTTGTCGAGGAATAGCCGTACAACGGACTCGTGACCATTTCTCGCGGCCCAAGGTAGCGCCGCCACGCTCTGCCCCTGAACCTCAACGCTGGCGCCCTTGTCGAGGAGTAGCCGTACAACGGACTCGTGACCATTTCTCGCGGCCCAACATAGCGGCGTGGCGCTCTGCCCCTGAACCTCAACGCTGGCGCCCTTGTCGAGGAGTAGCCGTACAACGGACTCGTGACCATTTAGCGCAGCCCAACATAGCGGCGTGGCGCTCTGCCCCTGAACCTCAACGCTGGCGCCCTTGTCGAGGAGTAGCCGTACAACGGACTCGTGACCATTTAGCGCAGCCCAACATAGCGCCGCCATGCTCTGCCCCTGAACCTCAACGCTGGCGCCCTTGTCGAGGAGTAGCCGTACAACGGCCTCGTGTCCAATACGCGCTGCATGGTAAAGCGGCGTATGACCTTCGAAATCCTTGGAATCTATGTCATGTGCGCTCTCGATGAGGGAATATGCTGCTTCCAGAATCCCAAAGCCGATGGCCAAGTGTAGTCCTGTCGTATCGAATTGCCCAGATAAAGGCGGAATCGCAATTATACGTCTAGCTTGGTTCGACGCCACCACCTTCGGCTTACACTTTAAGAAGTCCAGGACTCCCTGCGGTAAAGTTGAAGACGCACGAGCATGATGCCCCCAGCAGCTGGCAGCGTAGTCGTAGAGCCGATATAACCGCAGCCTGTCATCAAACTTCTCTCGTGTCCGGCAAATCCCACTTTCAAACGCGTTGAATGAAAGATATATAACGCAAGTCGTCGCGATCATGTACTCTGCATTTGGAAACCAGTTTTTTTGCTCCCGCTCAAAGTATTGCTGCGTCGTATAGTGGACCAGCCGGATGATATCACTTTCTTTATCGACTGTGACCAATCCAGCGCATGCTGACACCAAATCTTCAACGTCTGATATGTTGCCTCTTATAAGGTCTTGGTGTCCGACTTCTGTAGCAAGAGCGTGCTGGAGTTGCGATGTGGTCAACGGTCGCAATGCATAGGTGATCCATGATAAAACATCCATTGCGAGCACCTTCTGGTCTTCTACCTGGCCTTGAATGCGCTTCATTGCGTCTCGGTATGCGTCGTCATATGCATTCGAGCCGGTGGATAGATTTTGAAGAGCAATTTGGACAGCATAGGGAGACTTCTTTCCAACGAGGGCGTCCAGATGGAGCTGTGCGAGGAGGAACCTGATGATGTTAACATTAGCGTCTTGTCCCAGGTTCCGAAAAAGATGCGACGCACATTCCCTTTACCGCCAGCACAATTCCATTCTTGATTTCTTCTTGCAACTTTTGATCACGTTTAGCGAAGGCTGGCAGTCGATACATATGACCGTCGAGGTACTGTCGCACGTCATGGTCGCTTGCGTGAATCTCCAATGAAATGCATTTTTTGAACTTGTCCGTGATCTCCGGGATGTTCCTCGAAGTCGCAAAGACATTTGCTCTCGAGGTATTTTGCACTTGGAAAACATTTTCTATGAATTGCGATCGGCAGCCGTTAGATGCAGGACACTCGTCAAGCGCGTCAATGACAATGAAAAGTCTCGAGCTCGATAAATCCGCCGCCAAAGAATGCAGCGCCCGCCGAACTTCGTCCATTGATGGTCGCGTCCGCATCATTCTGTGGCGTTGATAAAGCTCTGTCACGCTTTCTGGTAACGAAGGTTGATTTTCGGCCAGTTGTTTCAGTAGACTCGCTAGCAAGTCAGTGATTCCTTGCTCATCCCGGCGCCGGAAGTTGCAATAAACGTAGCAGAGTCCAACATCAGTCATGTCGAATTGTCGACCGAGGTTGTCGATGACAATCGATGTGAGAATTGTCTTTCCGGCTCCCGGCATTCCCGGACAGAACAACGTCTTCCCCTTGGTGCCTAGCCACTCGAGATAGTGTGGCGAGTCGAGAAGCCACTGGCCAGTTCCAGGCTGTCTTCTCCCGTAATAGTCGCTCTGCTGAGGGGCATAATCAACCGGCGCAAGCCACTCAAGAATGGCCTCGGAGTCGCGATGGCGTTGCTTGTGGACCAGGTGGGCGACGCCCTGTTGGAGTCCTGTCGCAAAACAAGTGTCATTTATTGGTTATGGTAATGAACTATTTAGCACCTTGACTAACCGTCGAGTACCTCGCCAAGCTTCCTCTCGGCCTCGATCTTATTCCGAGGAATGCGACGGAGCAGATCCTTGGCATATGCTGCGGCCGTCATGGCTGCGTAACCCTGCCACTCCTTGTTTTTATGCGTATCGGAGTAGTCGCAGATGCCGCGGATGACTAGACATGGGAAATGATTCATCAAGCCGGCTGCTTCCATTTCGAAACACAAAACCTCCTTGCTCGCTGCAAGTGAATCCCGGATCGAAGCGTCCTTCATTAGTCTATTGGCCGAAGCGATTAGACCATAGTGGATTGCCGGGTTATCTTCGTCTTCGGTCCGCTCATGTCGTGGTACAATGTTCGACGGATCATCGCCACAGGTCGTTGCACAGCCAGACTCATCCTTTTCGGGATGAAGAACTCCTGGCTTATACAGGCGATCAGTGGATGCCCCCGGTCGGCTGTATGTTTTCCGCAGTCTTGGCTTCTTGTCGATGAGGTTGTTTATAGTCTCTTCAAGTTGGTGACCCTCACCTATGTACTGTGCTTTAAGGCCGCCCACGGCTGTTCGAAGAAGTTGGGGCGGTTGATTCAGAAATCCCGTCTCTTGGAATTGGCGGTCCTGTACAGCGCGTCCAAAATCGTACTGGAACACACCACACTGGCCGCCACCAGACGTGCTGACCACGATGTCTCCAAGCCGGATGTCGTGCTTAGAACTTGGTGCGCCACCGCCGATGCCAACCATGAGGCCGACTCTAACATTGGCGAAACTATGGAGCAGGTCTCGCGCGACGGTGGCGGCGGATGATATTCCGTACTCGCCGAGGGGTAGAACGGCGATGACGACGTTGTGTTGGCCAATCCTGCCCAGCGTGTAGTCATTGTTATCGTGCGTGGCCACAGATGCTGGCCCTTGGTGCTTTTCGTCGAGCATGGCCTGCGCAGCCACATACTCGGTCGTGACGGCGCAGATCCATCCAACATTGTAGTCGTTTGGGTTAGACATGCCTGCTGGTGATGCCTGGTTTCGTGACAGGCTTTGACGACAGAGTCTCACGAGTCTCTTGACAGACACTAGTTTAGCCAGTTGGGCTGAGCTATGGTCTTGGAGGAGCATCTTTTGCTGAGGCTTATAGTCCGTACATCCTTGCTCACTTCCCCATTTTCCCCGCTTTCAGGCGCAGAAAATACGAGCCAATGTCATCACGTAGGGTAAGCCCCCTTTTGGTGAGCTGGTTACATGTCGCATAGACTTAGCTCGAGATCAGCCAACGGCGGAATCGAGGCGAGGCTACCAAGGCGGGAGGAGGGGCCATGCCGTGAAGTCTGCCTTGCCGGCGAATGGAGATCAAGGAACGGATGGTAGCGGCTGGTCAGCTCCGCGCGTTATGCCTAGCGGAAATGACCTGCAGGTGCCAATCAGACGGCGCGGGACGAGGCCTATATGGAAAGATAGATACGCTCTTGGCCATCTCAAGTTCCATGGTCCAAGTCGGCCACCGCGAATCCCCTGAGTATGTCTGACGCCGGCGTCCCTTTACGTTGATCCATATTTTTTCCACCGGACTCTGGCAGGCACCCTTCCATCTTTGCTACATGTATAAAGGCTGCCATGAACGGTCCGATGAATCAGCCAATAGTCTCTCGAAACATGAGGTGCTGGGCCTCGCCTGCCCGGATTCCCACAGCCACCTCCTTGAAGCCAAGAGAGAGGTACATGGACCGCCCGGTAGGCGCCGATACAAGCCAAATATCCCGCCTCTCCTCATTCGCGGCATCTATCCCCCAGCGAGTAAGCATCTTGCCGATGCCCTTTAACCGATACATCGCAGCCACTGCAATAGAGTTCAGTGCTGCAATCACGTGTCAGCAGCTAGTTTTGTCGAGAAAGTTGGTAGGGTTTGGGAAGACGCACTCCACATGTCGCTCAGCCTTTTGTCTCCAAGGAATAAGCGTGCGGCTTTGAGCAACTGGCCCGTCTCATCATCACATCTGACAATAGCAGCCTTGTCCAAGTACGCCGGCAGACGCTCTAGCCCTTCTTGATAGGCTCGGGCACTTTCCTCTGCCGTTTTCTCAGTTGGCTGAGATGTAGTTTCACGGGGCTTCGACGCAACCCATTCCGCGAAACCCAAGATGGCTTCATTCGATCCATCGGTGGCCACGACATAGCGACTGCTCGGATCTTTCATGGCTTGGCTCATGTGCCGGCTAGACCATTCCAGCTGCTCTTCAATGCCAGGCCTGGCCCGCAGCTCCTTTGGAAACAGAGCTGTGTGATACGGGCTATCGCTAAATGATTCAACTTCAATCATGGACATGGCGGCGATGTCGGCTTCCCTTGCACGGCGGATCTGGACTTGAATCGTCATGATGTTGTTGGTGATTGATGGGGCTAATTGCCGACGAGCATTACTATGGAGTATTACTATTTGTCCCGAGGCAAATCTCTATTTGGCCCGGATTCTCTAAAAATCCCCTCTTCAATCGGGCGTTGGCGTCTTAGTCATCCACAAGAAATCGTAAGTATCTTTAGGTACTCGTCTTGTACGTCGCGCTTGCCTCGCGCGGGGTAAACTAGGCAGTAGAAACTTAGGCGTATTTATAGTATTTATTTATAGTATAGATTAAGGCTTTAACTATAAAGACAAAGAAGACGGCATGGGCGTAGTAAAAGACCTCGAGGTAATATTGTCGTCCTCCGACTCTTCTACTGTAAGCTATTGCGTTGTTAAGTTCCCATGTTAGGGCGAAAGGATAAACACGGCCGACTATAAAGAACTACTGCTTGGCCTATTTCCTCTCAATCTCGATATCATTTGTACTTAGGGCTGCCTTGTATAAATCCCTTAATTGTCTACCTTGCTAGAGGACTTGCCCATGCCATGCTACTTGACTGTCTATAGTTGAAACAAATTTAGTAGGCTGCTGCAGCCAATAGCATTTCGCCCCCCCTACCTGCTTGCAAATACTATAGCTAGAAGCTTATTGCAACGTTGCCCATGTTGTTCGCACACACGGACTGGGAAAGTGTGAAGGGATGATCTATTGATGGTGATCCCTCTAGCTACAGGAAGGAGCGAAAGCCTAGGTCTCATATGAACATAGCTCATGGAGTTTTCTTGGCTATAAACCCTTCCAGAGACCACTGGTGTCCTCCAACGGCCCATCAGCCCAGCGGTCTTCCACCCGTATTAATGACATCGCTCGCCCCCCGCTGGGCTTGCAGGGAGGCAAGCGTTGATAGAGATGGAAGGATGGCCGACCAGCGTGCGTGCATGTACCGATAGCGCGTTGTAGGATTAAGCATGAACACAGCTGTGCAGCGACCCGTCCTTGTTGAAGAGTGCCGACAGACCATGGGATTCGCACGAGTGAATGTCATCGGCTCGCTGTTGAACATCCGGATGCTTCGGGCATGCTGGCGGCGGGCACTTCGGCTCCGGGCATTGCGGCTCGGGACACTTGGATACCGGGCATTCTGGTGAGGGACACTTTGGTACCGGGCATTCTGGTGAAGGACACTTCGGAACCGGGCATTCTGGCGAGGGACACTTCGGCGCCGGGCATTCGGGCTCAGGGCATTTGGGTACCGGGCAAGACGGTGTAGGTGCAGGAGCAGGAGCAACACCACAGTTTCGATCGTACATGCCCCACTGAGGATAGGGGCCATAGGGAGTATTTTTGACTGACGTGGCGTATAGATAACAGTTGCCGCCCGGGGGTACCATTTTGTCGCTGTAAGAAAGGCATTTTGGGTCCGCCAAGCACCTCTGCTTGCAGTTGGCCAGGTCCACATTATTCCATCTCTGATAGTGAGTTTTCGAGCCCCATCCTGGAGCGGCACACTTTAAATCAGCGTTTGCTCGGGCAGACGGAACAAAAGTGCTGAGAACGGCAACGATGAGAAACGACCAGCTCCCCATGGCGTCTGCTGGGAACAAAAGGTACTGTCAAAGGGGGAATAAATGGAAAATGGTTGGAGCTACTGTCCAGTCCGAGCAATAACCACTTCGACCATCGGCACAAGTCCTAGCCTTTATATGCTCCTGTGGTAGTGTAGGTCTGCAGTCATGTAGACAGGTCACGGAGGTGATGGAATGACATATGGAGCTCGTGCCGCAGCGTATAACCCCGTCACTGGAGGCGTTCGCAAACGTCATGGCCAAGAGATCGGTCAACAGGCCTAGGTATTGTTTCGTCTCCCGAGGCCCGGGTAAGACAAGCAGCGGTCGTGTCGACGCTCCGGATATGATTGGCGTGTCAAAGGAGGAGTTGTCTCGGACAGATCAACCTGCAAGCTCTTTCACCGGGTGACGACTGCCGATCAAGCGTCGACAGTAGCAACGCAAGGGTTTTAGCCGCACCCTTTGCTGCTCGAGATTTAGACATCGCCCGCGCATGATGCTACTTCGAGTCAGCTGGACACGGCTGGGAGGGGTTCAGCTGAATCTGCAATCCGCGTCACTGCACGATTCAGACTTACCTATCCAAGGCATTAAAAGCGAGGTTGAGGCGGGACGTTCCGAAAGATGCATAGATCTGCTCTGGAGTCCAAATAGTTGTCCGTGTCCAGCTTCACCGCGGTTTCGGCACAGCTGCACAGTTGCATATAGGTGGACTGGTCTCACACCCGCTTCAGCACGCCGCACTCTTTTTTCCGGCCTGGTTGGCAAGTGAGAACAGAAAGGGGGGAAGCAGGACTTGTGTGGCTTAAGCAGGCCGTCAGTATCAAGAGCGCCGCTTCGTTGTACGTATTGGACCCCTGGCCGATATAGTGCTTATCACCACGGGTTGTGTTCGCCGAGACCCTGTGCATTAGTCGGTGCCGCTGCCGCCTAAGATTATTCAATCTCAACATAGTACGAAGTAACCACACATGGAATAGTTACACCGCGTCTAAGTTTGCAACTCAGCTCGTGACATCAAAGAAGCAATTTCTCCCGGAACGCACCCGGACGGGCCCTGTGCACTGCTCGAGGGAAGATCCCTGACACTTACGCCTGCATCACCCAAGGGCAGCTGTAGCTCATAGCTAATACAGCAGACCAACTTAACGTAGGGCATGCTCAATTCAAGTAATGCATACTACAAGCATTTTTCCGACACAGCCGATGAGCATGCGTAATACATTTGGGATAACTCGAGTCCTGCTTACTACAAATCCCTAGAGCGCGAGGAAAATGGGCGCAGTTTCAAGCTGCCTCAAAGTTGAAACGCTATATTGGCAGCAGTCCGATGTGCTGTTTCTCTCTACCTGCTCCCCGCGAATGTGACCATCAATGTCAAGCCAGAGTCTCCTTCCCCATAATCGTTGTGAAATGTCCTATTCCGGGTGCCTGTTCAGCTCGATACAAGTGCAAGCATTGGCCCGAGTCGGCGAGGCAAGCTGGAGATCAAGTTTGCGAACCTTGGCGGGCTTATTTATCGGCAGCTATTCAGCGATCCGTCCGAGTTGAAATACGACGTCCTGCCTTGAGCTGAACATGACTGGATGTCGTTGGTCCGCTGCTCGTAGGCGGCGTTCTTTGGGCAGTTGGGCGTGTTGCTCTGCGGTGAGGGACAATAAGGGCTTGGACAGCTGGGTGCTCGTCCACCTCCCCCTCCGCCGCCCAGGTTAATCGGACGCCACAAAGGCTTTCCAAGATTCAGCGGAATGGGTCGAAAGAAGAAGGCCGTTGACTGAGCTGCCAATAGGCCCACGACGGCCAGGCCGAAGAAAGAGGACTGCATGAATATTCTTGGGCCAGAGATGAAGCTTTGAAACTACACTGGACCGGCACGGGGTTAGGGCCTTTGATGAGTTGTAAAGATGGGACGGAGTAAGTGGGAAAACTGATTAACACACTCCAATGGGGGAAGTTGAATAGATAAAGTAGCTCGGACCCCCTCAATTACGTGGATATAGAATATTCGCGTCCAGTTCGAGTCCTACATGCATCAATGCGAACCAGACGGCGTCAAGGGCTTATCTTTTGTCGTTACTTTTGAATATTTGTTTTTTGAGACGAGGTATGTCATGCTGTCTCAGCTAGATGAGAGCGGAAAGCTCTCTTTTCCCACATGCGTAGGAGGATCTGGATCCAGTGCCCCCACGACAGCATGTCTTTAGTTCCCTGCGAGAGGCGCAGATGAATATATACATGCACACGGCTCATTGCGGGGGCTGATAGGCTATCGGCTTTTTCGAGACCGTGATGAGACAGCATGTCACCGGCCTGCCGAAGAAGTCGTGGTGCTGGACGTAGGTGCTATGCCGGGCGGCCGGTGTGACTGCAATAATGCAACCTGCAGGCTGAAGTCTTCATCACAAATCATCAGGGATCTTTCAACTGGATTCCGAGACAAGCATACAAAGGGCCAAGTACGTCACCTCGCCTTAGCGCCTCCAAAAACTCTCCGAATCTTGAACTTCGTACTTGGCTGATAGCAAATGACGCGAACCTACGAAGTTCAGCGGTCACTTGTGCCCCGCCAGAGTTCAACCTTGGACCAAGTAGAAACGGCCGCTGCATCAAGAGACAGAATCCTCATTGGGTTAGCCTGATGAGAAAAACATCCAAGTTCTCGCATGTACGCCGTCAGTATGTACCAGCAGTGCTGCCTGCACGCAATAATTTCAAGGAAGCCATACGGCATGGACAGACCATCAACTATACTCTTTGGGTGACTACTCCTCAGCATGTTCGAATTCCATTCTTTCTACTTTGCATACAAAAATAGGAATCTTGGTAATGGATGCCGTCTGCTTATGCTCGCACCAACTACCTGTGCTATCGCCCTTTTTCCATTCATGTAAAAAACCGTCCTGAGAGCTGTAAAGCTGCTACATTTGACCATGCCACATTGACAGCAGTGAGCCGGGTGTGATTGAGACTTTAGCCGTGTTGTCGAAAGCAGATGCTATCCGTGGCGACCGTGTGCTATCACACACATTGGGACAGAGACCCATCGTTGGAGATGATGGCATCCGAGAAACCATTGACTATGCAACTATCGACCGCGGCGTGTACCGTTCTATAGGCCAAGGGGGCAACACAGTCTGGTCTGGGGCAGTTCTGTTGGGGACAGGTAGCCTGGGGACAGCGTGGAGTGGGACACGACCCGCCGCCGCCGCCTCCGCCCAGATTAAGCGGGATCCAAGGAAGGGGCTTCCAAGATAAAGGCTTCCAGTGCAGAGGCTTCCATGGGAGAGGCTTCAGCTGGATAGTGATGGGTTTGAAGAAGAAGGCTAAAGAGTGGCAGGCCAAGGTGGCAATGCACACGAGTGTGGAGAGTAAGATCTTCATTCTGAGGGGACAAACGTAAGTTTTGAAGACGAGCAAGGATCAAATGAGATTTTTCTCCAAGTAGAATGATGGACGTAAAGACGAGCTTGGGGTGCAAAGGGAGTTGGATGATGAATTGGATTGCATCACTTATATCCAGAGTCCGGGGCAGAGACTTGTAGTTTCGAAATCCCGGTTAAACGTGACTAGTAAGTAGTCGGCGACGGCGATGCGCATGTCTCAGTCCTAGGATTCAGCCGTATCCCCGCACCGGTGACGGAGCTCGGCTGCGGCCGGGACCAAGGAGGGGCCGTAGATGCCGCTTCTGCTTGTCTATCGAGACATGCGCGGGACAATGAGACAACACTGACTCAGTCCAGACGAGACAAGGAGCATGTCTGAGAATTCGAGTATGTCAAACGTAATATGCATGTGACAGTTGAAGCCAAGTCAGTGCATATGCCGGAGCCTACGGACTCGACGGATCTCGCGCGCCGTCAGAAGCCGGACTTTACAGCTGAAGCAGTTGGTCTAGGTCATGGACGGCATATAGGACCGATTCATGGCACTGGGCCAAGGCCTTTTCCATAAATCTGGCCCGTCCGCACCTGTCACTCTGGGCAGCAACCATCTTGACCCATCGAGCAACGGCCTATTTCCCACACATCTGTCTAGTTGCAGCCTTCCAGAATGAGGGCTACGATTTCCTCCTTTCTGGCCGTGCTGGTTGCGGTGGACGGCGTCAGTTTGGCAGCCGCACAGACCAAGTACACCTGCCCAGAAGATAAGGGGCAGACAATCATCAAGTACGTCGTGTCATGGACTCTCCCCAGCCATGATATCTTGGACGGAATTTCCTATTCGCGTCGGTCTAGAAGCTTCGTATTTTGCTACCAAGACCACCAACACAATATGCTGATTTCGATAAAATAGGAGCGGCAAAAAGTATGTGTTGAAGTGTGACGAGGGCATCCGAGGGATGCCTATAGAGCCTGAGAAGGACTGCGGCAGTGTGGCAGAATGTGCCGAGCGGTGCGCGGCAAACACAAACTGCCTGCACAGCACCTTTATTGGGAAGACGGGAAAATGCGCCCTGAAGAAGACGGGTGATGTTTTCCCTCTCGCGGGCCTCTCAACCTGGTTCTTTGTTGAGAACGTCCAAGAGCAGCCTCCCACCGATCAGCATCCTCCCACCGATCAGCATCCTCCCACAGATCAGCAGCCCCCCACCGATCAGCAGCCTCCCACGCAGGAACAGCCAGGGGACGGCTCGCAGAAACCCCTGAATCCCCCTGTCGGCGGCGGCGTTCACCCAGGCAATCAGGCTTCATACACCTGCCCGGGAGACGAGAAGAAGGCATACACGACGTAAGGCCGACTAGATATCAAGGTGTTTCGAAACCTACATGACTAACACGGGGAATGTAGGAATGGTATCCGGTACGAGCTGAGGTGCAGCACGGGACACAGTGTGACGCACTGGAAAACTGAGCCTGCTCCGACATTGGAGGACTGCGCAGACCTCTGCTCCAAGGAGCCCGAGTGCTACAGCTGTGACTGGGACCGGACTTCAAAGATCTGCGCCCTCAAGAAGCTGCCGTCCCAGTTGATCCCGTGGTCTGCGGGAGAGGCCTGGTATCCCGCCCCGTGTCCGCAGGTCCGCGAGACACAGGCCAAGCAGAAGCCAGTTGTAACCACGAGCCTCCAGTGCCCGGATCGTACGTTGTGTTCCCGCCCTTCGGCTTGTTGTACGTGCTAACAAGGCGGGCCAGATAACGGCAAGATCTGGGAGGGCTCCGACGGCACCTGGTTCTACCTGCAGTGCTGCACCGACACGGGCGTCGCGACCGTCGTCGAGCAAGGGTCGGCGTCGAGCCATAAAGACTGCTTGGAGAAGTGCGTGGCCAACAAGCAGTGCAAGAGGTAAGTCGACGGACCGGCCGACCCAGGACGTCCACTGATGACTGACTGCCCCTGAACAGCGTGTCGTTTGACAGCACCGCGGCGACGGACAACTGCAGAATGTACGGCAACGGCAAGTTCTCGACGACGGCTGCCGAGAAAGTCCACCATGCCTTTGTCACGTATCCTCCGACGAAGGCGGCCGAGTTGACCAAGTCCAAGCGGTGCTCGACCGAGTGTCCGTTTGCCAACGGCCAGCTGTTTGTTGCTGCGACGGGAGAGGTCAGTCCGCCGCGTCCCGGCTGAGAGTCGATGACTTACCCGCGCAACAGAACTTCCTCATGGCGTGCAACAAGCGCCACGGCACGACGGTCCTCAGCGTCGACCGGCGCGAGACGTTCGAGGCGTGCATGACGGCCTGCGGCGCCATGCCCGAGTGCCACAGCGTCGAGTTCGAGGCCCGGACCAAGCGCTGCTTCTACGGCGCCCACGGCAACCAGCCGTCCATCGCGGCCGACGCCTTCGTCAGCGCGCACTCGCTGGGCTGCGCGGGCGCCTGTGCCGCCTGCAAGAAGGGCTGCGACCAGCTGGACAAGAACGCGCTGCCGGCCGACGCGGCCGGCTGCGAGCACGACCACGGGCAGCTGCTGGTGGCGGGCGGCGAGCAGATGCGTCTGCGCTGCAGCCACTGCTGGCACAGCGCCAAGGAGACCATCAAGAACATGCCCAGCGTCAAGAGCCTGGCCGAGTGCGCCAGGCTCTGCGGCGAGGACGAGTACTGCCACGGCGGCAACTGGATGGGCCCCGGCGGCTGCAACCTGCATCCCCGGGTCGACAAGAGCGGCAATGCGCCGACGCTCAAGCACAACGCCGAATGTGATAGCCTCACGCCTCTGTCCAGGTCGCTGGCCGACTATAAGGAGGAGAACATCCAGGACTCGGGCAACCGGGAGAGGAAGTGGTGACGTGGGTATTCGTGCTATCAGTGATGACGGGGTCAAGACGGACGAGGTGATGTGTTTCCGCCGCTTGCTCGAGGAGCACACGAGGCTTTGCTTGTGCAGTTGGTTCCTTGTGCATAGGCCAGCTCCTAATGGATATCAACGTGCCGGCACCGGCTGGTGTGGCCTGGGTTCAAAGCCGCTCGACTCTACTACATTCGAGAATGTGGAATGGATGGGATGGAGATTGATATGTTGTGCCTTTGGGCCGTGACCGGTTAGCCGTGCAAATTACGCTGCAGCAGCACGGAACGACGGGATCTAGCCAAGACGGATCGGATAGCGGAGGTTCAATCTCGTCTTATTGAACTTGTTTTCGGTGTTTCCCCTGCCCATCTCCGTCCAGGGCCTTGGCTACTGGCCGGAGGTCCAGCAGGATATCGCAGAGCGCCTAAAGCACACTCCAATTTGTTGCTTGTAATCCGATTATCTTTCAAAAACAATGCCATTTTCCCTTTCCTTACCGAGCTCATCTTCGTGAGGCTCAACTTGTTTTACCCACTCAATGCCTGCCGGGCAAGCTAACGCGTGGCATCATCTATTACAACGCCGACGGGATCGTGGGCTTGAGTTGCTGCATCATCGGATAGTAGGGACTCGACTAGCTGGACTTTCTTTGAAAACACCATCCCAGATATCGCATCTGTTGACCTCCTGCAATGCGTTATATGAGCCCCCTAAAAACTTTAAGAAGGCGCAATAAAGGTAGCAAAAGTAATGGTGGTTTTCCATACAGTATTGCCAGTGTTTTTCGGTAATTAGTAATTATAGTACATCCTGTCTATCATGGAATAGAATGCAGACACTATTGATTAGCTAATGTACGACCAAACGTCAGTATCGCCATCCAGCCCCGACGTCAAAGATAAGAGTCCCCCAGGACGCCATGACACACCCCTGTCCTGCCGCTATCTGCGCTTCTCCATCGTGGGGGCCCCCGATAGCGCCGCGCCGATCCACGCCCAGCTATACTCGAGATCCCCCACCCACTCCTGCGCGGCGCAGATATCACGGCGCCGCCTAAGCCTCTTGTGGCAATCTCAGGGACCTGGAACACGGCCGGCCGATTGCGCCGTCGGGCGATTGCGGGCAGACAGATACAGTCGGGGCCTATCTAATTATCTCTCTCTCTCTCCATCTATCTCCATAAAGGCGACGGAGTACTCCGTACAAGGGTATCCCGAGGCCTCGAGCGGGCGTGTACGAAACATGTCTTTGACTGAACAGCGCAACGCTGACAGCCACATGTCGATTGGCTGTCCAGGCTCGCCGCGGTTCATTCATCTGCAAGCCTCGAAGCTGAACCAGAATCGTGCATCCATCCCTCAAACTCCGTCACCTGCAGAGTCGTTGCATCCGGACAGGCAAAGGCAACAGACACCGGCACAGCATGGCAGCCCGGTCACGCTTCGGTCGCTGGGCCGACAGGCTGGCCGTCGAGTCGGAGCCCGGCCTCACCGCCGCCCAGCTCATGGTGCGTTCCTCCTCCCCGCCGTGGCCCGTTGGCAGACGCGGCCTCGGATCTACGCAGAACCGCATCCATCGGCTAACACACCCCAGCTCACAAACCATGACCTCAAGCCCGTCGAGCGCGAGCGCCGCCAATGGGGCTCCTGGAACTTTGTCGGCTTCTGGATCGCCGACTCGTTCAACATCAACACCTGGATGATCTCGTCGTCCATGATTGTCGGCGGCCTGTCGTGGTGGCAGGCCTGGCTGTGCGTCTGGATCGGATACGCCGTTGCCGCCTGCTTCATTGTCCTGACGGGCCGCATCGGGGCCGTCTACCACATTGGCTTCCCCGTCGTCGGCCGCGCCTCGTTTGGCGTCTGGGGCAGCCTGTGGCCCGTCTTTAACCGCGCCGTCATGGGTGAGTGATGCCTCGTCCAGCCGTCCCGTGGCCGTCCTTCCCGTGGCTGCCCTTCCCATGGCTGTCCTTGCCCGATGCCGGTCCGGCCGGCTGACGATGCGGTGCCTCTTCAGCTTGCGTCTGGTACGGCGTCCAGGCCTACATCGGCGGCCACTGCGTCTACCTCATGATCCGCTCCATTTGGACGTCGTGGGATCGCACGCGCATGCCCGGGCCCTTCAACACCGACGCCACCAGCACCCCCGACTACGTCTCCTTCTTCATCTTCTGGCTCTGCTCCCTGCCGGCCATCTGGTTCCCCGTCCACAAGATCCGCCATCTCTTCACCGTCAAGGCCTACTTTATCCCCCCCGCCGCCGTCGCCTTCCTCATCTGGGCCGTCGTCCGCGCCGGCGGCATCGGCCCCGTCGTCGGCCAGTCGAGTTCGCTCCGCGGCGGCGACCTCGCGTGGGAGCTGGTCAAGGGCGTCATGTCGTCCATTGCCAACTTTGCCACCCTCATCATCAACGACTGCGACTTTTCGCGCTTCGCCCGCAAGCCAAGGGACGCCCAGTGGTCGCAGCTGTTTGCCATTCCCCTCGGCTTTGCCGTCACCTCCTTCATCGGCATCGTTGTCTCGTCGTCGTCGACCGTCATCTACAAGGAGCCCGTCTGGGACCCGCTCAAACTCCTCGGCAGGTTCATCGACGACGGCGGGTCGGCGCAGCGCTTCGGCGTCTTTGTCATTGCGCTGGCCTTTGCGCTGGCCCAGCTCGGGACCAACATTGCCGCCAACTCGGTCTCGGCCGGCTCCGACCTGACGGCGCTGCTGCCGCGCTACATCAACATCCGCCGCGGCGGATACATTTGCGCGGCCGTCGGGCTGGCCATGTGCCCGTACAACCTGCTGACGAGCGCCAGCAGCTTCACCACGTACCTGTCGGCCTACAGCGTCTTCCTCAGCTCCATTGCCGGCGTCATGGTGACCGACTACTACCTGGTGCGCAAGGGCTTCCTCGACGTCAAGGAGCTGTACGATGCGCGGCCGACGGGCCCCTACTTTTACACCTGGGGCGTCCACTGGCGAGCCTACGCCGCGTACGTCGCCGGCATCCTAGTCAACGTGGTGGGCTTCGCCGGGGCCGTGGGCCGCGACGTGCCCAAGGGCGCCACCTACCTGTACAACCTCAACTTTTTCTGCGGCTTCATCGTGTCGTCGGCCATGTACTGGGGCCTGTGCCGGTTGTCTCCCATCCCGGCGACGAGCAAGCGTTGGATGGAGGTGGGCGACGACATGGACGATGTGTACGTGGCGTACAGCGACCAGTATGACGAGGAGAGAGATGCGAGCAGCAAGGACGAGGGGGGCGCAAAGAGAGTTGATGAGCGAAGTTGAGCGATGTTGAGCGCAAAAGAGTCACCGTCGGCAGAGGCAGCTTGAGCGGCCGAACGATGCGAGTGGAATCCACGGAGCGGATCCCAGGACGCCCCCGGTGACGACAAAAGACCAAGCCGCCGCTAGAAAGCTGTTGGATCGGGGTTGCGCCGAGCAGTGGCATGGCCGGTGAGACGTTGGGAATATATATAACAAGTTTTACAATCGAAATGAACAAGGCAGAGAAATCAACACAGTACGTGAATACGCGCTAAACTGAGCGGACTCAATTGGAGAGGCTGCCGGTACTTGAACTGTGGTGGAGTTTGCACTAGTAGAGCCAGGTACCGCCAATGCCGCGCCCCCTGATTGGACAACACCACTGCAGGCAACCGGTTGCCCAGTCAAAGAGATGAACAACGAGCAGCTTGAACAGCAAAAAAAGAATTGCCCCAGGCCAGAGTTGAACTGGCGACCTTTCCAAGGCACTTGCCGTTTCTACAACTTTGCAGTTGAACTGCTCTACCGTTGAGCTACCGGGGCTTGATGCTTGTTGTTGAAGACATGCGCAGCTTCATCGCATTATGTACGTACTCCCTCCCGCCCTGCATATGTACCCGGTACCTGCTTCGGCGTCCGCTAGCACTGTGCGCAGCCCCTGCTAGGGCGCTGCTGCCCCGCGCTAGCCGCCCGCCCTCCCCCCTCTCGCCGACTTGCACCACCAAACCTCCACTAAGGGGCGACAAGCTGCAGGGAAGCCCGACGGACGAAAATCATCACCACCACCCAACAAGCCACCGTCGCCTGGTCGAGGCCCGTCTGACGCGACGTCCCAAGAATCTGCGTCTCATCGTGCCATCTCACGTCTGCGTCATTCAACCCCCATCCTCCCCGATACCGTCGCGCGCCCGGGGGGCAAGGGCGCAAAACACCATGGAGGACCAGCTCGTGCAGCTCCTCGCCAACACGCAGCTGCCTGACCAGGGCCCCCGACAGCAGGCCGAGATCGAGCTTAAGCGCGCTCGCTCGAATCCTGCTTTCCCCGTCTCCCTGGCAAACATTGCCTCGCATGCCTCGGTCGCCACGGCCGTCCGCCAGTCGGCCCTGTCCACCTTGCGCCTCTTTATCGAGCAAAACTGGGCCAACGACGACCCCGGCCACGAGCCCTCCATCCCCATCTCGGACGAGGCGAGAATACTGCTCAAGCAATCGCTGCTCGACCTGGCCCTCGGCCACGAAGAGGACCGCAAGGTCAAGATTGCCGCCAGGTGAGCCGCCTCTCGCTCAGCCGAAGGACGTGGAGCTAACACGACTCCCTTCAGCTATGCCGTGGGCAAAATCGCCATCCACGACTTCCCCGACCAGTGGCCGAACCTCCTCCCCACCGTCCTCGCCCTCGCCCCATCGGGCACTGATACCCAGCTCCATGGAGCTCTCAAGGTCCTGGGCGACCTTGTCGACGAAAGCCTGAGCGAGGACCAGTTCTTCTCCATGGCCGGGGACATCGCCGGCGCACTCACTCAGGTCGCCCTCAACACGGATCGAAAGCCCATGCTTCGAGCCCTGGCCGTCTCCGTCTTCCGCGGATGCCTCGACCTCATGAACATGGTCAAGGAGAGCCACTCTCAAGAGATCGAGGCCTTTGCCAAGCACTTGCTCGAGGGTGACGCCGCCTCTTCCTCTCCCGCCTGGATCCCCTTCTTCATCGGCGTTCTCCGGGAGCGTCTGCCCGCCGCAGATCTGAGCCTGGGCCAACCCGATGTCTGGAATAGCCTCATTGCGCTCAAGCTGCAAGTCGTCAAGACTCTGATCCGCCTCAGGCGCGGTTTCGCCAACTTGTTGTCCCCGCACAGCACCACCTTTTTCAGTGCGGTGTGGGACGAGCTCACAAGCATGCAGGAGCCCCACGACCGGCTCTACATCCAGTCCAACGCCCAAGGCCGGCTCGAAGACTCGGACAGCCTGCCCTACACCCTCGACTTTCTCGTCCTCGAGGAGCTCGACTTTTTGAACCAGTGCTTCCGCGCGCCCCGCGTCAAGGCCGAGCTCGACTCGCAGCTGCAAGCCCACCCCTCGGCCCACGATGTGCCATGGATGGCCCAGATCATGACCATGCTCGTCAGCTACGCTCGTGTCACCCAGGAAGAAGAAGAGCTGTGGGACATTGACTGCTCTCTCTACCTGGCGGAAGAGACTTCGGTGACGGCAAACTATACCGCGCGCACGGCGGCCGGCGATCTTCTCATCAAGATGGGCGAGTGGTTTGATCAAAAGGCCATTGACGGCCTGTTTGGCTACACCAGAGCCCTCTTCCCCAGCAACGTCACGTCCTGGCGAAGTCAGGAGGCAGCTCTGTATCTCTTCGTCATGCTGCTGGGCGACTTCCACGATCTCGGCAAGCAGATACCCGAGGCCGTTGCCGTCGAATATTACAAGCTGGTCGACTACGCCATTTCGCGGGCCGAGGAGCCACTGCTGCGAGCGCGCGGGTACTTGGTGGCTGGCAAGCTCGGCCAGTGTTTCCCATTGCCCTCGGTGCAGCCGAACCCTGCGAGTCCTGCGGCGCCGCTGCTCGATCACATGATCAAGGCCATTACGGCCGAGGAGTCAGAGGTGGTCCAGGTCGCCTGCGTCAACGCCGTCGAGGGCTTGGTCAGCGCCGAGAGAGTGGGCCTCGATAAGCAGACACCCATCATCATGGCCATCAACACCTACATGAGCAGCAAGGACCCCGCCGACATGGAGGAGGCCGACGAGCTGCTCGTGACCCTGGCCGAGGCCTTACGAGCCGCCATCATCATGGACACCAGGATCGCTCTCTCCAGCGAAGTCCAGCCCATCGATATGCTCTTCCTGCTGGCCAAGCTGGGAGCCAGCAACTTTCAAGTCACCATGCTCGTCTCGGAAGCATTCGAGGAGGTTGTCAAGGCCCTGGCCCACGGCCCCTCGTTTGGCGTGCTTTGCGCAAAGACGCTGCCGACCCTAACGGGCGCCTTTGACGTGGCCAACTTGACAGACGACAACCCGCTCGTCACGGTTGCGACGGAGCTGCTGGCCGTTCTGGCCGAGCACGGCTCCGAGCCCCTGCCGGAGGGCTTCGTGGCCGCCACGTTTCCCAAGCTGAACCGCCTGTTGATGGAGTCCAACGAAGGCGAAGTCCTCCGGCCGGGCTCCGAGACGGTCAAGTGGATCCTCATGCACGACCACCAGCAAGTCTTTGGCTGGCAGGACGCCAACGGGGTGTCCGGCTTGGAGGTCTGCCTGCGCATCATCGACCGCCTGCTGAAGCCGGAAATCGAGGACAACTCTGCGTCCGAGGTGGGTGGGCTCGCCGCCGAGCTCGTTGAGAAGGCGGGCCAGGAGCGCCTGGGCCCTTATCTGCCTCAGCTGCTGCAGGCTGTGGCCACCCGAGTCGACACGGCCCAGGCCGCGGCCTTTATCCAATCGCTCATCCTGGTGTTTGCGCGGCTATCTCTTGCAGGCGCCCAAGACGTGGTGGAGTTCCTCAGCCAGCTTCAGATTAATGGTCAGAACGGTCTCCAAATCGTCATTGCCAAGTGGCTTGAGAACTCGGTCAGCTTCGCAGGCTATGACGAGATTCGACAAAAGTATGTTAACCCCTCCCAAGCTCCCTGGGCTGTTTCTTGTGTTTTGTCTGCGTCTTTCGCTCCGTGTTGAAGCATGTTGACGAGGACGATTAGTGTCATCGCCCTGTCGAAACTCTACTCCCTCAACGACCCTCGTCTTGCCCAAATCACAGTCAAAGGTGACTTGATCATCAACGCCGATGACGGGCGGATCAAGACGCGCTCCCGCGCGAAGCAGAGTACGTTTCCCGACCTTTGCCGACAGTTGCACCACATGCTGGGGACTGGCATGTTGGAAGAGGATACTAACTGTGATGCAGATCCCGACCAGTATACCATTATTCCCGCGACGCTCAAGATCGTCAAGGTCCTTATTGAGGAGCTTCTTTCGGCGTCCGGGGCGCGGGCTGCGGCCAATGCTGCCTCTGCTGCCGTGGCTGCCAACGCGGAGCTCGAGTCGGACGACGACGACGACGGCTGGGAAGACGACAACGACACTCTGGACCTCAGCCTCGGGGCGACAAAGGCCGAGCTCATGTCGTTTGCCGAGGCGGGCGGGCAGCGACAGCGCGACGACGAGACGCAGGCATACCTGACCGACTTCTTCATCCGCTGCGGTCGGGAGAACGTGGCCAACTTTCAGGAGTGGTACAACATGCTCACCGAGGACGAAAAGGCCAAGCTCAACGAGCTTGCCAATGCGGCGGGGCGGCAGTAGGCTGACCCCGGGCTTTGCCCCTTGCCGCACGGCGCATGCAGGGGGCTGGGGGCCTTAACGGGCGGGGCTTGTTGTTCTGCTCGGCGGAGACGGTGCATATATGCATGGCCCGAGGCGGTGCCAGGGCCGAGGGTGGACGACGGAGATTCCCGAGGTGCCGGTTGCGTTGAAGAGGGGTGCCGTATGCCGAATCGTTCCCCTGCTGTTCCCAATTCATGTATCTAGAGAAGATGAAGATTTCTACGCAAGAACAAAGACAGATAATGGCTCTTGAATGTCACTCATGTTGTAACTTGGAAGTCAGGCAAGTTTGAGGTCACCGTCATTCGATTGAATATCATAATCATTCATTCTCTCGTCGTTACGCATGTACACACTTTTTCCCTTCCTCCACAGCCTGCTGGGCCTCCCCAAACACACCACACAAGCCATGCACGAAGCCCATGGCCTCGACTAGATGATGTGTCCCCCGCCGCCGCCGAAGCCGCCACCTCCGCCTCCAAACCGGCCGCTGCCCGGGCCGCCAAAGCGCGGACCCCCACCGGGCCCAATGGGGTCCCAGCGCGCTCCCGGCGGTGCTTGCGGGTCGAATCCGCCGCCGTCGCCGAAGCCGTCGCCGCCCTGGCCGCCGAAGAGGGGATCGTCAAATGTGGGATGCATCCCTGCAGGGCCGCCGGGGCGGGGGAGACGGGCGCCGCCGCCGGTGAAGGAACCCCTGAGGGGGTCGTGGGGGCCCAGGCCGGGCGGGTTGAGGTCGTCGTGGCCGATGTTGAAAGGCGAGCGGCCGTCGGGAAGGACGATGCCGCCGCCGCCGCGGGGCGGGTGGTTTATCTCGTGCTCGTCCTCGAAGCCCGGGGGCGGAAAGTCGCCGACGGGGGAGCCGGGCCGGGGCCGGGCCAGGTCGGGCAGGAGGCCCGGGTGCGGATAGGGAGCGTTGGGCTCGGGGTCGCCGCGGAAGGGGCGGCGGGGGTCTCGAGCTTCCTGGGCGCGGCGTTCGGAGCGGGCGGTTGCTTCGGCCTCGTCGTCGACCTCGACGTAGCCCTCCTTTTGGAGCTTGGGGATGAGCTTCTGGACGATGTGGACCTTGAGGTCGTGCAGGACGTCTGTGGGCAGAAAGTTTTAGATGACGGGGCGTTTCCAAGAACGGGTGGCAGGCAAGCCAGGACATACCGGCAATAGCCTGCTCCGAGACAAAGGCGCCGCGCAGCTTATCCACCAAGCCGGCGCGGTCCTCGCTTCCGTGATCCGTCAGGGCGATGCGCACGGGCAAGGCGTCAGCGCGGACGACGTCGCGGACGTTGCGCTCGAAGCGGTGAATACGGTCGTCGCCGACGGCGAGGCCGCGGACCTCGACCTTGCCGCCCATGCGGTCGACGCGGAAGACGAAGCGCATCGACGACTGCTTGTGCGAGTAGACGAAGCCGAGGGCGCCGAAGCGGGCGTTCCACTGCGGGGGCAGGCGGGGGGCGCGGGCGCGGTCGTCGGCGGACAGGGGCTTGTCCTCGTCGAGGCCGTAGAGGACAAAGTCGAGGGCGGCGAGGTAGGCGTGGATGAGCAGGGCCACGGCCTCGTAGGAGCTGGCCAGGTCGGACGAGTCGTCGCCCACGGCGTGGGCGGGGAGGGCCGAGGCCATGCGCTCGAGCACGGCCGACGTGCTGAGGGGCGGGGCCGCCATGGCTGGGGCTCTGCTGCGGATTGCGGGTGGGCGTGCAAGGCGAGGCGTGGAGATGTGCGATGAGGTTTGTTGGGGAGAGGAAAAGTCGGTGGTGGTGGTGGTTGCCTTGCGCGGCAACGCGGCTGTCAGTGACTCAATGTACGTGGGCTTTATAGGTGGGGTTCCCTGATAAAAAATGGCGTCACAGGTGGGCTTGCCCCCTCAGCCCTACGGGTGGAGACGCCGCGCGCTAGTTGGCCTGGGGGAGGAGCTCTAATTAGCTCACCAGTTGATCCAGCATATAAATGCAGCGCCTTTCTGTCTCGAAATACACAACACGCGGCACCACGTTCCTCGTCTCGCCCGACTGGCACGACACGCTGCCCGTTCCCCTGCAAGCCACGGCCCAACAGGCACGCCGACAACGTGGCCGCGCGCGGGAATGCGGAGCCCCCAAACAAGCCGCGGACGCACACACACACACCAGGACACCCCCCGTTCAATTACATTTCTCATTAATACTTGAGACCTCATAATCCATAACCCGCGTGATTCCTCGGGCCTCGAGCCGGCGCGCGTTCCGCCGACGAGGGCGCGACGGGCCCTTCCATTTTCGCACTGCTGCCCTCCAACATAGACCAAGCCGGCTACGACACGTGAGCGCCAGGCTGAGACGTGCCGTTGCTGCTTCTCATCACGGCCCGGCCGTGAGCGTGTGTCTGACTGCCGGGACTGTATTCTCTCCGCCGGACGAGTGGATGCCTTCCCTGCCCAATTCGTCGTGGCCGCTAGGAGGCTCCGTCACCATTGCCAGGGGTGGGCTTGGCATCCTTCTTGCTAGAGGTCGGCTGATCGTCGTCATAGGCGGGCTTGCTGGTAGTTTTAGGCTTGCTGGTGGTCTTGGGCTCGGACGTCTTGGACTTGGAGCTAGTCGTGGGCTTGGAGCTTGTCGTCGGCTTGTCATCATCATAAGCAGGCTTGCTGCTGGTCGTCATGGGCTTGCTAGTCGTCGGCTTGGAGCTTGTCGTCGGCTTGTCGTCATCATAAGCAGGCTTGCTGGTGGTCGTGGGCTTGCTAGTTGTCGTGGGCTTAGAGCTTGTCGTCGGCTTGTCATCATCGTAGGCGGGCTTGCTAGTCGTCGTGGGCTTGCTAGTTGTCGTGGGCTTAGAGCTTGTCGTCGGCTTGTCATCATCGTAGGCGGGCTTGCTAGTCGTCGTGGGCTTGCTAGTTGTCGTGGGCTTAGAGCTTGTCGTCGGCTTGTCATCATCGTAGGCGGGCTTGCTAGTCGTCGTGGGCTTGCTAGTTGTCGTGGGCTTAGAGCTTGTCGTCGGCTTGTCATCATCGTAGGCGGGCTTGCTAGTCGTCGTGGGCTTGCTAGTTGTCGTGGGCTTAGAGCTTGTCGTCGGCTTTTCATCATCGTAGGCAGGCTTGCTGCTGGTCGTGGGCTTGCTAGTAGTAGTCTTTGTCTTGGACGTCTTGGACTGGGAGCTAGTCGTTGGCTTGGGCGTCGGCTCCTCGTCACCATAAGCGGGCTTGCTGCTGGTCGTGGCCATGGTCGTCTTGGCAGGTTTGGTGGTTGTCGTCTCATATGGCTTGCTAGTAGTCGTAGTCTTGCTGCTGGACGAGGACGTGGGCTTCTTGTCCGCGTACGCCGGCTTGCTGCTCGTCGCCTTGGGGTACTTTTTGCTGCTGGTCGTGGTAGCATCGCCGTCTTTGTCACCCTTGTCACCCTTATCATATTTGCCGTCTTTGCCAGTTTTGCCAGCTTTGCTGTCCTTGTCGTCCTTGCCATCCTTGCCCTCCTTGCCATGTTTGTCACCCTTGACATCTTTGCCGTCTTTGCCAGCTTTGCCAGCTTTGCCAGCTTTTCCAGCTTTTCCAGCTTTTCCAGCTTTGCCAGCTTTGCCAGCTTTACTCTCCTTTCCATCCTTGTCGACCTTGTCGTCCTTGTCGTCCTTGCCATCTTTGCTGTCCTTGCCGTCCTTGTCATCTTTGCCATCCTCGTCATCATCGTCATCATCGTCAATCAACCCCCTCCGGTTCACCCGCCCACGCCCACGCCCACGCCGATAGCGCCGCTCGGGCGCATAACAAGGCCCCGGCCCCTTGCCCGGCCCCGCGCGGCCATACGTGGGCGCGGGGATCGGGTGGTTGCTGCTGGGCTCCTCGTGGTAGTTGCCGCCGCACGTGTTGCCGCCGTAGTGCCGGCCCTCGGCCGTGGGCCTGACGGCGACCACGGCCACCTTTGTCAGGAGCGTCGTCGGCGCCGCCGCTGCTACAGCATGGTGGTGCATGGTCGCCGCCGCCGCCGCCGCGCCGCAGTCCTCGGCGTTGTTGGCGCACTGGTTGGCCGCGAGCACGGGCGAGGCTAGGACGAAGCCGATGAGGGCGGTGGCTGTGAAGGCGTACTTCATGGCTGCTGCTGTGCCGGGGGTGGCTTCTGTGTGTGTGTGTGTTCGGGTCCGCAACGGGATGGTGCAAGATTTGGAGGAGCCTGGACCACAAGAGGGGAGTCGAGGAGTACTCGCAAACACTTTGCTGCCCTGTAAAACCTGGGCTCCTGGTTCTCTGGCTAAGGAATCGCAACACAAGAGGAAATGCTCATCAAAGGAAGATTCAGGTCTTGTTATATATAGGCAGGAAAACCCGCTCTGGCGAAGCAGTTAACCCCAAGATCGCCCAAGGTCGCACGCCAAAGAGATCACACACGCGCGCGCACGCGCTCTCAAGAACGAGAACGCAAAACCCGCGACGAGCGAGATCAGCTCATCTGGCATTCTCCCCGCCGAGGTGCCCCCCCCCCCCTCACCATCCAAAGGCCCCAAGCCGGCGATTGGAGAAAGGAAGCTACCAGGAGCACGTCCCATTCCCCGCGGGTGCGACGCCATTCCTCGCAAGGGCGCCCCTCGGCGGACGCTTCGCCGACAAGAACGTTGCGACAGGGCCCGGGGATGACGCACGTTGGCGCAGAGCCGACGGCTGCCTTGTCTTGGGCTTGTCTTGGGCCTGGGTTGGGGCGCGCGCCCGGGTCGTGCCAGGCTCCATGCCCCGTTGCGTCAAGCGGCATGGCACTGGAAGCGTGAGAAGCTGGAAGCGGTCGCCGTCGCATTCCATGGCGGGCCGTCGTGGCATGTGTGTCGTCGGGCAAAAGACCCGAGGCTCCGTACGTCAGGACAGAAAGCCAAGACATGGCATTCAAGGGCCAATCCGGCTAGTGCCCCTGCACCTCCCGACCGTGTCTCGCGTCATCACGTGACATGGCGCGACAGGCTCCGCCGCCCGCATCAACTGAACTCCATCGCCCTGGCCCATCTCATCATCTCATCATCTCATCACCTCCCGAATCACGGCATCATCGTGTCTCTCTCCAGCACAAAGGGGAACCCACACTGCCCGCGCGCCCCTGCGCCCAAGCCATGTCCGCCCCCAGCCAGCCGCTCCTCCTCGCCCCCCCGCACGCCTCGGCCCTCGTTTCCTCCTTCACCTCGTTCCTCACCATCGCCATCCACTCCCTGCTCTTCCACCGGCGCCTGTACCCGCCCGCCACATTCCTCCTCGCCCGTGCCTACAACCTCCCCGTCCACCAGTCGCGTCACCCGGCCGTCTGCGCCTGGGTCCGCGATGCCGTCGCCGCCGTCGCCCTCCAGATCCGCGCCGCCGCCGCCCGCCGCGTCGCCCTCGCCGTCCACGACCCCGCCACCCTCGCCGTCGTCGAGCGCTGGGTCTTTGACCTTTGTGGCTTTCCCGCTGATCCTCGCCTCGTCGCCGCCGCTGCCGCCGAGGGCCATGATGTGCACGGCGGCCAGGATGGAGAGCAGCACCCTGTGAACTGGACCGATGTCCACGAGGCTCTGAGAGGTGCCCTGCGCAAGCTGGCTTATGCCGGCGAGAGCATGCCGCCTCCCCCCGACGACTCCACCTTTTCCCTTGCCATCGAGCTCCGCGACGACGCACTCGCCCCCATCCAAGTGAGCTCTCTCAGCCCGTGGCCACAAACGCCCAAGCTGACGAGCCTCGTCCCCAGCATCCGCAGCTCTGGCTCCCCTCGGAGCCGCACCTCCAGCCCCCCACGGCATCCAACCCCCACCAAGGCTCGGCCCTCGGCGGCGCGTCCACAACACCCATCCGCTCCGTGCAAGCGGGGCCCCTCTTCTTCGAGTGCTGGGTCGAACAAGCCTCGCGCGACGACGCATCGGCCCCGTCGAGCACCGACGCTGACAGTAAAGCTACGTAATGGCAATCGTTGGTCGGCATGTCGACTCCGAGTCCAAGAGACCTCGATTCAAAGGCCCACGCTGACAGTAAAACTACGTGACGTAAATCACTGATCGTACCGTGCGAACCTCGAATCCAAGAGACCTCTTGATTCAAAAGGTTCTGTCTCAACTGATTGTACAACAAGTCCCAGCAACAGCCTTTCCTTTTCCCTTCCGAGTCCCCCCTTACCGGCCGCCATACCGTTCGCTCCGTTGGCCGCAAGCACCTTGGTACATGCATGGCTCAGCTGTGAAAAACAAATGAGGACAAAAAAAAGGAGACAAAAATAGCCCGCTGCCCTGGCTCCGAGTGCTACCACGTCCCTATACATCACCAGTCCGAGCACACGCCTCGCAGGATGGACGCGTTCACTCTATCCCCTTCAGCGCCGCCCGCAGGCTCACAGTGTCCCGCTTGAGCCGCGTGTTCTCCTTCTTGAGCCGCGCCATCTCCTCCCCCTGCTCCTTGAGCTTCGTCACCAGCTCCTCCTTGTCGTCCTTGCCCCGGCCCCGCACCGCCTTGACAATTTTGCCGAGCTCGCTGTTAAACTTCTCGTACAGCAGCTCGTTCTCCGCCACGGCCTCCTTGTGCAGCTGGTCGATGGCGCGGATCTTGGCCTCGGACGTCTTGAGGATCGTGTCCATTTCCTTGTGCAGGGTCGCCTGCCGATCCACCAGGTCGCGCATCACCGCCGGCACGCTGCTTTCGAGCGCCTTGACCGACGCGGCGAGCTGTCGCACGTCGACGGGCTCAGACCCAGCCTCCGCATCGGCGCTGTTTACGCGAGCCAGGTCGGCCCCGATCCTGGATAGCTCCGATTGCAGCGAAACGTCAATCTCGTGCACCGCCTTCCTGTCTGTGTGGAGACGCTCTCTGATCCTCTGCGGCGATTGCAGTCGCAGCTTCTGCGCGCCCGATCTCGTAGGGCTGGCTGGCCGGCTCGACCAATCGGCTCCCGCAGTTGCCGGTCTCATCGCCTTGAGCATCGGAATGCTGGAGGATGAGAGTGTCTTGGAATGCCCTCGGCGCTTCGCCAGCGTCTCTTGCGGCCTGCCGGGAAACGAGAGCTTTGCGGGGGAGTCGTGCTTCGACGGCGAATCGGGTCGGACCAAGGGCGGTCCTACAATCAGGGGGTTACTGCTAAACGGATCCGCCCAATTTTCCTTTTGCCGCGGCGTCCGCAGCGAATGAGCCGCATTGGGGCTCATGGGCAGTCTCGACGGCGTCGTCGTCCTTGGCGTCGTGACGGGCGTGCTCGCGTTGACCTTGCCAGACGTCTGCTTCGTCGCCTGCAGAGGCTGTAGGGGCTCGTCCTCGATTGTCGCAGCCGCCATGAAGTCGTTGAGATCCGACAGGGAGCTCCGCCGCTTCCGCCGTCCGGGCTTGGATCCCGTGCGCTCCCCAGACGGCTCGCCGATGGTGTCGAGGGGAAAGTCGAGGCGGTGCGAGCTGGCCGGTCTCTGCGGCGCGTCGTCAAAGGCACCCGCTATCGGGGGCCGCTCCCGCGACATGGGGCGGCCGTGTATTCTCTTGGCCACGTTGCAGTCGTCGCTGGACCGTGTGCGCCCGGTGACCCCTCGGGACAGGCTAGAGGACTCACCCGCCGCTGGGTACCGGTGCCGGCTCAGGCTACGCCACATAGATGGCCTCTCCTCCTTTGGATTCTGTCTCAGGAGCATATCTAGGCCAAACTTGCGACGTAGCGACGATGCGTTGGATGTCATCGACCCCGTCTGGGCCCTTCCATGGCGCCCGATGGAGTTGGCCGACTCTGGACCGGCTCCCCTCACGAGGCCGGCGTTTGCGCCAGGATCGTCAAAGATCCTGTCGCAGTCCTCCACCAGGCGATCGAGGAGGTTGATGTAGTTGGGCGCCGTCCCGTCGGTGACGAGCAGCTCCGCAAAAGCAAGGGTGAGCGCGCCGCGGTCGCTGTCGTTGCCACACCCGTCCAGCAGGTCCGCCAGCAGTTTGATGACGGCCGTGAAGGCCCGGCGATTCTGCGGCGCCATCTCCCGGAACAGATAGTTGACAAAGTCGGCAAAGTTTCCTGGCACCTTCTTGTTCGCCCTTTCCTGCAGGGTGTCGAGGGCTTGCATCGTCATGATGGGCCCCATCTGTCCGGTCCAGGCTATGCGCAGAAAGTTCTCAAAGGCCACAAAGACGACGTCGGTCCCGAGATCGTTGGCAGCCTCAAAGTCGAACGGGCTCTCAATCAGCCTGTTGTACAAGTCGTTGACCGAAAGCTCGTCGACGCCCGATCGATTCAACACGGTGCGACCGACAATCGCACCCTTTCGGCACTGCAGCGCCGCAATGTAGCCCGTAAAGGTCTGTTCCAGTCGCATCAGAGGGTTCTCCGGTCGGTCCTCGGCCGTCCGAGGGCGGTCGTCTCTGCCCTTGAGTGAACCGTGCATGGAGTGATGGCTGTCGCTGGGGGGGAGTGACTGTTGCCGCTGGTGTTTGGCGCCGCCCGCAGGCGCATCCGATAGACTGTGATGGGAGTTGCTCCAAAGGCTTGAAATCAGCTTCACTGGAGACGTGGGCAGAAACGACTTCGACTTCTCCGCCCGGCTGGACAAGCTCAATCCCCGCAGGATCCTGGCGTAATAAGACACCATGGCGGCTGTCAGGTTCGCATTTGCTATGCCAAATTGTGTACTGAGCAGTTGGATGACTGTGACAACGTTAGCAATGCCGGACATGAAGGATGGCTTGGCTAATATCTTACCTCGACGCGACATGGTTGGCAGAAAGTCTTCCAACGCAACATCGTCCTGGAACTGTTTCCCGCCCAGCCCAACAGTTAGTATCGACACGCGCTTCATGTTCTTGCTCGACACGTTGACCACAATCTCGACTCCGTAGTGTCCCACGGGCGCCCCCTTGGTGCCCTTCTCGTGGTCGACAACCACTCTGATGGGGGCGGGCTCGCGCCGGCCCTCGACGAGCTCGTGCGCTGCCTCTTGGAAGACGGCCACATGCAGTCCCAGGTCGCTATCCTGCATGCGAACTGACCGTAACGACCAGCAAGGGTCCTCGCGCTCCCGCTCCGAGAAGCGAGCCTCGACCCGGGCCTTGACCACGTCCTCGGTCCACTTGGCGGCCTTGCCCTCAAAGGCCTCTTGCAGCAGGAAGCAGCGGGACGTCGGCCATTTGCTCGTCTTGTGTTCCCCTGCGTCCCAGCCCTCCATGCTCTGCGTCGACGTCATCCACACCGTGGAGCCGTTGGACGACTCGGTGAAGCGCACGTCGGCGAGGCTGTGCCACCCAGTAAAGGCAAACTCGTACGACGAGGTCCCGCCAGCGGCGTTGGTCATCGAGATGAGGAGCTCGGCAGCAGACGGCTTGTCGATCTCGCGCAGCAAGTCCCGCCCAGACATGGACGTGCCCGTCTTTTTCAACACGACTATGCAGTCCGAGAAGAGCAACAACGCACCCGCAGTATCGAGCTCGCCGGGAGAGGATACAAAGGGAGGGGTCATCTCGATGAAGTCGGCGGCCAGAATGAGCCGTCCTTGGGGCTCAAAGTCGACCGGCCACGATTCAATCATGTTGCGGAGTCGGCCGGCGACATGGGGCTTGTCTGGCAGAGGGTCGTCCATTGAACAAATGTTTGTGATAATGTCCCTCGCCTTGAGCATCGGCTGCAAGGCCGGGTGGACCATGGGCAGAGAGTTCACTATCTGGTCAATGAGGAGGCTGTAGCGAGGTAGCCGCTGCACTGGTTCGATGAGAATAGATCGGATGGTCTGCTCGCCAGCCTGGTTAACCCGCTGCTTGAAGCTGGACTGTTGGTCAAGAAAGGAGTTGAGCAGCGAGGGGAAGTGCTGGCTCGCCCTGATGTAGTCTTGGTAGCATTCAGTGAACCTGGGGAACCAGTCAAGGAACAGGCGTGCCATGGCTAGGGCGCCGCTTGAGTCTTTTACCCGAATCGACCCTCCTGCCTTTGGGACGACCAGGTTCGACGTCAGCGACTCCATGTCCTTGAAGGCCTCATCTTCTGTTTCGTTCATGATGGCCTTGAGCTGGTCGAGAAAGGCCGAGTTGACTCGAAGAATCTCGTCGGCGGATGGGGGAAAGAGCCTCTCGAGCTCTTCCTCGGACGGACTCAGGCTGCCTGACAGGCGCTTCTTTGCAGACTCTCTGAAATCGCCGGCGACATGGTGAACGAGCTCGCTCAGCTTCGCCACGTAACGTTCTTCCGTGTCGACCAGCTCAGCCAGCTTCATCCGTAGCTCCACTTTTTGGTCTCTGGAGAATGACTTGCTCCGGTTGAGGGCCGTCGGCTTGGACGGGGCACGTCTCAGCTTGCTCGTGGGCAGGAAGACGGGCTCGCCAAAGAGCCGGACAAGCGGCGTGTAGCCGCCATACTGGCGCAGAGTCGGATCCAGTATGTCGTCCTCATCATCCGGCACGTCCTCGAGGTCTGCCGGCTGGAGAGCGACGATGGCGCCGGGGGGCAGGACAAGATCGAGATCGACGTTGCTCAGGTGTTGCGTCTGCAGGGCCTCGTGCAGGGCGGCAATGACAGTGGCTGTGCTCTCGCTCCTGACCATGGACTTGACCAAGTCGGCGGCATGCTGCTCGCCAAAGAGCTCCGGGGCGCTGCTGGGCCTCTTGCCCCGTGCCGGGCACCAGGTCCTGAGATGGGCCTTGACCGCATCGGGGAGCTCGCTAAAGTACTTGAACAGGCCAAAGGCCAGGGCGCGATAGACCTCGTCGCCCTGGAACTCGCGGGGCAGGTGGTTGACGACGCCGTAGAAGGCGGAGCTGGGGGAGATTGTGATGCGCGGAAAGGACTGGAAGCCAACGGGGGAGAAGACGTGGATCTGGACGCGCGAGCTGTTGAGCGTGTAGTTTGCCGTGGTCGAGGGGCCGTGGAAGACGAGGACGGGCAGCTGGCCAAGCAGCGAGTCCGAGGCATGGTAGAGGGTGACGCTCTCGGGCGAGAGCGCCAGGTCGTCGGTGACGCGAACCATGGTCTCGTCAACGGGCCGCTCTCATAGCCGGTCGGGGAATGTCTGCCGCGGTGGGGGTTTTGGCAGTCGGCGGTGCATGGGCCGGGCGGGTGGGCCGCTTTCAGACGCAGGCGACGATTGCGGCCTTGTTGACGATGAGAAACATGTGAGACCGTGAGGCTGGCGCTGTATGGTTGGCCCGTCGTAGGCAAGCACGGACGCAAGAAAAAAAAAGAGCGGAAGGGAGGGGACAATATCTACAGAGAATGAGGGGTGCGCGTATGTGTGTGTTGTGCGCGTGCGATCTTGCAGGGGGGTGAGAGCACGATAGTGGGTGAGAGAGGACGGGAAGCTTCACATGCTTGGTGGTGATGATCCCCTGCTGAGCGGTCAGTCTCGGAACCTGACGGGCCGCTTATTATGCACGACGCGACCGCCAACGCGTCGCTCGCATCGACAAGCAAAGAAGCTCGAGCTTGGCTGAGCTAAAAAAAAAAACACACCACTTTTCTCCACTCTAAACAGTTGCCCCGCAATTCGTTATTGCCCGGTTGCCCGGGTGGGTACGTACCTCCTTGTCTCGCTGTACGGAGTACGGATACCCCGACCAACCTGGAGCCTGAGCTCTGCTATAGGGTAGCGTCAAACTTGACGTCTCTCCCTCCTCCCGACATGAGCCTGCCTACAAGACAGCGCTCATCAGTGAACCGCAGTCACACACCTCGAGTCCAGCTCCATCATGTCCACCCAAGGCCAGGGCATCTCCCTGCTCCATCAGTCCCACGATGCTGGCTATCGCCTCCTCGAGCTGCCCCCCGAGCTAGAGTCCTTGATCGATTCCGACTCGGCTCCAGTGTTCGTCTCAACCTCTCACCCTCGACCACCACTGCTGACCCATCGCCAGCCTCACTCTCGACTCGTCGTCAGATACCTCGGCGGTCCTCCGCACACCGGGAAACTCCTACGTCCTCCGTCAAAAGAACACCTCCAACGCCCTCATCCTCCTCTCTCCGCACCTCTCCTCTTCCTCCCCCACCCAGGGCCTCTTGGCCATTGCTACCATCCACGAGACGGTGGAGCTTGATGCCGTCAACGAAGCAGCCACTAATAGAGCTCCCCTTAAAGACACTGGCAGCAGAGGAAAATGGCACGAAAAGTTTGGCAAGAACAGGTAGCTCTTGGATTATACATGGACGCCCCTCTCTCTAGCTCGCCCTTCCTAGCTTCAGCCTACCCTAAGCCCCCTTGGCACCCCATGTCGAATGAATCGACGACTTTATGGTGTCCGCATATGTAAAACGTCAATGGCTAGCCATAATAGCCCATGGAAATGGTCGCTCGGATGAAAACCCGTGTCCGACCGACCAAAGTCGCATCAAACGCCGTCGCTAGTATCCTACATGCTTGTCGTTAAATCATAAAACGCTGTGTAGAGGAAAAGAACAGACAGTACCACATCAGCGCCCTTCTGCGCGTGTATACTGTCGCGGGGTACCGCCCCTGGTCTGTGTGCGGGACTGATCGAGCCTGTCCTTCTCCCTCACGTCACCGAGAGGCAGGATCTGCAGTGGCCCTATCGTCTCTTCTTCATAGTCTCGGGTTCTCCGCCCAAGCACCTCCGTCGTCAAAGAAGAGAGCGTCAGGGGCAACGTCTTGTGGCGCATTGCCCAATTCCTGATTGACCACCCAGCCGTAGGGTGGCACTCTCGGCGGAAGCTGAGGGGATTCCTGAACAGGGAACCAAGCTTGGTCTATACCGCGTCCCAGCCCCGGCGGAATCGGCTGTCCAGGCACCGCCATGTACCTGCCCGAGTCATTGCCATTCGCCGCCGGAGGCTCCAAGCCCGAGGGCGGTGCGGCAAAACCCGCACGCCCCCCTGTTGCCGCGTTCGACCCTTGGCCTTTGTCTGGCTGCCCTCGCCCACGTCCTAGTTCTCCAGACAGGGCATCATGCGCCGGCCCCGCTACTCCTTGCCACTCTCGTGGTCGGGGATAAACGCCGTGCGCAGGGCGGGCGACTGTGGGGTCCCGGACGACTCGAAAAAATTCGTCGTATCTTGGCTGGTTGACTCCGACGTTCGCGCCCATGAATCCAAGGCCAAAGGGAGGCGCGGGGGACACGTCGACGCTCTGGAGTTGCCCTTCTATCCTGCCGGCGGCCATGGCCGCTTGATGCGCCTGCATTGCCTGCTGGGCAGCAATGCGATGTCGGTTGTCTCGAGGCATGGGTCGGGGCCGCCGCCGCTGCGGTTGATGAGCACCATGGATCAGCCCCGCTATCATGTCCCGAACCTGTCCCTGGACTGGCACCTGGCCTTGACCAGCGTTGTCCGGTGCATTGTTTGCCATGCGCGGCACACGAGGCGCTCTGGCCATGGCGTACATCTGGGCCGCTCTGGCCGCATGGGCCGCTCTGGCCGCATGGGCCGCTCTGGCCGCAGCGGCCGCGTCGTGCGCTCCGGGCTCGGGCACTTGGGCATGCTGCTGTCGTAGATTGTGTATGGCCTCGGGTGCACGCCTGTGAGCCCGCTCTCGTCGCTTTTCGTCCTGTGATACGTGATCCGACATGTGGAACTTGAGATGCTCCGGGTCCACATCGGGGTTGGCATCCACGACCATTTTGCGCGTCTCCTCCTCGGCCTTTTTGATCTCTTTGGCATGGCGAGTCTCGACGCTGTCAAACAAAGGGCAGTTGCCATCCTTGCCGCCTCTGTTGGGGTCGTTGAAGTGGGAGTAGTCACAAGATTTGGAGCAGACGTAACATTGAACGTTTCTGCAGGCCGGACGGGTGCACATCATTTTATTGCAGCCATCTTCCTTGATAAACGGGGTGTTGCCTGCGACGAGGTTTGTGTAAGTACAAGGCCAAGCAGGCAGGATGGGGCGCTGGGAGCAGAAGACGGTGGCCAAACTCACACTTGTTGCATCGTCGGATCAAGGCGGCCGACATGGCCTCCTCAATGGTTCGTCTCGCCGAATAGCCGTGCTCCTTGGCCGCTTCTTCGCAAGTCTTGGGCACGTGCGTCTCCTTGTTGCATAGTCGGCAGCTGACGACTTGACACTCGGGGTTCTGGCAGCGAAATTCCTTGTCCACCTCTGTCGGGCTGCACTCTGCAGCAAAGGGGCAAAAGGGGCAGGACACCAGGTTCTCTAGGTTGGCAAGACGCAACACGGCGTCCTGCTCAGCCCTGTCGAGCGCCGAGGCAAGCTTCTCATCGAGAAAGCGCTGGCGTTCGACATGGGAAAATGAAGCCTGGCAGCCATCCATGGACATGCATGTCAGCTCGTATTTGGAGAGCCCGACCAGTGTCTCGGCCTGGCGGCGGCAGCATTGAAAACAGAACCACTGCGTTCGGTGTTAGCTGATTGCAAGCGCGCCACAGGATCCGCGTCAACTTGCATGGGCGGTGTCTGCACTGCACTGCGTGAGGCGATTGAGGGCAAAGTCGACAAAGCAGCACTCGCACTCCTTGATGAAGCCGTCGGCCAGTGCCTCGTCAAAGTTTGCCTTCTCTGCCTGGTGCTTTTCCAGTTCGGCCCGACGCTCGCGCTCACGCGACGCAACGGTGCGCCTGGCGGCTTGCAGTTCCAGAAGCGTGTCCCGCTCATCCGGATCGAGACAATCCTGGATGGTTTTGTTCAGGTTTTCCGGAGCATAGGGCCCTCGAGCGTAGGGCGCTTCAGCTGATGGGTCCCACGGACCATGCGCCCCACGATCGAAGGTCGATTCAAAGAGGGCAACATAGGCTGGCAGAAGAAAGTTGCGAGCAGCGTCCAGTGCTGCCTGGATGGAGTGGAGGGGGATTTGGGGGAAGTCCATGTAAATCAAGTCTCGACTATAACATTGGTAAGCGGTTGGTGACTCGGGACAGGCGTAGAGCTGGACTCACATCTGATGGGCGAGACGGTGCGTCAGAACGCGGGGTTGACGGCCCGCAACGTCGTAGATGCGCTTCACGCGGGCGACCTCTTGGGCCTCGTCATCAAGGCTCTCACGTTTGCGCTTGAGTGCATTTGGGGCCTGCTTTCTCGGATACGGCTTGTCCTCGTCTTGTTGATCGACGATGTGGTTGATGACGGCGTTTGCGTCAAAGCCGAGATTGCTTGCCAGCCTGTCGAGAAACTGAGGGCAGATGCTTGGGAAGATGGCCGTGACATGGCGGGAGCAGGCGTCGGCAAGCCCTGCGTCCGGCAGCATGTCGCCGCCGCCCATGATCTTGTGCCGGAGTCGGCGACCTACGCACCGGGTTGCCTTCCAGCGTCCATGTGCAGAGGAGCGCTTGGGGACGTTGACCTTGCGGCGGGCCTGGGGATGACGGCCGTCAGCCTTTTTTGCATGAAAACAAGAGCCGAGGGTGGTTTTAAGCCGTCGCCAGGACATAGTACGGTTGCTCCTTGCGCATATCGTAGCCAACCAGCCAGAGGCCGGGTGAGCAACAGGGCAGCTGGGAATAGGCAAATTTGCAGACGCAGACAAGTTGCGTGGAAGAAATGGGGGGTTGAAGTTCAGGCCGTACACCCAAGCCTCTTGGGCCTGGTGAGAGCGCAGGCGGCATGCGGCAGACCACCTCGCACCAAAGCGAAGCTTAAGCAGCAGCCAAAGGCCGGCAGAAGGGGCTGGGACGGTATAAGGGATCGGGCATGGCCGGCCCAGGTGCCAAAGAAAGCAAACTTACCTAGACTGCGAGGTGGAGGATTGCGGCGACGAGCCGTGCGTGAGAGCGAAGCTTAAGCGATGGCGATGCTTCTGAGAGACAGAAAGTTAATGCTGGTCAGTGTGCGTTACGAGGTGGAGAAGGCGGGGGAGGCAGGACTGACAAGGAGAAGAGGCGACCTGTGTGTACGTGAACCGACGAGGCGGGAGAAATAGAGTGCTAGAAGAGCCGTGTGCCGCGCTGCCGAGAGGCGATGAGGAGACGAGGAGGAGACGAAGCGGACGCGAGCGCGGCCTGTCGATGTCTGGCGGCGAGAGGCGACTCGTTGCTGGGTCAGGTCGATCAAGGTTCAGCCTGGTGCCCGACTGGGACGATCAAGACGCCGGCGCGCCGCCTGGTGGAGTCTGCCGTGGCTGTCGATGAGGCGTCTGTGACGAAGACGAGGGCAGAGCGAGAGAGAGAGAGCGCGGGAGGCCAGACGAACAATGGCCCGCCCCCACCGAGTCCGAGGCGAGGTTGACAGGCGACAGTGCCAACCAACAGACAGCTGCCGGCGACGTGACAAGGGGTCGCAGTACGTTCAACGTTGTAGGTTGCCTGGGGGAGCAGCGCCGAGCACAGGTCCGGCCAGTGCTTTCCGGTTGGGTTGCGAGCAGTCATCGTCGACGCCACCAGTACCGAGCCGAGTGCTACAGGATTGCTGAGGCGATGAGTAATCCGCTACTTGTACGGAGTAGAAAACCACCAGATCATATTGAGCCCATGGCCTGTAGCTTTTCAGGTCAAGTACCGCGACCTGAAAAGAACAATAATAACCTGATCCACGCCGCCAAGGGCCGTGATTCAAACGCGGCAAAACCACGCCTCGTCACCTCAGACTACGCTTCGGAGAACAACAAGGTTCGTCTTCAAACGCCGCCCTCATCCGTCGTCGTCGTCGTCCCATCCTTCACCGTCACCGCCGCCGTCGTCCGACATCGCTACATTGCGCCGTGCCCGCGTCGACTTTCTAACGGCCGACTCGCCCCTTGCCGCTCCTCTCCTCATCCCACTCCCGTCGTCCTTCTCATCCGCCACCCCGGCCGGGCGCCCCATCGGCTGCCATTTGTCCGTCGTCCTCCACGATGAGGCCGCCTCCCTCGGCCTCGTCGTCCTCATCGCCGACAGGGAAGAAGCTCGACATTTGATGCGCCTGCCCCTCATCGTCCTCTTCCTCGTACCCCTCGGGCAGAAACCCGCCAGCCATGTCCTCGCCATGCTCAGCCGCCGCTGGCGCATTCCCATCGACGGCACCCTGTTTCGGCCCAAACACGGCGACGCTGTCGTCCACCTCGCCGTAGTCCTGACGCATCCTCTCCACGATCCGCAGCCCCATGATAAACCTGCGCCACGTGCCGAGGACCGCCTTGCGACGCTTCTCGTCCTCTTTCCTCAGCCTCTCTGCCTCGTTCTTTTCGAGCTCCGCCATCAATTGCTCGTGGTGCTCCTCGGCCACCACGACGCCTTGGATCACGGGCACCGCCATCCGGTGCCCAAACTCAAAGCCCACCACGGCCTCGGCGTAGTCGATCTGCAGTCGCTTGCAGACCCGCACCGCGCCCCTGTATGGTACATGCACCGCCCCTTGAGGGCACATGTGCTCCGCAAACAAATCAATGTTCCTGTTCGCACCGGCAGTTAGCACCCTTGTATCCATCTTGCTTGCCGTGGGCACGTACCCGTAGTCATTCTTGGGGATGACGCCGTTCTCAATCGGCGGCGGGATGATCCAGTCTGTTTGCTCCAGGCTAAAGAGCCCCTGCAGCACCTTTTCTCCCGTCGCCGCCTCCGTCTCTAGAATCTCTCTTCGCCTATTCAGCGTCGCCGCGCGGTAGGGAACCCGCTTCAGGGGCTGCTCGTCGGCCATCGGTGCTCTGCCTTGCTTGTGCCACGTCTCCGCGCTCTTGACGTTGACGACGTCGGTGCGGAGATAGACGTCTTCTTCCTCCACCTTGCCTCCCTTTGCCTTGTTCTTGAAAACCTTGACGGGGGCCGCATCGGTCTTGAGCGCTTCCTCGCGCTTCAAATGGCGTTCGAGAACAAACTCCTTGGACTGCTTGTAGTATTGCAGCGTTTCCTCGCCCTCCTTGACCTCCTTCTTCTCCGCCTTGGCCGGCTTGAGATCCGTCGCCTCCTCCTCGTGGTCCACTTCCGTCACGGGTTGACTCCTTCCGCCTCGCTTGTACCCAGACATGGCCGACTTGAACCAGTCAAACTGCTCGTGACGCTTCACTTTCCCGTGACGGTCGTAAACTGGAATCTTTTCCGGCGGCATCCGTACGCCTTTGCTTCGCCCGGGCACAACCTGTCGCTTCAAGTAGCGCACGGTGACGTCTTTGGCCGTCCCATCCTGCGAATGTCCGACAATGTAGGCCATGACTTGTCTAGCCTTGTCTGCCCTGGCGCCTCGGGGCTCAAAGGATTCGACGAGATCTCGATTCGTTGCAATGGTGCCTTTGACGATTGAGTCGACGGGCAGATACTTGCTGGTGACGGGTGAAAGGACCTCGGTCCAGTAGTGAGGATACTCGAGGTCCTTGTCGATCTTCCCTGCTTGCTGCGCCGTCTTTTTAGGCGTCATTTGCACCTCGACAACGGACTCGTCATCGGTATCCGTGTGCTCCAAGCGCAGCTCGTCCACGGCATCCCCAACGGGTTTCTTCCGGTCCGAAGATCGGGTCTTGCGTGACGTTTCCAGGGCAGTGCCGTTCGATTTGCCCGAGGCCGGCGTCTTCAATTTTTGCTTGGAAGTCGACGTCTTCGCCGGCTGCTTGTCCTTGACCACGACGTTACCTTGGCCGTCCTCCTTCTCAGGCTCTGCATCCTCCAGTTTGTTCCATCCAAACCCCAGACACGGTAGATTTGCCACCATGCGGGCCTCGAGGCCTAACCCCCGGAGCAAAGACGTAAACAGCTGCGCCCCGATGTCACGACTCCCCTGACAGGTCTGAGCGCATTGGCGGAAAGCCTGCAAGTTCGATATCCTCTCACCAAACCTCGCAGAGTTCCCAGGCTCGGCCGTGTATGCCTTTGTGAGCCTGTCGAGCCGCTCCAGGGCCATGTAGCCGCATTTTCTCAAACTAGGGACCGTCACGCGAAAACGCTGCTTCCACCAGGACGCCAGAGACTGCATCAGGCGAAAGAGCGGGTCTCCATGGCTCATGTCGACGGCGCCCTCCTCGAGCCTCTTTGCCGCCGTTCCCCAGTCGCGCGATGCACCTTTCGACGACTCGCCGTCTTGGTCCGTCTTCTGGCCGCGGCCCCTATCTTTGCCTCTGCCCCTGCCTTGGTTCCTGGCTTGGGGCTTCTGAGGCGCTTGCGCCTGCGACAGACCAGAGCTGCGTCTCCAGCGGTCCACCTCGTCCCAGAGCCTGGGAGGAAGATGCGACACCATGATGGCTTGAACTTCAGGGTCGCAGAGCCACGAGTTTCGTATCGCGTTATGCCACAGAAGCAGCATGACGTGAAGGCAGTGTGTTGCATTTCGTATCTTTCTCGCCCTCTTGGACGGACCCTTTTTGTCGCCAAGGGAGTTGGTCAGCGAAACCCGGGTGTCCTTTACCAGGGTCAATTCGAGGTCTCCTGAGACAGCTGGCGCATCTGCTGCGGGTTGGCTTGGTGCGGCGACATCTTCGAATTCGATGTCGTCATCATCCTCCCCGGACTCATGGGCTTTTTGCCGTTTCGCAGGCGGCACATCCTCCAAGTCCTCGTCCGACAGCGAAGTCAGAGAGCTCTCGCTGTCGTCTAGGTCAAAGCCTGGCGCAATTGAGGCGGACAGAGGGGTTGCAGCGGCGTCGAGATCGTCGTACAGCGTGGATTTCCGTTTACTGGAAGAGGGCGCTGAACTTGCCGCACGTGCCTTGCCTTTGCTCTCGTTAACGGGTGCGGGCGACTGATGCAGGCGCTTCCGCGGCACATGGGGAGGCATGTCGCTGCGGTTCTGCAAGCCGACGATGCGAGAGCTTGCATCGCGATGGACCGCTGCTGCCATCGTCATAGCTGCGGCTACTGACACGAAAGCACGTGACTTTAATCAGCTGTGTCGACTGCGCGTGACGCAATTCCATTTCTTCCAAGTTAACGAAGCAGGAAATATTCTCTAAAAACTCTCATGAGCTATTCGACGAACCTTTCATACTTGTTCAACTATTGCTTCCATCATTGTGCGTGGGAAGACCACAAACCCCAAAGTAGCTTGCATCAGTGCCAGCGTCACTGAGCGAGACATATTCAGCACGACCTTCCAAGAACATCATTCCACCATGTCCAAGAGTTATTCGCTAAATGCCGGATCCGTGCAGGCAGTTAATCCTGGGTATCGCCACCTCTTTCTCGAAAACGCCCCGTAAGGCTGCGCCGATGCCTCATCACGCATGCCTTGATGTTGCTCCATAGACGGCTTACATGTCCATCAGCGACGGAGGCGGTCCGACTCCTCTCAACAGAATAACCGTGTTGCCGCTCTTCAAGGCATTCCCAATCTTCTCACCAAACTCGAGCAAGCGCCCCCCCTCGACGTGAAAGACGCGCAGCTTGTCCCTCTCGTCCGAGCTCTGGTTGTTCATGTTCTGGACCTGCAGGCCTTGCGCGGCCTCGTCGAGCAATCTCCCCACCACCCAGTCCTTGGAGTAGAAGAACTCGCCCTTTGGCAACTTGGCCTTTGCCGTCTCCGCCTCTGCCTCGACGTAGAGGTAGATGCGCTTATCCTCGGGCACATCCTTGCGGCCCTTGGCGCTCTTCTTGAGCTTGGCGACAGCGGCCAACCGCGCGGCTGTGGAGCTTGGCTTGGGCTTTGGCAGGACCCTCTCGGCCTGCTCCCGCTTCGAGGACCCCCATGCGCGCAATTTGTCGAGGGCGGACCTGGTCTTTTGGGCGACGTCGATTTGCGCCGGCCGCGCTCCGACGGGCACCAGGTTCTTGCAGTCGTGGTCCTCCTGCAAGCGGTGCTTGAGGCAGTAGTCCCGGTTGCACGTCTGGCAGTGGACCCCGGGGGTGAGCGACGTGCCCACGACCGTCTTGCACTCGGGCGTCGCGCATGGCTTCTGCGAGACCCTATCGCGCAGCACCTTGTCTTGCCCGATGGACGGCCGCGACAGCTGGGCCAGCCTCTTGCGCTCCGCCCAGGCCCCGGGGTTTGCGCACTTGTGCGCCGACTCGGACCTGTGGTCGAGGCAATACGTCCTTGTGCAGGATTGGCACAGAAAGGGGAGGAAGTCGAGCTGGTTGCAGTACTCGTACTGGCAATGCTTGCCCACGAGCGACGCGTCTGTTTTGTCGCGCATTTCGACGTAGCTTGTTTCTTGGGCGTCAGGATTCCATGACGAGGAAGAGGACATGGCGACGGCCAGAGCCTAGGGGCGAGGTATTTATCTTGAGCAGTGAGATGGCGCAATCGCAGGCAGAGAGCGTGGGCGTCGTCAGAGCCGCGAGATGGCTGGTCTAGCCAGTGCGAGGAAGCGTCTGGAACCAGCCGCGATGCTTACGTGCGCACCTCACCACTGCTTGGCGGCACGCTTCGGCGCCACCCAAATGGCCTCACGACCGCTTGGTCCGAGCAACAGTAAGCCTGCCGCTGTCTTGCAAGGGGAACAGTCGGCTCCATGGAGAAATGCAAGCAGTTTCGGTTTTGAAACAAGGTGGAAGCGTACTCCGGAAACCTATTACTGACAGGCCTAGTAACCCGTACTCGGCGCCCTCACGACAAGCTGCAGCACCGCAGACCGTCAACGATTCTAGAAACCTATATATAATTATACCATCGCCGAGTTGCGTTGTTCTTACCCATGATGTGGTACAAAGTAGAGAGCCTCGTCGGCGTAAAAATGTCAAAGGAGCAGCCAAGACGCCGGTCATTCACATACGCAGCAACATCTATCTGCCACCCAACACACCGCCGCTACTCTTCTTTCCTCTTTGGCCGCTCGTTAAGCAGGCGCTCCCTTCCAGTCGACGGCGCATCGCCAACGTACTGCTTCCCGCCAAGAGTCTCGAATCCCTTGTGAAACATCCACTCGACGGCGTGCTCGACTGGCTTGTCAAACACGGTGGGCAAAAAGGGCACCACCGCCAGACCCAGCCCGATCGGGCCCCATGTCCGGATTTTTGCGTTCTTAACGTTCTTCATCGCCACCCCCGAGTAGCGGACTACGCTGTGGATTGTAAAGGCGGGCAACCCCATGCTGGCGACGCTCTGGAAGATGCCCCTCTGGACCATAACGGTCCGCCAATCCTCGAGCGGAGGCACCGTACCGGGCTTGGCATCCTTGATCCCGTCGGCCGGGAGACCCGTAACTTTCTCCTGGCGAGGATTGAGTTGCAGCTGGGGGTTTAGTATTCGCTGGTTGTGCCAGTACGACTTGTAGCCCTCGTACGAGACATCGCCGAGGATGTAGAGCCACGAGATGCCGTACCCGGCGCGAACGAGGTTTGGATGCGCAACCGGCCGAAACGACTCGCCAATGTCGGATGTGTAGGCGACGTATCGGTGCGCCGAGACGAGAATCGTCCTCAGTCTCGTGGCGTAGGCGGCATAGCGGAGGTTGCTATCGGTCGAGGGGGGGGCACTGGCCGTGCACAGTCAGCACCTTGCAAGTGCGCCTGTCGAGCGCGTCGACTTACTATCCTTCGCGCAAATCGTCAAAGAAGCGGCTGTCGGCGTCTGCCTTGTCCACAATGGTCTGCAGCCCCTTGGGAAGCTTGTGGCGGTCCGGGAGCTTGTCGGGATCGAACGCGGACGAGTTTGGCGAGGCGCTCTGCTTTGGGTCCTGCTCGGGCTTGGACTCCTTAGACCAACTCCACCAAGGCATCGCTAAGCAGCAGCGGTCAGCGGTAAAGAATCAAGAAGCGGTTGGTGGACAGCAACGCGGCGACGGTATGTCGAGGAAGCAAGATATGGCCGCCGAGGAGGCCGTGCGGGAAAGTCGGAGCCGTTGCCTCAAGTCCCGTACTCAGTACCATCAGCGCCTGGCCACCCTGTAGTGCTCCGCCGACCGGCGTCTTTGCCGAAGTATACCCGCGCGGCCCGGCTGCGCTTCGTGCTACTCCATCCATGTCGGAATTTGGCAACGAGACAACTGCATCGACCCCCATTGACCTCGACCGATCCCTCACCGTCAGCTCCCGACTCTCCGACCGATCACTCAAGATGGCTGGCGTCTCCTACTACACTATTGCTGGCCGGCAAGTCGGCAGCCACCACGTGCGTCGCCCGAGCTCTGGCGGATCCATGGCAGCTAACCCGGCCGACAGATTGCCATGGGCTGGCTGGGTACCCTCTTCGGGGGCGTCTATTACGCCATGTCTGGTCCCAAGAACAGCGCTGCCAAGGCCACCCCTCCGATCAATGCCTCGAGCTCCGACGAGGCCGACTTCATCAAGTGCGTGGCGTTGTCGACAGCGAGACGCATGAGCTAACAAAGCGGCAGGAAATTCATGGAGGAGCAAGAGAAGAAGTAGACGTGCTGCTTGGGCGATGGAAAGGGGCTACTGTACAACGCACGGTTAGAGATGCATACGGTCGGGCGACTGCGCTACGAAACTCGGGTTGGGCCATGATGTTGCGGGCGCCGTTGTCGCTGCGAGAGCTGCCACGTGAATGAAGGGGATGGAGCTCTCTTGGCCAATTCTCGCCGATGCTTTGTGACCATTTCGCCAGGGGACAAGCTCCCTACCAAGTTTGCCAAGCGAGATACGGCCTGTACGCTGCTGCCCTGTCCAATGCCTATCCCACGACGCCAAGGTCAGGGCCCCTCTTGTTTAAACTGCACAAACCTCTTGAATATGCACCGTCGCTCAAGGGAGACTCGTGTCGCATCAGCTGTTTACACCTCGGTCGATGGCCATCCGCTGTGCATGCGAGAGAGTGGTTGAGTGACCAAGTACCTAAGGTAGGTACATAGGTAGGTGCCGGTGCTCAACCCTCATTCGTCCGAGAGCTCCCCCCTCTCGCGCCGTGATAAACGAATGTCCTTTTTAGTTGCAACCACTGGTTATGCTCTTGGGCAGACAGGCCGCGTCACGTGCCGCCCCTCCCGCGCGCCAGGGCGGAAAACCTTTTTGCGCCGCCCTTGCCCCCGCCACTCTCTCTTTTGGTAAAGCATCGTCCTCCCTAATCGAAACCATCCCACCTAGCCGCTTCGGATACAACGATTGCATTTTGCTGGGGCACCCGGATATCAGCCAAAAAGGGGCGGGACATGGCCGAAGTCCTGACCGACCCAGCGCTCGTCGCCGTCGCGGCCTCGGACCTTGCCCAGGATGCGCAACACGTCGCCCTGCCGGCCTCGTCCAAGGAGCGCCACTCTCTGACGCTCGATCAACGCCGTGCCCTGCGCCGCTGGGCCAATAGCCAGGCCGTCAGGCCCTCGCACAAGGCATGCATCGAGTGGTTCTACTCGCAGTACGGCCAGCAGATTAGCCAGTCCACCGTCTCCCACTCCCTCTCCCCCAAGTACTCGCGCCTCGACGGTGACAACCCCCAGCTCTCGGGCTCGCGCCTGCGCTTCGGCAACTGGCCTGACGTCGAGAAGCTCGTCCTTCTCTGGTTCCAGCAGGTCCAGGCCTCGGGTCGCCAGCCCACCAACGAGGAGCTGGGCGAAAAGGCGAAGTCAATCTTCAACCAGCTGCCCCGCTACAAGGACGAAACCCCCCCCGAGTTCTCCCCTGGATGGATCCACCGGTTTAAGAAGAGATATGGTCTGCTTGTTCGCCGGCAGCGGAGACACGGAGACGGCGCCATAAATCCCGCCGAGGACATCGAGTACCTGGCCGACTGCGTCCCGCGCGTCATGGCCATCGCCTCCGACACGAGCCCAGCTGCCATCCGGGAGCAGGTGCTGCGCGTCGTCGGCGTCGAGGCCAGCCTCAACACATGCGCCCTCGTGCGAGACGAGGTCATTCGCCGCATCACCGCCGCCCACTGCCCGCCCATGTCACACATACCGCCCCCTGATCCGCCGACTCCTCCGCCCCCGCCCGAGCAGCCCATGTACGCTGACGATGACGCCGAGGTCGTCCTTCAAAATGCACTGCGCCAGCTCCAACAGGAAGAGCAGGCCGCAGAGGAGCAGGCCGCCGCCGTGCGAGAGGAGCGGGAGCGCCAAGAGAGGGCAGGTATGCAGGCTACGGGCATCATGACGACCCCCGGTGGACGCGACTCTGCCGACCCGCGCTACGGAACCCCGACACAGGAGCTCGCGCCAGAGCTCACGCTCACGCCAATACACTCCGACGGGCCCGTGTCCTCGCACGATCGGCCGCTGCGATGCCCATTCTGCGTCAACCAACGAATGCTTCGCACCATCAAGGAGGCCGTGGAGCACATGTCGACTCACGTCGTGGTATAATCTCCCAATCCGAGGCAGCCTGCTCCCCGCCGCAGTGTGCCGGGGACCAAGGCGGCTGACGGTGTGTGTGTGTTGGCCTGGTGCTAAGTCATTTCTCAGGCAGCGTCTGTGGAGTTTTTGATGCATAGTATACGGAGTTGGAGGAAAATTTGAAGCTGGTGGCGACCGGCCTGAGCCTTGTGTGAGCACTTCCGAGCTGTACACGATTCTGGCCGGCGCCCCCAGGTTGGCGTTAATATGAGTATAGCATGAAATAGCGTGCCAATACCGTGGGAAGGGAAAAGGCATGTTGCTTCGCTGGAACCTTTACACACATGATTGGTCCTTGGTATTAAAAGCTTGAGTTTTGACATCTCAATTACGAATTCAAACGTGCCCATGGGAATAGGCATCATCGTCCCACTTCCCCAAGTCAACTATTCCACTTATAGTCCCCATCCTGTAGCATTTTGCAAATGGTCTCTTCCAGGAGCTGGGCCTCGCTCTTGGGCGGCGAAATGTCCCCCGTGTGAATGTAATTCTGCCAAAACTTGAGGCCCTCGAGCCCCTCGTCGCGACACAGGGCGCCGTGCTCCTCGGCCATGAGCAGCTCCTCCTCGGCGACGCCGATGCTCCAGCCGAAGCGCTCGGCGGCCTGCTGCGCCGTGACGCCGCGCCCAAACTCGCGCCAGTCCCAGGGCACGTCGCGCTCCGGCGGGAACTCGTGCAGGTCCTGGAGCCAGCCGACGAGGGCCTTGATGGTCGTCTCGTCGGTGCGGTCGCGGCCCTGCACCACCATGACGCCGCTGCGAAAGGTCCGCAGTCGCACGGGCAGCTTGAGGCTCTCCCACAGTCGAGCAGCCTTTTCAAAGTCCATGGGGCTGACGAGTTCGACGCCACCTCTTGCCCTATTGAACATGGCCCAGAGGTCGACGAGGGTAATGATGCCTCCCGCCTTTTTCAGCACGCCTCGAGAATCGTCGGCGAGGAACTCGGCCATGTTGCGAGACAGCTCTGACAGATACAGCGACTCCGAGCTGCCCCCGCCGACAATGTCTTTGGTGGTGACTAGTCCCAGCTGGCTGGCCGACTCTGCCAGTATCGCATTTTCCTCGGCCGAAGCACCTCCATTGCTCTGGCGGGCAAAGCGCTCCGCCAGGGCAATGACCTCCTTCGCCGAGGACATCAACGCCTCGAGGTCCTCAAATGCACTGCCTATCAGAAGCTCATTGTTCTTGCGCATGTTGAGCCCCAGCTGCTCCAGCCCCGCGATGCCAGCCGTCTTGGTCTTGCCCCCGGAGTTGGTGTCGGACAAGTCGTCCGGGTTGCCGTCGTCCGCCCTTCGACTGGCCTTGGGAGCAGGCGGAGCATTCTGAAGAAGCCACTTTCTTTGCGTCATTGCACCCTTTAGCCTCTCGTGAAATATCTTGTCTCCCCCGCCACGAAAGGAGATTTTGATGCTATCAGAGACATCGATTCCGCCTGCGGCTGCCTTGCCCCGGAAATCCAGAACCGGGCCGGGCGACTGCGTACGGACAGCGCTGGATTTTGCACCTGGCGTGAGATACGAATTTGTCTGGGACAATAGAGGAGCGCCGCACATTTCGCACGACAGAAGTGAAGGATGGTTGGAGAATGTGCATCGCAGACATTGAAATGCAGCCGAGGGGTCAGTCCGGGACGAGGATCCATCTCGGGCGGCCGGAGCCTGGTTGGGGTCTTCTGGTCTGGCCGCCGGCAGTATGGATTCAGAGGCCTTGGCTCGAATTGCAAGCGACGGGCTGTTCGAGGTGACAGGGGCTTGCGACGGTCGGTTGCTGGCGTTGTTGATGGCCGCCTTCAACACGTGTGACAATGTCGGCTTTATCCCGCATGCCAAGCATGGCGGGAGGGGCGTATGCGCGTTGGCAGCGGTTGGGTCAAAATTGACGGGAACCGTGTTCGAAAAGCTGCATATCGTGCAAACCCAGGTCGCCGTGGTGAGAGGAGGCGGCTCAGATGGAGTTCTGTAGGCACTGTCTCTGGGAGCCGGAGAGACGGAGTCATTTCTAGACGACGAGGCCGCGCCGGAGATGGCTCGGCTGTGAAGTGACGGACGCTTCAAGGGCTTCGGAGTGATTGTGATCTTGGGCGAAGACTTTAAGAAGCCGGCGTAAAAGTCATGGCGATCAATGTCTTTGAGGTCGAGGGCCAGCGAGTTGGCGCGCGGTTCGTTCTTGTCGACGTAGCATATTCGGTGCGAAGTCAGATAGACCTGGCCATTCTGCTGATCGGGAAGCTTGAACTTTCTGGACGCGACATTAATCGGGCTTGTCTTGCGGCTCCGAGCTCGGGTTCAACGTACCCCTCGTAGAGGCCAACATTGTCCTGGACGAACAACAGCACCTCATCGGGCAAGTAAGAGGGCCGCAGCGCTGTCGTCAGGTCGATTTGTTTTAGAAACATCCGGCATGTCGCAGCAGAAGGCCGAATCAGTCTGCGGCCTCGGACTGCATTGAAGCTGGCATCTACGGGGGGCTGGGGGTGTGATGGGCTTTGTGAATGCCGTGGGCAGATAGATTTGGCTGTGACAAGAGTTCGATCAAAGGTGCGCTCTGGGCCAAGGTGAATCTGTTGCCGTCGATGATGCAGTCCAGAGGCCGCGAGCTCGGTGTTGGGTACGTACCTCGACCGCACCTGCTAGAAGGTCTGCTTTGGTGCCTAAATTGATAGCCGAGAATCAGCCGGCCCCGAGTCACGGGACTGAGATGAGCTGGTGCCCACAAGAATGTCTTGCTCGGGCAGCCCCAACTTTCTCTTCCTGCATGCCGTCACCGCTCAACCCGTACACTTCCGTGACAAACCAGATCCCTCCAAACGCGTACGAACGATTCGAAGACGACCATCTCCATAGTGCAAATCCCTTTTCGTAAAACTGACCTTGCTCCCCCTAGCTCACCAGTCGCCATGATGCCCGGGTGGCCCGCGGCGATCCAGCAAGCGCCAGGAGTTTCGCAGCAGGCCACGCCCGCCTCGTACGCGTATCCTGCCAGTGCGTTATTTTTCACCTCTCACCTTCCTCCACACCGGGAACCAGACTGACACACTTTGCTTGCAGATCCCGCCTTCGTTCCTGTTCAGGTGCGGCAGGGTTTCGGCCAATACATGAATGTGAACGCAAAGCCACCGTACGCCGGATACGCTCCCTCGCCCGCCTCCACCATGGCCGATCCGCAACCCCAGGCTGTAGCGCCCGCCGCTGCTGAAGCGCCCAAAGGAAAGACGGAATGGCCGGAGTCGGTCCGTCGCTACGTTCAACGATCCTTCCTGCCTCAGAATGACGATCCGTCAGTCTCACGTGCCGAGGTGGAGAACAAGCTGAAGGAAACCATCGGCATCGCCAAGGACAACGGCTCCCTGTACACGATTGACTGGGACGCTGTGCCTCTGCCACAGGCTCTCGTGAAAGTCGACCGAGATGGGCTTCTTGGGGGCCGCACTTCCTCCGTGTCGGCTTCCGATACCCTCGTTAATCCCAGGAAGCGAAAGTCAACCGACCTTGCTGGTGATTCTATTCAGACGTCGGCTTGGCGCAATACTAACCAGCGCGCGTCCCTCGAGGACCGCGTCACCTATCCCTCTGACAAACGGGTTGCGTCGGGCGACCACTCGACCAAGCCCAGCAAGTCGCAGAAGGAGGCCAACAAGCGCAAGCGACGATTCGAGAACGAGTACAAGTCCCTCTACCGATCGCCCAGCCCAACCCCGCCTTCCTCTGGACCCATCGTCGGCACATGCGAAGTCTTGGAGAAGAAATACCTGCGTCTCACGGCGCCCCCCGTTCCGTCCAATGTTCGACCCGAGCCGATTCTTCGCCAGACGCTGGACCTGCTCAAGAAGAAGTGGCGCAAGGAGGGAAACTACTCTTACATTTGTGATCAGTTCAAGTCGATGCGCCAGGACCTTACTGTGCAGCGGATCAAGAATGACTTTACTGTTTCCGTTTATGAAATCCACGCCAGGATCGCCATGGAGAAGGGCGACATCGGTGAGTATAACCAGTGCCAAACACAGCTGCGATCCCTGTATGGCCTGGGGTTGAAGGGGAATCCTGTCGAGTTCAAGGCGTACCGTATCTTGTATTTCATCCATACCGCCAACCGCACGGGGCTCAACGACACCTTGGCGGACTTAACCCCTGCAGAGAAGGAAGAGCGACCCATCAAGCATGCCGTCGCGGTGCGCTCTGCGTTGGCTCTTGGGAATTACCACAAGTTCTTCCAGCTCTACCTGGACACACCCAACATGGGGGCATATCTTATGGATATGTTCGTCGTGCGGGAGCGTCTCGCGGCTCTGTGCAACATTTGCAAAGGGTAGGTGGAAGCCGTGTCATGTTGGTCCTCTCCCTCATGCTGACTCCCCTTAGGTACAAGCCCGATGTGAAGCTCCGATTCCTCACCGAAGAGCTCGCGTTTGAGTCGGATGCGCACACGGCCCAATTCATCATCGACCGCCAGGGCCAGCACCTGCTCGAGCATCGACAGGAGTATATCGCTTTCTTGACAGGCAAAGCCGGCGCATTCTTTGAGGGTGCCAAGTCAGCTGCCTTTCGGAAGGTTGACATCAAGGGGCAGATTTGACCCAAGATGGCTTTCTTTTCTCACGCCCTTTGCTACCCTGCCTCTGATTTCTCTCGTGCGGCGGCATTTGTCGCTTTTGCTCTTGCGTACTGTTTCTTTCTGTTGAGCATGCCTTTGACGCCTGACCAATCTCGCAACGGCATACGATGATTTCGGCGCGCAACGCAGCGGATTGCGGCCTCGGCACGGCTCTTGACCGGCACATATCGGATTGATACGACAAACTGGATGAAAATGACTGCGCTTTCCTTCGCTCCTACTCTGAGGTTCGGCTTTGATCTAACTACCCTACTTACAAATTCGCATATCGCATTCTTAAACTGGGCGGGACTGAATATTAATTACCATAACAGCAATACCCACTTGGGCAGAGACAGGAAAGGCGTATTGACAGGAACGGGCGAATTACCCGAGCGGAAAACGTGTCCACGGAACAACTTGTTTGTTGGACCACTGAAACTTTGCTGTCGTCCTTCGATGGCAGGTGACGGGCGTCCAAGTCAAGCGTGGAACGGCGGCTTATGGCAATTGAGTGAATCGACGGCACAGATGGGGTCAGTATGATGGGCTAGCTCCCTTTTGGAGATGGCCTACGGCGACTTGTGGATAGTTGAGATTAACGCACAGATTTGACGACGAGGACACACCCAAGATGTGCATTGTGCCCAGACTGGAGAGTGGTTTCATGGCGTGTTGAGTCGACGTGTCAACAGACTCGTGGTTCTCAATTGTAGACGAAGCTGCCACGTCCGGAACGAAGGGGGTGAGTACCGTTTCACCCTCTTTCCCCGCCATCCCTGCCTCGTGCACTGCCTAGATGGACGGGCCGGTGATGGGACGCTGCCAGCAGCTGCTGCGACATGGCCAGCTAGTGACGAGGGACTGTTCAGGGCTCGGCTTATCTCGCAATACCTTGCCGTGACGATGGGATTCTATTCATCTGTATGTGCCTCGTCACAAAGGTGGATTGTCTGTCACGTTGATGACGGAAGCTCGTGTTGCATTTACAGTCCTTGTCGCTGAGATGACTCTGATGCCTTGCTAGAGGTCTACCCATTTACTGTGCCTATAGCCATCAAACACGGATGGTTCCACGTTCATGTTCTGAGAGTCTCTTGATGGTTTCTTGTGCAGACTGCCCGAGTGCGAGTATCGCCAAAGTCGCTCAAGTTGGTGGCACGCGCTGCTTTCTTCTATCTTCCATCTGACGCACCGCGACCAGGGGGATGGAGAGGATGTCAAAGTCGGCGTCGATTGTACCTGCTTGGGAACTTCGTCTTGGATGGTCACGAACTGCACAGAGGCACCTTTTTTCAGGTTCAGGGTCTACACGCTCTAGAACGACCAGGGCAATCATGTTCAGGCACGGAATGGACTCCGAACGCGCATGGATGGCTGGTGAGGGCCAGTCTAACTCCCAAGTATCTCTGGCAGTGCGTCGCTTGAAGCTCCATCACCGGCGGCTACGCTGTGTGGTATCCCAGCCAGACAAGGACTCCGACAAGAGTTATTGGAACCAAAGACTCTTGTTCAACAGCTTCTTCTCGCATGTCGAGTCTGGGCATTCTCTCCCAGGCCAGTCACACGCTCGTCCGTGGCGGCTTGAACCTCAGGATCAAGACGCGCCCAGACGCGCAGCCTATGGCCACCTGGGACTTCGTAAAGGCCACGACGGCAAGTTCCCGCCAGTCTCGTGAGGGCCTGTAGTCCTGCGGCAACCACAGCACGTCCTTCCCGTGCAGCGTGATCCACTCCCCGTCGGCGCTCAAGCCGTAGCCCTCGCGGTGCAGCGCGATGCCATGGGCCGCCGTCTCGTCGGTTCGGTCGCGCGGACCCAAGACAATGGTTCCCACATTGGTCACAAGGCGCGAGCCGCTCACGTCAAAAGCCATGCTCTTGAGGTTCGTCCCGACGTCCATCGTCTGCATGCACTGGCCGTGGGATGAGCCCCAGATGCTCACAGCCCCCATCTTGGAGAGGGCAATCAATTCGCTGTTTGGCGAAAAGGTCATCCGGAACTGTTTGGGTATGGTGGATTTTCCCGGAACTGCCAAACAGTGAGCAAGATGGCCGGTCGCTACATGCCACACTTGCACGTCGTAAAGCGAGTAGCGGTATGAGATGAGGTACTCGCTGTTGGGTGAGAATTCCATCATCGCTGTTTGGTGATGATTCCCCCAGCTTTGCACGAGATTGCCCGTCACCGCATCAAAGACTCTAATCTCTTGACGGCCCCATGACGCGAGGAGCTTGTTGTCATGCGAAAACGCCAGCTCGGTATCATATTTCGGTTGACCTTCCACGGTGATGTCGATGGCGTTGGTGCATTTACCGTCCCTCAGGTTCCAGATGCGGCATGTGCCGTCTGCTGACGCCGTCGCAAGAATCTCTTCATCAGGCGAGGCCCCGATGAAATAAATGCCATCATCATGGCCTTCTAAAGTATAGAGCATATCGTGCGAAGTAAGAGCCTTGACGTGGACGACATTTTCCTCCGTCTTGGGGACTACCAGCATCAACGGCGGTTCGTGGGACAAGAGGGGAGTCATGATAACATGAGGATCCACGCTTTGCGAGGTGCGTCTGCCAGCAGGATCCCAGGTCATTATATCGTTGAGTGATATAGAGACCACCGTGTTATCCGTCTCCGAACAATGAACCGTGAGCACTCTCTCAGAATGCGCTTCAATCGAACCATTCTGGCCGACTGATAGATCCCAGATTTTTACTGTGCCATCTTGGAATCCTGACGCAAGGAATCTGCTATCCGGAGAAAATGAAAGGGTCGGGCCTTCGAACCCCAGACCTTTGAGTGTCTGGATGACTGCTTTGGTGGAAATATGTATCACTTGGATGTCCTGTCTGATCTTGACGGCGACGAGTTCGTTATTGGGAGAGATGACATCGTGAAACCCAGAGACGTAGAACCCAAGGTCCAGCCTGAGGAGACACGTGTTTGTCGTTGTTTGCCACAGTGTTCTCTGCTTCGAAGTGGTGAGCAACACCAGGGTCCCATCGAGCGAGAAGATTGGATCTGAGTATTTCGACTGGGCGTCATTGACCTGGAATTTGGTTAAAGACATACGGGAGAGGTTCTGGATTTCGATGTCGGAGATGGAGTGGTAATTGTTCACAAACGCAACCCAGACCCGGCTAAGAGGGTCTGCTGCTTCGGCGGGAGAGGTCGGCCAGGCATGTTGATGAATGTTTTGACCGCCGATTGAACGTACGCCGTTCATCTCGGAGGGTCCCTTCGACTCACTGACCGATCGTTCCCATAAGAACGAAAACAACGCAGCACTGTTGGGCCCGATAGCCATCGGGAACCCCTCTGACCTGTTGCCTTTTAGTAATTGCACACACTCTCCACTGGTCCAATCCCAAATGCGGGCTGCAAGGTCGTCTGAACCTGATAGAATAAAACGGCCATCGCTTGTGAAGCATACGGACGTGACCCGTTTGGTGTGGTCGTCGGCCAGCGTCTGGAGACACTTCCCGTCGGATAAGCCCCATACCTTGATAGTGCCGTCGTACGATCCAGACACCACTATCTTTCCGTCGTGGGAAAAGGCAGTTGAGTGAACCCACTCCGAATGCCCCGTCAGTATCTGCAGAGACGAGCCCGTAGCAAACTTCCAGATACGAATGCTGCAATCCTCCGAGCTTGAAGCGACGAGACTCATGTCGGGAGAAAAGGCGATAGACCGGACATGATCGGTATGACCCTGGAGCGTTTGGCGGTGTGCATCCCATTCATCGGCCATCTTTGGCTTCAACGTCATCCATTCAATTTCATGGTCGCGCTCAAACTGCTTCCTCGTGAGGCTCAGGTTCGGGCTGAATATGAGAGCCGACGAGTATAGCTGAAGGGGGTAATTTTCAATAGCCCATCTGTGATACAGGAAAAAGCGGCATGCGTCCTGGACAAAGGCAGTCGGTGGAGCCTCTCCGAGGCATGTCTAGTTGCAATGAGGACTCGTGAGCCTTGTATCACCAGGACAAGGGGCTTCCGGGGCTAACCTGTAATAATTCCAGCAGCTTTAGCAAGGCCAAGCCCCCCTCCGAGATGCTTCGGATGAGGCTCAGGGACTCAAGCCATTGAAGAAGTTTCCGTCTCAGGAATAAGTCAACTCCCTTGAACGCCTGAAGGAGTGTGTCTGATCCATGGGCTTGAGGGTCCCATTCAACAAGGTGATCTACCCAGTACACGCAAGAGTACCTGACCGCTTGCAGAGGATCAGGTCGGGGCGTCTCGATTCTCTGGATCGGAAACGCAGGGTCGAGGAGCGTGTACACGTCCTCAGCGAGCGTTGTCCCCATTGCGCGGAGTGACTGATGAAAGATGAATTCGTGGGCTTTCAGCAATGCCGGCCCCAGCCACTGACCCTGATGATCTAGCAAGAAGTCCTTGGCCGATTGGTGCACGAATTGAATGGTGCGGGTTCCTTGGCGCGACGTGATGAAGGAGCCGCAAAGACTGGTGATCGATTGCATGGTACTCTCCGTTCCTCCCTCGGCCATCCTGGTGTAAGACGCCAAACTATCCAGCCCCTGGACACAGGTGACCAGCTCCTCGAGCTCGAGCGGCCGATATACAGTTGCGACGCAGGCCAATATTTGCTTGCAGAGTTCGCCATCCTCTGACTGGTTCACTAGGTGCATCATTCGCTGATATAGGCAATCGAGGCCAGGTGGAAAGCTGGCGAGGCTTTCTTGTGTTCTCCATCCTGGGATTGCATCAAGCCGATGACAAACCAATGCTACCCACAGGAACGTTCCTTGCGCGTTTGCGAGAAGATGCTTCAGAACGGCGGTCCGCGTCTCCTTGCCGTAGCGTTTTTTCCGTGCTAGCTCTTGGACCTTGTGCTTCGTGTACCACTCCACGGCCTCCGAGACAGAGCTGTGATTCAACTCGAGAGAGATGGTGAGGTCACGGGTGGCAGTCTCGAGGACATCTCCAATGGTCTGAAGGTTGCGGCTCGACACAATCCATTTAACGGAGCGTATCTTGGAGGATAGCTCGACGATCAACTCGAGGAGCTCCTGTTGGCCGACGATGCATTCGTCCAGGGCGTCGATGACCAGGTACGTGTTGCCGAGGTTGGAGTTCTGTATCATGTTCGATAATATATCGGACAAGACGAACCAAGCATTTTCGTCCTGGAAAACGGATTTGGAGGCGCCTGAGTGCTTCTTTTGAACATGACACAGCAATTCTTGATGCTCTCGAGCCAGCATGTAGACCAAGCCTCGCAGAACGGCGACTCCGTTGTTGATGCGCAAATCAGTAGCCTGACAGTAAAAATAAGCCAGTCGATCTGTTTTTGAAACGGAGAGGCTTAGTTCGTCAATGATGCCGCACAGAAGCATCGTCTTGCCCTTTCCCGGGTCACCCTTGATCCAGAGAAGCCGATTCTCCTGTCCGTCACGCCACCGGCGAAAGCTGTCGTTCTGCAACACCCAGCGGCAAGGATCCCTGAGGAGGCCCCCCTTGATGCTCTCGATGCGTTGCTTATCGTACTCGGGATAGGTGATAAACAGATCTTGCAGACATTGCTCATCGCGAAGGCTCTGCTGCATGGACAGCATTCCTGTGAGCTGGTCCTTGATGACCAGCGTGTTCGACTCAATGTCACTGACATGACTCAATGACTCGTGACCTCGCAGCAACCTGGAGTGCCTTTCAAGGTCTGCTTCTGCCTCCTTTAAGGCTTTGGTGCCCCCGTCCCAGTCATTCAACTTGATGGTGTCGCGCAGGAAGGCCACCACTCGAGATCGGTAGCACCAGCAGACGCTCTTCATCAAGAACAAGAGAAGCTCCTTGTAAACTTGAACGACCTGATATTTTAGCCTGGTGCGTATCTTTTCGAACGACTTGTCCAGGTTCTGCCCAAACCGCAGCGTCAAGGGCTCGAGTTCGGTGTACCATTGGATCCGGTCAACAACATGTTGCATGCCATCTTGGCATTTCTTGCTCTCCTCAATGGGGTTCAAGGAAAGCTTCAATAGTCAATGCACATTCCCGCGGCCCGAGGGAGAGGGTCGACGTGAAACCGACCTGCAGAGCAAAGGAAACGACAGCGCAGGCGATGGCCGCCTGAGGAACTGCCTGCGCCGCGCCTTTGGCCAAGTCAATGGCCAATGTGATTGGGCGAACGAAAGGCAGGACAGCTTGCTTTATTCCCTGTTCTTTTTCAATCTTGCTCAGTCCAGCTTCAGCGATGCGTTGCATCTGTCGCACCCGCTCCTTCGAGTCCTCTTGTGCCATATAGTTCGTTGGCGAAGTATCGTGAGTTGATGTTGTCTTGCCGAGGTTGAGTGACAGGACGCGCTCGTAAGCATCCACTAGTTTAGGCTCGCTGGCTTTGATTTCATCATAGGCCACGTCCCAATTCGTCCGCAGCGAGGCGAGAGAGGTTGGGCTAGAGCCGGCTAGAAGAGGGCCCGTCGAGTCTTGTTCGGCAACAGATACTTGCGGGGAAGAATGCCACCCTGCATCGAGACTGCTCGCGGCTCCTGACTTGTTGGCGCGTTTGCGTTGAAGCCGAAGCAAGTCACGGAATCTCATCTTCAACGGTGGCAGATTGGAAACTACGGGAAATGGCGAAACAGGCAGACATGGACAAGAGGTAGCAAGAGACGGGCAGCATGGAAGAGAGGGTGGAGAGGCCAGGGTGACACGAGGAGGAGGGGCTCAAGCTGATGGAGGCATGCAGGCTGTGAGCTGCATGCAGTAAGACGGTAGAATATCACAGATCATTGGTCTCCCAGGCTCAGATGCTGCGGAAACTGCCAGTGCTATGCCAGTGCATGGCCATGCGCAATTCGCCTTTCCGCGGCGAATGATCTTTATCCCGGGTAAAATGAGTTTTGGTGATTTGAACTCGCAGGACTGTCTGGATGAGACAGGGGCCATGACTGAGCGAGGTACTTCGTAGAGGAACAAAGCAATACGAGTGCTTGAGCAGTACCACCAAGCAGTCGATATCGTCGCACGCCTTGCTGACAGAACGCTGACTTGACGAACTGGCTTGGTACTGGGCGAAGACGCCTATGACCGCGCCCGGAGACTGGAGCAAGTGGTGTCGCAGCGGTTTGGCAGACTGGCAAATCAATGCCTGTTTCTCTCCAGACAGACAACAAGGGGGCGCCCGTTTCAGCGATCCGGAGCGGGGAGGTCAATCGATAAGATGCCGTGGCAGAGATGCAGTGATGGAAGAAAATGCCTGGTAAAAGCATGCGGGTCCCCTGCATAGACGGAGACAGCGGCGCCGCATGGGATGGAGGGGCATGGCGGCAGCTGATAGGAGCCGGTCGGGCGCTTGACAGTTTAAGCACGAAGGCGAGTTCATGCGCATAGACGCGCCATGGGCATCAAGTCGACGGCAGCGCCTGGGGCCGCACTTCCGAGACGGCGCCAGGCCAAGCGACGGCGATGGAGGAGCTGCAATCCATGGAGACGCGTATGCGGACGCACATCATTGTTCGTCACTCGTGGAGGCGTGGACGTGGCCAAACCGACTGAGCGGCGGCCGTGGATTTGGAATACTGTAAGGGCTGGGTTAGCTTGCTGGTTGGTGGTGATGGAGGGAGGGAACAGCCACCTTGCAGGCGTTTCGGGCCAAGCTCGTCAACGGGGCAAGGCAGCAGCAGGCGTCATGAATGCGTCTTTCACCAGGCAGAGATGGAAGGGTGGGAAACAAAGAGCGGAGGAAGAATCACGACCAAGAGGTGCTGGCTGAGGTAGGCACTGTACGGTAGCGTAGCCCCTTCCTTTGAGAGGTACTGTAATACGGAGCATTACCGCTGGGCGAGTATGTACCTGAGCGCCTTTGTACTGTAAAGTTAGCCGCACCGGTCAATCTGCCCGGAGTGCCTACCGCCGCGGTACTCCCCCATAATTACTGGTGCTTGCAGTGCCGATCTAACGGCCCAAGCAGGGCAGGAATTGCCTAACCGGGCTAAGGGCCTCCGTTTCCGGCCAGGAGAAGTGCTGGGCGAGGTGATTTGTCCCCGGAGTATTCCCGGAGTCCTGACTAAGGCTTTCCATGACAAACCAGCTCCGTGGTAATCAAAGCCCGACTGTCTGTGCTCTCGTTTCCACACCGACAATGCCAGACTTTGCTGTACCTGGGGACTCTGCACCCACGTGTCTGCCGCCAGGGCATGACGGCATCGAGCCGAGGCCTCCCAAGCCTGTGTGCGCATACCGCACGTTGCGCGTTGGCAGTTGGCTACATGCTTGCTGTACAGTATGTAAGATTGGGCGGATGACGATGCGGGTTGGCCATCCTTGCAGGCCGTGGGTCAATCAATGCATAGGTCCCAACTGCAACATGGACGCTGCCCGCTGAGTGGGTGGCTCTGCTTGCTCCCTCTGGCCTATGGTGAGGCATTTGGCATCCGAGACAGGACTCTGCCATGCCCCAACTGTTGTCGGTGCCGGTAGTGAGGGAGGCTAAAGCGTAGTGGCGTCATGTGCCCGTGCCAATACCCCTCGTCCCTCAACGACCTATCCTCGCCCACCTCACAATGCCTCGACAAGCACCGGCTTAGCCGCCCGACGAGTGAGTGACTTGGTGTCGAATGGCAGCCATCTCGGCTCCCCGCCGCCAGCCTTGAGCCTCCGCCACCCAGACATCTGACACGGAAAACGGGCCCGAGAGCTTCCTCTGTACTCCGTACTCCGTAGCCAGCTCGGCGTTGTACTGAAACCCCAGTACCTACAGTGCGGCTGATGTTCATCGTCTCTTTTCCCTCTCTCCCTGGCTGCACAGGCCGCATGCCATGCAAGGCGAGGTGTGTACAGATATGCAAGGCCCGGAACCCAAGCCGCACAACGCCGGCATCGTGCCATTGCAGTTCTGTATGCTGTATGTACGTAGCCGCCCAAGCATCAGCTGCCATCGAGGCACAACCTGGATGTGCCTCTTGATCGGCCAGCGCCAAGGACCAGACGTATCTGCGGGACTTGTCGGCTACTGTCGCAAAGGGGCGCGGCTGAGGTAGCCGATACCCGATGGCGGTGCCTGGCCGCAGACCCCAACCATGTCACTGCGGCATGCTTCCCCACAGCCCGCCAGGTATCCCGGCAGTACTTGAGCGGAATCTCTGCCGCGGCCGTGGCCTAGCAGGTACAACCCTACTAGTACTATTACCTGCTGCCTGCGCTGGCTATTTTTTCTCCTCCAACCCCCTGCTTTGCGCCTCTTCCCCTCCTCTTCCGCCCATCCTCTCTCCCTCACCGTCCCCGTCTTTGGTACGACGACAAGCCTGACGCCGGCCTCGACCTTTCAACAGACGTGCCATTTCCCTCTCCCCGCTCTTCGGCTTCTTCTTCATCGGCGCGCGACCTTTGCGACCGGACTTGCCCGGTACCGGACGACGTGTGGGCGGCAATCTCGTCCCGACTTGTTGACGTATTTGGCGCAAATCTGACAAGGATAACTGAAGCGACCGACACCGCTCCGGATCCGTGTGCGACTCACACCAGTCCTCGTGGATTATCGAGCCATCGTTTGGCCCTCACCAGCGTCGTCTTGGACCACGCACGCCAACCCCGAGGTCGTTGCCTTCCCCGCCCCTCGCTCGAGCTGCTTCTTTGTTGCGCCGCCCGACTTCTCCCCAATCCCGCCAAACAACCGTACGACACGGCGCCACGATACCGCAAAGGCCAGCAAAAGCTCTCCAAAAGCCCTCGTCCTCTGACTCTCCTGCTCATCTGAGCGGCACACTTGGCTGTCGGGTTTTGGATACCCCAAGATACCTGACCCTCTCGTGTCTCGACGACACCTGTCGTCCCAAGGATCAACAAACTCTGCCAACCTTGACCAACACACACATCGGCTGCTCGCGCTGCCACGCGACATAACTGTCGCACAAGATGAAGGTTCGCCATCCCCGCCCCCTACCCCTTTCCAGCCCAGATGCACCTCTCCCCTCGCCGCTCTTTTGGCCCCCTCGCCGCTCGCCGCTCGCCCCTTTCCCTCGTCCCCTGTCCCCTCATCTGCCATTCGTCGCTTGCGTTGCGCGCGCATGCGCCTACTCTGCCTCGCACTGAAGACGTCCTCCTGTCCCTTTGCCCTGAATTCATGGCCCCCGCGGCATTCCTCGCCCTGTCTCGAGCATTTTCGTCATTTCGCATCGCCAAAATAAAACCCCGCTCCACTCTTTACACCCCTTGATTTATTCGTCTCGGGTCTCAACGCTAACCGCAATGGATCTTATCAAGGCCCTCCGCCGGTCTATGAAAGGCGGCGACAAGCACAAGCAAAGTCCCTCCATTGGATCCTCCAAGGCGGCCGTCGCCATAGTTCCACCCAAAAAGGTTGGTCTTTCGCTCCCGCTTTGCGTCCCAGATTTCCCTTGTCACTCGACGAGCGCAGCTCTCGCGCCATTCGCAGGCGCACTGCCGTTGCTTGGCCTGCGCAACGACAATGTGACTTAGAGGCGCGTAGCTGCGCATCAATGAAAGGCTGCTGCTTACACCCAGGCTCAAGGTCATACGAGCCAACGACGACTACCAGCCCGACGAGGCCTTGGTGCAAAGCTTCGCAAAAGCTGGTGTACTGGTCCTGGGCTTCTCAAAGGGCGACTTCTTCCACGTCATCGGCCGCGAAGACGATCCTCATTGGTACGAGGCATGCAATCCCGCCCTGCCTGACGCCCGCGGCCTCGTGCCCGTCTCGTACTTTCAAGTGTTGGGACGCACCGAGAGGGACAGCACGCACTCGGACAGCGGGAGAATGCCCGCGGCCAAAAACCCGGACCATGACTCGGGCTACGGCGAAAACGCCATTCAGCACGTCTCGGCCCCGCCTCAGCGCAACTCCAAATCCTCCAAGACTGCGGGCACCGTCTACGCCAAAGTCCGCCATACATTCACCGCCCACCCGACTCGCCCGGACGAGCTGTCGGCCGAAAAAGACGAGAACCTCATCATCATCGCACAATCGAACCACGAATGGGTTGTTGCCAAACCCATCATGAGACTGGGAGGCCCCGGCCTGATCCCCCTGGACTTCATCTACGTCTTTGAAGAGGTTCCCATGGGCACAGGCTCCGGAAACGGCCCGACGCCCGTCGAAGACCCGCGAGAGGCACTGAAGAAGGCCGGCGTGCCGAGTGTGGAGGAATGGAAGAGGATGGCTGCCCAGTACAAAAACAGTAGTATTACCCTGGGCAAGTTTGACGGCGCCAAGGCCGCTGCCGGGCAGCAACCTACAATTGAGCAGGGCATGGGGCGACTGAGCCTTCAGCAGCCTGGTGCACGGCACAGCAACCAGAATGGGTCTCAGGTAAGTTGCTCTCGGCCTCAAGCACCGCGCCGCTTCCTTTGTGGCTCGTTGGCCACCACTGGATGAGTTCTGACATTTCATGGCACAGCTCCAAGGCGAGTATCAGGGCAATGCTGCGCCAGGCCAACAGCCGGTGCAGCAGGATCCGTATGCTTCACAGTCGGCCTCGCAACTGTATGCGCCTATTTGGGCGCGGATACCACGATACTGCTACGCAGAGAACAAGTACTGGTTTGTCATCGAGGCAGAGCTCGAGGACGGTCGATGTTGGGAGTTGTCGCGATACTACCAGGACTTTTACGACTTCCAGATTGCCCTCTTGGCCGAGTTCCCTGCCGAAGCAGGCAATGCGGGCACCCAGAAGCGAAGCCTCCCATACATGCCCGGCCCCGTGAGCTACGTCACAGATGCCATCACAGAGGGCCGTCTGTACAACCTGGACGCGTACGTCAAGAACCTGCTGAACCAGCCGCCGCACATTTCCCGATGCGATCTGGTCAAGCTCTTCTTTGCACCTCGCGAAGGCGACTACGAGATCGAGGCCAACGCCAACGGCGACGAAGAATACCGGCTGTCCGAGGGCTCGCGTCAGTCATCTGTCGACTACGCCGCGAATCCGGCATCCAGACGCTCTTCTCCCAACGACTCCAACGGATACGGCTACTCGGGTCTCTCCGCCACTCCGAGGCAGGGCAGCGCCTCGCAGCAAGGTAGGACGCCGCACGCCTCGCCCCTGCGCGTTACTCGGCTAATTTATGTTGCAGGTGCAGCTCAGCCACAGCAGCCGCAGGCATCGGCCATGAAGATCAAGGTGCGATTCAAGGGAGACGTGTTCGCCATGCGAGTGTCGACCGATGTGCAATACGAGGAGCTGTACGGCAAGATTCGCGAGCGGGTCAAGGCGGTTCCGGGAGAGCAGATCCAGCTGTTCTACCAGGACGAACCAACCGGGGGCCTGCAGAACTTGACGAGCAACAACGACCTTGACTTTGCTCTGCAGCGCAACGAGAAGCTCACGCTCTATGTTGAAGTTGTCTGAAGAGGACTGCCTCGACCTTGGTGGTGGAACCCTCCTCGATATCCCCCGCAGACCCACTCCTCCTGAGTCGGCCCGAGCTATGGCAACATGCGTGGCCGACATGCTATACGCTCGAACTTCTTTTGCTTCAATCGCCTCCCCTACGATCCTGGAGAGGACTCTGGCCGTTTTGGCCCCTTTCGCTCTTGCAATGACCACTGATACCCCCGTCACTTGCTGTTTTTTGAGAAGCTCGACGCTCGTCGCCCCGACCAGTCGCCTCTCTCACAACCCCAGCACCTGTGTGAGATGTCGTCCGTCGGGGAAATTTATCCGAAAAGGCGCCTCTGGAAGCTGGAAGATGAGTGGCGCTTTGGTCCTCGGATCCGCCAGTTCTGCATGTGCCCAAAGCACCTGTGTCTGGTGGGGGCGTTGGGCTTGCTTTCTATTTTCTTTATACATTTGTTTCGGCAAGGCGCCTTTAGGCGACCTTGTCTCACCAGTCTACACAAGTGGCCCTGGCCCGGGGACGGCGTTCACGGAAGGCTGACTTCTGTCTGAAGATTTTGCGCGGTGATGACATGGGGGCGGCTTGATACCTTGCTCGGAGACGGAATGCCCGAGAAAATCCCAATGAATGAAGCTGATGTTTGATTTGGCAACGGCGACAGACGGCACCTGCCTGCTGTTTGTTCAAAGGAACGATAATGAAGTTGACGAGGAGGTGGTGGGGCAAGCATTACAGACTTGTCCGAGGCGGAGTGGGTTGCTTTGCACGACGACAACGTTGGGTGTAGATGCTTTGACGAGACAAAGACGGAAGTTACACTATAACGTGGCGATGAATATACCTGGGATGATTGCTGAGTTGCTTGTGGGCCTTTTCGATGCCCCTGTGAGTCGTCTTGATTTGAAAAGTCGGATGTCTAACCACTCTATACCGGCCCTGGAACCTGGTATTGCCCATGAGGGCAGCCATATACGCATGCGTTTACCATAACGCCTTGATCCCGCAATGTGTGCATGAAGGGGGTATGAAAGAGAACTGTGAAGCCACAGGAACGGATGCATGTGAGACTAGGCGCCGATGCTCAATCAGCAGAGTCCGTGAGGGAAGAGGACCTGAAATAATACACGAGGACCACCGTCGGGTCACTCGAGCGGCTGCATCAGCCGGCGTCGGAGCTTGAAGTTGACGACGCCGCCCACGCCAAAGGCCGGGACAATGCGGCATACCCTGGCGGCGGCGGAGACGAGCCAGTTTGAGCAGACGGTGCGGCAGCGGTGGCTCCAGGGGACCTGGGGCGAGCGGCCTGGACGGTTATACAAGTCGAGGCCGAGGAGGTGGAGCGGGGTAGAGAGGAGCTGGACGGCGGCTGGAGCGAGGAACTGAGCGGTGGTGTGGCCGGAGAAGTGTCTGCCGAGGTCGGCCGAGAGACGGGCGTCAATATAAGGGGCCAGCAAAGGCGGAAGGTTGAAGGAGGCGAAGATGGTGACGCAGTCGCGCAGGGCGAAGAGGGCGTAGCACGGGGCGGGGACGGGGCGGGGCGGGCCGTTGGCAAACATGCGAACAAAGGCGCGGTCCTTGTAGATGCAGAGGGCGACGTTTGCGGCAGACGAGGCGGCGAACTTGGCCGGGCCCGAGGAGACGGCCGAGGCGGGGCGGTCGGGGCGGAGGAAGGTTGAGGAGAAGGTGTCGACGGCATTGGCGGTGAGATAGGTGCCGCCGTAGAGTAGGAAGATGAGGGCCGTCGGGCGGGAGAGGAGGGCGGCGCGGGGGGTGCGGAAGAGGGCGGTGATGGAAGCGTGGAGGGAGGCGGAGACGGAGGCGGCGCGGCCCGAGGCGTTTTCCATGATGGAGCTGCGAGACGGGTCAGGAGTCGGATCAGGAGGGAGACAGAGGGTAAAAAGGAGAGAGGGGGAGCTTGCCGGTCAATGACGGAGATGACGGGGGCGACGAGGGCGCCGGCGGCGGCCGCGCTGGCCATGTCGGCGGCGAGGCGCCAGGGGAGGTTCTTGGTGTTGCATTGGCGGCGCGGCTTGGCGAGAGCGGCAGCCGAGGAGACAGCGGCCGACGAGGGGGCCGACGAAGCCGCGGCGCTGTCGTCGGGCGGTCTCATCATGGGAGAGGAGGCGATGTTGGCCGAGGTCGGGGGGGGACGGGGGACCGAAAGAAGGAGGGGTGGGCGGTTGGCTTGAGAGCTCTAGAGCACTTGGGCGACGGGACGAGCCACATGCATCTCTCTATCTTCTTGTCCGGCTTCAGGTTTGTCGGATTGGCTGTTGCTGGGAGCGCTGGATCGGCGCAATGGCGAGAGTGCGTGGGATGGGTTTTCCTCTTGGCCTCGATGGGTGCTTTTTTTTCTTGGGCGGGACGCGGTGGCAGGGGCTGGCGGAGCATGGACCCTGAAGAAACAGGCCCCGCCAGAGGCTGGTTGCAGGGGGTTCCGAGTTCGGAACAGCTTCCCGAGTGCGATTGAAGATATGTACTTGTACTTGGAGACGATGCAGCTGGCGTTGCACCACCCGAGAGGCAGGGAGCCGATAGCACGCCACTATTTATTGTGCTTCTGTTCTTGGGCTGCACATATCTATCTCCGTGGACTGACGGACTCCCGCTGGTCAACAGCTCGTTGTATTTTAATGACAACGTACCTTAATACGCGGCAATTGGGGGGAGAGGGGGGATGGGTTCAGAAGCCCCATACCTCCAGCCAACGTAGCTCTCACTCACTACATACGTGAGCGCTCGACTCTCAGAGCATATCCGATCTATCAATCCCACGTCTCTGCATGTGAGCTCTTGTCCAGAGCGTGCGTGCAGCCGGCTGTCGACATGCCCGCGTCCTGGGGACAGCTGGGGACAGGGTCTTCGCTCTACCCGTACCCTGTCTCTTCCGAGGAGGACCAGCCAATCCTCCCTCAACAAAGCTCCTCGAATTGAGGCGGGAAGAAGGGCAGCGTTTGAGCAGTCGACCGAAGCGTGCATTATCTACATGATTCGACGGCGGGAAGCGACATGAGAAAGGCCGCTTGCAATGGTGCCGAAAGACGCCAGTATCCAGGGAAAGCGGGAGGAGCCGGCGCCACTGCCCGTCGACGAGATTGTGCGAATTGCATTGTCGCTGCGATCTGATGCGAGGAGCAGCGGCCAAAGCGAATCGCGCAAATCCCATCTCTCGTGGGATAGAGGGCGGGGTTCTGGCCCTTCCTGCGCATGAGTCGTTGGTCCCGTCCACCAGAAGGCTTCAGTGCGCTGACCAAAGCCTCCCCTGCGACGAGCGTGGAGCTGTCGAGTGGCGTGCCGAAGCCTCCAGGTTCTCACAGCCAAAGCGTTCACAGCATTGGCGATATCTGCGTCATCCACAGCCAGCCGCCCAGGATCGGCACGAGAGCCAGCAGCAGCCACCACAGCTCGACGGTTAGCTTGGTATGAAGACCCGACCGCCAGCGGCTGGGCCTCTTGGACCGGTGGGAGCATGCCCGGGTCCCGTGCACGAGACACCCGAGCCCCGGCCGAGACTCGCACTCGACGTGTTCTCTACGGCGCTGCATCAACAGCCTGCAAGCCGTCAGTAACGCTGTCCCGAGCCTAGTAGAGGTCGAGTCGAGACTCACGGCACGCTGCCGCGGCAGAATCGAAGGTCGCTGCCGAGGTCACAGCGCCGGTCGTTGGGGCATTCGAGGTGTAGGCGGCGCCGCTCGACCAGCCAGTCAATCTTGAGCTCGATGCCCGTGTCGACGATGCTGTAAAAGTGCCGGCTGGTGTGCTTGAGAGACAGGGCGTCGGGGTAGATGAGGTAGTTTGCGACGGCCAGGTGGATCTCGGGCGGCAGCGATGACAGGCTGGTCTTTCGGCGCGTCGGCACGGGGGCGGCGCGGCGGCCGAGCTCCGGCGCAGGGTCCGGGACGGGGCTCCGGCAGGGGCAGACGGTCGGAACCATGGCGGGCAACAGCGGGGGAAGCGAGTCTGATGGACGTGACGACGGTGCAAGGTCATTGTCGCATGAGATACGGCAGTTCAAAGGAAGCCCATCTGAGTGCTGTTGCTGCTGTCCTTTGGCCCCAGGGATGAGGTGGTCTAAAAGACGGTCGCGTATCCGCTCAGGCACCAGGTTTCAGCGTCAGACGCATGACCAAGACAAGGGCGCCCGCTAATGAGATGGGGGCCTGTTTCTGCCAGTGCTGAACTGCAGCAGCCGCCTCTGCGTGAGCCGCAGCAGGCAGCGACCAACTGTCGGACGGCAGGATGTCTTTTGCTGGAATAGCGACGTCAGCGCAGCGACTGCCAGGCAGCAACCACTAGGGGTGATAGACGAAGGTGAAGATTTTGAAGATTTTGAATGAAGGATGAATCAAATGAATTGAATTTTTTGGATCTTGATTCAAAATCTTCAAGCTCCAATTTTCGCGATTCAAGTTGGGTTTGGGCCAATTCAGGCCATTCATGAATGGTTTGAAGGATCCCTAAACGAAGTGAATTTGGTGTGTACCTGAGCGATTGCAAAGATGCCTCAAAAACGCCAATAAGTAGTATATAGTTTTAAGTTATAGCCTTCTAAGAAGTCGATAATCCCGAATACTACAAAAATTAACTTACATAAATACTGATCCGCCTGTCCTAGGCAAATCGACTGAAAATAAGCACTTTCAAAGCTCTGCCGAATCCTCAAAATACGTCGGTACAACGCGTTCGAATCCGCCACTGTACACGGCTACACTCTTAGAGCCCCAATCCTCCGAAGCCTCCATTGTATCTAGACAGGGGGTTGATATCGCAGACTTATCGGCTTGGGATGCAGGAGGTTTGGGGGTAGGGGTTCAGTGGGAGCCTCGGTGGGAGGAAGAGGTTGAGGAGGATTCTCGCCTGAACACAGATTAGCATATACCTACATATATAATGAGGGTATATCCATACATACCATCTTCCAGCTTGCCCGGAATGTGGTCTGGTCTCCAAATAATACTATTGGCAAAGGGCAGGATGTCATACTCCATGGCCGCCTTGATCAACGCCTGATCGATCTTATCTTCCTGAGTATAAGCACTCCGTAAAAGTGTTAGTACTCGCACCGTATCTGCCTTCAAGGCGTGACGGCGGATACCGAATTCGTCTCTACAACCGCTGAAGAGGCGTTCCACGTCAACTTCAGAGCCAGAGACAGAGAGAAGATCACGCGCCGCCGCAGCCAAAAGTGGCCACTCGACCTTGTGTTCTTTCCACCACTTCAGTAGGAAGTCTGGAGACTTTGCAATAGACTCGTCGAACTCTATTCGAGGAGCTGCAAGCCACCGTTCAAGCTCCGAAATAGGGATCGCCGCGCCCGTCTCCGCCTCCTCGCCTTCTTCATTTGGATGGCTCTCCATTGCGCAATGGAGACTCCTTGAGGACGCTCAGCTGGTCTGGATTGGCTCATAGTTGAGTTTGTGGCATTCAATGCTGCTAGCTCCGGCCACTCCGTTTTGAAATACTTCTTGACTTTAGCCATAATCTCAGAGTATTGATCCGGTATCATCATTTCCAATTGGTGAGTTTTATAACGCGGATCCAGGATGTGAGCTGCGAATAGCATCATTTGATCGTCAAGCTTCTTCATATAAGTAACGTGTTTTGCTTTGCCCTTCGAGAAGGCGTCTCGAATGGACATATCAAGGTCTGTAAAGTCGCCAACTCCTTCGACTACATCATCAAGGAGAGCTTCCAAATCCCAATAGATATCGAGACTTTGTGAGATCGGCGGCATAACTTCGGAGACTTTCAGAGTGTGGTCTTTAAACGGCTTCAGAACCTTCCGCAGTTTATAGAGAGCGACAATCTCTTCTGATAAGGGCAGGAGGCACTTGACTTGCGGGTGAGTATCAACGAACTCAGTATACTCTGCCTCAAGCTCGAGGAATTGGTCAATCATGTCGTAGGCCGAATTCCAGCGAGTGTCGACATCGTAGGTTGGCTTCCGGTAGTGCGTGCGCGGCATGCTTTTGAAGTCTTGCTCCCTAGACCCGGATCTCAACATCCAGAGATTGAGGAGGCGGATTTTGGCAATCCCACTTCGACTAGAGTCTCCCGGAATGGTGTAGTTGTTGCTTTTATTCTCTTCGTCCCACTTGTCAAGCATCTTCTTGGCTTCCTTCGCTGTGCCTGCTTTGAGATCTTGCAAGACGCCCTCACAAATGAGCGAGGTAATATGAGCTAGACAGCGGATCCAACTCTTCCTGCCGTGAAAGCGCATGCGGGCCTCCTATTGGGCTCACCTTGTCGTCGAATTTGGTCTTGAGAGAATCGTACAAAGACTGACAGAGCGTGCCGTTATTGCCGGCGTTGTCTCCCGTAATGGCGAGAAGCTTAGGCTTGAGCCTGAGCTCCTCAAGCGTCCTCTCAACTATCTCAGCTAATTGTTTGCCAGTGTGAGATCTTTTGAGCTCAATAAACTCAATAACTTCCTCTCTCTCCTCAAACTCCGGTGTAATCCAGTGCGCAATAATGGCGAAAATGGGCACCCGATTCGGTGCTGTCCAGATATCAAGGGTGAACGAGATGGTGGCACAATTGTACTCAAGCTCAATCTTCAGCTTCTCCCTGCGTTCGACAAAGTCTGTATATATATGATTGCGTAACGTTATACGACTCCTGTACACACATGTTGTGTTGTGAGCCAAGAACATCTCTTGAAAAGCAGGAGTCTCGACAACAGAGAAGGGTTGTCGGTGTTTTACAAACCACCGGCGGATAGACTCCTTTGCCGTGAGTCTTGCTCTCTGCCTAGGTCGACCGCTCCATGCGTCTGCCTCTGTATAATCTCCTCCACCAATGGCGCGGCCGTATCCATTAATTCGAGCGTGGTGAGATTCCTTCGTAATACCGTGGATTTTTAAATGGTCTCCCATGCCAGAGGTAACCCTCGGCGGTTCGATTCGAGGACCTGGAATCTCTTCCGAAGAGTATTGGGATTTTGAAGGCACTCTATACAAGTCCACCGGAACTCTTGGAAGATCTTCGGCCCATCCTTATCCTCTGAGTAAAAGCTTCTGTCTATAGCTTCCCTCTGCATATACCAATAGACGTGGCTGTTCTTGTCTCTCTTCTTGCGAACATGCTTTTGTTTGTTGTCGGCCCACTTCTTGATAAGTCCGGCTTTCTCTGCGAGCGTCATATGACTACTGTTCAATGGCGGCTCTGGTGTATCCGCGTCGGGCATGTCATCATCTGACTCACAGTCAGGATGACCCGGGGGCGCGCAGACAATTGTATCTTCGCCAGTTGGAAGAGGAGAGGAAGGAGCCGGAGTTGCGCTAGAATCAGCGCGCGCGCGCGCGGGATTCCGAGGGTTGAATTGAGGACGTTCGATGCGGGCATAATTCTGCGTTGGCAATTTACGCCGGGTCCTTGGAGCAAAGAAATTCGCTGCGGCAGATGTTTTTGTTTCAGCAGGGGCCATACTACGTATCATGTTATAATTAGCTATCCACTCGTAAGGTAATTAAATAAGGAGGGTAGATTGAGAGTAATGAAGTTTTACCTGATCTTGGCTGAAAGGCTCGAGAATGGACGCGACACAGGTAGTCGGAACGACACCAAATAAACCACAATAAAGTGTCAAGGAGTCGGGGTTGAACGGGTAGGATAGGTCGTCGGTCAGGGCGTTGATTCGGGGGCTGATCCGAAGCCGCTGTCGGAATATCGAAGCAGGAATTAGGCGAGGTCGTGGTAAAATAATGTCGTGGCAGTTGTCGCGAAGACCGTTGCGCCACGCAGGCAAAAGGTGGATGGGCTGACGACCCTGTCTTTCCGACAGCAGTAGAATTAACAGGTGGTCAACTGAGCGGAAATAACGCGTCTGAACGCGGCTAGTTGGCACAATATATCCTTATCATGCAGATTTTTCGGGTACTTCCTGATCGGCTAATTTGTATGGACAAACAAGTAGCAGTCATATTGGGCTCGAGGAGTAGATAAGTCCCTAACAGCCTCCAAATCGCGAGCTGACTCGATTCGTGTCACTTCCAATTGTTCGCGCAGTATTGAGATGTTGAGGATCTGAACGCGTTTTCGAATCAGCTTGCTGGGGCTGTACAGCGGTATAATTATTATATTATATATCCAGAATATGGGTTGCCGAGCTTAATATGTGCTTGAAATGTAGTATTCCAACCAAAAAATGGGCTATCCATTGATTGCCTTCAAGATGATGTGGCATTTCTTGAGCAAATGTTAACGACATGTAACTATCGAGGGTTATATCATCCGAACGAGAAAATCCAGAACATTCGAGCGGCACTACATTTAAATCATGTGCATTATAAAATGGCACTGTTCATGAGCTTCATGTGTGTGTGTGTGTGTGTATTTTCCGTCCAGCGGCCGTAAGGCCGCTCAGGTCCCGGTGGGGCACAGGACGTGCTGAGCTAGGCTATCGAGAAAATCCTGCCACAGTAGGCCTCACCCAGCGCTTCTTGCAAGGCCTCGCAAGGGCGAGCTGTCGGGCTCAATCCCCGGAGACGGCTTTCCCCCTCCACCGGTAGGTTGTCGCTAAGCCCGTCAATACAAGTGTCCGTGGCTATCCTCTGCAGCCAGCCTTCCCGAAGTCCATCCAGCATTTCATCGGCTCTAAGGCGCTCAGTGTCGGAGCCTGGTGCCCGTCAGCGGGTCGTCCAGGCGCGTGGCGATTGCCACAATGGTCAACCCTTGGTTTTGTCCGGTCAGAATTCTCTCGCTCTCTCGCTAACGCTGCTGTCGCAGTCCATGCTTCGGTAACCAGGCGATGGAAATAGCGCAGGAGCGGCGGCAGGGAAAAACCCTCGAAGGAATCAGAGGCTGTCGTGCAGCTTGCCTTCAGGAGAAAAACCTGCGCAACCAGCCACCGTTGTTTAGAAGGGCGGGCCTTCCAATACCCACAGCTCCTTGGTTCCGAAGGAAGCTGTGAGGTCCGTGTGGACGTGTTGTCGAGACCGGCTTTGCAGAGGAATATGAACTCTCCTAATGTCTTCCTCTGTGCTGTTAGGGCCACGATGGACCCGGGCAGCAAAAGCGCGGTCGGGTGGCCTGCAAATCCGGCCCCCTGCTAGCGAGCCGCTAACAGCTCTGACGGGGGAAGAATTTTTACAGGGGAGAGTTTCATGAGCTTCATGGTGTTTTTTAATACTCCGTATAGGGTGGCAAGATTGCTGAAACGGTGGCGTATCAGGCACTGTTAGGGTCGTTATACCACAATATATGGACGCCCTAACTGCCGTCCTTCGCCTCGATTTCCCCAGCGACGCCCCCGCCAGACGCGGGCGGCGCGGGACTAGGATTTTGCCAGTGGAGTGTGGACGGTGGAATCCAACTGAAACACGCACAACAGACTTTTAAATACGCAGAGCGTCATCACAAGCGCGGCCGAACTCGAAGTTACCGTGTCCGCGCGGGCAAACCCTTAATGATGGGGTCAAAGCAGCTTGTTTATTGATGTGTATGTGAGCCTGCCGAGGAAGAACAGGAAGAGGCCCTTGGTGGGTGGCTTCGGGTATTGACCCTTTCCTCCTGTATGTCCCTTGGCCGCGAAGCGGGTGATAATTTTTTCGCCTTACGTTTCGACCATATCGCCATTCATTCACAATTTTTATGAATGAATTGAATGAAGACTCCTGATTTTTGATTCGTCGAATTTGAAGACCTTACCCGATTCGGCTTCATTCAATTCAAGGGTCCCGAGGCCGATTCGACTTCAAAATCTTCAAATATCAGCCCTAGCAACCACGGCAAGCCTTAGGCAACCACGAGGCGGTTCTGAAGACCCCGGACGAAGCCTCGGAAGGGCGTACGTGGGTCATTGCCATCGAGGGTTGATGGGAAATTGATGGATGGCTCTTTGCCGCTTGCCGCCGTGTGCAGAGGGGGGGCTGCATGGAGCCAACAAGTCCGACGGCTGGAAGATGAGGCGATTCATCAATGGCGGCTTGGCTTGCGGCTCCAGTGGAGCAGTGGAGGAGGCTGATTAGTTAACTAACTAGCTGATCTGTCCGGCGCCTGAACGCTGCAGCCAATCAGTGCTAATGCAGAATCAGCGGCTAAAGTGGCCACGTGACTCCGCGTAGCCGTCGCGTGCACCAGAATCGCCGCCGCCACCCTCTTCAGCTCCGGTGCCACCCAGCTCGAGAGCGGCTCAAGCACCATGATCCACTATGGCCCCAGCCATGGCCGTACCCGATGCCCCGGACAGTGACAGCGACTACGGCTACGACTTTACCCCCGAGGAAGAGCTCGAGCTGATCCAACTTGCGTCAGAAGCCGGCGCCGTCCTGTCCCGCGGCCCGTCTGCGAAGGAGACGAGCGTTGCAGCTGCCGTTGACTCGATACCGGACCAGGCAGACGACAAGCCAAGCAACGGCATCGACCGGCGGGTGCGCCATGCATTCTCGCCTTCTCTGGAGAGCCCTGAGGCGACCGCTCTGGTCCGACAACGGGACACGGCTGCGTCAGGCAAGACGCATCGTCCCTCACCATCAGCAGTTTCGGCTTGCGCGAACATCATCTATCCCGACTGTTCGTAGCCTCTAGAGTGCCACCCGTCCTTCAAACCTGCTGACTCGAGGTCCAAGCGCCTAGTGAGTCGGGCCCTGTCCGAGCTTGGCCGTGGCCCTGACGATATCCCGCCGGACAGCAACGCCGGGCCCGAGACGACGGATGACCGCTCGCCGTTGCAAAGATTCCGCTCGTTTCCCCGCAAGCCCTTGACCGTCAGCGATCTCACCTCGGGGGCCTGGTGCGAGCTGCAGTACTGGTACACGCTCACCAGGCTGCCCGGCGGAAGGCGAACCCGAACCAAGGCCATGCGTGGCGGATCCAAGGTCCACCAGGTTCTAGAGGACCAAGTCCACACCAGAGTCAAGATCGACGTCGTGACCAGGGAAGATGGCTTTGCCCTGAAGCTCTGGAACCTCGTCCAGGGCCTGAGAACGCTGCGCGAGACGGGACTGACGCGCGAGCTCGAGGTCTGGGGCATGGTCGACGGCAATCTCGTCAACGGCATCATTGACGGAGTCAGCCACGAGAACCCAAACCCGGAATTCGAGAAGGAGCTCTCTAGCCAAGAGTCGGATCCAGGCCTGAAGCAGTCGACTCTCACCGACTACTTCCCGCCCAAGAAGGACACCAATGGAGCGGCGTCGGCTCCCAAGGTCTATCTAACAGACGTCAAGACTCGCGGAAGCGTGGCGCCGGTCTCCAAGGTCTTGCTCCGCCCTGCCAAAATCCAGCTGCTGCTGTACCATCGCTTTCTCGCTGACATGGCGTCTGGCCGGCTGGACTTTTTCGCCATGTTTAGGCGCTATGGGCTGAACCCGGACAGTGTGCTGTCCGACGCCTTCTTGGCCCAAATCGCCGACGTGCACGAGGACGAGTTTTACGACGCGCCGTCAAGCCCCACCAAGCCGGACAATGACGTGGACGACGAGTCTGACCATGGCTCGACAGCCTCTTCTTGGACGGGCGACGCGCTCAAGTACCGGACTCTCCGGGAGCTCCTGTCTCTGGTTCTTGAGGAGATCAAGCTCGCGTTCCCCCAGGGCCAGGACTCACTAGGCCACATGCTCCGCGTGCAGTACATCCACCGAGAGGACGCCCGCGAGCTCGACGTGCACGACTTTCCCGTCTCGCGGCAGGCGCTGGATGCCTACCTGGGCAAGTACATGAGCTGGTGGCGCGGCGAGCGCAAGGCCAAGGGCGTGGATATCGAAGAGGCGTTCAAGTGCCGGTCGTGCGAGTTTGCCAACGACTGCTCCTGGCGGCAGTCCATGGACGAGGAGCGGGTGCAGAGAGTGCAGAGCAGGATGCAGACATTGAGACGGGCGAGCGGCGCCTGACGGACATGGCGGAACGAGTCTTTTTCTTCTTCTTTTTCTGGATGCATTGGTAGCCGTCGTCTGTTATTTGTGCATTTTTCATGTCAATTCAGCCATGATTGAGGAGGAAAGAGAAGGACGAGGACTGGATTTGGCATCTCGAAGACGGCCTTAGATCTTCTTTGAGGACAGACAAGGACCAGGCGTGGACCTGTTCATTTCGCAAGACTCTTCACCAACGTGGACTTTAACATTTACAGGCCGTGCCTGCACTACACGACGAGAGCGTTAATTTGGTGCCGCATTTCGACAATGACTTATCCGAGTTGTTGGACGTCCATGAATCTCCACCATTATCTTTTCAGCCTCCTGGTATCATATTCGATCTGGGAATGTCCTCTCTGGCCTTAGATCCGCACGCTCTCACACGACAAGACCCTTGACCTGCTTAAAGTCCTTGACACGGATGTTGCGCCAAACGGCGACGGACACGACGGCCAGCGACAAACGCACATGGACTGGATGGCGAGGATGACGGCGACGTGCTGGTGGGAGACGGAGGCCGTGGTGGCCATTTGCTCGCAGACGGCTATAGTGCCGCCGGCGCTGGCAATGAAGATTAAGCACATGACGACGCAGCTCTTCCAATCAACGGACTACCAACCACGCCCCTCCGCGCCATCACCTCTTGGCTCGGGGTTTCGGGCCCCTTGTTCGCCAGCATTCTTTCCTTCATCGGGGCCCCGACCGAGGCCAAGGGTGCGGGCTCCCAAGGAAAGGCGTTGAGATATGTCAAGGGCCACATGAAGCTGGATTACGCGCTGGCTGTCGAGTGCGAGGCAAATCTTGGCCAGAACCGCGTGATCTTGCAGGTCCAGTCCAGCTTGTCGGGCTTCGTTGGAGGATCTGGAAAGCAGGCTCGAGAAGATTGAATTCCTGGCTGCGTCCATCAATAAGTCAAGCGCAGGCATTGAGCAAGGGACAATTCAACCGACAGATGAGGATGACACCTGGTCGCCACTTGAAGAAACGATTCGGGACATCGTTGCCGGCTACTGCGGCACGAGGAGCGATCGGATCAACCAGATCACGCCCTTTATCAGATTCGGCATCGACTCCATCACAACCATCCGCTTCGCAAAGCTACGCCGGGAGCGGGGTGTGCAAGTTCGGGTGCCGACGTCGTCAGGAACCGGAGCATCAGGGGTCTCGCGCGGCATGTAAAGTCCTCGGACAGCGCCCTCCCCAATGGCCGACAGCAAAAGACAAGGACGAGTCAAGAATCAGAATGGGGTCTTGAAAATTTGAACGGCATCGTGCCACCGAGCGTCTTAGGCGGCATCGAATTCGTCTACCCCCTGACGCCGCTCCAGGCTGGAATGGTGAGGGCGACGCTCACGCTGAACCCCAAGCTGTCTTCTTACCACCATGCCTTGAGTCTGCCTCTCGACACTGATGTCTTGAAGCTGAAGACGGCCCGGCACACACTCCTGGAGCGTCATGAAGTTCTGAGGACTTCCTTATTTACACCCCAGGATAAGCTGTCTTTATGGGCCGGCGCTGTTCATAGAGATCCGGTCCTTCGGTGGAAAGAGTTCCACAACCGGTCCCTCGACTGCCAGCACGGGTCTCCCATGGATATTCAGAGGACATGACGTGGTGACGGCGCAGTGGAAGAAGACCTGTTCGACACGTTCTTTGTCTCCCAGAAGGAGGGAGAGGCAGCCTGGAGCGAGCAGACGCCTTGGAGACCGTATGAGTTCCCTGGCGCGGAACAAGCCCAGCCTCTGTCTCATTATCGCCTCAGCATGGAGGCCGGGAAGAGGGCAGATGGATCCCTGGTGGTGACGGCGTCGTCTAGGAGAGCAATGAAGAAGGTTGGGCATCTCCTTGATCTGGCCGCCCAGTGTCTGAAGGACGTTCTGGCTTCGCCCGAGAGGCTGGCCGTCACATTCCTGGAGTCTTTGGCAGATCTACCCCTATCTCAACAACTGACGGCAAGAGATCAGCTCCAAGCAACATTCCAGAAAGAAGCTATCGATAACTTCTTTACTCATCCCATCACCATTCTCTGCGGCGTCACCGGTAGCGCAGTCACTGATATCACACCTCAAACGAGCATCTACTCGATCGGTAGAGACTCCATCATGGCCATTCAAGTCGCAAGCGTCTGTAGGAAAGAGGGCATCCCCCTGACCACCGCCGACATCATCCGCAACACAGAGGTCGGCAGGCTGTGCGAAGTGGCGCTGGCACAGTCTGGGAACGCGTCCGAGCCGAGCACGTCACATCTACAGGGTGCTCTGCCGCTCGTGGAGGCCGCCGAGGTCGACAAGGCACTCTCTCGCCTTGGCGAAGACCGAGGAATGATGGAAGAGATCTTGCCCGTTCCCCTGGGCAAGAGTACCTTCTTGGCTTGTGGATCCGGTCAGGCAAGACCAAGTACGAACTGACCTAGGTCTTACGCGCCCGCCAGAGCCTGGATCCCGGTCGCCTACAGCGGGCATGGAGCATGCTGCGGCGCAGGTTTACGGCTCTGCGCTCGTGCTTCGTGGCCGTGGGCTACGACAGGGCGCTTCGAGTGGCCCTGAGAGCCGAGGCTGCGAATGCGGACTCGGCGAACCTCTCCGTGCAGCCTGTGGACGTTGGTTCGACCCTCGAGGAGACGGCCAGGGGTAGAGTGAGGCGGGCGTACTGAATTACCTCATCGCTCTATCAGCCGCCTGCGCGCATCAGCTGCCCAGGCACTGACGTCGGCGCCCTCGAGGCCGCTGCGCGCATGGCCCCGGAGTCACCGCCCAAAGCTCATCGTAGCCGCCTTTGCGCTGCATGTCGACGGGCTCTGGCTCCGCCGCCTTTGATGATATCGAGGCGCTGGCCGGTCCCACGGTCAACATGCCCCCCCTCGCTGTCCCAGACCACGTCATCCCTCTCCCGAGTCCGGCGCACCCGCCACGGCGGAGCGCCTACAGAGCCTTCAGGAGGCCATGAGCGCGAGGACAGCCTGCGAGCAGAGCAGGCTGCGCGACGTGCTGCGCTCGGGCTGCGCTGGGCCGGCCGCGAGACGTGCTCAGCCCTTTTCAATGCGCACCTCAACTTCCTCCGGGACGACGAAGTGCTCTTTGCAGCGCCCGCCGCCAGGGAGGCTCTATAGATCTGTCATGTGTAAACCAAGTCATACCCAGCACAGACAAACAAACTGCTCCTGTTAGATTGGTGCATTACATCATTGCGATACTTGTCGCACCGGGCCGGCGTCCCCGCGTCCAGGATCCGGCTGCCCTCAATCACAAGTATCTTGTCGGCCTTCATAACGGTCCGGAGGCGGTGGGCGAAGCCGGCCACGGTCACTCTTCTACGGCCGCTCTCATCAGCCTGTCTGATGTGCTCGAGAGACTTCTCCCACAACGCTTCGATCTCTGCGTCCAATGCGCTGCTTGGTTCGTCGAGCAGCAGGGGACGTGGCCTCAGCAGGGCCCGAGCGATACACAGCCGTTGCTTCTGTCCGCCCGAGAAGGACCGCGACCCTGTGGGCCTGCAGGGCTTCTCGTAGAGCGCTGCGGCAGCCCGCCGATTGTGTCGTGAATGTTGGCCAGCCTGGCCGTCTCCTCAATCTCCGCCTCCGTTACCTGCAGAGTGCCTGGACCACCCAGGCTAATTTGAAGGCGACGGTCCCAGATAATAACACAAGGTCTTGGGGCACGAGGGCGACGTCATCCCAGACCGGCAAGTCGTCTTCTTCTTCTTCATCTCCTGCACCGTCAGACTCCGCCCGCCGGGTGATGTCGTATCCATCCAGCCTGATAGTGCCAGACGAAGGCCTGTACAGTCTTCGTAAAAGCGACAGGGTGATCTACTTCCCCGCACCACTGGTGCCGACGAGCGCAAAAAGGACCTGGCCGGGATGTCGAGAGAGATGTCGCGCAAGATGGGCGCGTCGGGGCGGCTCGGGTACGAGAATCGTACGCCGTCAAACGCCACAGACATGCCCACGCCCCGGTTCTTGGGACAAGAAGACACCTGCAGTGCCTCCACCATCGCTCTTTTCTCGACATCGCCTTGGCTGTCACCACTCTTGTCACGGAGCCTGTCCGTTCTTCTATCGGCACAGATGAGACCGAAAACCCGGCGGGCAGCCACGGCGGCTTTTGCGATGTCCGGGCTGAGACTGAAGAGCTGGTCGCTGGACTGAGCCGCGGATAATGTACGACGCTAATAGGAGAGAGACGTGTTGGCTTAACGGTCAAGAGAACCTTTCGAAACAGCGTGTTGTCGTAGGAAGGGAGCGGCGGTTTGCTGGAGCACGATGCAGAGCTGAGCTGGCCGAGGAGCTCGCCGAAGAAGACGGACATGATGGGAGAAGGTACGCCAGCGGCAATGGAGCCGAGGGTGCCGATGACAAGCAGAACGGAGTCGAGGGCAGCTGGCTCGGCAGCCATGGGAGGGCTGAAGTAGCCAAAGGCAATGGCCAGGCGCTTTTTGACGGTGCCATAGTTGGGCGCCGCAGCGTCGAGGGGACCATGATGGGTCATGGTGATGGAACAGCCCACCAGCTTGGCAACAGCAGCTTACGTGCCGACATTGGGAGACACGACGAGCTGCCGAGACTGTCGCGAGGAAGACGCCGGAGTTGGACGTCGATGCTGCAGGACCATCTGATAACGGAGACGTCGAGCAGAGTACGTACCTGTGAAGCTGCCGCTGTTAGTTAGGTATCTAGGTAATTATACCAGTCACCAAAAGTGGAGGCCAGCTGCGAATGGGTGACTGGTAATTATCCGTACATATGGCCTAAGTAGGCACCATCTCTCTCAATAGCCGCTACTGTACACCAGGCAAAATAGGGGCACCCCCATTAGAGATGTTAAGTTACTACCTAGTAAGTTATTAACGCGTATTATACTGTAAGTCTTTTCTCTGCCCTGACAGTACCCGTACTCGAGAGAGGACAGGGGGCTTGCACTGTACATACAGCACCAAGGCGCTCGCGAGTCGCGGCTGCTGATAGTACAGTACCGGTATTAATGGCTCGCCTGCCATCTCGTCAACTTCACCCCATGGGCAAGCATGCAAGCATGTACGGATACATACGTAGAAGCACATGCGCCCCTCTGGTGGAATCGGTAAGTTACCCGGTCGAGACTCGCCTGGCTTCACCGACTCCGACGAGGATGCGAGTCTCTCGAGGCACCCCGGTCTTGCCCGCATGTAAGTTGCTTCTCGCAGCCTCTCCTGTTCCAAGTATGCGCATCCGTGTTAATCATGATGCCCCCTGTCACAATGGCCCGACGATGACTGAACCACGTCTCCATCCCAGGGATCCAAGGACGAGAGCGGCTGCTGTTGGTGGACGCTGATCCCCGCCGTGGCAGGCTGTTCGCGTTACTAGATATTTACCATATTATCACGTTAACCAGTATAATCCGACGGCCGTCAGGGGCTGGGGCGTGCCTCTATCACACAGTATGCCCATCAACGGCGCAGCACCTTGCTGTTTCTGTTTAAAGTTATCAGATCCGAGTCATGTGCTGCCCGGCAAGGCACCTCCTGGATACCTACTTAGCTATGCCCGCCGGGACATCCACACGAGGAATTGCCTCAACTGCCCACGAACTTGCCGATTATCCGCCCTTCATCTTGGCGCCAATTTTGCGTCCCCCTCTTCTCTCTCTTCTTCTCCATCAATCCTGTGGCCCGCACCGTGCGGATGCCCGCCTGACCCGGTCCCTCTCCTCGGTTCCATCTCCCCGGACCCTCACTGCAGGTTGCCACGAGATTGGGCGCCAAGCTGGCTGCAATGGAGGCTCGACGCATGCTAATTAACGAAAGCCGAGGCGATTTCGCTTAGCCTCAACAAGGTGAAGCCCCTCATCCCGGAATACCCTCATTATAAGCTTAAACACCCTATTGCTTATCAACTCCCGCAAGCACCGAGTGGGTTATTCCTCTGAGTTATTCCGCTGAGCACGTTAATGCCTCGGTACTTGGTATGTAAATTCGGAGGCCTTCTACTGCCAAGCCTACATCGAGGTCGCAACCATAACCACCAACTTGGTACCAAGCGTCCAGCTCGACGCCCTTGTCCATCGTCACATTCATCCCCACCTTGTACTTGGGCTTTCCGCTTCTCCTCCTCTTCATCTCAAACTGCCACGCGTGATCCTCCTCTTCTCTAGTTGCTGGTGGTTGGCCAACCCACAACTTTCCATCTCACCCCAACGTCGTCTTGCTGCTGGACCTGGCAACACCACCATGGCCACCAACAGCACCTGCGCCTCGCCTGAAGTCTCTCTGTCATCCCTGTCTCCCGACGAGACCATCCTGCGTCTTCCTCACCCCTATCAAACCGACTACAATCTGCACCGGGCCACGACCCCTGGCCCTCCCCCTCGCAAGGAGCTCGCCGACATCCCTCTGTACCGAATCCGCGAAAAGGTCGGGTCGGCCAAGGCGCCCACACCTTGCAAGCTTGACAACGCCCGCCTCTTATTCTCCGAGCCGACACACCTCAAGTCCAGCGAGCTGCCGCCGGCTGCCAACAACAGCGCTTGGGCCAGGGCAAGGCGATCGCCATGCTCCTTCGTCGTCTGGGACGGCCCTGAAGCGCTGCCCTCGCCGGCGCAGGCCTGGCTACTGCTCTATGTCTTCTTCACCCTGCGGCCCGGCAACGAGTCGATCCGGCTTGAGCTCAGGGGCCCCGGTGCTGCCACGCTGGCTCAGCAGCTGATCGATCTCCTCCTCGCGACTTCACAAGCACCGCCGTCGGGGACCGCGGAAAGCCAGACATCACACTCCGGGCTCGACGAGGCCCTAGTCGTCGCGCGGCAAGGCACCTTCTGGCAGGGCGCGGGCTCTCCGTTTGGGCCTCGTCCCGTCTGGCTGCCTGAGGGAACCCCCCGGTCCCTGCGTTCCTCTTCGGGCCCGTCTCCGTCATACCCCATTGCCCCTCTTCACCACACAATCACCGTTGCCTCGGCCGGCGACCCGCAAGATCCGCATCGCTATCAGCAGTCATATCATCCCATCCGGCCAGCAAAGCCCGCTCCCGGCGCTCTCATCTACAGTCGATGGATCCCTCACATCAAGGAGACCTTTTCCATGGTCGTCCTCGACTGGGAGAATGAGGAGCACCTAGGGCTTCTCCACGGCTGGATGAACGACCCTCGTGTATCCCAGGGCTGGCACGAGGAGGGCACTTTAGAGCACCACCGCCAGTATCTCCGGACCATCCATGACGACCCGCACCAGATGGCTGTCCTTGCCAGATGGGATGACACTTTCTTCGGCTACTTTGAGTTCTACTGGGCCAAGGTAAGGATCTCGCCCCCCTTCTTGAGTCTTTCAGTCCCCATGTAGTGTTCAAGGCTTACCATTGATCGCTCGCGCAGGAGGACCGACTGGGCGGCTACTACGACGCCGGCGACTTTGACCGCGGGCGCCACGCTCTCGTCGGCGATGTGCGCTTCCGCGGGCCGCACCGCGTGTCTGGCTGGTGGAGTAGCCAGATTCATTACCTCTTCCTCGACGACCCGCGGACCATGTACGTTGTCGGCCAGCCGAAAATCTCCGACCCAACCTCAAGTCTCTACGATTTAATCCACGGCTTCCGCATCGATCGGTTTATCGACCTGCCGCACAAGCGGAGTACCGTCAACGGCTGCCCGCGCGGCAAGTTCTTCCAGCTGTGCCCAATGGCGGAGCAGGAGAAGGCTGTGGGTGGATTGCAGTTGGTGCTGGGGCCGAAGCTATGAGGTGAGGCATTCATATCGGGACTCGGCATGATGGGTATTTGATTTCGCGGGGAAAATGAGGAAGATGTAACTCATTTTGGTGGACCTGCTTCATGAGCTTGACGAGACCCTTCACACCATTTGCCGGGAATGGCCCAGTCCTAGTCCACTTTGCCACCTCTTCTTAGCACTACTCTCTATCTGTGGCACGGAGAACTTGAGATGATTATTTACGGAGCACTTAACAATGTTTTGATTTTTACTTCGCCGCCATCTTCCGCGCGTCCCGCGTCTTATTATCCGTAGGGACTGGCCGAGCCCTCTGTGACAGGTTGAGGTCCATCAGTTAAGGTACGAATCATCGATTAAGCTTTACATCCTACTCATCCCTCCCCCCCCTTTTCTCTCATCTCAAAGCCTGAAGCCAGACCCGATTTCCGTTCCCAAGTCTCCTCGCTTGTGAACATGACCGTTCAATTTCTGAGCAGCTGTCTAACGGGGCTTGATGGCCACTGTGGGGGTTCAATGGAACCCTCAAGACCCTGGAATCTTGAGTTTCAAGAATTATTGCAACCTTACGGTTTCTTTTGGTGAGTTGGCATCTCCGAGAACGGTGGCGTTCTTGTTTATTTTGTCACGTATGCTCCGGCGATGAGTAAAGGGGCCAGCAACTCACTTGGACCAGTTTCTATTGAACCCAAATGCAAGTCGACGAGTCACAGACTGTTGGTGAAACACCATTACTACGACCTCGTACTAGAAGGGCTCATCTCAGGCTGTTTCGGGGATATTGGGTTCTTGACAGACTCGCAACGCATTGTGGGGCAGCAAGCCAAGGCGGGCTTGAAGATACCAAGGCTTGGAAACATTCAAACTTTGACAGTGACGATTATGAATGCATTAGCAAGGGTGGCGTGATAATGCATTCTATCCTGGACCGAAGTAGAGCTCCCGACAGTGTCTGCGTGTCGGAAGTGACATGACTATGCCAAAGCCAACTCAATTGTATTCTCTTAGACCATCGCTATGTCGTGCTTACTTGGAAGCGTCCGCGCAGTCGCTGGACCACAGTTTCATCAGTTTCAAATATTTTCGTCTGACAGGGAGGAGGAGTGGGCGCCCAGCTCGTCCTGTGCAACGCTGTCTTTTCCTCAACCCTCATCTGGATCAAGCCCTCTTCCCATCCTTGAGGCAGGGTTAACTTGGCGTCTCGGCCTCACCACTTGAATTGCACGTACCCCGTATCAGAGGCCCCTTTAACTGTTAGAGATATGATTGACGCTTCACGATGTTTGATCAACGGGTGGTCCGGGGACCTGGACGGCGGTACTGGTTAACCACGAGCACTTGTAACCTTGGCCGTGGCATTTCTGCTCGGTGTTGAAAAGAAAACCGCCAGGCGTGCAAGAAGACGGTATATTTGTGGAAGAGGAGCGAGAGGATGAATGCCTGAGCTACGAGTGAAGCACGTTGCCGCTGAAGCATCAGAGAATATCTTGCAAGTCTGTGCGTACATTATATGTCGCTGTCAGGTAGAGCAGACAGAGGAAACCAGCTATTGACCGTACCTGTAATGCATCTGCTGGAGCGTTACATTTTTGACTGGTCAAGCGGTATTTCTAACTGGATAGTTGTAGCCTGCGATTCCATTTTCAGCTTGGCTTAGGGTCGCTTTCTTCGGCACCTGCCGGGATCAGCCGCCGGCACCGTCGAGAGCGCCGGAGAGGCTACACGTAGACAAGCCCGTGGAGTGCCAACGGGAAGTGGGATCCGCCTGTTCCTCCAGATAGCCGCCAACTACACAACACAAGAGACCACAAACATCACCTTCGCAACTCCACGAGCTCCTGACACCGGCAGCCATGTTTGCCGGCGATACGAACCCGGTTGAGGTCCAGTTCGTGCCGCCGCACAAGCGGGCCAAGCCGCCAACCCCGCTGGTCCTCATCCATGACGGCGGCGGCACCGTCTTCAGCTACTACCTCCTCGGCAGCCTCCGTCGCGATGTCTGGGCCATTTACGACCCCAAGTACTTTGACGGCGAGCCCTGGGAGGGCGGCATGGACGAGATGGCGCGCCACTACATTGACCTGCTTGTCAAGGCGGGCATAGCAGGTATAGCAGGTACCATCATCCTGGGAGGTAGCCTCTGACGACGCCAAACCATGACTGGCGACAACTGACCGTGGTTTATCTCCCAGGCTGGTCCCTCGGCTGTCTGCTCTCTCTGACAATGGCCCACATGCTTGCCCACGACCCGTCCACGAACATTTCCATCGCTGGCATTCTCTCAATCGACTCGCCGTACCACATTGCGTCGTCCAAGCTCACGGCCCCGACCTCCGAAGCCAAGATAGAGGACATCACCGATCTCGTCCAGAAGTCGTTTGAGAATTGCGACGTAATGCTCAGGGAGTGGGACCTGCCGTCCTGGCAAGGTCCGTCTGGCGGTGGCAGAGAAGTCGAGGTCAGAGTAGCCGGTCAAAGCTTCACGCTCCAGCCAGGAAGATTGCTCTACAAGCCGTTGGGGGAGGATTGGAAACCCATCAGTACACGGCAATATCAGCATGGAGATTTGGTCAACGGCCCAGTCGGCCCCCCACCCGGAGTCATGATTCGATGCACACGGCCAGCTGAAAAAGTGGCGGGCTCGGGGCCCGAGCCTGCTTCCATCGACAGATACCGCAACGAGACGTTATTGGGCTGGGAAGGGAACTATGCCGATTTCATCCGAGCCGTCATCGATGTTGACGACGACCACTACAAGATTTTTGACAAGTACGACGAGGACAAGGTATTGCCCGCCGTCGCACCAGGCCCAGTCCCTCGGTGAAATCTGTGACTGACGTTTGCATAGATACAGAACCTTACATCGCAGGTCAACGCTGGCCTTGAGATTCTTGACAGCCTCAGCAGGCCGTCCGATAACTAGCCCTTGCAGATATCCTTTGGCATTGCTCGAACGGCGGGCACAAGTGTTACACTTGTAGCCACGGAAACCAAGATGGCATTCTACATAAGACGGACATGTACCCAGAATGAGTGGGCGAGGGACAATTAGCTTCTGGAGGATCCGGCAAGGAACCAGGCACTGGGAAGATGTTGTGTCCACGTCCTAGCGGACGGGCAAGAGGAACGAGCACGCCATAGGCATGGCTGGCATATTGTGCGGGGTCGTCGTGAGCCAACTCGCAGCCGTCGAGCTTGCGCTGGTGGATATTTCATGTACTGTCTCGTTATGCGCTCTAGCCAGCATCCAGATCGATCCGGGCATGTCTCGAGGGACAGCTGCGGATGCGAGCCCGATGTGACCCCAACCCGGGCCGTGGCCAGGCCTCCAAAGATGCCCTGATACTGTACACTCCGCAAGCGGGGTCGTGTGAATGCGCGAGCAGTCATAATTATTGCGGTTCATTCATCTATACTGCATGCCGACAACGTCAGAGTTGCGCCAACCAGCGAAGCGTACGTTTGGTTGGCCTCAATGCCGCCATACGCTGCCGCTCACAATCATCGCATTGTGAATGTATAGTATGTTTAGAATCTAAAGATAGCAGCCATGCAGCTATTAAAACCCCGGCAGTGCTGTTTGTCTGTCTGCCGTACTCCGTACATGGAATGAATCAACCATCGATACCAACATGAGCACCGCTTCTATTTGCGCCTTTGTCCTGTTCCTGGCGTTAACATGCTACTCATTGAAAAGAACCCCCAAATTACCACCTGGCCCTCGAGGTCTCCCGGTTGTCGGAAACATGTACCAGATACCCCGAAACCCGTGGAAGCAGTTCAGAGAGTGGCACAAAATCTACGGGCCCATACTCCATCTTCGTATCGGCCAAAGGACCATAATTCTCATCGGAACCCACCAAGTTGCTAGGGACTTGTTGAGCAAACGAAGTGCGCTTTATAGTTCTCGTCCACGACAAATTGTTGCAGGAGAATGCGTGGCAAAAGACCTAGATACCGCCCTTCTACCATATGGGCCCAAATGGAGGGAATTCCACGCGATACAGGCCTCGTTCCTCAATTCTCGAAAATGCCAGCTCTACCGCCCGCTACAAGAGCTTGAAAGCCGCCACCTATTATTCAACCTTTTATCTACCAACGACTTTCAGCATGAATTTTATAGATTCTCATCAAGCCTCGTGTTTGCCCTCGTCTATGGCAGGAGGCTCGTGAGTGGGGACGAGCCGGAACTTCAACGAATGGAGCGGCTTATAACCGCCATTTTCGACACCTGTTCAATTGGAACCTGGTTAGTCGACGCTTTCCCGACTCTCAACCATCTCCCGCGTCCTTTTGCAAAATGGAAGTTGGTAGGAGACTGCTTGCATCGCCAACAAACTCGACTATACGGGGATAACTTCAATGATGCCCTAAAAGCCACCTCGTGGAACTGGTGCAAACAGAGCGTTTCCGATGATACTTCGCTATCTAAAGTATCCCGGGAAGAGCTCCCGTTTGTGCTAGGTGACATCTTCGGAGCTGGAGGTCGAACAACGGCCGGGGGGCTCGAAGTCGCCGTTCTTGCCTGTGTTTCCTTCCCGGATGCTATGCGACGCGCGCAAGAGGAGTTAGATAAGGTTATTGGTACCGGACGTCTGCCGACGTTTGATGACCTTCCTAGTCTTACCTATGTACGGGCGTTTATCGAAGAGGTCCTCCGCTGGCGGTCCCTAGCACCAGCTGGAGTTTCGCATTCTCCCACGAAAGACGACGAGTATGGCGGGTTCTTCATCCCGAAAGGAGCAACAGTCATAGCAAATCACTGGTCTCTGGAAATGGATGACCAAGTATTCCGGTCCCCGGAGGACTTTATCCCTGAGAGATGGATCGACGCCGACCTCCCTCTGGCGGCTTTTGGATTCGGCAAGAGAACCTGTCCAGGTCAGCACCTGGCGCGGAATTCATTGCTGCTCGCTATACCTCGACTGCTATGGGCCTTTGATATCAAGTGGAAAGAAGGTCAAAAGACAAGACTCGACTGCTTGCCCATGACCCAGGAGGGCATTTTCTCAAAACCAGGCCCGTTTGAGGCTATCTTTACTATTCGAAGCATTGCTCACCATGGTGTCGTGATGAGGGATTGGCAGGACTCGAACAATGATGTTGACGACCTCCTTGATTCCATTGGTCGACAGTTCTCGGCCACATGAGGAAAGAATATACTGCTGCTGGGCGTTGACGCAGCACTTGCCTTTTCCATGTTGCTCGGATGAGCCAGGCAAGTAGTTGATCATCTCATACACATGGACAAGAGCTTTCTTGCTTTGGTGTCATGAATCGCCATGCATCTACGAAATAACCATTCTCAAAAGTCTTTGAATGGACCAACGTCTCTGTAGATGGTGAAATGGATTTATGCTTTCTGCAGCAATGCTCACGTAGCGGCCGTAGCGATTGGCGTCGATCCGAGCCCGACCTCGGCCACGATGCAGTACAACGAACATAAAACAACGTCTTGGCCATGATCGTGTCTCCTTCAAGATTCCCGTCCCTTGACCAAGCAACCGCTCAGGGCTACACACCTATTGACTGAGCACTGGCAGCACTCATCTTGCTGGACTGACCACCAATGTCGCCTTGTTTCCCTCACGCAAACAACAGCATTAGCCAACCCCATTGAACGACGATACTTCATAGCCGTCACCCTCGGCAAGCGGTAGCGATGCAACTGCAGCCGCGGGGTCCGCGAGACCTCGTTCCAGCACCTCGTGAAAGACGGACAGCACGTTGCGGATTGTTTTGGGACGGTAGAGATCGCTTGAAAAGATGAGACTGCCTCGCAATGCGTGCTGCTCCTCGTAAATATGAAACTCGAGATCGAACCTCGAGGTTATGGGCATGGGGATTTGCTCCGTTTCGACTCCTTCTAGCATAAACTTGCCTGGGCCTGAGCGAGAGTGAACAGCAAAAATGGTCTGAACTAGTGGGTGGCGAGACTTGTTTTTGTCTGGTTCTAGTTTAGAGACAATCTGCTGGAACGGGATATCCTGATTGGCAAAGGAAGCGATAGTTGTTGCCTGAACCTGGCGGACTAACTCATCGAAGGACCCCCTTTCAACCTTAATTCGAACGCACTGCACGTTGACAAAGGACCCAATTATATCTCGCGTCTCCCATCGGTCGCGGTTGGCGCTGGCAGTCCCAATTGTTGCATCAGCGGCGCCGGTGAGGCGATGATGAGTTGCTCTGAATGCAGCGAGTAGTACGACAAACAGCGTTACTTCTTGCTCTCTGCGAAACCTCTGCAGACGATCATATAGCTCGCCTTTAATCCAGATTTCTTGGGAATCAGTCTGTCCGGAAAGAGTTTCCGGCCGAGGCTCGTCGCAAGGAAATTCTGCTGGTCGACTTGTTTCAAGCTGTTTGACCCAATAGTCAAGCTGCCGCTGCCGTGCCTTTGCCTGGCTCTGCTGCTTCTGCCAGAAAGAGTAGTCGCGGTATTGGATAGGCAGATTGTTGACGCGCATGAGAGGGTCTTGGCCGCGGAGGACGGCCGTGTAAAATGTGGCCAACTCTCGGCGAAGAACGTCAAGGGACCAGCCGTCAGAAACAATATGGTGCATAACGATAGACAAGACATGCTCCTCCTGGTCGAGTCGATACACGGTTACCCTCCACCCCGGCTCGGTTTCCAGGTTGAATGGGCTAGTCCGATCCCGTTGCAACGCATGCTCGAGGCCCTTCCCGTCATCCGAGGAAATCTCAACTGAAATCAGCTCCTTGCGATGGACAGGACGAATGAATTGCATGTTGACTCCCTCTCGTGATCCAAACGTCGTCCGGAGTGTCTCATGACGACTCTCCAGCGCGAGCAGTGCCGTGTTTAGGGCGTCCAGCTGCAGCGATCCTCGCAGTCGCACTGCCCATGGCATCAAGTGTCCTGTGAGGCCGGGATGTAGTTGATCCAAGTTCCACAGAAATTCCTGAGCAAATGACTGCTCCGTATCTTCACGCTGCTGATAGCTTGGAATGGTGCTGGAAGCGGCGCCGGTCGAAAGAGTCGCATGACTAGCGAGTTGATGAAGCTTTGGACGGCAAAAGATATCCGCGACCGCGACCTGAAGACCCAGCCTCCGAGCCTCGCCTACGACCGCCATTGCAGATATTGAGTTGCCTCCTAGACGGATGAAGCTATCATCTGCTCCAATGGTACCCGGCTCGATGCCAAGCACCTTGGCCCATATCGCCTGCATTCGCCACTCTGCATCCGATGTAGGTTCGCGCTTCGAGCTCCCGTTTTGCTGAGCCTTCTTCACCTCGGCTAGCTTCTGGATAGAGAAGGACGAGCCAATCTCGCGAAGTTGTCTTCGGTCGGTCTTTCCAGTAGGTGTCATGGGCATCTGCCGCATGGAAAGGAACGCGGCCGGCATCATGTAGCTCGGGAGATGCCCAGCCAGCTTATCCTCCACGTCCGTAGAGATGGGGAGTATGCTGACTGCAGGAGCTTCTGGTCCGTCTTCGATCTGGAGAAACGCTACAAGCGTCGGACCCGAACCCGCTCCCTGTAGCAAGATGACTTCGGCTACAACCTGGGTTGCGTCCGTGTACTTCTGGACCCAGTGCTCCACTTCCCCCAGCTCGACTCTCTGGCCACGGATCTTGACTTGCGCGTCCTTCCTCCCAATGAACATCAGACTTCCATCCTCGTTGTATCGGACCAGGTCACCTGTCTTGTAGAGTCGGCCTTGTCGGCATGGCTGGCTGGAAGGGAAAAGGCTTTCCGCCAGCCATGTTGGGTTTTCAATGAATGACTTTGTCGTCGTTTCCGGATCGTTGAGGTAGCCGCGACCAACGAGAGGGCCCTCGAGGAGAAGTTCGCCGACATGGCCCGGCGAGAGTAGGAGATTGTGATTCTCAGGATCAACAATCCAAGTCACCAACCCGGCTCCTTTTCCTATGTGGGTGACATCTTCAGGGCTTGACTGCCCCGAATTGATCGCGCTGATATTGCATTCGGCAGGTCCGTACGCATTGACAACACGAGCTTTTCCCCACCATCGTGTCACGTCGTCAACAGAAACCGCCTCTCCAGCTAGGATAAGAGTTTCTAGCTGCGGAACAGAGGTAGGATCTATGAGGCGCGCCACCGAGGGTGTGAGATCGGCAATCGTGGTTCCCATTCTGACCATGGCCTGGCTGATGTTGTCCCGGCGCTCATCCTCGGCTGGAATGCATACACATCCTCCTGCGACGAGGGTGGCAACGACATTATGGATCGCAACATCAAAGGCGTACGAAGCAAAATCGAACACCCTAGAGTCTTTGGTGAAGCCAAGGAGGTGTAGCTGATGCTTGAGACCAGAGCAGAAGTTGACGTGTGATAGCACCACCCCTTTCGGCGTGCCTGTGCTTCCGGATGTGAAAACCACAAACATTGCATCTTTCGGTGAGGGCCGGACCAAGGGAGTGGGATGTGGAGCGGAATCAAAGAGACTGATTGACCCTGGATCGAGCTGGATGACTGTTTCTGACAGTCGCGAGCTCAGAGAAAAGTTGGCGGGGGAAGACATGATGAAGCTCGCGTTGAGCTGCCCGACAATGGTCTGCAGACGCTGCTGTGGAAGGGAGGGATCAAGTAAGACGAACCCTCCACCTGCCTTGAGAACGCCAAGCATGGCAACGGGTGTCCACATCGACTTCTCGAAGCACAATGGAACGAGTACGTCAGGGCGAACGCCAAGCTCGACAAGTCGGTCCACTAAGCGTGAGGAAAGTCGGTCCAGTTCCTGATATGACAGCTCGCCGTCCCAGGAACAGATGGCCGGCGCGGCTGGTTGGGTCAGTACCTGTTCCTGAATCATCTGATGAGCGCACGTCTCAATTGCGGTAGGGACAGTGCAGTTCCACTCCCATATCTGTTCTAGGTCATGGGGTGTCATCACGGCGATTTCTGACAACGGCCTCTCACTGTGTGCAGAGTCGAGTTGCTGCATCACGAAATCGAGCCGCGTCAGCATCTTGTGCACCAGCCACGGCTCGAGAACCCTTGAGTCGAAACTAGCATGGACTGTGAACTTGTCCGCGGCCGGCCGTATCTCAAGCATCAGAGCATATGTATTGAACCATCGTTGCTTGGTGGCTTGCCAAGACCCAAGCACCTCTTCGGCGCCTATGGTGTCTTGCGGCTGGATGACAAGCAGTGACTGGAACATACACGCCTTCTGACAGCTGGGAGACATCTTGGCAATCCGATGCAGTCCTGCTTGTTCAAAGGGGATCGTGTCGACTGCCTGCTGCTGTACCGTCCTGAGAAACCCCGAGACGCTCTGGTCACCAGCGACTTTGACGCGCAGTGGAATCGTTGCGAATGTCGGTGCCACCATGGCGTCGATCCCGGCAACTGGGGCGTTTCTTCCGGATACAGTGGCGCCAAACACGACATCCTCGGTATTGGACATCCGGCTAACGATCAAGGCCCATGCACCACGGATAAGGGTCGAGGCTGTGATGTCCTTGCGGCATTGACGGGGCTGTGGGAACTGGTACTCTGCTTCTTGGTCTGCCGCTGGCTGATCCACAGACGGCGGGAGGGTTGGAAACGGCACGCCCTCATAGTCGGCCAGGGCCTCGACCCAGAAGTTGAGTATCTCCTCATCGTCTTGTCCTTTGATGTATTTGATAAATGCTTGGACTTGAGGACCTCGGTTAATAGACAGGCCTTGGAACGCCCGGTGTACCGCGGCCAGGATCAGACGTACAGACCAGCCATCGTAGATTGCGTGGTGCATCGTCCACACGAACCACTTGGGACTTCCCACATCGTCTTTGACAAGAGAATAGCGCGTGAGTGACTCGCCCAGGTCCATTGAATGCTTCCTGTCGGCTTCGAGATAACTGTCTAAGCCAGTTGCGTCGATACAACGAATCTCTTCGTCCAACACTACCTGCACGAGACCGAGATCGTTGTGCTGGACAATCCTGGTGCGCAAGATGGGCATGGCACGAGCCACTTGCTCCCATGCCGTGCACAGGTCTTTGACCGCAACATTGGGAGACAGTTCAAGGATATCCTGCATGACATAGTTTCCTGAATGCTTCGACCCTAGAGACACAAGGCCCTCCTGAAGGGGTGTGCAAGGGTATGCGTCGAGTATCTTGGCCGGGTCCAGATGGAAGAGGTTCGAGACGTCTCGAAGAAAAGAGGCAGCTTCAACCTTGTCACCCAAAAGGGCAAAGGGTGCGACTTCCTCTTCGGAACCCTCTGCAACAAGAGTGCTTTGCTTGGTGAGATTCTTTAGTATTGGATGACGGAAGATGTCTGCAACCGTGAGCCCGATGCCGACTTTGCGAGCCTCAGCCACAGCTTTCATTGCGGCGATAGAATCGCCCCCAAGATGGAAGAAGCTATCGTCTAGCCCAATTCTGGCTGACCCGATGCTTAGTACTTTGGCCCAGATCCTCTGCAGGCACCGTTCAGCTACGGAAGTCGGCTGCCGCTTCGGCCCTTGCCCGGCCGTCCGCATCTCAGCCAGCTTCTCGACTGAGAACGAGCCGCCAATCTCGCGGAGCCGTTTCCGATCCACCTTACCCGTAGCCGTCATCGGTAGCTCTCCCAAGGAGAAGAACGCTGATGGTACCATGTAGCTTGGCAGATGACCGGCTAGCTTCTCTTCGACGTCCGCAGGGATAGGGACCAGCTCGGCCGCGATTTCCTCCGACTCCAGGTCGTCAACTTTGAGAGCTGCAGTAACGGCTTCGGGTTGGGCTTTGTTTTTCAACTGTAGAAATGCAACCAGCGCGCGGTTTGCATTCTCCCCTTGCGGCTTTATCACTTCAGCCACAACCTGGACAGCATCCAACATGCAATTCTGGACCCAGTGCTCGACTTCTCCCAGCTCAACTCTCTGGCCGCGTATCTTGACTTGCGTATCCTTGCGTCCCATGAAGATGAGGTTGCCATCTTCGTTGTACTGTACTAGGTCACCTGTTTTGTAAAGTCGCCCGTGCCGGCCGGATCGACCCGGGCACCCCTGAAGCAGCCAGATAGGGTCCTCAATGAATGCCGCCTGTGTTCTCTCCGGATCGCCCAGGTAGCCATCACCAATAAGGGGTCCCTCGAAGAGAAGCTCGCCGACGCATCCCAGAGGTAGTAAGCTGTTGTGATTCTCTGGATCTACAATCCAAGTTACTAGACCAGCGCCCTTGCCAATAGACAGAACGTTTTCGGGGCTGGATGCGTCGTGATTGATAGTGCCATTCGAAGTGCACTCGCTTTGGCCGTACAGGTGGATGGTTCGAACTTTTCCCCACCAAGGCTTGACGTCCCTAACTCGCAAAGCTTCACCACCAAGGACGAGGACTTGCAGCGTAGGAACATCCTCGGGTATCAAAAACTGCGTAATAGAAGGGGTAAGGTCGATGAAGTTTGCTTGAAGAGACCTTATAACCTCCGGTAGCCTATCTTTTCGGTCTTGGTCATTCGGAACACATAGACAACCGCCTGCAGCAAGAGCTCCGGAGACGTTGCTGATCGCTGTAGTAAAGCTGTAGGATGCAAAATCAAGAACCCTCGAGTCCTTGGTGAGCCCCATGATGCCGACTTGATGATGGAGAGCCGAGGCCACGTTGCTATGCGTTATCTTTATACACTTCGGCGCTCCTGTACTGCCGGATGTGAAGCTCACATACATGAGAGACGACGGGGTTTGACGGGGTAGTTGTCCATTAGGCTCCTCGCTCAGGCTTTTGAGGCCGGTGAAAAGCCCAGGTTCGACAGTAACAACCTCTTTGGCGAGCCGAGAGCTGAGAGACTGGGCAGAGACAGAGGATAGAACCAACTTTCCCTTGACGCGTTGAACCATAAGTTGAAGGCGGTATTCAGGAAGGGATGGGTCAAGCAACAGAAACGCTCCTCCGGCCTTGAGCACTGCGAGCACTGCAACTGTTGTCCACATCGACTTGTCGAAGCACAAGGGCACTATCGTTTCTTCATGTGGCCCGACACCCAGCTCGGCGAGCTTCCACGCCAACTTGGTCGCAAGCGTGTCCAGTTGGCCGTACGTCAGCTGGCCGTCCCAGGCACACACGGCGGGCGCATGAGGCTGGAAGTTCGCGCGCTCTTCAAATATCTCGTGAACGCATCGCTCAACTGTCAGCGGCACGGCGCTGTTCCATGTCCATATTTCTGCAAGGTCTTCGCTCGTGACAATATTCACTTCCGCTAGTCTGTCTTCAGGATTCATAGTAGTAAGCTGCTGCATTATAGACTCCAGTTGCTCTAGCAATTTCCGCATGATCCACGGCGTGATGACCCTAGAATCAAAACTAGCCTTTGTCGCAATGTCGGTCGTACCAAGCCATAGCTCAAGCGTAAGAGAGTGACTGCCTAGACTCCGTCGTTGGCCGCTTTCTTGCCTCTCGCCCACGCTCTCAGGGGTAGAGGCATCCTTTAGCGGCTGAATCACGAGCACCGTCTGAAACATGCAGGCTTGATGGTCAAGCTGCACCAACCCAGTATCTTCCAAGGAGACCACCTCCGCACCTTGTCGTTGTACTGCCTGTAGATACCCCGATATTGCTTGACTGCTCGGCGTCTTCACACGCATCGGAATCGTGACTACCCTCGAGCCAGATATCCCAGCGCCAAACACGACGTTTTCCGAGTTTGCCATACGTCCAGAAATCAAAGCCCATGCAGCATAGATGAATGTCGACGTCGTGATATCCGAATGACGTCCCTGAGGCTGTGAAAGGCGATGCTCCATGACGCTGTCTGGTTGCGGCTTCTGTACTGACGGTGGGAGAGCCGGAAATGCTTCGTACTCATGCCCTTCTGGCGCCGCCTCCCGGTCATCACGCCCCCCGTTCACTGCGTGTGAGGATTTCATCATTCGTGGCAGTGTATGTTGCTCTTCCGTGGCGGTAGTGCTTGTCGTTTGTTCTGTAGCAGAGCCTGCTGCTTGCTCCGTAGCTGTCGCTTGCTTGTCGCTACGTAGCTCTCTATGGATCCATTTCACGGGCCAGATAGAACGCCACGACATGTACATACGGTGGTGCGTTCAATGGTGCTGGGGCGACATATCCTGTCCCCAGATTCTGCATTGGGCAACCGGGCATTGGAACCAAAACTGCGTGTCTTAGACATACTGTACTTCCCGGACTGCAGCTGTCTTGGGTACCAGCGGCTACTTCGCCCACTCCGTGGCTATTGTCTTCAAACTGGCGTCAACTTTCGCTTGCTTGTGTGAGCGCAGGACACTGCGTAACCACCCCTTGCTCAGGGCATATACGAAGTACGATGCAATAAACCAATCAGTCTCTGCCACGCACCTCTGGGCAGAAAATGCGTGAAGAAGTCGAGATTGCCCCAAAATGCTGGAATGACAGGGGTAAACATTCGGCCGCTGCTGCAATGATTGCTCTCGACAGGTCAAGCAGAGGTGTTACACTAACGCTACGTAGTTACATGTCAAAAGGCCAAAGAAAGTCACACTGTAACTAACCAGGCGTCTCGTTGCATTCGCAGCGGCAGGAAGCGAACGCTCTGATGATACTCAGGGCGGTAGAGGCCTTGCAGGGTTGATTAAAGTGCGTACGCATGTGATGGGTCGTTAGTGACTTGTACAATCTCAAAACATCACTTTATTTATGCAGCACTACGTAGCCCGTTATGCGGCCAACTTGACCACTCCCGTGCCATAAGGCGTGCTTCAAGGGGCATTGCACCCGGAGTTCTATTGTAGATTCAGGGCTTAGACGCCACCCCCCCTCCTCCTCTTTGACCTGTTTCCTTGAATAAGCTTATCTCAAGCCAGTCCACAGCCCTGTCTCGGGTGCCATTGGAAGCCCATGATGCCATTTATGTAGTCACGCAACGGACAGCGCCTCCGTGACACGACAGGTACCTTTGTTTGATCCCGTGGTGCAATGCCCCGGAGGAGCCGCACGGGATATTTTCGACATCTTGCCTACCCGTCTTAAAGCCGAAATAGATCGCCTGCCATGAAGTCAACATACTGGCAGCCAGGCTACGCCACTGTAGACACCAAGAGAATTAACCGGATTGCGCCAACCATTCAGCATTGGTCACATGTGGCTGTTCCAGGCTGTTCCAGGCATTCGCCCCGGGTAGGAGTTGCTGTAGTGCGCGCATATCATCCAGAGCGTGCATGGCCCGGCCGCGTCCCCGAGTGAATCCGCTCGGGACTGGCCGATAACAATGCCACCTTGTGGAGTACCTTGAGCCGTCCCCTTCAAGATTACTTTTAGCCCCCTCGCGAATAGAGCGCCTCACAGCCAGTCACGATCTGAAAGGCCGATGGGGGAAGAGGGGGTGGGCTTATGATACTTGGGCGCGCCACCGGCTTCGCTGTACGCTACGCCAGGACAAATGGGGGTGCTGCGGCAATCTTGATAAAATGTTGAGATGAATAAGTCCGTCTGCATGTAGTTATTTGGTCAGTCTGCGCAAGGCATGGTATCTTGGGCAGCATGGACAGCGCGAATATGGGCAACGTCAAGATTGCCGTCATCGGTCTCGGTAAGCACTGCTGAGGCCATTGCGGACGATGATTGACAAGTACAGGCCCGGCCGGTCTGACTGCCATAAAGGCTCTGCGAGAAGAGGGCTTCGACGTCGTGGGCTTCGAACGGCGAGACCGAGTCGGCGGCATATGGGCCTACAGCCCGAACCCGAACTACACATCCGTAATACACGACACGGTCTCCAACGTCAGCAAATTTGTTGTAAGTTACCCAGCTCCTCTATTGTCACTTCTGCTGACTTTTCAGTCTGGCTTCAGCGACTTTCCAATTCTCAAAGGTGCGTCTCGACAACGACCTGAATGCATGCATCTTCTGACGTCGGCCCAGAGTACCCCCCGTATATGACCGGCACGCAGGTCGCGGAGTACTTTGAGGAGTACGCCAGACACTTTCAACTGGAACAGCACGTCCGGTTCAAGACAACGGTGCGGCGGGTGCTCCGTGACGAGCTTGACCGGGGATGGAACGTCCACGTCAGTGGGCCTGAGGGCGATGCAATCCTGCACTTTGACAAGGTCGTCTTAGGCAGCGGCTCGGACAGTGTGCCCTCTTGGCCGCCGATGCCGGGGAGACAATTGTTCAAGGGCACTGTTATCCACGGGCAAAGCTATCGCAGGTATGGTGACGGTTTCTTACACGCGGCGACGTCGAGGTTAACCCGCGCAGGCCGGAGCAGTTTGCCGGCAAAAGGGTTCTGGTCGTTGGTATTGGCAACACTGCATGCGAGGTGTCCCTCAGCCTGACGAGTCACGCGTCCAAGGTCTACCAGTCATACCGCCGTGGACGGATTATAGTCTCGCGGTACTTTGACAATGGTGTCCCGACTGACAGCAAGATTCCATGGCCGGGGCTATGGTTTCAAGACTTGCTCGATTACAAGTTGCCGTGGCTCGCACACCCGCTGGGCGACCGGGCCATGAAGAAATCAATGATACACGTCGCCGCGCGAAGGAATCCCCAAGACCTGGATCCCAAGGGGCTCGACTACTCAGCAAGGGACAGGCGGAAGCTCGCCGCAGAGAAGATCAAAGGGGACTGGCGCCTGGTGCCGTGCGCGAGCATGGCCCATGTGCACCCGGTCGTGCAGGAACGCTTTATCCCCGCGCTCCTGTCCGGGCAAATCGCCCCCGCGCGCGGCTTCAAGGCGTTTACCGGCGCCCACGAGGTGCTGCTCGATGACGGCTCCACGGTCGAGGTCGACGCCGTTATCTTCTGCACCGGTTACGCGCTTGAATTTGACATTATGCCCGAGCTGGAAATGGACGGCACGTGCGGCTTGCCGCTGGCACCAGCGGGCGAGACGCAGGCCAGAGTTGGGGCGCGGAGGGAGCCTCACCTCCCGCGGCTATACCATATGATCTTCCCTCCGCGGTGGGCGTCGTCGGTCGCGGTGCTGAGCTGGATGTCGCCGCTAGAAACCTATTGGTGCGTATGCGACCTCGCCTCTATGGCTGTTGCGCAGGCTTGGTCTGCGGAAACGGCCAAGGAGAAAGGCTTGGCGCAGATAGACGGCTACCGAAGGCCGGCGCTGCTACCGTCCGAGGCGAAGATGAACGCCGAAGTCGATAGATACCACACATGGTGGCGCAGAGAGTGGCACAAGGAGCCGTCGATGCATCCTGGCTTGGTGCGGTCGTACTCTTTCTACCGCTTCCTCCATAGCATGGCGGGCACGGGCATGTTCGACAACATCGACCACGTGCTTACCCTTCGAGGTTGGCGGCTAAAACGAAAGGATAGGGAGCTGCACATGCTTTTATCCCAGGGGCCGGCCAATAGCTACGCCTGGCGTATCTTCGACACGAATCCCAAGGGAATCCCCGGCTGCGGAAGAAAGGCCTGGCCTGGTGCGAGGCAGGCCGTGCAAGATGCGGTAAGTCTATCGCCCCCGTTGGCATCGCGTCGTGCTAACTATTTAGTACGACGATTATCAGAAATACAAGCGGGACATCGAGGACGAGAAGCTGCGGAGACAAGTCATGTTTGGCGGTTGATGGATCGGCCGGCGCGAGGCCCGAGCGGATCCCACAAGGAAATGGAAATGTGGGGCCGTGCCGGAGTCGGGGTAGCCCGGGAGGCCCCCGGCAGCATTAGAACTAGGGTACACAGCGCTCTCCTTTTATTCAGCGACTTGAGCTTCTCGTGTCACATAAATCGAGTGATCATGTAGCTAGCGAAACGGTAGAGTAGCGGGAAAGCGAGCAAGGATATAGAATGCTCCACAACTTGATTTTCCGGGCCCCCCTCGAGCTCGCCAGCCTGATGAAGGGGGGGAGCAATCGCTACCACCCTCACCTCTTCAAGCAGTTCCCTGGCCTAGGAGGAAGCACGGGAGTTACAGGCTGGGCATATACCCTAGGGGTTGAAAAACGAACGTCCATGTTGCTCATATCTCGGCATCCGCGCCTTGTGCATTTCTGTGTTCCTATGGTCATGGTCTCGGGCACTGTCGTTTCATGCGTCGTCAAGCTTTCTTACCGACGCTGATCATTTAGAACGCAGTCTTCTCCGCCTTGCTCTTGTGGGTGCATCGAACAGGTAGATACAAAGGCGACGGTGCAGCACAAGAGCTTGGGTGTCATGCTACGGCCTCCAAGTACATAAAACGAGCAGAGCACGGCTCGAGGAGAAGATGCCGCGGCTGCACGCACCATTCTGTGGCTAAAAAATACGTTACGCCCGATTGCGGCCGGTGGCCCTGATATCTTAGCTTCACGTTTCGTCAATGCTCAAACTAATATGTACTTTACAAGAGAAGGGATCGAATTGCAGTGTACAAACCACTACAGGGCTCCTGTTGAGGAGAGTAGGCATAGGGCATAAGAGGCCACAGTCACAGTCATGCCCAGTGGACCCAATAGTCATGCACAAGGAAGCCTGCCTGACCAACATGACTCCCCTAGCCCAAGGACATCATGCAGGCCTAACTTAGGTATAGGAACATCTTAATGCCCTCTTTTGGCTAGCTATGTATGGTCACTATACCTATATAAGCCCCTCCCTTGTCCTAATAGATAGACCAAGAGATGCATCACTAAATTCACCTTTCTGTGCCCCTATTTCTTCCACTGTGCTCTCAAGCCTCTGCTTGAGAGCTCCCTAATGTCACCGAAAGCGCGTGTATTGACGTCGGTCGCTACGGACCTGCACCTGGACTTCACTGTCCTTACTATGAAGCCTTTGAACCGGGTCGCTGACATCTGCAGCAGTGTTGCTGCCTTCGAATATTGACTAATAAAGGGGTGTGATGCCCGACGGGAGCTCCGCTTCTCCGCCGGCCCTGGAGCCCCTGGGTTCCATGCTCTTGACACTTCTTTGAGGGGTTGTGCAGATTTCTTCGGCTGTACGTGTGATGACGGTCCGATGTCCGCATGCAGATTCGTATTCAAGCAATGCCCCCTATGTAGTATTTACCCGCGGCTGCAGTCAAAAGCGCTCCCTTTAAAGCGCGGCGACAATGCTACTGTGTAACAACCAACAAGCCAGCCACACGAGCTAAGGAGCACCAAGACGAAGTACAATGCGTCCAACGGAGATTCTCTCGTCCTCGCTCAAGTTCCTATTAAGCAAAGAGTCTTTGCCTTTCTATTTCACCTTGGGTTTGATCTTCGCCATCGCCCGCCTATGCGACAACCGCCACAAACGCAGATTTCCAGAAATCAATCCCAAAAAAGGCTTCAGCTTCACTGCTCAAAGTTGTATACAAGACTTCGTATCTCGAAGCAAGGAAACCCTGATTGCTGCTCGAGCTCGCTACCGTGACCGGCCATACAAGCTCCATTGTGACTTGGGCGAGCTCATTGTCGTTCCTCCCCGCCTCATTCATGAGCTTGGGAACAGTCCAAAACTGGATTTCCGTCATGTTGCTCGTGATGTCTGTGCCTCTCTCGATATAGCTCTTCTTCTTCTTGGCTCTTGCTTTGCTCGAGCTTAAGAGTCCTTGGCTAACGTGAATTGCTTATTGCAGGACTCGCATGCGTACATCCCCGGCTTTGATCCCTTTGACGCCGACGATCGCCTCGCATACATTGTCATGAAATATCTGACCAAGGCCTTGAGTATGCCGAAACTCATGAATTTCCCAGTGAATATTCAATCTCACATGACGTCCGCGTCGCTGACGCATGTGTATAGCTAAGCTTATTGTGTCTATATCTGAGGAAACAACTCACGCCTTGCGGAGGGTTTTAACAGACTCGATGGGTACGTCCAATGGCTTACAGGCAGGAGAACATACTGACTTTATTTGCCTAGAGTGGCATGAAATGGATCCCAAGATAGACGTTATCCGAGTCGTTTCACAAATGTCCTGCCGCGTATTCATGGGAGAGGATCTCTGCAAAAATCAAGAATGGGTCAAGGTGAATACTGGATCATCTTCATGTTCTGTTGACGTACGCACCGTCTGATCTTGCTCACGCCTACTTTCCCAGGTCTCTGGCGACTACACACTTCAAGCCTTCCAACTAGGAGGCAAGCTTCTCTCCTGGCCCCGCCAGCTGCGCCCCCTTGTCCACTGGCTCATGCCGGAATGCTGGGAGCTGCGTGCCAGGCTGCAAAAGGCACGCCGTGTCTTGGCTCCGTATCTTGAAGCGCGCAACGCACTGAAGAAGGAAGCCTTGAAATCGGGGATGGCTGCCCGCTTTGACGATGCCATCGAGTGGTTTGAAAAGGAGTACACGGGCGGCCACGATCCCGCTACGTGTCAAATCACGCTCGCCCTTGTCGCCATTCACACGACCAGTGACTTGCTGGTACAGGTCATGCTCGACCTCGCAGTGCATCCTGAGCTTATCGAGCCGCTCCGGCAAGAGGTTCTTGAGGTCCTCGGCGCTCAAGGCTTGAAGAAGACGGCACTTTATAATCTCAAGCTCATGGATAGCGTGGTTAAGGAATCGCAACGTCTAAAACCGATGGGACTAGGTTAGTGGCCTCTGCCTTCAGCTTTTTGTCGCATTGAGAGTGTACTCACACTGGCAAACGTAGTCTTACTTCGGCGCCTTGTACTTGAAGACATTGAGCTATCCGACGGCACCAAGTTCTACAAAGGAGAGAAACTCGTTGCTGACACTTTCCACATGTGGAACTCGTCGAACTATAAAGAAGGCGACAAATACAACGGCTATCGATTCCTTGAAATGCGGGAGGTAGCCGATCAGGCCAAACACGCGCATCTTGTGAGCACGAGCCCAAACCATATAGGTTTCGGGCACGGCCGACATGCATGCCCAGGTCGCTTCTTTGCAGCCAACGAGATCAAGATTGCACTATGTCATCTGCTTCTCAAGTATGATTGGAAGCTGCCTGAGGGAACGCGGCCGCAGCCGGTTGCGTGTGGGATGGCGTTGCTGCCTGATCCTACGGCCAAGCTTCTCATTCGAAGACGGAAGGAAGAGTTGGATCTAGATTCTCTAGAATGCTGAGGATGGATATTCAGCCAGCTTGACGGCGTGATCTACTTTGTGACGAGGGCCAATGGAATTGCCACGACATATTCCTTTCAACTCCTTAGCACCAGACGAGGTGTGGATTTCCATGAGTGAGCACGGAACAGATTCATGAACTATGGTAATTAAAACTTGATGCAATTGGAGGCCAGCCTCAACGACGTAAACTTTGACATCACACACATTTGGGTTTGTTCATCTCGCTCAACTTGCTTTCTATGCTTCTATGATGTTTACACACACGTATGCATTGCGTCGATTGCTGCTACTGGCGCCTCTACAATTTGAGAGAATTACCGGTCGCTCGCCTACTTTCGTGAGATATCGTTTAATGCGAGACTCTTATCGAACCCAGATCTAGTATATCTATACTGTTACTGTCTTCCACTGCCCGTTCCATAGACCCCGGATCACTGATAGTGGAAATGGTTCGGGGCGAACCAAGCCAATCTCGATAATATCGTCGGCGAACCACGGCGCCGTCCATGTGAGCCAACATGCCACCCAGATTCCGCCAAGGAGATGCGTAAGGTTTGACTCCCGAATCCCCATTCTCTTACCAGCCCACTGCGCAAAATCCTCTGCCAAAATACCATGGGCCTGTGCGAGAAAGAACATCCATGTCCCAGACCAGGAGCGCCGATCCGGATCCGCTGCGTGCCCTGCTGCAACGTGCAGGAAGGCCGATAGAAAGAAGGAGAGGTAAACCTGTACGTATCTTGAAACCATTGAGCCTTTGGGTGCATGGAGAGCCTCCCGCGCCAACCATTGACTAATTGACTGCCATGGCTAACGTGGTTATTAGCATTGCAAGAAAAGCCAGTAGCATTTGCCGACTGCGTGTGGCTATACAGGTCGTACCTTGCGGAAAGTCTGATGCCATACACGCCCCCAAAACCGTCGAAGCGTCCATCCGTCCCGCCAGCGGCCGACGACTGGGTGGTTATTCTGCGGCTTGGTCCAAAAGCATCTACTGGACATACCAACGACGCAAAAGAAGGTGTATGGTATGTCGACGTTGACGAAGGACCCAAGCCCGAGTGCAAGGACTGTCTCAAAACGTCCAAAACCCTTCATGTCGCTGATGCTAATTCCGTCTCGCCTGTCTGACTGGACAAAAGGATTCGTCGAGAGGTATGCCCGTCCAAGATCCTGAAGAACGTAGTACCAGCACAGGTGGACGATACTCGCCCGAAGATATTCTAAAGTTGTTGTGCTACTAGGCATGGTCTTGGGAAGATAGGGGATAGTCCAACTGAGGCCTATCCCTCGAGTAGAGAAGCAGTGCATAACACACCATTTCCACTTCCCCCAAAACGACAAGTCTTTGTACTTCTTCGGCGTGTGGTCAGCCTTTTGTTTTTCATCAAGCCTATAGAAGTCCTCATAGATATTGGTCTCAATAACAAGCAGCTGAAATGCCTTATATATCCATGCGACACCAACTGTTTTAGTCAATGAATTAGTGGCAATTATCGACGAATCGTAAGGGCTCAACCATACTCATGCCAAATGTGTAATCAAGGCCTGCTTGTTCCCTCGGGACGTAGTGTATGATGCTGAGATACGTGAATGATAAGGCACCAACATAGAGCAAGCGGACTGGTCGTGGTGTATAGTAGCCAAGATATAGAATAACTACAACCAACAGATGAAATATCGGTAGGGTAAGAAGCCGGGTCAGGGCCATGATGTAGTTTATCTGGAAATAAGACCCAAAAGGGTCAAGGCGGTCTGATAGTTCTAAAGAGTAGTTGCGACTTTATGCTAAATAGTTACACATATCCGATGTTTCATCAAAGTTCCAGGCGATCTTATAGTTTGTTTTCTGGTTTAAGTACGATTTTACCGGAGCTCTTGTGGTCTTGCACATGGAGACCTTGCCTGTTCACGCAGACAAAAGGGCAACAGAGCTTATCGGAACTGCGCTGCGGACGACATGTCTGCTTTCAGTCGAATGGCCGCTTATATGCAGCCGAGTGGACAATAAACAGGGGTGCATCATACTGCAGCCAGCATCAATTACTACAGCATACACGAGGTGCATCATCATATTTCGCATCTTGCATGTACAGTTGAGTGTCCGCTGGATGCACAGCCCTTCAATATGTGGCTTACATGTAGGTATATTCCGCAAGTGCTGACTCTCGGGCAGCAGCTACCCCTAATCCAACTGCAACCACGGGCGCGAGAGGTCAACATAAGAGCCTTGAGAGGATCTTTCCGATGGTGTATTAGCAGGTTAAGGGATGGCAATGGTCGTCAGCTGTTGGTTAGCAAGCCAAGCGACGACTCTATCCCACCAGACCCCAGCATGTCTTCATGTTGTCGCGGCATATGGCGACATTAATTTAGCTAGACATTGCCGTGCATTGAGCCTCGCCACTCACTTCTGAAAACCGATGAGTGAGGTGTCCTAGATGATTCCCCTTCCCGACCTGTCGATGGTCAAAGAAGTCTCATCCCCGAAGCGCCTTGGAAATGCCATTCAGCCCCGTCTCCAGGTCCTCCCACGTCGGCCATCCATAGCCCAATCTAAAAAACCTGTCGTCTCTCTCAAACCAAGTTCCCCGCCCAACATACACGCCATGCTTTTCCAACAGTCTCGTATAAAACGCCTGTGTTCCCCCTGCGGGATCCTTTTTCATCTTGATAAAGCACATGACGCCCGCTTCCGGTCTCACCCACTCCACTAACTCGCTCTCTTCGTCAACCCAACTCGCAACGCGGTCCCTTCGGCGCCGCATGTCGGCAATGGTTTTGGGCAGGAGTTCGGCCCGGCGAGACAGAACCTGCTCGGCAGCAAGCTCGTCGAGGACGCTCCCGCTGATGCTGATTTGCTCTTTGGCGGCGAGGAAAGTCCCTTGAAGTAGGGGGTTGCTAGTGATGAGCCAGCCGATGCGGATGCCGGGGACGCCATAGGCTTTGGACATGGAGGAGACGGTGATGACATGGTTGCCGAGGGAAGCAGCTGTTGGGATCGCATTTTCTCCACTGGAGTCGTAATTGAGGTCCAAGTATGTCTCGTCGACGAGGAGGTAGCATTGTTTTTCTTTGGCGAGGGATGCGAGGGATTGGATTTCGGACGCTTTGCACACGGTACCAGTCGGATTGTTGGGGGAGCAGATGCTGATGAGTTTCGTGATGCCGGGACGGATTGCGGCGGCGATCCGATCGACGTTCAGGCAGAATTGCAATTCGAATTCGAGATCGATATAAGTAATATCGCAGCCGATGGAGCGCGGTACTTCCAGATTGGTTGCATAATTAGGGCGAGTGACGACAATATGATCCTTGGGGCCAAGAAGAGCGGTGTTGACAATGAACAGCGATGTCGAGGCACCCGCCGTGACGAGGACGTCGTCCGGGGTGAGAGACCCGCCGGAAGCTTGCGCGACGAGAGAGCGGATTTTACGGCTACCCCGATGCTCCGTGTATGTAAGGACGAGGGCGGGGGGGATGGTGATGCTCAGAGACTCCGGCGTCTGGTCCGAAATGGCACTCTCAGAGAGGTTATACTTGATGACGGCACCAACTTCCTCAGGTGCCTCCTTCTCAATCGCCATACGCTGATAGTTCATGTTGTTTGGCTGTTTGGGGTCGGGAAGGGGATGTATGCCAATCGGGAGGTAGCTTGGTGTTGCACGCAGGCAGAAGGCAACGCGTGCACGCTGGCAAGACGAACGAGACGGAATCCAGACCCAATGCTCTGCTTTCGAGCAGAGCTGAGGATAACCTGACCCGTGGGGTCATTGTATCGGCATGAGCCTCATGCACGTCTTGAAGGGGAGGCATACGCCGTTGATAAAGATAAAAGCCTACATACTAGCAGTAGAGTAGGGCGGTTTGAAATTCCATGATAGCGTTTCCAACTACCAAAACGAGCTCTTGGCTTTGCATATATCAAGAGATGTCTCATGTCGATTCCGTTTTCTTATGCCTATTCTTTACCTTCAGCTCTATTGTACTCTTTACGCTTTCCTACGTGAACTTTCAGCGTCTAGGGTATTGGACTCCCACTTGATCCATTAGCCAGACCAAGATAAAGTAGATACCTGACGGTAAAGCAGAACGAAATCACACCTCAGAGACAAGCATTTGGACGCTTCCACGCCCAGCTCAGCTGTCATTCTCACTCTCTCCAGAAGACGAACTTAGCCTCGCCATCCAGTTCCCCTATCTGTGGGAACAAAATGTTCTGCCATACGCTTGGCAGTCCAGGTATTTATTCTATCCAATGCATGTATCAGCTCAAAATCCTACATGGTCCGACTTGGTTGATCTGATATGCTTTTCCACATTGTGAGTGCATCGTGCCTGGTGCAAACTCAGAAGGGGTTCTTCAAGAGGGTTCCGAGCTCCGGACTTCTGCCAAGTTGAAGCTCATATAAGGTTTGAGTCATGGAGTCCGGAACTTGCTGTTTATGAGTATAGTTCATCAACCCCGATATCTGGGTTGAACGAGCCTCGTGCTGCCTTTCACTCAGCTGGCAGCATCGCCAGCAACTCTTCTACAGTGTTTGGAAACTGTGCCTCCCTCGCTCTCTCCGCCCTCTCGTCGCTTGAAAGCCACTGCCCCGGCACCTGCACGCCGTCCGCCTTTCCAAGCATCATCTCGGCGACAGCGACGCCGCACAGAGCCGCTACCGGCATTCCGTGTCCGGTGTACCCGGCACTGATCCACAGCCCGCTGGTGCCGCTTTCAGTGTCGGGGCCTCTCACCAGGGTTGTAGGCACGCGCCCGACCCAAGGGTTGCAGTCCCGCGAGTAGCCCATGATGCCCGTCCACTCGTACGCCGCGCGCAGCGCCTCTTTCTCCGGATCGTCCCCGGGGAGGAGCTTTACCACATGCTGGAGGCTTGTGTGCAGTGCCCGGCTGAGGATAGGGTTGACCTCGTCGTCGCGCGATATGCCCTCCTCTCCCCCAGGGACGGCAAGTCTTTCGCCGCCAAAGACCAGTGACGAGTCGACAGAGCAAGGAACTTCGCTCTCTTCTCCCACCTGCATATCTTCAGGTCCCCGATGGATCAAATACTGGTGATCCGCACCCTTCATCCACACGTAGCTGTGCGGGAGCTGCGCCCCCCCTGAAGGAGTCTCCAGCGCGCAGACCTGCCCCCTCACCGGTACGATGAGCCCTGTCATCTTGGGCAGTAGCCGAGACGTATACCCATTCGTCGCGAGAAGCACATCTCGCGCAAGAATCTGTCCCCGCCTCGTGTGAACAATCCACGAAGACCCGCATCGCCCGAGATGCTCCACGGGCGTGTTCGTCTGCAGGTTGAACGCGGCGGCATCGTGTTCGCCGAGGAGGCGCTCCAGCAGCCACGCAACAAGCTTGTACGGCCAGCACTTGGCCGCGTTGGGCTGGTACACGGCCGCGATAGCCTCGGGCACGTGCCAGGCAGCAAGCTCGTGCTTGTCGAGGATGAGGGCGGCCTTATCTCTGAGGTCAGGGTACTGCTGCAAGCGCTTAATTTGCTTCCGTGCGGCTTCGAGGACCTCGTGCGAGAAGATGGCGTGGACACCGCCAACTACATGCCAGTCGCAGGAAATCTCGTGCTCGACGACGAGCTTCTTGATGAGGTTGAACGTGGCGAGCTCGAACCGGGCAACCTCGGGCGTGCTGTCCCAGACGCCAGGCTGGCAGTGGCCTCCGTTCTGCGGCTGCATGTCAGAAACGCAAGAAGAAGCACAACAGCAAGCAATGAAACCAGAGTCAGTCAGGCATCTGACACTTACGCGGCCTGTTGCGCCCCAGCATGCCTCTCGCGCATCGAGCATGACCACGCCCCTCCCGCCCGCAACTAGTTCCCGGGCGGCAAAGGTTCCTGTGATGCCGCTGCCGACGACTACGACGTCAGCCGTCGACGGGAGGCTCTCAGTTGTGCGGTGACCCAGCAGCTTCTTGGAGGGGTCGCGATGCCAGTACGAGTGCGTGCTGTTAAGCGTCGGCAGCTCGGCCTGCCCGTCTTGGAGTGGAAAGCGGGCCGTCATGATCACTCCGGCCGCTGAATGTACATACTCGGAAATGGCAATCAAATATCGCCTTTGCTTTTATACTTGTGGACGTCAGGCGTGGCCCGTTCCTGCAGCCAGGCCGTGTATTGCAACCCCTTGTCGTCGACACTCGCATGACTATTGGTTCCCCGCACGTCGTGTCACAAAGTTATTGGGTCAGTTTACGCTCTCCTCCTAGACTGTATCCGCCGAGATGGGGGCAGACGGCTCAAGCGGGATACGGTGTTACAGTTCAATGCTCATGCAGCCCCTAATACGACTGCCTACTACGTACAGTACATGCATGTAAACTGACTGCATGTAGCCAGGGTTGAGCCGTGAAGCCGATCGTGTGGGGCATGCGATGACACACAGCGAGATGAGGAGCAGCTGCGAGGTTCTCCTTGTCGGGAAGCACCGCCAGGATTAGCTTGCGGCTGTCATTACCCCCTGCCCAGGGGAAGTGCGTCAATACCATAAACTCCTACGTACCGGTTGTATGTATAGTCACATGCTTCCGAGACTGACTTGGACTTGTTGTTTGCTACATGTCATTGCAATGCTTGTGTCTCAGTCACCTATATGATATATGTCTCTTCAAACACGTGAATATGAGGTCAAGCAGAGTAGCATGTTGGACACACGCTGTCATGAAAGGGGTTTCCTAATCTTGCCTTTCATAGAATGCTACACTGGAACTAAAACGATATTTCTTGCCAAGTATACGCATTGGAATGCCGGACTCCTGTGCATATGACAAGAAATGCCATACAGACCCGGTACTGGCGAGATAACGTCCTTCAGCAAATCATTGCTCGGGAGTTCCAGACCTTTTACTTAGCGTGATGTGGCTGAACCACGGTGCAAGAGTCACGCGTCAGGCGAACCACGTCGTGAAGCTCTGGGTGGCAGAAGATATTTGCCACCGTGAGCTCAAGGCCAGCCCTACGAGCCTCAGCCACAACTTTCATCACGGCAATTGAGTTGCCCCCAAGGTGAAAGAAACTATCTTTCTGCCCGATTCTCGCAGGCTCAATGTTGAGAACCCGTCCCCAGATCTCCCGTATCTGGCGCTCGGTCTCTGACACCGTCTGTGCTTCTGATGTTGGTTGTCGAACAGGCTCTCGTCCCGCGGTTCGGATTTGGGGAGTTTTCGCAAGAGCTCGACGATCAAGCTTGCCATTGCCATTGAGAGGCATCTTATCCAGGATTGTGACACCCCGAGGAACCATGTAAGAAGGTAATCTGGACCGCAGCATCTCATGGAGCTGGTCTTGCATCTTTTGCCTCAGCTGCTGCCGCAGAGGCTCACTGCAGAGCGAGTGAGACGATCGATCCTGATGGTCGTTAGGGAATCGAAACATGACCCTTTTCGAGCCATCGGTAGGTTGAACGCGGTGGAATATGGCATCCAGGCCACCGCTTTGCGAAGATTGCTGAGCCCAGCTGATTTCTACGCGGTAGCCTACCTGTGTAGCCAACTCGACCAAGTCGACTGCGGATAGCGAAGGATTTTGCTGAGCTTCTTGGTGAGCGGACATTAGCCAGTTGCCATCGTTGAGCATTTCGCCTCCTTGGTTGTTGAGGGAGCGAATGACGTGCCTCTCGAAGATGGATTTGCTGTGGGGAATGTTGTTTACGGCGACGGTTGATGAGGCAGGGTTGCGTCGTATGAGCTCCAAGAGTGACTGGCGATTGAGCCCTTGTTCTTTGAAGTCAATCCACTCCTTCTGGCTAATCTCGCGAATTTGATGCTGCGGCTGGCCCTGGTCCTTGACGTGGACGACAGCTGCATAGCGAAAAGCGCTCAGTTCATTCGTAGCTTGCATCTTCTTGGGTAAAATCTCGACATGCTCAATCTGAGGTAGCTGACTCGGCAGGGCGGTGAAGAAGGCTGGATCAACGAGTAACTCCGACTCGGCTCGCTCCAGATCAGTCATTATCCTTCGAATTTCATCCTTGCTTGCCCTATCCCCAGCAATGTGTAATGCTCTCGCAACCAGAAACTCTTGAAATAGCGCCAAGGATCGAATGTCGCCAAGGAAGAGCGTTTGGACGCCTTCTAGTTGGACAAGTTCCTGCACAACATTGAAAAGGTAGTCTTGAGAGGGAAAGTATTGGACCACCGAATTCAGAACGACAAGCTCAGGGGAAGTAGCAGCCCTGACTCGACAAAGGTCTGCCGCCGTGGCCTTGAACATCGTTACTTTGTCTGCGAGCGCGGGAACGGACCTGGCTACCTTGGTGATGAAATTAACTGCCCGTCCAGATGGCTCAAGACCGACGTAACTTCGTAGTCCCCGCGCCAAGTTGAAGAGGATCATTCCAGATCCCGTTCCTATTTCGAGAACGTGTCCTGGCTGGCTGCCGTTGAGCATCGTCTCGATCGTGTCGTCCAGCCACTCAGTCATTTCTATCTTGTTGATGTCGCTTCCATCATACATGGAAGTCCACCCCATGAAGTCTCTGCCGATCACTTCGGGCTGCATGCTGTCGAAAGAGATGTAGTCTTCATCGAATTGCTTTTCCCATTCTTCAATGTGTTGCTCTTCTTCACCATTGGCCGGTCTTTCCTCGAGCGCGGTGTCGTCGTTGCGGACCGTGACAAAGCTGGCAATCCACGTCTCTTGCCTGTCGTCATGCTGTAACACGGCAACGGCGTCATCCACACTTTGGTGACTGCGGAGGGCGTGTTCAATTTCTCCAAGCTCCACACGCTGGCCCCGGATCTTGACTTGCGCGTCCTTCCGGCCGAAAAAGGTCAGAGTTCCATCCTCGTTATACCGTACCAAATCACCCGTCTTATAGAGCCGCCCGTGCCGGCCCGGTTGGCCTGGTGGGCCTTGAAGCAGCCAAACAGGGTCCCTGATGAATGCCGCTGCAGTCCTTTCCGGGTCGTCGAGATAGCCCTGACCGACGAGTGGCCCTTCGAGGAGCAATTCGCCAACACACCCGAGTGGCGACAGAGCATCGTGGTTTTCCGCTTCGACGACCCAAGTCACCAATCCGATCCCCTTTCCCATATTGGTGGCCTCTTCAGGACTCCTCGGGCTGCAGTTGATTGTGCTATTCGGTGTGCACTCGCAAGGCCCATAAAGACTCACAATCTGCACTCTGTCCCACCAGGGAACCACGTCCCGAAGATATAACGCCTCCCCACCGAAAATGATCGTCCTTAGCCCGGGCACCCGTTCCAAAGCAAGAAGTCGGGCAACTGATGGGGTAACATCGATTACATTTGCGTCCAATGCTGCTATGCTTTCTGCTAACCTATCTCGCCGATCTTGCTCATTAGGGACGCAAAGGCAACCGCCTACTGCGAGGGTTGCGAAGGCGTTGCAGATGGAAACATCAAAACTATAGGAAGAAAAGTCGTAGACCCGAGACTCTGCCGTAGTTGTCAGACTTTCCCTTTGGTGGTGTAAGGCTGAAGCAAGGTTCCGGTGAGTGATGATTGCGCCTTTCGGTATCCCCGTGCTTCCTGATGTGAACGCCACGTACATGGCAGACGACGGGCTACAAGTAGGCAAGCATGGCTGCGGAGCCGGTCGGTCGTATAAGGCCCTGGAGTCATGAGAGCCAAGAGTGACAACTTGCGGTGCCAGCCGCGAGCTTAGAGGCTCTTTTGAGTGTAGGGAGACAATGATATTGGCTTTAGCTTGCTGCGTAATTGATTGCAGGCGGGGCTCTGGGAGGGAAGAATCGAGCAGGATGAAGGCCGCGCCAGCCTTCATCACGCCGAGCATCGCAACAGTGGTCCAAAGAGATTTCTCGAAACAAAGCGGTACCATCGTATTCTGCTGGACTCCAAGATCAATAAGCTTGCGGGCAAGAGCCGAGGTGACGCGATCCAGTTCGCCGTAAGTAAGCTCGCCGTCCCAGGCACAAATTGCAGGCGCATTGGGCTGAGCTTCTGTGCGCTCCTTGATAATGTCATGGACACATCGATCAACCGATGATGGAATCGTGCTATTCCATTCCCAGATCCGTTGGATATCTTCTGGTATTACCAGTCTAATGTCCGATATCCTCTCGTCGGTATCTGCGTCCTGGAGCTGGCGTACGACGAGCTCAAGCCGCTGCAGCAACTTTCTCACCACCTGAGGCTGAACCACGCTTGAGTCACAGAAAGCGGTAACCCTGGTTTGATTCACACCGAGTTGGACTTCAAGCACCAGGGCACAGTCCTGGCTCCTCTGGTGTCTGTGGGAAGCTGACCACTTTTCGAGCTCGTTCCAGGCACCACTATTTCCTTGCCGCTGGAGCGCGAGCCGTGTCTGGATTGTGGATGCTGCGGCGCATATCTTGCTGATTGTCTCCATGCCAGCCTGCTCGAATGGAATCCGATCTGTAGCTTGCTGCTGTACTGTTTCCAAGTATTCTGATGCTCTCTGGTTGCCGTCCAACTTGATCCGCACTGGGATTGTGGTCATTTTCGAGCCTGCAAGTTCCTCTTTGCCGGTGGCTACTGGTCTCGTCGTGTTGGTGGCGCCGAAAATGACATCCTTTGAATTGGTCATTCGGCCCGCAACTAGGGCCCAAGCCGCATGAACGACAGTCGAAGCTTCCACTGCCTGTTCGCGGATTGGTGGTAGCTGATACTCGATCGCTGTGTCTGTCGACAGCTGCTCTGCGGATGGTTGGACTGCTGGAAATGGCACACACTCGCAATCGGATAGAGCTTTTCGCCAATACTCCACCATCTCCTGGGGACTCGATGAATCCAAACCATTGCTCTCTGACACGGCCGAAGAATCGATGGTTTGCATGTAAACCTCTTCCTGGGCAGCTTTCGGAGGGACAGGGCTGGGTGGTGTTTCGATCGACGGAGATTGAAGCATTTTGACGCCGTCGGGAGGCTGCCGACCAATGATTTTGTCGTTCTCATTCATTGTCATCTTGGGCAGTCTCAGAAGCAGAAAATGAATCCTTCAAAGCTAATCAATCTTTCTGTGTCAGCCAACTCGTCAGGTCAGCACGTGGTTCGGTTGACCAAGCGTACCTCCAAAGCCTCCCCAGATATCCTTCGAAACGAAAGGCTCAAAGTAGATTCCAAGTATCGTCTGTACTGTGTGTACGAAGCATAGCGCCGGCTTTCGAACAAGCTCTATCAGCACGGTGAGTGCGCAACTACATGTAGCGCACCTGTATTAGTCGCCTTGGTTCGCAGCCCAGATACTGTACGGACAACGGTGTGTCCCGAGATTTTTTCGGCCGAATATTATGGGTGCTGACATCGCAATCTGGGCTCCTTCTGAAATGATGACTCAAGCGATCCCCCACCATTTGATCCCGCGGATGTTGAGCCGGACGGTTGCTTGTGTTACACTGCAGCGGTTCCATGGTGTGTCACATCCTTTTGAGTTGTCTAGACTTGTCCTGCAATACCTCGATCAGACCGCGGCGAACCGCTGCAGGAGATATCAAGTTGATCTAGCGTTGCAATCGTCTCTGAACTGGAGACCGAGATGCAGAGTGGAGCTTGCTGTTGGTCTGAGTAAAAGCTAAGGGCACCATCGGAATTTAAGCCTATTCCCGCTGCGTTGTGGTAGATCGATGTAAACCTACAAGTTTCCTCAAGTCCTTAACTTGTACCAAATGTCGCTTTCTTGCTTAATTTCTTCTCAGTAGGATACCGCGTCGAACGATACACGATTAGAAGAGAACTACTCAAGTTAACAACTCAAGTAACCCTATCAAAAATGCCTAGGACTTATATGAAAGGCGCTCCAACTCTCTGATATATCAAATAACTGCTATATTCAAAGCTTGGCTGCGTAAGGCGTATTTTAACCGAAATGTTCTATTTTATTATCCTCGGCTTGCGTCTCCGCTCCTACGACTCCTTGCTGCATGGAGGGCGGCGATATGCGGTCTCTCGGGACACCCTTCCCCATGCCACCCCACACCTCCTGCTTCCTCTGCTACCTCATGCTCGTAGATGTCTGTAGTTCGAACTTTTAAAGTGACCCGTCATTTTCAAGCCGCTCTCATCCTTCCAATTTAGGCCAGTCATTTCCGTGGACCCCGTCAAGCGGGGTGGTGAAGGTGAAAGTAACACTCCCGTCCTTACAACAAACCTCTCTCACAAACTAGTCGCAGAGTGGGTGGTGTTTTTACACTCCGTGTGCCGTCTGCAATCTATTTTGCATCTGTGTGGGTAACAGGCAAAGCTGCAACGCCTTGGGCCGTGTCCTGCACTGAACTTTTGCCTTGGGGACTGGAGCCATCCAGCCGAACCAGCAAGGCTTGGCTGAGTGTTGAGAAGGTGCGAGAGCTAGGAGGACTAAAGGTCGGGCAGTAATAGCCAACCGTCCATCAACGTCACCAACGCTCCACCAAAACAGTCTTCGATCTATCACGCAAGCTCTCGTGCAGATGGCTGGCAGATCAGCCGTACGATGCTACGCTGGCCATTTTCCTGTCGAGGCCTCCTTAGCTCGCTCTGTCGACATGTGAATCTTCCGGAAAATGAAGCGTGGACTTTGAAGGACCAAAACACGGCGGCTCGACACCAAAATAATGACACCTCTCAATTTATTCAGACTTATGCGGTAACCAGAAGTGTCGGAAACACGTCATGCCACGACTCTCATGTTGTTGACCGGCATTTCGACTGCAAGTGCCGGAGAACAAACATTGAGCCAAGACCCCCTCTCAGTCTCCCCAGTAAGCTCACTTGGGCGCGGCTTCTTTCCAATTCCGTAGCGAGGATACACACTCACTGCATTGGGACTGCTCCTCAGGCGGGGAAACTTGGCTAGATGCTACCATGAATCCATCATGAAACCGCTACGACCGTGAAGCATCCTGAGCATGGGTCGCCATCTACAGGGAACTTATGCGTGTCCAAGATCGTCTCTGGAGATGATTCTATATTGGCACACGGCAGGGTCATGAATATCGGTTGGCTTTTGGTACCGAAAGGTTTTCTCTTGCGGGCAAACTTGCCTAATGAAGGTGTTTCCATGATCATTATTCACAGGCACTGCCACTTGAACTTGCATTGGCGGTCTAACCGAGAAGGCTCGTATTGACAATAATACCAACAGAGCATCGTCCATCATCAATGTCCATCATCCTGACAAACACACGTTCCTTAACAACAAACCATTCAACGGTCATCGGCATGCTCTCGTTCCAAGTTCTCGGGTATTCGCTCTTTCCCATTGAGACACTTCTCTAAAGATGCGAGCGAGGCTGTGATGGTACATATCTTTGAGGCAAGTCGACCATCTTTCTAGCTACCGCGCAACCACAACGCTCTCGGACGAAGGTCAACAAATACATCCTCGATCAACAGCGTACAATCCAGACCGAGCCACCTGCCTGAAAGTCGCCGGTATGGACAACAACAACCCGAGGTGCTGAGGGAATCTGACCGAAACCGTCCAGTTGGCCGGCTTGGGTTGCTTACATCAAACACACACCAGCCTCATCTTGGGAAATAATGCTCACTACGGCGGCGGCTACAACGCAGGGCTACCTGCTCAGGCCGGGGACCTTGCCCGCCATGAGCACGGTGATTCTTGTCCTTGCCTACGTTTGGCTGTTGTATACCCGTCATGGACGTCTACGTCATGTGCCTGGCCCTTGGCTATCCAAAGTGTCGAGTCTTCATTTGGCATTCCATGACCTTTCTTACTGCCGGAACGATGAGATATTCAAATGGCATCGGCTGTACGGCCCCGTTGTCCGTATTGCCCCGAATGAGGTCTCGGTGGCTACGCTGGAAGCAACCAAAGAAATATACGGTGCCACTCATCGATGGGCAAAGAGCAATTACTTTGACAATTTCATGGGATACAATATGCGGTCCGTGTTTGCGACGAAGCCCTACGAGGAACATCGTGCCAAGCGCAGGCTGACCTCGGTCTTTTACCAAGCCTCCAATATCTACAAACTGCCAGAGATTGAACAGCATATCCAAGAACGCTCCCAGGCCGTTCTAGGCCAGATCCGTCATGGTCAGGAAGTTGACGTCTATAGTCTGACAGACTGGTTTGCGCTCGACAACATCACCTACCTAGTCCTTGGACCTGACCACTGCACACATTCGGTGGAGCGAGTCTGTCCGGAACGCGACCTCTTCATGGAGTTGAAGCATCTACAGTTCGTTGGACCATTCCGAGTCCGTTACCCAAAGGTCTTTGCACCTCTTTCGCGACTACTTGGAAAGTTGAATCCGCGCCTGAAATATCTATTGGCAGATGAAAAGCTCGCATCCTGGTGTCAACAACGCATTTCGACAGCAATAAATGACCCTCGATTGTTCAGCTCGCATTCTCTGCTTCGATATCTACTGGAAAATCATGAGGTTCGCGAGGCAATGCAACCACTTGACCGCCAATACATCGCGGCTGAGGTTCTCGACAATATTAATGCTGCCGAAGCCACTGTCGCAGTGACGGCTACATATTTGATCTGGAGATTGACAGAGGCACCGCAGTGGCAGCGGAGAATACGCAAAGAGTTGGCTCTCTTGCCGGTGCAGGTGGATGGCTCTATATCCTTCTCCGACATCGACAGCCGGGTTCCATCACTGGAGGCTTGCCTACGTGAAGTCTACCGCCTGCACCCAGCTTCCAGTGGACGAGCCGAGCGCATTGTTCCCGAGGGAGGGCACACCTTTTTGGGGCTTTATCTCCCAGAAGGCACCATAGTCACGGCATCTGTTGTAGCTCTACACCGGGACGAGAAAATCTTTCCAGATTCCGAACGCTTTGCTCCCGAGAGATGGCTTGAGACTGACGAGACGACACTCAAGGTCTGTGAGCCCCAGCTCATCCCGTTTGGATACGGGGGGAGGATCTGCTTGGGGAAAGCGCTTGCCACGATGGAAATCAAACTGCTCATTGCCCAGCTTTATGAAAAGTACGAGACGGCCATGACTGCATCATCGACGGCAGAGTCGATGAGGCAGTGCAGCACACATGACGCGGTACCGAAGGATTTGGAGTGTGTTGTTCGATTTCAGAACGTTGAGGAGCAGATTTAGCGGATTCATATAGTGGTGTGTCGCTGCGTGTAGTTACAGCGCGGTCTAGTCTTTGACGACACGGAAACAGCACGGGCAGAAGTTCCTCACTTGATGATTATGGTTCCCTACATAGAGCGCGTCTCGAGCCACGTGTACTGACAAGGATTACTGACCCCCTCCTTTTTTCGAAGGAGCCAGTCGATAATGAGCATATGCTGCGTAGCAGGTGGCGATCCGATTCGTCGTAGGCTCGTAGCAACTAGCTCGCCGATGATCGGCAGTTTAGCTGTTAATAGAGACACGCCAACACCAACATGCCGTGAACTTGTATGCTTGGAACCCCCTCACTCTCTGCCAGTCGATGAGAAAGCAAACAAAAGGATGGCCCGGCAGGAAGGTGCCAACTGCCAAGGGCGTCTTGAAACGCACCGAGAAAGACGCGACCACTGCAGGGTAGGCTGAGACTCGCCAGGAGACATGCTGCCAGCTTAAGTTGCTTACACGCAGGCCGTCTTGAGGTGTGAGCTCGGGTGATTTCGAGAACTGATCAAGACTTCTGGTCAAGTCGTTGGACTCGTGATTGACTTGAGCAACATTGAACGCTCTCGTCCTGGGCATGACACAGAGCTGAGAGAACGAAGCTCGAGCGCTGTCTGATGCAATCAGCGTGTCGCTTTCTCACACCTGGGAAAACTAAACCAGACAGGAACTTTCAGGTGAACGGGACTGGGGCGAGAGAGCGTCATGTGGCGTGGCGAGGACGGTGACGGTGGACATGGCTCTCGGTGAGACCAGGTGAGACCAGGTGAGACGGTGAGGCTACGCCACCTGCCCCTCCTTTCCCCTTCCCCTCCTCGGAGTACCCGGTACTTCCGTCAGTTGCCGCAAGATTACCTCATCAGCTTTACTGCCCCTCATCGCAGCTTGCCTTCTGTCTGCCGCAACGTCTTCCCTTCCCTTCAACCAACCTGCCACCAGCGAGCGCGACGCACCGCACAGGCCTCCTCTAACGACATCGGCCGCCATCAGCTTTCCCAGACTACTCCCCTCTCGCCCCTGCAAGCAACTTTCTCCTGCCCAAACAAAGCCTGTCGGGTTCAGCATCTCGGCGGCTGTTGAGGCTCGACCTGGGTGCTGCGTCTCCTTCGCCAAGATTCCGCCCCCGGCAAGCATAGAAACCCAGGGGAAGCGCAAGCTCTCGGACGGAGAGCACAAACCTCATCGTAAACGGACCATGACGGTATGTCTGCGCTGCGACCGAGCCCTCCGCCGTCTCCCGGCTCCTCCTCCTCACCCGCTTTGCCTGGCCATCTCGAGCTGAGAAACTCCCCGTCTTACGCCTTTGCAGGGCCAAAAGCTCCCCGAGGTCGATCTAGCCACCAGGATGCAAGTCGACGACTCCGTCGTGGGCACGACCGAGATCGACGAGGCCCTCTACAGCCGACAGCTCTATGTCTTGGGCCACGAGGCCATGAAGCGCATGGGCGCCTCCAACGTCCTCGTTGTTGGCCTCAAGGGCCTCGGCGTCGAGATCGCAAAGAACATCGCCCTGGCTGGCGTCAAGAGCCTGACGCTCTACGACCCGGCTCCCGTCCAGCTCGCCGACCTCTCCACTCAGTTCTTCCTCACCCCGCACGATGTGGGGAAGCCTAGAGACGAAGTGACGGCATCCCGGGTGGCCGAGCTCAACGCTTACACCCCAGTCAAGGTCCACCAATCGTCTGGGTATGTTGTCCTGCTTGGCGGGCAGGACATGTCTGGCTGACCGTGCTCACAGGCTCGTCGATAACCTCTCCCAGTTCGACAAGTACCAGGTTGTTGTCCTGACCAACTTGCCCATTTCGGCCCAGAAAGCCATCGGAGACTACTGCCACTCAAAGGGCATCTACGTCGTCGTTGCCAACACGTTCGGCCTCTTTGGCTCCATCTTCTGCGACTTTGGTGACAAGTTCACCGTCATCGACCCCACTGGCGAGACGCCGTTGAGCGGAATCGTTGCTGGCGTCGACGAAGAGGGCCTCGTCTCGGCTCTCGACGAGACCCGGCATGGCTTGGAAGATGGCGACTACGTCACCTTTTCCGAGGTGGAGGGCATGGAGGGCCTGAACGGGTGCGAACCCCGGAAAATTACTGTCAAGGGCCCTTACACTTTTTCCATTGGAGACGTGTCGGGCCTCGGCACATACAGGCGCGGCGGAATGTACCAGCAGGTCAAGATGCCCAAGATTGTCAACTTCAAGAGCTTTACGGCGGCTCTCAAGGAGCCCGAGTTCCTCATGTCAGACTTTGCCAAGTTCGATCGGCCTCCGCAGCTCCACCTCGGCTTCCAGGCCCTCGAGGCCTTCCAGCTGTCCAACGGCCGGCTACCGAAGCCCATGGACGACGAGGACGCTGCCGTAGTGCTCGGCGCAGCCAAGAAGTTTGCCGAGCAGGAGAAGCTCGAGATGGAGATCGACGAGAAGCTGCTCAAGGAACTCAGCTACCAAGCAATGGGAGACCTCAGCCCCATGGCCGCCCTCTTCGGCGGCATTGCTGCGCAAGAGGTGCTCAAGGCCGTGTCGGGCAAGTTTCAACCCATCCAGCAGTGGATGTACTTTGATGCCATCGAGTCGATCCCCACATCTACGAAGCGCACTCCGGAGCTGTGCAAGCCCGTGGGAAGCCGCTACGACGGCCAAATCGCCGTCTTTGGCAGCGAGTTCCAGGAAAAGATTGGCAACGTCAAGCAGTTCTTGGTCGGCGCAGGCGCCATTGGCTGCGAAATGCTCAAGAACTGGGCCATGATGGGCCTCGGAGTCGGGCCCAAGGGCAAGATCTACGTGACGGACATGGACTCGATTGAGAAGAGCAATCTCAATCGGCAGTTTCTGTTCCGCGCTGCCGACGTGGGCAGCATGAAGAGCGACTGCGCGGCCCGAGCCGTGCAGCGGATGAACCCCGAGCTCGAGGGCCACATGGTGACGATGAAGGACAGGGTCAGCGCCGACACGGAGCACACCTTCAACGAGGAGTTTTGGCAGGCCCTGGACGGCGTGACCAACGCTCTGGACAATGTCGAGGCCAGGACGTACGTCGACAGGCGCTGCGTCTTCTTCCGCAAGCCACTGCTGGAGAGCGGCACCCTGGGCACCAAGGGCAACACCCAAGTCGTCTTGCCACATCTGACCGAGTCGTACTCGTCCTCCCAAGACCCGCCGGAGAAGGAATTCCCCATGTGCACCATCCGGAGCTTCCCCAACCGAATCGAGCACACCATTGCGTGGGCCAAGGAATACATGTTTGAGAGGTCTTTTGTCAAGGCCCCACAGACGGTGAACCTGTATCTGACGCAGCCCAACTTCCTGGAGACGACGTTGAAGCAAGGCGGCAACCAAAGGGAGACGCTCGAGACGATTCGCAACTACCTCACGACGGAGCGTCCCCGCACGTTTGAGGACTGCATTGCCTGGGCCCGGATGCTGTTCGAGACGGAGTTTTCCAACAAGATCCAACAGCTGCTGCACAACTTCCCCAAGGACTCGGAGACGTCGAGCGGCACACCCTTCTGGTCCGGGCCCAAGCGCGCGCCGGATCCGCTCAAGTTTGACCCAAACAACCCGGCACACTTTGGCTTCGTCGTCGCGGCCGCGAACCTGCACGCCTTTAACTTCAACATCAAGTCGCCTGGGATGGAGAAGTCGATTTACCTGAGGGAGTTGGAGAATGTGATTGTGCCGGACTTTACCCCCGATGCCAACGTCAGGATCCAGGCCGATGACAAGGAGCCGGTAAGCCAGCAGCTCATGCCGTGATTTGAAGACTGTTTTCGGGACGCATGTGGAATCAGGCTAACGGTCGCCGGTGCAGGACCCCAACGAAAACACAGGCTTGGATGACGGCGACGAGCTAGACAAGATCATGGCCGGCATCCCGTCGTCCAACACGCTCGCGGGCTTCCAGCTCCAGCCGGTCGAGTTTGAGAAGGACGACGACAGCAACCACCACATCGACTTCATCACGGCGTGCAGCAACCTGCGGGCCGAGAACTACAAGATCGAGGCGGCGAACCGCCACAAGACCAAGTTCATCGCGGGCAAGATCATCCCGGCGATTGCAACGACGACGGCGCTGGTGACCGGGCTGGTGGTGCTGGAGCTGTACAAGGTGATTGACGGCAAGAAGGACGTGGAGCAGTTCAAAAACGGTTTCATCAACCTGGCACTGCCCTTCTTTGGCTTCAGCGAGCCGATTACGAGCCCCAAGGTGGAGTACCAGGGCCCGGACGGCAAGGTGACGCTGGACAAGATCTGGGACCGGTTCGAGGTGGACAACATTACGCTGCAGGAACTCCTCGACTACTTCAAGGCCAAGGGCCTGAGCGTCAGCATGCTCAGCTCAGGCGTCAGCCTGCTTTACGCGAGCTTCTTTCCTCCATCAAAGCTCAAGGAACGCTACGGCATGAAGCTCAGCAGGCTGGTCGAGACCATCTCGAAGAAGGCGATTCCGTCGCACCAGAAGGAGGTGATATTCGAGATTGTGGCCGAGGACATGGCCGAGGAGGATGTGGAAGTGCCGTACATCAAGGTGAGGGTGCGGTGAGGGACGAAGCCGCGGGAGCGTACGAAGTAGACCAAGCGAAACATGGCCAGTCTTTTCTTAGCGAAGGGGGTGGCGCGAGGCAGGACGGAAGCGCCAGGGCGAGAAAAAGGGGCAAAATGCGAGTAAGGTAGAATGTTGCCGGCATGACTTTGATAGATGAATAAAGTGTTTGGACTGAACGGGCTCTAGCGGAGGACTGTGATGGTTTGGCGGCTTCGTGTTAGCCGCAAGAGGCTACGGCGGGATGGCAAAGCCGGGAATATGCGCTACTAAAGGCTGATAGTCGCTTGAATAAAGCCCCGCTCGAGCCAGTTGTCGCCTCATCAGCGTGTCGCCTCATCAGCGTGTCGCCTCGAGCTTCATGAGCATCTGTTACGCCTCCCTGCATACGAGCAGCAGCCTGTTTTCGACAGGAGAAAGGATCGATTCTAGGGCCCGTTCATGAGCGTGAGCACGACGAGCGTCCACCATCTGCTTAAAAGGCTCCATCTCGTCCTCGTCTCGCCATCCCTCGCGTGCTCGAGAAGAGCAGCTACGCACTTGCGCCGTCATTGCTCCCCCGCTTCATATACACATTCCCAAGGACGCCAGATCAGGATGGTAAGAGGACTTGCCCAGGATGCCAAGACAGCGAGACTGAAGCCGGATGGCAGACGAGCGGCGGCAAGGTGACGGACTGGGTCAAGCCCGGCGACAAGTCTGGCGAGTACAAGCGCCAGGTCAGCTCGTTCCGCGACCGCATCTCGCGCGAGAGCGGTGCCAAGTATCCGCCCGAGAAGGGGCGCTATCACCTCTACGTCAGCTACGCCTGTCCTTGGGTATGCCTCCGATCCTTGTCTTCCGCTCCTGCGGCGTCGCTGCGTGCTGATGGACAGGTGGACAGGCCCACCGCACCCTCATCACCAGGAGGCTCAAGGGCCTCGAGGACCTCATCTCGTACTCGGTCGTGCACTGGCACCTCGCCGAGGGAGGATGGCGCTTCGTCACGGCCGACGAGAAGGAGCCCGGCGACAACGTGGTGCCGGATCCCATCGACGGCCACGGCGCCTTCACCCACCTGCGCCACGTCTACTTTGAGTCGGACGAGGATTACCAGGGCCGCTTCACCGTGCCGGTCCTGTACGACAAGAAGACGAAGCGCATCGTCAGCAACGAGAGCAGCGAGATTGTCCGCATGCTCGGCACCGAGGTGCGTGGGAGGACCCCTTTGACCCATGATGTGTGACGCCAGAACCGGGCGAAGCTGACTGACTGGACGGGGCAGTTTGACGACTTGGTCCGGCCAGAGTTCCGCTCCGTCGTGCTGTATCCAGAGAAGCTGCGCGGGCAGATTGACGAGACCAACGAGTGGACGTATGACTTGATCAACAACGGCGTCTACAAGTCGGGCTTTGCCACGACGGCGCAAGCCTATGAGAAAAACGTCGTCGCTCTCTTCGAGGCCCTCGACCGAGCCGAGAAGCACCTCGCCGGACAGACCGACGGGCCCTATTACTTTGGCAAGGCGCTGACCGAGGCCGACATTCGCCTGTGAGCGACCACCCCTACCCCCGTCCCTTTCCCTCCCCGACACCCTTTGTCCAGCACGCCTTCGTCCTTTGTTGCTCACCACCCGCCGTCAGGTACGTGACGCTGGTGCGCTTCGACCCCGTCTACGTCCAGCACTTCAAGTGCAACGTGCGCGACGTCCGCTCGGGCTATCCGGCGCTGCACCGCTGGATGCGCACCCTGTACTGGAAGCACGCGGCGTTTGGCGGGACGACGCAGTTTGACCACATCAAGTGGCACTACACGCGCAGCCACACGCAAATCAACCCCATGTCCATCACGCCGCTCGGGCCCCTGCCGCACATTCTGCCGCTCGACGATGAGGTGCCGGCTGCTGCCGGTGCCGCAAAGTCGTAAAGGGGGGTTGCGTTGCAGGAGAGGCTCATGGATATATACGACTAAAACGCCTACCAGTGATTCACTCGCTCGCAGTGTTGGCGGAGGAAAAGGACGAGGTTGGAAAGTATGCTACCATCTACGCAAGAAGTCGGTCATTAGGCGAGACTCCATCCCGCAGTCTCTACACGGATATATATGTCGATGCACACGCCATGTCTTCACCGTATCTAAAAAGAGGCGACACGATGAGTTCAAGAGTGCTAGAGCCCATCTGCGCCTACGTAGCTGCTGAATGACGACAAGAGTATGAAACGCTTGGCTTTTCGTATTGCTGGTGGCATACAAATGGGCCGGCATGCTTAAAGTCCTACAAAAGGCTGCCGGTGCCAACAAGAGCAGTAGAGCGGGGGGGTTAACGAAGCAGAGCGTGAAGCAGCGATCTCAGACCATCAGTCAGCCTTTTCCATCCCTGCTGCTGCTGCTGCCGCCGCCGCTGCCTGGCTCGGCGTGACGGACGTGCTGGGCGGGCAGTCCATGACGGGGTTGTGGGTGAAGAAGTGGCGCGGGCGCAGGAGCAGCGTGACGGACTCGGCGGGCATGATGGGGAAGTCCTCGGGCGAGGGAAAGTGGTTCAGGCCAAAGGTGTGCCAGAGCACAATGTCCTGGTCCTCGACGCTCTCGGAGCCGTCGCCGATCCAGTCGACGAGGCCGACGGGCGTGTTGCCCGATGTCTGCGGCACGTGGCGGCCTGCGGGCCAGAGCTGGTCGTCGCGATCTGAACATGGGCAGCAAAGAACAAAGAGCCAGTGGGCCTGCGTGTCAGACGAGACAGAGCCAGCGCATGCAAGGACGGGGCGGATCTGGGACGTCGGCAGAATAACTCACACTTGGTCACATGGACAGCGTGGCGCGCAAAGCCCGCTCTCTTCCACACGAGCGACCCGGGCTTGGGCAGCAAGCCCGGCACGTCGCGGCTGACGAGCTTGTAGCTGGCAGGCAAGCCGCTGTAGGGATGCACACGGTCCCTGTTGCACATGTCCCAGGTGCGCGAGACGGCGTAGTCGCTCGCGGCGGCGCCGGCGGTGGCGAGCACGGTGCGGCGGGCGCCGAAGGCATTGCCAAAGGGGTTCTCGGCGCTGCCGACGGGCGCGTCCGAGGGCACGGCGTCGACCATGACGACGGTGTTGCGCGGGCCGTCGACGCTGGGGTTGATTCGGAGGCAGAAGAGGTGTTGGTGGTTGTGGGCGTTGACGCCTTTGGGTGGCGAGGTGAGGGGGCCGTGTCAGATGGACGATGAAGAGACGGACTGACCTTTCAAAGAGGGCGCAAGGGGAGGGAGAAGGCCTTACCGGGATGAACTTGGGTGCCCCAGCCATGTGTGTCCTCGTCTGGGTTGATTGCGTACGTGTTGAGGATTCCGGTCAGCTTGATCTCGGGCTGGATGGTTCCGTCTTGCTGTTGTCCGGACGTCAGCCATGAATCGATGCCCGGCCCAGACCGAAGACCGGGGAGCGGAGAAGAGCGAAGAAGCAGAAGAGAGAGAAAACTTACGTGAAAGATCCACTACAAGGATTAGGCCGAGCTTCTCTTAAGCAGAAATGAGATGCCTCGCTCCTCACAGGTCCGTCTCGTCTTACCTGAACAATATACTCATAGTTGGCCGCAGTAAAGATGTGCTGGACAACCAGCCGACGGGCACGCGTGGCAATGGCCGAGTCGTCGCGAAAGTCGGAGTGCTTGAACAGCAGGCCGGCGTCCTCCTCGTGGATGCAGATGGCGTTGGCCACGGTCCGCACGCCGCCGTCGCGCGTCGGGAACGCGGCGTCGAGGTATCGGATCGCGCCCTTGCAGTCGCACCCGGCCTTGAGGCTGTTGGTCAGGTAGCCCGCGCCGTACTCGCCCAGGTCGAAGGCGTGCTTGCGATGGTGCGGGTGCTCCGGGTTGCCGCTGGGAGGCAGACGCACGTGTCTTGCGCGTCAGAAGAAAGGGGCTCCTTGAGGCAGACGCAGTCCACGGGGGCTGTAAGGAGAGAGCAGGACGGGGAGAGTGACTGACTAGGGCACCACCATCTCGGCGAGCGAGAGGCGGTAGAAGATGGGGCGGACGGTGCCGCCGTCGTTGTAAGCAATGTCGTGCAGGACAATGCCCTCGCGGTAGCCAAACCCGACGTGAAACCGCCAGTTCTGCCACTGGAGCTCCCTGCCATCAAGTCTAAACGAAACACCCTCCGGCTGCGTAATCTCGAGCGGCTTGAGGTCCGTCCGGTACCCGCCGCGGACCTCGACGTCTGCCGGGTGGTAGTTGAGCGGCGGCTCCCTCCGCAGCGGGCGCCGGACCTCGGGCACGTCGATGTGGACGACGCGGCGCTGGCCGGCGTCGTAGACGGGGCAGAAGTCGAGCGGGTACTGGTACTGGCAGTCGTCGAGGCCCGGGCGAAAGTACATGAGGGCCTGCTGGAGGCGGACCGTGGACCCGAAGCGCTCGTCGACGCCAATGGTCCACGGGTCGCAGTACACCTTGTGCATCTCGTCGCGCGATATGCCGCTCTTCTCGCACTGCTCGATGACAGCGGCGTCGGTGCGGACAATGTGCTCCACGGCTTGCAGCTCCTCGACCGTGATCTGCGCCGGGTTGGTCAGGGGATGCAGGGTTAAGGGGGAACAGCAGAGCAGACTCACGATGGGCTGGAAACCCTCCTTCCACTCCCAGCCGACCAAGCTGCCCTTGTCGATGTCGACGAGCCCCTCGCCCACCCTCCCCCCGGGGGCAATGACCACTACATCGGCCACTCGCCGAGGCCGGGGCTGGCCATTGCGGTCGCCGAGCCACGCCACCATGTCCGCCTTGCGAGGCTCCTGGAGCGCGACGGCATTGAAGAGGACGGTGCCAAGAGCTTCCCTTACCACCGCCACGGCTACTTTGATCTCTCCCGCCTCGAGCGGGTCAAAGGGATGCGGAATCCGGGCGCCTCGAGCACAAGATGCCATGGCAGCAGCTTGTCCTTTTCTTGCCGAGCTTCCAGAGATGACTGACACAAAATGCAAAGTTCAGGACAAGGCTCAAGGCAGATTCCGTATCCTATTCCCCGGAGGAAGAAGGGTTCCAACCGATCACTCAATTGCTGTCCGGCTGGTCTCACGTCTTTCAAAGATGGGAATCCTCGGTCCCCGTCGGTGAGATGCCAATGCTTCGACCCCGCTCAATGCGCCCTCGTGGCAGCACCCCATGCTTTGCAGGGGGACTGATTGATTGGGCATCATGCCGGTGCAATGTCATCACTCGACGAGTAATGACGCGCCCGTCCCGGGCTCCTGGCTGAATATTTGGCTGCGCTGAGGAGCTGCCAACCACTTGACGTGTAACCGGGACTTCAGCTGTCATTGTGAGCCTATGCTCATACAGTATGAATACTTGGCACATATCCCTCCTACATCGTTTGTTCTTGGCGTTCCCTAGCAAGTCGCTTGGCGGGTGTCAGTGCTCGTGCTCGTTCGTAGGGATGGACCTCGAATCATGCGTCCGGAGGCCAGATGGTCGGAGAACACCATCTTCAACAGCGTTTGCGACTGCCAGTCGAGCAAACGGCCGAAAGACCAATCGACTGGCAAATTGGAACAAGCCTCAGTGCCCGTCTCGCGACATCAAGTGGATCCAGAAGCAAGAAAGACGTTTGATCTGCGCAGAGGCTGGAAGAAGCCCCAGACCTTACGCTAGTCTACACTTCCTCTCCCAGCCTGGGAAGAAGGGGCTCTCCTGCAACGTGTGTGGAGCCCACTGACCGTCAATCAGCCCGCGCTCGACCTGCAAGCGCTCGTACCTTGCGAGCGTGGGCTTCGCAACGTGCTCGACATGCCAGGTCCCCTTATACCTCATAATGTTCTCTTTGCCCTCGTTGAGGACTTTGAGAACGAGTGACGGAATGTAGGGCTCGTCTTCAAACTCGGTCAGGGGTGTGAACAAAGCTTTAAAGTTGAACACGACTGCGCCCGAGAGCGGCAGTCGACGAACAGTCTGCCAGTCAACTCGGAAAAAGATGTCCTCCGGCCGGAGGCTGGGGTTCTGAGACTCCCGATGGCTAAAATCGGGATCAGTAGACGGTAGGTAGAGGGGTTGCCCGACTTCGAGTCCCCATGATGCTCTCTGTATTGGGTTGAACGTCGCCATCTTGGAAAAGAACCTGGCGCCGGTCTTGTCAGTTTATGAGAGCGAAAAGGTCGCACTGGTGGCTAGCGGCTTACCGGTCTACGCTGAACTCAATCTTGTCCTTGTAGTCCGGCACTGGCCGGTGGATGGCCGACAGGCTGAGGCCAATCTTTTGGCCCAGATTCCATCCAACGGCCGAGCAAATAATGCCTGCTCGAAAGCAGTAGTGACCGGTCTCGTGATGCCTCAAAACGATTGCAAAGTCCTCTGGGACGTTGTCCAGGAGAACGTGAAGCGGCTCAGCTGTCGCCAGATCGTGCTCAGTTTCCAGGATCCGATTGACCAGGGTTTTGCCATTGACCAGTTGAAAGTGCCGTGGATATCGTGCACAGAGAAACTGAACAACCACCTCGACCAGCTCCTTGCGTGCGAGCTCCGACCCTGGCAAGGCTTGCAGCACTTGCCGCCCATGCTTGGCGAAGAGCGCCTGGCGCTGGCGGATCCGGTCTCGATATGAGCCTTCCAGCTCGAGCCAGTAATCAGTGTCGAGCTTTTGAAGCGCTTCGCCGCAGTAGTTGTCGGTCAGCCACGCTCAGCAGACTGGGCTAAAGACAACTTTGATTTCGTTACGTACACATGGTCTGGTGGTATGGCCAGCGAAACGGCCTATATGGCCTCGGCAAGGCGTTGTCGATGTTGAAGTCTCGTGCAGGCCCTGGCAAGGGGACTCCTGACAACTTTGCATAGTCGGGGAAATCTCCCAGCGCCCGGACTTCGCCTACGGTGAATCCACTGAAGAGAAAAGTGGCCGGGTCTGCACAGCGATAGTCGGACTCTATTTCAAGAGTGAGTTTGGGGCATGTCGATAGGTCAAAGTCGGCATCAAGGCCGTCCACAGCGGATGAGGCCGCGGTGGCGACTTCGGCGAGGAGGGCACGCTGCGAAGGAGGGAATCTCTTGGACAAGCCAGCAACGGAGGTTTGGTTCGACTGACGCTGGCGGGAGAGAAACAGCAAGGGAAAGGGAGTCTTTCGACCATAGACCAAAGCATATATCAGAAAGGCGAGACCACAGGCGCCCAAGGTGACGCCGAGACGGGTGTATTCCATGTCAATGGCGGCCATGATGTGTGCGTGGTTGCTGGAGGCCGATGGATAGTTGAAGCCGGCCGGGAAGAGGGGTCTCTATTTTATTGCCAATGCCGCGGAAGCTGTAACAAGTGGCAAGTCGAAAGGAGTAGCACGGTGCATGAGAGCAGATGAGCACAGTGTCACTTGAGCCGCGCGTGACCACCAACTGGTCATGGACGGACCTGTCGGACCACGAGAGGCAGCTGTAGATGCTGGAGAGAAGGTGGCGAACGGCGGGGTAGACGCAGCACCAGCTGAGCGTATCTCACCTTCTGTTAGACTGGAATTGAGGCCGGGGCAACTATAGATGTTGTGTTACCCGAAGAGATCGAAGAGGGCATGGTGATGCCCACGAGATCGATCGAGCCAAGCCAGATCCGCGAGAGACTATGGACGGTCACCGCATGGCGAAAGCAGCTCTCGAGATACGAATGGTTCGCGCGTGCAATCAGCGCCGATTCGGGGTCCGACGCTCGGCCCACGACTCATTGCCAGCCAGCCGTCGTCTTGTTCCGAGCTGCGCCATGTCGACGGGTGCTGCCACTGTGATGGTCGTTGCGAGGCCGCACCAGGTCACCTGACCAGGGCGCGGTGGTAGTTGGACAAGAGGACTGACTGGGACAAGTGCTTGATGGCGCAAAGGCGAAAGCTTGACCAAAGGTGAGGAGGAGCAGGGATACGACGATCCAAGGCCATGATGGTGGCAAAGAGCAGCTGCCATGCGGAGGTGCCGTGGTGAGGAGAGCCCGGGCCTTGTGCCAGGCTCCAGCAAGTAGGTAGGTAGGTAGTCTATACCGCAATCATTCTGTAAAGCGGGTCCAGGATCAAGTATCGGATACCTCGGTGCGGCCCACGTGCTCTGAATCTTTGTGGGCACCAAGGGCTTTTATTGAACCTTGCCTCCTTGTGTACCGTGCCTCAACGAAGTACCTGACCTGAACCCTGACCTCGTTGAATTGGGAGGAGGCCTTTGAAAGCCTTGCACCTGGCAGAACCTTATGTACATCTGCCCTGGCCAAGCGCCCTACCTTGAGGCCTGTCTGTATGTTCATGGCTGCGGGCAAAATCAGAATCAAAATCAGAATCAAAATCATACCTACTAGGTGCAAAGCATTGCCCGCGTCTTGGCCTTTACTCCCCAACCACCACAGCGCCGCTACTTGCTGCCTTAGCTGGAGATACTCCGGCTCTTTGTACCCGGAGTGCGCGCCCGGCCTCGCCGCTGGTACCTGGCGCTCGGGTACCCTCCGCCCAAGCTCCATGTGTCTCTATCGCAGCCGCCTCCCAAGCCCCCGAAATCCCACTGCTTCATCCTTTCTCTTCCATTCGCATCCAATCCAATCTCTTCACGCCTCCTCTCCTCTCTCCCAACGTCGCACAGCTTCTCCTCCTCACCCATTTCCTCTCTCTGCCATCCTCCCTCTCTCCATCATCTGCAATCAATCAATCGTCTCCCTTCCATCTGACTGCTCCATCGCCCGCCCTTGTCCGCTGCTTTCCTCCTTGCCTCGACCAAGAACCCATCCTTCTGCCTCCCTCGCTCGCCCCGACCTGGCTCCATTTGGTCTCTCCCGTCTATCCTCAAGAGCGACGACAGCAACGCCGACGCTTCCGCCTCTTTCACGCCGCCCTCTGAAGCAAATACTCGGCAACCTAGCTGGCCGCCGCACCAGCCGCCTCTCCTCCCACCGCCGAAGTCGCCCTCAAACACCCGTTTCCACCACCACCTTTGTACGACGGTTATCTCGCACATCATCATCCTCGTCGACACTCGCCGCGTCTCGTTGACGAGCCCTTGCACGTCGTTGGCTTGACCGTGCGTGCCGCCTCGTCTCGATTGCAGAGCTCTCTGCATACCCTCTTCTGCGGCGTTCGCTGGCCCCTTCCTTAGATGGGCATCGCAACATCGCTGCCCTGATATGGCCATCCGATACACTGCAGCCTTTCTGCTGCACCTGCGCGAGTCGCCGCTATGTACCCGACCAGACAACCTCCCCCCCGCGGAGGAGTGGATGGGGTGAGCTCGCATTGTCGCCTTCGCTGCCACGTGCCTCGTTGTCGCTGACTTTGGCTGCAGTGCGACACCCGAACAGCTTCGCGCCCAAAGTAAAGCCGCCGGCGACAAGCCGCGGGCAGCCGACAACCCTTTGCTTGACCAGACCAACCGCCGACCCGGCCTCGATCGTTCCCGCAACAGCGCAAGTCAGTCTCGCCGTTGCATCCATTCCCACACGCTTGCTTGCTGACCGCGCCATTCTTGCCACAGACCCTGATGACATTGTCTTCGGACCCCCTCGCATGGCTTTTTCGTCCGCCAGGGGCAACAAGACACTGGAAAACGACAAAGGCTCCAAGGAGCCCGAGACCCCCGGTCGCACCAGTTTGCGGGGCCGAAACGGCGATGTGGATGGAGATCGCCTTCGCGAAGGCCGGAGTAGCACTCATCTCCGTCGCAGCGATGCCGACCAGGATGGAGATGGCTGGAGCACGGTCAAGCCGCGCAAGAGCTTTGGTACCGAAGGCGCTGAACGCTTCCATGGGAAAATGGGCGGCAACTTTCGAGACGAACGCCGGCCTGCCAAAGATCGAGACGAGCGAGACGCGACGCGCGACCGCCCCACCCGGTCTTTTGACTCCTTTGTTCGAGACAGGGAACCCGCCGATGGTGAGGGCCGAACACGCAACGGACTAGGCAGAAACAAGCTCGACCCCTGGCGATCAAGCGACGCCAAGGACAGTCCTCAGCCAGAAAGGCGTGAGCGCGACCGGACAAAAAGCTGGCGTGACCGGGATAAGGAGCCCGAGCCATCGTCAGACGATCGCGGAGGGGGCCGGACATCTGACAGGCGATGGGGTCGTGAGCGTGATCATAAGACCGAACGAGAGCCCGAGTGGCTGGACGAGCCGCACGTCGAGCAGCGCGAAGCCCATACCCAGCAAGACTTCCAGAAATGGATGGAGCAGATGAAAGCGGCTAAGAGCGGCGGGTCTGCTTCGAGCAAGCCTGCCGCTGCTGCAGCCCCCGAGGCCGTCACCGAGGCGCCCAAGCGCTCGGCGCCAGCGCCCGTCGAAGTAGGGCCCGACAAATTCTTCATGGCTTTTGGTGGCGGCTCCAGCACGGCGCTCGACACTACTAGCCCTTCCGAGCCAAAGGAGACGCCCGCGAAGGCCAAGCCGGCCGGAAAGTCATCGAGGTTCACGTCCTTTTTCTCCCAACCCCATCAGGACGGGCGAGTGAGGTCCGAGGCCTCGACGCCTCTCGCAGGACCCCCGGCCAATGGGCCCGCTCCCGGCGCCGGGGTGGCCATGTCTTCCGCGCCGGCTCCAGAAGAAGAGCGACAGGCCTTTCAGCAGCTGCTCGCCAAGTTGCAGAAGCAGAGCATGAGCGCTACTCCTCCGGGGCTCTCTCCGTTTGCGGCTCCGCAGCAGCAAGGGGTGCTTGTGGATACAGACAAGAAAAGCGCCATTGCTTCTCCTGAGCCCTTCCAGCAGTATGGCGGCGAGCGCCGCGACGGTCCGTTGGTGGCGGCACCCCCTCAGCACCCCCACGAAATCCTCGCCCCTCGACCACAGCAGCAGTCTGCCCGTCCCGATCAGCTCCTCCAAGACCTAGTTGGGCATCATCAGCGCGTATCTAGCCAGGGATCCCTGCGGCCCGAGGTCAATTCCGCCCGCAACAACAGCAACACCGAGTTCTTGATGAACCTGATGAGGGCTGCGCCCGAATTGCAGCGTGCAGAGCACCAAGCACGGGTCCAGCAGCCTCAGAAGCCTGGCGCTGTGGCCCCCTTTACCGAGCGCGAACCTGAGTTCCTTGCGCGCGAGAATCGCGGCACCCAGCGCCAGATGCGTCCTCAGCCTCCACCGGGCTTCCCGATGGACGAACCTTTCCACGGAGCGGATCAAGAGCAGCGCCAGGGCCAGCCCACGCAAATCCTGCAGCGACCGCCGCCGCCTCCGGGGCTTGACCAGATACCCCCCGAGTGGATGGCCAGAGGCGGGCAGATGCCGCCGCCACAGCAGCGTGGGCCCATGATTCCACCGCCCGGGTTGGCCGGCGGACCGAGCAGAAATGTGCCCCTGCAGCACATGTTCCCGCCCAACTTTCCTCCGGCCGGGGTACCGCCACCTGACGCGATGGGAGCAATGCCGCCTCGCAACCTCCCCATGCCGCCACCGGGCTTCTTCAACGGCCCGCCCCACGGCTTCGTCCCGCCTGGCCTGGGTGGGTTCAACGGACCTCCCGGCCCGGAGTCGCACATGTTTGGCGGGTCTCCGTTTGAGAACCGAGGGATCCCGCCCTCGAGCGGTCGCGGTGCCAGCTTCAGCCGCCCTTGAGACGAGCCAGAACAGACTGCGCGCTTGAGCGTGACGACAGGGATAGCCAGGGGCCAGGGACTGAACACCAGGTGCATGCGAGGAGAATGCAGGGCAGAACACGAGAAGCTCACTGTTGGGGATTGAATACTGGAACTCACTCGCATGCAAGGGAAGGAGGAGTGCGCTCTTTGATGTCCCTCTTGTGAGAGTCAGAAGACGGCTATACCTGTCGCGTTCGTCCGCCGGGCTCCTCTTGCGTCAAGCACTAGGCTTCACATGAATTTGGTTGGGGGTTCTATTTCTTATGTTGGGTGGCCTCGGGGGCTGTTGGGATTGGGGACTTGTTCGCGGAGGAGAGAAGGGAGAAGGGCCGGGTTCATGTAGCGCCTCTCTCCCCCGGCGTCGGGTGTCAAGTATCAGGGGCAAAGAGACGTTGGAGCCGGGCAATATATCGTGAAGTGTGCCTGACACCCGTGGCTTAGGGCCGCGGTCGCCCACCGGCCGTGTCTGCGGTTTGGCGTTGCCTCGTGCGCACGCTTGCTGCTCCCCGTCTGCCTGCGCATGGGATATGGCTGCTGGCCATGAGACGTCCAGCGCCACGCGTGTCACGTAGGTCGTACGCAGAGTGCGGCATTTAGGAGGATTAATGCTCCGCGCCTACTTACTCCGGGCTTGTAGGACGGCCGGGCATAACTATACAGGTGCTCGAGCCCCGTGCCCATCCACCCGCCGCCACCAGAGGTATCCTCGCAGCCATGGCCCGTGCTGCTCCTACTCGCCTTCCGACCCCGTCTCTCCACCCGCCTCGTCACTCCAGCCTCGGTCCCCTTTCCTGCCCAGAAAAACGCCGCGCCTCGCGACCCAAACGGTCATACGCTGTGCTCCTATACCCAACGACAGGCCCCCCCATGCGCCGGGACGCCATTACGCGCAAGCACGTGCGCCCACGCTCGCCGCAAAGGCGCACGGCCGGCCGTCTAGTCGTACCTCGGACGAGGGAGCCGATGCGGCAGAGAACCCTACTTCTTCATACCCAAAAAGTTCCTCTTCTTCTTCTCCTTGTGCGCCTTGTCGTCGGCCTTTTTCTTGCTGGCCTTGTCGGTCCCCGGTTGCGGCGGTTCCGGCGTGCCCCCGCTCGCGGGTTTGGGTGACGGGTTCAGGTTCATGTTGCCCATGGCCTGCGTCGGAGGCGGAGTGGGCATTGGCCCTGGCCCGGGCATTGGTCCGGGGCGGTTCGGGAGGCCCCCGGAAGGGAGACGCTTACCCGGTGCAGGGCCTGGGCCGCCACCCATCCGCGGCATGGGGGCGCCCTGACCGGGAGGCGGTTGCCGCATGGGCGGCGGCGCCGGACGCTCGAAAAGATGTGCCGGAGCGCGAGGCTTTGGCCTCTCCATGGGGAGATCGAGCTGTCGCTTGTCGCGACTCAAGTCGCCGACCTGCCGGATGAAAAGCTGCGGCGTCAACATGTGTGAGCTGATGAGGATAATATCTCTGCTGCGCTCCCGGCCGACCTCGTAGCACACGCGGCTCTCGCTGAATGTCGCGCCTCCAGCCATGAACACCAGAATGCGCGGCCGGTTTTCGGGGGGGCGTCGGCCAGCGGCAGCCCAGTTCGGCCGGCCAGCGCGCAATGAGCCGCCCTGCGCCAAGAGCAAGTCCTCGTTGGGGTCCAAGGGCGGCTTCACAAATGGAAACACGGTCTGGTCCAGCGTGCCCTTGGCGAGGGCGTCCAGCATCGGCTTCAGGACGGGTTCGAAGCGAGACAAGCTGTACTCCTCATTTGGCTGCAAGCTCTTTGGGTCTTTGGGGAAGAGCGGCAGAGGCGCCTGGTGAGGCTCCTTCAACGCATGAGACGTCTTGCCGCCAAGCAACTCCAAGTTGGACACGACCTCGCCGTCCTGCGGTGGCAGGGCGGCGTGCGTCAGCAGTTTCTGAATATCCTCCATGACGACGCCGCCGCGATAGAGTATGTATATGATGATGAGTCGTAGACGGTCGGAGGGCGTGATGGCCTCGTCATCCAATAATCGAACCGCCGACTCGAGTACGTTTTTGGGTTTCCTAAAGTCCTCATCCAGGCCCGTGGACATGGTCTGCTCTACGGACGCAATGTCGGGGAGTTTGTTGTGTTGGAACAGGTTCATGCACTCTTGTGCCATGGTCAAGTGCAGAGAATATGCCTCCTTCATTTCCTGAAACTCGGGTAGCCCAGCAAGCATGTCCCTGATGGAGTTGAGGTTTGTCGTGTCGGCGTTTTCGTCTGTAAAGTGAGGGTTCTGGTCGAGGAACTTTTGAAAATCACCCATGAGCTTGTCAATGGTGTCCTTCATGTGCCGATGTCTGTTGTCGAGCCAGATCTTGTCCTTTTCGCCCAGCTCCATGTCCTTGTCCTGCTCTTCTGCCGTGCCCTGGTTGATGGTTGTGTGAAAGGTGACCTTGTCGCCCTCCTTGATTGGGAGAAGATCGTGAGCCATGGCCTGGTAGGTGAATTCGTGGATCAAGGGCGCCATGAGATCCATCGACCGGTCTGTGATGACGAGGTTGGACTGGGGTCGGTTTGAGGGGGGAGGGAAGTTGGGGTCCCATTGTGCGTATCCGTCGAGTTCCTCCTGCACGAACCTAGCCAGGTGCGCGGACAGCACGCTGGCTTCGTGGAAGGCGTTTTTGGGTCTGTAGTACCGGATCTTGGGATACTCTCCTAGGGTGATGCAGACACCGGCAATCTGCAGGTTGCCGCGGGTCAGTCATCGAAGCTGTTGCGCAACACGTTTGTGTCGCAGTGCTTACCCGCTGCGCCAGACTCTGCATATGCTTGGGGACCAAGGCATTGCATGAAGGGTGGTAGAGCATGGGAAAGCTCCAGGGGTCTCGGAAGGTAACGAGGTGCGACTCCCTCGGGTAGAAGTCAACAAAGAGAGTCTTTGAGCTTGCGCGCAACTGCCTGACGCCGGGAAAGTCGTCTATGCGCCGTCGCAAGTTGGGATCAATGAGATTTGTCCACACAAGGAAGGCTCTGCGGTAGCGGCGGCATTCAAAGTCGGCGAGGAGGCAATCGACGGAGTGCGAATCGGGGGTGAGTAGGTAGATGGCGTCCATCTCGGGGTTGGGCTCGCGGCGGTCCTCGATGCCTTCGATGGCTATGGCAAGGGCAAATCGGTCAGCATTGACAACTGGGAGGGACATGGGGAGCACAGACTGGCGATGTTGTTATTGAGAATGTCATCCTCCTTGACGGCATTGTCGATGATCTTGCTCGACGTGCGGTCGACTATCAGGCATTTCCACTGTCAGAGCGCGTCAGCGCCGCCGTCTGGACGAGAGAAGAATCGCATCGTCGGACAAGGGGGCGTACGTCGTCCTGAGTAATGTTCTTGATCTCCTGGAGGATGACTGGAGAGCTCTCGAGGATCAGCAGGGCACGCCTTCAGGCTTGGCCGACTTGGCGGGGCAACACCGCACCATCGTGCTGTTCCTGGATGACCGACAGCCCCATGGTGAGGGGAGGAGGGGATCGCGAGGCTGGCTGCTGCCCGGTGCCTCGGTCGCGCTGGAAGCGCAGACTGACAGTGCTGGGGGAGGTCGGAGCAGGGGCGCAGGCCGAGCGACAGCGGCTGGGGAGGGATCGGAGGGGGCCAATGGGGACGACACGGCGAGCGCGAGCGGTGAGGTCGAGGAGGAGAAGCCGAGCTGAACGAAGGTCGGGCGATGCGACAGCGTTGACGGAGAATGGATGTGGTGGTGGCTTGGGTTCAGTGCTGGTTAGGTGGTGGTGGGTGGTGACGTGCGTGCAGCGCAGCGCAGGCACAGGGTGGACGCAACCGACCGGCAGAGCCTGAGACGGTGGGGGCCTTTGTTTGGCGCTGGTGGGGACCAGCGGCCCCTGCGGCTCGTCACTACCGACTGGAGCTACAGTGGACTCACGAGCAATTGGATTCCATGACCGCATAAGACCATTCAATGAGTGCCACTGACTCGCCCCTATCCGTGACGGCGTCTCCTCTGAAAGACTTCATTCATCGTTCATTGCTCTGAGAGCCCCTTGTCTTGCTCTCTTCGCCCATCGCCAGATGAAGCCTGACAACACTCATCAAGCCTCCCCCTTGTCACGGCTCCCCTTTGTCACGGCTCGCCACCCGCCCCGTCGCCTCTCAGATAGCGCTCCACGTCGACGCGCCCGTACAGCTCCGCCTGCAGACGCTCCGCCCTCTGCCGCTCTCGGGCAGCCTCGGCCTTGATCTCCTTGGCCGTCAGCCTCCGCACCGGTCTTTGAGCCCCTGGCCTGGACGCTGGCTCGGGGGCCGCTGCGCCGATGCCCAGGTTGTCATCCTTGCCGCTGGCCTTGACCGGGAACCGCACCCCGTCGCCCTCGAGCCCGAGCCCGCGCCGCGCATCCGGGTCCCAGCCCTGCGACCGCAGCGTCCGCAAGCCCATGCGCGACCGGTCCAGCGCCGACGGCGGGTGCGAGTGCGTCAGGCTGACTTGGTGCGCCAGCGACGTCTCGTGCCGCCGGACCGAGGTGGTGATGGGGAGCGAGCATACGGCGCACGTCTCGGGCTGCTCGTTGGCCGATGCTGCTGGCGATCCCGGCCTCGACGCCGGGGCCGATGCCGGCTTTCGCCCGCCCAAGACGATGCTGGCGTAGAGGTCTCCGACGGCACGCCCCGGGTCTTCCGTCGTCGCCGGCACCGAGATGGCCTTGTCTGCCGCTGTGGCCCGCACAAACTCGATGCGTTTGCGTTTCAGCCCTGCCCCAAACGGCTTCTTGTGGTGGAGCGGAACGTCGCTCTCGTCGTCGTCTTCATCCTGTTCGGGTCTCCTCTGCCGCCGCATCGTCTCCGGCTGCGATGCAACGGCTGCCGACAACGACTTTGCACTGCGGTTGAGTGGATGGTCAAGAGAACATGTGTGAGCATGATTGATCAAGGCGTTCGTAGAGAGGTAGCTGCTTAGCGACGTTACCTCAGCACACTCGCCTACCCTAGACCACACCACCTGTGCGCAGCAGACGACGTTCATGTCGAACTACATCACAACAGTCACCACTTTCTCCATATACTATAAATACAAAACAGCCAAGCTTGTGTCCCATCAGTCGACTTTGCCTGCCTCTTTCAGTTCTCTTGTCCCACCCTGGTAAAGGCCGGCAGTCTTTTGCGCACCTGCTCCCACGTCTCCTCGCCCTCGACGAGATTCCTAATGGCCTGTACGATATTCTCCTCGGATGATCGCACCTGGCATGTCGAGTCGCGCTCTCTCAGAGTAATCGACCGGTCTTTGACAGTATCAAAGTCAACCGTAATGCCAAGGGGCGTGCCCAGCTCATCGTTCCGCGCATACCGCTTTCCGATGGACGTCGACGAGCCATCTACGTAGTTGGAGATCCGTAGTTTCCTGAGGCGGCTCGCCAGCTTCTTGACAATGGGCTGAAGCGAGGCATGGTTCGAGAGCGGAACGATGAGAACCTTGGTGGGTGCGACCGAAACGGGTAATGAAAGAACCTGGTCGACAGCATGTGAGCGATTGACACTATTGACATCAAAGCAGCTGACTCGAGGGGCCGTCCTTACTCCTCGGTCGTCGTCCTGCGGCCGATGCCAGTAGATGTGTTCCAGAAGGCTATAAACGATACGTCCGATTCCAAACGATGGCTCTATTACGTTGGGCGTGTACTGACGCAGCTTCTCGACCCGAGTCACCCTCTTGATGGTACAAACGTCCCTGGAAAGCTCAACGGTGCTGCTGCCGCTGGCCAGCTCCTCTGTCGAGACCGAGATGACGGCTTTCTCTGCCATTTCGGCAGCCAACCGATCAAGGGCTTGCTGACCCAGCGATGCAACAGCGGCCTCGATCCTTTTCGCGTCTTTTTTGAACTGCGGCCCGAGGAGCTTCTTGTCGAGCACCGCCTGCCACTCCTCCACCTTGAGAGGCTCTGCACGCGGTTCCCTGACCACGAGGGCCGTGCCGGTGGCCTTTGAGTGAACGGAGAGATCGTAGGCGCTCCGATCTGCGCAACCGACGCATTCGATCCACCCGTAGCTCGTGAGGAGCTCCGCATCCCAGCAATCACAAGCGTAATGCGCCATTTCGTTGGCGAGATGCTGTCGGAATCGGATCTTGCTTCCATCTACTCCGATCTTTAACAGAAAAAAATGGACGCGCGCGAGGAAGTATCCAAGCGTCTCGTTATCCACGAGCTTCGTCTGAACCGCGTCGCCAATAGACATGGTCTTGATAGCAGATTTCCCAGACAGCTGGGTCTCACTATCCAGGAATGGCAACACGATATGGGATACTTCGGGGAAGCGCTCATGAGACTTGCTCGTCTCTGGATCGACAAAATGCTCGATTTCAGCCATGAGGAACTCTCTGACCCGGAGGAGGCCTGAGCGGGGGGAGATTTCGTTTCGATACGACTTGCCGATAGTCGCCGAGGCAAACGGCATAGATCCCTGGCTAAACTCGAGAAGCTTCTTGAAGTTGAGGAACTGGCCCTGTGCTGTCTCGAGTCTGAGGTAGACCGGGGCCGAGGCGCTTGGGCCGATGGTGGACTTGAACATAAGATTGAAGGCAATAGGCGGGAGGACCTCCCCGTTGCCGTCTGGGTTGCGAATGTCATGCTGCTTGATGAGCTGGCCAAGTCCAGCGCCATCGTAGTTGTCAATCTACCACCGGGAGCGGCACGTCAGAGACAGAAAACGATGGAGCAAGGGGGTGTCAAATACCTTGGCGAGAATCCCTTCGTATTCCTTGGCTGTGGCATAGTCAAGCCCGCCTGCTTTTGGCTTGCCGTCCTCTACCGTCATCTGGTGTTTGGCCAACCTGGACTCGAGCACGGACTCGACGAGGTGGTCGGCCCGGAGGTAGTCACCCTTGACGGGGTCCTTGCACATCCAGTCGGCAAACTTGTCCACATGGCCGCTCGTCTTGAGCACCGGCTCGGGCGTAATGGCGGTACAGTCGAGCTCCATCATGTTCTCTTCGATAACGAAGTGATTGCGCCATTCGTTGACAATGTTGGCCTGCAAGGCACAGCCCGGCGGGCCATAGTCGTACAGGCCACGGTTGTCGGCAATGTGAATGGCCGAGGTGCGGTAGATTTCAAACGACTCGGCGAAGAAGAAGCGGCGCTTGAGCAGAGACTCGAGTCTCGGTCGGCTGAAGGCCTGCCCGGCTAGGTCCTTCGCATTAGCCATCATGTATGAGCAAGACAAGAGTGTAGCACCGCGTGCGGGGAGGATATCCGAAAGGCGGGGTGAAGCAGGGAGACAGTCATTACATGGAGTCCAATGTGAATAGATGACTCACCGTGTCCTTTGACGAGCTCGTTGACTCATCTCTACATATGTGGACGCTCGCTTAGTTGGGTACGTTGGTAGCATTCGATATGCCTATGGGCCCTTGGCTTGCCCATGTAGGTGAGGTTTTGGTGTTGCAATTTACAAGCGAGGGCCGCAAACATCCAGTCATAGCCGCCTCTTGTCTCGCAATGATTTCCGTGGAACCCAACTCTTGTTTCATGGATCCACAAAGGGAAACATCCGAATAATGAGGAGGCCGCACTCCCACACTAAACCCGGTGTCACGGAATATGGAAACTCCATCGATGGATACCAGACGCTGTTTCAGAAACGCACTGAAGGATTCTATGAGCGGGGCGGCCGGTACTGATTTCATAATAATCCGTTACCGTCAAGCAAACGCATTGATGGACGCCCATGCTATTTTACCTTTGCCGAGTGGGACGGTCCTTTGAACCCTGGTGGCAGCCGTCTCCCTGCAGAAATTCTATCAACTCTGCCTTGAGACGCACCACGACGGATCAAATTGCCTGTTCGATCTGCTGTGACAATATCATACTGTCAAACATAGCAAATACCACTTGACTACCAGGAAAATAGGGGCTCCCCAAGTGGAGGCGTTATTGGTATAGTTTATAATTAAGTCTTCCTCCTGCTGACACATACCTACACAAGCGCCATTATTTGAGTAATACTCAGTTACTTGAACTGCCGGCAACTTGGCAGGACCCTTGCCGAATCAACTCTTCCCCCTGAACCTGGAGAGCCCGTGATAATGCCAGAGAACCGTGTCCATATTTATCCAGGACCAACTGTATTCAAAATCCTCGTCGGATTGTCGTTTGGGTGCACGCGCCTCTGAAATACTTTGCCGAATTTAGCTATATTCGCAATCTGGGAGCCATGCCTATTTGTCCCGGACTACTCAATGCCGGGAACAGTGTCCGTACTTCTCCTCGAGTTTGCGAGATCTTGATCCCCAATCAAGTACAGATTACTTGCCAAACGCGCCTGTGTCGATAGACACTGTCAGCCAGAGGGGGATATATACCGCACTGTTACGGGGTCAGCACTGTTGGCACAGGTGCTGGGCGTAATTGATGTAAATTGAGCTACAAAGAGTGTAAAGGGGAGACGTGTCTACATCGCTCCCTTTAGGAGTCGTGTCCGTGGCGCTCGCACGTGACTAGTCTGGCCATGCCAGATCTACACATCGGGGCGTAGCCCCTTACATTAGCCCCTACTCCTCTCTGGCGCTGGTGCCCTTTTTCCTGTTCCTGGTCCCCTACAACGATCGTAGGGCCGTCGTCTATAGGGTCTGGTGCCGTTACTATCGACGGGCGTCGCCATTAGTCCTAGCCCGTAGTGGTCCGCGTATTCTCTTGCCCTGTATCTGCAGCTGTGGTTGTATTCCTTCGACTTGCCCCTGGATTTGGGCCGGCTGTGCTTCCGTTGCCACTCGTCGGTGCTGGTATGGTCCATCGTTTTCGAGAGCCGGGCCGTATCTCTGTTCGTACTTATCCAAGGCCGCTGTCTGTTGCATATTGTCTAAAGAGGTCCAGGTCGGGTCTTGCCAACCTTGCCAGCGTACAAGGACTTCCGCCTACGGCCGCGGCCGGTTCTCTTCCACCTAGCGCATAGTATTTCCTCTACTACTTGGTGAGCCTCCCGTCTACTTGGATAGATGGGGTTGAGCGTCTGTGCGTTGCTGACCAGGCATTGGGTCCGTCCCCGCTCTCCGGAGTTGGTCGACGTGGAACCTATTATAGCAGCCCTCGGGAGGTCTGCTAGTTCAACCGTGTACGGGTCGAGTACCTTGCTTATCGTATACTTAGCGTGCAGCCAGTCGAACTTCTTCTTAGGTCGCTCTGACGCGTAGTTCCGTAAGTCAAGCCAAACCTTATCGCCTACTTCGAAGCGTTCTGCCGCGTTCCGTCGTCTGTTAGCGAAGCGTTCTTGTTGCTGCGTAGCTGTCGCCATTGATGCTTGGCAGAGGTCCGTAATCTGTTGTAGTTTGGTAACAAATTTCTTTGCCCTGGTTTCTGGCGAATGCTGAGGATACTCTTCCGCATATGCTTCCGTAACGAGGGGAACTGGTGACTTCGGCTCATAGCCGTGTATAGCGAAGAATGGGGACATCCCTATAGAGGTATTGACCCGACCGTTTAACGCCATCTGAGCCGCGGGAACCCACTTATCCCAGTCGTTCTGGTTCTGGTTAATCACGGCGCGGAGGTATGCCTGTACTTCTTGGTTCATCCTCTCAGGGCCTCCGTCGGTTTGGGGGTGGTACGCCGTGCTTAGCTGCTGGTCGATCCCCAGTAACTTGCACATGTGCCTCCAAAAGCGGCCTACCCAATTCGAGCCCCTATCGCTCGTTATAGCGTCGGGCCACCAGTGGTAGCGGGCGAAGCACCATAGAAAACGCTCTGCACATGCTTCCGCTTCCATCGTTGGCATCGGTTCGAGTATAACTTCCTTACTTAGCCGGTCCTTGATAACCCAGAGGCAGCGGTTACCGTTCGCAAGGGGAGGTCCGTAATAAAGTCCATCTGTATCTGGCGGAAGAAGCGGTCCGGTACGGGTAGCGGTCTAAGTAGACCCTTTATGCTCGCGCCATATCTTCGTACGGCCGCAGACATCGCAGTTACGCAAGAAACGTCGGATATGCTGTTGCATTAGCGGCCAGTAGAAGTCCCTGGATACGGCTTCTATCGTCCCTTCCCGTCCCGGGTGGCCTACTACATGGGAGTCATGAACCTTCTGGATTAAGGAGCCCCGTAATTCGTTTAGCGACTCCTGCTCTAGCGGTGCTGCCTTGGCTGCTGCTTCTGTCGTGATCGGTGCGCCTGGCACCCATAAGCGGCCACGTAGTCGTAGGTGCCCCCGAGGATCAATAAAGCACTCGGCGACTTGTACCTTCAGCTTAAGCTTGGGGTCGAGGGACCGAGATCCGTTTCGTACCGCGTTATAAACGCTTGTAAAGACTGGATCCTGGTTTGCCGTTTGCTGCCATAATTGTTGTAGCTCTGGGTCGTGGAAAACCGTGTGTTCTTCTTCGCCTTCTCCCGCTTGAGTCGACGTTACTCCGACGTAGGTACGTAGGGCTGCTTCTGGAATAAGCTGCATATCTCGTGCTTCGTGATCCGCTTCGTTTGGTCGGTCCTGTTCGCGGCGAGAGAGCGCGTCTGGCACCACTGCTTCCGTCCCGGACGGTACTGGAGCTGGAAGTTAAAACGCGAGAGATATTCAGCCCAACGTGCCTGCCTTTCCGAGAGCTGTTGGCGCGTCATGAAATACTCGAGGTTCTTATGGTCGGTAAGGATAACGAAGTTATCACAGCTTCGTAGCTCGGCTGACCATTGTTCGAGACAACGAATAATAGCGAGCATTTCCTTATCATGGATTGGGTAGTTGCGCTCAGCCGGTGATAGCTTCTGCGAGTGGAACGCTACTGGCTTGCGTTGTCCGTCGACTTCCTGCGTAAGGTGCCCCAAGCGCCCAGCCGCTACAGTCTGCTTCTACGAAGGTTGGCCTCTCGAAATCCCATTGAGTAAGAATAGGGCGTTCGTAAATAGCGTCTTTAGTGTCTGGAACGCCATATCGTGCTCGTCCGTCCACTTGAACTTAGTCCCCTTCCTGTTAGTGCTGTTAGGGTGCAGTTATTTCCGAGGCTTGCGGTATAAATATCCGGTAGTAGTTAACGAATCCTAGAAAACTGCGCACCCCTTCTGGGTAACGGGGACTGCCCACTCGACTATTGCTCGTATCTTGTCGGGATCTGCCTGAATGCCAATTCCTGCGTGAATAATGAATCCTAGGTACTTAATCCGCTTGACTCCAAATTCGCATTTCTCCGGGTCTAGGTGTAGTCCATGCTCGGCGAGGCGTTCTAAAACTAACCGTACCTTCCGGAAATGGTCTCTCTGCTCCCGCTCGAATAGATAAGTATATCGTCCATATAAGCAGAGGCGAACTCGTCGAGGTAGTCTCGTAGGATACCGTTAATATACCGCTGGAAGGTTGCTGGCGCGCCACTTAGCCCGAACGGGGTAACCATCCATTCGAAGAGACCGTACCGGGTGCGGAACGCTGTCTTCCACTCGTCTCCTTCTGCAACCCGTACTTTATGGAACGCTTGTACCACGTCGACCTTAGTGAACCACTTCGCATCTTTTAGGTTGCGAAGTGTGTCCCTATTAGAGGAAGGGGTAACGGTCCGACTTAGTGATTGCGTTCAACGCTCTGTAGTCACAACAGAATCGCAGCCCGCCACCTGGTTTCCTCACAAACAGGACTGGAGCTGCTGCTTCTGAACTGCTTGCACGGATAAATCCTTTATCCACTAGGTCTCGTAGAGTCTTCTTAAGAACCAGGAGTTCCTCTCGTGACATACCGTATAGTGCTCCATACGGTAGTGGTAACTGCTGGCCATTCGGGTCCTCCTTGATTCTGATTTCGTGGTCTATGCCTGGCTTATGAGGATTCAGCTTATCAGCTTCCTTCTTCATAAATAGAGGCAGTAAATCGTGGAACCGCTGGGGTATCGTTCGGCGTAGCTCTGCTTCTGACATGGGTTTCTTTGGTGATAACGCCCTTTCGATATCCTTCATGCTGATAGCGAAAATCGCCGTGGCAGCTGCCTCTCTTCCTTCCTGCTTGCGGATCCTTTCAAAGTAACCCACAAAGGTACTGGCTAGTACGTGCTTTGCTTCTTCGAACTCCTTGGCTTTCGCAGAATATTCTCCTTCCCGAGGTGATCTACCCAGTCTTGTGTAGGTTCATGCCATAGTCGTTTCTCGTGGGGCACTGAGTACGACTTTGTGTGGCATAACCAGGGTTTTCCTAGGATTAGGGGGAATTCCAATCGGGGCACCACGTAGGCACAGATCGTCTGTATGTGGCCGTTGACCTCCATTGATAGCCATACGAGGCCCCTAATCGTTGCTCCTTCCATTGCCCCTGATGCTCCTGTAATAGCTCGCGGTGCTATTTCCACTATAGGAACTTCCAACTTTCGACGACTTCTTCGTCAACCGCGGCGTAGCACTGGCATCCCTCGTCTACGAGTGAGGAGAAGAGATTGGTCCTATTGATAATGCTTCGAATTATTGTAGGACCAACTTCCATTTTTCCTGAGAACTTCTCTTCTTTTGCCACTGCTCCGTTCTTTGGCCTCGAGACCCGTCTTTGTTTCGAGGCTACGCATTTCCCGAGAGGGATGGGGTCTCGCTAAGTCCTGACTCTTCCTCACTAGAGTCGTTACCATCATCTTCCAGCAAGGGCATGATCCTAGCGGTGCGGACTTTACATCCTCGACCGGCTAGGGTCCTGTCCTGGCGAGTAGGGCAAGCGGCAATGAAATGGGTGTTGTCGCCGCAGCGGAGACAACGACCTCGTCACGGCGTTTATTCCGTTCGTCCTCGGATACCCACCTCGCCCGTTGCTTCCGTCCTGACCTAGGCTGGAAGCGAACCGTCTTGCTCGTTCCACTTGACCCCTGGCCGTTCGCCCGTCCTCTCTGACCCTGCCCCTGAGTGCGTGTAACCGTCATTATTACGTCGCCGTCATGGTCGCGTGCGTCACGTGCGTTCTGCTCGGCGGGTAACGTTGCTGACGGTGCCGGGGTGTTGTCGTTACCGGCGACCTGGATGTTGCCGATGCCTGATGCCTGCCCTTAGTCACGTTGCCCGCGGGAGCCCTGCTTCCTCTGCAACGCCTTAAACTTCGCGGTGTGCTCGAACGCCCAAGCAATCGGGTGTAGACGTTGGATGTACTCGTTGTAGTCCTTCGGCATGATAACCGGGACTAGTTGCTCACGGAGAGCAGGAGAGATCGAGTTCCGTAGCCATGCGAGCTTGGAAGCATTATCCCAGCTCGCGCCGCCCGCTTTGGTCAATGTTTCTCGAATTCAGGGAGGAACTTCCCAAACTCTTGGCTGTCTCGTTGAATGAGGTGCGCAGCCTGTCCTGCGCCTCTCTGTCTGCTGCACGCTGCCGAACGTCTGGGCTAGGTGCGAGAAGAATTTCCGGGGTCTGGGCCCTTCGCGCTCTCTTGCCTCCAAAAACCCTCGACTCTCCTCATCATCTGATCCGGCAAGGTCTGCAGGATCTCGTACCACACGACGTTGTTATTGCCGTTTAGGCCCTCCTCTTCGTCGGTATTGTACTTAAATACCAGACGGTCGAGGTAGAAGTGGAAGGACTCGTTGACCGTTCCACTTCGGCCAAGTCATCGGCTTGCGCTTCTTGCCACGGTCCATTTCCTGGGCTGCTTCCGGCCTCGGTTCGACGGGTAAGATCGCCGGGGTACTGAGCACCCCCGGGCTGGGTGTCAACGGTGGCGCTGCTAGGCCTAGCCCGGTGAACATCTTCCGCAGTTCTTCGTCTCCCGCGATCCCAGATAAGATCTGCAAGAGCTCTTGCTCCTTCCTCCATCGGCTCGTTGCGCCGCCGGTCGCGGTGCCCTGCATAACTACTATTGTCCTCCATCTTGTTCGTCCGTCTCGTCGTCCGATCGATCGTCCGTCTCGTCGTTTAGCCTATCGCCTGTCTTGCTGTCTGTCCTGCTGACTGTCCTGCTGACTGTCCTGCTGTCTGTCCTGCTGTCTGTCCTGCTGTCTGTCCTGCTGTCTGTCCTTCTGTCTGTCCTGTCTTTTGTTAACTGGTAGCTCAATATGTTACAGGGTCAGCACTGTTGGCACAGGTGCTGGGCGTAATTGATGTAAATTGAGCTACAAAGAGTGTAAAGGGGAGACGTGTCTACATCGCTCCCTTTAGGAGTCGTGTCCGTGGCGCTCGCACGTGACTAGTCTGGCCATGCCAGATCTACACATCGGGGCGTAGCCCCTTACACGCACCGATGGATGCATCTGTTGGAGTGTCCCATTTTTGGATGATCAAACGGTTAATTACGTTTACATAGTGGCACTGACACCCTCCAGATATAAAAATAGCCTCTCAAAAATTGGGGCACAGGGCTAAACTTGATGCTCTACATAAGAGCACTGCCGACTATAAGTCCAGCAGTATAGGCCCAGTTTTAAAATAGCCGTCGGGCCACAACAAGCACACGGAGGCTGACCGTGTGGCTTTGCAGTCCAGGCGAAGCTGCAGCGATGTGGAGTGCCGGGGCTATTTGTGAACAACACTGTGCGCCTCCAAGGACTTGGCAAACTATCATGCAGTGACATCCATCGTCTGTCTGATACCCAGTGTTGTCACTTGCCGGTCAGCCAGAATTAAACCTCGTCGGGATCGCATATACGCCAACACCTTTGGCCTGATTGCAGAAAGTTGTGCTTTAATACCCTTCTTCAGCGTATGCCTGAGCACTTGCGCCTGATGCTGAAGCCGTGTGGATGACACCAACCCTCGAGACGTGGGAGCTTCAAGAAGCTGGGATAATCATTGCTTGCACAAAACAAACCGTCTCGCAGTGCACGTTAAGGTGAACCCTCATCGCCTTTATGAATGTGGGCCATGCGGCTGCACCTGTGCCTTGAGGAACGAAAGGCCTTGCCTTGAGGAACGAAAGGACTTCATTAGCGCGCGGGGAAAAAAGGCCCCAGACTGCTTCACCCCCACATCCTCCGCCTCTGATTGGCTGATTTATTTCCTCTTTCGGAATAAAAGATCCCGTGTGATTGGTCGCCGACCCTTCCGTCCCTCCCTCATCATTGGTCGCCGCCTTCTCTTGCCCCTCTCATGCCTTGCCCTGTTTCCCCGTTTATACTCCTGTTTACCCCTGCCAATGCCAATGCCAATGCCAACCTTTTTCCTTTCGTCCGCCGGTTTTCTTATTGTGTCTAAAACTTGCGTCTTTTGTCTTTGCCCTTTCGTTCATGCCTTCTAGCGGGTTCTTCCTTCAAGTCAAAAGTCGCCCCTCGTTGATCGCTGCTGCCCAGTGCCCTTGTCTTCTTGCCCGCCGGCGCGCTCCTCCGTCTCTCCCCTCGTCACCTCACCCTGACAACTCTCCTTGACTCTTCAGCGTCGCCATCCGACCGACGCAAAGCTTCCTCGACAGTCCTCTCGCTTAGCACCTCCAGCCTGGCCTGCGCGGCGGTCATCTCTTCGGGGACTCGGTTGCCCACCAAGTCTCTCCCGCACCTTGGACACGAGCGTGATGCCGTCTAGCGTTCGACAGCGCGATAGCTGCACATATAAGCTGTACGGGTCGCATTGCGAGGGCACGGCCCTTCCATCGACTTTCGTCGTCCGTGTCCCCCGCAGCTCCAGGGCCACGCGCTCTAGCGTTCTGCCCTGCACCTTGTAGTCCGTGCAGGCGAAGGCTGCTGCGCACGGCAATCCCTTCCGGCTGACGTCGTTCTGCTGCCACGGCCGCTTTCGTTGGCAGTGTATCCTGACGCTCATCGGCGTTAACAAGATCGTGCCCGGCGGCATCCCGACGAAGTGGAGGTCCTTTGTCGTCGCCGATTCCAGTAATATCCCGCCGGCGGCCCGAAGTGGATCGTCATGTCGGACGAGATTCGATGCCCTGGGGACGCCTTGTCGACAATGACCTCCACCGCCGAGTAGCCGGCGCCGTTCACCAGCTTCAGCCCCTGATGGGTGTTGTGGTTCACGACGACCGGCATCCCGGCCACGAACATGAAGACGGCCGGCACGGGATCGCGCTATCGTCGCCTTGATTGAGTACCATGATCGCTTCTTCCTCGGTCGGCAGGCCCTCCTTCCACTTGTGCTCGGAGATGAAGATGCGCATCGTCGACCGCTGCTGGACCCGGAACGCCAAGCTTGCCTCCATGTTTAGGTTCCACCGATTCCTGTTCAGCGGCGTCACCACGGTGATGCCAGTCCCAAGGGATCCGCCTGCCCTCGCGGTAGCACCTTGAGTTGAGGAGGTCCAGATCCGTGCGGTCCTGCACACCCTGCCGGATCCGCTTCAGCAGCCCTGCAATTCCGGATCACCGGCGGCGCGCATTTGCTCGTTCAACATGACGACCGTCGTGAATCTCTTCCACAGCGCGTGCGCTTTGTCGTGCTGGTGCCGCTGCTCGGCCTTGAACGAGTTGTCTACGTCCCACGAGATGGCCGCGCTCGGCAGGACGATCGACGCTCTTGTCCGGCCGGAACTGCTGAAAGTCTCCGCAGAAGAGGACGATGGGGATCCCCGAAATCTTTCTGCGATCCGCGAAGCCGACAGAGTCGCTCGTTTATGGCGTGCAGCGTCCGCGCCCGAGCATGCTCACCTCGTCGATGACAAGCACGTCCTTCTCCTGCCAGTCCATCCGAGACTGGCCGTGGATGAACCGCTCCGCCCGTTTTGCCAGCCGCACCCCGTCAAGGTCCTTGGCTGTGTTCGCGCCGCCCGCCCTCGGTCTTTAGTGAACCCGCAGGCGGAGTGGATCGTGATGCCGTTGATCTGCGCCGCGGCAGTCCCTGACGTCGCCGTGATCAGCAGACGATTCGAAAGGCTCTTCCCACTGAACAGCTCGACGAGTGCCCCAATGATCCGCGACTTGCCGGTGCCCCCCTCGCCGCCGACGAACTGGCAGAGCTGGCCGGCATCGCCCTATTCGTTTGTCGCATCAAATCGAGCTGGCGGCATATTATTAGGAAAGCGATCGACTGCCTCTTGTTCAGCGTTAGCCGTGTTGACAACTCCTGCCCGCCGCGAAGAAGGAGGTCGATGGGCCAAACTGACGCGCATTCCCGCTTCTGCGTCGCTAGCCGTCTCGTCGGAGTCGGCTGTCGTCATTTCGACGTCGTCCTCCCGAAGCCGGTCATCACCTCCGCAACGCAGCTCGGCGATCGCTTTCCCGGACTGCGATTGTGGTTTGTACGCCTTGATCATTCTCTCCTTTCCTCGACGCACTTATCTGCTGCGACTTGATAGCCTTGACCTGATCCTGCGGCGGTAGTGCGGCCCGGAAAATACCCGCCCTGGCATGCTTATGCACCTCAACCCTTGTTCGGGAATCGCGATGGCCTCGAGCTCGGCCGTTGAGCAGAGCGCCGATTGCTGGAATCGACAGAGCTGCCGCATCATTGCCATGAGCTCCGGCGACTTGGCCGTCACCTGATTCGTGCCCACTGCGCCTCGGACGACGTCGATCAGGCGCGTTGCGTCTCCGATGTTGTTGGACCGATATGTCGCTGCAAATTCTGCGCCCGCCTCGCCTGTCTCGCCCTCCTCGACGTGGGCGACCGTGGAATCGCCATCGCCGGATGAGGCCGCCCATTGCTTGGCGTCGCGCTTTGCGTCTTCGGCTGATCGTCGAAGCAGCTGCACGTTGTCGACGAGACATGATATTCTCGGGCCAGCGCCTCTCGCGCCCGCTCCCAGATGCTATTGATCTCACCTGTTTCTTCGCACAGAAAGGACTCCCACGGCACAAATAGCGCAAGATGCTGCACGGCTGCCCTTAAGGGGAGGGGGAGGTTAGCCACTTGATGATGCCTGCCGGCAGGGCGGTTGCTATACACACCTCCGGTGGCACGACTCGTCGTCGTTGTGGCCGAAGTCCTTGCTCAGGTAGCCATCGAGGCAGACGGTAGCATGCTTGCCCGGCCGCCTGAGCACCTGGACCAGCGTCTCCTGGCGCCCATCCATCCTCGAAGGGCACCTCCCCAGGCCGCACAGCTCTCATCCTTACTGGTGCGTTTTAGTCTAACGAGCGATATGTAGTCGTATAAGCATAGCCCTCGCAGGAGCTCTCCCGGTGCTGGTACGCCTCAACGTGGGAGATCCTCAGGCCTGCTTCTTCGACAACGACCGACTCATCCAGAGTATCATCTATGGCCGCCGCGCCACTTGCTCGTCGGAGATACGGCCACCGTCGAAAGACTTCCCAGTACAGCAGAGATGTGTTCAGGTACGCCCAGGCGCTGCTGTTGGTGAACTCGGCCGGATATCCAAGAAGATGAGCGACGACCTCGACCTGAGATAGCGGACGCTCCGTGAACACACGATTCGCCACCTCATCAAGAACTGTCGCGTCCTGTTCCTTGGCGGCGTCATCGCCAACAGCACCTCCACCGTCGTCCTGTCCTCCGTTGGCCGTGCCGTCACCCGTTGAGGCGGCCAGAGATCGGCCGCGGCCGCCACACGCTTCCACACCGGGTCCTCCACCTTCGTCGCGTAGTTCGTGACATAATACATAAGGGCCATGGTCTTGCGCTGCGTCGCAATGAAGGAAATGTCGTGGTTGTGCCGGAGCCCAACAGCGATAGCCTTGTTCCATCGATTGACCATGCTGTGAGTCCTCCGATCTGCAACACCCCGTCTGCCGTGATGGCGGTCTTGTCGACCAACCTCCATGGAGACTTAAACCGGCATGGATTCCTTCCGCGCTCCTTTGCCCAAGGAATACTTGACACAGGTCGGGCTATGCGTGTGAACCTGTGTAGCGCCGGCACAGAAGTTGGCCTCCTCGTCAAATGCGGCCGAAAACTGCTCGGTGTTGTCCAGCAGGAGGAAATATCGGACGTCACAGATCGCTCCGCTTGCACGGCGCAGAACCCTTCCTGATCCAGATCCTATCTTGCACGTCAGCCTGGCCCCGTTTGTCCATCGGACGAGCAATTCAGGTTCTCAGTGACACGTCTTAGCTATTCTTACCTCGGAGAAGACACTATCGACGTATCGTATGATTCGCTCGCGATACGCCGCCTGATCCTCCCCGTGGATGTCGGCAAGCATCGAGCTGAGATGCGCGTTTCCGTGCAACCAGAGCAAGCCGTGAACATGAAGCGCCCTCGTTCGTTGGTCTCCACAGCGCCATAGTACTTGCCGATGCGCCCGAATACCGACTCTTCTCCGACCTTCACGTAATGATCGAAGAACAGCTTCATCTCCCGGTGGAAGAATACGGCGGCGCTCATCGGATCGGACATGGCCAGCCTTGTCCGCTTGTACGCACTCCCAAGGCCTTCTAGGAACTCCTCGGCCGCGCCGGGATCGCGTGTCCGATATGCCGCCAGTCGCAGCTTCACCGGGTTCGTAATGTCGTTTGGGTTGATGGTGAACCAGATGGCCGGAACGCCGTAGCCAACGATGAGCGACTGGATTTTCCGCCGCATATTGAGCCGAACCTCTCTCGACATGGGTTGCCGGTGGCCGTACAGCGAGAGGCTCCTGAGAAGCTCCTTCACGCCCTCATCGGTCGTCTTGCCCGAGCTCCAACTCGACCTCGCCGCCGCTAACCTTTGCGCGGTCATCGAGCGGGCAACGCGCTCGACCTTGCCGAAGTCCTTCCTCGCCACACTCAGCATGCTGACGCGGCGGTTCCTCGACCGCACCCCCATGTTGAAGACGAGAAATGCAAATATGTGGTGCAACGCAAACCGGCCACCATGGCGCCGGAGCACGATGTCGGCCCAAATCCGGAGGTTCAAGCTTCGGGAGGATACGATGTCTCCTGCTGCCGCCCCTGCCTCAGCAGCTCTACCGGTGCCTCGCAAGTTGGTAAGGGCCTTCCCGCCTCGGCTATGGCCTCTTCGGCCAGCCTTGGTCCCCAACGCCAAATGGGAACAGGGTCGGGAACGTTCTGGCGAAGAAGGACGTCTCAAAGGAGTCGGCAAACTCATCCCCGCGAGACTCGAATGTATGGCTCACTGCCATCGTCGCCACGCCCTCGACCCCACCGAGGATCCGACCCACGCCCGGCCCGCGCGGCCGTCGTCGGCACCTGCGCCAACAGCGTCACAGGCAAACCGCAGCTCGACATCCGCCACGTCTGGCGGTCCGTCCAGCCCAAACATGCCGGAAGACGTCACCTCGTTGATTGGTCGAACGTTCTGATCGGGGCTAGCACCAACTCCATCACGACCCGCGCCTTCTTCGTTGGGCCCGTGCCCTTCAGCCTCGCCTCCCGTTTCCTGCCTTTGGTTGAGCAGAGCGAAGAGTTCCTCGATCTCCACCGACCCTCGTCGTCCATGGCGCGCTCCGTGGGCGGCACAACGTGCGCCGTCCGCGTTTTCTCCCATGCGGACGGCTCGTTCCGCTCCATGCGATCATACACCAAGGCCGGCACCCCGTCTATCGGGTCTCCCAACTCTCCATCTCCGCCACGTCGATCTCGATCTCGGCGTAGTGGGGGTTGCTCCTCTTCAGCCAAACAAGAGCCCTCTCGACGACCCGCCGCCTCACCGACAAGAGACTCGACAGGTCGCTCGGTGCCGGCTTCTCCACGCCCTGCCACGAAACGTGGATCTCGTCCAGTGCTTGCGGGAGCACCTGGTCGCCAGCTCCTGCACGTTGTTGGGAAACACTGTGATGTGGCCCTGACGTGCCTCGGATACCTCACGGCCTGCCTCTGCCCGCCCGGAATGCTATATCTCGTGACAAACCCATAGCAGGAGTTGAGCGAGACGAGCTTTCTTCGACCAGCGTGAGTCCCTTGAGCTCGTCAGGGAACATGTGCTCACAGCCAAGGCGAGTGTGAAGATGGACCGCCGGCGACAGACTCCGCGCGCCAGGCATCGGGCACACTCCGCACACACCGACACGGGCTCGCCTTCGGGAAAGCAGCTCCGGCATGAAAATGGTGAGCGGCCGCCCTCTGGCACGCAGCTTGACAGCCATTGATCCCATCTGATCTCCTCAGCTCTTTCTCGTACGCTTGCGGTAGCACATCATGCAGGTCCGTATCGGCAACGTGCTCGCATCGTGGAACGCCTGATAAAAATCCCGCACCGTCGACACCTTCCTGTCGTGCGGTATTGGCGTACACCACGTCTGATCGTTAGACAGCCTCCTTCATGGCGAAGTCTTCCTCCAAAAACGCAGCACACTCGCCAGGTCTTCGGCCCGCAGCTCCTGACTCCTCTGCCTTCCGATTCCACTCCGAATCTGTTTTCTCGGGCGCTCGTCCGACCAGGAAGACGTTTTCTTCTCCCGCCTCCGGGCCGCCTCCGGGCCGCCTCCGATCCATGATTTCTTCTCTCCGTGGCTGATTCGCTTCTTCGCAAGCCGTCGGATGCGGCAGCTTTGGCGACGACTGCCCGACTACGTGCGCATCCCTGACACGCCATCCGGCCCTTTGCACTGGACAGGCACCGGGCCGTGCTGGCGAACGTTTTCCACGCCGAACCTTGACCTCAGTCCTTGCCCTTTCCAGCACTCTCCTCGTTCTTGCTGCCGATCAAACTGCACGGGCTCCCAGCCGCCACCCGCGATGAGCCGCCCACCTCCCTTTGCTGCAGCCTCCGCCCGCTCAGCGAAGCGTCCGCTGGCTCTGCCGCGGCGTCGCCCACCCCACAGGAGACGGCCCCGGATGCTGCGCCGTACCTGCTGCGTTGGAGACACCCCTGCGGCCTGGTACTCCTTTACCCGCCAACTCCGTCCCCGACGGCGCTTGGGCAAACCAGACGCAATCGCTGCTAATTGCCCGTTTTCTTGTTGTCGAATACCGGTTCCTAGGCTGATGGATCGAAGCTTCGGTACCTCCTTCGAACGAACACTCGGGACATCGCCCGCCGCCGCCGTAACACGTTGCTCCTCATCTTCAGGATCTCCTCCTGAGGCAGAAAGTGCCGATGAGGAGCGGACGATCAGAGTCCGCTACCCCATATCTCCACGTTCCCTAGGCAACAGGGGCCTCGGAAGCTGACCCGGTGACTGATGTTGCGCGGAACTTCCGCTGCTAACCATATTATGGAACTTCCGTGCTCTGTTTGACCGCAAACCGCCTCGCGGCGGTCTTCTCGGCAACGACCTCGCAATTGCTTCTGCGTGCTGTCTCCATGCGGTGTCTTCAACCACAGGTTTCCTAGGCTGAATCGGCCGGAACGTTGATGCCGCATTCGCCCGTGATTCGTATCTTCGTAACCGTCCCAGGCTCTCCCCGTGCTCTGCGGCCCTCTCAGAAGCTGCCACCACATCTACACCGGCTCCTGTCGTACCATCTCCGAGCCCCGAACCCGACCCGCTCACGTTCTCCCTCTTCTCCACCCCCGACTGACAACGAACAGGCTTCAGGGTGAGCAACCGCCTCGCTTAACTTCACTGCAGGACTGTCCGCCATGCTGCTGCCTCCTCGACGTCGACTGCCGTAAATTGGCAACAGGCTATAAAGCTTTGGCTCCGGAGCACCTCCACTTGGACAGTCTCGCTTGTTGACGACGCTACTTCTCCCGAATGGGAAGCTCCCTAACCATCACTTCCCTCATGGCCGTGGCGTTTCTTCCTTATAGCTTCCTATAAAATGCTTCCTATGGTACCGAGGCGATGCAATACTACCCTCTATATTCCCCCGTTACCATGCCTATCTATGTGCGTCCACCGTCCCGGCCTCGCCTGGTCTCCACGTGCGACCTGCTACCCCAGCTTTGCCAAAAGCGACCCTTCCATCGCCGTGCTCTCTTTGCGCACTCCAGCGAATCCTGGCCACTGCCGACCTCCGGCACATGGAGATGGCCGCGACAACCGCCTGCCGCACACTTCAAACCATACTCTTCAGCCCTTCCAACACCATCCTACCAACCTTGCGCATCAGTTCACCATCAATATCCGCCAATCCGCCTCGTCGAGCAACAGCCACAAGGCTGCCGGCGATAACATGTCCATGACGTCCTCATGCAGCCGGACTACCCTTCTAGATTTGCTCCTCGCCAGCACCAATGTCGCATCAACGGCCTTAATGCTAAAGCGATAGCCAGGACCCCTGCCTGTCCTCTTGTAGTCGCTAGCCACCGGAGGCTCGACTTGCAAACCCTCTGGAAAGTTCTCGTGACCAACTCGCATCCTCCTCCTCAGGTCGACCCATATATCCGACTTCACCGTGTCCCAATAGTAGACTCGACACGGTCGGCACCCGCCTCGCTCAGCCGCACGCAATGCCCATCCAACTACCCGTTGGCGGGGCCTCTGGCAGCCAACTAAGGGGCCCCTTCCCCTTAGTTGGGCCCAAAATTCCCGGACAGCCCCAAAACTCCCGGACGCGCGCCTACAGCCCCGCTATCGTAGTTGCTTCGTAATTACTGCGCATTCCCACCAAAACACAAGAACGCGTGATGCGCAGCACGTGTTTCAATGTCTCAATACGTCGGGCTTGAGCCGACGGCCACGTCAAGGGCTGTGGAGCTAGTTATAGACTCGCGATGCCATCGCACAAGGGCGGCGCCGTCAGACGCGCCGGGCGCTCCCAACACAGTCACAATACGGCAGGCGGCTCAGATCTTCGGCGTACCGAGCTCTACGGTACACGACGGCGTCAAGCGGCATCCACGATGGCTTCAGGGTCGCGTTCGAAGCCGTGGCCGGCCAAGGCTGCTCTCAGACGACGAAGATGATGCCATCGCCGCCTATGTGACATGGCTACAACGCTCTGGCTTCCCAGCGAGCAAGATACAGGTCGAATCGGCCGCTCTAACGCTCCTTCAGCGTCGTAACCCCAATGCGAAGCCACCAGGCAAAAACTGGTATCATCGTTGGCTTCAAGACCACCCAGAGCTTCGAACCACATATTTAAAGGCCGTAGAGAAGTCCAGGAAGGTATTTGAGGCCAACGATGTGTCATACGTCGAGAAGTTCTTCTCGAGGCTCAAGGAGATCATCAGCTCGTACGGAATCGGCCTCAGAGGTCTGGAACGAAGACGAGTGCGGCATCCGTATTGGAAGTCTACGAGAACGCATTCACGTCGTTATAGTGCGTACAACGCGTCATCAACGCCCTCAAGTCTCTGACCCAGGGAATCGCGAGTCTTGCACGCTTATTGCCGCTGCCAACGCGGTTGGAGACACGATTCCGGCTTGGCTGGTGTTCAAGACCTTCCTTGCGAGTCTTGGGCCGAGATCAACGCCCCGACGATATACGATTCGCACGATCCGACACAGGCTTCAGCAACAGCGAGATAACGTTTGATTGGATACACCAGTTTAATGTATGCTCTTGAAGCGGTCTGCCCGTGCCCAACGCACCGGAAAGACCCTTGAGGAGTGGTTCGGTGTAGATGAGTGGTGTAGAGAGCCCGAATATCCCTTCCTCGAGGCGGAGCCACGCCTTATCCCGGAAAACGAGCGAATTCATCGTCTTCTCGTCATTGACGGCTTCACTGGGCATACAGGCCTCGATTTCATACAATATTGCATCAAATTTGACATCATCGTCGCGGTGTTCCCTCCGCATTCAACGCATATCCTTCAGCCGCTCGATGTAGGCGTTTTCCAGCCTCTTAAGCACGCACAGCAGAAAATCCTACATAAGTTCATCGAGTCAGGAGCTGAACTTCACGAGGCACGATTTCCTCAAGTCTTTCTGGGAAGGGTTCAAAGAGGGCTTCGCAGCGTGTTATATCATAGGGGCTTCGAAAAACGGGCATCTACCCTCACAGAGCAGCCGGCAATGAAGAAGCTCGTGGCCGAGCAGCTGAAGGTATCACAGGCCGTTAACCCAGCGTTCGCATCGCTCCTCCCTAAGGAAACACGCTTCCAACAAGCTGCCGACACTGTACAAGACCTTCGAACGCGTTATCACGAGATTCTAAGCTCTCCAACGCGTGGCAGGCTTTCCAACGTCTCCCAGGCCGTCACAGAGGCATCTCTTCTTAGCTCAACACTGGCCAAGTGCTATAAAGACCGCCTACAACGCATCGAGAAGATAAGCAGCCGTCCGAGGCGCGGCAGGGCCGTCAAGGCTGCCAAGGGCACTTTCTACACTAGCGTCAGCCTAGAAGATATCCGTAAATCTCGTGAACGCACGCTTCGGCTCGAAGAAGAGAAAAATCAACGCCAACAGCTCCTCTCGATGCGTGGCATTATACGGCGCGAGAGAGCAGCTCCTTGACGAATACCGTAAAAACAAGGTGCAGCTCGTGAACGGAAAGATGAAGAGACTGACTATAAAACAATGGCTTGACTTTGTCGGGAAGAGCGAGGGATTCCTTGCCCTAGAGAGCAGCGAAGAGGTTTACAACAGACTCCTCAGACCACGAGACCAGTTCGCGATCGATACAACACGCACGCAGCGCACAGCTGCCGAGAAAGAAGCCGTTGATAGAGCTTGCGCCTCAGAGCGGCCTCTGCAGTCAGTTCAATGGCCTCACCTCCAAAGAGAGCAGTCTATTAGATCATCATATCGCCAGACAAGAAGCCTCAGCCCGAGCCCCACGAAACGAGAGAGCCGAACGAGCCCGCGTCCGACGAGAACACACAAGAAGCCTCACTCGATTCTACACTATACACTGCCGTCTTTGACAAGGTTGACAGTGTATTGGGGTCATCGCCACCGCCGGGGCCCACTCCGCCATCGTCGCCGCCGGTCACCCCAACACCACTCATTCCGGGTTGGAAGAGGCTTCAGGATCGTACAATACTTCCGAGCTTCTCAGGCACCGAATTCATATCAAGAAGGTATATAAACTGAGAAGAGCCGAATACGGGGCTACACTTCAACAGTAATAGGTGCGCGCCTCAACGCCGCGCAACGCCGCAAAACGCGTGTTTTCTGCATCGTCAATAGCCTCAAATAATAAGGGCAACTGGCTCTACAATTTGCATGTCCAGAAAATTTATCTAGACACTCATAGGATGCTGTGGCGGCTGTTTGGATTTGCCCGGATTTGCCCGGATTTGCCCACCAGGCGCGCGTCCGGGAGTTTTGGGGCTGTCCGGGAATTTTGGGCCCAACTAAGGGGAAGGGGCCCCTTAGTTGGCTGCCAGAGGCCCCGCCAACGGGTACCGACGACCGTCAAAAAGGGAGTCCTGCAATACCACCATAACCTCTTTCTTTCCTTCACTCTCATTCGTTATTGCCCCCTTTGCTATCTACTCCATGCAACGATGACACTGAAGGGTACTACTGGACTTTCTTTCTCCGCAGTCTTACCCACACTAACCTTACCGTTCGCCGACCTCCAACTTCTCGCAACATAGCCATCACCCCTACTCAACTTCCAACCCCGGCTCCTACTTCACTCACGACCACAGAACCAGATGGTCGAGACTGCTCGAGAACCTCGCCAGCTCATTCCCGCATACCCCGCTTCTGATCTATCACCTAGGTAGCATTCACTGACTCTCAAGTCTCCCCGACCCGAGCCGAGCCCTCTTTCGAGCAGCAAGAAAACCTGCTTTATAGGATGCCTACCTCTACTCTGCCTAACCCTCCTTTACACTTCCACGGTGACTACATCTGCCATGTTCTCACGATGTCGGCCTCCCAGCTCGACGTCGATACCTCGTCCTCCCGCGGCAACCTCTTGACAGCCAGAAAAATGCTGGCGCCGACATGTCCATGATGGCCTTTGTCCAGCCCGGCTGCCCGTCTAGGTTCGCCTACCAGAATGAGCATCGTGTCAAAGGGCTCAACGCAGAAACCCTAGCGAGGGTCTTCCTTCCAACGCCCTCATGGCTGTCGACTCCAGAGTATGCAGCAATCCGGTCAGATACTGACAATCCATCGACCTGCATCTTCTTGAGCCTTAATATTTCCATATACAACCAACAGATAATCCTCGGAATGGACCGAGCAGTGGTTCTTTATGGTCGGCCGTGTTCATCCCTTTGCCCTGACGTGGGAAATCGAGCGACGTGATAGCTTCGAGTCGGAGGATGACAACATTACAGAATACACCATCCCGGCTCTCATCGTCCGCGACCACAGCTACCAGCCGTAGGTGTATGCTCCAGACCTCCGTCACCACTACCATCTCTGACGATGGCCACAGAGTCATCCTCGCACCTCGGCTCGGCGGATGCCTTCCCAGCGATACAACCCATTGTCTCCTTCACGGGACCTGTCATCGGTTCCGGCCGCGACCTTCTGCATGGAAACTCGGCTGCGGCCCTTGACGACACCCAGCTGAGCTGTTGCGGCTTTGTCCAGCTCTCGACCTTTATCTGTCCTGGGATTCCGGGCAAACACCCTTCAAGGGCTTTCATCCTTTCAACTTTCGTCATCTTCCCATTCACGCCAATCCTTGACCTCCCTATGCAAGAAGATGACCGAGAGGCGCGATAGCCAGTTCCAGCCGAACGCTCTCCTCACCTGCACGGGCAAAATCGCCGGCTTACTCGATCACCAGATCATGACACATGCCCCGGCCTTCGAGCAAGACTATATCTTCATCGTCGTCCCCGATACATGGACTTTCCTTGACAGGGCCATGTCCAACCAGGCTTCTGCGACACAGCTACTGCCGACGACACCCAAGGGCTCAGTCAGCAACCCCTCGGACTATAGCGATGCGTTGGCCAGGTTTACCTCTACCAAAAAACGCAATGCCGCCCCAAGCGGCGCCTCCCCCACGCCGCCTGCATCTAGGTCAGTCGATCCTTATGATGACATCAAAGCGGTCATTGCCCGATCCCGACCAAACCCCAACCAAGAGACCGCGACTTTCTCCAGAAATTTCCACCATAGTCGCCGCCTGTGATAGTCGAGGCCCCGCCAAATCCGACACTTCCTCCCTTCTGTCCCACGAAGACCCGGAGACTCAGAGACGGACACCGAGCCAGTCAATCACCCAGCCACATCCGCCTCTGGCCCTATCAGACCTCCGGCGTCAATCTCTTCCCGACCGCACCGCGCCCGACATCCGCCCAAGAATATTCTGTAAAGCAACGAACGAAACAACACAACATGACAAGGAACATGTTTCATCATCCTCAAACTCAAGTGCGAAAGGCCCTAATGGGATATTTCCTTCTCCTCTTGCTCTCCTTTTCACAAAGACAATCCAGTCAAAACTTCTCCAATATACTCCTTATTCTGTTTATATCCACCACTTATAGCACCTGTAAATCCTCAGAGCCTTCCACTCGCCCACACATGCATTACCCACCCACAACTCTCTTCACCCCTGCCGCCTCTCCACGCCCTTTGCGCCTTTGCAAAGCAAAATCTCCTTGCAGCGGCCTAGGCTGCCTCTCTGACGCTCTGTCTCGATTTCACTCACGATAATGCTCTACGTCTCTCGCCGGATCTCCATCTCATATCTCTTATCTCACTCTTCTTCCTGTCTTCCTCTCACTTCCCCTGTCTCCTATCTCCTGTCGCCAACTCTCTCCTCTCGCCGACTTTCTCCTGTCGCCATCGCCAACTTTCGTTCCGAAAGGCCTCTTTGCGCGAGCCGCGGCTGGCGAGCCTTCCCTCGTCTAACGTGCCCCGCAGACCCCGCCCTCTCCCCAAAGTTCTCCGCCCTTGATTGGTCCTTGTGATTGGTCCTCCTTGCCTCCCTCCTCGTTGGTCGCTGCCCTTCCCCCGGCTTCTGTTGCCTTTTCGCGTGCCTTATCCCACCACTAGGCGCCTCCCACCCTGTCTGCCGCCTGCCGACTCTTCCCGCCTGCCGAACTCTTCATCGCGTCACCTAGCCCGGCCGCCTTGACTCTTCAGCATCACCGTCCAGCCAGCGCAACGCCTCCTCAACGGTCCTCTCGCTCAGTACCTCGAGCCTGGCCTGTGCGGCAGTCATCTCCTCGGGGACCCGGTTGCCCACCAAGTCTCTGTCCCGCACCTTGGACACGAGCATGATGCCGTCTAGAGTTCGGCAGCGCGATAGCTGCACGTACAGGCCGTACGGGTCGCACTGCGAGGGCACCACCGTTCCATCCATCTTCGTCGTCCGTGTCCTCGCAGCTCGAGGGCCACGCGCTCCAGCGTTTTGCCCTGCACCTTGTAGTCCGTGCACGCGAACGCTGCTGCGCACGGCAAACCCTTTCGGCTGACGTCGTTGCGTTGCCACGGCCTTTTTCGCTGGCACTGTATCTTAACGGTCATGGGTGTCAACAAGATCGTGCCCGGCGGCATCCCGACGAAGTGGAGATATCTCGTCGTCTCCGATTCGAGAATGATCCCCGCCGGCGGCCCGAAGTGGATCGTCATATCGGCCGAGATCCGATGCCCCGGGTACGCCTTGTCGACAATGACCTCCACCGCCGAGTAGCTCGCGCCGTTCACTAGCTTCAGCCCCTGGTGGGTGTTGTGGTTCACGACGATGGGCATCCCGGCCACGAACATGAAGACGGCCGGCACCGGGATCGCGCTATCGTCGCCCTGGTTGAGTATCATGATCGCCTCTTCCTCCGTCGGCAGCTCCTCCTTCCACTTGTGCTCGGAGATGAAAATGCGCATCGTCGACCGCTGCTGGACCCGGAACGCCAGGCTCGCCTCCATGTTCAGGTTCCACCGATTCCTATTGAGCGGCGTCACCACGGTGATGCCCGTCTCCCAAGGGATCCGCCTTCCTCCCGGTAGCACCTTGAGTTGAGGAGGTTTAGATCCGTCCGATCCTGCACGCCTAGACGGATCCGCTTCAGCAGCCTCTGCAGCTCCGGGTCGCCGGCGGCGCGCATCTGCTCGTCCAGCATGACGACCGTCGTGAACCTCTTCCACAGTGCGTGCGCTTTGTCGTGCTGGTGACGCTGCTCGGCCTTGAACGAGTTGTCTACGTCCCACGAGATGGCCGCGCTAGGCAGGACGATCGACCTCTCTTGGACCGGCCGGAACTGCTGAAAATCTCCGCAGAAGAGGACGATGGGGATCCCCCCGAAATCTTGCCGCGATCCGCGAAGCCGGCGAAGCCGCTCGTTCACGGCGTGCAGCGTCCGCGCCCCGAGCATGCTCACCTCGTCGATGACGAGCACATCCTTCTCCTGCCAATCCATTCGAGACTGGCCGTGGATGAACCGCTCCGCCTGTTTCGGCAGCCGCACCGTCAAGGTCTTTGACCATGTTTGCGCCCCGCCCTTGGTCTTTAGTGAACCCGCAGGCGGAGTGGATCGTGATGCCGTTGATCCGCGCCGCCGCAGTCCCCGACGTCGCCGTGATCAGCAGACGATTCGAAAGGCTCTTTTACTGAACAGCTCGACGAGTGCCTCGATGATTCGCGACTTGCCGGTACCGCCCTCGCCACCGACGAACTGGCGCAGCTGGCAGGCATCGCCCCGTCGGTCTGCTGCATCAAATCGAGCTGGCGGCATATTATCAGAAAAGCGATGGACTGCCTCTTGTTCAGCGTCAGCCGTGTTGCCAACACCTTGCCCGCCGCGAGGAAGGAGGTTGATGGGCCAAACTGAACGTCCATTCCCGCCCCTGCGTCGATAGCGGTCTCGTCGGAGTCGGCCATCGTTATTTCGACCTCGTCCTCCCGAAACCGGTCATCACCCTTCGCAGCGCTGCGCGATCGCTTTCCCAGGCGGCGGGCGTGCTTTGTATCCCTTGGATCATCCTCTCCTCTCCTTCGAGGCACTTACCTGCTGCGACTTGATAGCCTTGACCTGATCCTGCGGCGGTAGTGCGGCCCGGAAAATACCCGCCCTGGCATGCTTAACCGCCTCCCTCGTTCGATCAGCGCCGTGGCCTCGAGCTCGGCCGTCGAGCGCAGCGCCGATTGCTGAAACCGATAGAGCTGCTGTATCATTGCCATGAGCTCCGGCGACTTGGCCGTCACCTGATTCGCTCCCACTGCACCTCGGACGACGTCGATGAGCCGCGTTGCGTCTCCGATGCTGTTGGGCTGATATGTCGCTGCAGACTCCGCGCCCGCCTCGCCTGCTCCACCCTCCTCGACGTGTGCGACCGTCGGGTCGCCATCGCCGGACGAGGCTGCCCATTGCTTGGCGTCGCGTTTTGCGTCTTCGGCGGATCGTCGAAGCAGCTGCACGTTGTCGACGAGACATGATATTCTCGGGGCCAGAGCGTCTCGAGCCCGCGCCCAGATGCTGTTGATCTCACCTATTCCTTCGCCTAGGAAGGACTCCCACGGCACGAACAGCGCAAGATGCTGCACGGCTGCCCTTTAGGGGGTGGGTTAGCCTCTCCGATAATGCCCGCCGACAGAGCAGTTGCCATACACACCTCCGGTAGCACGACTCGTCATCGTAGGTGAAGTCCTTGCTCAGGTAGCCGTCGAGGCAGACGGTAGCGTGCTTGCCCGGCCGCCTGAGCACCTGAACCCAGCGTCGTCCCGGCGCCCATCCATCCTCGAAAGACATCTCCCCCCAAGCCGCCTAGCTCTCGTCGTTGCCGATGCGTTTCAGTCTGACGATCGATATGTAGTCATATAGGCATAGGCCTTTCAGCAGCTCTCCCCGGTGCTGGTACGCCTCGACGTAGGAGATTCTTAGGCCTTCTTCTTCGACGACGACCGACTCATCCAAGGTGTTATCCATAGCCGCAGCGCCACTGGCTTCTCGGAGATGCCGCCATCGCCGAAAGACTTCCCAGTATAGCAGAGAACAGTTTAGGTACGCCCACGCGCTGCTGTCGGTGAACTCGGCCGGATATCCGAGAAGGTGAGCGACGACCTCGACCTGTGATAGCGGACGCTCCATGAACACGCGGTTCGCCACTCTTATTAGGAACTGTCGCGTCCTGTTCCCCTTGACAGGGTCATCGGTGGCAGCGTCTCCGCCACCGTCCCGCCCTCCGTTGGCCGTGCCATCACCTGTTAAGGCGGCCAGGAGCTCGGCCGCGGCCGCCACACGCTTCCACACCGGGTCCTCTACCTTGGTCGCGTAGTTCGTGACATAATAGATGAGGGCCATTGTCTTGCGCTGCGTCGCAATAAAGGAAATATTATGGTTATGCCGGAGCCCGACAGCAATAGCCTCGTTCTATCGATTGACTATGCTATGTGTCCTCCGGATCTGCAGCACCCCGTCTGCCGTGAGGGCGGTCTTATCGACTAACCTCTATGGCGCCTTGAACCGGCAGAGATCCCCTTTCCGCCCTCCTTTGCCTAAGGAATACTTCACACAGGTCGGGCTATGCGTATGCACCTGCGTCGCGCCGGCATAGAAGTTGGCCTCCTCGATAAACGCGGCCGAGAACTGCGCGGCGTTGTCTAGCAGGGGACCAATACCGCTCGTCATAGATCGCTCCGCTTACACGGCGCAAAAACTTTCCTGGTCCAGATCCTGCCTTGTACGTCAACCCGGCCCCACTTGGCCATCAGAAGAGTACTTCGGGCTCCCGGTGGCACATCTTAGGTAGGCATTCTTACCTCTGAGAAGACGCTATCGATATATCGGACGATTCGCTCGCGATACGCCGCCTAATCCTCCCCGTAGATGTCGGCAAGCATCGAGCTAAGATGCGCGTTCCCGTGCAGCCAGAGCAAGCCGTGAACATAAAGCGCCCCTCGTTCGTTCGTCTCCACGGCGCCATAGTACTTGCCGATGCGCCCGAATACCGACTCTTCACCGACCTTCACGTAATGATCGAAGAATAGCTTTATCTCGCGGTGGAAGAACACGGCCGAGCTCATAGGATCCGATATCGCCAGCCGTGCCCGCTTATACGCATCCCTAAGGCCTTCTAAGAACTCCTCGGCCGCGTCGGGATCGCGTGTGCGGTATGCCGCCAGTCGCAGCTTCACCGGGTTCGTAATGTCGTTCGGGTTAATGGTGAACCAGATGGCCGGCACGCTATATCCGACGATGAGCGACTGGATTTTCCGCCGCATATTGAGACGGACCTCTCTCGACATAGGCTGCCGGTGGCCGTAAAGCGAGAGGCTCCTGAGAAGCTCCTTCACGTCACCATCGGTCGTCTTACCCGAGCTCTCCAACTCGACCCTCGCCGCCGCTAGCCTTTCTGTGGTCATCGAACGCACGATGCGCTCTACCTTGCGGAAGTTCTTCCTCCCACACTCAACATGCTGACCCGGCGGTTCCTCGACCGCACCCCCATGTTGAAGACGAGAAATGCGAAGATGTGGTGCAGTGCAAATCGACCACCATGGCGCCGGAGCACGATGTCGGCCCACGCCTGAAGGTTCAAGCTTCGAGAGGATACGAGGTCTCCCGCGGCCGCCTCTGCCTCGACAGCCCCGCCTCGCAAGTTGGCCGTGACCTTCCCCGCATCGACCATGGTCTCTTCAACCAGCCTTGGTCCCCCAACGCCAAATGGGAACAGGGTCGGGAACGTCCTGGCAAAGAAGGACGCCTCAAAGGAATCGGTAAACTCACCCCCCCGCGAAACCCGGATGTATGGCTCACAACCACCGTCGCCACGCCCCCGAAACCCCCCGGCTAGGGACCCGACCCACGCTCTCGGGCCCGCACGGCCGTCGTCGGCACCTTCACCAACAGCGTCACAGGCAAACTGCAGCTTCTCCACGTCCGCGACGTCTGGCGGTCCGTCGAGCGCGAACATGCCAGAAGACGTCACCTCGTTGATCGCTGGAACGTTCTGGTCGGGGCAGGCGTCACTTCCATCGCGAACCGCGCCTTCTCCGTTGGGCCCGTGACCTTCACCCTGGCCGCCGGCTTCTTGTCCTTAGTTAAGCAGGGCGAAGAGCTCCTCGATCTCCACCAGCCCCTCCTCGTCCATAGCGCGTTCCGTAGGCGGCACAACGTGCGCCGTCCGCGCTTTCTCCCACCTAGACGGCTCGTTCCGCTCCATACGATCGCACACCGACGACGGTACCCCGTATATCGAGTCTCCCCAGCTCTCCATCTCCGCCGCGTCGATCTCGATCTCGGCGTAGTAGGGGTTGTTCCTCTTCAGCCAGACAAGGGCCCTCTCGACCACCCGCCGCCTCACCGACAAGAGACTCGACAGGTCGCTCGGTGCCGGCTTCTCCGCGCCCTGCCACGAGATGTGGATCTCGTCTAGTGCTTGCAAAAGGGGGTGCGGGAGCACTTTGGTGGCCAGCTCCTGCACATTGTTCGGAAACACCGTGATGTGGCCCCTAACATGCCTCGGATACTTCACGCTCTGCCTCTGCCCGCCCGGAATGCTATATCTCGTGACAAAGCCGTAACATAAGTTTAGCGAGATAAGCTTCTCTTCGACCGGCGTCAGTCCCTTAAGCTTATCGGGGAACATATGCTCGCAGCTAAGGCGACTATAAAGGTGGATCGCCGGCGACAGGCTCCTACGCGCCAGGCATCGGCCACACTCGGCGCACACCGACACGGACTCGCCCTTAGGAAAGCAACTCCGGCATAAAAATAGTGAGCGGCCGCCCTTTAGTACGTAGCTTAACAGCCAATAATCCTATATAATCTCCCTCAACTCTCCTCTCGTACACTTACGGTAGCACACCATACAGGTCCGTATCGGCAACGTGCTCGCATCGTAGAACGCCTAATAGAAGTCTCGCACCGTCGACACCTTCCTCTCGAGCGGTACTGGCGTGCACCACGTCTGATCGTTAGACAATCTCTCCTTTAAGGCAAAGTCTTCCTCTAAAAAGCGCAGCACACTCGCCAGGTCTTCGGCCTGCAGCTCCCGTCTCCTATGCCTTCCGATTCCACTTCGGACCTGTTTTATCGGGCGCCCATCCCGGCTAGGAAGACGGGCTCTTCTCCCGCCTCCGGGACTGCCTCTGTTCGCGCAGCGAGCCGTCCGCTGCCTCTGCTGCGCCATCGTCCACACCCACCTGTGCCCTTGGCCGCCGAACCGGTCCCCGACGGAGCTTGGGCAAACCCCATGCAATCGATGCTGCAAATTGCGCCGTTCGTCTTAGGTCTTGGAATGTCGTATCCTTGGGCTGGATAGGTCGGAGCGTCGGTCCCTTTCGAACGAACACCCGGGACACCGCCGGTCGCCGCCTTATCTCCCTGCCCGTCACCTTCAGGACCCTCTCCTGGGGCAAAACGGCCGATGAAGGGGCGGACTGTTAGAGCCCACTGCCCCCTGGTCTCCACGTTCTGTAGGCAACACGAACCTCGGAAGCGGACTCGGTGACTGACGTTGCGCGGAATTTCCGCTGCTGACCAAATTACGGGACTTCCGTGCTCTGCTTGACCGCAAACCGCCTCGCGGCGGTCTTCTCGGCAGTGACTTTGCGATTGCCTCTGCATGCTTTCTCCATGCGGTTTCTTCGACCGCAGACTGCTTAGGCTGAATCAGCCGGAACGTTAATGCTTCATTCGCCACTGATCTGTATCTCCCGAACCGCCCCAACCTTGTCTCCCGTGCTCCGTGCCCCTTCTCGGGAGTTGCCCCTATATCATCTCCGCACCCCGAAACAGGCACTCCCCCGTTCCTACCCTCTTCTCCATCCTCGACTAACAACGAACAGGCTCCACGGTGAGCGGCCGCCTCGCCTAGCTTCCCTGCAGGACTGTCCGCCATGCTACTGCCTCCTCGACGTCGACTAGCGTAGGTTGGCAACAGGCTAGAAAGTTTTGGCTCCGGAGCACTTCCACTTGGATAATCTCGCTTGTTGGCGTACACTATTTCTTTCCGAGTGGGAAGCTTCCTAACGATCACTACTCTCATGGCCGTGGCGTTTCTTCCCTTATAATGCTTGCCTATAGTACCGAAGCGATGCAATACTACTACCCCTTTGTAATCCCCATTTACCCTCCCTATGTGCGTCCACCGTCCCGGCCTCGGCTGGTCTCCACGTGCGACCTGCTACCCCAGCTTTGCCAAAGGCGGCCCTTCCATCGCCGTGCTCTCTTTGCGCACTCCAGCGAATCCCTGGCTACTGCCGACCTCCGGCACATGGGGTGGCCGCGCCAACCGCCCGCCGCACACTTCCAACCATACTCTCCGGCCCTTCCAACGCCGTCCCACCCACCTTGCGCATCAGTTGCTCCATCAATATCTGCCACTCCACCTCGTCGAGCAACAGCCAAAAGGCTGCCGGCGATAACATGTCCACGGTGTCCTCGTGCAACCGGACTACCTGGCTAGGTTTGCTCCTCGCCACCACCAACGTCGCATCAACGGCCTTCTAAAGCGACAGCCAGGATCCCCTGCCTGTCCTTCTTGTAGTCGCTAGCCACCGGAGTCTCGACTTGCAAACCCTCTTGAGAGTTCTCGTGACCAACTCGCATCCTCCTCCTCAGGTCGTCCCCTATATCCGACTTCACCGTGTCCCAATAGTGGACTCGACACGGTCGGCACCCGCCTCGCTCAGCCGCACGCAATGCCCATCCAACTACCGACGACCGTCAAAAAGGGACCCCTGCAATACTACCATAACCTCTTTCTTTCCTTCACTCTCATTCGTTATTGTCGCCTTTGCTATCTACTCCATGCAACGATGACACCGAAGGGTACTGCTGGACTTTCTTTCTCCGCAGACTTACCCACACTAACCTTACTGTTCGCCGACCTCTAACTTCTCGCGACATAGCCATCACCCCTACTCAACTTCCAACCCCCGGCTCCCTACTTCACTCACGACCATAGAACCAGATGGTCGAGACTGTTCAAGAACCTCGCCGGCTCATTCCCGCATACCCCGCTTCTGATCTATCACCTAGGTAGCATTCTCTGACTCTTAAGTCTCCCCGACCCTAGCCGCGAGCCCTCTTTCGAGCAGCAAGAAAACCTGCTTTATAGGATGCCCACCTCCACTCTGCGTAACCCCTCATTTACACTTCCACGGTGACTACATCTGCCATGTTCTCACGATGTCGGCCTCCCAGATCAACGTCGATACCTCGTCCTCCCGCGGCAACCTCTTGACAGCCAGAAAATGCTGGCGCCGACATGTCCATGATGGCCTTTGTCCAGCCCGGCTGCCCGGCTAGGTTCGCCTACCAGAATGAGCATCGTGTCAAAGGGCTCAACGCAGAAACCCTAGCGAGGGTCTTCCTTCCCACGCCCTCATGGCTGTCGACTCCGGAGTATGCAGCAATCCGGTTAGATACTGGCAATCCATCGACCTACATCTTCTTTAGCCTTAACATTTCTATATATAACCAATAGATAATCTCCTCGGAATAGACCGAGCAATGGTTCTTTATGGTCGGCCGTGTTTATCCCTTTGCCCTAACGTGGGAAATCGAGCGACGTGATGGCTTGGAGTCGGACGATGATAATATCATAGAATATACCGTCCCCGCGCTTATAGTCCGCGATCATAGCTACCAACCGTGAGTCTATGCTCTAAATCTCTCTGTCGCCACTGCCCTCCCTAACGATATCCATAGAATTGTCACTCGCACCCTTAGCTCGGTGGATACTTTCCCAACGATATAACCTATTGTCTCCTTCACGGGACCTGTTATCGGCTCCGGCCGCGACCTCCTGCATGGAAACTCGGCTGCGGCCCTTAACGACACCTAGCTGAGCTGCTGCGGCTTTGTCTAGCTCTCTACCTTTATTTGTCCTGGGATTCCCGGCAAAACCCCCTTCAAGGGCTTTCACCCCTTCTAAGTTTTCGTCATCTTCCCCATTCACGCTAATCCTTGGACCTCCCTATGTAAGAAGATAACCGAGAGGCGCGACAGCCAGTTCCAGTCGAAAGCTCTCTTCACCTGTACGGGCAAAATCGTCGGCTTACTGGATCACTAGATCATGAAACATGCCCCGGCTTTCGACCAAGACTATATCTTCATCGTCGTCCCCGACACGTGGACTTTCCACGACAAGGCCATGTCCGACCAGGCTTCTGCAACACAACTACTGCCGACGACACCCAAGAGCGCGGTCGGCAATACCTCGGACTATAGCGTTGCGTTGGCCAGGTTTACCTCTACGAAGAAATGCAAGGCCGCCCAAAGCCCCGCCTCCCCCACGCCGCATGCTTCTGGCCCAGTCGATCCCCTTATGCTGGCATCAAGTCGGTCATTGCCCGATCCCTACCAAACCCCAACCAAGAGACGGCGACTTTCTCCCGAAACTTCCACCATAATCACCGACTATGACGGTCAAGACTCCCCCAAATCCGATACCTCCTCCTTTCTGTCCCCGGAAGACCCCGCAGAGTCAGAGACGGACACCGAACAGGTCAATCACCAAGACACATCCGCCTCTGGCTCTATCAGACCTCCCGCGTCGATATCTTCCCGACCACTGCGCGCCCGACGTCCGCCCAAGAATATTCTCTAAACTTTAAAGCATCAAACGAAACAATACAACATGACAACATGTCTCATCATCCTCAAAATCAACTGCCAAAGGCTCGAATAGCACATTCTCTTCTCTTCTTGTTCTCCATTTCATGAAGACGATCAAGTCAAAACTTCCCAATATACTCCTTATTCTGTTTATACCTACGACTTATACCGGTAGCACATGTAAATTTTCCGAGCCTTCCACTCGCCCAGACATGCATTACCCACTCACATCTCTCTTCAACCCTGCCGTCTCTCCACGCCCTCTGAGTTTGCGCCTTTTTAAACAAAATCTCCCTCCAGCGGCCTAGCCTGCCTCCCCGACGCTCTGTCTCGGTTTCACTCACGATAATGCTCTACGTCTCTCTAGGGCTGATATTTGAAGATTTTGAAGTCGAATCGGCCTCGGGACCCTTGAATTGAATGAAGCCGAATCGGGTAAGGTCTTCAAATTCGATGAATCAAAAATCAGGAGTCTTTATTCAATTCATTCATCAAAATCTTGAATGAATGGCGATATGGTCGAAATATACGGTGAAAAAAAGGATCACCCCGCTTCGCAGCTGCCAGCCAAGGGGGCATACAGGGGAGGAATGGGCTAATGCCCAAAGCCACCCACCAAGGGCCTCCCTTTTCTTTCTGAGCAGTGTCAGAAACAGCGGTTCTGCGGCTCGTCCGAATGAGGAAGGTGGCAACGATAGTGGGCACACAGAAGAGGTCAATTGGAGCTATATGCACGGCTGTGTGTGTGTAAAGGCGATGTGTGTGTTGCCCCCTTCCGGCTAGGAATGTGCCCCTTTTGGGCCCGCAGAAATCTCGGCTGAATGCCCCACGTGACCTGGCAGGTGACCCATGCCGCCCTTCCTGCTGCGCCGTTCCAACAAGCAGACACACACGTACACATCAAGAAACAAGCTGCTTTGACCCCCATCATACCTGTTGGCAGGGCTCGAGCATGAGACAAACTGGGAACGTCGTTCAACCGGTGTGTCGTATTATGCTATGAGGATTGTCTTCTATCTAGGAGGAGAGGCCAGCGTGGAAGATATAGCCACGCAAGCCTCAGCCGCACACGTGACCCTAAGGCCACATGCTGACCGTGTGATCTAGATACAATTGACGAGCATGATTCCCACAATACCAATAGATTCCACAATGCACTTTCCCCATTAGGCACGCCACAGAACCACCGTTCTGACAGGAGCAAGGGGTTCGCCCCGCGCGGACATGGTAACTTCGAAATCGGCCGCCCATGCGATGACGCACTGCGTATTTAAAAGTCTGTTGTGCGTGTTTCAGTTGGATTCCGCCGTCCACACTCCACTGGGAAAATCCCAGTGGGTTGGAAGTGGGGTAGTTAGGGCGTCCATATATGTTGGTATAACGACCCTAACAGTGCCTGATACGCCCACCGTTTCAGCAGTCTTGCCACCCTATACGGAGTATCAAAAAAACCATGAAGCTTATGAACAGTGCCATTTTATAATGCACACCATTTAAATGTAGTATCACTCGAATGTTCTGGATTTTCTGGTTCGGGTGATATAACTCTCGATATCTGTGCTTAACATTTGCTCAAGAAATGCCACATCATCCTGAAGGCAATAAATAGATCGGTCATTTGCTACTTGCAAAACTACATCTCAAGCACAGATTAAGCTCGGCAGCCCAAATTTTTGAAATATAATACAAGACTTATACCGTTAAACAGCCTCCGGCAAACTGATTAGAAAAACGCGTTCAGATCCCTCAACGTCTCAATACTGCGCGAACAATTGGACGTGACACGAATTGCGTCATCTCGCGATTTGGAGACTGTTAGGGACTTATCTACTCATCGAGCCCAATATGACTGCTACTTGCTTGTCCACAAACTAGCCCGATCAGAAAGTACCGAAACATCTGCATGATAAGGATATGTTGTGCCAACTAGCCGCGTTTAGACGCGTTATTCGCGCTCAATTGACCACCTGTTAATTCTACTGTCGGAAAGACACGGTCGTCAGCCCATCCCACATTTTTGCCTGCATTGGGCAACGGTCTTCGCGACAACTGCCACGACATTATTTTACGACGATCTCGCCTAATTCCTGCTTCGATGTTTCCGACAGCGGCTTCGGGTCGGCCCCCGAATCAACGTCCTGCCCGACGACCTATCCCACCCGTTCAACCTCGACTCCGTTATACTTTATTGTGGGTTATTTGGTGTCGTCCCGACTACCTGTCTCACGTCCATTCTCGAGCCTTTTAGCCTAGACCAGGTAAAACTTCATTACTGTCCAACCGATAGCTAATTATAACATGATACATAGTATGGCCCCTGCTGAATCGAAAACAGCTGCCGCAGCGAATTTCTTTGCTCCTAGGACCCGGCGTAAATTGCCAACGCAGAGTTATGCCCGCATTGAACGCCCTCAATTCAACCCTCAGAATCCCGCGCGCGCGCGCCCTGATCCTAGCACAACTCCGGCTCCTTCGTCCCCTCCTCCGACTGGCAAAGATACGATTGTCTGCGCGCCCCCGGGCCATCCTGACTGTGAGTCAGATGATGACATGCCTGACGCGGATACATCAGAGCCGCCATTGAACAGTACCGGTAGTCACATGACGCTCGCAGAGAAAGCCAGACTTATCAAGAAGTGGGCCGACAACAAACAGAAGCATGTTCGCAAGAAGAGAGACAAGAATAGCCACGTTTATTGGTACATGCAGAGGAAGCCATAGACAGAAGCTTTTACTCGGAGTACAAGGATGGACCGAAAATATTCCAAGAGTTCCGGTGGACTTGTATAGAGTGCCTTCAAAATCCTTCTACTCTTCGGAAGATATTCCAGGTCCTTGAATCGAACCGCCGAGGGGTTACCTCTGGCATGGGAGACCATTTAAAATCCCACAGTATTACGAAGGAGTCTCACCACGGTCGAATCAATGGATACGGCCGCGCCATTGGTGGAGGAGATTATACAGAGGTAGATGCATGGAGCGGTCGACCCAGGCAAAGAGCAAGGCTCACGGCAAAGGAGTCTATCCGCCAGTGGTTTGTAAAACACCGACAACCCTTCTCTGTTGTTGAGAACTTGAGACTCCTGCTTTCCAAGAGATGTTCTTGGCTCACAATACAACCTGTGTGTACAGGAGCCGTATAACCTTACGCAATCACATCTACACAGACTTTGTGGAACGCAGAGAGAAGCTGAAGATCGAGCTTCAGTACAATTGTGCTACCATCTCGCTCACCCTTGATATCTGGACAGCACCGAATCGGGTGCCTATTTTCGCCATTATTACGCACTGGATTACGCCGGAGTTTGAGGAGAGAGGAGGTTATTGAGTTTATCGAGCTCAAAAATCTCACACTGGCAAACACGAGATAGTTGAGAAGACACTTGAGGAGCTCAGGCTCAAGCCAAAGCTTCTCGCCATTACGGAGACAACGCCGCCAACAACGGCACGCTCTATTATTTGAAGACCAGACCACATTCCAATTTCCGGGCAAGCTGGTAGATGGTGTGAATATACCCTCATTGTTTGTGTATATGCTAATCTGCGTTCAGGCGAGAATCCTCCTCCTCAACCCCCTGCTCCGGCGGAAGTTCCCACCGAGGCTACTACCGAGGCTCCCGCCGAACCTCCTACCCCCCAAACCTCCTGCCTCCCAAGCCGATAAGTCTGCGATATCAACCCCCTGTCCAGATACAATGGAGGCTTCGGAGGATTGAGGCTCTACAAGTGTGTAACTGTGTACAATCGCGGATTCGAACGCGTTGGACCGATATATTTTGAGGATTCGGCAGAGCTTTTGAAAGTGCTTATTTTCGGTCCATTTGCCTAGGACGGGCGGATCAGTATTTATGTAAGTTAATTTTTGTAATATTCGAGATTATCGAGAGACTTCCCAGAAGGCTATAAAACCATATACTACTTATTGGCGTTTTCGAGGTATCTTTGCAATCGCTTAGGTACACACCAAATTCACTTCGTTTAGGGGATTCCTTCAAACTATTCATGAATGGCCTGAATTGGCCCAAACCCAACTTGAATCGCGAAAATTGGAGCTTGAAGATTTTGAATCAAGATCCAAAAAATTCAATTCATTTGATTCATCCTTCATTCAAAATCTTCAAAAAATTCACCTTCGTCTATCACCCCTACGTCTCTCGCCGTGTCTCGTATCTCGACCTCACTCTTCTTCCTGTCTCCTATCTACTGTCGCCAACTCTCTCTCTCTCTTCTATAGCCAACTCTTCTCCGGTTCTCTTGTCGCCAAATTTCGTTCCGAAAGGCTTCTTTGCGCGAGCCGCGGCTGGCGAGCCTTCCTCTCGTGGCTGATAAGTGACAATGCCCCTATTTCCAGCTCATCCTGCAACTAGCCGCCAATGACATCCTGGGCCATGATAGGCCGGATTAATCATAGTTGGCGATCCTGATTGGGTGGTTTATGCCACTTCTGGGTCTGAAGAACAGCAACCTGAATGTTGAACCCATCCCACACGGCAGAAGTGATTTCCATTCCGTTATAACAGCTGCCACTCTGAACAGGGAGGAGGCCTCGGACGCGCCTAGTGGGGAATCTCCGAAGGGGGGCGCTCGCAAGGCCTTCCCGGAATGAAAAAGGCCGCGGCCCACAGCGGTTGCCCGTCGCTTCGTGAAAGTAGCTCTTAAGTGTTGGCCACAGACAATGCCGAAGCCTCGCCCGGATAGGGTTGTGTTGAATGCTGGTTTCCTGCGACTGAGCAGGAATGACGGAAACAGGCACGTCGCCGACGAAACGGGTGATTTCAGGGCCTTGTTGGTATTTCGTAGGCATCTAACTAACTATAAGCACTGGTCCAGGCCAGCTGCCTGGAAGAAAATGGACTAAAATACGTGAACTCCAAGCGAATCCGGGTAAAGACGAGAGAAGCATAAAACAACGCCGGGGCGAGCTTTGGCAGGGAAGCGACGTCTAATAGCGGGCAGGGCCGTCGATAATGCTATAGACACATGAAACTGTTGAGTGGGACATCGAAGCCCGCTTGCAAGACCGACAAGCGCTGGCAATATTTAAAGGAAGGGCGGCATGGACTTTCAACTGGCTACATGTACGCCAACGAGGCGATCGTCCGCCTACAGTGTAAGCTTGTTCACGTTTTCCGTACTACCGCATATAATCAATCTCCTGGATTTGATACATAGCCCATAGCGTGCCTGCCATCAATCCTCGAGAACCAGTCTACTTTTGCTATACCCCATATCGCCAAGACGACATCGGGCAGTCCTTCGTAGCCGCTCGGTGCTTCCAAATTGAGGCTTTGACCGAATCTACAAGCGCCAGGAAGCAGCTCGTTTACTGACGAGGATATATATCGGCTGTTTCCCTGTGCCAGTTTGTGTTTCTCATCAGACACTCATTTCATCACCGCTCTTTTCTGCTGCTCCGAGTCGTGAGAGACTCACAAGTTGTCATCATGCTGCGTCAAGTCCAGCGTCTGGTCCTTTTCTGCGGTCTCGTCGCAAACATTTCCCCTGCCAACCAGGTCGGGGCAAGTGTTGTGCCGCGAGACAACTCGACCGGCAAGAACCCCTTCAACAGCGAATTTGCCAAGTTTGCGGAAGAAACACTGCAGAAGCTCAAGGTTCCTGGGCTCTCCGTCGCCGTGGTTGACGGCGACCAAGTATACGCCGAGGTACATCCAAAACCACCACCCTTCAACCCCCCCCCCCCCCCCCTTTCCTCCGCAAACCATGTTTCACCTTCATCTGATTGCTTACACTTTGCGGAGGGATACGGGTATTCGGTCTTGCCTGATACGCGAGCAACTCCAGAAACGCTCTGGTACGCCGGGTCCACGACCAAGGCTTATACGGCCGCCTGCCTGTCCGTCCTCATGCACAGCGGCACATACAAACAGCTGGCCAAAAATTGGTCGACGCCCATCTCGTCTATTATAAAGGAGGACTTCGTCCTTAGCGATACCTGGGCGACTGAACACATGACGCTCGACGATGCCGTCAGCCATCGTTCCGGGCTGACCCGCAACGACAAGGCTTTGCTGCAGACGCGGAACGGCAAGACACTTAACCTTAATGAGATTGTTCGAAACATGAGGAACTTGCCTCTCAAATACGAGCCGCGAACTGATTACAGCTACAACAATTGGATGTACATCGTCATGTCACACGTCATCGAGACCATCACCAAAAAGTGGCTCGGGGACGTGTTGAGAGAGCAGATCTGGAAGCCGCTGGGCATGAACTCGACCTACTTTACTCCCAAGGACGCCGAGAACGCGAAAGAGCCCATGGCGTCTGGATACATCTGGAACAACGTAACCCAAAATTACACAAAGACCCTGCCAATGCCTATGAATGATTTGAGTGGCGCGGCCGCAATCATCTCCAACGTGCTCGACTACGCGAAGTGGATCAAGTGTCTGCTTAACGAGACCGAGCCATTCTCCAAGGACGTACACGAGGACATCCGGAAGCCGAGAATGATCGAAAGTACGGACACGGACGATGCTTTCGACATCAGCCTGAATGGGTTGGCCTGGTATCGAAACACATACAGGGGCCACGTCTTCTACCGGCACAACGGAGTCATGATTGGGTTCGGGGCACAGGTTTATTGGTTCCCCAAGGAGAAATTTGGGTTTGTCATGTTCGCAAATGGCGACGGCCAGTCCGGGGACGCCAATAAGGCCTTCTCCATGAAGTTGATTGCGGACAGGCTGGAGGGGCCGGCCTCCGACTACCAGAATATCACAGACAAGTAAGCCCCAGCCTGGTTTCTACAAACGAGAGCAGAGGAGCTGACTTGGCGCAGGAGTATAAAAAGCTCTAAGGAGTTTGCAGAGAAGCTTGCCAACGCGGTCAACATCACCTATCCAGACCTACCCCAATCTCGGTTGCCGTCTTCGTTCAGTATAGCAGACCTCGAGGGAAAGTACTCTGACGAATCTCACGGGACAATGGAGCTGCGCGAAGGAACAAGCCCCAAAAAGCCGGACGAGAAGTTTCTCATCGCGGAGCGCAGGGATACGACGTGGAGACTAGCAATGCGGCTCTACCATGTCACTGGAGAGAAATGGATTGCGTACGCGAGCTGGCAGGATGAAATGGACGATCCCGGCCAGGTTTACGCGGCCGAGTTCGAAAAAGAAGCCGATGGAAAGGTCTCGGGATTGAAGGTGACGTGGGAAAGCAAAGTAAGCCTCGGTGTGGCAGAAGGTGAGACTGTTTTCAAGAGAGAGCGTTAAGTATTCCCCCAAAAAAGGCACCATCAGCCATCATGGGCTTTGGTTCTGTCTCCAAGACCGGTATCGAGGTGCGACGGGGCTACGACTGCTTGATTCCTCGTTTATCATGTGCAAAATCTCAAGTCCTATTCTGTCCTGGCCAAAAGGCGCACAATCTTGCAAAGTGTGACATCGTCATCTTGAATGAAACAGGAAGAGGCACGATTGGACCATGGAAAAGACCACCATGGCGAGGACCGTCGGCAGTGAAACGGACATTTCCTGCTCTCCGCCCGCGCCGTATGCTCGTTGCTCGGCCTCGGCCTCAGCTCGGGCTCAGCAGGCGCTGGCTTATGACCGAATAGCTCCGAAGAAATCGGTTTAGTGTCCATTTCACACGGTTACATCGTCTCAATGGATGGCGGTAGATTGCGGGCTTTGCCTGATTCCCGGGGCGAGGTGCACGTCGGCCGTCACCTCGGACTTGCAGTGGCCGGCTTGCGATACGCCGCCTGGAGAGTCGACCCGGAAGCACGGGCATGCTCTAAGCCGTAAGATGCCTCCCGGGCCAGCTATATAAGTCCTGCATATCCCACTCTCTCGCATATCGAGCCCTGGCCAGACTCGCACAAGCACCCAGCTCACCATGACGCCCTCTTCAGCAGCCCCGGCCAAGAAGCCCCTCTTGTTCTTCACCTCCTTTGCAGGCGAAGGCCACACAAACCCAGTCCTAGCCATTGCGGCCTCGATGGTTCAGCGCGGATACGACGTCGCATATCTCTGTTCAACAGCCTTCGAGGACAAGATCAAGGATGCCGGGGCTGAGTTCTTCGAGATTGCCTGGGAGCATCAATTCAAGAGCCCGGAAGAGGCAGCAAACGTCGCGAGCATGGCAATTGGCTTAAAACGATTGGCTGTCCAGCTCGTCTACGTGTTCTACAAGGGCTTGTCGATGCGCGCAAAGGCCGTGGCAGAGACGCTCGAAAGGCTGCGAGCTCGGGATCTCGACCGTCAAATCATCTGCATCGAGGACATCCTCAACATGGGCACCATGCCCTTTCGCTACGGCTGCCCCCTGCCGGCCGGCTTTGACACGCCGCCCAAGACCATCGGAATAAGCCCGGTTCCCCTCATGGTACAGAGCCAAGACACGGGCCCCTTTTTGCTTGGGCTGCCGCCAGACTCGACCGAATCAGGCCGGTTGAGGAACAAAGCCTTGAACCGACTGGTCAACGAGGGTCCGTTGAGGCCGTTGATCGAGGCCTGGGAACATGCACTCGATGCGTGCGGATGCACCGTCACACCCTCGGGCAGCCCCATGACTGCGTGGTTCACGGCGCACGACGCCTCCATCATGCTGTGCTCTCCGAGTCTGGAGTATCCCGTGTCCGACTTGCCGAGGGCAGTGCAGTTTGCAGGATGCCTGCCACGGGGGAAAGTCAGCTCCAGCTTTGAGTATCCAGTCTGGTGGCCGGAAGTGACAGACAACGCGAGGGGCACGGCGAGTTCCAAGAAGATCATCTTTGTTTCCCAAGGAACGGTAAACAAGAACTGGAACGAGCTGGTTCTCCCGACGCTGCAAGCCTTCGCCGGCCGCGACCAGCTGCTCGTCGTGGCCGCCCTTGGACTCCGCGGGGCCAAGCTTGACGACGCCGTCGACGTGCCTGCCAACGCCAGAGTCATTGACTACCTGCCGTACGATGTGATACTCCCGCTCGCCCACGTCTTCATCTCCAACGCGGGCTACGGCGCCTTCCGCCACGCCGTCGTGAACGGCGTGGCCACCGTCTTTGCCGGGGAGACGGAAGACAAGCTCGAGGTGGCCATGCGCGGCGAGTGGGCGGGCTTCGCGCACAACCTGAAGACGCAGACGCCGTCGCCGGAGAAGCTGAGGATCGGCGTGACAAAAGTTCTCGATGACGAACGATACACGACGAGAGCGGCCGAGTTGCGAAGGGAAAACGAGGCCCTGGACTGTCTGGCGCGGATCGAGAAGCAGGTTGAGCTATTCACGGAATGAATGAGAGTCTGAGTCACTTCAGCTACATGCAAAATGACTCCCTCTCGCGCTGGGTAATGTGAAGCCCCCGGAACCAGTGTCTGAGTCAACTCGGCCATGAGCGGGATGGTTCCCCGTTTTGCCGCTGCGGATATTGAACTCTCAATTATGGGCCCCTTTCATCCTCAATTCACACCGAAGAGATAGGGCTCGTATCGGGTTGAGAATGACGGCCGATGAGTCAAACTGTACAAACCCCCGCAACAGAGTGGGCGGGCAAGAGTTTTATATAAGAGTCCTGTTCAGTCTCGTCCAGGGCATACAGAATACGAAGAGCATACAGAATACATCGCCATCTCATCGTGCCATCACGCCCTCACCTCCCTCCTCGATCTTCGCCGTGTCTCCCCAGAAGCTTGAATCCGGCACTGCGCAATCACACGAAATGGAATCATCTCCGTATCCTCTGCCCGGAGGCGTGTCCGCCATCCCGCCGGCGCAACTGGATCTCCGGCCAGACGCCCAAGTCGACGAAGCCCTCAAGAACCCGGGGCCCGTTATCGACGACAAGAACATATGGTTCTTCTGGCACAGCGGCTTCGCCCGCATGCATCCCTACACGCAGCGCAACGTCCGCGCCTGGCATCGGCGCTTCTCCAAGCAGGGCTGGGTGGTGCGCGTCGTCGACCGCGAGCCGTCTTCGCCCCTCAACGTGGCCAACTTCCTCGACATCCACGACCCGGACACGTTTCCCCAGTCTTTTGTGGACGGCACCATTGGCGGCGACTACGCCCCTCAGCACACGTCGGACCTTGTGCGATGGCCGCTGCTGCTCAAGTACGGCGGCGTCTATGCCGACGTCGGCCTGATGCAGATTGGCGACCTTGACCGGGTCTGGAACATGACCATCGGCAGTCCCGACTCGCCCTTTGACGTGCTCTCGTACAACGCGGGAGGCGTCCAAGGGCGGAACCTCACAAACTACTTCCTCGCAGCCGGCCGTGACAACCCGCTCTTTGCGCGCTGCCACAAGCTGCTCCTCGCCCTGTGGGCTGCCGACGGCGGCAAGACGAGCACCGACGGCATGCACGCCAGCCCGCTGCTTCGAGGCGTGCCGCTCATGGGCGGTGATGGCATGGCGTTTGAGGAAGATGGGAAGAAGTACGGGCCCGACGAGGTCAGCCGCATACTGACCGACTACATCATCCAAGGCCAGGTCATGTCGCTGGTCATGTGCCTCGTGGACGACGAGGACGGCTGGGACGGACCCAAGTACGTGGCCGAGCACGTCTACGCCATCGAATTCATGGTCGGCTCGCAGCTCATCAACGACATGACGGCCTGGAGCGGCGCGCGGCAGCTTGAGCTCATGTCGCTTCCCCTGCCGCGCGACGGCGAGCCCGCCAGCGAAGACCAGCAGCTCGCGCGCGCCGTCGTCGAGTCCTGCCTGCGGAGGAGCTTCGGCTTCAAGCTGGCCCACGGCCTCATTGTCCGCGTCATGGGAGACACGCTCGGCTCGCTGTGGAGGAAACACACGGGCGCCGACAACGTCGCCGGCACTTACGGCCACTGGCTGCGGTACGGCATGGTCCACTGGTGTCCGACCCATCTCTCGCCGCGGCTCGAGTTTACCGAGATTGCGCCCTTGAAGAGAGGACCGCTGTTGCGGGCGGAGGGCGAGATTGCGGGCGGAGGGGGAGAGCCGGCTGTCTTTGACATGCTCAAGAAGACGTAGAAGTTGCCATAACAAATCACCAAAAGTTAACATTAATGATATAACAGTGCATCTAATAAGAAGCGGTCACATGCATCGTTATGAGACGTGGATCAGCTACTTGCCAGGTTATAGAGAGCGCAGCGCGTTTTTCAAGAGCACGGCATCGATCCCGAGACTGCTGGCCAATTCCTTCGGTTTCCGAGGCCCATCGCCATTCTCGGCCATCAACACCCATAAGCCCGCCGAAGTTAAGGGCCGCAATCAAGCCAGGCTTTCATGCCAGCCGATGCTCAATGGCCGGCTTGATACGAACTGGAAACCTCCCTCTGCCCAGCAGTGTTCGACCACGGTTTCTCGAGGTGTCTCCAACGCGTGAGCCATGTTGCGGTACTTGACCAGGGAATCTTGGAAATCTACATTCCACCACCATGGAGGGCGTCAATTGCTGCAGCGAATTCCTTTAGTAGGCCGGGGACAGCTTCCATGTCGTTTGGCGTATCCCTCGCGACGCCTGCCATAGTAAACCCATCAGCAGGGGTCGCTCGCTGCCGGTAACCCCTTCAGACTGGCCATCGATGTAATGCGGTCTGTAGTTCGAATGTGCCACACGAGCAAGCAACTTCTTTACAGGCACAGGTACGGGCCGTCACAGTACAGTGGGTTCTCCTAGGATCTACACACATGCTTAAGCGACCATGTTTAGCAAAGGCGCTTCTACTATTCAGCACAATAGTATTCATAAACGACATGAAACAGCAGTCATTGCGCAATTTATCGTTACTTGCCTCACTCTGAGTATGAATCGATCCGTGGTTTTGAAAGGTTACAACGAAGAGCGTAAGGTTCCCTTTCAACTATATTTAGCTTACAACTCTGGGCTACGATTAGACTCCTTTGCATGTCAAGCCGGGATAGGTAATTCTACTTATTGGTAAGTCAACATGCCTCAAAGATCAATCGAAATGGGGCCAATACTGATACTGTGCCATCAGGGCGATCCTATATTGATTGTATGCTTACGCTTGCCCGGGGAAGTAGAGTTAACCGAGAGAGTTTAAACTAAATATTGTGCGCTATTTATTCCACGGCCGGCCGCTTACGAGTTGTCATTCGCATCGGAGAAAGGGGGAACATCTCGGTCAGACACGACGACGAACAGCACCGCTTCAGGCCCATCATAACTCCCGAGATTGAGAATGCACTGGTCAATCAGGCTCCCTCGCCACTTTCCATCTGCAATCGATCTAACATCTACGAAACATCTGAAGAAGATGGTGCGCTCTTCATCACCTCAAGCACGCACTGGTCTGCAGTTCCGGAACGACTGCAAAGCTGCCCGAGGGCCTGAGAGACTGAACCACGAGACCTTTGTGAAGCCTTTATCTGGTAAAGGCATTTCCGAGGTGGACATTATACGTAGCACTTGCCTGCTCCATGACCTCCCTCTCTTCGTAGATACGGACACGCACCCTACTTTGTCCTGCATGGTTCATCAAGGAAGACCGCCGGATACATCTCAATTTCGAGAACGAGATGTTACACAAATACACCATCCATCCGTGACGGGCGGGAGTCAATCAACCTCACCGTTTTCTTTGCCAGAAAGGTAAACCGTGAGGTCCATGGTAAGGCTGCCGGCCGTTACATTGGCAAGGAGACCTTCGATGACCGAAATGAATGAGATAGTGTCATAGCAGACGGCTTGATTGATAAAACAATCAACGATGTGGAAGGCAGCAAGTGAGGCCCATATAAACGTCATAAACCCACTTTGAAGACGGCAATACAATTAACTGTTGCTGCCAGGCGGCGACGCGCCTTAGTAGGGCTTCTGTGGGGAAAGGCAGTGGCAATCACTCATTACCCTTGTGCTGAAGAGTGGAAGAAAGCAATAGTCGTCTCGGACAAGCGCTTCAGCGAGGCCCCTCGATTCAAACGTTGAACAACTCCAGCTAAATGCGACCGCGGGAAAGCCCGGGCTCTATAGCTACGTATAATATAGATAAAGTATTTAATTAAGATATTAAATTTAAATAGCTTTGTATTAGTTAAACTTATTTGTAAGATAGATATTAAATACTATTATATAGTAAAGGAGCGTTATAGTTATATAATTATAGGAAGTTATATATACTAGCTTATATAGAAGAAAAAGACTATATACTTGATATTATATTATATAAAAAATAAAATATACTTATATAGGATTTATATATTAGTTCTAAAAATAATAAGATGCGTTTTAACTCTAACTCACTTATAAGCCGCTGTAGCAGCTAAGAACCTATAATTAAAGAGGGTAATAATCCTTATTCTCTTATAAGGGCTCTAGTATTTAAAGGAATAATAGTTATTTAAAGAGGGAGGGTTAGAATGTAGACGACGCGAGAACGCGACGCGTATGTAGGTCCAGCCGGAACTTTTGTCCCCCCACTATAGTAGTCTGGAACACACTGCTGTCCCCGCCGGGTTTGGTTGCATCCCCGACCAGGTAAGGCGCACCGTCTTCATAAACGTCTGCCTCCTTTACGGCCTCGCTAGTTTTCTTCCGAGACGGCCTGTCTCTGGAGCCGCAATGTCTGTCCATGTTTGTCTATTGCTCTGCTTGAACGAATGCCCGCTTCACATCCAAGCCCGCCCATTTCCTACGACGGAATAGTGCCGAATAGTTACACAATGGCTTAGCTGAGACTACGCAGGCAGGGCCACGTCCGGAGCAAGACACTCTGGACCCAGTACAACTGGGTCCACCATGCCGGACATAGCCCATGTCAGGAGGGACAAGTCGATGCTTCAGAGGGTAGATGGAGCAAGCTTGGTTCTCGTTTGGCATATTAGTTCCAGTTAAGGCTTTTTTGAAAGGTATAAGTTACACTATACAAGTGCAACGTGTCGTCTTGTCTGGAGTTTTTTCTCAACGTCCCTCATTGTTGCCACATCGCGGGTGTGAATATCGATTATACCGATTCTGCGAAGCACATCTGTCTGTTCCTCGATAGTTATTAGCGCAAAAGCATGGAACCATTGCTCCGAGGTCTGATACGATTCGCTCCCGAGGTAAAGGTAGAAACAGGGCTTGACTCCAGCCTCGCCGCTTTGCTCGAGGTCCCAGTAAATGGTAAAGCGACTTGACTCTAGGGACGGCCATTCGAGCTGGGAAATCAGCCTGCAAGCCAAGGTAAGTTTCGCACCCTTGGCCACATCTAATAGATTGGTGGTGATGGTGCAATCGGCCCGCAGCTTGGATCTGCAGAGAATAGCGACGTGTCCATCTATTGAGAGCCACGACCAGGATGGTGCCCGATTAGACCTCTCCAAAGATGGGTGCAAATGAAAGTTTGCAACGTTGAACCACGTCAAGTGCTCCAAAAAGTAGCTGACCCACGCCCCAAACACACACCTATCACCCCAGGCTTCTTCGAGAGCTACGACAACTCCAGCGATCGCTTGGGGTCGGTCGTCGTAGACACTAAGGGTCCGAAACGTATACTGGCGCAAAAGTTCGCACCAGGACCCGTGCCTGTCGGACGAGTTGAAGAATACTTTTGAAGACGGTTGCTCGTTGCTCGGATAGTTGATGTAGCTTTGGGCAAGAGCTCGGAACCCCAGCTCCTGGCAATGAAAAAGGAGTTCATATGGGCCATAAAATAAGACGCGTCTGGCCAGTAGAAACTCTTGGAACGTCCACCCCCTCTTGCTCAGAGGGTCAATATGCCAACCAAAGTGCGCCCAAGGGCATGGATGGCCAATATTGACATGGCCAGTCTTGCGGTTCGGTAACTCGACGGGAATTGTCAGAAATGGCGGCAGCGTTCGACTTTGTAGAAAACCTTCTGCCACGCAGCTAGACATAGCTGCTAGAATAGTCGCAGTGGAGTTTCGATATATCTCGGCCATGGCACCTATTTCTCGGGTCTTGTCGTACAAGTCATCCTGAATGATGCAGAGAACATCGACCCATAGGTATCGGTAGCCCAGATCTCGAGTTGTTTGTACAGCATCCCGAAGAGTTTGTGGTAGGGCAGACACTGCAATGCCATTTCTCAGCTGGTCCAGGTTGTCCTTGAGCGCAGAGATTGGTGCTTTAACACCCCCCCAGCAGTAGCTCAAGGTTAAGTATTCACCAAGCTCACCACTTGAGTCGGTAACGATAAGAGAAACGGTAGACGATGCTATTCCTCCGACGTCGATGATTCTGCAGGGAAGCTTGGAGAGCTTAGGTGCGGAGCATCCAATATGATGTGTCTCGCATCTGGAGATGGCAGCTTTAGCCCGTGCAATCGTTATTTGGGACGTGACATTAAGCTCCGGGGGACGGCTGGTAATCCATGCCGCTGCGGCGTCATCTACTAGGGTTAGCAAACCGCTGTCAAATGGAGAAGCGTAGAGGTATAGCCGGGAAGGGAAAATAGGAGAAAATATATGAGTAGTGAACCTTTGTGCGTAAAAATATTCAACTCGTACTTGATATCTTCGACCACGTCCGCGAACTTATCAGAATGTAGGCTAATAGATAGTACATGCTCGTGACGGCCGACTGGAATGGCTTGAACAAAATCGACAGGCTTCGACTTGGCGAGAATGCGAATGGCTACCTGCACCGAGTCCTCTCGAAAGGGGCGACGGAACAAGCGACTTCCTCTTAGGTGTCCGAAGATGGCCCTGCAGAGCGGGCAATCCCCTCTCGCTTTCCTCTTTAGTGTTGCCAAGTTACCAAGTAGGAATCCGTTGCCAGGCTCGAGCACTTGACGGAAACCATTGACGGAAAAGATAGACTTGCAAACGTCGCAATAATTACCAGATGTGTTAAACTCGGAGCATTCGTGCTTTAAGTCAACCGTATCAGAGTCCATTTGTAGTACCTATTTAGTAAAACCGTTCGGCTGCAGATATGAGAGAAATATCGAATGACTGCAATGAGGCTCCGGACGTTAACACTCGCGCGTGCGAGGGGGCCAACCAGAGGCGGGATGTAGTCAATCAGAAGCGGGGTTTTTGAGGGGAAATCGGCCAATCGTCTGACGGTCCTTGCGGGGCAAAGTCCTGAATCTCCTCCTTCCTCAAGGCACGATGCTGGAGAGTTAAGGCGGCTGACAAAGGCAGTAGCGGCAGGAGAGGTAACCCTTACACAATGAGCCTTGAGGGACGAAAGTTGGAGATTTGAGTTAACATGTGACCGTGGTGCGCTGATTTGTTGGGCAACAGAGCGTAGCGAATTGAGCTTTAACGTCATCACGCACTATCCCTACGGGCGAGGTCGTGCGCAAGCGGCGAGGATGGTGGTCCGATTAAGTGGCTGCCCCGCAGCAACGGATAGTAGTAGAACTACCGCTTTAGCTATTCTAGGGCCGACCCGTTATACTAAGCTATTAATAGAGGGGTTTAATTCGACTAATTTCGTAATATTTTAACTAATAGACCAATAGGTCTATTAGAGGACTATTAACGTACTTGTCTCTCTTTTTAATATATATAGGCCGGCGCGATTTTAGCTAAGCTAAAGGGGGGATGAGCTAATGGTAGGGGGTAAGATGGTAGAGAACGTTGACGTCAATACAACGTGAACTGGGAAAGACGGAATATCTAGCTATACAAGGAGTAGAAGGCCAGGTCATATATAGCAAATGTCGACATGATCATAGAACCTTCTAGAGACCACCAGTCTCTTCCAATAACAGGGGGGTTTTAACAGGGCATAGGGGAGCACGGGTATATCAGGATTGATTGAACGACTTGATGAATTTAAATTGAGTATAAGGAATGGAGAACTAGCTGGTCTTGTGCAACCGAGAGAGATAGCTCGTCTGTAGATGTTACGCTGCCTTGGAAGGCATACACCGACTCTGAAGCCCGTGTTGAAACGGAATGCCACTCATCGGGTTGCTGTCTCGGCTGTGGCCATGGGAGGAAGAATTATATGGAAGCGAGTGTAGAGAGGGGCCGAGGGCGAGGTGGGGCCCCCTTTCGCCGCCGACGAAGCGGTCAAAAGAATGCAACTTTAAATACAGTACCATACCTTCCAAACAGGTCTGCGCGTGACGATGCCAAGACATTTGAAGTAAGAGGCGTTCAGACGCAATCAATGGCGTGACGATCCCTTGTCAACGCCGACACAAGCATAGTAGCCAGCCCACAGCGTCGTGCAGTCTGGGCCCGCGCTGGGGTTCCAAGCGATGATGTTGTCGGGCGGTATGCCGTACTGGGCGCCAATGTGGTTGCACGTTTCGCCCGCCCTGACGAGGTGGAATTGGTTGCAGTTGGGCGCGATGGTGGGCTGCGTCGGCTGCGGCCTCTGGACGGGACCAGGCGGCTTGGGACGGACTCCGACGCACGAATAGTAGCCGGCCCAGAGCGTCGTGCACTCGGGCCCGGCACTCGGATTCCACCCCATGTACTGGTCCGTCGTGAGTCCGTACCGCACGGCAACCTGCCGGCACGTGTCGCCGGGCTTGACAAGATGGAACCGGTCGCAGTTCTTGACCATGCTGGGCAAAGCCGGCTGCGGCGTCACGACAGCGGCTGCGTCGTTGCGTCAGTTCAAGGTCTCTTTCATGCTGGGGCTGACGTACTCGGCGTCTCGACAACCGGCGAGGGCACTTGGCGCTCCTCGATTCCGCCCAACGGCCTGGGCTTGGCATCACGGGGGTCCAGCAGAGCCCCGGATGCTGCATAGGTGCATCCGAGGAGCAAGAGGGCGCTTTTCGAGCTGACCATGGTTCCAGTGGGGGATATCAACAGAGAGAGATATTCAGATGGGTATGCACAAAGTGTCTGTCAGAATCTTGATGCCGCTCTGTTCATCGTTTCCCTCGTGGCGTTTCTCATTTTTATAGTCTGATAAATCCCTTGACGTCCTCGAGTCCTGATTTCGGCAGCCTGCTCCGCGCTCCATCCCGACGACGCTGTGCTGGCTCACGGGGCCATTCTCCGGCATAGTGTCTGCATCCAGCTTCTCTGCCGCCTTGCGCGTGAGCATGCCGATCCAGGCGAGCCGCGTCTCGTTCAACTTCGGGAGACGCGGAAAATCCATCACGAGCCCCCCAAGTCTTCTTTTACCAGGCCGCATCACCATGCAACCGCTGCACACCATTTTTGCTCAATAGAGTAAGGTTCCCATATTGATGGGGCCAATGTCTCAAGACTGGTTGGTTGCCTCTGGAGTCTGGAGGGCTCTATGGCCATGTCGACATTTCTCAGCGACTCCGCTGGGGCACCTAATTCATTGGGCCAGCGCCATTGGCAGCATGCGACCAATTTTTGTGCGACGAGAGAAGAAACTCGGTTAGACGTAGACGCGGTGCATGTGCGAATGCGGGCTCCGTGAGCTGTTGTGGGCGGAACGGTTGCGCGGCTTGTGGTGGTGAATGTGGTTTATACCACAAAAATCTCCACCAAAAAAAGTCCAACATTTGAACTAGACGAGAAATGACGAGAACTCAAAATCTAAAATACGAAGATTATATCATTCTGTAAAGAAATAAGCGCTCATATCGATTCCGAAGATTTTTTTACCATTCTCCCGGATCTAGTGGTGATGGCAAGGGCCTCAGCTGCCAGCTCGACGAGGAGACGATGCCGCGGGGGATCCACACCATCATTACATTATACAACTCTTAATGGTGTTGCTATTAACTTTATTAATATCCTTACCCGTTGGTTAAAGGCAGGCGCGGCTAACCAACTTAACGGGTAGTTAATTATCACGCCACATCACTTTTGGCAGACTCTCGGGCTTAGGGTCGAAGGGCCCCCTCTTCTCGATAGTTTCCGAAAGGGGGTGGGGAATGATAGTACTCATGTCCATTTGCCCAAGTTTTGACATCCATTGGGGCTTGCGCTGCAGCAAATATTGGCTCGGAGGGCCCGAAACCGTCTCTTCGTCTCGCCTAGACATTCGGTGCGATTGACCCTCCACAGCGCGAGCATGGCCTGGAAAAATGACCTCACCCAAATCGTCTCCGCGCATGGAGGTCGCGGTCGTGTGCCAACATCCATGATCCGCCTGTAATGCGTCAAGACGCTGCGCGCAACAACAGTATGGGCTAGTAGGACTAGGACCCAAGGGCGTAGAGACCAACTTTCTCTCTGGTTTATATAATTCGAGTCGCCTAGGGACGGGCAGGCAGGCAGGCAAGTAGTCGGGCGGGCAGGCAGGGCTTAATTCGACGAAATAACGCATCTTGAAGCCTTGAGCTCGAATATATAGAAATTACATAAGTAGTCTTCGTGCCCGTGGGTGCGCATAGCTTCACTTTGCACGAAGGCGAGCAGGTGCGCGCAGAGGGGGGCGTGCAGTCAAGGCGGGGAATATGCGCAAGTATTATGCGGTATCGGCGCTGCCCCTTGACCCGCCACACAAACCCACTTTTTGGTCTACCCGATAAGTAATTAAACGTGCCTAATTACTGGTTAAAAGGCACCTGTTTTTAGCTTCCTTGATCCCTCTTGCCAAGGGATATCTCCGAGAACTGCAAAATCAGGCCACGCTTCGCGACATTAGTAGTTCTTAACCTAGCTACCGGCTAGGGGAACGCCGTCCTCCTATAATACAATAGCATCGCACTAAGCATCCATCCCCACTAGCCACGAGCAGCCGATAGCCCTAAAAGGCGTTCCTAAAGACGTTGCTTAGGTCGTACTATACTTTATTGCCCTAGAAGTTATACGCAAAGATAGTCTACGGCTTGCCCGTGTATAGGCCATCGCGGTCGATGGTCGTCTTAATGGCCCGGCCGCCGGTCCAGGGATCCCGCGTAAAGGGCTCGCTATACACGCCGCCCTTCTACAGCGTGTAGGGGCCCGAGACGCTACTGCCGACGGACGAGGTGGTCACCTCAGATACGCAGTTGTTGACGACGCGTGCATTGCCAACAGCGGAGGCGACGTTGGCTAGGGCGGTGCCGACGGCAAAGAGATTGTCGCATATCAAGCCTATAAAGTGGCGATATTACTACGCAACCGCTGATGCCGCCTGGTAATAGCTAATGCGCAGGCAGGCAATAAGCCTTTTATTTGTGTATAAAGAGCTATATAATTCCGTGCAGCTCGTTTACTCACTGCTTATTGCTTAGATAATTCTCATAAATTAACTGATGCCATTTGGGTCGCTTTGCACAGCCGCTATCGTGCCAGACTGTCTGACACCTTCCTTGCAGGCCTGGATGCCAAATTCTAATTCTAATATTGGCGCTAAATGCCTTGGCATCGCTTTCTCCAGCAGCCGCAATCCATCTTTCAATTTTGGGCGCGATTAAAGGATGGACTTCTGGTTAAAGGGCTTGATAACGGAGGTATGATCAGGAGTAACAACCCGTCCATCAGCAACCTCCGCATCATCATAGCCGAAAAAGCCAATAACCTTTCTGCTTTGATCCAGCACACCGATTACACTGAAGGCTTTGTCAGGACCGTTGGAGTTATCCCAGGAAGATTCGAGTCGGTAAACGCCGCAGAAGGTAGGCCCGCCGTGAGACTGCGATGCTGGCTTCCCGCCTTGAGACTTGACAATATGTTTGCAAGGAGCCTTCTCGCCGGCTTTGTTGTCGATGTCGAAGCTCCAGGTGCAATGGCTACCATCTTTGGCACAGTCACGGTGCAGTCCATCGAGAGTCCAGGTCTCATCGCGTTTCGTAACGACAGCAGCAGAGGCTGAGGTAGCGGCCAAGAGGGCGGCCGTGAGGGCGGCCACAGATGTCTTGGCGAAATGCATGTTGGTGACCGAGGTACTGCAGTAATTGGAGATTAGAGATGGTATATTAAGAAGCTGTTTAAACCGTCCAAACTTTGCTGTGATAAGCTTGGGTATTTATATTTGAGACTCGGTGAAATGTACATAAGCAAATGTAACCCGATGATCAGAAGACGTAGTTCGTATTGAGCTTAGCTGCACAGCGTCATTACGTGCCATTCGCAGTGTGAACGACTCGTATTCCAAGACGGCGAATTGGACTCAACCCGCCAACACCCAGCGAAGCGGATTTACCCCGCCAAGGATACATCGATTGCTTTAAAAATATAAGCCGGGTTTCTTTGGATTTAGTTTGTGTTACCCCGGGTGCGTTTGGATCACTCAAACTGCTCCTTCAGTCCGTCTGCTCGGCCAGATCCCGTGCCCACACAATGTCCCAACGTCGTATCAACGCAACGCACCTACATCAAAAGTGAAGCCTTTCGCAATATATCTCCACACCTGCTATTACCGCCGCCGCCGCTGCCGCAACGGATTATCCGTACTCCCGCGAATTCAATCCAAAGAAGGCCGCCCAATATGCCTGTCATGGCAGTCGCCGAGACATAAGGTGTCACGCGCCTAAGAGACCTATCACGCAGGGTACACCAGTCTCTAACAGTCTGATCCCCATATTCACACAGTTAGCCCATGACTTGTGTCGTCATCTTCATCAGCCACTCCACCGTTCCCTATAGAACCTTCTACCAGCTTATAACCCAAGGTTCGACCACGAAGAGGCTCGCCTCGAATGCTCGTGCGGGAGGAGGAAATCGCCTTCCACTGCCGGAAGTAGGCACGCGACACCACACAAGGCTAGCCACCACAGCGGACGAGGCTATCAACGAGGCACTAGGAAGGGGATTCGACCGGTTCCTCAGGCTAGTGACGGAGGCAGAGTTCTTTGATCGGATCTGCCACCGCTACTAGCTCAGGGCTGCGGCCCAGTTAACACACGCTCTCTCTTCCTTTCCTTCGTTTCTGCCCGTAGGCTCACGAGGGGCCTATGGTCTAGCTAACTGCGTGGGCTTTCTTAGTCACCCGGCTCTGACCGAAGGCCGACTACTATTACGGCTTTGACGCCGTGTCCAGAACCCGCTGACGGGGGAGAGACCTGAGAGTCCATGCGGCCAGAGTCCAAAAATTGCTAGATAGAGGAGTAGAAGTAAGGAACGCTCAACGAGTCTCCGGCGAGTACCCTTATCTTGTACTCTACCTAGCCTAGCACGGCTTTTGCCCTTATAGGGATGTTCCAGACGGTAATCAATGCTACTACTACTACTATACCCAATGGTGATACGCCAGACAGGGGCGATAGCACGTATCGCCACGTTTAGGGTCTGCTGGATCCCATTCTTTAGCTAGGCTATTCGCGGCGGAACCTGGCGGGACGATCCCCACACAGGCCGGAGCCCACCGGGATGCCACACGTGGGCGCCGTAAAGGAGGATCGGGAGGACACTGGCGGTGATCGCATGCCGTGTCGACCAGGGAGGGATTCCACGCCGGGTGTTTGAGAGGCTCTGGAGGAACTCGGCGACCCTGCTCGCCTTCGCAGCCCTCTTCTCCACATGTGTACGGAACGCAAGGTTCCTGTCGTAAGAGACACCGAGCCAGCACAGGTCCTGCTGTGGTTTCTTTTCCACGGGCCCGTGCCAGACCGACGGCAGGTCCCCTTATATCAGGGTCTCGTGAAGTGGATGACCTCTGTCTTGCCCGGATCCAACCACGACAGAGAAGTCATAAAACGGCAACGCGCAGAGCAGCTGAAATAAGGACATCAGGTCCGTGATTGTCCCACGTATACGACGCCGCGCTCCATAAATCCCACTCTTTCAAGACCCTTTGTCAACTCGAATATCGCGAAAGTGAAACGGCGGATATCAGGAAAGACATAAATTCTAGTACGCTAAGTGCCGAAGACTAAAACCAAGACCCTGGGTAAGAATATAGCAAAGCGTACGCAATCGTAGATAAGACGGAAAAGGCGATACTTCTCGCGAAGAGACATATAAGAAGTATATATAAAATATATGAAGGTAAAATTAATAATAAGAGGTTAGATAGGTAGGTCAGAATCAGTTAAATCTTTAAAAGGCAATAATTACGGTAGGGGATTAAGTATTATATTACCTTAATTCTCATTCTTTCCTATATCTAACGCCCCTCTTTATATCTATCTAGTATCCTAATTAATAAAGAAAATCCTACTTAGGGAAGCCCTTAATGTCCTTTCAACTACTGAGCTTTTTGCCGGTTTTCCCCCTCTACTCTAGCCGTTGCCGGCATATCCGTCTTATCTCTCACCACCTCTATAGGAAGCCATCGCCACTTCTGCTTCCCCTCTTGCCCCCACCCTCCTTTCTGCACCTCCTTTTAGCTTCTTCTTCCTTCTTCTACACCGGTTGTTTTAGTTTCCTTGATCCTTCTTGCCAAGGGATATCTCCGAGAACTGCGAAATCAGGCCACGCTTCGCGACAGCCACACTACCTACCTTTTTTGTGTGCCGGTTAGCCAAACCTGTGTGCCGGCTAACACAGGCGCTTCATTATTGCCCTCCGTCGATTACCCAATCTAGGAACTCCCGGCAAGGAGTGCTCAGAATGGACCTTGGTACGAAGCACAGGGATGCTAAACAGGGTGAAGAGTAGGGGCCGAAGAATCTCCCAAGGAGGCTGCGCAGTAATTAGTTATTCCCCAGTCCCGTTAGCTTGGCATATCGTAACCGTCGATCGTGTCGCTACAGAAAGGGCTAAAGTGTCAAGCATAAATATAGTCTAAACTTAATTGTTCTAGAGCATAAGGTAATAATCCCAATGACTGACTCAGGTTACCCGTAACTCTTGCCAGTATGGCAACTAGCTAATATATAGACGAAGCTAGCTCGCCTAATCCGATCACAGAACTGCTCTGAGCAGCGGTAGTTCCTGAGCTGCGAGCTCTCACAGCCCCTTGAATACATCTTCGCACCTTTTGAGCCGGCCTGGTACACCAGTAGCAGGGTAGGCACACTGAGGGGACGGCAATTCGTCTATACATCGACAAACGGAACTAGTACGGACGAGTTATGCGCCGGTGAAGCAAAAGTCCACTTGAATTCGGGAACGAGCTGCTGCGATGACGATGGCGCGGGCTGCGTGCTGGGGCATGAACAAGTTACAGCAATATGCCCACTTGTTCGACTTCCATGGCCCCACGGACTTCGACTATAATCATTCAGGCCTCCGTGGCAAAACTTGGGAAAGGACAATAGATCGAGCCAAACCAGTGCATTTGCGATATGTCTCCGATATCCTCGGCCCCGGCGGTCCTCACCCGGTGTCGTACCGGATCAGAAACGGCCGACGCCCAGAACACCACGAGTTTTAGAGTGTGTCGGATGTGTCATGGTGCAACCCATGGATCTGGTTATATCCCGCGAGGAGAGGGATTGGACCGCATGAGATGCAGAGTCACCCATGGTATACGAAGTGCATGGGCGAGTAGTCGGCGCGTGCCACTGAGGCCGTCGTGTTACGATGGCTCGTGTATGCTGCTTGTCCAAATTAGGGTCTCAAATCACCTTTGGCCAAACTTGGCGACACGCATCGCACCCAAGCCCAACCCGAGCTCTTGTCCCGCGCGGTCCCTGTCGATCGGTGCAGACGGCCAGCAAATTGCGGCAGACGACCCGCGCCAATTGGTTGAGCCAAGGCGCCCTGCCGATCGCACTCTCTCGCCCGCAGCCTCGACAATCGACGGCGACAGACCAAGCTTGACTGCGGGCTCCAAGTCGACATGGAACGTGGGCCGAGCAGCAACCTCCCGTCCGAGGAATGTTGCCGCGGCGGCGACTGTGCTTGCTGCTACCAGCCACTCGACCGCCCTCGACAGGAGGCCGGGCTGTCTTGCGGAGAATCACTAACGCCCCAGCGATCATTTAACCCTCGAGGCCGCCCCTGCTCGTCGATGTCTAGCTTGCCAATGTCAAGCAGCCAGGGTCTTTGAAGACAGCATGCTCCCTCCTGTCCTCACACTCGCCGGCCTGTTGGTCGTTGCCGCCCACGCCAGCTTCGACGGCAACATCAACTACCTTAGCCCCTCGAGTCGACACCCGAGCTTGGGCATCGACGTCGGCCTGGTTGACCGCCGGTCGTGGAAGCGCGGCAATGTCGCCTTCGAGCCTTCCCAGCTGAGCTTCACCCACGGCGTCGCCTCCGGGGACCCTTGGCCCGAGAGCGTCATTCTCTGGACTCGCATTGCCCCCTCCAGCGAGTCTGACAAGAGCGACATCACCGTTAACGGCGCCGCTCCGCTCTACAGCCACGAGACCAACAAATTCGTCAACGCCAACCCAAATCCCATCTGTCTCGAATGGAGCGTCTTCACCAGCAACGACGATGACGACCCCGATGTCTCCAACTCGCTTGTCGCCAGCGGCCAGGTCTTTACGAGCTCAGACATTGACTACACTGTCAAGGTTGCCGTGCCCTCTCCCAGCTGTCTGAAACCGCGGCTGAAGCGTGGTCCGTTTAGGTTGAGGCTCGTAGCCTTGAGCCTCTTACTCAGTACAACTACCAGTTCAACGTCTGCGGCTCCGACAAGAAGAGCCCGATGGGCCGCACAAAAACTGCCCCCCGTCCCGACGACGAGGTTTCGGAGATGAGCTTTGCCGTCTTCTCCTGCAGTAACTTCCGTATGTCTGCCCACCGACCTTTTTCAGGCTGCCATCGGTAACCTTGCTGACCTCAACCCCCTTCCCAGCAACCGGCTACTTCAATGCCTACGGCAATGCTGCAAGGAAGGACAAGCACGACTTTGTCATTCACCTGGGAGACTACATTTACGAATATGAGGCCGGCGGTGAACGTGCCTCCATCCCTCGCGCTGTGCTGTTCAACCTCTACGACTACCGCTCTCGTCATGGCCAAGCAAGTCAGGTGTCCCCATAAGCAGGAAACGAAACTGACCTGAGCTCCAGTACCGGACCGACCCCGACCTGCAACTACTCTCCAAGAATCATGCCTGGATCCCGACCTGGGACGATCACGGTTAGTCACAATACTCCCTCGGCAGTCACTTGCTATAAGGACAGTAAAGCTCACGCCGAGCAGAGTTCTCCGACAACGGGTTCCGTGACGGCTTCAGCGGCCTCAATAACACGGAAGACTCCTTCATGAAGAGCGGGGCCAGGGTTACCGTCGACACTCGCAAGGTCAACGCCGTGCGGGCCTATTTCGAATGGATGCCAATCCGGTACGTCTATTGACAGCAAGTGGCAAACGGAGCAGCCGACTGACGGCCCTATCCAGGCAAACCGACCTAGACGACGGTCTTCGTGTCTGGCGGTCGTTTCAGATGGGAAAGCTTTTGGACATCATCATGCTCGACACCCGCAACTATGACCGTAGCATCACCACTCTTGGTAATTGCGGCTCTCATCGCGCGACGGCACAAGCGGGGGCTGACAGAGGCTGTAGGCTGGAACGACCACTACATCGATCTCATCCGCGACGACCCCAGTCGCACTCTCATGGGATCCCGTCAAGAGAATTGGTTTTACGACTCCCTCAAGCAATCCCAGGACAGAGGCGCTCACTGGCGCATTGTCGGCAACCAAATTGTCTTCTCGCGGGTATTTGACAATGACAAGGGCGACATGAGCGGCGATGATTGGAATGTTCGTGTCCCAGCACCCCGTCGGGAGAGACGTGAGGGTATGCTGACTCGATTGTCATAGGGCTACATCGCCAACCGCAACCGCACTCTCAAGCACATTTTCGATAACCGAATTAGTAATAATATCTTCCTGGCTGGCGACAGCCATCAGAACTGGGTAGGTGGCCTACTTTGCCCGTGGCGATCCAGTCGGCAGATATGGTTAATGTGCTGACAACGGGTAGGTCTCTGACCTGGCGTGGCTCGGCACCAAAGCCTATGACAAGAAGACGGGCAGAGGCGCCGTCGGCGTCGAGTTTGCGGGCACGGCTGTCACGTCCACGGGCCAGTATGGTCCGATAGAGCCTGTCGCGGGCGACAGTGCACGAGGCATGATCAGGCGCAACGACGAGATGCAATGGCAAGAGGGCTACTACCGCGGCTACTTCATCCTACACGTGAGGCCGGGCCAGACGAGGGCTGAGTTTTACGGTAAGTCCGTCGCGCCATCGACCCCCGTGGAACCAAGGCAGGGGAGTCTAACACGCGTTTCTCGGGCCAAAGGTTCGCCGTCTGTGGCGACACGCAATCCGTGGGATCTCCCGCTCGCCAACTTCACCATCAGCGCCGGCCAGAACCACCTCGATCGGCCGGTGGCCAACGGCCGGGTGGAGTCGGGCGCGGTCCGGGACGGCATGGTCAAGCACACCAACCTGACGTTGAACACGCAGACGGGCGAATGGGCCGTGGTTGGATTCGAAAGGATGTATCTGTAGCGGCCAGGGAGTGAGTGGGAATGGTCCCTGACCAGCATCTGCATCCAGTCACAGCATCTTTCTCTTTTTGTACATGGTTGGCATTGCTATTCTTCTGTATGTAATGGAGCATTGGCTTTGTTATGCGCAGGTGGTGCTGCCTGGAGATGCATCTACACGGGCGAGCATGGGAAGGCGGCGGGGTTCAGCAACGGGCTCGAGGTGGAGGCGCAGCTGAAATGCCTACCGAGCCCCCCCCGCAACATGGCCATCATTATGAAAACCCCGGGTTGAGTCTCGGTATGTCTCATTGCCGGACAGTCCCTCCCTCGCTCGACATTCTGCTCCTCCCTCGACGCACTAAAATCGACCAGTGACGACGCACTTTGGCGCAGGAATCCTCGACAAGGTCGGGAAAGTTCCTGCTCGGGGCCGGCGGGGGAAACGACGTGGAGAGCTTTGGTGTCCGTGGAGGACGAGTTGGACCGCCGGCAAATGTCCGTTAGCAGCCGGTGCCGCCTGGCCGGGTTGCCCGAGCGCCCCACGGGATCACCGGCGCGGGCCCCCTGTAGCACACGTACAGTATAGCGCTGCCGATCCGCTGGGGAAGTGGGTGGCTCAGGCTCGGCTTGGTGGCTTGTAGCGGGGGGCCCGGCACTTCGGCATCTGCAGTGACGTCACTCCGAGGGTTCTGGACCCGCCAGGCGAAATCGAAGGTGCGCATTGTCTTTCTATCGATGCACGTGGCCCATTTGCCGAGGTACCGTACCTTGGTTGGCTGGGGAGCGGCTTAATTACGGCTTCATCTTACGGACTGGATGGCCATAATCCTACGAATATACCTCATGTCCATCCAAGGGCCGCCAGTCGACTGTACTCCTACCACCGGCTGCTCCAATTCCCCTTGCTTATCCCTGTCATCAGCCTATCGACTCAGCCTCCTCCACAAGTATCGACCAGCACAGCACGCCCTGCATCGCCGCCGAGCTCCTCGAACCCGGTCGAAGCGTCGCCGCCCCATTTGCTCTCGCCCTCGCCCTTCGCGCTGTACGCATAACCCCCCCATCACCCGGCTCGTCGGCGTCCCACAGAGGCCTCGTCCTCTAGACTTTCGAAAGCCCTTGCCAATTCCCTGCTGCAAATGGCAGGCGCTTCTCCAGACCCCTCCAATGGCGTCTCCCCCGAGTCTGCGGCGAGCCCGCAAAAGAAGCAGTCGTCGTCGTCACGGCACCTCGGAGCCCTCAAGCCGCCCACCAAGCAAGGCTCGTCCTTGAAGCGCAGCATCAAGCTGAAGCGCGGGCCGCCGGGGGGCTTTGACACGACGCCGCTGCCCGACGCGCCCCAGGGATACACGGTGCGCTTCTGCTTCCGCTGCGCCGCCAACCTGCCGCCCGCAGACTTCAACACGGCCTCGTCGGATCCCTACCTGACGGCCACGCTCAAGGCCTCCAACCCCAAGCGGCACAAGGAGGACCCAGACCTGACGCACCGCACAAAGACGCTGAGGCGCACCCTCGAGCCGGAATGGAACGACGAGTGGGTCGTGGCCAACGTGCCGCCCTCGGGCTTCATCCTCAAGTGCCGCCTTTACGACGAGGACTCGCGCGATGGAGACGACCGTCTCGGAAACGTCACCGTCAGGGTGCCCCAGATCTTCGACAAGTGGGATGGCTTCCCGCCGCCCGGCAAGGAGTTTGGCGCCAAGAAGCGCATGATCAGCAAGAAGGCGTACCTGCTCAAGGGCCTCGCCAGCTTGCTTCAATCGGACGCGCATATGACGCCCAGACTCACCATCAGCGTCGAGCTTCTCGGGCCCTCGGACCCGCCGCACGCGCAAATGTACACGCTGGGCCCGACGACGTGGGTCAAACACTTTAGTCCCATGATTGGGCGCATCGTCGGCACAAAGGTCAACGCCGACGAAAACGACGACGAGTCTGGGGGCTCGAACCGGAATGAGAAGCCCAAGAGCAAGAAATACGAGTAAGTGTATGCGCACTTTCATCCGTCAATAAGACTAATGCGACCCTGCTCCCACAGCTTCCAGGCCTGCGAGATGCAGCTGCAAGGGCCCGTGCCGCCGAAGCTCTATCACCGATACGTCGAGTTCAGGCCCGTCATAGCCTCCATGTTCTCCTCCACCGGACTCCGGGGCAAGATCCTCAACACGGCGCTGCACAAGCAGCACGAGCGCGTATACCATTTTGACGAGACGACCGAGCGAGGCACTTTTGAGCCGTGCTCAGAGCAGGCGACGCTGCAATTTCTCCGGCTCGCGCATTTCGACGAGGGCGGCAGGCTCTTCACCTACGTCCTGACCCTCGACGGCTTGCTGCGGTTCACCGAGACGGGCAAGGAATTCGGCATCGACCTGCTGAGCAAGCACACGATGCACTCAAACGTTGAAACCTACATTGCCTGCTCCGGCGAGTTCTTCGTGCGCCGGCTCCAGCACCCGGACGCGTCCGAGGACCCGGAGCCCCGTGAAAAGGTCCATCCGACCGACGATATCCCCGGGGGGCCACCAAAGGAAGCGCCGCCTCGCAACCCGGCCTACTACCAGCTCACCATCGACAACGACTCGGGGACGTATCGCCCGGATAAGTCGATCCTGCCGGATCTCAAGACCTTTCTGGAAAAGAACCTGCCGGGCCTGGGGATCGTGACGATGCACTGCGAAGACGAGGAGCTGCAGAAGCTCAAGGAGACGCAGCGCAACGTCAAGAAGAAGGAGGGCCGTATCGTCAACGTGGTCATGAATCATAGCCAGAGCAGCATTAGCTCGGCCGAGAGCGAGCTCGACAGGCGGGACGGAGCCTGGGAAGAGGGCAAGCAGAGCAAGAGGGAGGCGGCCTTGGCGGCGGTGGAAGATCCGTCCAAGATTAAGAATGCCGTAGGCAATATGGTGCCGCACGGGAAGAAGGGCGAGAGCAGCGGGGCTTGACGAGGACCACGACTCTACTCTCTTTTAGCTGCTGGTTTTTCCTTTTTTTATGACACGGTATGCCAGTCCTAGCAGGCCGTGGTGTAATGGCGACTGTGTTTGCAATGTGCTCTGGCTCCAATGTATATCCATGGGCGGCTCCACTGGGCCTTGTCTGATCACGCCTCTGCTCACCTGTGCCGCGAATTCACTGGCTTTGGCGAGACGCGAGAGTTGAGGGCCGGCTGAAGATCAGGCTCTCGGCGTTTGAAAAAGGGCCGATGGGGCTCGGCAGCAATCACAACCTACGTGCCTGGTTCAGCTTGCGCTGGCACGGCTCGTCTACCTTACATGTTTGATTTGAGAGCAACCCAGGTGCTCGTGGCGGATGCCAGAACCTTGCCGTCCGGCCCGGTCAGCTCACACTTCATATTTGTCTTTCGGCCCTGAATGCTCTCGACCCAGGCCGTGACACAGACCTCTCCCTGGACGGGGATAGGGCGGCGAAAGGTAATGTTGAGCGAGGCGGTGACGCTGGATGCGTCGAACAGGGCGTCAGCCTTGGCGAGGGCCTTGTTGAGCTCGTTGATGGTGCCGAGCGTCTCGTCCATCATGGTGGCGGCCATGCCGCCGTGCAGCAGGCCCTCGTAGCCGGACAGGCCATCGCCAAAGGAGAAGAGGGCGGAGACGCGGGCGACGGGGCGGGACGGGTCGCGCAGGTGGTGGGCATCGTCGGGGCGGAAGAGGCACAGCATGTGCCGCAGGGCGCGAGGGGCGTTTGCGAGCGTGGAGCCGACGAATTGGTCGTGGCGGTCCGAGGCGGGGTTGAAGCACTGCGGGATAAAGGGGATGACGGGGCTTTCTGTGCCTTTGCTGGCGGCGATGGCGGCCGAGGGGTTGGGTTGGCGGTGGGAGGAGGCGGCGGAGGCGACGGCGGAGGCGACGGCGGCGGCGGTGGCGGCGGAGGGAGCGTTTAGCAATAGGTCGGCGCACCAGGGGATCGAGGTAAAGTGCTGCACGGCCGAGTCGAAGAGGCGCGGCGGGGTTCTGGGCGGGATGAGATTGAGTGCTGGGCAGATGACGCGGTTGAGGGGCGTGAGGCTGAGAGAGGGGTTGCTGCCGCGGTTGTCTGGCATTTTGGTCGTGGGCTGGATCGCTTGGGGCGATTGCTAATGGCCTGTACCGGGCTGCTCGGGGCCTGGACGCTTCGTTTAATCCCGATTCCTTCTTCTCGCGAATCAGATGCCGCAAGCTTGTAGAGTCAGGCGTGATGATGAACTGATCATGTATGAGCCGAGGTTGCGGCGGGTGGATTCGTCGACGACTTCCAAGCGCCCCCTGCGGCCCTGCCTCCCCATCCCCTCACGTGCGATCCATCCTGATGGAATATCCGCCCCACTTCTGCGAATGAAGGAGGCAGAAATTTTTTGGGATAATAATGATGGATTATCTCTCTCGACGGATAGTTGAATCGAGTTGCCTGACGCAGCCCTCGCACGCCATGGTGGTTGCCTTGCTGGCCATGGCCCATCTGTATTTCCGTTGCTGCAACTTGCTGCAGGGTTGACTGGGGAGACATCGTGTGCCGTCGACGGGGAAACGGAGGTTGGTCACGGACATACTCACAGCAGACTCGAAGGAATTGCGGACTTTGCTCCGGCGAGGTGGTGCGTGCGGAGGGAGTTGTGCATAGGTGCCTAGGGCGAGCCTCCTTAAAAGGTTCGCGCGACCTGACATCCTGCAAGCAACATGCACAAACTAGATGCCAGTTTCCTAAAAAGAGAACCAACATGCCGCCTAGGAAGGTCACGCAAAGAGGGGAATGGCCATTTAAACCTAGGCTAAGTTAGGTGAGGAGGCTAAGAAGGCGCCAGAACAAATAACGGAGAGCTACGGGGGACAGATGCTGGAGATGCAGCTGCCAAGCACCGTTTTCAAAGAGCGGGTCAATAAGAATACTCGCTTGGTGGCGGTGCTCAGCTCTAAGTCGATCGGAGTCCAGTCGAATGCATCACCAAGGTCTCGGGGCTACTATACAAGCGTGCCGCAACTATCGCTTATAGGATCCCTGCGCTCCTCGGTTGTTACATCTAAAGGAACGGGGCCGTTCTTCACAAAAACGGTTTCACTGGTCGCGCAGAATCATGCTTTGCGAGCCGATTTGGCAGACAATTATTGGAGAAGCAACTTGTCCAAGCGCGGGCCTGGCTCGTCGCGTGGGGAAGCCCACGCCCATGGCAAAGCATGTCCAAAGGGGATCAAGGCAGCCTAGATATATGCAGGAGCGAAGGCCGATCGGCTCGCCTATCTAAAAGAATACTCATAGCGACAGAAGTAGCATGTGGAACATTGAAGCATACCAACTTAGTCAGGTTAGATGAATCAAAGAAAGTAAGCATAACACATCTAGCTACATATTGTATGCTTAATACCCCATCATGCATGCTACTTCGCTAGAATCCCAAGGCCTAAGATAAGTTAAAGACTAAAGAAGGAGAAAGAAAAAGGCCTTCTCTTAAAGAGAAAGATCTCTCTAACCTTATATAAACAGTTTCCTCCCTACTAATAGGTCGAGTCACACGCACCGAACGGGCTGTTTAGGGGGGCTGCACGCGCTTGTTGCACCGTTGGGAGCACTGTCTATAACTGACTGCTTGTCAAGAAGTCTGTCGTCTCCCCTTAGGCGCTTCCCAAGCCTCGCCTTAAACGCTTTATCGGGACCCTAGCAGCTTTATCTATAGACCCTATTGCCACTTATCTTCTCGAACAAGCGCTGTTTCACAGCTATCTGGGACCCGGAACTTTCGGTTAGAATCCTTCTCCCACTCTACCCTACCGTCCTCTTTAACCTTGATGTACTTGTACTCAATCTCGTCCCTTGGCTTGAGAGACACGGATCCCTTCCATAGAGGCCTTTCGGGGGTGTAGTCCTCGGGAGCAGTATGCAATGATATAGCTTCCTCCGTCTTCCAATTTTTCAAGTCGTCGTTGCTGCCAACAATCTTGATAGTGTCGCCGAACACGGTCGTCGCGAGGACGTTGAATTCCACCTTGCAGTCGCCACCCTTGGCCTGCGGACCAGATTCGGGTTCGACTCCGTTGGGCTTGATCGCCTCGAGACACTTTTCAAGGCCAAGCGGCTCCTCTGCGTCAGACCGCAGTTCCCCTTCATCAGATGGCCCGGCGAACCATTTCTTGGTTTTTGGGTCGTAGGCCTCGCCAGTGTTAAGGATGCACTTATCCCTAACTACTCGCTTATATTCGGCACGCGTCTTTCTCTTAGCCGCCTTTATTCTTTCGGTGCACTCTTTAATGTCTTCGTCTGACGGCTTCAAAGCCTCGGGCCTTTTAACCCCCGGACCGCCCTCTTGCGTCCACCACACGTCGTCCACTGGATCGTAAAGTTTGTTGTTATCGAGGACGCACCAGTCGCCATGGATGTCCTCAAGCTTGGGCACCTGCATCGTGTCGGGTGTAGCTGTCTCCGTACCGTTTTCCTCATTATTTTGAGTTGGAGTTCCCACCCGAATTTCGTTGTCATAACACTGCTTTCCTGTTGCTGGAGGTTCTTCAGGCACCCTGTACTTGCAATTTTCAAGATTTTCCGGATCGGGTGCGTTGGGCCGCTCCTCGAAATTGTCCGTCGTCCAGTTGAGATACATCTTGTCCGTTGGCCTATAATATTCGTAAGTGTCGAGCAAGCAGTAGTCGCCTTCCTTCCCGAGAGCTTTCGGGACTTTGTTCATGTCGCTGGGTTTGCCGGCTTGGGGGTTCTCCTGCTCGCTCTCGGGGCTCTCTTCGCTCTCGCCATCGTCCACCTTCTCAGAAATGCTGAGGAGCCGGGTGTGTGGTTCCCCGGCCTCGTTGAGAATCGGAATATCCAACTGACAGGGGCGCTGGAAATCAGTTGGTTTGCCGTTGGGAAATGAATCGAGTTTTCGGCAGATGCCAGAAACGTGGATAACAAAGGCCCAGGCCTCAAAGTGGCAGTGATAGCCGGCCTTGCAAGTCGTGGACACCCCAAAGCCCTTTGACGTCCATTTTCCGTCGGTAATTTGTTTGCTTTTCTGTATCGAATTTGAGATCTCTACGCCGGCCCTGCCGCCAACATCGCGGAGCGGGTTGTTTGATGGTCGGTTGTAAGACAAGTCGAAAGAGTGAGACGTCTGCGCCCCGACCGTCCAGCCTTCCGTAGAGGTCCCCACTGTCAACACTGTTTGGTCGGTTGTCAAAGGGGAGTCACGGGAGTCGATGGAGGAGTGCCCACGGCCTTGGGCAGACTTTTGAGTAGATACCGTAACATCAAGAGATTTGTTCAGAAGCCTCAACGGTCTTTCTGTGACGCTTCTCCATGCATCTATAGTGCGTTCGATATGATCTCGCTCAGGAGGTTTGTCCCAGTTGACGCAGTACTTGCGTGCCAGTTCAGACTGAAGCCGTTCTCGAATAGAACTCACAGCGCGACGGTCGTTCGCTCCGAGGGCTTGGGCCTCGGGCAACTCTTCAGGAATGTATATGATACTGGTATCTGGGTTTCCGTCTTCTCTTGTAATCGGGGCGCGTATCTTGCAGGGAGATCCATCGCAATATCCGACAATCTCAACATGATAAGTCCAGGACTCAAAACGACATTCATGGAAGCCGTCACAGGTCTCTTCTCGCTTTTGGATGGCAATCTTGTATGACGCCGCGCCTTTGGAAGTTTCGTCGGAGCGAGAGGTGCTTTTTGAGATGGAAAAGGACAAGGGCCCCAAGTTTGCAGAACCGGATCTTGTCGTCTGGGCCGTAATGCTCGAGCCATCTGTAACATCCCTAAAGGTTGCCGTTGACTCAGAGATGGAGAACGTGTCGCTGGTGTTGCCAGTGTTGATGTAACTATGCTCTATGTAGCGTTCAATATAGACATTGACTTTGGGAGGAGAATTGAGGTCTAATGTCCTGCCGTCTGGTGAGGCCGGGGGGTTCTTGTCGTCGATTTTGTAACCTTTTTGCAGTCGATTTATGCGATCCCTAGCCAGAGCATCCACGTCCAGAGCAATGGCGGAAACGGCAAGCGAGGAAGAGAGGATGGCACTGAGCAACATTTTGGAATGGTAAAGGGGGCCAAGGAGTGACAAGTAGGTTATGGGTATGCCGACAAGATGCTGCGAGCTCCATGATATGGGCTCTCTAAGTCTTCCTGATCGTGATCACGTGGCGCGGTCATATCCTCCGCGCCATGCGCCGCCTCTGAGTCGACTCCTCTGAATACGGAGTGGTGGTCCAGGGTCTAAGCGGCTGACGATATTTGTTGCCTCGAGTGCATGATGGTGGCGGAGCCGTTGGTCGTGCCACTGCCAAGAAGTACGCTAATGCATAGCCAGCCTAGAGACACGACCTTAGATCCACTGGAGTGCATGATTAATACCAGCCGTTCGGTTTGGAAAGTCTGGGGTGTGGGCCCTACGGTCAGTTTAGTGATCATGGAGGCAAGTAGTCAGGCATAGCCCATTAGTGCCACATTTATTAGTTCAGATTAGAACATATCCGCTATGGCAGAAGCAGTAGATGACCAGGACTGGACGTGCTCGTCCATCATCCTGGATACAACACTTGATAGCCTGCCCACCCATGTCAGGCCTTGCTTGCTGGCGCCATGCTCGTGAGCCATTTGTACATTCAAGGCACCATTCCTGGGTTTTCCGACTTGTGCGTTAGCGCCGAAGAATCTGACTCGACTCTTCTATGGCATGCCCCAATGCGCTGGCGGGGACGAATCGGCGAGAGATGTTCCGTACCCCAGATGTATAAGGCCAAGGGGAGGGGGGAAGCTTATTGTCGAATAATTCATGTCGTTCGCACAGCCACTGGAGCGTCCTAGCTTTTGATCGTTCGTGGAGCGTTTTCCCAGCTTGACAATTGTCCGTTCAACTAAGCCGCGACTGTGTCTCCCTCGTGAAAGAGGCAGTCACGTCGAACAAACAAACCACTTGATCGGGGAAGGTCAGGCACGCTGGGTCGTAACGCTTCACAGCAGCCTTCCTCGTTGGCACGGCGAGGCGTGCGGTGCCAAGATCAACGTCTCAGTCAGTGTGCATAAAGACATCGCAACCCCCATAATTCATCTTCTCATGTCCACACCATGATGCCTGACCAGCTGCCACGATATCTCGAAGGCCTCAGCCGTACGGAGAGTCGTAAGTTAATATAATGCAAATCATGCGATGCCAGATTGATCATTTGCTGCGACTCGCCATGCCGTCCACCACTGCCCCGTCCCCGGCACATTCAAGATCGTAGACCTTGAGCACATGTGTTTCGAGTCAAGGAAAAACATGCCGGCGCGCCTGAATCGACTAAATCATTCATCATGCGAGAGATTGGGAATCTAGGCGTCTTTTTGTTTGTTGGGCTGGACCTGGTGGAGTGCTTGCTCGTATGGACTTCCCAGAGTCAATCTGAAGGACGGCGCAGCGAAGACGCGGTCAGGAGCTGTATATAAACCACCATTGCCACCCCCTAAGAATCCTCAGACAAGTTATAGCCTCACAACGCAGCAATTGCCACCCCCTAAGAATCCTCAGACAAGTTATAGCCTCACAACGCAGCAATTCCAAGCAAACCTCGGACAATCTATCCTCAGTGCAACTCTATACACATCTCTTTATCAGTACCTCAACAAAACTCTCATAACCATAACCATGAAGTACGGACTCTTCGCTATTATGGCCTCATCTGCCATCCTTCTTCTTCTCACGCCTAGCGGTTGCGAAGCAGCGCCCGTTCGCGGGATCGGCAATAGTAGGATCACACCTAGTCATAGGTCTAAAGCGAGTGTTCCCCAACCACCCAAACAGCCTCCCAAGCAGCCTCCCAAGCAGCCTCCCCAGCCACAAACTCCCAAAGCGGGAACATCTGCGGGTGGCGACAAGCACTGGTGGCAGACTGCTCAGAAAGAAGGTCTCTCGGGGGTGAATAAGGAATTCGGTACGAGTGGCGTTAAGGATAGATGGGGATCGTAAATAGAGGTCCCTTTTATTAGGTATTCACCACATTGTTTAACGGGCTAAAGTGCACTATGGGAAATCCCAGGTGTTACTTGCTTTGCCCCTCCAAAGAAGAACGTGGGAAATCCGGGACGTTTTATAAATACTAGAGCTAGCAATAAAAACACCTTTACATAACTTATAAATCTAGTGTAGAAGTGCTCCTGCCTGCCATTGAGTAACTTCGTTAACTTTATTCTTTTATAACTAATTATTGCTTGTACTTACACAGTTCAATTAAAGTATTCAGTAATAATATCGGCTTGAAAAATAGGCAATGACAATGCGCGCCGAACCACTTTGCTACGGACGCCGCCTAACGGACGCCGTGTGGCTGATTCATTCGTCAGCCACATCATGTCTAACACGGACGGGTACAGGTTCTCGTATTCGTTGCATGGAACAGGAGACCGGCCCCTTCCAGGATCCGCCAATGCCTTGAGGAACGGGACTGGAGTATTCAGTTTGGTTTTCGCATTTTCGCGCTGATAGGTCTATTGAGAAGATAAGGCTGGCTCCCGATAGTGTGCCTGCTTGGACGCCATTTTACCCCGTTATAACACGGCTGGGGTTGAAGGCGGGGTAAGGACGCAAAGGAAAATTTTAAGGAGCCTTTAAAGTACAATAAAGTTATTAAGAATCGACCTAATGCCTCTAATTAAGTATTACTATTTGCCTAAGACTAAATCTCTATTCGGCTAAGAGTCTCTTAAAATCCCATCGTTAAATTAGCCGTATTACGCCTTAGTTATACTCGTCTTATACGTCGCTCTCACCTCGCGTAGGGGATAAACCCCTATAGTAGGGCCCCTCCCTAAAGGGGACCCCTCCCCTACTACCTCGGGCGCTCGAGTACGCCATTTCGTAGTTAGAGCAGTCTAGAGATTTTTTATTATTATTATTTACCGTAAAGGAAAATATAAAAGATAGTATATATAAGATACTAGGGGCGATGTTATAGTACCCTACCTACTTACTAGTATTAGCCGAATAAAGATTTAGTCTTAGGTAAATACTTCTTTAATTAATTACTTAAAGTAAGCTAATATTAATACCGATTAAGAGCTAGATATATTACCCTAGTAAGTGCTAGCGGTGAAACTTACCCCGCTGCCTATATAATTATACCTTTCTAGTATTAGATATATCCTATTTAAAGGAAATATATACTAACTTAGGGTAAGTTAAAGCTATTATTATTAAATATAAGGCCAAAAAAAATTCAGTTTCCCTTTAGTTTACTATTATAATCCCGATAAATTATAATATGTTTTTATAGTTAGTTGTCATGACCCCACCTGTCAGAGGGAGCAGACTGACGGTCTAATCCGCACACGTATAAACTCCGGTGAAAGAGGCAGGTCAGACACAAGGACTTGAGTCAGGTATCGATACAGTAGAGGAACATTGCCCTAATCGGGATACACGGGAATTGGCACTGATTCAGGGCCACCACGGGTCCCAGATTGGTATCTATTCGTATAAATACCCTCAATGTCGCACAGATAGATAAAAACATGCATCATCGTTTGGACTCAATTGTGCCTGCCCTTATCCTTCCGCCCGCGCTCTCAGCTTGCTGAGAGTTATGAGCCCGGTTTGCGGTGCTCTTTATCCTTCGCATTCCTCTACCAACTGTGAGGCTATCACGAATCTCAACGCACCATATATCCTTCACCCTTGGGGTTGACGCGAGGAAGAGAGCAAAATTCAGGGCAACACCCACAACTACGCAGAGTCAACGTGACGCGTGCATCCCTTCATCACCGCACTCAAGGAAAGCCTTGACTGGACCCCATGGATTAGGGGTATCAAATCATGGGCTCAAACGCACCACATCTGGGAGTACGTTAACCCAGAAGGGACCGTGGTGCTCGAGGAGCCCCTGAGGCCTAGCTGGGAAGAGCTACTCGAGAAGGTAGGGCAGAGGCCCCACCGAGGAAGCTTTCCCAACGAAGAAAATAAGTATAAGGCAGCAAGGGAAGACTTCAATGAGAAGCTTCAAGATGCCAAGGACCTCTTTAGGTACAAAGAGAAGACCTTCCAGGATCAATTGGACCGCTTCAAGGCTAGAGAAAAGCCATGATGCAGATCGAGGAGGTGATCAAGAAGTCCATCAGTGAGGGGCTCCAGGGCGAGACCCTGATACAGCTGACGCCCCGGGACAAGATCAAAGAACTCAAACAGAAGGTTCTCCTCAGCGGAGGAAGAAAAGAACCTTATCGATGAAAGGTATCATCAAATCATCAACAAGAAAGGAACCCGGGACTGGAAGGCCTGGGTAGAGCAGCTGGACCAAGTCATCCTGGATTCAAGAGACCTAGCGGTCTCGACTATTAATGACACAAAGATTCGTCAGGACTTCCTCAAAGGGACCGAAGAATGGGACCCTAGCTGGCCCATGACGATTAGGCTGCTGGACGCACTCCTGGAGAGAACAGGACTCCCAGCAACCCCTTTGCGCACCCTGATTGCCGACTTTAAAAGGGAGGTTGGATTCAGGAAGAAAGGGAAACCTCAGAAGACCCCAGGGGTCAACAACGCAAACAACGCTCCAAGATCATCTGATCAGAGGACTAGGAATGGCCCAGAGGGTCACACAAGTGCCCGGCATGTAAGCAACACTGGGTCAAAAGGATGAGTGGTGGGAAAGCTGCTGGACCTTTAGAGCGATGTTCCAGAAAGACCCCGAAGGATGGATTCCCAGGGACCACCTTAAGGAGGCCATCAACCAGCACCTTAAGGAGAACCCTTGGACAAGACCAAAGCCATGGAGTGGAAGCCAAAAGCCAAAGACATCACAGTCCCGCAGAATAACAACAACTCGAGCAAACAGGCTAATACAGTGTCGCACGTGCATAGCACTAATACGAGTGAAGACTCTCTCGAGGACAAGGCCATCTATGATTCAGGGGCTAGCGTACATGTCTTTAACGACCTACGATGGTTCGATGAGGATACCTTCACCTGGGGATCGTCAGAAGAAGTCCGGGCAGGAGAAAACTCCCAAGTCAAGGGGTAGGCATGGCCGTTATCCCAGTGAAAAACGGGATCAATTTGAAGCTTGAGAGCAGCTACTACATCCCAGAGATGCCAACAAGTGTGTTCTCAGCTCGTCAGGGATTGTTGCGAAGATCTATTGGAACCAGGTTAACGGCACACTCTACCATGAGCCCACAGGGCGCACTCTGGTCAGTCTGCAAGAAATTGAAGACCAATACGTTATTGCAAGCCTCTCAAAGCGGCCCCAACACAGCGTCTTTGTCACAAGCAGGGCTCCTAAGCCACCAATGGGTGGGCAAGCAGACCTTTGGCACAGACGGCTAGGACATCCGGGGCCAGAACCCTTAGCCACCTAACCAAGATGGGGACCGGCCACGTGTGAATGCGAGGTCTGCGCAACAGGCAAGGCAAAGAGGCAGGTCTCCGTGAGGAGCCCACTTTACGACCCAGAGGGGCCGGAGCTCAATTTAGCTTCGACTTACACCCAGGCCCGGTGGCCGGATTCGGGGGTGAAAAGTACTTTGCGCTCTTCACATGCATAACGACCAGGATGAGGTTTTATTACGCGTTGAAGAGCAAAACCGAGGTCCGAGATGCCTTCAAGAAGCTAACATCAATGCTAGAAACTCAGTACGGGATAAAACTGATCAACCTGGCTTCTGACGGAGAAAAAGCCCTTCTAACAAAGGAGCTAGTCAAATTCATCGAAGGATTGGGCATTCGGGTCTTCCAGTCAGCTCCATCCACGCCCACGCAGAATGGGCATGCAGAAAGGTCCGGGGCCGTGGTCAAAGAAAGGGCCCGGCTTATGAACCTGGACTCCCGCATCCCGGAGGAGCTCTGGACCGAGACCTACCGCACAGCAGTGTATTTGCTCAACCGTACGCCACTTAAAGGATCTGATCATAGCTGGAGAAGCCCACACGAACGATGGTGGACCTATATGAGGGACCACAACCCTCTATACGGCCACATCAAGCGAGTCCAGCCGAGCATAAATCACCTGCGTGTCTTCGGCTGTGTGGCCTACCCAATGACAATCACTGCGTTGGAGCATGTAAAGTCACATAAGACGCAGTCCCCGCTTGAGCAGAGAGCTCATATCGGTTACCTGGTGGGCTACAGATCGACCCATCAATATGTCGTGTGGATACCCTCGATCCGCCAGACCAAACTGATGGTCTCGGCGAATGTACAATTTGATGAGTCAACAATGTACGATCCGAAGAGGGAAGAAGACGCGGAAGCCTTCCAGGTCTATACATACGATGTTCTTCGTCAAATGGTGGCGATAGACGTCCCTGACGACGAAGACATAGAGGAAGCAGGAGTGCGCAATTACTCCGATGATGAGACAGATGACGGAATGACGCCGTACACCTCGGAGTCAATTGCGGCACCCTCTGCAGACGAGGCGACACAAGAAGCACCGAATTTGAAGACTTCGATGAGGGCTACAACGGACAGTGCCTATATTTCGCCTCCAAGCACTTCAAACAGTAGGGTGGAGGAAGAAACCTCGCCCTCCCCACCAAGCTCTGTCACCACTAGCGTGACCCAGCAGGAGGTCACACACCACGGAGTCAGGACCCGGAGGTGGAAAACTCAAGCATTATCTCGAGCCCTACGCGGACCGACCCGGAGCCTCAGGTATCATTAGGCACGCCGATCCTAGACGTATTGAATGAGCGATTGAATGAGCCGCCTGTCGATCCGGGGTGGTGCGCTCGAAGAGCCACAATGGTCAGAATTCGAGGAGCTGTCTCTGGGGGTGGGAGAGCCCGACCCCAGAGTCACAATCACAACCTGAAAACGACCCCGCAAGGCGAGGGACAAGTCTCAGGGATAAACCCGCCAATGTGCTTGAGGGCAAGAGACAGAGGAAGCCGAAGAAGGCCTTCATCAATAACATCATTGCTAATGCCTCGAAGCACAGGCTTCACGTTGAGGATATGCCTCCTGTGCCAACCTCCTTTAAAGCCGCGATGGCTTCGGAATACGCCTCCCAATGGATAATGGGGATGGGGCGTGAAATTGAGGACCAGATGAAGCTCGAAACGTGGACCAAGGTGGCCAGAAAGATGGTTGAAGAAGCCGGCCACTTCATAATCCCGTTGCGATGGGTATATGCATATAAACTGGATGAGCAGGGCTACGTCACTCGCTTTAAAGCCCGACTTGTGGTCCGTGGAGACCAGCAGCCGGAAGACAACGAGGACACATACGCGGCCACACTACGAGCAAGAACCTTCAGAGTGTTAATGGCCCTCTGCTGTCTTGAAGACCTTGAAACAGAACAGTACGATGTGAAAACAGCGTTTCTGTATAATAAGCTCAAGCATGCCATCTATTGTCAGATGCCACCAGGCTACCTTGAGCCTGGGCTATGCTTGAAGCTTCTCAAGGGACTATACGGGCTTCGAATCGCTCCAAGGCTGTGGTTTGAGGAGCTCTCGGCTTCTTCAAGAAGCTGGGCGCTCAACAACTCGTCGAAGATGCCTGCGTGATGACTTATAAAGGAGTCATCATCTTCTTCTTTGTGGATGACATCGTGATGATGTATCCAAAAGAAAAGAAGGCCGAATGGGAAGAACTTCACGCTGCCATTATGAAGGAATATACCATCAACCACATGGGGGAACTTCGCTGGTTCCTAGGGATTGAAGTCATCAGACAAGCCTCGTATCTCTCGAAGATGGCCAAGAAATTCCACATTGAGGACGATGATCAGATCCTTGGCGTGCCCCAGATCCCGATAACGACCGAAGAGCTCAAGCCATACGAGAAGACGGCTACTAGGGACGAGGTTCATCAATATCTCTCTAATTGGCTCAATTCTTCACCCAGCGATTCACACCAGACCCGACGGTGCGTTCCCGGTTGGAAAACTGGCACAATTCAGCCATAACCGGGCCCGAAGCATAGGAGAGAGGCCAGGAGATGCCTGGCATACCTCTATCACACGAGAGATCGCTGCATCTGCTTCTCAGTCAAAGAAGCTGAACGCAGGTTCCTCTGCGCTTCTGATTCATCCTTTGCAGACAACCCGGAGACTCGAAAATCCTCACAGGATATGTCTTCTTGTTTCTAGGCGGACCCGTTGACTGGAAGGCTACGAAACAAGCGACTGTGACGACGTCGTCCACAGAGGCCGAATTGCTGGCCCTGTCAAGCGCGGCGAAGGAGCAAATGCAATTTTCCCGGCTAATTAAAGAGCTTGACATCAAGGTAGAAGGCACCAATGAGCTATGGTGCGATAACCTGCAGACCATCAGGCTCCTGACTGAACTAAGCGCAAAGCTCAAGACGAACCTTAAGCACATCGATATCCATCGTCACTGGCTTCGACAGGAGGTTCAGGAAGAAAGACTCCAGATCACATGGATCAAGTCTACGGAGAATCCCGCTGATGGAATGACAAAGGCCTTCCCAGCAAAAGCACGAAGCTTTTGTCAAGCAGCTAGGGATGCAAGGGAGACCGGTGGCACCAATTGAAGCCGATGCGCCGGAGGACAGTTTCGACAGTATCACCACCCAGAGAGATATAGATGCTCCGAGCATCACCCAGGCACGGGATGGACCCATCATTTTGCTGGTATTGACTTGTTAAAATGCTCCTGGTCACAACACCAAGGAAGACATCATGAAGAGCATCTCCTCAACGGTAGTAGCCTCACTCGCTGGATATTTGATAAGATTGGATGATTCGTCTGTCTCTTTTGCTTGTTTGCCTCACTCACCCAGTGAGACCGAGGCAAAGGGGGTGTGTCAGAGGGAGCAGACTGACGGTCTAATCCGCACACGTATAAACTCCGGTGAAAGAGGCAGGTCAGACACAAGGACTTGAGTCAGGTATCGATACAGTAGAGGAACATTGCCCTAATCGGGATACACGGAATTGGCACTGATTCAGGGCCACCACGGGTCCCAGATTGGTATCTATTCGTATAAATACCCCCTCAATGTCGCACAGATAGATAAAAAACATGCATCATCGTTTGGACTCAATTGTGCCTGCCCTTATCCTTCCGCCCGCGCTCTCAGCTTGCTGAGACCACCATAGCAAGATCCGGAGGGAGATGCAAGCTGCCAGGGAGGGCTCGAGTTGAGACGAGACTTTATCAGGATTAGCGGTCAAACGGGCTGAGCTACAATGCATGGAGGAGATGGCTATCGCTGAGATGGAGAGAAAGGATGAGGAGCACCGAATGCTTGCAGAAAAACAGGTGGAATGCCTCCTTCCGCCCTCTGTGGACTCCTTTTCGACAGCCACTAATACGGGGAAGGAGGTCGTAATGGTACTAGATTAGACGGATGCAAAGAATGAATAAAATGAGGAAGACTACACGGATATAGCAATTTTGCACCGCTGTCTTCAATAACAACTCGTGTCCGCACACACGAGTCACGAGTTTGTGATGATGCAGGACAGATGACACATCTCAGACATGCTCTCACCTAGACCGGGCGGGATAAATTCACTTATCGCTTGCACGGCCGTCTGAGGCACAGTTTCTGCAGCCCTCCTCTCACGCTGCAGAGACAGAGATGCCTGGCTCACCCAGCCGCGCGACGCGGGGGTCGCGCGATTGGCCGGAGCGGGGAAGCCAACTGCGCATTTTCCTAGGTTGCTGAGAGAACGATCTTTGTCTGTGATTCAGTGATTGAATTTTTTTTCCCTTGCTCCGCTCGCCAGCTGGTTGGCAGCCAGTGGCCGGCCACCTTGGGCTTCCTTCCTCGTCAGAGTCTGCCCCGTTACGGCTCTTCTTTCCAATCACGTGCACCCCGGGCAACTCTTCGCCTTTTGGGCTGCTTCATAGGTTCATCCTCTCAACCTCTCGCCAACGAGCAAGCATCTTTACGACCTGGCATCTGTGATCCGTCTACCCGCACGCGGGCCTCGTTGGCTTCTACGGCCCGTCGTCGTCACAAACATGCACGGCCAGGACGCCTCGCATGGCGGGCACGACTCGAGCCTCACCCCGGATGAGATCAAGACTCTCATTACCATTGAGCGCACCGGCGCCGGCCTGTCCATGGTCGCCATCGCCCTGACCCTCCTCAGCTTTGTCGTCTTCAAGAAGCTCCGGACGACCCCCAACCTCTTCCTCGTCTTTGCCTCGGTGGCCAACGCGGGAGCCAGCGTCGCGTCCATGATGGGCTACGATGGCCTCCGCCAAGGCCAAGACTCTGCTCTCTGCCAGGCCCAGGCTTTCATCTTCGAGTGGTATGTCTGAGCTAGGTCCCTGTCCTCGATAGCCCGCGCTTCGTCGCTGACTAGAGATTGCTCGCAGGTTCATGCAGTCCGATCCGTGGTGGTCCTTTGCCATGGCATTTAACGTCTACCTCGTCTTCTTCTACAACGCGGATCCGGCTTCCTTCAGAAAGTACCTCTGGGCCTACTGCCTTGTTTGTTTCGGCGGCCCCATGATTCCGGCCGTCGTCCTCATCGCCATCCGTGGAGACCCTCGTGGCCCCATCTACGGTGACGCAGCGGTATGTCGTGCCCACACTCCTCTCTTTAAGCGTCGTCCGCTCAGACGGCTAACTTGGACGCAGCTCTGGTGTTGGATTGGCCCAAGTTGGAGCCTTGTCCGCCTCTACTCGTATTACATCCCCATTTGGATTTGCATCCTCCTCTCTTTTGTGATTTACGCTGCAGTGGGCTACCAGGTCTTCCACCATCGGAACCAACTGCTCAGCATATCGCTCCATAACAGGTTTGGTGCGAAAGACCAAAGAGAGCCATCGAGAGCGGGCAGCGGCGGCGGCGACTCTGCTGAAGAGGCATGGCCCCCTCACCCTTCCTGTTTCCTCTGGAGATCACGAGTACTGAAACCTTCTCACAGAGCCTCACTCGACGACAGGACGTGTATGGAACGGTGATTACCGAAGTCCAGGTTACCTCCGCCCTGCCGACCCTCGACTTCGCGCCCTCGGCCGCGGCGCCCATCCGGCACACTTCGGGAGGCCTCCCATATAGCTCGTCTTGGACGTCGGGCCTGCACGGGGACAGCTCCAGCTTCAGGCACAATCCTCGTCACCAGTTCGAAACCATTTGCTCGTCCGACAGCCCACGTCCTCAACGGTACAACCTTCTCGGCCCGATTCGGGCCGCTCTGGGCGAGGCTTCGTTGAAGCTCAAGCGGCTGGACCCCGTTAAGATGGCCTACCTGCGCACGAGCTTCATCTTTGGTTTTGCCGTGCTAATCACCTGGATTCCGAGCTCGGTCAACAGGCTGTACAGTCTGGCCAACGGCGGCCGAATCAGCTTCAGCCTCAGCGTCGCCAGCGGATGCGTGCTGCCTCTGCAGGGTGTCTGGAACGCCATCATCTATCTCACGACGAGTTAGGGCATCTTTCGTGAGGAGTTGAAGGCATTCACGGCCAAGAAACGAGGCAGGCGCACTTCGTATCGAGGAACGTCGCGCCTGGAGAATAGGTGGGACATCCCGAGAGCGAACCGTCGAGGCATATTTGACAGAACTCACAACCCCAGGGTCACTGTTCTCGGTGTCGACTCCCATGAACTGAATCACTTGGAGATTCCCCGGAGTATTCATCGAATAAATGAGTCTCCCCGATACTCCATCTGACGATGCCTGTTCCTGTCGTGTGCACAGGTGCAGTCGGATGCACTGGCTTTACAGGGCGGAAGGGTAATTAGCGTTCTGACCAGTAGTGTCCGCGACCCCCTGTTTCGCCCGACCAGTTGATGGGAACTCTGAGGGTGCGGTGATGGGATGATGCCCAGGAAGGATGGATATACAAGGATTTGTTTTCATCAAATGGAGAGCAACAGCTTTGTTCGTGGCTGAATCTTTTCCTGCTGACTTCAAGACGGAGCCAAGATGAATAACGCAGCTGTTCACCGTAAAGCGAAGAGAGAGTAGCATGTGCCATTTGCAGAGTTCACGTCGGCTGTGATGTTCTGATACTTTTTCATACCTGAGGGCTGCGACTAGGATCCATGGACCGACTCTCCTTCAGAAGCATCGATGCCAGCCTCGACAGCTCGTTTGACGGCCGTGTTGACGTCCTCACCTCCGTCGAGCAGATCCAGCCAGCAGTTCTTGACTCCATCGGCCCCGAGCAGCGCCGCCACCGTCTCCGCCACGGACGCCCTGCTGACACCCCCTTTGACGTGTGCCGTCTTGCCCAGCTCCACCTTTCCAGCAGGCTCACCCGTCAGGGTACCGGGGCGGAGGCAGATGCCGACGAGGGAGGCACTCTTCCTGGAGGCCTCGTACAGGGCCTCGTCAGCGATAATCTTGGCCTTGTAGTAGGTTGCCAGAACGCCCTGGTTGACGGACTTGTTGTAGTCGTCCCACTCGCCTGCGGGCCACCAGGAGGCGCCGGCGCGGCGGGAGCCGGAATAGGAGACGAGGAGAAAGCGGGTGATGGAGGGACGGGAGGCGGAGGCGTGGATGAAGTGGACTGCGGCGTCGCGGTCGACCTTGAAGGTCTGGCGGGAAGTGGAAGGGAAGCCGTTAGTGTCTGTGGCGAATGCGGATGGAGGTTCCAGATATGAATGGTGCCAAGGGACACGGTCATACCATCTCAGGACCACCCTTGCCCCCAGCTCCTATATGATGGTCAGTCTCAAACACCACATGCGTCTATGTATGACTCCAAGAGGACAAGACATGAACAGATGCGGGGACGGCTCACCGGCGCTCCAGGCCACGTACTGCGGCTTGACCTCGTCGAGAATTTCTCCCGCGCGTTCGGCGGAGTCGACGGCGTCGATGCTGCGGACGAGGACGTTCAGCTTGCCGGGCAGGCCGGCGCCGAGCTTCTCAATGGCCGGGACCTGCTCGGGGGCGCGGATGAGGCTGGTGACGGTCCACGAGCGCCGCAGCAGCAGCGGCGTGAGCAGCTGCGCGATCTGGCCGTGGCCGCCGAGGATGAGGACGTGAGCGGTCATGCTTTTGGGGCTGACGAGGATGAGGCGGGGCAGATTTGTCTCGGGAGGCTGCAGTGAGGGCGAGAATCAAGTTGGGGGAGTTGCGAGGTCTTTTAGGACGGATGGTTGAAAGCATATGATGTAATCTGTGGCTTTATAAGCAAACTGTTGGTTATAGCACACAGTCACACACTAAGTTAGTAATGCAGTTGCGGCGGTTGGTGCCGGGCTTGCCGGGCTTACCGGCACAATGGCACGGTTGCAATATTGAGGCCCTGAGGTAACCACGAGTAACATCTACTGTAGAAAGGCTTTAGCCTATTCCTGCAATTAACGCTTCTACCCATACTAGCGGATTTCGAACAAGCCCTCTGTTTTGTCCTGCTCTTTAGCTTCTTCTCCTCAAGCCTCTTCGCTTGCTTGTTGAAGGGAAACTGATCTAATGCAAGCCAGCTAATTACGGCAACGTCTTTATAGGAACTGCTCTTTCCAACTACGAATCTTTTCGCAGGCGAAACAGCAAGCAAACAGTCCGCCTCGTAGCTGCACAGATGGGTATTCTTGAGGATCGCCTTTACCGCACTGGCATTCGAAACGGCTGACTTCTTCGAATGGCGATATAAAGCACCGTTGAAGTCACCAACCCTCAAAGCGCGAAATTATGAGATGAATGCGCTTCAGGGTCTCACGTTACCTGCCTTGGTTAAGCGGCTGGGCCTTTAGAAGTACTCAGCCTCCTCAGAGCCGAGGCAAGAATCCATCAATTCAGCTACCTTGTCATCATCTGGCTATGTGCAGTAGGGCGAGACCAGTGCCGGTGATTTCCGAGTGCTAGTCCTATGTGGACGTATCCCTGGCCGGCTTGGAGTCACGTTTATATTGCGACAAGTCAGCTAGCTAGATTGATACTTAATCCTCGTGCCATTGTCCTGAAAAAGAAAACAGAAAAGGCTCATTCGCGCAGTAATATATAGCCCAATCACAATCATGATTCAAGTGCGGCGAATCACGGGAAAATCCCTACCCGTTTACGGCGTAACGATGGCAAATTCGGGATCGCCTGGGTCGAGCAGGGCAGCAAGACGGCTGAGCGTTGTCGTGTCACCAGTAACCTCGATGCCCGCTTTCTCAAGTGCCTCAGGATCAAGCCCGGACACCGCAATTGCAGGCAGCGTGCGGGATGTCGCTGTAATGGTCGCGTTGGCGCTGGTCGACCGGACAGACTTTGCGTATACGAGCGCGCCGTTGGAGAGCCACAGGCGATAGCGGTAGGGCTTATCGGTGAGGACTATGTTAATTGAAAGTTGCTCATGCCAGGCTTTGGGGCCGTCAATCTGGATGGCGAAGGAATCAAAGAGCATCTCGGGCGTGAGCTGGGCCATCACGTCGGCCGAGGCGGCGGCCGTTGGCGTACCAAAGTTGCCCTCGCGCAACTCGGTCGTTCCCGACATGAAGAAGTTCCGCCAGGTGCCGTTCTCGGCTCCGTAGCCCAGCTGCTCGTAGGTATCAGCCAGCAGATTTTGCACGTCCAAGTTGTCGGGCTTAGCAAAGATGGCGTGGTTGAGTATCTCCGCTGCCCAACGGAAGTCGCCATTATTGAACGCCTCGCGGGCCTTGCTGATGATCTTGCCTATGCCGCCAATAAGTTCGACGTAGCGTTTAGCCCTTTCGGTGGGTATGTGCTCCCACAAGTGTGCCGGGTTGCCGTCGAACCAGCCGATGTAGCGCTGATAAACGGCCTTTACGTTGTGACTGACCGAGCCGTAATAGCCTCTGGCATTCCAGGCCTTCTCGATAGCCGGAGGTAGAGTCATCTGCTCGGCAATCTCGGGGCCACTGAGTCCCTTGTTCAGCAAGCGCAATGTCTGGTCATGCACGTATGCGTAGAGGTCACGCTGGCAGGTGAGGAACTGGACAACTCGGTCGGCACCCCAAGTCGGCCAGTGGTGAGAGGCGAAGATGACCTCGGCCTTGCCGCCGAATATGTCAATCGTCTCGGTAAGGTAGCGAGCCCAGCCATGGGGGTCGCGAACCACGGCTCCGCGTAGCGTCAACAGGTTATGGAATGTGTGGGTGGCGTCCTCTGCCGCACACAGAGCCTTGAAGCGGGGGAAGTAGATGAGCATCTCAGAGGGCGCTTCAGTATCGGGCGCCATCTGGAACATCATATCAACGCCGTCAACCTTTCTTTCCTGGCCAGTCTTGGTGATCTCGTCGGTTGGCGCAATAAGCGTGACCGTTCCGGTAGAGAGTGTCTGTCCCAGTCCGGCGCCAATCTGGTCCCGCGGTCCGCGGCGAAGAGCGGCGCCGTACATATATGCGGCACGGCGGCTCATGGCAGTGCCCGCATACACGTTTTCGGATACTGCATGTTCGAGGAAACCTTCGGGCGCAAAAATCACGACGGCTCCGGAGTCGACCTCTTCCTGAGAGACAAATCCCTTGACCCCGCCGAAGTGATCAGCGTGGGAGTGTGTGTAGATGATAGCCTTTACAGGTCTCGGGCCACGATGCTCTCGGTAGAGAGCAAGAGCGGCTGCCCCGGTCTCAGCCGACGTGAGAGTGTCTATGACGATGACGCCCTCGTCACCTTCGACAAAGGTGGTGTTCGATAGGTCAAGGCCTCGCACCTGATAAATGCCCTCGACAACTTTGAAGAGGCCGGCGATGGTGTTTAGCCTCGACTGGCGCCACAGGCTTGGGTTGGCCGTGTCAGGGGAGGACTCTTCCAGAAACTTATAACCATCATTATCCCACACGATCATACCATCTGCGTTAGTGACGGTGTTTGGTTCGCGCCGGCCGATAAATCCCCTCGACGCATCTTCAAAGTCTTGCTTGTCGTCAAATGGGAGACTATTTCGCACTTCCTTTTGCTGCTTCACGATTGTCTCAGTTGCCGGCTTGGAGAATGTCATCTTTCATCAAAGAGTAAAAAGGCTGAACTTGTCTTCCTATTGTCAGAGGACTTTATTTCTGAGGGGGACGGAGCTTTTAAACCCGCTTCCGTCACGTTGTATTCCTCCCGGATAGACGCTATTGAGGCAGGGTACGTAGCTATCGGGATCTAAATGCGTGACACTTCATCGTGTTACACTACGTATTCAGTTGTTGACGTGGTTTTCTTGGCAGGAATAGAGTACATCTGATACAAGAGCCAGACGATATCGTACTACGTATGATAGCCATTGGTAATTGACTGGTGTCACGGTAAACGGACGGCAGGGAGATTACCTAGCATCTCCAGCGCAGGCGGAAGGTGAGCTGACGATCTTACTGGCTGAAGCCTGCTTGGCAGTGATATTGTTGACCTCAGTATGAGCGAGTGGCTTGCTCTTGACAGCCACTGTTGCCTTCTATGGCTACTGGAGCGATCGAGAGATTGTAGCAGCCGGATACCCAGTGAACGATAAAGCTTGCCCTGGCGGATTGCCTGCTGTGGTAGTCCGCTGGTACTGATAAGTGTCACGGGCTGTGCCCGGCTGGTGGACCCGGTTGTACCGGGTCCGGTGGGTCGTGCTCCGGTGGCAACACCGGCCCCGCTCCGCGGACCCAGAAGCTGCGAGAACATTCCGAGAAGGGCAATATAAGCTCGCACTCGAGGCTACGCCTCGAGTTCAGCTTCTTTCCTCCTTAGCTCTAGATAGACAACACCTAGGCACCTGCTTGTTGAATAAACTCCGGGCCAGCCTTTCACATATCTAGAGCTCCTTCTAAATACCGCAAGCTGCAGACTGCTCGTCAGGATGGACCAGCAGAGTGAGAGCCCAAGTCTCCAGCAGCAATGGATTGACCAACGCATTCAAGAAGCGGTCAATGCGACTCTCAGCCCTCTACAGGACCAACTTTCCTTGCTGATGGAGCAACTCGGGCGAGCGCAGCCGCAGAGCGCCGACTTGCAATCGCCGCCAGTGGCACGAGGATTGGGCGAGAGCACGCCTGGCTTGGGCACGCCCTCCCAAAACCTGCGGTACTGGAATGCGGAAACCGTTGCCCAACCCACCCAAGTATGACGGCTCACGGAAGAGCTACTCCGCCTGGGCCAGGCAGATGCGAGACAAGCTGGACCTTGATGCACACTACTACAGTGGAAATCGCGAACTTTGGTACCTCATCAACTCATGTTTGGACGAGCGACCACAGCAAGTGGTCGCTACCTTTACGCCGCGGAGGCCCTGGGGTAGCTACGACCCCAAGAGTTCATGCGATACCTCGACCGAACCTACCAGGACAGCAACATCCAATCCCGCGCTGCTGCCACGCTGAGAACTATGCGGCAGCGCGAAGACCAACCTCTCGCGTCCTTCCTTCCCCGATTCGAACAGGCATTAGCTGAAGCCGGGGGAGCAGACTGGCCGGACAGTGCAAAGATCGTATTTCTAGAGAACGCAATAAATGCACGCCTCCAAGAGAGTTTGGTCACAGCCGTCCTACCCGACGACTACCAGGGATGGCTTGCGAGAGTTCAGGAAATTGCGGGCAGATTGGAGAGACTGAAACCCGGTAGGCAGCCGACGTCGACTGAGCGGACGCCTCAACAGCTACCAAGGCAACGACCCAAGGAGGAACCGGAGGACCCTGACGGAGATGTTAAGATGACGGACATCAACCGTATTGGCCACGAGTCGAAGGGTCGTCGACATGTCGATAAGAAGCCGAAGGATGAGCGCCGCTGCTATCGCTGTGGTCGGACGGATCATCTTATCGTGGACTGCCCAGCCCAGGTGGTCTTTCCTGGCGAAGGGAAGCAACAGCGACCTAAAGCTGCGCGCATGAAGAAGCCCGATGCCGCAGATGATTCGGAATCAACCGCAGCATCCAGTGAGGACGAGTCGGCGGAAAAGACTAGCCCCGGGCGAAAGCGGGCGCCGGGGCCTGCAAAGGCAGACATCCGGGACTGGGAAGCGTTCAAGCCACGAATGAATAGTCGGACTGTATTAGTCAACGCGCGGGTAAACCGAGGCTATCGAATACGCGCCCTTGTCGACTGTGGATGTGACTGCTATGCCGTGATCGACGAAGCCCTTGTTCGGAAGCTGCGGATACCCTTCGTCGACTCGAAACCACGAGAAATTGGGGGATTCTCAGAGTCAGCGAAGAGTGTCATATCCCCAGGGTCGTGGCTGTTGTGGTCGAGACAGCTGGATTTGACGAACGTGTCTTTGCATACGTGATCCCAAGCCTGGGCCAGGACATGTTCCTCGGCCGGCCTTGGATGGAGAGAAATCACGTCGTGTACGATGCTGCCAAGCAGCGAATGTACCATGGGAGGGCAGGTGTGACGATACGCCTCATTGGGCAGGAAGAGCCCGCCAAGATACGCGCGATTCGAAGCGCAAGACTCGTGTCGGCAGCCGTATTCACGGCGGAGTGTCGACGCGCAAAGAGACGCAAGAAGTGCAACGCGATCTCGATTCATGCAATCAGTTTGTCGGATATAGAGGGCGCTTCAGCCGAAGCCGCCAGTCGATCCGAGCGAGAAGGTCCCGGCAGAAGTGCTGAAAGAATTCCGCGACCTATTCTCACCAGAAGAGGCAATGAAGCTGCCGCCACATCGACCGGGTGTGGATCATGAAGTCAACCTGCAGCCTGACAAGAACGGCAACGAGCCACCCTTCCGTGGGGCCCACTCTACAACATGTCACGAGAAGAGCTGTTGGTCTTGCGAAAGACCCTGAAAGACCTGCTGGACAGAGGATTCATCCGAGCGAGTAGCTCAGCGGCTGCCGCGCCGGTGCTGTTCGTGCGGAAGCCGAATGGAGGGCTGCGATTTTGTTGCGACTACCGAGCGCTGAATGCAATCACCAAGCGCGACCGATACCCACTGCCCTCATCGCGGAGACCCTGCAGAATCTGGCCAAGGCTAAGTGGTTCACCAAGTTGGACGTGGTGGCCGCTTTCCATAAGATCCGCATGGCTCCGGGACATGAGGGAAAGACTGCATTTCGCACGAGGTTTGGGCTCTACGAGTGGCTCGTGTGCCCTTTCGGCCTGAGCGGCGCCCCGGCATCATTCCAACGATACATGAACAGTGTATTGCGCGAATGGCTGGACGACTTTGTCACAGCGTACCTGGATGATGTACTGATCTACTCGAGCGGTTCGAAGGCGGATCATGAGGCTAAGGTGCGACGAGTTCTCCAAGCACTCGCCGACGCTGGGCTGCACCTAGACCCAGCGAAGTGCGAGTTTTCGGTACAAGAGGTCAAATACCTTGGGTTCATCGTCAACGCAGGAAAGGAATCGCCTGCGACCCCGAAAAGCAGCGCGCCATCCGCGAATGGGAGGCCCCGACCACGGTGAAGGGTGTCAGAAGCTTTCTGGGCTTCGCCAACTATTACCGGATCTTCATCCCCGACTATGCCAAGATCACGCAGTCTCTGGATGCCCTGCTTAAGAAAGGAACTGCCTTTCATTGGGGACGAGCGGAGAACGAGGCGTTTCAGGAGCTGAAGCGACGATTTTGCGAGTCACCGGTGCTCAAGCAGTGGGACCCGAGCCTCCCGACCTTTTTGGAGACGGATTGCTCAGGCTACGCATTGGGAGGCGTCCTGTCGCAGGAAGGCCCAGATGGACGTCGACACGCATGCGCCTTCTTCTCGAAGCGACTTTCGCCAGCGGAGTACAACTATCCCATTCACGACAAGGAGATGCTTGCCATCATGAGATGTCTCGACAACTGGAACGCCGAACTTAGGAGCTGCGGCCCATTTACAATCCTTACCGATCACCGCAACCTGGAGTATTTCATGACACGCCAGAAGCTCACGGAACGGCAGAGCCGTTGGGCAGCCGAATTGTCCCAGTTCGACTTCAAGCTCGAGTATCGACCGGGAAGCGAGGCTGTCGTGCCTGATGCGTTGTCCGCCGTGAACAAGACAAGCCACAGGGCATTGACGACGAGCGGGAACAAGGAAGAATGATACAGTTGATACCGGATAGTGCCATTCCATCATCGACAAGAGCATGTATCAACGCGATGAGTTCTGACTGTTCAGAGGCATCCACCCTGCCGAAGATGAAGGTCTTCGAGGTAGCGGACCTGCAGCAACTCTGGGACGAAACGGTGGCGAAGGACTCGATATTCCGGGCAGCCTATAAGGCAGTCCGCGATCGCGAGCGTGCCTTCCCGCCCTCGCTGGGCCTGAAGATCCAGATTTCAGAATGTGCGATCGACGCAGGCAAAAGGCTGACATTCAGAGACCGTATTCGGGTGCCGGGTGGATCCGGAGAGGAGGGTAACCAGGAGGAAGCTGAGAAAGACCAGTTGAGAACCCGCATTGTGCAGCAGTCGCATGACTCTGTTGCGACCGGTCATCCCGGCAGGAAGGTACGCTGGCTATTGTGGCTCGGCGATTCTACTGGCCTGGGCAGTCCCAGCTGGTTCGCCGGTACGTAGCCAATTGCGACACCTGCGGCAGAGCACACATCTGGCGCCAGTCGAAGGGGATTTCAAGCCTCTGCCGATTCCAGATCGACCCCGAAGCCATTTGTCCATGGACTTCATCACAGATCTGCCGCCTACTGGACTGAGCAAGGCAAGGTACCTGTGGGTGATTGTGGACAGACTGACAAAGGCTGTGACCCTCGAGGTGATGGACAACATGGAAGCTGAGCCGTGTGCAAACCGTTTTCTCCAGTGTCATTACCGATTTCACGGAATGCCACGGTCCATCGTCAGCGACCGCGGGAGCAACTGGCTAAGTAGGTTCTGGAAGAGGTTCTGCCGTCTTGCAGGTGTCACGCAGAAATTGAGCACGGCCTATCATCCTCAGACGGACGGAGGGCCAGAGAGAATGAACCAGGAGATCGAGGCCTACCTGAGAGCCTACGTGTCGTACGTGCAGGACGACTGGGGAGAACTGCTCCCTGCCGCGCAGCTGGCACTCAACAATCGTGAATCCGCAGCGACCAAGATCAGCCCCTTTTCGCTGAGCATGGTTACCACGTCGATCCCATCAGCGTCGAGGAATCGGAAGAGCCACCGAGGCATAGAGAGGAAAGCAGAGCTGATAGCCTACTCAGTCGCCTGCAGGAGGTCAATGAGTACATGCAAGCAGTGATGGCCTCCTCACAGCAACAACAAGAAGAGGCTGCCAACGCAAAGCGACAGCCTGCGGAGCGATTTGAAGTTGGTGACAAGGTGTGGCTCTCGATGGCAAACTACAGATCGCCACGACCGTGCAAGAAGCTCGACTGGCTGCATCACAAGTACACAGTCACGAAGGTAATTAGTTCGCACGTTGTTGAGCTCGATGTTCGTGGCTCAATTTACCCGCGATTTCATGTTGACCTTTGCGGCGGGCGCATCAAGATCCGGCTCCTGGCCAAAGGTAGATGACGCACAGCCACCACCGGTACAAGATGAGTCCGGCACGGATCTGTGGGATGTCGACGAGATCCTCTGCGCGAGATGGAAGAAGCGCGGACGAGGGGAATTCAGGCAAGCACTAGTGCGATGGACGGGCTACGCAGAGCCGACTTGGGAGCCAGTTGAGTGGTTGCAAGGAACAATTGCGATGAAGGCATTCGAGGACAAGTACGGGCCAATCAAGACCAATGATGGCCCTAGGGAGAGGTACGAGACGCTGGCAGGAACGCAAGAACCCCGCAGACGCCGACCTGGTCGGAGGGGACAAGGGGGGTAATGTCACGGGCTGTGCCCGGCTGGTGGACCCGGTTGTACCGGGTCCGGTGGGTCGTGCTCCGGTGGCAACACCGGCCGCCCGCGGACCCAGAAGCTGCGAGAACATTCCGAGAAGGGCAATATAAGCTCGCACTCGAGGCTACGCCTCGAGTTCAGCTTCTTTTCCTCCTTAGCTCTAGATAGACAACACCTAGGCACCTGCTTGTTGAATAAACTCCGGGCCAGCCTTTCACAATAAGTCCCATATAATTATCTCAAGGACTTAGTTTATGAGGCTTTATACGCCAAAGTTATAGGCCTATCAATATATAAAAAGTCTTTTTTACTATAGGCTTATTAGCTAAAAGAAGCTAGTAACTTTTTTTTATAAACTTGAAATGTCTCGGACTGTCAAGGGGTTAGCCCTTGGTTGGTTATTTGATTGCTAGACCAAACGTTCTTAGGTGTGGTCAATTGACGCTTTAGTCAACTTCGTTCCCCTTTGTCGTACGCATACTGTCGGCCTCTTTGTCTAAAAAAAAACCGATCAACCTGGCAATGCCCTCGACTCCTCTCTGACGGGCCAATCTGAGGAGGTCTGACTCTGACTTTCGCCTGTTGGGCGTCCACGAAAACTTGGCGACATAACTCCAATCCTCGGAATCCGCCGATCCGGAGACAGACGTCCCACGACAGACGATTGCCCATTGACGGGTGAAAGGCTGCGTCATACAGAACAACCAATGGGCATTGCCATTCCATCACCTAACAGTTGCACCAGCAAACACGAACACCTTTTCCAGTGAATTGATAAAATCTGGGCACAATGCCCATCAGAAGATTAGGGGATTCTTTGTGACTGCACAAGCAAACATGGCTAGCAGCCTAGCAGTAACTTGTTTGAAGGACGGTGTACTTCTCCCACAATTTAAGCTCATAACTACACACCCTCCATAAAAGACGCAGCCCGAGATCTCATATCTGTTTAGAGTCTTCGGGTAAAATTCTACTGGAGCCTGGCAACAAGTTACGCCGGTAGTTTCCCACCTCTTAGCCACGGATGCATGTACCCTTGCAACGGTGTAAGTCTTTCTTCTGGGACCCACCACAGAAAACACTGGACGAAGTTAAGGAACAGGTCTCTGTCTTCGCCGTCTAGAGCACGCACGAGACGCTCGAATGTTCTCTCGGTGGGTAAGGGGACTGGGCCGTTCCATCGTCCTGCAACGAGTTGAGTTGTGTTAGAGCGAGGTGGATGAATGCAAGACACTTCTGGGTCGATTACCGAGTAGTCATTCTGCCAAATACCTACCGTCTTCATCCCAATACTTTCTCGTCACAGGGCTCTTTCGTAGAAATTGGGGTGGTGGTGGACCGAGGAAGGCTGTCATGGCTGCTAGGTGGCAGGCGTTATTTCGGTCTTCGGATTCGCCGTCATACACTCGAAAGAGGCTTTCTTTTTCGAGGAGATCCCAAGCCTAGCGAATAGGAGAAAATATTATCAAATAGAACGGTAAACTGTGGCAAGAAAAGGGGGTTATACCAGAAGTCCAACACTCCAGGTATCCACAGCAGGACCCCATGGCAAGCCTAGAATAACTTCGGGTGCTCGATACGGCACTGGCATCGCGTTTCCGCTATGCTTCACGCCGATACGTGCCTGCCCGAAGTCCGTTATGGTGAGCCGGCCGGCACCCCCTAACACATACTGAGAGGCGTATATAATCGTATCGCCTATTCGCTTTCGTGCAGATGGTGTGTTGATTTCGTTATCTTCTACCTTGGCGAGAATTGAATCGTCCGTCAGGGCGATTAGTAGGTTATCCGAATGGAGATCTTGCCAGCAGTTAGAGAGCTCTTTGTATTTATTAGGTATGATTCTGAGTGGTGAAACGACAAGCTTACCAGTGTGAACCACGTTGGCCTCGTGGAGAAAATTTAAGCCCAGCAGTACCTGGTCGAGTGCCCCCGAGACAAGGTCTTGTTTGAAGATGGTATTTTTCTGCATCTCTTGAAAGGTTCTCAAACTCATGCCTAGTGGCTTCATGACGAGTACGTCGTGTCTGCCACTCTGGCCTTGTAATTGGAATGAATCTTCAACCTGGCGAACATGTTCAACGCCAGGTTCATCCGGAAGCTGGGGAATAGCCCTGGCTAAGTGCCGGTAAACTTCGAGCTCTTGATTATGCCTCAGGGTGTTAATGTACACCTTGAGGACCAAGTATTTGCGCTCTCTGGCATGATGAGTAGGTCAGCAGCTTAGCGGAAGAAAAGAGAGCTGTGGGTGGGCGCACCGAAGATCACGAGATAGCCATACTGTCGAAGTCATGCCATACCCGAGCTTTGCAACGACCTGGTAGCGGTCGCGAATGACTTCCCCAATTCGTACTGGGTAGTAGTCATCCCGACTATAGAAGGGCAGTCGCTCCTCTTCAAGCTTTTGGCCTGGGCTTATTATTTCGAAACCGGTGGATGGGAACTCGCGTGGCTGCTGCCAAACTGTTGGGTCGGGGGAGCTGTCGGAGGAGCGGTCAGACGCCGCAACGGACCGCGACATCGAAATGTGTCGAAGGGTGGTACGCTGTCGTGATAACAAAGGGGAGAAATAATGTAGGCGTCTTCGCACAAACATGTCGTCGGACAGGATCCGGGGGAAAGGCCATTGTTTGTCGAGTAGGTAAGTATGCACTATAGCAGGCGAACCTCCTTATTAATTATCCCTCCTGAAGAATACGGAAGATGGACGGCCCGCTTTAGTTGGCACTGGCGCTGATCAAGCACAGTGGGCACTGGCACCCACTTACTAATGTGAGTGAGCGCCTGTAAATAGTGATGGCAGGGCATTGAGGTGTTATAGTATTAGAAGCTACCGTAAGTCATATATCATCAACATACGATATTCTAGCTGCTAAAATATATCTTAGATACGCTTATCATCCAGAGAAGCCATAGTTATAGGTTAGTCGGGGATATTCGTGCATGCAAAGTACGTAGAGAACCAAGTCCTAAATAAGCAGGCCATAAATTGGCGGATGTGGTTCTTTTCTGCCGTTGTAATCATCACCTGTCTTCAAAGCACCTATTACTGCAGTTCTATTATGAGCGGCAGCAAATTGTTGGCTTTTCCTACCGCTCTATTTGAGCTGATGGTGGTTAGGGAATTGCCATGCGTCTGCAGAGTTTCGAAGTCTCTTAGTGGGAAGGGAGCGTAATTCCATTTCCGACCATGGCGGAAAGTGGCTGCGCCCAACTGTTGCGGTCGTTATATACTTTCGTAGTTGCCAGACCGAGGAGCTGGACGTCTTCAAGACCCCGAGGCCAGTATCGACTCTTACAAGATTCAGTTTCACCGGTCTTAGGGCCACTCAGACATATTGAGAACAAAACCTCACTTGATCGTTAACCGGCTCTAATTCAGACCATTTACTCTGCGCCATGAAGCTCATTCTTATGCTCACCGCCCTGTTAACCACCGCGGCCGTGGCTGTTTCATAGAAGGCGCGACACGAGGATAGCATGGTTGAAGATGCCTACAAGCACTGGGCTGTCAAATCTGGTATCATCTCTGTTAAGAAGGAAGACATCGTCTCAGTCAGAAAACGGGCGGTCAAAGCCGGAGTTGTATCGGTCAAAGAGGAGGAGTATATTGTCTCGATCGGAAACCAAGCCATATATCTAGAGCGGCGTAGTAGCCGGTACTTGAGGCAAGGGCTGAATCATGATCTGGCTCAGCCGTCAATAGTTGCATGGAATATACGCTGTTCAGCCTACCGCTAAAAAAAGGGTTGCTCTCAAGCAGTGGCTTGAGAGCATAGTGGAAGAAATAGGGGCACAGAAAGGTGAATTTAGTGATGCATGTCTTAGTCTATCTATTAGGACAAGGGAGGGGCTTATATAGGTACAGTGACTATATATAGCTAGCTAAAAGAGGGCAATAGGATATTCCTATACCTAAGTTAGGCCTATATAGTGTCCTTAGGCTAGGGGAGTTATATTGTTTAGGTAGGCTTCCTTATATATAACTATTAGGTCTACTAAGCATAACTATAGCTTCTTATGCCTACTCTCTCTCCTTAACACACCCCCTTATTATACTAGCTTCTAGATAGTAGGGCAATAGGTAGAGGAGGGTTCGGTCTAATAAATATAAGGTTATTCCGATATTAAATTTAGCTACTTTATTGTCTATTTAAGGAGGTTATCTAAAAATAGGGGAGGCTCCTAATTATATCCTATAAAAAAGGGAAGGTAAATATAGTAAAAGGTAAAAGCCGGGACCTAAGAGGATAGGATATAAGGAGAACCCTCCTCCGTATATCCTATCTCCTTAGGTCCCTAAGTTCGTAACCGCGCCCCCCCTAGGGCGTAGTTATATAACCTACTCTTTTACCTTAAGGGGAGTTAAACTTACGATTAATAGGGTTATATAACCTACTCTTACCGTTTAACTAGTAGTTATAAGTTATATTTATAACCTTCCTTATAAGGAGGGGGTATAGCGGGGCATCCCTTTAGGTAGCCTAGGTACTATAGTACCTTTGCCGGCGACGTTATTATTTAGGATAAAAGTAATCCTAAAGGTAGGCTTTCTAATAATATATTCCTTATATTAATTAGTCTTAATTTAGTAAAGCTATCGCGATTATCGTAAGTTTAAGCGCTATAGTATTATACTAATTAAGGGGTAGTTTAGTAATAGCTTTACTTCTTAGTAGTAAATAAGGCTAACTTCTACCCCCTAGATCTTTATAGTTTCTTAACTAAATTAAGATCTAATTATACTATTAGAATCCCTTAATCTTAGTATATATAGTAGTGCTCTTATTATCGGGATCTAGCGATTATCGAGTTCGCTATAGTAAGGAGATATTACGCCTTAATATAGTAGTTAGGTATATTATCTCTTAATATATCTTCCGGCTATATTACTAGTCCTAGTTACTTAATAAAGCTTTAATACTTTTAGTATATAAGCGCCTTCGTTATACTATTAGCTAGGTTATCTACTAATGCGATTTAGCTAACTTATATCCGATCTTACTATACCTCCTAATAAAGCTAGTATCTATAAACGTTAACGTGCTTAAGGTTTATCTTAAGCTTTACGCTTAATTTAGTTAGAAGCTTAATAGTCTAAAGGTTATTATACTAGAGCTCTATAGTCCTTTTAATACTAATGCTAAGCTCCTTAATTAGTCGGCTAAATATTACCTATTCCTTAGCTATCTATAAGAGTGCTAATAATTTAGCTTTTATAGAGGACGTTATTATAGTAGCTTACTTAATAGCTTTCTAGTTAATTAGCCTACTAAGGAGTAGGAATACGTATCCTTATAAGGACTTCCTAGTCTTTAGGTTATCGGCGTATAAGGAGTCGGATATATATATTAGCCGCCTTATTAGGTTTATCGCCGTAAAGTAGATATAGCGGTTTCTCGTATAATAGAGGTAAGCTAGGCACTTATATACTTTATGCCTATAGCGCGGCCCGGGGTTATAATTATATTAGGCTAGCTTTCTAGCTATAAATGCGATATCTAGCCTAGTATAAATTACTAGATAAATAAGCAACCTAATTAAAGAGAGATATTCGTATATCTCTTCCTTTAAGGCTTGCTTTTCGTAGGGGACGAGCTCTTTTATTATTAATAGGATCTTAGGCTTACGAAGGATATTATTATTAAGGATATAATATTTCTTCGCGGTCTTAAAGATATAGGAAGCTTATAAGAGCTATATCTTCTTAAGATCCCTATCCCTAATAATCTTAATACTAAGGAACTAACATAGCTCTCCTATATACGTAATAGTATATTTCTTTGTAATAGCCTTATATAGCTCTTCCTAATCTTATTTTTTCCTTTTTAGATATATTATAATAATATTATCTACGAAGATAAAGATAATAACGCTCTTATAGACTAGTATATAGGCGTCTTCTACTAGCTACTAAGCTCTTAGTTTAGTAAAGAAACTAGATATCTCTTTAAACTATAGCTTTAAAGAGATATAGAGCCCGTATAGTACTTTTAATAGCTTTAAGCATAGCCTAGGTATTAAGAATCCTAGTAGAGGCTAGTAATAGACTTCTTAGCGTAGGATTACGTATAGAAATACTATTTTTACGTTATATTATTCTATCTTAAAGTCCTTAAGGTAGTAGAAGGCTATTAGTAGTCGAAATATTCGTGCTTATAGGGTAGCTATATATATATCCTCGTTACCTTCGGGTTATAGGTCTCTACGAACTATAATACGTACTTTAAAGCATATAATATACCCTTATTTATCGGTCTTATATATAAAGACCTAACGTAAGGATTAGAAGTAACCTTTCTATTTAATAATAGCTTTAGGATAGTCTTTTATATGCCCCTTACTAAGTTTTCTCTCATTTCATGGTCTATAGCTTCCTTCTACTTATATACGAATTCTAAAGCCATTACCGCGTTAAAGGAGGTAGGGGGAGGCGGTATATCTTTAATATAAAGCTTATACTTACTTACCTTTACGATAATATTATTAATAAGGGATTTCTTAGGCCTACGAGCCTATTTTCCTTTAATAACGTTGCTTAGGTTAATCCCTTATAACGTATCCTTTCGTCTACGTTATTCTTATATTTATAATATCCTTAAGCCGGCCCTACTAACCGCTAGGTTAAGGGTATAGGGTTCGGACTAAGGGTTATCTTCTTAAACCTATACTATAATCGTTCCTTTACCCCCTAGGTTAAGAGGTATATTATTACGTTTATCTTAAGGAGACGAGTCGATTAATATAGGTATCGTATCTTTAAGCTATCTCCTTAACGAGATATAGGAGGGGTTACTAGCTATAGTATCTATTACGGGCATAGGAGGTATAGAGCTTAGTAACTCCGTGTTAAATATAGTATTAGGTAGAAGGGGTAACGTTAAAATCTCTATCCTTAGCCTTACTATTTCTAGAGGGGAAAGATATATATATCTATATAATCCCTATAAGGGCGTCTTTAATCCTTAATCTTCTAGAGTATATAGGGGTAATAGGTCCTATAAGAGGGTAATTGCTTCTTCCGGCGTCTAACCGTTATCTATATTATCGTCGGATAAACTTAGTACCTTAAAGGTTTTAGGTTCCCCGCTATCTATAACGTTAGTTATAGCTATATCTCTAAGGATATCGTAGCTATATATTTAGACTAGCTAGGCTTACTCTTCTCTTTTTATATCGTAGCTTATAGACTTATTAAACTATATATTAGCTAATACTATTAGTTTATTCTATCTAATTAACGGTATCTATACGACGTATTATTAAGTAGACCTATAGCCTACTAGGTAGCCGATATAAGCTCTCTACTTAAGGGGTAATTGCGTCTTATATAACTTAATATATTTTAATGCCGTAATTATTATTAGGAACGCTATATAGCTAAAGACCCTTAAATATATAATATTTAGTTTAATATCTTTAATATAGTAATATAGTAGATTATTTTCTTTTATCTAGGTCTACTAACGCTCGTATAGGCTCTACTAGCTATAATTATATAATTCGAAGGGTATTATATTAAGTAGGTATACCGCTATACGGTATATCTCTAGCTATAGCTCTTCTAAAAGCTTTAAGTTAAGCTTTATAACCCTTGCTTTTTCCTTTACTATTGCCCTTAATCTCTCTACGTAACCGTTTTACTTAGGCGTTAAAGGGGCTTACTATATAACTTATATCCCTCTATTAATTATATAATCTATTTATTCTATTATTAAAAGAGCCCTTTCCCCGTTAATAACTAATATAGTTATTTTAACTCTATACTAGGTCTTAAGTAACGCTACGAAGTTATTAAAGATATCCTTAATACCCGTTTTTCTTTCTATTAGGTAATAGAACCTTATAGATATATCTATATAGGTAAATAGGGCGAAGTTCTTTTCCCCGTTATATGCTATTATAGGGCTAGGGTAAAGGTCGAAGCTAACTTATACCCCTAGACCTTTAGGCCTTAAGGATAGTATTTTTCTTAAGACTTTCTTCTTAGCTTTCCCTATTATATATATCTAATAGCTATATATTATAGGGCCTTAAAGCTTAGTGCCTAGGTAGGCTTCTAATAGCTTCTCTAGTAATTTTAGACTAGGATGCCTAAGGCGGCGATACTATAGGTTACCTACCCCCCTAGTTAGCGGCTTAGGCGCTTATATAACTACGAATACCCGCTTATTACTATAGGAGTATTCCTATTATAAATTAACCTTCGAAGTTAGTTAGTTTAATACGAACCTCCTTCGTAGGTTTTAAATAGAGGTATCCTAGGAGCTAGTTCTAGAATATCCCTACCGTTATCCCTAGCCTAGCTAAGAAGATACTTATCGGTATTTCTAGGATAAAGTAGGCATCTAGTAGGGTTATCTTTCTGCCGTTAATTATAGGGATAACTACTATTCCTATTCCTTATACCTTAAAGGCTTAGTCTTTAACCTAGACTTCGTCGTTAGAACCCTACTTAAAGGTTCCTTCCTAGAACTAACCTAGGTTATTAAAGAGGTTAATATCGGCCCCTAAGTTATATATTAATTTATTAGTAAGTAACGGCGTTCCCTTAATAGCTATATTTACCCTAGATAGATCTTAAGGTATATAAGTAAAAGCGGAATTTTAGGAAATCAAGGAATTACGTAAGACTACGTAATAGAGGGGAAGAAGGAGTATAAGGTAGGATTTTTAACGGAATTTATTAGTAGTGTATTAGTGTGTAGAAGAGGTGTTAAAGTTAATAATACTTAATCTATCTACTAGCGGACATACTGTCTTATATAGACAATTATAGCTAAACGGAAGAACCTTTCGGGACTAGATTTAGGCTGCCGTATAGCCCTAAGACTAGGGAATTCCGTGATATCTCGAGTGAATCTAGAAGTGTCTTAGTTCTACTAATATTCGTGTTTAGAGGAGGTTAGTCGTGCCGGTGTTCTTAAGAGGTCTTAGCTAGTATTCTAAGCTAGCTCTGTTCCTTCGATTCCCGATTATACGATAACCGGCAACCCGTTTAATGCATAATAACATGCAAAATAACGAGCGATTCTTGCTCTATAGGATAAGATTTTATCTATAATTAATATACTACTTATTAGCTTATATAATCGGGAGAGTATATTATAGCTGCTTTATTTATAGTAGGAACACCGTTCCTTATAATAGAGTAACCGTATTAATAGTCTTTCCTAGCCCGTTATTACTAATAATAGTATCTATTAGTTCTCTTCCTTAAGGGTAGGAATTAGGGGTCTAGGCTATATATTTTACTTTCTCGTTTAGATAGTCCTTTAGCCGTTTTTCGATATTCTATTTAGCTAGATTACTATATTTCTAGCCTATTAAGGGCTTCTTATTATATATTACCTATAGTAAGTAGTAATTTTCCTACTAGCTTATTAAGCTATTAACGTGCTACTTATAGCTAGCGTATTTAGCTTAGGTGTCTAATTTCCTAGAGATTTAATTAGCGCTTCCCCTTTTTATAGGTAGTTATAACTTCTTCCTATAGGTATATTCTTATTTAAAGTTAGCGATTAGGTTCCTTAGGGGAAGTTAATCTTTACTATATCTTTTATTATAGAGGTCGAGAGCCCTTATTATTATAGACTAATATAGGTCCTACTCGTCTACCGCTATAAGAAAGTCTTATCTAATTCTTATATCGTTAAGTATATCGACCTTAAGGTCTCGTAAATCTATAATAATTTAGTCGAGCTATTCTACCTATACTTTCTAGTCTTATATGCCTCTTTTATTAATAGAGGTTATATATCTCTCGTAAATTAGCTTTTTCTCCTTTGCCCTTAAAGGTAAGGCTTACTTCTTTAATTCCCTAATTTTCTCTCTTAGGCTATTATATATTAAGGTTATCCCTTAAAGCCTTTTACTAATCGTTTTCTTAATTAATTCTTCGAGTGCGATTAGGGCTTTCTACTAGACCTTATAGCGATCGAATTATAGCTAGAACCTTTTCTCGAGGTTACGAAAGGAGTCCTTTATATCCTAGTATCGTTCGTTATAGCCTATTCGCCTCGCTAGGAACGTAGCCTCGGTTTTATTTTCTCGTTAGGATAGTCTCCCTCTAAGGTTAATAATAAATTGCTCCTAGTCCGGCTATTAGGGCTATTTAAGCTCCTTTATACCGTCTAGGTTAGTATATTCCTAAATCTTATAAGTCTAGGCCTACGATTTAATCCCCTTAATCTATAGGGTCTAATCGAGGCTTTCCTTTAGCCTTACGATATAATTATCCCCTCTTACTTCCTTTAACGTTATCTTAGGAAAATAAGGGGTTCTAGCTTAATAAGTAATATCCTTCTTTAAGGGATACGTAATTCGTATAATTCGTATGTTTTTAGTAGTGCCCCTTAGTATAGCTAGGTTCCTTGCCTTAATACTATAATTTAAGCGTTATAACGGCGTTAATAGCTCGTAAATAGCTTTAAAGGTAATATCGGCGGGTAAAAGATAGTCTAGCCGTGTAGGCCGGGCTTATAACTCTTAAGTAGTAGCTTAAGAGCATAGTGGAAGAAATAGGGGCATAGAAAGGTAAATTTAGTAATATATATCTTAGTCTATCTATTAGGATAATAGAGGGGCTTATATAGGTATAGTGACTATATATAGCTAGCTAAAAGAGGGCAATAGGATGTTCCTATACCTAAGTTAGGCCTGTATAGTGTCCTTAGGCTAGGGGAGTCATATTGTTTAGGCAGGCTTCCTTGTGTATGACTATTGGGTCCACTGAGCATGACTGTGGCCTCTTATGCCCACTCTCTCTCCTCAACAGTTGCTCATTGGAATATTTGACTTCCGCTTGGAACTTTACCTTCACTAGCCTAGGAGAACAAGAAACGTCCTCGCCCAGTTGGTCCACCTGCCCCCCTTTCTCGCAAGACTTGCACAACCTCATCGTGGCCACCCGCCGTGGCACTTTGAAACGCCGTCTGGCCTCTCCCTCTCCTAGGGTTGCAAGCATTCACATCAGCGCCAGCTTTCAGTAGCCTTTTGATGATCTCTACTCGGCCTCTCTCGGCGGCGGCATGTAGAGCCATCCCGTCTCCATAAATACCACCCAATGCATGGATGTTAGCACCTGCCTCTATGAGAATGTCAACGAGGTCCACATCACCCTGCAGACAGGCCCCCTGCAGAGCTGTGAAACCCTTGTACTTGGCAGGAGAGCCATTCACATTGGCTCCATGTTGAAGGAGGAGTTGGACCATGGAGATGTAGCCGTTGCCTGCTGCCGCCTGTAATGCAGTGTAGCCTGCTGTTGGTGATGGGGAGCATTTACATCTGCACCCAGCTCTAGTAGCTTGCAGACAAGTTGTGCATGACCGCGCTCGGCTGCCGCTTGCAGTGCCGTTCCTCCGTTATAACGCATTACAGCAGTTGGGGAGTTCAGTAACCCGTGAAGCTGCAACGGAGTCCAGCAGTACTCGTCGTCGTCGTCGGTTTGCAAGGTTGGATCCCACGCCGCATCCAATGGGGGCAAAGACATCCGCTGAGCCATCACGAATGCGCTGGGACTTGAGTTCTGAATGGCAGATCCAACACGAGACTCATATCATACACGAAATTTGTTAGACGTAGATGTTGTTGGTTGGCACAGCCGATGTGGCTCATGCTGCGGTGTAATTGGAAGAGAGGCGAGCTCCTTGACCAAGGCCAAGGTTATGTTACGCGGCTTCCTCAGCACGACACCAATACGTAGTAAAATCAAGTCGGTACTCTGCGGAGAACTGGACCTGCCGGTCATGGTATTATGTTGCGATCTAGACTGTCCTGGGCCAACGGCATGCAGCTCCGCATGGCTGCTCAGCGGACTGCAGAAGATGCAGAGACAAGAGTCCTTGAAAGGTGCGGGGAGCACCTCAGGCAGAGGTGATTGCTTCCTAGGGTGAACCCTGGGCCTTGTCGAATACCACCTCTGTGTGCAGCCGAATGCTAAATATTCAGTTTCCAGCCGCGACCTCAGCACTCGGCGCACTCGCGAAAAAAACACGCTGTGTTTTTATTTCATCACAGTCTGAAGTGCTCATAAGAAAATATATAAAAATGCCCGGGCAATGGGAGAAACGCTTTTGCGATGACTCTGATTTTTCATCAGAGGTCCTGAGCTTATCAGACGACACCCTGGGAGTTCGACGTGCGGGTGGCAAGCGAAACAATTTTCGGCCATTGGCAGATGAGAACAGCACGGACGATAAGCGTAGTGGTTGGGTTCTATCGGTGATTCACCAGATTCACTGCTTGGTTAGTCACGATCGACTCTCCATGTCATCTCGTACGATAACGAACCTGACTGGCTAACAAATCGTAGTCGATAGCATTCTGTGTTCAGGCGATACGTCGCTTGAAGGCGAGTCAGGAACCTGGTCTGAAAGCATCGGTTGGGACCAAATCACATATGCAAGGACTATGACTATCTCATGAACTTGGCGAACGAAAAGGCGGCATGGGATCTCAGCCATGAAAGGGATCCAGGTCACTCCACAATCTTCCAAACTGCTGTCGAAGGTTGTGATCCAGAGAAAGGAGAGTACTGTCATTAGACAGAGCAGTCGCCTCAGGGGCCTCACTCAATATAGAATTTATTAAGCCTGCGAGATAGCCTCCCTCGCCGAGAATAAAGACGGTAGAACACTAAGAACATAAAGAACAAGACCGGGACTCAGACTTTGCCGTTGGCGGCCTGCATATGTGATGCCCTTCGTACGTCCAGTTCAAAAGCAGACTGACTTTTGCACACCCTGACCATAAGGTGATGAGTTGTCATGGAGTTTTTCAACTTGTTCATCCTAAGCGACAGGGGCGCTTGTAATAACATGTCCTCTCTAAGGGCAAAATACATCTGTGTCGTGTACTGGATGAGCACCTTGAGCAAAGCCTCCCCCTGGAATGTAGATGCGACCACCAACAGCAACAGCTGACGTCCCATGTCTCGGAAGCCTCATCGGCGGAAGCCTTGTCCACGTTCCTGACTGTGTGTCAAATACCTCCGTCTGGTTAAACACGCCGTTCGTCCCCTCGGCTCTGTTGCCCTCGCCGCCAAAGGCGTAAATCGATATGCCAATCGTGCCAATCGAGAGGCCACCGCGGGCAGTGGGGAGCCTCGCCGACCCGTCTTTCCATCCCCCGCTGTGGTTCTTCAAGTTCAACGAGAAGACAGTGTCTCTCACATTATTTTGCCCAAAGTTTCTGCCGCCGAGGACGTAAAAGGCGGAATCCACGACTGCTGCGCCGGCATGATCTCTCCCCTCGGGCAATTGCTTGGACAGGGTCTTCCAGGTTCCTTTAGTTGTGTCAAATGCGGAGACGGTATCAACTGAATTCTGGTAAACGCCGGGGACCAGGATAGTCATGCCACCGGCCAAGTAGATTGTCTTTCCGTGCACGCCCATTGCTGCACTTCCACGTGCCACCTCTTTGGGCATCGGTGCAATGGACTTCCACTGGGCTTCTTCCGGGTCAAAGACCCAAGAGTCTGGAATTGCACTCCACGAGCCGTTTGACAGGACCGCGAGACCGCCGAGCAGATAAATCTTGCCGTCAACGACAGCGGCATTGATGTGGTTCATCGGCACGGGAATATTGGGTGCCGATGACCAAGTGTTGGTAGGGATATCATACAATTGCATGATGTTAGTCGTCACGGCAGGTTCGCTCCCAGTCACGATGCCGCCGAGGACGGCTAAAGTCGTCGGTGAAAGGGCCACGGTAGTATGCTCTTGACGGGGTGCCTTGGGGATGGGAGCCAGGTCACGCCATCTGCCGGCTGTAGACGGAGAGCGTGAACTGGCGACGAGTCCAGCCAGGCCACCAAAGGCGAGCAGAGTCGGAGACGTGAGGCGCATCGCGGCCGCTTTGTGAGCCTGTAGATGAATCGTAGGTCGAGGCAACGAGAACATGCGTGGCTGCGGGCCTCTTGCATGCCTCCATTATTTGTACAAGTAGCTTTGCAAAATATCTTGTGTTTCGGGGCTGTCGGGGTTCTACTACGACCAACACGTCACCGAGTAAGCAATCAGGATTCCTGCGGCAACCGCATTGTGAAACATTGGATTTGTCCTTGCTTGGCAAGGCTAGGGAGCCGTCATTCTGGGGAACGTCAGCCCCTCTTGGAAATAGATCTCCCAGAGCTCGCGGATCCGGGGCACGGAGGTGGTAAGTCCGCCGCGGAGTCAAGCATAATCCGTCCAGTTCGCCCGGGGAAAGTCTTAGGTGCAGCACTAGTCCTGCACAATGGCCCTTGAGGCTACAGTAGAAGCGAAGAGCAAGCAAAATCATGATGACCAAGTACAAGTATAGTCAAGATCTCAGTGAGACAGCCTTGTTCCGCTCACGAGATACGATTCTGCGGAGAGCTGCACGCCCGAACGTTGATGTTAAGCTGGTTTCATTCATGGCATCGACTTTGCATATTACATGGAGCGACATTTACTTCCAGGACACGTGGATGGCGTCTTCTATGTATGAATCCTCAGCCCCATCTATATCCACGTATACGAGTCAATATCCTCTCGATCTCACCGAGCTTCAGCCTCTTGCAGACATATGATGGGCCCTCGGCCGAAAAATAGAAGCATCTGAGCCCCATCTGTCCCCGCCCCAGTGTGGAAAACATTCTCGACTGGAGTTCATGGCTGAAGCAATCATTGCTGCCGCCCATGGGAGCTAATATCATACTAAAATCGGCACGTAGTACTCCGAGAGGATCTTGACGTGGCTGACATCCATACAAACTGGAGTAAGACAAGTATCAGAATAAGACGGTTCTTCCAATTCATATGTGTGTAATTTCGAGTATTAATAAGAAAGGTGAGGAGCCGAGGACTTAGGGGCTTGGGGTATTGTTTGTACATAATTACTTTTCTAATAAAGCCTTCTATATCCTCGAAGTAAAACCCCGAAGACGAGTCGGGCTTGATAAGTCCTATAAGTCTAAGGATACTCCTTCCTTTTTTTTAATTCCTTGGCAGACCGAAGCTTGCTTAATTATACCCGTTCCATTTCGTTGATACCTTTCAATACTGTTTCTGGTACTATCAGCACTCACATCTCTCTCTGAGACCTAAACCCGGAATAGACGATGCGCTCTGCGCTGCTATCTCTAGCGCTCCCGCTTGCTTTGGCCCTGCCATAGAACCTGTCAAGCGGCGATAAAGGCCCAATCGCGGACGGGGTGAAGGAAATATGAAACGATGGACGTGGGTCCCAGGAAGAGACGACGGACCGAGCTGGCAACCCAGCTGCAGTCTGGGAAATTGGTGGGCTCCGGAAGGCTGAAGCATCATCAGGGCCACCAGGGGCCCAGCCCTTTGGGAAGCCAGAACGACGGTCACGATAACGACGATGGCGATAGCGAGGACCAGCGGACTCAGATCTCCAGACTTTCCGGAGGCCAGAACAACAATGACCTCTATAATGATAATGGCGATGGCAAGAGCCAGCAGACTCCGAGCCACACCCCCTTTGGCAAGCCAGGTTAATGGCGGCCACCGTAACGACAATGGCGATAGCGAGAGTCAGCAGACTCAGAGCCTTAGCCCTTCGGGAAACAAGAATAATAACGTGGATGGTCAAGGCGCCTAGAGTACTGGAGGATCCTTAGGTCTTGGCGAGCTCCCGATCTACAGGGACAGCTCACATGTCGACCACGAGAAATACAAGCAACAGTACGTCAATGGCACAAATACGTGCGCCAGAAGCACCATGATACGCCTAATGTGGCCTGGGACGAGGACTTGGCCGAGGATGCTCAAAAGCAACCGACCCACTGCGTGTACGACCACGGGCACGTCGTTTCCGATTCATAGCCAGAAAGCTGGGATGAGAACAAAGTCGCCCGCTCTTGGAAAGATGGGCATGCCGCCAAGTGGCAGAAGAAGGCAATGTATGATGTCCTTGATATGGTTAAGGTCAGCATGCGAATCTGGTGGGAGTGGGAGCGGCTTCCTTTGGACTGGAAAACCTTTGTGGTTGACGAGGGGCACACAGAAGAAGCTTGGAAGAAGCTGTAAAAGAAATATGGGGAAAACAGTCCCGGCTCGAGTCGAACATTTCTCACAGATCATCTGGAAGGATACCAGCTGCATCGGCTGCGCCATGTCGATGTGTGAGTCCTTTTATGGTGGCCTGTGGGAGAGCGGTCGCGTCGCACAAAATGCATAGACAACCCTCCTATCGAAAAAGCAGGGGAGACCGAACTGGATCCTTTTAAGAAAACCCTTCTTCCACCGTGGGATTTGGCCGCGTGGAGAGAGTTGGACGATGCTGTCGCCTAAGTAGCAACGACAAGAGGGCGAGAGCAGGGAGGAGGCAGTATGGTCCAGGTGGCATCCTTAGGAACTCGGTCGGATAGGGAGACGAATTTACTTTCTCTGCGCTCAAACTCAGCTGCTCGCCTTTTCAGCCTACTCGGGGGGTTGACTAGCAGGGGTCCGCAAGGCCCCCCCCTCTCCTACGGAGAGGGGGTCACAAAACTTGTTTCTTTGACGGTCGTGTTTCCCTCTATCGCAACTTCAATCTACCGCCACGCCGTCAATTGGGCTTCTTAGGATTGAAACAAAGATACAGTGTCTATTAGGTACTATAGAATTTAGGTGTCAAGTCTCGTGAGAATTGGTTCAGTCGTTGGTGTTACTAGTAAATTACAAATCTAATGCTCTAGGCCTGACGCACGCGCGTCTTTGGTACAGCAATTCGTCTACCATATATAACAACCTCCGGCTCATCCTCTTCTTCATTATCCTCGTCGCTGTATACACCCACGATAACGCGTTCCTCCTTGAGCTCGGCCTGGATCGCCGCCTCGTCTTCTTCGTTCAATTGCACCGGCTGCCGTGGCGGAAGCTGCTCGAGTGGAAGCTGCGATAGTGGTGGTCTCGCAATACGCGGGCGTTGGCGCTGTGTTGTTATGATCTGAATGTCATCCTCATCATCGTCGCTATTAGGCGCGAGATCCGGCTCTGAAGAAAGCAGCATAGATATATAGTCATGATCGATATCAGAGTCTTCGTCGGCCACGTTGGCAGCAGCTTGTGCCCGCGCCTCCTCCTGAGCTTGTGACCAGGCCACGATATCAGGAAGAGCTGTGAGATCGCCTTTAGGTGTGTTGCCCATAGGAAATACCGGTAGCCCTCCGTAGCCGTAGTCCAGCGCTCTTGAAGAGCCTCGCGAGCGACAGCTTCTTCCGGGGTCACGAGTTGTTGAATGTATGTCCTGTACTTGGCCTCTTCTACTGCTTTCGCCGCCACGGCGGCTCCACCGCGTAGACGAGGCTGTGACGCTGTTTGTGCGGCATCCATAGCACGGAGATGTCGAAATTGAGTCTCGCTATCCTTAAGAGCACGCTTGGCACTAGCCTCTTGGTCTTCTTGCTGCCGGGCGGCCGCTTTCTCGTAGTTGCTGTATCGTAAAGGCGCCATCGTCAACGCCTCGGATTCGGCGTAGGGTCTTGGTTCTGCGCCTCTCGCTGGATACGGTCTTGCTGATGCTGTATAAACTGTGTATGAGCCGATTGTGTTAAAATCGCAAGATCAAGACAGGCTGACGCGTTATTAACGATCTCTCGTCGGGCTGCTTAGGATACCGAGTTTTTCCGACTGGCTTCAAGATCACTTTACCTTACGTGGTGTCACCAAATTCCTCGCTAAAAGCTGTGGGAAAATAGGCTCCTGTCGGTCTTTAGAGGCAGCTCGTAATGGACCTAGCACCACTTCAGGATCAGGAGGCCATAGCCCGGACTGTTCAAAGCCCACAAAGATATAACAAGCCTTAAACGCGGCGCTGAATAGCTCATTCCATTGGCAGAGAAAGTCGAATCTCGAGATGCGTGTGCCGCCACCGATAACGAACTTCTTTAAGGCTCCTTGTTGTGCACGTTTGAGATGTTGATAGACGCCAACGTCAAGAGGTTGTAGGAGGTGGCTTGTATGCGATGGTAGCTTGAACGGTACGATCTCGAACATCTCGCAATACCAGATAAATTCAGGGTCCTCGTGTGCAGCAAATCCATCCATAACGAGCAGCCGGAAGACCGTCTTCGTCTTCTGAGTGTAGAATGTACGCCGTTCCCCATTGCTCTTATCCCAGCCTTCCCGTGTGATTGTAGCCGGGTAGCCGAACCAGTTCTCGATAGTATGGTTTTAAAGGAGCTACTCCTAGCAAAGGAGTAGCGGTTGAAGTGCTGAAGCCACTGGAACGCCCGCTGGCTATTGTTATATCCTGTTGTTGTATATGTAACGACAACGTCGTCGCTAATTGTAGCCATCGTGTATTCTTCAAGGAGGACTTTGCACTAAGGATAAGGAAAGAAGGAATGGCTTTCCGGCGGCACTGGTGGCATCCACTGATGTTAACGACTCCTTATTCCCAGGCTGGAAGAAGACGGGCCTTCTGCTCCTCTTCATCCGTAATGACACTAGCTTTAGGAGCCCTTCATCCACCCAAGCTGAAGAGGGTTTCGTCGAAATTCCATAGATTTTCTGGCGTTATTCTGAGCTCCTTGATAACGGCCTGATATTCGTGGAACCAAGCCTCAAGCTCGTCAACCTCAAGCTCGGCGCCGGCGCGAGTGATCTCCTGGATCCTAGCCTCCTGATGGCAAGCTCTGGATGCCGCCGTTTAAAGCGAGTAAGCCACGATCTCGACACCTGAGAAGTTAAGCCCTGACGGCGATGATGGCGGATAAAGTTGGCCTTATTGATGAGGCATGCCTCCGTGAGTGCGAAAGTGCCGCCTTCGACGAGTCTTGCGTATGAGAGTAGACTCTTCTCTTCAGCATCGGTAAGAGCAGTAGGGGCGCCTCCCTTTCCCCCGCTTGGAAGAGCCAGATTGGCGCGAAGAAGCCTGATATACTTCTTTACGAGGCCTTCATTGGTCTTGTGTATCACTGCGAGCTCGTTGATTGTCAAGACGCGCGGAGGCGCGGGATTTGCGCGTGTTGTACGCGTTAGCGAGTCGCCGTCAAGATATTCTCGCGCCGCATTCGCCGCACGCAAGCTCTGATCAGGCTGAAAATTTGGCATCATGGAAATGAAGTATGGTTAACGATATTGCGAAAGTTTTGAGACTTGATAGCATCAATTGACGGCGTGGCGGTAGATTGAAGTTGCGATAGAGGGAAACACGACCGTCAAAGAAACAAGTTTTGTGACCCCCTCTCCGTAGGAGAGGGGGGGGCCTTGCGGACCCCTGCTAGTCAACCCCCCGAGTATTTTCGAATCCTATTATGTAAGTCGGACATGAAAGAAATAATAAAAGACATGTCGAACCCCTGCCGTTTGATGCGAGTTCCACATCTAACGTTGGTTAGTAATTGCCCTCATGCACGATTCACCTCAACCACCGCAGCTTTCATCGTGAGACCAGATAATCAACAGCCAAAGCACCCTTGGCACTTGCAGTGAGCATGGCTCGTCTGCAGCTTGCCCCGGACGAGGCCACGGCACTCGCCCTGCAAGCCGTCCATGACCGCCTCATCGGCTGCCTCTTCGGGTCAGCGCTCGGCGACGCCATCGGCCTCTACACCGAGTTCCTGACGGCAGACATGGCCGCCAGCTCCTATCCGTCGCGCTTCTTCACGCTTCTGCCCAGGTCCCGGGCCACCGAATTCCGGACCGACGCACACCGCGATCCGCACCAGCCCGGCGAGTGGACCGACGACACGGACCACGCCCTGCTGATACTGCTTTCCTTTCTTCACACAGACGGCGCCGACTGCAACCCGCAAGATTTTGCCTCGCGACTGCATATCTGGGTACGCCAGGGGCTGCGGGCGCTCGACACGCTGCCCATGGGCCTCGGAAGGACCGTGGGGTCCATTGTGCGCAACAAGACGTACCTGGACGATCCAGAAGGCACGGCGAGGCAGCATTGGGTCAACTGCGGATTCAATGCGGCGCCCAACGGCAGCCTCATGCGGACGCACCCGCTCGGTCTTGTGAGCTTGGACAAGACGCTCGACGAGACCTTTCAGTTGGCTGCCGATTTCTCCGTGCTCACACACGTCGATCCGCGCTGCGTCGTCTCGTGCGCCATCGGGACTGCCCTGGTTCGAGGGCTACTGCGGCACGAGGTCAAGGCCGAGGAGCACATAGACCAAGTCGTCGACCAGGCCATTGCCTGGTACTCTGCCTATCGGGAGAGACAGATGTCACAGAACGCGAATCGCAAAGACGAGCCGGAGCTGGACGTCGATGAGCTCAGACGGCACGCAAAGGTAGAGGATCTGGCGCATCTCAAACTGGACGAGATGGGCAAGATTGGCTACGTGTACAAGACGCTCGGTTCGGGAATTCACCTACTACGCATGGCGATGCGCAAGGCCTCTGCCGCAAGCAGCTCTCTGACCTGGCAAGTCAGCATCTTTGAGCCGCTGATTGTCGACCTCATTATGCGAGGCGGCGACGCCGACACCAACGCCTGCTTCGCGGGGGCTCTGGTCGGCGCCTTGGTCGGATTCAAGGCCCTGCCCTCCCACTGGCGGGACGGGCTCAAGCACGGGGCCTGGCTCATGGACAAGGCCGAGGGGCTGAGCAGGCTGCTGGGCGTGGCCGACGGGCGATATAGCGGGAGCGAGGACCCGGACACGGCGCCGGACGGTGGACGGGGGTTCCTGACGGACCGGCAGATGGAGGAGAAGGTGATGTTGCTGCAGATCCGAATGACGCAGGAAGGGCAGAGGAGAAGGGAAAGGGAGGCGAGGGGAAAGAGCAAGGGGAGGGGATGGTTTGGCAGCTGGAGATAGCTGAGAGGAGAAAGTTGGCGATGGGGTCAGAGAATGCCGATTACGTAACGGCTCGCCGTGAATGGCTGATTACGAAACTTGGCTGCGTCTTCTTCTGGACTCCCAAACAGCGCATCACCGACGTCCGTCCGTCTCACGCCGAGGATCGGGCAAACGGCTGCTACGGCCATCCATAACTACGGGGCACGAACAGCGGCCTCTATAAAGACAGGCACCTCGTCAGCCTTCCTCTCCGACTGTTCCTCAAGCCTCCACCACAACCACGTCTCGTCGACCTGTCGCGTCCTCCCCACGGACTCACCCACAAGGAGATCAATCACCAGCGGACATCCTGAACCGCCCGTCATGCCCAAGACGGCGTGCGTCGTCGGTGAGTGGCCACCGCCAAAGTCGACGTCGACGGTATCCATCGCCAGCGACTGAACCGCCCGCTCCACCACGGCGCAAACTATTACAATGTATTCACGCCCGCCCTCCTCCGCAGGCGCCGGCCCCTCTGGCCTCGTTGCGGCAAAGACCCTACTGCTGCACCCCAAGGGCCTCTTCAGCACCGTCTGCATCGTCGACGTCCAGGGCGCCGTCGGCGGGCTGTGGCCGTCCTCGCCCACCGACTCGCTCGCCCGCCAAGTCCATCCGCTCATGCTCGCCAACCAGAGCCGCCACACGATGCATTTTGCCGACCTGGCTTGGGACTCTGACGCCGATGTCGTCCCGCGCGCCTGGCAGGTCGGCCGCTACCTGCGACGCTACCTCGACCGCTACCTCGATCCCTGCCCCGGCTTCCGCCTGCGCCTCCGCACCCGCGTCGTCTGCGCCGAGCCCTGCAGCGGCGGCGGAGGAGGAGGAGAGGGTGGCTGGAACCTGGTCCTTGAGACTGACGACGGCAGCCGAGAGACGGCGCACTTTGACTGCCTTGTCGTCGCCTCGGGTTACTTTGGAAAGCCCGTCATCCCCGCCCACGCCCTGCCCGAACCCCTCACCGTCCCCGTCGTCCACAGCAGCCAGTACCGCGATCTCAAGAGCCTGCTGGGCACGACGCCTCCCCCTGCCAATGGCCGCATCCTCGTCGTCGGTGGTCAGATGTCGGGCGTCGAGATTGCCGGCACCATCGCCTCGCACTTATCTGCCGCCGCCAACGCGCCCGACGGCCAGTGTGCCCTTCCCGGCGCCGACGGCCTGACTGTCCACCACCTCATCCAGCGGCCCATCTGGGTTATGCCCACCTTTACCACGCCCGAGGTGATATTTTTCCTCCCTCTGTGCCATCTTCGCCATCATGATGTTCTCTGACAGTACGAGCATGGTGTAGCCCAAGGCCAAGGCTCCGGCCTTTTTGCCGCTCGACTTTGCTTCATACAACGCAAACAACCGCTCCGTGCCGCTGGAAAATACGCAGGGCCACATCAGCAAAGACGCCGCCCGTTCCGTCCACGCCATCTTCGAGCACACCCTCGGCACCGACCAGGCCGTCTTCTCCCCGCTTTTGCGCTTCGACGACAACGCCAAGGCCGAGCCCCCCTACTTGGCCGTCAGCGACTGGTACTGCGACTTTGCCCGGTCCGGGCGCATCGTCCTGTCCAAGGGCAAGCTCGACACCCTCCGCGGCACCACGGCTGTCGTCACCTCGCCCGACGGGATCGACGAGGTCAGCAATGTCGTGGCCGTCATCCTCGCCACGGGCTTCGACCCGTCCGCTAGCCTGAGCTTCCTCCCCCGTGACGCGCTAGACAAGCTGCACTACTCGCCGCAGCACCGTGCCCAGCCCTTGGCCCTGGCCTTTCACGGCACGCACCACCCCGACGTGCCCGGGCTGGGCTTCGTCGGCTTCTACCGCTCCCCCTACTGGGGCGTCATCCAGATGCAGGCCAGGTTCCTCGCCGAGCTGTGGTCGCACCCGGGGACGGCGTTGGCAGAGCCACTGCGGCGCAAGCTCGCGGCTGACGACTCGGTGCAGCGCACGCTGGCCCTGCGCAACGATCCCCGGCTCTCCCAGTTCCCCATGGGCGACTACGCCTGGCTGATGCAAGAGTTCTCCGAGGCTCTATCCCTGGAGCGCACGTCCATCTCGCCCAGCGGTCTCCCGATGCTCTCCTACAACCGCCAGCCCCTCGACATGCTGACGCCTTCAGCCTACGTCTCGCCCGCCTCCAACGGCGACTCCGACTCCAAAGACGAGGCGGCAAAGTCGAGGCAAGACACACATAATGTGTGCACCCAGGGCCTCACGACACCGCGGTTCGTCGCCCGAGCTGTCTTCCGCAGCCTGTTGGGAACCTGGAAGCTGGAGCGCGACCTGATCAGCAGGCTGCCGTCGCACCCCAGCGGGCACTTTAGCGGCACAGCCCAGTTCCTCCTGCGTGACAAGACGCCGGACGGGCTTCGGTGCGCTGGGGGGGCTAATGATGATGGCAACGATGGCGGCGAGGGAGACGATGGCGGCATGGAGTACCTCTACATCGAAGACGGAGACTTCAAAACGGACGCGGGCTTTGGCTTTCGGGCCACTCGGCGCTACGTGTGGCGCTACGACGAGCGGCACGACGTGCTGAGCGTGTGGTTCGCCAAGACCGACGACCCCCGGCGAGCCGACTACCTGTTCCATGAGGTCGAGTTCCAGCAGCCCCAGGGCGGCGGGTGGAGCGCCAAGGCGGGCCACCTGTGCATCGACGACTACTACGACGTCAACTACAACTTTGCCTTTGAAGCCGTCAACCTCGCCGAGTGGAGCATAGAGTACACGGTCAAGGGGCCCAAGAAGGACTACACGATCCGGGGGGGTTATAGGCGGTAGGTAGATGGCGGGTTGAAGGGGTGCTGAATAAGGGGGACAACAATGCGGTACACAGAATCGTGGTCTCGTTGGCATTGATGATCATGGGAAATATCTCCCTAGCATCGCTCCGTGAGTTTGGTTGATATGTTGCTCGTCTGTCTACCCTTGTCGCTCAAACCCCATCTGTTAATGCGCAGTACCATGATTCATCAACTTGTCAGTCAAGTCGCAATATCAACTCAATGATGTTTTCCGTGCCCGGCTGTCGAAAGGTGTTCGCTGGGCCGCAACTTTCCTGTCAGGTGCGTGCGTTAACCCTCGTCGGCATATTTGCCGAGGACAATGTCGAGGTAAAAGGCGTCGCTGAGTGGGAACGTGACCTAACCAAATCAAATGGTGAGCAGGACCTTCTTGGAGCAGATGGAGAAGGAGGTATGTACTCACGAGTTTCTCCAGCAGCTTCTGCTTCTGCTCGCGAAGCAGCTCGTCGGCCAGCGCGTCCATGCTGCCACCGGCGTCGCGCAAACGGTCTATCAAGGTGCTACTGGCAGAGACGGAAGACGAGGGGGGCTGGGCCTGCTGTAGCTGCTGCTGCTTGGCGGCATAGCGTTCGACGGCCAGGGCCTGCTGGCAGGCGGCGGAGGGCGGAGGGCGCCTCTGGTCGACTTTTGCCTCGAGGCACGTCAGCTCGATGGTCAGGTTTGCGACGCGGCCCTTGAGGTAGGCAACGGCCGAGTGCAGGCATTTGACGTCGTCGCGCAGGGCGGTGCTGCGGTCGACGTCCTCGGCGTGGTACTGCTGGAGCTCGTGGATCTGGCTCTGGAGCTTGACGAGCTGGAAGGAGTGGGAGCGCTGGAGTTTTTGCTCCTTGGTGCAGATGGCCTGTTTTGCGGTGATGATTGAGCAGAGGTCGGCCAGCAAGAGGGATATGGAGCGAGCTCACCTGAACTGTTTTGACGAGCTGTTCCAAGCCGCCCTGGCTCTGGAGAGCTTCGCGGGCCGCCTCGGCGAAGGGAGAAGGCGTGCCCGCGGCGTTGGCTTCGGAGCTCTCTGACGCCATCGAAGCTGCTGCTGGGGGGATGGGTTGTCAGACGGGGGAGAGGCTGTTGAATAAGCAGACTGAAGAGAAGAAGAGGCGGGATGTTTTGGGCTTTGGACGAAGAGGAGGAGAGATGGCGGGAAGTGCGAGGGCAGGTACCTGCACGGAACTGCTTGGTGCCCTATAGGTGACGCAGGCTTCCCCCAAAGCGCCGCAGCCGTCGACCGACTGTCCATTTGCACCTTTTTCACCGGCGCATCACTGCCAACGCCTACAGCTGGCATGACGCGGAGTCTTTCACTGGTACTTGGTCATTGCGTTTGCTCCGACTACAGAAAACACACTCACGCACTTCCAGACGGCTTATTGAAAAACACCATTCACGATGCATCCCGCGATCGTCGTCCATCAGAGACATGGTATCCCTTGCAGTCAGGCTGCACCACGGCCCGGGCTTCAACCGTTGTCGGCCCCGTCTCGAAGCTCTGTCTCCCGACATCAGGCACACGTCCAGCATCTCCGACTTGTTCAGTTGGCTCCTGCTGATGAGGTGGTCCAAGGGACACGACGTCGATGTCCGCAGCACGGGCCAGCCGAACGACCCTTTCGGTCTTCTTGACGACGCCTTGGAGGTGCGGCGCAAGTGCCACGAGCCAGGCTCTCTTGGAAGTCCACTTGATCGACTGGAAGCGGCGTGATCAGGTCTGTCCAGACAGACTGGCTCTTGGGGATCTCGAGACGAACCGTGGATAGCTCTGGGCCAACTATGCGCCACAGTGCCGTCGTCGGCCAGCGTCAGCCCGCTGAGCAGCATGCACCTCGCCGACGCAGGATCTCGAGTTTGGGCTCTATAACTCCAGAGTCGTCCAAGTCTTTCTCACCTCAGCGGACCTCAAACCACGGGCGTACACTTCACGAGTATTGGATGGAGGACAGCCGAGGTCAAGGCAGTGTTGAGTTGATCGAATACGGCTCCTACAGAATGCCGCATCTGTGGTACCGGTATGGGATAGACGAAATGAACCAGGGGGCATGTCCCTCTGGCTCAATATGCGGCAAGAGTCTTGAAAGTGACGCAAAGGAAGCCTGGCGGCAGGATGCTGTTGACGCGTTGGTGGATGGTTTCACAGTTGTCTTTGTACTGTCGGCTGGTCAGTGTGAGCGGCAAACGCGAAAGGTCCTGAGAAAAGACAAGTTTGCAACAGACCAAGATATCCCTGACGCTTTCGGAACCCCGTGGCGCTTTGGGAGAGGGCTGCAACCTCAGCAACGCGGCCCAGAGCCTAGGGACTTGGATTTCGTGGGCATCGGCTTCCAGAATCTGGCCGGAAGCTGTCTTTCGCACCACACTCAACTGCGAAGGCTCTGCATTAGGCGCACCCGTGCACGAGACGAGCCATTTGCTGAAACGCAGGGATAACTACCCCTCGCCAAAGGAATCGGTTCGCCGGGGTCATATGCCGGATCTTGGTCTCCAGTGACCAGAGGGGCCTTTGATGGCCCTGGACATGCTTCATGGTATATCCCGTCTCTCCTGGTGGGCGGTCGTGAACTTGCACTGCCTCGGGATTTGTCCCTTCTCGAGCGTGGCCTCGAAACAGTTGAAATATTTGTCTGTTTCAGACTCATAAAAGTCGCGCAGATGCTTTTCTCATGATTGCTTCAGGGGCTTGGAACAGGCATCGTACTTGTGGTCGTAGCCGTCCTTGACGATGCCACTGTACTTGTCCGGAGCGGCATGGAGCTGTTCCTGCAAGGCGGAAAGAAGATTCTGATGTTTTCAATTGGACGGAATCTTGTCCTTGTCAGCCTCGACGGCTTTCACATCGTCGTACATGTATGACTGGTTGCAAGGTACGATTGGTGGTGGTGGCTCGAATAGCTCTGCGTTTCATGTCTTCTGACCCCAGGCTACCTACAGCCTTACGTGAGGGCGGCTTGGAGGCCATGCGGTCAATTATTTACAAATGAATCGATGCTTCCGTTGTGGCTTTCAAGGGAACGAAGGCGAAAGGGGGCCGTACCGTCACTCTGATGGACAAGCCTCTCAACCCTGAGCACAAACACTGGGGGACGGATTTCGATGGCGTCGCCTATTTGAAGGACAATCTCAGGACTACCGTGAGCGATTTGCGCAGTCGTGGATGAGTCGCTGGGTGGTGCCCATAAAGAGAATATCAATGTGCTCAGGGCAGAATGGGAGGAGATGGCGTGGAATTGTCGATGGAGAAGATGGCGATACATGTGAACGGTACATGTAAACGGCTACGCATTGCTAGCCATGCATAGTTGGAAGTAATCCAGGTAGTCGAAGGGGTCTATTCGCGTTAGATGAACAAATCCTTTCCGCTTCGGCTGTTAAGAGATGATGGATCAGTTCCCGCAATGGATGCTGCTAACGTACTGGGCTGCCGTGCTAATTATTGGGGTCGGAGCCTGACATCGGGAGGGCCGGTTCCATGAGGGAAATGTAAAGAACCAAATATTCGATCATTCGAATGTATGCTTGGGTGTGGAAAGGGGTCCTGATGAACTACTGCCTGTCTCCCCAGTGGAAGGGGCGAGAGCATGGGGGTAGTTATTCTTCTCTCAACCACACACACGACTTCAGCTTTCCTCCCACTCCGGAATTGTACTGTGCAGCGCGCCACAAGCACTCTGCTCACGAAGCGTGATCCCGATGTATTGAACTTGCGTATCGTCGAGTCGTCCTCTTCAATCCGCCAATTGCGTTGAACCTCGGAGTTGCCCGTCAAAGACACCTGCCACTCCAATCCCCTTCTTTCTTTCTTCCATCTTGCCTTTGTCATGGCTCATGGAAGTGACCATGGGTATTTCCAGGAAGAATGACATCACCGCCAATGAGTTTTCTCGAATGAAACCCCGAAGTCGGCGGCAAGGCCCGCACCCGGTCCATGGTAGGACGCTGTCAGAGCAGAGAAAGGACTTGCTGTTCGCGTGAATAACACCTCTACTGGGGGTGCCCCTATTTTGCCTGGTGTAGCGGTATTCTACCAGCTTGACAGACACTTACGTGGTGCGTTTCCGTCATTGGGTAGCAGCCTCCGCGGCCTATACAGCCTGGCATTATCGAGACACGCGACACGCTTTACCAGGTTCGATCTGGTGATACTTGCCGGGGCATCGTCGATGAACACGGCAGTCTGAGCGGTCGTGAGTTATCTGTGGCACCTATATATGCAGTATGTGGAAGGCCACTCTAGCCATTAATGACAGCTATAAGTGGAACCCTGCCGTTCATCAGGTTGAGTTCGATCTCCTTTATTAGATACGGACTCTTATGCTCATAGTACTGACATGCTTATGAAACAGGCTGCTACTACTACTGCGTTAGTGTCCCCGGGGCGTTCGTCATCAGGTTTCGGTACCATACGGATTGCACTGGCAGTGTGCCCGAGGAGATCACGGTCGAGAACAACAGCAATGGCGTGTGTATCGACACCAACTGTGTTTGGGTCCATCGATACGTCTGCGGTAGGCACATGCCCAGGCCGGCAGATACAACGGAGCTACTGGGGGAAGCCGTCTTAGGGTCTTGGGGGTTCAGGGCTTTAAGGCCTGTTGCAAGATAGGAAAGTAATAGCACCCTCTCGTTTACCTGGCCAAAGGACAGATATGATGCACACAAGTCTCCCTCTTTATAGGCACAAGATATGTATTGAACTGCGCCAGATTGGTATAGGGATAGCCCTAGAACTGAAGCATTGGCGATGTAATATCGGTTGCCGTAACATAAACATCGAATGGCAGGCTTGTCAAGGACCGCTTCCATGCTCAACAGGCGCAGCCCAGCCGCATCTTACACTGCAAAAGCGTGGGTCCTACGGACGTAGTATTATCCCAGATCAAAGAAGTGGCCATTTGCTACTACCGTCATCATTCTGTCCTCGAGGAAAGTCTGACCCGGAAACCGCTGCCTCGCTCCCTGTCTGCAGCATCTGACGCCAAGACTCGGCGCGCAGGCCTGTGTTAGCCCCGTGTCTCAGGGCAAGACATCAGCTCCTCTCGGGTGCGTAGGTAGAGGCTCGGGGTTGCACCAGCAAAGCCCACGATGGCTTGTTCCACCTTGTGCAGGGCAACACGGGTGCGCCCATAGGCGTTGTCGAGCTCGTCCACGTTGCTGGGGATCAGCTGCACGGCTCGGTCCAGCCTCTCGCGATACTGGGAGAGGCGCTCGGCGTTGGAGGCGCCGCCGTGCTCGACGGCGGCGAGGAGCGCAGCTATCCCGGGGGCGATTTCAAGGGGCGTCGTGCGAAACAGCGGCCCCCAGGCCTCGTAGGGCGCCACGTCGAGCGCCTCGAAAGCCGCCTCGGGCGAGCCGCCGTGGGCCTCGAGGATGGCGGCCGGATCGAACCACGGCGCGACGACGACCAGGGCGCGCAGCTCGGCGCAGCGGCTGCCCATGGTCTCGAGCGAGTGCCAGAGCCGCGGCCAGTCGCGCGGGCCGAGCACCACGTGCCGGATCCGGCGCAGGAGGTCGCAGCCGTTGGCCGCCTGCTGCATCACGCCGCGGTCGGCCTTTGCGTCGCGGAAGAAGAAGAGGTGGCGGGCAAAGTCGACGTAGCCCAGGCCGTTGATGAGCTCGTGCGTCGCCTGCATGACGCCTCGCGCCTCGCGGCATGCCTGGCCGACGGACCGATGCAGCTTGCCGACGAGCCCGAGGCCGCCGCCGTTGACGCGCTTGAGCCGGCTGAAGGACCAGCTCTGCGCCAGGGCGTAGCGCCAGACGAGCTGGCGGACCTCGGCCGGGAACTGAGCAAAGGCCGAGAAGCCGCCGTCGTCCATCTCTTCCTTGGTCTCGTTTGCTGGCTCGAGACGACGCGCGAGAGGGGCCGACGGACGCGGGAGTCGGCAAGCTGGTGAGAATCAGGCTCAGGATGATGACCACCTTCTCCTCGTTGAATCGGCATGCATACGTTCCATCGTCTCTTGGCTCCTTGCCCAGCTATAATCTCCATTGGCCAGCGTCCTCCCGCCTATCCTTGATCCTCCTGCATGATCACCTGTCCGTCAGCACTCGACTGCAACTCTAGTCAGCAAACCACCACACCTGTAAGCATCGATACCGATCCAAGCCGAGGTGAGCATCTATATATAGGCGGGAGCAGCAGTATAAAACGCCGGGCCGCTCGCCCGGTGTCGTGCCCCCCATTCACCGCAGTCCACATCGCCAACCCAGCCTTTACCAGCCCTTGATCCGCTGCAACAAGCCAAACATGCTTTCCCTCCGCCATCTCTTCCTTGCCATCGCCGTCCTCGGGGCGGCGCCCATGGGCCTGGCCGCGCCCTCGCCCGCCGAGGACTCGCTGGCTCACCATGCGGAACGCGATTGTATGTCCACACTCTGAAGCCCCCTCCCATCCTCCCTCTTCGTGGGCCAAACGTGGCCAGTGCCAATGGCGCCTGGACAAAAACATGAGAAGCCCGAGAGAAATTGACGCCGGCTTCTCATCGCAGTGGACGTCGACGCCGCCCAGTTTGAGCAGCGCGATGTGGCCGAGGAAGCGGAAGCGGAGGAGGAGGAGGATGCCGAGGATGTTCTCGACGTGCTCTCGGGCCGTGCCCCGGCCGCCGGCTGCTACACCACCAGCCAGAGGGGCAAGAACTGCCACTCGGCTCAGTGCCCCGGCAGGACGCAGTGCAAGCTCAACAATCGCGGCAGGTGTGTCTGGGCCAAGCCCAAGAGGCAGAGGCCCTTTGGCTGCAGCCAATGCCGGTGTGCCAAGTTCACCTAGGGGCTCGCCCAAGGTCTGTTCCCGAGTGGTTGGCCATCCGGAAGCTTGTGCATAGTGCTCGGGGGGCAGAGTACTATAGTTCAGTCAGGTGTCAGGTTCATAGTATGAGCTAAACGAGCAAGCCTTCTCAGTGTTGCCTGGGGGTTATCGTCGGTGACACCAAGATGCAAATGTGCTTACGGTACCCTTGCGTTACAGCTGCGCACCTGCACTCATCAAGCCCTGCTACGGTGCATTTGAGGCCAAGCAAAGATGGCTCTATTCGCCTATCGCTTGAGAGGTCCGAAGCTGCAACCGCGATCCGGACAGCTACCTGGGAGACCGGGGGTTGAGCAGTACACTGCTGGCCGCCCAGGCCACGCGGTGGAATAAGTCTTTGATCTTCGTCCCGGAGCTGTGGTCCAGACTTTAGCATGACTTGGCCGGAATATTGAGAGACATGCCGTGACTGACTCGACCAGGTCTTCTTGGCGGTACACACGACGCATGCCATCTATTTCCTCATATCTGATCCGAGCTCACGACTATAAATGCCGGCGAATGCCAGGGGTCCGCGGGTCAGACTACATTATCTGAGCCATGGCTGCCATGGTATTGTCGGCATCGGTGTCGCGCGCAGACAACGGCCATCCGCGTCCATGTTGCCGACTGAGGCCGTCCAGGAAGATGCAGCGACTGTATGCGCGGTTGGTGTCACGCAAGGTGAGCAGAAGGGGAGAGATGACGTACAGCGAACAGTGGCCGAGTTAATGCGAACGATTCTGAAGGTGATGTGATTTCGGGTTTGCGTGGGATGAAAAGGTGTAACTGCACTGAATGGAACGAGGATATTGACAACGCCTGGATATCGGATGGATTCAAAGGCAGGAGATGCCTGGACCATTTGCTGTTGTTACATGGACCTGTTGAGACTCCCATGTCATTCTAGAAGACCTTTCGCTCCTCACAAGCCCACGTCATCCGCTGACACCACAGATCATGCGCGGAGAAGCTCGGACGGACTACGGTATGGAAAACATCTTACGGTTCATGCCCAGAGGAGTTCGGACGGACTGCGGGATGGGGGGCGCCTGCAGCTTTCTTGTATAGCTGTCTCCAGTAGGCCTGCGTCGGCCGAAGATATGACTCGGCGCACAATCTAGAACTATTATTCATTATTCACTTAGGCCACCTAGAGGGCGCCGGCCGGCCACAGTGGGAAATACCCATTCATTTCAGATTGGCAGCACACAAGTAAGCCTCCAGTTGTCCCGACCCTGGCTTGAGTGAATACGACAACACCGCTCAGCCTCATGCGATCCAGTATCCACCATCTTCGAAACCGTCCTGTACGCGTACCCCAGGCGGTGGCCCACAATTCGAGATTGTCCAACGTCTATGCTTGCTGCCACCGGTGCTGCGGGTATATGACAGATTGCCGCGCGAATTCGACTGTCTTCCCTTCGTCTATAGATGATTCTTCATGCATTGTACGTGAAAAGTGGGGAGAGTGCGAAAAGATTGCGTGTGTATATCGCAAGTCCGAAACATGAGAAGACGGCAAAACCCAGCACGCAATGGACTTCATGTTGGCAGCAGGGCTTGGCTTCTATGATGGTGGATGCCCTCGAGCCCTTAATATCCAAGGACCATGGCCTGCGAAATGAAATTCGATGGTTAAGGGACACACAAGAGGGGAGGGCGGGCCAGCTTGAGTCGAGCTCTTTGCGCCCTCTTCCACATTCGCGGCCGTTGTCGCCGGCGACGCTCGACTATTTATTCTCTCGTTTCCCGACCCAGCTAACAACACGAGCATGATCTCACATGATCTCACATCAACTACAAATCAACCGCATTCTTTCTTTCACTATGAAATACTCATTCCTTTTCGCTGCTGTCGCAGCTGTTCAGCCGACCGTCTATGCCATGCCGGCCGGGTCCGACAGCAATACCGCTGCCGGCTCCGCCTTGCCGCCGGTGCCGGCTCCGGTCCAGGCGGAGCAAGTCGCCACGGAGGTGGCCGAGAACCTGGAGAAAGTTGGTCTTTCCCAGGACGTTGCCGAGCAGATTTCACAGGAAGCCGCCAAGGACCTTGGGAAAGGCGACGAGGTGAAAATGGACGACGTCGTCAAGGCCATCGGTGACGTCGGCAAGGCTGCCGCCGACGCCGCCAACAGCAACGCGACCCAAGTCGCCGTCATTATCTCTGCCATCAAGGGAGTGACCGATGTTACTCTGCAGAATGACACTGCCTCTACCGCTGCCATCGCCGCCGCCGCCGCCGCCGCCGCCGCCGGAGAGTCCAAGGAAAATGTTCGAAGCATCGCCGAGTCTGCCATGAGCAGTGTCAATGAGGCCGCCGGCAATGATTCCGAGACCCTTCAGCCTCTTTCCAAGCGACAATTTCAAGCCTTTAATCCCTCGCGCGCTTGTTCAACCGATATATGCAGGGCTTGCGTTCCATTCGCCTACGACCTGGCGTTTCGAAACTACAATCTTCAGTTTATCAGCTCCTCCGTTTCAGCCGCCCTGTACTTGTTTCCTTTCCTTTCCATTCAGCTGTTCACGACTTATACTTGGGAAATCGGGAACCTCGACCCTCAATCTGCTGCTGAAGACGTCGAGTATATCGTGGTTAAAACGACTCGGAACTTGGCGGGCCAGAATCAGATGGAAAGGGGCCTTGCGAAAACTGTTTCCAGTTTTATCGGTCAGGCGGCCGAGTCGAGCAACAACATCCCCATGGCTCAGCCTGCTGCACCCCAGGCCGCCCAACGGCCCAAGGAGGTGCCCAGTGAGTCGGGACCCAAGGATGGCAGCATTAGCACCGGCACCAAGCCCAGCATTGCGCCCGGCGAGAAACCCTCAGGCGCTGCTTTGCAAGGGAGCCCCGAAAGCAACACGGACGATGCCGTCGTTGCGCCCGGGGACGGCGACGCGAGGCAGCAAAGCCCTCCCGCCCGGGAGGAGAGCGACGTGCCAGAGCCAGATGAAGACTGCGGTGAGCAAGCGGCTGGTCCCCCGCCAAACCAGGTTGGAGGATCCGAGGGCTCCGTGGGTTCCGTGGCCCCGGTCGACGTCCAAAACACGGCGCCAAAGGAGGTCTCCCAGCCGTCCAAGGATAAAGGCTCCGCGTTGGAGCAGGGCCCAGGACAGCCCGAGTCGGCCCCAGAGAATCAGCAGAAGCCCCGCACTCACGACCAGTGTTCCCAGCTCTATGCTGATCCAAAGGATTCAAAGAACTATATAATATGTCGTCTCCAGCTCCCCAAAGACTCTTCCGGTCATAAGTCTACTTGTTTCGATCGTGCTTTTGATTCGCGGGGTTACTGCGAGAACCTTAACGAAGCCAATCAGACGTGTGGAGATCGCGCCAGTCGTACTTATCAGCAGTGCGACGAAGGGCGATGGGGGACCGAAGAGGACGACTTTACCGAAGAACTGGCAGAGATTTATAAAGCTCTCTCTCAGTGCCTTCCAGACGCCGAAAAAAAGTTCAACAGTTGCCTGGATTCACAAATAATTAGTGAGACTTGCTACTTTAACACGGTCGCGCACGTCTATCACCCGTGCATGATGCGGAATACGAACTTGGGTGTCCAGAAGGAGGCGCAGCAAGGGTGCTACAAAAAAGCTCAAGATGTGTTCATTGACTGCTGGAAGACGGAACAAACCTCTCGGTTGTTCTATTCATGCAATATTGAGGCTTTGCGGGTCTTTCGGCAAGAGTGCCCCAAGCAAGGGGCGGGTCCCACGCCAAACCAGGTTACAGAATCCGTGGCCCAGGTCGGCAGCCAGAATACCGCGCCGCCGGAGGAAGCCCTTCATACGGTGGCACATTAGCTAAGGTCCGTAAAGTATGCTAAAACCTAAACCTACTAAATTACTATACTACTTTATTATATATCGTTCCTAGTAAGATTCTCGTACGTATATAAAAAAAATAAAGTATTACGGAGTAAGTAGAGGTAGGCGTAAAGAAAGCTTTGCCGGAAGCTGCAGAAGAGGTTTATAACGTCCTTGATCAGTGCCCAAGCTGCGAAAATTGGGCATCTACGGAGCAGGAATGCAGCCCAGGGCAGATTGAGGATCTTCTACGGTGCATCATGGTGAGGACAACCCCGGGTGTCCAGGAAGCGCCGCAGGCCAAGTGCCTCCAGGAAGCTGGAAAAAGTCTCGATGCATGCAAGGCGGACCTTTCAAAGGTGGAGACGTGGTTTAGGTGCAAAGTCAGGGCTTTGTATGGCTTTCGGCGGAATTGCCCCAAGCAAGCCTAAAGCGCCCTTCAGGCAGACTAGCAGTCAATCCCACGCTATGCGAGCTGGGGAGTAATTACTTTGCAGTCATTCTCGGGCGCGTCTCCTCTTCGCTGTGGTGCTGGTGCTGGTGGTGCTGGTGCTGGTGCCGCTGCTCCTGCTGCCGCTGCTGCGGTGCATGCTGGGCCACGGCACACGAATCGCATGCGTAGATCCCGCGTCCTTGATAAATCTCGCGAGGATGATATTATCACAGACGCCGCCATACATGTGCGACGACGGGGGCCGTTGGCATGTGACGAGGAGCGCCTCCACTTGTGACTCTGTGAGTCAGTCAGTCTCCTCCCCTCCCCCCTCATGTCATCATCCATCATCCTCTCCCGCCCGCCCAAGACAAAAGCCGCAACAACCCCTAACCATGAAGCTCTCCGTCTTCAGCGCAAAGGCCTACGACCGACACCACCTCGACCGGGCCGCCCAGGCCCAGGCCCAGCCCCGGCCCCGGCCCCGGCCCTCGTCGCCGGTCCCCATCGACATCACCTACCACGACTTCCCGCTGTCGCCCGAGACGACGGCCCTCGCCGCCGGCGCCGACGCCGTGTGCGTCTTCGTCAACGACACCGTCTCGGCCGCCGTCGTCGACGCCCTGGCCGACCTCGGCGTCGGCGCCGTCCTGCTGCGCTGCGCCGGCTTCAACAACGTCGACCTCGCCGCCGCCCGCCGCCGCCGCCTCGTCGTCGCCAACGTGCCCGCCTACGCCCCCGACGCCGTCGCCGAGTTCGCCGTCGCCCTCATCCAGACCCTCAACCGCCGCACCCACCGCGCCTACAACCGCGTCCGCGAGGGCAACTTCTCCCTCGACGGCCTGCTCGGCCACACCCTGCGCGGCAAGACCGTCGGCATCGTCGGCACCGGCCGCATCGGCCTCGCCACCGCCGCCCTCCTCGCCGCCTTCGGCTGCCGCGTCCTCGCCCACGACCCCGTCCCCCGCCCCGACGCCCTCGCCCGCGTCGGCGGCACCTACGTGTCGCTCGACGACCTGCTCCCGGCCTGCGACATCCTCAGCCTGCACTGCCCGCTGACCGACGCCACCCGCCACCTCATCGACGACGCCGCCCTCGCCCGCGTCAAGCCCGGCCTCATGCTCGTCAACACGTCGCGCGGCGGCCTCGTCGACACCCACGCCGTCATCCGCGCCCTCAAGACCAACCGCCTCGGCGCCCTCGCCCTCGACGTCTACGAGGCCGAGGGCGCCCTCTTCTACGACGACCACTCGGCCGACATCATCCAGGACGACGTCCTCATGCGCCTCATGACCTTTCCCAACGTCCTCGTCTGCGGCCACCAGGCCTTCTTCACCGTCGAGGCCCTCACCGAGATTGCCGAGTCGACCATGCGCAACCTGCAAGAGTTTGCCGCCTCGGGCTCCTGCCAGAACTCCCTGACCAAGGACCCGGCCCCCCAAGGGCGCGAGCCCCTGCCGGTGCGAAACGTCTAGCAGACAGGGCACCGTCATGCTTGTCTGTTCCCACTGTCATCGTCCAATCATGTACACTGCCGCCAAGGCAGCGCGCTCTCTCTTCTCAGGAATATCGGCCAGGCCAGGGCAGTCGGGGGACGGAGCAATCAATATTCATCAAGGTCTGTAACGTAGCCCTCTCCCACAGGGCAGCCATCAACAGGTGTCCCTCGTCATCCTCACCCCTGCAAGCCCATTTGTCTCGCTCCGCTACCGCAACTCCACATCAAGCCTCACGATGCCCTGCACCTCCTCCACCAAGTCGACGCTCACCGTCCCGCTCATCCGCTCGCCCCCCCGGGGCCTCCTGCGCGCAAAGTAGCCCTGCGGCGGAGACTCTGCCTCGACGGGCGTGCTGCCCGCCGCCCCGTCATACCTCTGGAGGTACACGAGGCCCGCGTCCCACCGGCCGTCTTCCTCCTCGTCGCCCTCCACCATGGCAACGTCTCCTTCGTAGTCGATGCGCCGCACGCTCCCGTCTCGCTGCACCGTCGTCTTGGTGTAGGCCTCGGAGCCGCCCGCCTCCACCGCCCACGTCTTGGCCCAGCCCTCGGCGCTAAAGGCCCAGATGATCATCTCGGGCGACGATTCCAGCGCCAGCTCGCTCAGCTGGCTGCACGTCGCTACTGCTTGTCCGCTGATCTCGATGGGGTACGCCGTGCTGCTCTGAAAGGGCTCGCTAAAGATGTCGACGGCACGGTAGCTTTCGTCGGGCTGCCACGCCGCATTTCCCGCAGCCGATTCACCCGCCGACGGCGGGGAGACGACAACCCCCGGGGTCGTGTCGTGGAACAAGTCTGGTGGCACAGAGTAAAACACCACCACCTGGCGATATGTTGCCGCCTGCTCCGTCGCCTCCGCGGCTCCTCCGGCCGCAAATGAAGCCACCACGCGCACCCCGTGGCGAGTATCTGCCCCGGCGGCATACAGGATCGGCGCTGGCGAGACGGCGGCTGCCGGTGGTCGGAACCATACCTTGCGCAGCAGACGAGTCAGGGAGCCCACCGGGGCATCCGTCCCGAGGCAGAGGTTGCCCGTCCTGGGATCCGTAAACAAGATGTGGTATCCGTCGCTCAGGGGCACCGCGCGGTAGTGGTCCGCGCTCCCCGCCGAGACCCTGCGGAAGTGGTCTACATGTCTCTCGTCGCCGCCCAGGAGACCGCTCGGCCGCCTCGGCGTGGCCCAGTCCGGCAGAGCCCCCGCCGGGAGCGGGCCTTGGCTGCTCAATGGCTGGCCCGGGACCGAGGTTGTCAGCGACACGACCGCCGAGCTGCCGGATCCGAGAAGGCTTGTGCCGAATCCATGGAGTATGTCGCCGATCGAGTCGATTGTATTCGCGAGGGCGGCTGCCGAGCTGATGAGCCTGAGTCTCTTGGCCGTATCCAGCCCCCGCCGAGCCGGCAAGAAGTAAAGAAAGTCGCTTGCAGAGGAGAGGGGGAACCAGCGGCTGAGGTCCTGGCCCGCCAGGGCATCGACCCAGTGCAGCTCGATGCCGCCGCCGCACCCAAAGGCCACGCAGTTTCGTTGCGGGCATATCGCCACGGATCGTGGAGGGTCGTCTGCGTGGCAAATGTTCCGGTAGACAGACCGTTGCCCGCCCTCGACGCGCGGCGAGCGGTGCGGCGAGCGCTCGTGGCAGACGCACGACCTCGACGCTTTTGCTGCCGGGTGAGGAGACGTCGTGCCAGAGGCCGGGGCCGAGCTCTCGTTCGAGGCTGGAGGGCACGGCGACTTGGGCCACCTCTGGCCCTCGCGCACAATGTCGCACACCATGCCCACCCGTCCGTCCATGAGGAACGCAATGGCGTAGCGCCCGGCCGACGTGTCCATGCTGCACGATATAATGCGTCGGGGACAGACCACAGTCGTGACAGGACGCAGGAAGCCCAGGGGCATGCCCTGCCGGCGCCGCAGGGGAATCGACCACGCCGACCGGCCCGGGGGACAGACGTGGTTGAGCTCGTAGACGTGGGCAATCTGGCCGTGCGTCGCCGTGACATACCTTCCGCAGAGGCTCACGGTAAACGTCACGGCGCCGTGCAGGCTGCCGGCCTTGGTCATTTGCACCATGTCGCCAAAGTCGGTGTGTCCAACCTCGGCGAAGGCGCGCTGCCTGGGGTCGGAAAGATTGCACTCCCTCGAGATCCATTTGCTCATGATGCGCTCCTGGTTGAGGCCCGGCGACCTTGCCACGTTCATGGGCGACAGGATCCGCAGGATGCTGCTCTACCATCCGCCCTTCCTGAGCATCTCCATGAGCAGCACGCGGTTGAGGCTCGCGACGAACCACGACCGGCAGCTGTGGCGCGCGGCGTTGAAGTCGCCGGGGGTCAGGAGAAGGTATATCTGCTGTATAATCTCTGTCGGAACCTTCATCGAGCTCGGCTTGCCTGACGTGACGCGCACTACCCGTCAGCGCCCTCTCTACCAGAACCGCGGCCCTCTCGTCCTCACCGTCGTAGTCGCTCTCGTGGCCTGTGCACATGCTTTCGGGGATCTTTTCCACGTCGGCCTCTCGACCCGGCAGGGCGCGAAGCCTTGCGCTGCCGCTCGAGATGAGCGCCACGAGGGCCATGGTGCCCAGTGCTCTCTCCTCCGGCGTCGGTGGCTGCGAGGGGCCCGTCGATTGCTTCCGGGGCCGGGTCCCTGCAACGCCGCGCGAGACGAGGATCTGCCAAGACGTCTTGATGGCTGCCTCCCAGGCAGAGGCGGCTTGCGATTTGAGAGGGGAGTTTGTTCAAAACAATAAAGGCGATCGGCACGGAGACAAAGAGCTGTAGGTACGGCAGTAGCAGGCGTCCACGCCGATGCGAGGATCGAGCTGGGTGGTGGCAATCTTAGGTGGATGAGGCGAGGTGGTTCAGCTTCGAGTCTTCATCGTCGGAGCCTGCCTCGGGTGGATCAGCCTCGTCCAGGTTCTTGCCGCCCGTGTTGGGTTCCTGGGCCGTTCCTCCTTCGCATAAAAGGGGGGCCAGGAAAACCACGATCCTCAAAGACATTCATTTGATGCAAAAAATATGTTTGCCTATAGACTGCTTCCAGCTTCTCATCCACTGCAGTGCATGTGCGTATGTACTTGGTATAACATCAAGGCAAGAAACCCTTGCTCCCTTCAGGCATAATAAACCAGTGCTGAAACAAGGCTCGAAGCGCCAGCATATCGTTCGTCTCTCATTTCCAGGCTCGGTGGCAGTCTCATGAAGCAATTTACCTGTACCTTCTACTCCCCCTCCCATTGTCTACCCATACGTTGTCATCGCCAATGCCCAGCGAACTATCCACATCAGGCAACACAAACGCCGGCCGGCTCTGCGACGACCGATCTGCTTCGGGCTCGGTCTCCCCGTCTTCAGGCGGTATCGACGGGGGCGGGTCCTTGTATATCCAGGGTCCTTGGAGGCTGCAAAGGCCGAGTCAGTTGGTATTCACAAGACGCTGCGGCTGAGGCAAATGCCATTCAGGCTGGGCCAACTTACGGAACGACAAGACTCGGATTGACAAACACCAAGCCCTTTTCCCTGAGCTCGTCCAGGGTGCTTCCCCTTCGCAGCGGGACCCTCGATGGCTGCGACGAGTCCGAGTCGTCGTCAGAAGAATCCACAATGACCTCGTCCCCGGCGGCCTGCCTGCCTGGCCTCTTAATGGCGCGCAGGGCAATGTACCTTGTCAGAGGCTCGAATCTCCGCTTAAAGTAGTAGCTATACCAAATCGTAAAGGGGATAAGCGGAAGAATGGCCGCCGACTGCACAAAGGCCGACAGCGATGCAATCTGCCCGACCATGACAACCTCAAACACGATGAGACCGACGACGATGCGGTAGCAGATTATGCGCCACGCGCCGCCCGTCGCATGCTGCGGCTGGTCCATTGCGTACAGCACCATGTACTTGAAAGTCAGGTATCCGAGCGCGAAATAAATGGTCCCAAAGACGAGGATGGCGAAGCCCCACATGAGCACGCTGTAGATGACGCACAAGTTGAAGACGAGCAGCGATGTAGGCAGGTAGAAGCCGTACTGGAAGACGGGGGGCTTCTTGAGCTCGGCAAAGTCGCGCGGCGTCGTCGACATCATCCGATATGTGGGATACAGGAACACGCTGCCGACCTCGAGGATCCGGAACGGCATCAGCCCAATGCCTTGGAGCATGATGAAACTGATGTAGAAGATGGACATATCTTCCACGTCGACCGCAATGGCGGCCGGGATCTTGCTCGTGTCCTTCAGCATGTCTTGCAGGACGCTCCAAAAGTCGAACCCGGTTCGCGACACGGCAAAGACGAAGAAGGTGTTGAAAAAGGTAAAGAAGAAGTTTTTGGATATCACCGACAGCTCCACGTCGCCTTGGGAAATCATGCCCTGGTGGTTGGAGAGCCAGTCGTAGAGGTACGGCACGGCAACGTTGAGCAAGGAGACGACGAGGGTTGGAAGGCCGTTTTGGAAGAGCGTTTGGATAATGGGGTGGCGGGATAGCCAGTGGGCAAAAGTTGGCAGCACGCGCTTGATGGTGCAGATGCTTAGCCATGAGGCGAGGAAGGCGGTCGGGAAGATCCACAGGAGCGTGAGGACCGTGATGAACAAGGTGATGGACCACGACTTGAGCCTCCGGACGCCGCGCGGCGAGTACGTGTTCTTCCAGACCAGGTCCGACGGCGACGGCGTCGACTTTGTCAAGAGGCAGCCGGGCCGAGCGTCTATCCTGGCCTGGATGAGCATGAGGCAAGACCTGACCGAGTCCATAGTCACCAGAGCCATGTCGGTGGCTTCGTACTCTTTCTTGCGAGCCTCGATGACCTTTTCGTCGATCCGGCGGAGCTTCTCCTCGTAGTAGTCGATGGCGTCAACCTTGCGACTGCGCATCTTGAGGGGTCCGTATCGAATGGTGATCCGAGGCCGGTCGCCCTCGAAGACGTGTGGCTGGTGCGGGTCGCTGGCGAGAAGACGGGCATTGTCGCCAGACTCCTCGTCGCCTCCATCGTCGCGGCCGGGAGCCTGGGTGGAGTCGCTGTGCAGCTTGGGGCCCGTCTCCTGCTTCTTCAGGAGCGTGGCCCACGCGGCCTCCAGCCTGCGCAGCGTCTGGTCCCTGTGTCCGATCAAGGCATCAAGCGCCCCCCACTTGCGGCACAGCGTGACCGAGTCGACGCGGCCAATCTCAAGTTTCTCGATGAGGCGCCTGATGTCGGCTTCGGAGCGGTAGGCAGGCGGGATGCCCGTCAAGCGAAAGGTCCGGTCCGTGACGGTCGACTGCGAGCCGAGATATTTCTGTCGGAGGTGGATAATGCGAAACGTCTCCCAGTTGATGGAGTAGAGGGCCAGCCCAGTAAAGAAGTAGGTAAAGACGACATACGCCCACAGGTAGGTGCGCTCGCCGCTCTTGTCGTCGGGCACTCCGTCACCGTCGTGGCGATCTGGCGGCCGACTGCGTCCGAGGGTTGGTTGGAAGTGGCGGTAGTGGTGGTTGATGGGCCAGAGAATGACGACGGCAAAAAAAGACATGACGCAAAAGAGACGGGTCGCCATTTTGAAGAAGGTCAGGAACTAGGGGGTGCCGCGTGTCAGGAACCTTGAGACTCGACGTTTAAACAACAAACATACCACGAATGCGTCGAGGCCAGCCGACGCAAGGACCTGGTCCTCGGTAACCCTATACAGCCTAGGGATCCAGCCGAAAAAGGAGGATGGAAGCGTGGGCAGGCTGACGTTGGTATCGAGCCGGCGCTTGCGCGCAGAATAGAGGAACGGCCATCGAGGGCGTAGAAACTGCGTGGTTGGGCAGCGTTAGCAGAGCCGGCGGCGACGAGAGGCGAGTCGTCGGCTTACGCAGAAGGCGAGCAGGGCAGAGACGCCGAGGACGAGGGACAGGATCAGCTGGACCTCGAGGTCCTTTTGGTTCTTGGACGGCGGCTTGGCATAGTCTTGCGGGCTGCACGTCTCGTTGTTTTCGTTGCTGTTCATGTTGCCTTGTTCAGGCCTGGCGGCTCCCGCCGGTGGGAGCGGCCTGCGGGGGGATTATGGCGCTATCGGGGAGGGGCTGGATGGGCGTCGGACGGAGCGGTCGAGAAGCCAGGCGAGGGGTTTGTCGGGTGAGATGCCGGGGAGAAGTTGGAGCTTTGGTTTGCGTATTGAAGCATCCAGAGTCAAGACTCAGGAGTCGAGACTAGAGGAGAGTAGCGGGAGGCGTTATGTAATCAGTCGCTGCTTGGTGACGTCGCGAAGCAATCATGTGCCAGGCTTGGCGCGATATTACCTAAGCGGTGCTGCTGATTGATTGGCTGATTGTGCTAATGCCTGGTACAAGGTACGTACAAGGTACGTCGCACACACAACGTCTCGCCAGCACTCAACTTCATCAACTCCCAAACCATCGACTTTCGCCGGCTACACATGAGAAGAGTCACGTCACGGGGCAGTTCAGGCAACTCGGGGCTCTCAAACCCTCATTCTCATCCCCCTTTGAGCCCTGGAAAATTCAAGAGATACTCAGGAGCTGGAGGCAATCTTAATCTGATGGCCAAATACTGGGCGGCTAAGATGCTTGGCTGGGTGTCAGTGGCGGTTTTGAAATTCCAAAAAGCGACCTGAGTTGGGGCTTTTTGAAAGTCTGCCCCAGGTAAAATACTGACAGAGACGACCTATGCCGTCAATAATCAAACTCGTCACTCAAGCTCATTCAGCCATGGTTGCAGGTGCAGTTGATTAGGACCACCAACAGCAGTTGATTCAAGTCTGGCCAAAAGCCTCTATCAAGAAGTGATTTTAAGTACATAATGTGAATACATTTCAGAATGCAAAATATTTCACGATCCGGAGCCGTTGATATGTCAGCGAGGACGGCCGAGGAAAGAGATCCAACACCACCAGGTGAAGATGGCGGATGCGATTAGGCGCCGACGGGGTCGGTGCAGAGGACGGCAAGGCCAGCCTGCGACTTGTTAGTCTGGCATGCAAATTATGGACAGCTGGCTGGCCACTTACAACGGGGATGGAGCAGCACTGAGCCTTGCGACCCTGCTTCCCGCAAATGGACTGGAACGAGGAGCCGGCGCTGGGCCTCTCGCTCGCTGTGGATAATGTTAGCCGAGTGAAGCATGGAGAGATGGGGCGAGGTCAAGACATACGGGTCTTGCAGTCGAGGTCGGCAACACCGAGGATACCAGTCTGGCAGCACTGGGGAGTGGAGTAGAGGAGACCGGCGGGGCAGAGATCAAAGCTGCCGCCACCGTTGTTGCCACCGTTGTTGCCGCCATTGTTGCCGCCGTTGTTGCCACCGTTGTTGCCGCCGTTGTTGCCGCCGTTGTTCCAGTTGCCTCCATTGTTGCCGTTGTTCCAGTTGCCGCCGTTGTTGCCGTTGTTGCCGTTGTTCCAGTTGCCACCGTTGTTGCCGTTGTTCCAGTTACCGCCATTGCCACCGTTGTTCCAGTTGCCGCCGTTGCCGCCATTGTTCCAGTTGCCACCGTTGTTCCAGTTATTGGGGTAGCCGCCGCGAGGGTAGCCCTTGTTGTAAGGGTATCCGCTGTTGGGGAATCCGCCATGGCTAGGGAAGCCGCCGTGGGGGTAGTCCTTGTGGCTGAAGTCCTTGTGGTCAAAGTCCTTGTGCCCAAAGTCTTTGTGCCCAAAGTCCTTGTGGTCATGGAAGTCACCATCGTGGTGGTCGTGGACGGGATAGTCGTCGCCGCGGCGGTACCCGGCGTAGTGGTCGTTGCCGCGGCTGGGGAAGTCGGAGCCCTTGGGGTAGGAGCCGCCAAGAGGCAGGCGGTAGACATCCTTGGAGTAGTCGCCGTTGCCGTGGTTGTGGCGGTTGCCATCCTTGTACTGGTGGGCGGAGTACGAGTCATCGTTGCCGTAGCCCGTGTTGCCAGCGGGATAGCTGTCGGAGCGCTCCTCGAGAGGGGCGGCGATGGCAGAGGCCAGGAAGACGGAGGCGACAGCGACGAACTTCATGTTTGCGGTTGGTGGTTTTGTTGGTGGTGTTGGAGAGAAGAGAGTGTCAAAAAACCTAACGAAGGTGGGCTTGGAAAAGAGCGAAGAGTGAGTGACTGGGTTGTTGCTGAGTTGAGCTGATGAGGAAAGAAAGCTGTCCTTGGCCGGGCGCAGGACCTTCTTTTATACACGGATGAGCCCCCCTCAAGCTCTGCACACATCATGACCTTGAGACTCTACGACGTTTACCCAGCTACCAGCCACGGACTCTTTGGTCTCACGGACAGCAAAGGGAGAGGGGGCCGAAATCTCATAGAACTGACACCTCCTGTTGGTAGAGCTGAGATGCTAGCGACAAGTCAGACATGGACTTTGATGCCCGCTCGAGCAACTACATTAGAGTGAAGACGCATGACGCGAGTGTTGGCGCCCGCTTGGCCTCTCTAGTCTGATGGGGAGGTGCAGAAAAAGCAAGGCCGGCCCCCGACACGCAGTTCCGCGGCCCATCCCGCCGACCGATCCCTGTCTTTTCTCCCTCGTTCTGCGTCCAACAACCACTTCAGCCGCTATATTTCCCGCGCCTGATCTGAGACGGCTATCTATTCATCGGGCAACGCTCGACTTGTCTTATTGGCCCAGTCCAGCCGCAGGCTTGTCCTTTTCTCCGGGGCCCAAGCATCTCTTCCATCTCCCCTTTTTTTACTAGGTTTTTCTTCTCCATCCCTTCAGGAGGCGAACAGACCAGGCAGGGGGGCAAGATGCAGGGCGGAATCCCCCCTCGATTCGACCTACCAGCCCCCCCGGCTTCGATCCATGGGGTGTTTGACCGAATTGAGCCCCCGCAAATGACCGTTGCCCCGACCTTTCGCCGGAGGCAAGATTGATAATACTGCGACGACGTTGGCCTCGCTGTCTTGCTGCGCTCTGACACTCAGGCCACAATGGCCAGGAAGGGTTCCTTTTGCGGGGACTGTGTCTGCTCATCCATGGCCATGCTCGTACTCGATACGGCGCGGGTCGACACAATGAGGGAGGATGGCAGGTTCCCATGACATGAGCCGCCACGGCAGCCTTTACCGAGAGAAAGATGCGCCACAGATGAGGGAAGCGAAGCGGCCGAGACTAGAGAGTAGAGACGTTGCAGTCTCGCTCGTATGGGTCGATGTCTTAGCCGCGCTTTGTCAGGGCTGCCAGGCCCAGAACTCAGAAGTGACAGACGGCCGATGGATCCGAATGGCGTGCAGCCGCCGCATGTACACTCTATGGCTACACAGATGGAGACGTGGGCGGCGGCGGCGCGAGCTCGTGGGAGCTCGGGGAGGTTTTCCAAGTCAATGGCGGCTCACGGAGGTGGGAGAATCAGAGCACAGCACAGTAACTCGTCTGGTGCGGGAGCAGCTAAAACAATGATGATTACAAAACAACCCGATGCCCGATGCCCGATGCCCGTTGCCCGTTGCCCGTGCTAGGGGGCGGAGCCGGCGGCCGGCGGCGCAGAGTCAGAGGGCTAAAGGGGGTTATCACAAAGGGTTGTCACAAGGAGGCCACTGCGAGACAGCTGAAGTGATTCAGGGCGGCAAGGGCGCCTCGACGAGCACATGCAAATTAACAACATGGCCAACGCCGGACGGGCGGGAGGGAGAGGATACATGTATCGGCGTGTTCCCTCACTGGAGACGGTGAACAGTCGCTTTCGTTTTTCTTGCCAGAATCCACACACCCACGCCTGTCATGGTGGAGTGGAAGCGGACCAAAGTCGGCGATGGAAGCCAGAGGGTCCGGGCAACGCACTCGCAACCTTTCTTTGTCGTCCTCTGTTGATGCCGTGTATGCACCTCCCTGGAGTCCCTGCCTGCTTGATCTGGCCGTGTTGGGCATATCCCTTCCGTCCAAGCAGGCCGCAGCGCAGGAGATGATGCGCCGCTTCCATCCTTCAGTCCCACAGCGCCGGGCTGCTGCCCCGGCTCTCAGTAACGGGCTGTTTGAACTTTGAAGTAGGTCTTGGAGTAAGTGCCTGACTGCCTGTGACTCTTGCACTTGAGCCATACGGGGTGACAGGTCGCGTACTTCTGACCTGTGTACAGACACGATGCCCTCAACACCGTCAACCATGCACTTCTCCTTGCCAGCTCCTCCATTTATTTATTGCCCGACTTGAGCTCAAACTGACCGCGTCCTCTTGGATCAACTTCTCAAGTCCCGAAAGCATCATGGCATCGCATCACCTGCGCCCCTTGCTCTCCCCCCCTCCCCCTCTCTCTCCCTCTCGGGTGCTCTAGCAAGGCGAAGCTGCCACAGTGAAAGAGGAAAAGGAGGCTCCAGGCTTCGGGCCTGGCTTCAGGCTTGGCTTCAGGCCTGGTTCCCCCGGAGGCGGGTCGGCCCGCGCAAAGCCAATGGCCTCGGGCCGCCACTGCCAGCTGACGCCAACTGCGACTCCACGTCACTTCAGGCCTTCATGCTTGAGCCTCCTTCGCCACTTTTCCTTCTTCGCAACACCAACAGCCAGACCTCCCGTGCCCCGTCCAGCCCGCCGCTCGCAGCATTCATTCAGGTCGGCGCCGCCGTCGCCGTCCTCGACTGCGCTACTCCCATCCCGGGCCATGGCGCCGTCCGACGACGCCGAAGCGTCTCCCCTCGACGGCGTCTACCACTCCCTCAAGACACTGCTGCTCGACCACAAGTACGCCGACCTCGTCATCCGCTGCGGCGGCCAAGACTTCAAGGCCCACCGAGCCATCGTCTGCCCGCAGTCTTCCTTCTTCGCCAAGGCCTGTGACAACGGCTTCAAGGTACGTCGGATGATGCATCAAACACTTGCATCTCATTCAAGGCGCCCTTGGCCCACGTTTCTGGCGCCGACTTCAGCCACAGGAAGCCGAGACCGGCGTCATCGACCTGCCCGACGATGAGCCCGAGATCGTAACCCACTTCCTCCAGTTCCTCTACACGGGCAACTACCAGGACGGCGAGCACCTGGTCCTCGACAAGCCCGCCCACGCCGCAACTCTGACCCTCGACGACGTTGGACGCGAGCTGCAAGCCCCCCTCGGCGTTGTCACGGGAGGCCAGTGGGATCGCTTCAAGCGGCCGAGGCTCAGGAGCCAGGTGCACGCCACGCTATGCGGCGCCGACGACGGTCATCAACCGGGGCCCGACGACGATGAGGAGCCCGGGAGTGAGTCCAATGCGGACGAGTCGAGCGACGAGGAGTCAAACGACGACGACGACGACGAGGCTGAGGTTGGCCAAGTTGAGGCTGGCCAAGTCGGCCTTGACCAGGTCGACGTGGAAGAGCCCAGGGAGGAATACTCTTCAGGATCCGAGGCCGACGAAGCCCCAGCCACGGAAGACGACGCCGTGGACATACAGGCTTACAAGCACGACCGCCCCACCAGCCTCGCCACCTCTCTCCGCGTCTACGTCATGGCCGACAAATTCGACGTCCCCGCCCTCATGCTCCTCGCCCGCGAGCGCTTCTGGAACACGGCCCGCCAAGTCTTCGAGACGCACCCGGACTTCCCCGCCGTCGTCGACGAGCTCTACCAGACGACAGCCCCCTCGGACTGTGCCATGCGCGAGATCCCCTGCCGCCTCATCGCCGCCAGCTTCGCCTGGGGCGCGCCCACCTGCAAGGCCCTCGAGCCCGTCATGTGCAAACACGGCGATCTGGCCCTCGGCGTCCTCAAATACAGCAACTTGTATCTGCTTCACCCCAAGTGTCCCGCCTGCGTGGCCAGCAAGGATCTCTGGGACGAGGAGTCGTCCGATGACGGAGCGTATTTGCCTTGACGAGGCCGGGTTTACGGACTTGAGGTGAGGGTTGTATATGGCTGGCTTTGAAGGGAAGGGGACTATCGGGGATATCCGTTTGCGCTACAAGAGAGATACCCGGGGGATGCATGGCGCTCTGGACATTTCAGGGGTACGATTTGCTACGTAGCTGGTAACTTCAAAGAGACCACTTCGTTTACAGAGTACCCTTCTTTTTGAGCTTGAGGCCTGTTCATCGATGGATGCCGTAAGCTTCGTTTGATAATCAAGCACACAAACAAAGAGAAAGAGCAGAGATTATCCAAACAACTTGACAGGCGAACAACCAGAAGCATTCAATGTCAACGTCTTGTGCTAATCTAGCCCTTCTAGTCAGCAAAGAGTCCCGAAACCTCAACGTCCCCCAAAACACGCCATCCCTCTTCCTTGTGCGCCCCAGCAAATCCTAAAAGCCGCCCCCAGAGACAATCCTCACTCCTCTCCTCCCCTCTACTCTGGTAAGCTGGACCCGGCTAATCTCGCACCTACGCACTGCAGGGGCATCGGGGGCGGGGAGACATGGCCCAAATACGAGGTCGCCGGCATCCTCCCTCTGCTTGTCCGAACAGTTGCATGACAGGTTTGACTGGCTGACGCCCGAGGTGACGTTTCCAGCCGAGGCCAGCAAAAGAGCCTGGAGCCTGTGGCACACTGGCACGGCGGCGAACGATTAACGATTCCCTTGAGCCTCACACAGCAGTCTTGGGCCGAGGACTCGTCCTTCGACTCGGACAGCAAAGAGTTGCCTGACAAGTCCACCCTCGCGGAGCAGAGGGTTGGACAGACTCGGTAAAGTGTAAGTGCATGCGTAATCCAAAAAAGCAGCATCCAACTCGCCAAATTCAGACGAGAGCGTGGCTGACCCATCAACTTCCAAGGGTGCATACGGAAAGTTATGTCGTCGGAAAGCCATGCCATCCATCACGTCTCTGCCAGCCGTCAGGCCATGTGCTGTGAGACCTCCGGCTGCACCAAGCAGGTTTATGCCGCAAGGCCGTTTTGGGTGAAACCTCGCCATCTTTGACATGGCCAGTGAACGACGCCGAATCCGTAAGCCCATCGGATCATCTCGAGTCGATATCAAGGCAGGTTTATGGTTCCATTTCCCAAGGATGTCTTGTGAACCGTCAAAACTGCAGCTTCGAGCGCATTCGAGCTGAAGCTTTGGTGTGACAAACGGCGCGTACGTGGATTGATGTTGGACTGGTATTGCTGTGGCTGACTGTCAGCGTCTTGGATCCCCTTGCAGCAGACTGATGGGCTGTTTGGCATCTCCGGTGGCAGAGTTATTCTACCTGCTACTCCCAACAATCAGCACTGCATCGTTGTGACGCCGTGGCCACGGATTCGAGCTGACTGCTGAGCATGTCCAGCAGCTGAGGCTCATGTCAGTGCAGCTACTTCTGCGAGCTTGGCTATGCAGATTGCCGGAAGCGGGAGAGCACTCTGCCGTTCTCCGTTGTTGGGTATTAAGAGTGACGCCAGTGCATTTCGGCTTGTGACACGGCATTGAGAAAATGCGCAACGGCAGACGGTATTACGTTGGGAACGGTGTATGTCAAACACTCCAAGGTGGTCATGTGCCTGTAGCACGCCCTCGGTCATGTCAGACGAACGTGCCCCTTTTCGGCGACAGTCCACAAGATGGTGCGCGTTGAAGGCATACATGAAGAGACCGCAAGGACTTCTTAGTGGTGGAGAGGGCAAATCTCGACTCAAATGGCTTTGTCTTGACGAGATGGACAGGGCATGTCACAGGGCAACGCAACACCGACCGCTCAGGTGCCTGCAGTCTCAGTCGCGTGGCCGCAGCAGAGTAACAAGGCATCTCTCCTCGGGGCTCAAGGCCGTGGCAGGTATTAGGCATCTCGTCAGAGTCTCACGGCGTCCCGGGAAAACAAGTGGGGAGATCCGCGACGAATGAGGTGGAAATGGACATCGGATCCCCAACCGACCGTTGGAGCCGCACAAGCTCCTGTACCCCTGAATGCAGGCAGCCGCTGTCGTGAGCGCTTGTCAAGGGCAATCTGACCAAGCTAGAGTAACAGGGTCGTGGGTGAGTCTTTTGCGCCACCAACTGTTTCCTCACGGCAAGCGGGCCCATGTCCAAGGTTGTCCAACTAGCCGATCCGGGTTCCGCGGCACACTAGGGTGAGCGCGCTTCAAGTTGGAGGAGAAGGTTGCAAGTCTCAAACGATGCAAGCAATGCGCGCACGTATGCGAACATGGCCGGCTGTTGCTTCTCGGGACTAGGAGAATGGCTCAGCCGGCGATTGTGGAGCCGGCTTTGGTGGCTTAGGAAGCCAACCGCTCCAGTTCCAAGGCTCAGGGAACGAGATGACCGCCGGGATGTCCGTACCGCGGAGGCGACTGCTGCGTCCTGGTGTGCGATGTCAACATTAATATGGCGCCAGGCAGAGAGTAGGAGCACACGCAGCTGCCACAAAAGCCTGGCAGAGAGCGCCGAAGGAACCGACGCTGAAGATGCGCCGGCGCGGTCACGCAAGAATGGCCGGAGCGGTGGATATAAAGTCGTGTTCCACGGATGCGTCGTAACATGCAACCCGAGGTCCTAGTCGCCGGAAACCGTGTTTCAATCCCTAAAGGGAAATATGATGGCTCCCAGCGCTCATGCAGGAAGCCGACGGGCGACGCAGGATGCATCGCAGAGGATGATTTCAGTTTGTCAAGGCTCGGCGGCGACGTCGTTGGTGTGACGAGCGGTAGGCAGTTGGGAATGCTGAGATCCTCTTGAGCCCAGAGTATAAAGGACGGGGGTCTATGCTCGGATTGTAGCCCCTTTGACTGCTCAGCAGAGAAACAGCCATTCCAATCAAGGCAAAGGCAAGTAATCGAGTTGACAAGATTTTGCGTCTCCAAAAGCACAAACCTGTCAGAACAATGAGTGAGCAAAGCAAGAAGACCGCGGGCGCGTCCGGAAGTAAGACGCTCTCGATCAAATTGGAAAACAAATGCTGAGCTCATGACACAGATACCAAGGCATCAGGAAGCGGGTCAGGCTACAGCATCGAGCGGTATGCCAAAGACGCTCACGACCCGTGGCGTCCGCCGGTGACGGGCACGATTCGGGGAAGCAAAAGCGGCCGGAGCAAGGCCAGTGGCGATACAGCAGGCCAGGCCAGCAATGAGTCGGTAGCGGCCACGCATGGATCCAACAAGTAGCGGTGGACGAAGTGGGGGCTGAAAGGAGCGCCGTCAGGAAACTCTTGATGCGATCGATTGCCCAGTAGGATAGGATGGGCCATTGTGCTTCAGTCGTTTGGACCAAGAATGGCCCCCGCTATGACGTTCAGTCTCCGACGGAGGGGTCGGTTTGTTGGCTTCGGGGTGTAACGGGGAGGCCACGAGCTCCCGGCCAAGTAGATGAATCAAATGAGAGCCTGTTGACGCCGAGGGAAACGCATGTTGCGAGGCGGCATCCAAAACGAAAGCGGGACCGGAGACTCGACCCACAGAGCGAGGCGATGCGGCCCGAGAAGAAATGGGGCGGGCCGAGCCTCAGCCTTGTTTGGTGTCAGCGCTCTGCCGGTGCGTTGGAGAGATCATTGACGCTGCGAGAGAATGGCGTGCGCACTCGCTGGCGGCGCCACGGATCGGGACAGGGGTGGCCAAAGTCGATTGGCGTCATGGACCCCGGCTCTTGGATCGCGATTCGGTGGCAAGAGGTTTGTGATGAGCCGCCACTCCCACCACCATCCATCTCCGTCTCGTCATGAGCGTAAAGAAAACACAGCCGCTCTCCCTACCATTTTGCCTACTTTTGGACCGGCCATTTTTTTTTACCCCGCTTTGAGCCCCAAGGTCCAAGCACCATTCGTTCCTGTCTCGTGCAGCTCGATGAGGGCATCTGGCAGTCGGCGACGGTCATTGCGGGCATGCAGAGTGGGATGGCGAGAGAGTCGGAAAACAAGAATGAAAGGAAGCTGGTCACGATGCCCGAGGGTGGCTGGGTGGGGACATGTGCACAGTACGTGATGTACAGTGCGAGACAGTCTTGAGCCCTGCGCCCCACCCCATTCGGCAGATACGGGCCCGGAGATTACGCTGCAATGCTCGGATAAACATTCACCACTGAAAGCTTTGCACTGCACAGTGTGTAACACGACAGAGGGCACACGGTGCAAAATACCGGGCATCTGTGCGCGATTCTCACGCTTCTTCTCAGCCCCCCATCCGGGGCTCTTGCCTCTACTTTCTTTTTCCCTGGGGCTGATGCATTTGACTGCGTGGTTGGGTGCCAAAAATATGTTTTTCTGTTTCCTCGCTAGCCTGCGCTATCGCATAAATGGTTCCTTCCCGGTCCGAGATGGTAAATCCATTACACTTTTATGCGTGCCGACCACTGTACTCCGTATTGCCGATGGGATTTGCACTGGCAGTAAGTATCCGTACAAGTACACGAGCTGTACGGAGTACTCTCATGGGGCCTCATTTCCGGCCCATCATTCCATGGGCGGCCAGATGGAGCTTGGCGTGCGCGCTGACGGGCCGCTATTCATGCAAAAATCCATTGTCATTATTGTTGTGCCTTGTGTCTTGTAATCGTCGCGTTTGTCTTTCCTCTCAGCACGTACTCCGTAGCGGGACACGCTGACGACCGTTTGGTACCACTTGGCAGGTACAGTACGGACTTCCCAGGTGGCACCAGGATGACTCGGGGACCCATCCGCCTACCCGTTGATCTTGGTGTGGGGCCACAGCAGCCCAACTAAGTGTCTTCGCCACTTAGTTGGCCCAAAAAATCCGGCACAGCCCAAAAAATCCGGCACAGCAGGGTCCTCAATTTGGGGTGCAAAATGGAAATTTACGCTTCGCTTCATGGTGCCGTCAATGCGACTTCAAATAGCTAAAATATACATGTGATCAATAGCTGCGGATCACCTAAAGACGCAAGTAACAACGAAAAGTGAAAAAATCACGTCTTTGGGCCTATTTAGGAGCTGCCGCCTTCCAGTCGAAGAGATAGGAAGACCGCGTTTGTGAGTCCAAATAGACGTATTATGTAGTAATTTCGCCTGTTGTGCGTCTCTGAGAGCTATTTTATCCATACCTGTGTTCCTGGAGCGTCTGCTGTATCTTGTTGGACGATCGGGTGCGCGGTCGAGGGCATGGTGTATCGACTACCGCTTCAACCGCTGCTAACGGCGGCGATGAGGGTATATTCTCTTGCGTGTCGAGTAAATTGTCCTCGTCTTCATCGTCGGCGCCATCCTCACTATGTTTGTCAAGATCGAGGCCTGTGAAATAGACGGTATCGTCACTGCCGGGCAACGACGACATATCTGTAAGTGGGCGAGGTCGGTCGCTGCGCGCGCCTGACATCTCTGGCGGAGTTATTTCTCTTCGTGGTATCATAGAAAAGGATTCCTTGGATGGCTCTTTGAGCTCCCGCATGAGGGTATCGCAACTTTGCTCCAGAGTGTAGAACTCAACGTCTCGTCCCGTAAACTCTAGCCAGGGCTTAAAGTTCAATGTCTTGACTCTGCCATTGACTAACTGCTTCTTCCCGACTTTATAGTCTTCTCGGATCTTCTGCATCTCTCCACGAACTCGTTTAAGATGCATCCTTATCTCCTGGCGCGTTTGAAGCCGGGTTTGCTTTGCCTGGAGCTCCTCATACTCCCGGGTGATGTCGGCCATGCTGGAGCTCGTGATAAACTCTCCGCGCGGCCTGACAATCTTGCCTCTCTTCATTCGATTCGCATACGCCTGGGTTCGGCTATTCTTATCGCTGACTATGCCCTGGGAATGTGACGCCATCGCGATAGACTCGGTGTTCACTTTCGCAAGAACCCGCAAGTTTTCTCGTGATGGCGAGCTCATGAGGGGCCCATACCGTTGCCGGATATCATTGAGGGCATCCGCGGCGACTTGGAAACGCGTCTCCGAGGGTAGGAGCGAGGCGTATGCAGGATTGATCGGCTGCTGTTGTCGTAGCTGCTCGTGGAGGATCTTGGTGATCACCGGCGCTGGGTCGACAGGAAAGAGGCCTGTTTTTTCAAATGCCGCCATAATGTTATGCCGCGTGAAGCCAGCCTCATATACGTCCTGAAAAGCTGTGAGGAAGTTGACCCGCGAAAATGATATGTTGCCTTCTGCGAGCGACTTCGAAGCGCTTTCTGATGTGCTGACTTTAGTGGCTGGAATACCCCAACATCAAGCGGCTGCATGAGGTGGGTGGAATGTGGAGGAAAATAGCAATGATGATATCAAACTTGATACAATACTCAGCAAAGTCAAGGGTGGTATGCCCTGTAAAGCCATCCACAACAAGCAATCGGTAGATCTTCTCGTCGTCAGGCCGTTGGTTTGGCGGCGCCTCCACGCGACTCATCCCCATGTTGGGGCGCCGAAGATGCTCGTCACAGCCGAACCACTCTTCCAGCGAATTTCCTGACTGTTTTGCTTGCGCTGACGATGCCCAAGACCAGCAGTTGAAATGCCTTGCCCACTCAAGGTGTATCTCTGCGTTGGAAAAGCCAGTTGGCGACTGGGCAAACCGTACGCCTGTCATGATGTCGATGCCGGCCCAGTTGGTGGTAGGGTAATGTTGGAAAACAAGCCAGGGTGGAAGAGAGTCCCCCACTGCGTTAACTGAGGCAATTACCGTGCAGGATTCTCGGTTTGCTGGGTCTAAAACTCGGGGCCGGGTGCTCTTGACTCTAGTGGTGCGCGTGATGAGAACTTGATGCGTTCTCGCAGGCACCCAATGCGTATTCCGGCCTCGTCTTCATTCCAGATCTCTGAACTGCCAATACGGTAGCTGGTGATGATTTCTCGAAGCTTTGAGTAGAAAAATTCGACTTCTTCTACCCCGTGGGCTTCAAAGGACTTCGGGCTCGTTCAACTGCTTTGAGATACGTCTTCGCGATCGCAGGATGACTTCCACGCCAATTGTCAAGCCAACTTGACGAGACCGGGCGGGCATTGGGATCTCGACGCATTCTTATTGCATTTGCAACAGCTTCAAGTTGCTCTCGTGGCGGGCATGCCGGTGCGTTCCATCCACTGTACATACGCAACCAGGGCGTCGTCTTCGTCCTCCGTCAGCGCCAATGGACGCCCTGGAGCACGGGAAAAGGGGTTTCTTATGAAATTAATGGCTCTCTGTACGGATGAGCTCTTCACATTGTAACGGATGGCCGCATCTCGCACGGAAAGAGGCGTTCTTTTGGTGTTGTTGAGCGACGAACATCGGCTCTGGGGTCGCGACGAGACGCCAGAACGGCTTTTGCTGCCTCCAGGGTAGCCATGTTATCTGTCATAATGTATTCCGGCAAAAAGATACGTAAATAAAGTCAAGTTGCGCGAGAAAACGCGGTTGAGATGCATAGGGTTGACGTTTTGGAGGTGGGCTGCTGTGCCGGATTTTTTTGGGCTGTGCCGGATTTTTTGGGCCAACTAAGTGGCGAAGACACTTAGTTGGGCTGCTGTGGCCCCACACCAAGATCAACGGGTAGTGCCAGCTACTAAATTGGTGACTTGGTGCCCCCAAAACAGCTCGGCACCGCGGGACAGGCCTGCAACCGGCACCCGCACCTTCCCGCGGCCTGGTGATGATGACAAAGAGCAAGTGCTGCTTGCTGCCTGCCTGGGCCGTACGATGCGAGGCCGGAAACGAACTCGCCGCAGGTACAAGCCCCTACCTGTCTTTGGCTTAGCCCTTGGTACACTTTGCGGTAGCTGCCGAGTATCCCGTGGGCTCGGACGCGCCGGTCGGACGAGATACTTGGCGCTCACCGCAGAAAGACTTGGGCGTCATCATGAATGTACACGCAGCTCAAGGTACTTGCTCAATGCACCCTGGTAGCCTGTCTTGTGGAGAGGCAGAACCTTAAGCAGAGGTACCCACCCAGTATAGTACCAAGCTGCTAAGGCAGCGACTCAAAAGATGCGCGCTTCCAATCAATAGACCCTCCCGTGCTCCCATTCCTCTTCTTCTCTCTCTTCCCGCCCAATCCCCAACATCCCCCGACGCTCGCTGCTCGACAACTCAACCTCATCCTGGCTTCTTTACATCGTCCACAGTCAAGCCACGATCCGCCGCTCTCCGTATACGAGTCGACGGCCCTCCCGCCGCCACACCTTTCGTCTCATCCGAGCCGGCTCGAAACACCGTCACCAAACTCCCGCTCGACACACCTCCTGTTTCCGCTCCCCCCACCTGCGACCGACCAGCCTTGTTTTCCTCTTGTTCCATTTGCCACTGCCACTACGAGCTTGGAAAACATTGGCGAGGGGGAAGCTGGGCCGCGTCACACCTCTGCAGCTCTGCAGACCGACGCTCGCCTTTTCGACGACGCACTCTTTCCGAGTACACCGACACCACGACACAGACCAACCTTGAACCGACCTCCGCGGAACTTCGTTCACGATGGGTTCGCGGCCCTCATCACCTCCTCTCTGCCTGCCTCTGCCGTGCTAACTCGCTCTCGCACGCCCGACAGCACAAGCACCCATCACCACCATCCCTCCTTTCAGTGACGCGGGCAAGCTCCCCGACTGTGCCAAGCAGTGCGGCCCCCTCTACGACGCCAACGGTGCTTGCGTCCCCCCCGCCGCTCCCGAGGCCGCTGCCAGCGCCTACACGGCCTGCTTTTGCGGCCACGCCAAGGTTTCCCCCTTCTCCAAGGGACCGACGGGCGTTTGCGACCAGGCCTGCCAGGGGGACCAGGCGGGCTTGCAATCCATTGCCAACTGGTTCCGGGGCATCTGCAGCGCCCAAGGCGACGGCGCAGCCAACCCTCAAAACGGCCAATCCACTACCAGCGCCGGCAACAACGGGAGCCAGAAACAGACGTCAAACACGACGAGCAACGCCGGCGGGGGCGACTGGTGAGTCGTGCTGCTGTTAGCCACGTCGCGACGCATGCACTAACACGCTACTCTTTACAGGCTCTCCAACCACTGGCAATGGGTCATCATGATTGTCGTCCTCGTCGTCGGCATTGCCGCCATCTGGATTGGCGCCTGTGTCTGGCGCCGCCGCTACCTGCGCAAAAAGGACAGCCCAATGTCGCTCGGCCAAAAGCACTCTGGCTCCGCCTCGAATCCATCCTGGGGTCCCGCCGTCGCCGGCTCCGAATCCGCGACGCCCATGGCCTATGGACGCGACCCTGAGCAATCCGTTCCCGAGAAGCCCAAGAAGAAGGAAAAGAAGAAGTGGACCGTCGGCCGGCGCACATAGCACCGCCTCGCCCGTCTCCGTCATTGGCACGACGATCCGACTAATGCGATATTCCCCTTATAGTACATGGCTCTTTTTACCTTGCTTCCTTGTCATTTTTTTCAAGCCTTTTCATCTGCCGTGGCAAACGACATGGACCACATATCACCTTGTGCACTGGATATACGCGCCATCCGCGTCTTCATTTTTCTTAGTCGCGGTCGACGACACTGTAATTTTCGTCCACGGAAGCACAATCCAGGGGACGCGTTTCAGTTATTTATTGTTGCACCCTCGGTCGCAAAAAAAGAAACATGCCGTGGAAAGGGCCTCTTGTGTGCTCCGCGCCCTTTTCCCCGCTTCCGCACTGGCACCATTGTTCTCCATTTTTTACTGGCATGTCTTGCATTCGGCGTTGACTGAATCTGCGGGGGGCGAAGAAGGGGCGGGGGACGTCTTCAGTGGAAGAGTTACGTATGGATGGACCTCCATTTGCCGCTTCAGCAGGGCGGCTGTGCGCGCGCTGGAACACGTCCGGTACAGAAAAAGGGACGGTGGCGCGAGACACGGCGACGTCTTCGGACGGGACACGCCCCGCCGGCATCGCTTAGAGGGCAGGCGAACACAGGGCGTCGAGCATTGACGAGTGGTTGAGCGGGTGAGTTAGTGGATGGGTGAAGAAAGGTGGACGACGAATGAGAGGCTCTAGTGTGGTGCGTGGTTGAGCAGGCAGGTTGAGACTTTCAATACTCACCATAGTGCTGAGCTTCATTCCCCTTGTTGGGACCCCGTCTCCCTTTCTCTCGTGCTGTGCGTGGTTCTGCCTGCGCGTGCGCCTGTGTGTGTCTGCGTAGTACAGAGTAGTAGTTTCACGTTCGCGCGTCAGTTGCCCTTTGCATTATCTGATTGAATTACGCCCCGCTGATTCAACCGCGTCTTGTCGTGCGGGCCACTTTGCCCACGATGCATCCCACTCGCACAGGCTCCAAGAGAGTAAGCGCATCAACACAGAAAAGGTGGGATAAACCGTGTCTTGTATATCTATTCTAGCCGCGTCATCGAGGGCTTTCCAGGTTGTCAGAACGGGCCGCCCCCCAGCCCTCGCGCCTCTCTGCCTCGTAAGGCTTTATCACCCTCTCCGTCTACCGCTCCTGCTCTGTCGCCCGCCGCTGCTCTTCCAGCGCGTCCATGTACAGGTCGATGAGGCAACCTGCCGACCACGCCTGCGTCGGGCTCTGTCACACTCGTTAGCACGGGAAGGCCCGTCTCATCCAAGGGGACGCCGCATCACGACCTCGCGGCATGGCAGACTCACCGAGTCGGGGCAGTATTCTCCATTCTTCTGCGTCAGCTCCGTTAGGCCCGCCCACGCGCTCTCGCCCATCATCTGCTTGCAGCCACTCAGCCTGCGCGTGACCTGCTGAAATGCCTCCGTCCGTCCCTCGTGCGTCGTGCGCCTCGCGAGATCAAACTTGAGCAGCGCGCGGAGGAAGAAGCCCGTCGGCCAGAGCCACTCGGGGCCCTGGTGGTAGTTGCGGCCCTTGCTCGTCGCAAAGTCGTCGCTGTCCTCGCTGTTGCGGTAAAAGGGCCGGTAGTTGAGATCGGCGGGGTCCAGCGTCGCCATCCCGGTCGGCCCGCGGAGGACCGAGTCGGCCAGACACAGCGCGTGCATCGCGTGATCGGCATCAAAGAGCGACGGCGCCACCGTCATGGCAATGGCAAAGTTGGGCCGCAGCTGGTAGTCCTCATACTCCTTGCCCGACTTGTACAGGTCCTTGTAGATGCCTCGGCGGTTGACGATCGCCGTGTTGACGTCGTACTTGGAGTCCTCGTCCGGCGACACCGGCACAAAGTAGCATCTTTCAAAGTTGTCCTTGATGCGGGCCGCCCAGTCTGCAAACGAGACGGAGCTGCCGTCAGCCTTCTTGACTCCCTGATGGGCGTAGCTGCCTTGCCGGTGAAGCCGGTCGAGCCAGACGAGCGCACTGTATAGCAGGCCCGTGATCTCAATGGCGGCTCCGTCGCGCGGGGTCCCAGGGATGCCCTTGGAGCCGGCCTTCTCGCTTTCACCCATCTTGTCCATCCACGTCCCGCAGTTGGACTGGTTTCCACCAAAGACGATGCCCGTGCTCCAATCCACCCTGATTTCCTGGTTAAAGCCCTCGTCTCTCATCTGCGAGTCGATTTGCGGCCCGGCATTCGCTTCTCGATACTTCATTCCCGAGGCATGCCTCTGCAGGGCCTCCTGGATTACCTCTTCGACGGAGCTCTCCTTGGAATAGGCCCGCGCGTCGTCCGTCGGGAACCACGTGTCATCGTGCGGCAAGAATCGCCGCTTCACCCTTTCCTTGAGCAGCGCGCTTCCGCCAGGGGCGTAGCGTACATAATCCTGAATTGTCTGTAGGAAAAACCAGATCGAGTCTCGCGAGTTGTACCGTGGGGCATCGCCGCTGCTCAAGAGGTTGGGTATCATGCCGTGTTTCAAAACGCTGGCAAATGCGAGAATGTGCTCCCTGCACTCGTCGAAGCGTCCAGTGCCCAGGAACAAGCCGCGGATAGAGATAAACACGTCGCGACCCCAGCATCGTGACCACTCAACAGCAAAATGGGGCAGGCCGGCGGCGACGCAGGGCACCGACTTGCTTGGCCACAGGGACGCCGATTTTACGTAGCCCATCTGTTGGACGCTGACCATGGCAAGGCTCTGCAGGAACCATTGTCCCTCTTTGATGTTGCCATCCATCAGCTCCATGGCCCTTTGCCAGCTCGCCCGGTGGGCAGTGCGCATCACGAGGCCAAAGTATCGGGGGAGCAGGAAGCTGGGCACGGTCCGGATGGCGTCGAATCGCTCCTGGAGCCATTTGGCTGGCTTGGCAAGCCGCTCGTTGCCAGCCGTCTTGCTCATGCGCTCCACCCGGCCGACCACATAGTCGAGAGCCCATTTGCCGTCCCGGAGATTTTGGCAGAGGGGATGAGCGAGGTTGTTGTCACGGACGATGTCCTTGAGCACGCTCCACCAGCCCTGGATGCCGGCATATACGAGCTTGCCATGGCCGGGGATGTCGTAGGTGCCGTCTCGTCCACCGCTTGCGTCCAGCTCCTCGGCTTCGCATCGGTACATGAGGAAATTCAAATCGACGAGGTTGAGGTCGCTCCAAGCCGAGTCGGCGCCCGACGTCACGTATGTATCCAAGCCAGTTGAGTGTTCTGCGGCGGGGATCCAGGTTTCGAAGAGAGCAATGCTTCCGGGAGGAAACTTGTCACGCACGGTGATGAGGGTGTCGTCGCCTCGTGCGTCCATCCGGATTCCTGCCACGTCGACAACGCGACTCGGCAGGCCACGGAGCAGCCTCTGATCGCCCAGTGCCTGCTTTGTCGCTTCCTCGCTCGCGTCCACCTCGAGCATCCAGCTGCCCAGGTGTCTGGCCCGCGTGCCAGTCAGATGAACAGGACTCAAGGCCCCGTTGCCGTTGCCGTAGCCGGGAAAAGCCGTGTGGGCGATGAGGAAGTATCCTTTGCGGGATTCGGGGTGCACCCTGTGCACGGTGATGTATTCGTCTTCGTGGTGGATATGCGTCTCGTCGTAGCCGTCCTTGCCCATGAGAGTGTGGATCTGGTTCAGAAGCTTCTTGACGTCGCCGATGCCATTCTTGCAGCGCCCAGGCTTGGACGAGTCCGAGGTGGACGAGTCGGATGCGTAAAGCCGGGTCTCGTTCACCAGATCGACCAGCTTGGGATAGATTTCGTCGTAGCCCATGACGCTGCCGGTCGCGCTGGAGCACATACTGACCAGGGCCGCGTTGGGCAGGGTGTCCCGCGCGTCGCGCTTCTGCGCCGGCGTTTCATTGTCATGAGTACAGTCCATGAAGAGCGCGTGGACGGGCGTCGGCTTGACTGTCCGAATGATCTCGCGGGAGAGGTGGCCGTTTGTCGTCTCCGCCGTGGGGCTAGACGCCGGCGAGAACGTGTCGGACCGCGTCATCTCGTCGACCTCGAAGCTGCCAATGGGGCGTCCACCGTGCCTGTGGACGAGCCGGCTCAGCTCGGCCGTGCTCCACGCCTGCATGGCCTCGCGCACCAGTGAGCTGAGGCCCAGGCGCTTGACAAATACATAGTCCATCTCCTCCGAGCCCGTGAAGAGCTCGGCAACGACATACAGGTCGGGTCGAGCGCGGCGTGCCTCGTCGAGAATGTACTCGGCCACGTGGATCGGAGTCGAGTGGCAGTTGTCGATGCGGAAGCCGGCAAAATACTTGGCCAACATGCGTGCATAGGCCGTCATGTGCTGCCACAGCCAGGGGCTTTCTTCGGGGCCGGCACCGTAGCGCAACTTGACGCAGTCTCCCCATACAATCACCTCACGCCTCAAGTAGACCCGAGAGCCGGGGCCGGCGTTGTCGACGAGCGCGTTGCCGCCCCATACCCAGCCATTATTGACCAAGACGAGGTCCTGAGGCTTGTGCTTGGACGTGGTGTCGTTGTGGGGAAGGCGGGTGAAGTAGGACTCTATAAGGGGGTTTTCGTCGTTGATGGGGCCAAGCTTCGGCCCATGCTCATCGAGGCGGACATACTTGATGCGGTTGTACAGCTGATCCAAGATTTCGTCGACGTCGGTATCGTATTCCCGGTAAAAGTCGACATTCAAGGCCTCCAGGATCTCGAGCACTTTGGCTCTTGCGGCAGCCTTGTCAGGCGAGGAGTGGGAATCGGCCTCGTAACGCCCGTACGTAAAGGAGAGCAGGCTTGCTGCGACGGCGGGGTCGACCCTTCGTCTGTAGCGCTCGCCCATGCGGTCCATGCCGAGCAGCCCAAACTGTCTAAGAAAAGAGACGCGGTTGGCTAGTGAGGCCTTTCCCAGGCTTTGGACCTTTTCCTCGTAGCCGGCGGCCTTTGTAGAGTCAAAGGTTTCGCCTCGGGTCCACGCGTCCACTGCGGCGTCCGCGTCGCGATCGACGTCGAGGGCGTAGTACTCCCATAGCCTGATCTTGGCCATGACCTCTGTTTTGATGGCTTCCATGATGCGCATCAAGTCATCGGTAGACTTGGGGTCGACGGGCAACCCCAGTGAGTGCAGCCTCTTGCCCAGCTCGAGCAACTCGGTGTCGAGGACGCAGGCGGGCTCGAGCCACGGGGCGGTGGATAGATTGTAGCCCGCTTCTGGGTGTTGCTGCAGCCACGCGGTGTTGTTTGCGGTGTGGTTGAGGACAATGTCAGTCAGGCTGAGCAGCGAGTGCTTCTTCTCCATGCTGTCGACGAGCTGGCGCACGTCGGCCTCACCGGCAGGGAAGCAGTCGGGGTCCCAGGCTAACTGGTCGTAGAGGCTAAAAGGCGAATTGGAATCGCCGCGAACCTGCAGGGGAGTGAAGTGAACCATGTTGTAGCCGCGGGCGCTGATGCCGCGCAGGTGGCGCTCCCAATCTGCGGGATACTTGCCCATGAACTTGCCAATAACGGAGAAGATGGAGAGGGCCGGCAGAGGCAAGGGCCGGCCGTCGAGGCGCAGCCTGGGGGCGACATCGATGTAGTAGAGGGGCGTCTTTGCCAGGTGCTTGGGGGAGTCTGCTGCGAGGTGGGGCTCGAGGTCTGGAAGCTGGGCAAAGGTGGTGTAGAAGGCATAGGCGCCAGGCTGGTAGATGGGGATGGAGATCTCAATTGTGCGGTTGAAGTCGGGCGTGAGCCTGGACGGGACCAGCGGTGAGCTTGGGCGGCGGAGGAGAGATTAGGGGTCCTACTTGAACTCGGTAAAGTGGTCGCGACGAAAGTGCGCGCCCTTTGCGGGGATGTTGACCCAGAGGCTGCCATGACGACATATCGACGACGTGCCTTCAATGGCGAATCTGAGCGTGATGGGGTCGTGCGACTTGGGCGCCAGGTAGACGTACTCGCCGGGGACGCGAGGCGAGCCGTCGTCGTTGAGCGGCAGCAGAAAGACCTCGGTGGACGTCATTGTTCCCGGGCTCATGATGGAGGAGAGGATAGAGGAGCTGCCCCGCGCTCCGCGACCTTTTTGAATTGCCTTTCCGCTAGCCGCTAGCTTGGCGTGGCAGTGGCAGGGGTGCTCGCATGCGCCGGCCGACGGTGCCTGTTCCACCAGGATTGGCGTTGCGGGTCGGTGTGGAGGTGGAGAGATGACCTTGCAAGGAGAAGCAGAGTTGGATGTTTTCCGCAGAGGCGAGGCGTGAGCGCGCGATACGATCGATCAAGGGCAACGAGCTGACACTCGGGATCAGGGTGAGGCTTTGGCTGCTATTAATAATGGCCGCCCAACAGACAGATGACGCCCGGGGCGAGATGAGGATGCGAGGTTCCCAATGAACAGCGAGGCGGTGAGGACTGGCAGAGAGAGAGGAGGTACCTATTTAGTGTATTCCTACCAACAGGGAAAGTCGGAGGCAGGAGAGAGGAAGGGACGATGACGATGACGACGACGATGACGATGTCTGACCCTGTTTGGGCATGGCGCTCCCGAGGTTCATACGCGGAAGTTCCGCTCTTGCAGTCCATCATCATACAAGGCACGAATCACCACCTCCCTCGTCTTTCTCCGCTTCCTCTCCTGCATCGGAACATGACTCTCTTTTCTTGACCTAGATTCACACGAGGGCAGACAAAGGCCGTTTTGTCCCTCTTCAAACGGGGGCGGTCACTTGACTTGCTCATCTGGACCTTCACTTTCTCCTACCATATAGCGGCCCGCGATGCACAAGCCGCAACATGCTCCTCCGTAAACACAAGGAGCAACCGTAGCCATTCCATAGCTCCCTCGCATTTCATTTGACCAGGAAGAAGACTTCACGGCCGTATCTACAGCATAGGCACAAGGATGTACGACATCCTTTCCTCATAACAGCTCCGCCCTTACCCCTCCTTGTATAAGTTGAGCTCTTGGGGCTTGCGCTGGAACCCGCCTTGAATCATGCCCAATGCTCGCTTCGTCGCCTCGTCCAGGCTCTCCTCGGGCAGACCCAGCGCCTCATTGGCCAGCCCGTGCTTGTCCTGAAAGTTGCCGTCGCCGTTGGGGAAAAAGGTGCGCGTGTAGAGGGCGATGCCGAAGCCGAGATGCGACCCCTGCTTAAACATGTCGAAGCCGCGTCGGTACCGAGCCTGGCTCTCCTCGTGCTCGATCTGCCAGTCGGCGTCCGAGGTGCCCGCCACGCGGTTGACGCTGTCGAGCATGTCGCGCTGCGAGATGAGGAAGCTCGAGATGTACAGGGGCTGGTTGCGCCACCGCGACAGTGTCAGCGACGTGTCGGCCTCATCCTCGGGCAACTCCTTGAGGGTAAGCAGGCTCTTAATGGCGCGTCCGCATTGCTCCCACGTCGACGTGTTGATGCGCGTCTTGCCGTCGTCGATGAGCGTAACCCTGTTGCCGGCAAAGTCGAAGCCGTACCACCCGGGGCCCATGGACAGCGAGAACTCGTACCAAAACGAGCAGCACATGGCCACCCACGACGACACGCCCTCGCGCTCCACGGCCTCGATGCCGCCAAGCACCGCGGGGCCCGTCAGATTCTCGGCCGCGAGGGCGGCGTTGCGGACGTCGGTGCCGTAACAGTTGGGCATAACCCAGGCCACGCCGGCCTTGGCCGCCGCCTTGATGAGCTTGGTCTGCGACTCTGGCGGCGCCAGCACAGATATGGAGATGATGAGGAACTGCTGGCCGCGTAGGGCGTCGACGAGCGTCTCCTCCCTGTCGTAGTCGACGGCGGCCACTGTGACGCCCGCGGGCATCTTGCTGTTGCCGCCGCTGCGCGTGAGGGCCGTGACGGTGTGCTTGCCGGTCGAGAGCAGGGCGGCCGTCATGTGGCTACCTACCTGGCCGCTGGCCTGTTCAACGTGTGTCAGTCCAATGCATGTTCGCCTGGAATTGAAGACTGATGCTCCGCGCCTTGGCCGTAGAGGTGCGCCAAGAACATCCTTTATACTTACCCCGACAATGGCCACGCGCTCGATGCGGTTGGTGAAGCCCGCGGGCTGGTCCTTGGCGTATTTCTGCTGCATTGTGCTCGATTGTCTCTCTGCTTTTATTCAGACTGTCGTGCTTGAGCCGGAAGCGAGGGGACGGCAAGGCAAGCGATGGCTAGACAAAGTTTCTACAAAGTTCAATGAAGATTCAGTGGACCTCGATGCTTTCGTTGTGTTTTGGTTCCTGCGACTTATACGAAGTAAAGAGAGCGAGGGAAACGAGAATGGCATGGGCGGCTCTTTTATACGCGTCCATCTCAAGCCCCGACTCACAATGGTGCAGTCAAGGTAAACTGCAAATATCAGACCAAAAGCTCGCAAGCTCTCGTGGCCCGTTTCGCATTCCTGCTCGCCGGCCGCAAATCCGCACTTAAAGCCCGGCGACCGGACGCCCCACATGGCCAGGCGGAGAGCCGATTGCCTAATCCGGGAATGCTCTCCCCCGACATCTCCGTGGCCCATCCGACGGCCAGCCATGATTGGCTTTCAATGGCCAGAGATGTGAAACCTGGGGTTCTCCGGCACGTGCTTTTGCTAACCCCGGTGTGGACGGACAATAAAGAGGGGCTAGCTTGCATCGCGGTTCCATCTGCGCCTCGCTTCTCGCGCTTGGTCTGGGCCCGCCCGGCACCAAGGACAGGACGGTCACCGGAGATAGCAGAGTTCACGTCCGAGAGACGAGATCGACCAAGCGCTCAACGTAGCTGAAGGATGCCCGTGCAAGGAACGTCTCGAGCTACGCAATACGGGTGGGCTACCGGGTGAATACCATCCACTTGATTCCCCCACCACCCTGATCCTGTAGTTTCCTGTGCGGAACGAGACGGTGGGCTGTGCAATATTGTAAGACCATCGCCCCTGTGCCTGTTTCTGTCCTAGCACTCCGGAAAACCGCCTTACGAGAGGCAAGCAGCGTCTTTACTCGATCGAATCTTGTGCCGATCCAAGGTCATTTACGCATTAATGCGACAATCAAAAGGACAGCCCATGTCTCCTACAATCGACATGACGAGCAAGCTATCACCAGCAGAGCCCCTCGACATACCGCCGCAATCGGCATCTACCGCCAGAAAGTATTCAAATCAAGTCCCAGGTCAAAGCCACACAGCCGAACCATCGGCAGCATGTTGATAGCGACTCGACTGCCCAAGTGTAGCAGCTGCCGAGACCCCTAAGCGGACGCAACCGCAGGCATCCGAGTTCCCTAAAGAGTATGCGGGCGCTCGAACTCGCATGCTATACAGTGGCGAGCGCCGCTGTCCCACCCCTTATATACCGTGGACATCTCTAAGCTGCAGTAAAATTATTACGATTCTTCGCCTCTCTGTTCTGCCTCAAGGACCTCTTCAGGCAGCTCAATCTTACAAACGACGTATGCGTCTTCCTCCCATATCTGGGCCCTGTAAACCGACGGACCCTTACATGTTGCCGTACCAGACGGGCAAGAAGATGAACAGCAAGACGCCGCAGCTCGCAAAGGCGGCGCCGCCAACCAAGCTCTGCATGACAATCTTGCGCTGGAGTTGCCGCAGGTGGACATCCTTGACGCGGAACTTGCGGTCGAAGATCATGAGGCGCGACAGGATGCGCAGCAGGCCTGTCCGCCTCGTCGTGGCCATCTCGGCGTCGGTGAAGCGCTCCCAGGGCAGCGGCTGGCGGCGCGAGAAGAGCAGGAGGAAGAAGCAGCTTCCGCGCAGGCCAGACATGATGAGGCTCATGCCCAGCCACCACATGGGCCAGACAGCGAACACTGTCCAGCCCGAGTGGACGCCGCGGTACGGGGTGAAGGCGAGCAGCAGGACGGCCAGGAAGCCGGCGATGGTCAGGGCGATGCCGAGGCCCGTGGCCACGCAGACGGTCTCGAAGGTGCCGTTGGAGACGCCGAGGCGGACGAAGTTGCGGTGCGAGCAGTTCCGGAGCAGCTGGTAGACATGGTCGGCGACGGGGCGTAGGACGGAGGGGTCGGACGAGGTCTGTATGCTGGCGAGGGCCTTGGAGCGCATCGCGGGCGGGATATTCAGTTCCTTGGGCGCGCCGGGGACGAGGAACGTCTGGGCGATAGTGTTGAGATCTCGGCGGTAGCCGGCTTCCGAGTTCGTCAGGGTGGCAGTGCTGCTGGTGGCGTGCGCGGGCAGCTTGCAGCCATCGTCTCCGGATGACTTGATGCGGTCAGCGCATGTCAGCTTGCACTTCGAGCCTCGTGTGCATGTCGCGCCAGCGCTGATGAGCTGTGCGATTTGGGCAACGGTTTGCTCGGCTGTGTCTCGCGTGTCAGCGTGCTAGACAAGTTGTAGATGGCGGTAAGACTTGCCTGCTTCAGGATCGAGGCCAAGACCAGGTGCCTTTTCCACCAGGCTGGCATCTGATGAGACGAGGGAAGAGACGTCGCCTTTGTCACCGCTGGCAGCCTCATAGTTCCGCTCATAGTTCTTATGCCTGGACCGTTTAGTTCAAGGCATTCGTATGGGGGCAAGGACGCGGAGTATACCAGATATAGAACTCGAGGTTCTCCTCGGAAAACTCTATGTGCTTCAGGTACATGTAGAAATCGAAAAGGGACATGGGACTGCCTGGACGACGACGACATCATCGGTTAGCCCTGTCCTTTCTTTCAACCAGGGGTCGGTGAGTCTGTCTCCGTACACGTTTTGTTGTCAAGCACTCTGTCCACCTTGAGGTGCCTGGGGATCATGCTGCTGCGTCCATCGGGGCTGATGGGACGCTTCCCAGAGCCGACGGCCTGCGAGTACTCCTTGATGTCGCGGAACTCTGGCTTCTTGTACCACGTCAACCACGCGGGCCAATGCATCGTTGCGGTCGTGTAAACAGCGGGAGAGCAGACGGGCGGCGAAGGCGGTTGCTGATTCAAGCTCGGCTCGGCGTTGAGAGACAACAGAGAGTCGGACAAGCTTCGCGCGCATTCAGTCAGTGAGTGGGTAAGTGCGAGAGAGTGTTTATAGAGTGGAATCTCTCATATCAGATGCCCAACTAAAGGTAAGGATAAGCTTGGTCATAGCAAAGGTGATTTCAAGCCAGGGCCCCTGGACGGACGAATGACAGGAGCGGATGTATACCACGTCGATGGATACCCCTTCCAGGATGTTGCTTGTTGGTTAGAATCAAGGCTTGGCATTCAACTCGAGAAACCAGAAACGGCTTTGTTTAATGGGCGTTTTTGTTAGGGATACCCCTGGAGCACCAACTCTCACTACTGTATTACCCTCGTTTCCTACCTCCACTTGTCGAATCATGGCTTTTCGCTGCCAACAAGATGTGTGCCGTTTATAGGCACGGGCACAGCTGACTAAAAGGAGCAATGCAAAATCACGCAATAAATTAACCGCGATCCTCTTTTTTACCTTTCCTACCTCCCCATATTTTTCGGGACAAACGTCTGGCCTTCCACTTATAGCTCGGCGACATTGATCCAAGCCTTGGCCATTACTTGATTCCGGCAAAAGTCCTTTCCGTCTAGCTCTACCTCCTTTGGGAACAGAACCTGTCTATTTCTCCATGGAAGAGGGCAAGGCATTAGGGTACACACCGCGTCAAGGGCATGATAACAACTCCGACGGACAACAGCCAACATAAAAGGTCCGAATTTTTCTTCTCGAATTTTGTCAGAGTATAAAGTAATTGAATCAAGGGTCTTCACATTGAGTTCTAATATTCCTGGCCTTGGGCTTGACAATTTATCCAGCTTCCATGTATGAGCAATTATAGACGTTATCTATTCGCAAGCAGTGCCAGACCTATGATGCACAATGCATTGGGAAAGAGGAAAGTAAAGGCTCTTACCTCCACCAAGCTGTGGCGGCCTCCTCCGTATATAAAGCAAGCCCCGGAAAGCCATCAATCCGGCCCGTCTGGCGGGTCGCTTTGGCCCCGCACTGCCGCCTCTATTCGGTCTCGGCCCCGGAAGAAGGGAAGAAGACCGGTGAGACCTCCAATCAGAGTCCATTTAGCCGCCCGGAAGCCACATCAGTCTATCTTGCTTGGCGAGTCGTCGGGCGGCCGTTGACATGTATAGGATGCCCTGCTCGTCCGCTCGGTACCCGGACCATCGGGAAAGGCGACATCTCTGGACCCCTGATAGTCCAAGCCTAGTCCCGGCCTCATTGGAAAGCAAGAAAGATGGCGTCTCTGGCTGACCTGTGCACGACGGGCCATGTTCAGTCTGCGTTACTCACTAGCCTGGACAGCATCGACGCCGCGTCGGTGCAGACGTCGATGAACATGACCGTGTCCGTTGGCTCTGAGTGGGTTCCGGACAGCACCACCCACTACTGCAACGTGATATTTGCCTACTCGCACAAGGGCGTCGCCGACGACGTCGTCCACATCTCGTCCTGGGTGCCCGCGCCCGACACGTTCCAGTACCGCTAAATGTCCACCGGCGGCTGCGGCCTGGCCATCAGCTAGCAGGGCCAGATGGTCCACTCGGGCGCTGTCGTCTGCACCGTGGCCGGCATGACTGACACCGGCTTCGGTTCCTTTGATGATCTTTGAGACAGCGTCTTTTTCCTGGCCAACGGCTCCGACCTGAGCTACGTCCATGACCAGGCGTCCCATCGATTCTTGGGAGCACGACTTTGGCGCCTACAGGTTGCCCTTGTACTGAGGCGGAACCAGGTCTCATGCACATTGCGCTTGGCTGTAGGTGAAAAGGAAATCGTTCAAGTGTCTTGTTGATTCGTGTATGTACATCAAGCCATATCGGCAACTGCATATCGACGTTAGCTATGCACTTTTATGAGACTATGTCCATGATCCGTCTATCCTTTGTCGTTGCTCGTTCCTGTTGCTTCGCACCTTGTCTTCAGGCTTTTCCGGCCCAGAACCGACCACTTCGCCCGCACCGTCCCGCGGAGCGCCGTCTTCAGTTCTGGAGCTTTGCTGCTCTTCCTCGTCTCTCACCCCGACTGGCTGTCCGGCGGCGGACTCCTCCTTGGGCGCCAACCCTCGATCCTTGAGGAAAACAGTGCACAAGAAGCAAATCCCAACTAAGGGCACCTGCAGGATAAACACGGCATGGCTGGCCGCCATGTACGCGTCCAAGACGGCCGGTGGCACGCCGCCATCGAAATGGGGCAGGGAGTACGTCGACCCCGCCAGATAGGCATATTCAGGGGGCAGCGTGGCTCGCAGCCTGGCCTGCAGAACGGCGGCGGAGACGGCGAGCCCGCATGCTCCGCCGGCGCAGCGGTTGAAGTTGCGGTTCGAGATGATGACGGCGCGGCGAGACTTGGTCGAGTGGGCTTGCAGGGCGACGAGGGTCGGTTGGAAGACGCAGCCGACGCCCAAGCCGATGATGAGAAGGACTACGACGATGATGCCTGGGTTTGTTTGTCGGTCGTAGATCAGGGCCAGTCCGGCGCCGCTGCACCATCAATCAGCAAGCAAATCCAACAAAGTCTGGTTTTGCGTCGCGCAAGAGGGAGGTTGAAGGCCGACTTACACAGTCCAGACGCCGAAGCCGAAGCGAATGACGATGGCGTAGCGTTTATATCGCGAGATCCAGAGGCCGGACAGAGCGGAGACGATGCTCTGCGTGCCCATCATGGGAATAAAGACGAGTGCGGAAACGAGAATGGAGAACTGGTGCGCGTTCTGCAGATAGAGGGGGATGTAGTAGATGTAGGACTGGTAGACGAGGCCGAGGAGGAAGCTCTGAGCCAGCAGCACGACGACAACGGGGTTTCGGTACATGGAGACTGCGATAAGTCACGCGTCAGATGGATTGTATTTGTCGGGGCTCGTGCTCAGCGGGGGACTGGTGAGTTGGTGTACTGACGCGGCATCACGGGGAGCTTGGCAAGCTTCCACTCGACCAGCACGAAGAGGACGAGGGATATGCTGCCGATGACGAGCATGGAAATGATGAGTGGAGAGTTCCACGGAAAGTAGGCACCGCCTAGCAGGAGGCATTGTTAATCACCGCAGACCATCCCCCTTTATCCGAGGAGTCCGTGGCCCAATTAGAAAGTACAGCGGCCTGGGGGTGGTTGAGCAACGAACCTCCGGAGATGGGAATCAGGAGAAAGATGGTCCCCACGGACGACGCCAGGGTCCCCAGCCAGTCAATATTCTTGACGCTCTCGGAAAAGGTCGCCGTCGGCTCCTTGGAGGGCAGGTAGAGGTAGGCCAGCAGGCCGTTGAGAGCCCCGAGGGGGGCGAGCATCCAGAACAGGGCGCGCCAGGTGGCGCGGTCGACAAAGGCGGCGGCGAGAAAGGGCCCCGTGACGCTGCCGAGGCCAATCATGCTGCCGGTGATGCCCTGGTACTTGCCTCGGCGCTCGAGGGTGACGACGTCGGAGACGATGATCATGGCGAGGTTTGTGATGCCGCCGCCACCGATGCCGGCGAGGGCGCGGAAGACGTAAAACGAGGCCGGGCTGGCGCTCAGGCCGCACAGCAGGTCTGCGAGGGCGAGCAGCAGGACGGCGGCGATGAAGACGGCCTTGCGGCCAAAGAGGTCCGACAGGCGGCCGTAGAGCATCTGGAAGGTGGTGTTGGCCAGCAGCGAGGCGGTGCCGGCCCACGAGATGGTGTCGCGGGCGTCGAGGTCGGCGGCAATGGTGGGCAGCACCGTGGAGATGCCGTTTTGGTCGACGAAGGAGATGAGCATGGCCAGGGACATGACGCCGAGGCACGAGATGAGCTGCCGCCGGGGCAGCAGGTTGGACTGGTCGTGGAGCGCCTTTTCGGCCTCGGTGAGGCTCTCGGGTCGCGCCATCAGAGGCGGGGCCCCTCGTGGGAGGAGTCGAGGCAGAGGAAGGATGGGGAAGGCAGAGGAAGGATGGGGAAGGCAGAGGAAGGATGGGGAAGGCAGAGGAAGGATGAGGAAGAAGGAGGAGGTTGCGACGGCCCCGGGGCAATGGCGTGGCGAACTACATGGCCAGCAGAAGCGATACACCGGTGAGCCCATTGTGAAGGTCTCCCGGGCGGGTTGAGGCGAAACACAGGACCGTCCCGTGTGTACTCCATACACTCGACGGAATCGGAACCGAGCGGCCGAGTTTCCCAGGCCACCCGAGAACGAGACAAAGGAGGGGCTTGGGGGGCTTGGGGCAGCACCGGTGGCAGAGGAATCCGACTTAACCGGATTGTCCTTTAGTGCCGGCATCGCCACTGTGCCGCTGGGAGCTGCCGACGTCGCCATCGACGGCCATCGACATGCATGTCCACGAGAGACGGACGTGGCAGCGGCAGCAGCAGCAGCAGCAGCAGCCATGGCCGGCACAGGACGCCCAGTGCCTGGCATGGGCGTGCATGTTTCGGCGCCGGCGCGTCGGAGATCGAGACGGATCCGGGCCGTGGGTGCGCCCTCCCGATGGGCCCCCGTGTAACCGCCATGGATCCGATCCGTGCCACCAGCTCTCAACGACCATGCATGCAGAGGGGGTGTGGGGGACTACCGTAGCTGTGGGCCGGCAGTTGTTGGGAGAGGACGAAGACTCGACCAACGCCGACGAAGCACAGCAGCTACCCAGCCAACCTAGTTCTGTTGGAAGCCACGGTGGTGCAACGGATGAAAGTGAAGTGTACAGTGGATCCTACCGTATAACCAACCCATGGAGGTGCCGGTGGCAGCTGACAAGTTCTTATTCCCGAAGGCCCCCCCCTGTCTCTGGCTCTCTGCTGCATGCGGCCATGTGATGAATACATAGTAGCGGACACCGAGCTCTGAACCAGCTGTCAGAAAGCAGCTTTTAACGCACAAGCAACCCCCGATCGTGCAGAAACAGCTGTCTTTGCTGGTCTACTGCAGAATGCAGGGCGATTCTAGACTACCAGGAGCTGAGAAGTCGACCGGCCCCGGCCCCGGCCGGCCTGGCGGGGCCCGAGACCGGAGCGGACAATTATGACGCTTATCGGGGACGGGCCAACAGCGGGCCCCCAACGCGGACGGACCAAGGGGGCGAGCATGTTTACATTGCCAGAGATAAGGGGCCCGGCAGAGGAGACAGCCGCAGCAAAAGAAATGAAATCGTCATGGCAAGCTGCGCCGCCCAACGCAGACGGACGGCTTGCCAGCGCAATGGGGCTTGTTGGTGGGCCATCGTGACAATCGGATCCGGGGCGCCGCCAGGCGTCTTAGCGGTCTCGCGGAAACTCAATACCGTAGACTGAGACGCTCTTGGTGATCGAGGGCCCACGAAAATGCTGCGTGGCGAGCGGCGACCGCGCGGCGGCCCCTGCTGCTGAGAGGAATTGCGCTCGCAATGCAATGTGGTTGGGCCAGCCGGCCGTTGCGGTGAGCAGAGCGCGAGCCAACACTAATGCCGGGCGATGCTGACGCTCGACGCGGGCCTCGTCAGCGACTTATAAGCCGGCGGGCCCGAGCAGACATGCAGCAGCCAGCGCCGGCCGCAGGTGCAGACGGCGCCTCGAGAAGCAGCAGAGAGTAAGCATCATCACCGCCGGCGTCCTCCAGTGCCTCCTCCAACGGAAGAGGAGTAGCAGCAGCAGCAGCAGCAAGCCCCAGAATGCGACTCGCCCGCGGACTCGCCACGGTTGCCGCGGCGCCGTGGCTGCTGTCGTCGACGGTAGACGCCATCGGCTGGCCGCCCTATCTCCTCCCCGAGTCGCTGCCCTTTCGCCTCTCCGACTCGCAGATGGCAGCTGCCAACCTGACCGCTGCCGCCGCCGACGCCATCAGCGCCGCCGTGCGGTTCGAGCGCTCCAACTGGGCCGCCGGGTCCGTCCGCTCCGACCCCTTTTACACGGCCCCGGACGGCCAACACGCCCCGCCCGGCGCCGTCCTCAAGGTCGAGCCCTTGACCAACACGAGCCGGTACACCGTGGCGCCTGCGCTGGCCCTGTCGCGCATCGTCTACCAGTCGCGCGCCCTCGACGGATCCGCCGTGCCCGTCTCGGCCTTTGTCCTCTGGCCCTACCTCCCCCGCGTCGGCTCCAAGGCGCCCCTGGTCGCCTGGGCACACGGGACCTCGGGCGTCTTCGCAGAGTGCGCCCCCTCGCACGTCCGCAACCTGTGGGCCCAGTTCTCGGCCCCCTACGCCCTCGCCCTCGCGGGCTTCGCCGTCGTCGGCACCGACTACGCCGGCCTGGGCGTGTCTGTCGACGACGGACGCGGTCGCGAGCCCATCACGCACCAGTACCTTGCCTCGCCCGCCGCCGCCAACGACCTGCTGTACGCAGCCAAGGCCGCCCACGCCGCCTTCCCGCGCGCCCTGACCGAGGACTTTGTCGTCGTGGGCCACTCGCAGGGCGGCGCCGCGGCCTGGGCGGCCGCCCAGCAGCAGCTCGAGGCCAAGGTGCCCGGCTACCTCGGCGCCATTGCCGTCGCGCCCATCACAAACGCCATTGAGCTCGCCAGCCGCGGGCCCGAGTTCAGCATCGGCCTCCTGCAGACCGCCAAGTCCATCGTCTCCGTGCTGAGAAACGTGTCGCTGTCGAGCATGCTGACACCGGCGGGCATCCGACTCCTGAACCTCGTCGAGGACGTCCAGGGCTGCAACTCGGTCTGGACCGCCGCCCTCGCCGCCATAGTAGGCGCGGATCCCCAGAGGGCCCTCGTGCACGGCGACTTCATCCAGTCAGACGACGCCGAGCGCTTCGCCAACCTATCCGTGGCCGGCGGCAAGGACTTCGCCGAGCCGCTGCTGGTGCTCCAGGGCACGGCCGACCAAGTCATTCCAGAGGACCTGACTGCCAAGTATGTCAACAAGACTTGTCAAGAATTTCCCCGTCGCCAGCTTCACTATGTCAAGGCCCGTGCCATGGGACACGACTCCATCCTGTACGCCACGCAGCAGATCTGGCTCGACTGGCTCGACCAGCGCTTTGCGGAGGGGAGACGCCGTCGCGGCCAGGGTGACCAGGGCCGCGAACGCCCACCTAAAGGCGAGTGCTCGGTTCGTGAGATGGGCGCCGACGCACCGCGGCCGCTGGATCAGTATCAGCAAGGGCTGACGTACGCTCTCGAGTACGCGGCGGATGAGTATATGGTGGCATGATCGTGTGTTGCGGGCGCATCGTGCCTGCGCCTTCTCTCTGCGCGAGGCCTCACCTTGGCACCCTGTACATGGCCCGGCAGCCGTCCGCAGAAGTCGCATAAAACTGTCTATAGCCAGTGTTTTATTGCTTGCTCAAGATCGCTCCCTCCCCCTTTTGCCCATCTAGTACGGCTCGTCCAGATGACTCTCTAGCCCCATCGTCGTACATGCCCTATAATAACTCAATAACGTCGTCGCTGATAATGACGAGCTTCACGAATCGTGTCTGGAATCCAGCACACGCATTGGCTCGCTCTGTGATATTCTCTTGTCTACTCTCCTTGTCTCCTCGCCCGGCTTGCATAGCCCCCCACCCCAACACCTCCGTCTTCGTAACGTTCTCCATGATCCGCGGAGCGTGATTCCGTTTCTGGCGGCGTGTTCCCGTCTATGGCGCTCTCAAGCTACACTGAGTCGAGTCTGGCTCTGCTCAGCCATCGTCTGCAGCAGCCACCAGCTGGGGAATGTCGTCGACCTGCTTGGTGCCACGCAGAATGTCGTTGACGGCGGTAAAGAGAGGATAGTCCTTGTCAAGGCCGCGTGCCTTGAGGAAGCTGTTGACCTCGTAGGCAGTCGTTGTTCCCTGCAGCTTCTGGCCGTTGAGGTCCTGGGACTCGACCTCGTCGACCGTGATGCCCTTTTCGACGGCCTTGCGGGCGCAGCGGAAGTTGCGGCCGCCGGAGCACGACGTGATGAGATCGGCGACGCCGGCCGAGGACTCGGTAAAGGTGGCGCTCTGAACCGTCTCGCCAAAAAACTCCTTGCCAAACTTGACCATCTCCATGAGGCCGATGCGCATGATGGCAGCCTTTGCGTTGTCGCCCCAGCCGCGGCCGTCGACGAAGCCGGCGGCCAGGGCGACAATGTTCTTGAGGGCACCGCCGAGGGAGACGCCGGCCACGTCCGAGACCATCTGGACGTGGAAGTAGGGGCGGTGGAAGAGCATGCGGAAGCACTCGTGGTCGAGCGGGGGATAGGTCGAGGGCACCCCCGTGAGCCGGACCTTGGAGGTACGGCCACGGGCGTCGCGGTGATGGCCGTCGGGGACCTCCGTGACGGTGAAGCCCGGGCTGGGCAGTGGGCTCCCGGAGCGCGGGGTGGGCGCCCGACTGTCCATGGGGGGCGGGTCGTAGGCGACGGTCGTCTCGGACCACTTCTCGGCGGCAATCTCGCTGGCAATGTTGGCGCCGCTCAGGGCGCCGACGTAGATGTTGAGGCCGTCGCCGATCCACTCGCTGAAGAGGCTGACGGCATCGTCGGAGACGTTGACGCCCTTGATGCAGCTGATGCCGCGGGCATAGGGCAGGATGTGGCCGTGGATCTGGCTGCAGACGTTGCCGATGAACTGGTGAGGCAGGTTGAAGATGAGGATGGTGGAGTCGCGGACGGCGTCGACGAGGGACGGGTTGGCGACGATGTTGGAGGGCAAGGTGATGCCGGGCAGATACTTTACGTTTTCGTGGTGGTTGTTGATGATGGAGGTGAGCTTCTGGGGCTGCTGGGCGGCAGCGGCATCGTGGTGCTTGGAGCCGCTCGGGATGACGACTTGTTCCTCGTACACCCACATCTGGACCTGCTCCTCGAAGAGGTTCTTGTGCTGCCGCGTGTTCTCGGCGACAATCTTGGCAATGGTTGAGCCCCTGCGGGCCCGGTCAGCGGATGAGGGGGACTCTTGCCTGCCGCGGCCAACCTACCAATTGCCCGATCCGACAATGGTGACCTTGTGTTTCTTTTCATGCCCGCCGAGGAGCACGGAGCCAGCCATGTTGCCGGCGGTCGAGCAGAGCGGGGACGACGAGATGCGCAGACGACGGTTCAGGGAGCGCAGGACCGGCGATGGCAGCATGCGATGTCGACGAGAACCGCGAGAGACAAGGCGGAGAGAAGCGGGGGAGGGTGTAAAGGCCAGGTGGACTGTAGCTGGTTGATGGCGGTGGTCGACGGTGGCGGGAGGCTGAGGCGGGGTGGGGAGACTAGAGGAAGCTTGGAGAGAGGAAGCTTGCCGCGATTGACTTTATATGAGGGCATCGGAGTGTCTGCACGGAGTTTTGCAGGACGGAGCACTGCCCAGGCAGGTACCCGGTACTGCCGCTTCGAGGAGCTTCCCCGCGTCCGCAAGTTCCTGATTCTGCCGTGGGCTTTGTGCTCTGGAGCTGCCTCGCACTTGGCGGCATGACGCAAGCCTCTCGCGGGTGCTCACCGCCTGCCGTGACGAACAAAGAGCCGAGCCAATCGGGAATGGCGTCACCTGCAAGTCTTGCGCTGTCCTTTGACCCAAGCCGAGATGCGAGGCCAACACAAAGACGGTTGATGCCGTTGGCGGCGACTTTCACATGCCCGCCCTTTATTCCTCTCTCGTTCGCCACGCGGTCGCATCGGATCTGGGCCCCAACCATGGAATCAATCGACTCGGCTGTCATGCTGCGGCTCGCTGCCCCTGTCTGCCTGCATCGACCGGACGGAGAGACGGCGATTTCACATGCCGACAACGGACGAGAATCGGGTCTGGGCTTGACAAGAAACGCCCCTGGAGACAGGGCTGAAGTGGTGTCAAACCCCGACAGTTGACCGGCGGACGACGAGGCAAACAAAACTCCGTGCCGACCTGCGAGCGAGACACGAGCGTCCGCCTCGTCTTCCGTTGCCTGACATAGAGTTTGCGCAATGCTGCCTACCAGAGGCGATACAACCCTCGATTCCGACGTCATGCACTGCGCACATACCCATATACAAATATGCATGTGCGTATGAACTCTAGCGTTGACGACGGGACCTCTCGAATCACTACTTCTTCCTGACACATCAGACCGGCTGTCCTCGAGGCACGTCTTCCGTATACTGTACACACGCCCAGTTGGCCCTTCTCATGCGGAGCCTCGGCCAACTCCTACCTGCCCTTGCCGTTCGACATCAGCGACAGCTTTTCCGACCCGGAACCGTCTCTCCCGTCGCTCCCGTCGCTCCCGTCGCTCCCCGTCCTCTCGCCGTCGCCAAAGACGGGCTTGAATATGGTATCGTAGCTCATCCACATGAGGTTGAAGAGCAAGTTCAACCCCGCCGCCAGCCGCGCAGGAAGCCTGCCAGTATCGTCCGCCAAGAGGCTCGTGGTTTTGAGAAAGGTGATGAGCAACGGTCCCCACGTGCACAAAAACACATACTCTCCCACCCGCTGCTGCCAGTGCGTGATGGTATACGGCTGCAGCGACCCCAAGTACCTCTGGTAGCAGTCTGGAAGATTGTTTTCTCTCGCGCCGTCTGAGAGGAGCTTCAGGTATCGAGCGCTGGCTTGTGCCGAGCCCGGCCGGTGCGTCATGGCCGTCATTCGGGACCACCAGTTGCAAGCCCGCGAGCCGTCGCTGCCTGGGCTGTGCGCCGCATACAGAGTCCTCGCCAGGAAGGGCTTTTCGACCGCCAGATGCTCGTTTCGGATGGGCATGCACGACACCACAATCTCCTTGTAGCTGGAGCCTGCACCCTCTGTCTGCATGATCTTCCGCCAGTCCTTGAGCGTCACCTCGTAAACGACGCCCATCAAGCGACCGTCCCACTCGTCCTCAGCCTGTCTCCCATTCGACGCCGGCTTCTTGGCCAAGTCCCTGAAACCAACGTTGGCAAAGCACGGCTCCCAATAGGGCGCTCCGCGCAGGTCAAACATCAGTCGCAGGGAGGAAACGGAGACGTTGATCCGCGAGAGAGGCCGGATGCCTCGCATTCCTAGAAATGTCGACGCCGCCATGTTGGACCCGTATGCAAGATAGAGCACCGTCTTGGGGGCTGACGCATCCGAGCCCGCACCGGAGGCCTCGGCGGCGAGAGCCAGTCGCTCGGGGGGAGTGGACGGAATCGTAGAGATGGGAGGGTAGGAGCCTGGGCGGGGATGGCGGCTCGAGGCCTCTGCATTGTCCAAGGCGGCCGGAGCAAGCGACTCGGCCGCATCCGAAGGCGGGCAGGGCGACATTGAGACGGCAGGTTTCCGTGGGTCGACTTTGGCTTGGTGAGGATGCGATGCGGAAGGATAAACAAGCAATTGAACTTGTAGGAGGAGAGTTGAACAGCGTTCGCAGGGCGGAACCCCGATGGCCCGGGCTGTTCTTAAACACGGACGGAGCGTCGGCTTTCGTGCGGACCACGTTTCGCCTGGCGGACTGTGCGGAGCTTGCGCGCGCCTATGCGTCAGCCTGCTAGCGAGTATTAGCTTGTAGCTCGTCTGTTAGTTACCGGTCTTGGGTTGATGCTCTATTAGCCGTTGCTGACGCTACAGCGCAGCTATCATCGAGTATCCGCCAACCGAGCAGCCCAACCTTGACGTTCTTGGACGCGTCCAGTGGCCCCTGCATCTGCAGATCACTTGGTACCTTGGCTCTCGTCATTGAGACCGGCTGTGCGCCGAGGTCGTGGGCAGCGTCTCCTGACCCGAACCAATCGCGCACGACGCTTCTCTCTCCAGCCGACGAGCCGGGAAACCTCGTAGAATGCGCTATCCCGCACAATGTCCCACCGCATGCGCCGTCTTGTCAGCTGACGCGCCTCGGAATAAAATCCGCCTCCTCCACCTCCACGTCGCGCGGGCAGCAGGAGTGTAGTGTCAGACTCGGTCATCAGTCATCACAACACGGCATATTATCTTGCGGAGTTTCGGACTTACTTCTTTCTTCTCCGCCGCCACAAACCTCTGACCCTTCAAGCGGCCGCGAACGCCGTCTGTCGAAGTCGCCATGGATGGAATCGTGGCCGTCAATCATGAGGTGGTGAACAAGAGTCGCCGCGCCTTCCTCGGCGAGAGTCGGGCGCACCCGTGCCTTCCCTCTCTTGCGACCGCTCACATGATATGACCTGAGCCCTGGCAACTTTTCTCCCACCGCCGCATCAGGGCACTGCAAATACCTCTGTCCTTCACTTTCAAGCCCTTTTCTTTCAAAATGCGCTGAAGCCATCCTCGTTGCTGGTCGACCCCTGAAGAGCAGCCCGTCAAGCGGCTCTGCCATGCCCCCCCGGTTGAAACGCCATTGAGCAGGGTGACTGGCGCCGACCGTGGATTCTCTGATGCCCTCTTCATCCAAGACCGCCGCTTGGTCATAGATAGCTGCTGACGTTGACTTGGAAAGAACTCAAGTGACTCGTTCAAGGCGCAACGTCGCCTCACCCGCCATTATGCCTGTCAAAACGCGTGCGAAAGCGGCCACTCGTGCACGCGTGCAGCGGCTGCCGACCCAGTTTGGAGAGCTGGAGACCACGCCGACCAGTCACCATGACCAGGCAGATCACCCCCCGGCTGTGCAGCGTGACCAAACCCACCCAGCCAACACTCCTCGGGGACAAGGCCCTCGGTCTTGGGCCGAGCCAGAGAGATACGACGATGGGTTTGATGACTTGGCCTTTGCTGGGCTCGAAGATTTGCAATCTGCCCTTCCGGAGAACCGACGTCGCAGCAGCTTTCAATGGTCCGAAACCGAGTCTCTTGCAAGGCGAAGCTCTCCATTGCACCCTGGCGAGACCCCAACGGCAGCTTGGCAATTTGATGCAGACGAGTCGCTTCCCCCTCTTTCAACTCCCGGATCTGGCAGAGACAAGCTGCCGGATACCGCACCTTTGCCCAGCGGCCCTCCAGCCACAATAGAGTCCGCGGGGTTGCCGGCTTCGACGAACAAGGTTGATTTCTCCGAAACCGCTTCGACCACGCGCCGCAGCTCGCCTGTTGAGCTCGGTGACCCAGTCAAGGACCTCTTCGACTTTGGCGATGACAGCGCGCCGGGCCCTTCTCCCGCCATGCGTCTCCAGGAGAGCACTCAGCGACCCCAGCTCAACCACAGTCACACGCATCTTCCAATCGACAACATCTACGATGCCACTCCATCGCCCGCCAATGTCCGTCCCCGTCGTAGCCCCGAGGTAGAGGCGAGTCCCGCGAGCTTGCCGGGTGCCGGTCTGTCCGTGTCGGCACTCTTTCCGCATCAAGAGACCAACAGGCGAAAGATACGAGAGAAGCCGATCGCTCAAGGCCGACGAGCTCCTGACGACTCTCCTGCCCCGATAGCTAGCCCGAGTCGCGATCTGGTCCAGGACCAGAAAACCCGGAACCAAAAGTCGCAACCTCGTCAAGCAGGCTGTGCTGGCGCCCAACAAGCCAAGCGGGATGTAGCAATCGATGTCGGCAACCCTCCATCGGAAGCAACAAAAGCGACAAACACGCTGACCCAAGGCGACAAAAGAAAAAAGCCCAAGCAGCGCCCGAAGCCGCCTCTCCAGTTCGACGAGATCAGCCAGCAGCTCATGGAGCCCCAAGCCCGCCCTAAGATCAAGCCCCAGACCCGTTCCAAGGCCAAGGCGCCTCAGAGACCACGCATGCCGATCGTCAGCGCGCTCAGAGACTCGGCTCAGCCTTCGAGCCCTCAGGCCACGGTGCCCCGAAAAAGAGGTGCTGGGAAATGCTCACAGCCGAAGAAGAAGGCAAAGACAGCTGAGGCCAAGGAGCAGCAGCAAACGTCACTTGTGGACACATCTAAGCAGCATCCCGATCCTGGCAAGTCCTCGGCCCCGTTCAAGCAGCAAGCGACGAGAGCAAAGCAAATTGCAAAGCCGCCCAAGGCCTCGCCACGTCCCAAACCCGACCTGCCAATCCCTGTCAAGAGCCCCGATCCTATTGTTCTTTCGAGCGACAACGACAGCGACAGCGATTCAGGTGCATCATCTGTGAGCGATTGGGTGCCTCTCCATAGCACAGCCGATTGTGCAATCCTCCCAAGCGTCGGTTCAACGCACTCTCCAACAAGAGATGGCGAGCTGCTCCCAGCCGTTTCATCGTCTGATGACTTCCCCGCGGCCGCCGCGATCCCAGAACGTGCGGTAGCTTCCCAACCAGCCGAACGCAGAGCTCCCAAGTACATCCGCAGGACAGAGGTTGTAGAGCGCGGCGAGGTCCTTGGCCCCCTTGATGTGAATATCGAAACGAGCCAGGACTTGAGAGGGCGCGGGCTGCACACTGCTGCCATCAACTCTTCACCGAAAGAAACCAGCCCTGCAAAGCAAGAAAACCATCGTCCGAGAAGGACTCAGCCCCAGGCCCCCAGGACAGCCATCCGGAACTTCAGTGTCAGCGCTCAGGGGAGTCCGCTGCCGGTCCATCGCCAAGCGCCGCGCCGAGACCCAAATGTCTTTGAGGGGCCTGGAGACCCAAAGCCAAACAAACAGGGCCCATCCGTCGAGCCTCCTCGGAAACAACACTCACAACCAACAGCGCGAGACGCTTCGAGCGGGGGACCAAATCGGATACAGCATAGGTGGCGCGTCGGCGACGGAATTGGTGACATGGAAACCCATCGACTGGTTCATCACCGAGACCCAGTAACGGATTCAATGGAAGGTCTCTATGGGCATGTTCATGCGCAGATACTTGCTAGCCTTCAAGATAACGGCACCCACTCCGACGAGCATTTGCGCCGTCACGATGCGACAAATTCCTCGACGAAAGATTGCCGCGACGAAGTCGAAAACTTGCAGGCCGGCCCGAGATCAAACCCATCCGACAATCTGCCCCAACGGCTGCACCAATTGGTTGACGTGAGTAGCACAGTTCTGGAGCTTTACCCGCGATACTGACGACGTAACAGGCCATGGTGAAGCAGTTGAGGTCAAAGGAAGAAGCAGGTCACAATATTGCAGACGTATACCGCACCAAGACCGCTGGGTGCATCGACAAGATAGGCAATCGCCAGAGTCAGGAGCGCAAGGTATTGCTCGAAACCCTGGCAGTCGACGCCGCCAAGTTTCGAGATGTTGTTCAGCAGGCCAAGAGCACAGTGTCCAACGACAGTCGGCTGAGGGAGCCTGACATTCGAGAGTTTGAGCGGGACACGGCGGAGCGACTAGCGATGTACGAACGGGCGACGAAGAGCTTACAGGCCCTGCATCGTCAGCTGCTGGAGGGAGGTGGGATCTCTGGGTGAGGCCAGGGCACACTTCTTCCTCGCGGGAGGAGGGGCGACCTCATGAGCAAGAAACAGCGGTTTCTCTGAAGGCGGCTGGCCTCGTGTCGCATCTGTTTGCTTCAACTAGGAAACGAGCATGTCACAAACGGAATCTGAAAGCAACGCCTCGTCTCTCTTTGTGTTTACTTTAAAATGGCCAATGGTTAGCAGCGTCTTTAAGTTGTAGGCGCCGAGAGCATCAGCCCAACGCAGAAAGCGAATCTCGACATGACATGTGTAGCACCTGTGCATGTTCCTGATCCGCCACAACTCTCGGCCAAGCTGGAGCAGAGTGTTTATTTCGAGGTTGTTATACCACCCGCTTACTCTTCACATAGCCTTAAAGCCCTCAAAACGTGTGATGCTGATCCTTTCGAAACCCCTGCGCTTGCAGCTCGCCCTTGATCGACCCATATGCCCCTAGACTCTTCTCCATCGCCAGCGGTCCATACGATTTTTGGTTTTCTCATCCTGAGCCACTATGGGCAAACCCTCGCTCAGGGGTTCCTTTGTCACGCGACCTTCTCGGACTGGATTACTCTTGACGCACACAGCCCCGAGTCGCCCCGGGAAGCGCCGCTAGTAGCCGTCCAACTCGGCCTCGAGGAGTACTTCTTGGTCATAAATACGAGCGTCACGGCGGTGTGGTCGTCCGGGCTTCGCAGGATGCCTTGGGCAAGATGGAAACCGGGCGTGATGCCTGCGCCGCTGGCAACGAGCGTGAGGTGTGGGAAGGCGTTGGGCTTGCACTATTAGCTCCTCATGAAGGCGAGGAAGAAGACGGCAGGCCGGTCAGCTGATGTGACGGATTGCCTCGCTATTCAGTCAGCCCGATCTGGCCAACTCTTGTCTTTCCTAGTTGAGCTACAGGCCCGGACCTTTAGTCCATGGCCTGGATGCTTACGAGTCGCAATCCAAATGGCGTATCTGAGGAGCAACTAGCTGTGGCAGATTTCGTCATGCTTGATAGGTTTCTTCGCCGTCGTTTCAAGAAATAGATGGTGAGAGTGGGAAGCGAGGATAGCGTAACAGTTCGCGAGACCCTCTTAATAAGTCAGAGCCCTGTCGTCAACGTCATCGATTACAAGCATGAAAGGTCGCTGGCTCGCCGTGTCATGTCTTCATTGTTGGCACGCTCATCTAAACGGGCTCCGGCGCCGGGTTCTGATACCGGCATCTCGTCAATAAAGCTCGAGCCGAAGCTCCCAGCATTCTCGACATGATCCCCTCCCGCGGCAACTTGTTCTCCTCGCCGGACTCCGGTGCCTGCTCTGGGTATGCTCAACCGTAGCAGGCCCCTTGCCTCGCCAGATATGAATGACGCGGGCACGACGCTCAAGGAGACCGACGAGGAGGGGGCGGTTTCGGCACTGGGTGGTCTGCTCTGCCCCCCGGTAGTGGGCTGGATGGCCGGACAGAACCATGATGAGCTGGGAGTAGATGGGCCAAGGAGGGAGCCTCCTGATGACTAGCTGCGGAAGGACTCGTATCATGACTGGTACAGGTTGCGTCTGCCGCTGTGACTCGCCGCCGTTGAGCGGCAAGCGCCGCGATCCGAATCTCCCGAGCTCCGGTTGCGCGGACGCTCAAGGTCGCACGGCGGGCCTTTAGACGACCAAGGTGGTGCGCAAGGGGCCCAAGGCCGGCAGCAAGGGGCGGACTGGCGCAACCCGATCCGAAGAGCGCAAAGGCCGACAAAGATAGGCCGACCCGGCGCTCGACGCGGTCCAGGTGGAGGCGCCCAAGACGCCCGACGTAAACACGTCCGTCGGCGACATTGTCAAGACAGCAGACAAAGCCAAGGTGCCGCCCAAGACCAGCGCCGAGAAGCCCCCCAGCCGAGCCTTGAGCAGGACGAGTAGCCCAAGCAGCGCGACGAGGCGGTGCCCATGCATCTGCCGGAGCGCATGGTGCCCGCGTTTGAATGCCAGGCTGTCTCCGGCGCTGGGAAAGGAGCCGAGCGAGAGGAGCACGTTTCTGGGAGAACGGCATGCTCGTCGCTGCGCTGGCTTCGCAGTCTGCTGGGGCAAGGAACACTACTGTGACATGGGGGACACGGTTTCGTTTTCGAGATTTGACTTGCTATTGACACCCCGAGTCATCGTCATCGACTTTATTGTGCCAGTGAGCGAGTATGTTTATGGATAGAATGAGTTCCTCGAAGACCGCATAGGCATCCTACGCCCAACACGAACAGTGGCTTGACTGAGATCCGTCGGCGACAACAGACCTAAGGATACGCTGATTGGACTTGGAGCCGGACAGAGCTTGCGTCAAGAAGCTTGCAAATTGTATAAATACGACAGGCAGCGAGCCAGATCCCCTGTGTCTTGTCCTGATTAAAAGTATACATCCAATAGTGAAAGTCCCAAAACTCCACTGGGCTATGCATGTCGACGCCTTTCGCGCAGACTTGACCGGGTCTAATTATCGCCCCTCATGCCCCTCTGTTCCTTGATATCTCTCAGTCCACGGTCGTCCCAATTGCCGGTCGGGGACGCGGGACAAGACGGCGCGCTGTACGGCCGCCGTCGGCGATTGAAAAGGGGCACGTGGCGTCCAAAGTTTTCTCCGTTGATGTGGGTGATGACCAGCACAATAGCCCACAGAAACGTTATAGTCGGCAGAACCCAGAGCGTCAGCAAAAAGTTAAAGGCTTCGGTAGGGTTGAAGAAGAGGATGGCGGTAAGGCTGGTGCCCAGCGCCAAGAGAAAGATGATGGTGAGGCGAACAATCGGCCACGCCTTGAACCGCGTGGTCCGCGCAACGATGGCGAGGATGATCATGGACAGCAGGGTGCAGCCGGCAGCGACGTATGTGTAAGCAAACTGCCACATGTTAGCAGCAGCTCCATATTGTGCCCGACAGGACAGGCCAGAAAGGAGCCCAAGTGTCCCGCAGAACCAGACATACCACCAACTTGTAACGGTCCCAGGTCGTGTCCTGAACCTCGCCCTGGAACCCGCCCCCCCTAATCTCCTCATCGACCCGGGGGTTCTTGTTGGTAACTTCGCTTTCGAAATCCATGCCAAACGTCGCAAACAGCGCGTTGGCCATAGACGACATTGTCGCCTGCAGGACGTTGGAGAAGATCTCGGTGGCCTGAACATCCGTGTCCTTTAAGGCGCTCACGTCGTTCGTCTTATAGTAGTTGGCGAGATCGGGCCAAAATGCATCGGGGATCTGGGTAATGTTGGCAAGCGCGTCGTTGACCGTGATCCACGTGCTCGGGATCTTAGGAGGAAAGTCCCTGAAGAAGAGCAGCGCGCTGAGGTTCATGCGCTCTTGGACCTGCGCGCTTGTGGCGGTGTAAAGCCACTCGACGTTGCCACGGCTTAGGCCTACGCTCACCGTGTTGATGACGTCGACAATCTTGGACCATATCAGAAACTGCGTGAAGCCTTGAGTGAACAAGATAAGCGAGAGGTGAAACGGGAGATGCATCATCATCCAGAGCTGCTGCCGTAAGGGGGGGAGGTAGAAGGAGGACCGCAGCCAGTCGAAGTAGACGAGGAAGATGAAGTAGATGGTCGCAGTCGCAGACGTGACGAGTCCAATCGTTACTCTGTCTATTAGTGAGTTAGCGGTGCTCGGTACTGGAGCTGCGACGCAAGAGCTGCTTACCCCATGCGTCTGGGTTCTTAACAATCGTTACCACTTCCCTCGCCACTTGAATGATGCCGTCGCCGATGATGATGACGGTTAAAAGCGTAAGCCGTTTAATGAGATGCGTCCTGGTAAAGCTAAGGACCGTATAAAAGTTGGATAGGAGGATGGTAAGTATCGCCTCGGCCCCCGAGACCAAGTACCAAGCGATAAAAATGTCTCTTCTCTCCCCCCGCTTAAAACCAAAGGAGATGCCCAAGTAGATGATTCCCGATACGAGATGAACGGCGATCTGTAAATAGATGGGCAGGCGAGCCTCCTTGAATCGTCTGATATGCCATAGTGTGGCACCGTACTCGGCCGCCAGACACGCGCGGGAGACCATGAGGATGAGGGCTAGAGATGGTCAGTCTTGGGAAGTTTCGACGTTCTTTGGAACCGCAGCCGTAGGAGGACGCACACATTGTCTGCATCGTGTCCGCATGCTGGTTCGTCGGATTGAACTTGGGAGCAACTATCGTGAAGCCGACCAAAACGCCGAGTTGTATGGCTCTCGTTAGGCGAGCTATGTATGTCGTCGGTCAGCCACCAAACGCTGGCGAATTGCTGGTGGTGAGTACCTACCAAAGATGCTGTCGGTGACGTATCGAACGTCGAAGAGGGTGACGAGAAGCCATGTTACCCATAGTAGGCTTGGGGTGCATGAATGTCAGCAGCTTGTCGTCACGGGAAGGCAGAAGTCGGAAAGGGAGCAATTACAAAAAGTAGCCAAAATAGGCCTTGAACCTGGAATGGCTGGTGACTTCTTGATTGTCGGAAAAGACGTTGTAATTGGCGGCGAAGAAGAGGTCAAAAAAGACCTCGAGGAGGGTCGGTTCGGCATGCTGCAAAGAGGCGGCGTGCGACGGTTAGCGTGGGCCGACGCCACAGACACGAAGCCGGGGAGAGACGGACTCGCACGAAATCCGGAAGACCGCCGCCGGCTCCATAGTCGTCGCTGCTCTTGGGGGAGTCGTTGGAGGCTTCGGATTGGAGGCGTTGGAGGCTCCGGGCCTCTGCGTCGCCGTCGCCGTGCTCCACGACCGGGCTCTTGAGAAACCGAAGCTTGTCGGCAGTCGGGCGGCTGGGCTCGTAGTCGGACATGATGCTGCCGTTGGCTGTTGAACGCAAGGGTCGTCGTCCCGCCGGCGAGCCGACCTATTGAGGGGGGAGGAGAGAGAGAGAGAGAGAGAGTTCCAGGAGGAAACGGGTTGGGCGTTGAGGTTGACATAATCAGGGAGAAGACGACTTATTAGACATCAGGGGACTCTCAAATGGAGATACAATCTCTCTCCCCTGCGGGAACGTCAGGAAAGATAAACAAGGGGTTACAGAGGTCTGCGGTCTAGGTCGGGGGTTAGCTGCCGATTCCCCCTTCGAGCTAGACTGCAGAGAGTATGGTGACGCCCGGCTGGGTCGAAGGCACAAAACCCTAATGGAATGGGCGCTGCCGTGAGACGACGAGTGGCTGAGGCAGGTAGCAAGCCGGGACGCCAACTGAAACAGGCATTGGTATTCGACGAGCCACTTGGGCCGAATATGTTCAAATACCTAGTCATCCCGAGCATGCGGTGTAAAGACAACATGCCCCCCATACACGACGTCTTGCACTGGAGATCTTGGTGTACGAATAGAGGGTGGCGCGTTTTTTCCCTCCCTTGCTGGGTAAGGCAAAAACACTGCCTGGATCGGCAATCAAGTGCCGATACTGCCGATACTGCCCTCTGCCACAAGGCAGCCTAATCGGCCGAATGTGCCGCGTTCCTTGCAGCGATGACTCCTGATTAATTCATGAGAAAAGCAACTTTTGCGTGGGAACAAGTGATTGATGCCGCTGACGTGTGCGCAAAGCATGTTATTGCTATTGGAGATTGAACAAACAGGCTCAACGGTACATGAAAAGACTGTTGCTTGATTCAACAGGGTGAGCGACAGGCAGGATGAAAGGATCCAAAGGCTCTGCTGGAGAATCGAATGGACGAATACGGCCGTGTGCTAATTGAGCGCGCAAAGTGACAGGCCGGACGTCGGCACCACGGTGAAACACCAAGTCGCATGATATTCCGTACAGCCCGTCGAGAGACATTGTCGATCAAAAAGCTGGCCTTGTCAGTCGCTATCAGAGGCAACGAAACAAAGCGAGTCGTGTACAACTGGCACTCATCCAGTTGTCATCTCAATAAGTCAGACAACGACAATGCAGGTTGAGCCATGGGTCCGCGGTGCAACTTGGCCGAAATCGGGGTAAGATAGTTGGCAAGTAAGGCCAAGCGATTACATCATTTATCATCACCAATCTTGCCATGAAGTCCTCTCGCAATGCAATTCCACAAGGCGTGTGCTGGGAGTGTCACGCGGTTAGCTGAAGACTCGTCCGGCACCTGAGTCTTGTGGCAGGAGGCGCGACTGGTGATCCAGACCCTCCCACTTGGGTAGGCTGTCTGGGATATCGACGACGCGCTGCGGATAAAAGAGATGACACCTGTGCCGAGCGTCAGCCCCAGCAGTGCATACGGCCGAGCGTATTGGGCAAGGGCTTTCTCTTTCATTTTCAAGAGGAAGCCGTTGGTCGACTGACTGGACTTGAAAGTTCTGCCGCTGCTCTTGGGTACTCAAGGCCAGCAAGGTCGGGAAGAGCAGCACCATGTTCCTGCCCTCGTCCATGATGAGAGTGCCGCAGTTGGCACAGGTGACCTTGCACGGCAGAGCGTGCTCGGCACGGCGGGTGGCCGAGTTGTAGAAGCGCAGGCCACGAGTGCCCGTCTCAAAGGCCATGTCCGACTTGTGGAAAATGGCGGCCCATTGAAAAGGGGCGCCTGGCCAAGGGTCAATTGGCGGGACGTCGGAGCAGCGAGACTGCGGGCTTACCGTGAAGGGTCCTGCAGTCTTGGCAGTGGCAGAACTTGGAAGCGAGGGGCTTGTCGCGGCTAAGCCAGTAGACGATGGTCCCGCAATGGCATGCGCCTCGGAGCTTCTTGTCGAAGCCGTCGGCGTCGGGACTCTGGTAGGGAGGGAGAGAATGCCAGCTCTGGGGTTCGCAGGCCATGGCGTGAGTGAGTCAAACCCGGAGACTGACAATGACGGCAACGGGGGGGCAAAAGGGTCCAGAGGCGCATGACGTAACATTGACGCCCGTGTCTCTCTGCATTCTCCCGCGAGATGGGACTTGCCCAGGGTCCGGCAAAAAGTTGCCGATGGGAGGCATCACCTGTGGCGCTGGCGTTGGACGTCCGAGACTCGGGGCGGCATGTCGAGAACAGCGACGACTTCCAGTCTGACGAGGCTCCGCGTGGCCGGGATGCTCAGCCGCCATGACGAGGGGGGCGTAATTGAGGCTTGGAGTGGAGGTGTTGACGAATCTCGGACTCTCGCGCGGGCTGCAGAGGGGGAAGCAGTCAGCCGACATGGGGCGCTTACATAAGGGGCCTCGCTTGGCAGTTTGTACCCTCTAACAAGTCTGCCCTTTTATCTCTCGGAAACCTCGAAGAGGCAGCGAAAATTCCAGCAACAAACAAGCACACAGCTCCCGACCGTCTGCCTGCAGCCGGGCTTGGTGCCATGACGTGGCGCGCGTCTCCCTCTCCCGGCCGAGCAGCGGTGGAGGGCCCCAAGACAATGGTCATGATGAATTAGATGATGCAGGTTGAATGGAGAAGAGACACGGTGGTATTACTCTGTAGATCTACAGTAATTAATTAATTACCTGCCCCAGATGAGCACTGTCATGCGCTACCGTAACTTATCCGTCGTCGCGTCATTTCCTGTCCCACCAAAAAAAGCTGATTGCACAGAGGGCCATGGACCCCTGGCGCAGACGGACCGAGCACGAAGACCACTTCACGCCTCTGTGAGAGAGGTAACATGTTTATCATCGGTGAGCCCCGCCTAAAAAGGCCCCGCAATATGTTCTGTTTTCCCACCCATCCATCACGGGCGTTGCCGCCTAATCATATGTCTGTGCCCATCCAGGCAGAGGTGTCACGAGCAAGCAAGCAAGTAATTCACAGGCCAGCCTTGCAGTAAGTACTTCCCCGTAGGACCTGGAAGATGGCGGTCTCGACCCGGAAAAGAAGAAAGTAATCTCGTCATGCACTGTACGGAGTACCGCGCAAGAGAGTCGACGACATGTACCCCGATTCTGTTAGACGCGGCCCGGTGTCCCTCTCGACACCCTTAACACCCATAGAGTACCTCCACAATAGTCCAAGGTTCCCATTGTCGTCTAGCTGGTATTATTAGTGGCGGGCTCAATACGCACCCCGCGCCGCGCCTCTCATTTCGCTCTTTTTTCTCCTCTTTCTCCTCCATTCCCCATCTTTTCCCTTTATTGTCGGCATCGTGAGTCTTGATTGACACCAGCCTCACTCTTCCATCGCCGCTGATCAAACGCCGTCAACCGTTTCAGACACGATCCTGCTTTATACGGCTCCACACTTTCAGGCACATATCAAATCGTCTCATGGTGCAAGCTTCACCTCCCATCCCCCGCATTTCCCCTTGTACGCCGACTTGTCATCCGCTGCTGCTGCTTCTTGACCTCGAGCAACCCCTCTGGCACGACTTGATCGCGCCGCCTCGTTGCGTCTTTGAGCACCACGACAACCCTTGCATTCGGCACCGCCTCCGCCGCCGACATCTTCGGCCGCGTCCCCCCCCGTGCCCTCACGAGGCACCGGCGAGGCCCGGATCGTGAGCACGAGTACAAGATGCCCTTCCGCCAGCGTGTTGCCCGCCACTTCGGCGATGCGGTTAGTTTGACAATTCCTCAATGCCTACATATTGTTGCTTCTGTGCCCCTGACAATCTTGCGACGCAGCTCTCCCCCGAAAAGCCGTACCTTAGCTACTATGATGTCCTATTGACCGTCGAAGACGTCAAGGCTCTCAAGCACGACTGGCTCACGGACAATAACATTGCCTTCTGGGAGGAATACCTCGAGCGAGAGACGCTGGCTCGCTACCCGCAAGCCCATATCGTCCTCCTCCGTCCTAGCATGACGTTCCTCCTCATGAAGGAGCCCGATAGCCGCCTTGTCCGCGCCGCCCTGCCCGACTTTACAAAGGTCACCCACATCTTCCTGCCCATCAACGACAATCGCAATGTCAGCGTCGCAGAGGGCGGCAGCCACTGGTCCCTACTGCTCGTCTCCGTTATTGACGGCCTCGCCTTCCACTACGATTCGCTCGGTGGCTCCAACTTCTCCGAAGCAAACCTTGCTACGCGCAAGCTCGCCGAGATGCTCGGCCGCCCCTTCCGCTTCATCAACCTCCAGGACTCGCCGCAGCAGGAAAACGGGAGTGACTGTGGCGTCTACGTCTGCCTCCTGATGCGCCATCTCCTCATCAAGCGCCTTCTCTGCGTTAATGCCCGCGAGAAGATCTCCATGAGCATGGCGGGCAAGATAGTGGACAGCCACGGCGGCCGCAAGGAGATGCTTCGCATCATTGAGAACCTCCGCAAGGAGGGCGAGCGCCGAAGATCGTGAGTATCCGCTCCAAGCCAACCTTCGGCATGCAGTGCACAGCGGCTAACCGGGGACACCACAGGAGAAGCTCGAGCCCATTTACCGACAAGACGCCACCTCGGATCGAATAGAGATCGGCCCGATACGGCTCGGCCGCGGCTTTTGAACGGCTTGTGCGAGAGGTGGAGGCCCGCCGCCTCGAGGCAAGACTGCCCAAGTCGGCCATGCGCAAGTTCAAGTGCGGTGAATGCCCCTCGCCGAGGATCCAGAGAAAGCGCCACTTCCGTCTGCGCATGAAGGCTCGGGGCGTACCCGGCAAGGCCCCGGGTGCTCAAGGTAACGAGACGTTGAATGTCGACCCTTGTGCTCCAACGTCTTCTTCCTTCGACGCCGCCGGGCGCAAGGCTGCCGTCAAGGGCCAGAAAAATCTCAAATCGGGCAGAGCCGCTCGCATTTGCCACAATTCAGCCACGTCTGTTGCGAAGAAAAGAACCATGCGCAAGCAGGCACCCAAGAAGACGCCCAAGGCCATGACTTCTGCAAGGTCGACGAAGAGCAAGCTGGCCTCGACTGCGTCCAGCTCGAACAACGGGTTGTGGATGCAGCGTGTTCCGATGGAAACCAGAGCCCAGAAACTGGCACGACTTGGGTTCTGAAGAGGCCGACCGCAGAAAACAAGCAGCAACGACCCATTTCTTGCGAGTGACTATCTCTCTCCGCTTTTTTTGCTTTCTCCTGGCCGCATTTTTGCTTCATTCAAGACGTGCGTTTTGCCCTCATATTTGTTTGTTTTCTTGCGAGGCGTTGGAGAGATCATGTTGAGGCCACAACGGACTGGCAACGAGTGCCCAAACCACATTTCCGGACAGCGGCCGCCCAATGAGAAGACAGGCGACGTCGCCACTATTGACTGATACGAATTGATTGAAGCCTCTGGCGCTTAGCGTTTACGCATGAGCTGCGGAAGGGGGGGAGAGAGTTTGGCGAGGGGAGCTTTGAGGATACCCGTGGCATACAGGCGAGAAAATGAGACGATGAGTTCAATGACAATTGTGTGCTTTAGCAAACGACTTGGAATTCAGCTGCTTCGACCTCGAGTGAGATGAGGTGACTCTGCATGTAGTAGGTGCCTCTGCACGACTTTGCCTTGACAAATTTTCCCTGCCAACAAACTCCTCAACTCCCGAAAACGGGTATATACACTGAAAGGCATGGTTAATGAATGATTCGTAGCCCGTGTCAATCGTGTCTCTGTCAATCGTGTCTCTGTCAATCGTGTCTCTGCAGTCAAGCAGTGTACATGGGCAGGTGCATCTGCGTCTTAGCTCTTGCCGACAAAGGCCGGGGCTTGCTCCATGGTGGCAGAGATGTATCCGCGCAGGGCGGCCCATCGACCTGCCACGGCCGGCGGTTGCTGCGGAGGGGCCGAATCCTGCGGCGCCTGGCGGCTACCGTTACCGTCCGCTTGGGCCTGGCCACCACGGAGTGAGGGTGTAGAAGACGACGGGGTAGCGCCAGACAGGCGGGCCATGCTGACGCCGAACCGCTCCATCTCACCCTTGACGACCATCTCCTTGCGCTTCAGGGCACCGGGCTTGCTCTTGATGCTCCGGTGGCGGACCTTGTGTCGCAGTTCGCCGCGGCGGTCCTCGTCAGCTCCCTCGTCTTCGTCCTGCAAGCTGGGGAGGGCATCGGCGAGCCCTTGAAGGGACGTCTTGAGCTTGTTGTTGGGGCGGCGGGAGCGGTTCTGGCTCCGGGGCTTGGTGATGCGGGACGAGGAAGAAGAAGAGGCGACGCGGGCGAGAAAGGACGAGTGCTTGATGAGGCGCTTGTCGCGCTTGGTGGAGAGGAAGTAGTCCGTGACGGCGGCATCGGAACGAAAGGTCTTTGGGGGCGCGAGCGGGTGAATTGCGCCTGAGATGCGGGCGAGGCGACGGGCGCGGGCCGAGGGCGCTGATGATGGCGGGGCGACAGGAGCCTGGATGGGCGGCGGTGGTCAGTGTTAGCATTGTTCTGGTGGGGGACAGGACTGGACTGGGACTTGCCATGGCGGTAGAAGAGATGTGATGGCTTCAGAGACGGGAGCAAGGCAAGAGTCTCGTCGGGTGAAGCGAGACGGTGGACATTTTCGGTCAAGCAACTGCACACCGAGGGGTACGTACTGTGTGGGTTTGGGAACCCTCGGGGCCCGATCCACCGAGGACCAGAGAGACGGCGCCACGTGACCTCCTTGGTTGAACGTCGACTGCTTTTTGTTATGCGCTTTGCACATGTCATGTATGCGCGTTCAATGACAACTGCACTCGACGTTGGCTCCCGCACAAGCCCTATCGAACCAGATAACAAACGTGGCGGCACCTCCGTCAGGGGTTCTGCTGGTCTATCAAGGCTCCTCCGTGCGGCCCCGGTGCCATCCGATCTGCGCCAGGTATCGAGATTCGTCGTGCAACATAGCAGTGCGACAGCATCGGTTAGGCTGCTGGACTTCGCGACGCACACGGCCTGCTTTGCGGCTACATGCATGTCTTCAATCACCCAAAACCTATCTTGCCTGGCGGCTAAAGGGACAATGTTCTCGAGCCTACCACGGTGCATGTGCTTCGTAGTGTGCGGCACAGCTCACATGCGCAAATACGTAATCCGCCTCGATGCCTACGCCACCCGGGCTTCATTGACCGGTCCGAACCCATGTGCATTGGCGGCTTGAACCATGTGTGCAACGGCTCGTTCGCGGACCCGAGGTACGCTTGGATGAGAGGGGGTGAAGGCTTTCACGCGTTACCAACAGGAACTCGATTCTTTGCGAAATACGCATGGCAAAGATACTGTGTCTTGAGTCCTGTGTCGTCGCCTGATCTTGATGCTGATATGAGAATACTTGCCCCTTATTGCATGCCTCGACAATCCAGCACTTCCTTGTCTTCGTGGTGCTTCCGCCTCCTTGACGCCAGGTCATCGGGAGCTTCTACCCGGGAATAACGTCACGGGCGTATTCATGTTTCTCTCGCCCAGCCCTGCAAGGAATGCCGGGCACCGCTTATCCGGGTTACCTAGGGTGGCATGGAAGGGTGAATCGGTGGCGCGGGAGGCCAATATGCCTAGCACGCACCAAGAGGCGTCCAATCCCGCGTCAGGCACTCCGTCTTCCGGACCATTCACGTTTACTTGCTACGGCGTAAAGCCATGGCATGAGAGTGAGCTCGAGCCCGGGACACAGCGAGCCGAAGCGGCGCGGCCCGAGCCAAAACTAGGCAGTGGCGCAAGGACGAACGCCGCGCCCTGTCAAGTTAGGCCCGTATCCCACCCCCCCTCCAGAAGTCTTCTGTTATAGACTCATTGATGGAAACCGAGTCGAGCGATCTGTTGGTGCAATAAGGGCATTACTTCGTCAACCGCAGCAGTTTAGGTGACATTGGTAAGAAACACATAGCAGGAATTAGGATGCTCTGAAGCGTCCTCTCCTCAAACTAAGCCCTTCCGCAGGAAATGACGTGCGTAAATCGACATCGAGTGCAACGTGGCGAGCTGTAGAAGCGCAACTTCAATCTTAATGGCCCTCGTGAGTAAACAAGAACCTTGCAAATGTCGTGGCGTCATTGTGTGCACCTTTACCCAAGTCATTCCAACGATTGTATGTGACAACGAGGTGTCATGCGCACGAGGCGCAAGCCTCCTGCAGAAGATTGATTTGGACAACACGCCTTGTTCCCCCTTTCCCGAAACATGTCACACGGGCGAGCGCTCACACCCAGAGACGCGCGTAGCAAGCCTCACCCGTCGAGGCAACAGACAAGATGTAGCAGCCAGCAGCTAGGGTAGGAAAAGAAAGAAGAGGAGATATCAAGTCTTGACCCGCCAAAATTGATAACCTCCTCGCATGTGTCTCGCGTGCACAAATTGGGATGACAGAGGAAAGGGAGACGATACGGCTTCGCAGGAAGCACATGCAAGTATAGACCAAACTTTAAGCCTCACATTCTCCCAGGGCTGCATGGACGCAAGCAGAAACCAGAGATGACGGGCGGCAAACTCGATCGTGGTTCGACCACATAAGAGGCAGGCCTTGGCAATCGGCTCAAGTGTTCAAGCCGTCAAGCTTCAGGGCAAACATTCCGATGCAAGGGGCACCAGAAATGACACGTGGGGTGCAATCTTGTCAGATCTACGGGTGCAGGGTCGCATAACGGGTCACGTCTAGTCTCACATAAGGAAGGAAGTCGAGACCCCTAGGCCTCAGGGTCATATTAGTTACGTATTACAACATAGCCGGGGCCCCAGGAGGGCAAGACGTGCATACGGGCAGTTACACAATCTCGTACTGGGAGTTGCCAATCGTCATGCACAGCAATGGCTAGATGATCGATTTACCCTCGGGATTCCTCTCTATGAGGTCATATTCACCAATGCCATTTTCCAAACAGTGTATATATAGAGTCAATACATGGCCGAAGCCAGTTCAGATTGAGAATAGTAGGTCCTGTCAAGAAGCGAATCCCCTGCTCCACACCGTCCAGCAAAAGGACACATTCCCTTGTTGGCCAGAAGACGGCTGCCTGTCGTCCTCACCTCATCTGTTCGACCCTGCAAACAATTGCCAATGCCTTACTCTACTCCCGCCAGCGAGCAAGACCTGGAGAAAGGTTGTGAGGGGAACGGTTATCTTTTCAACTCGTCTGTCAAGGACATCACCTGGAAAGGGGTCACGGTGACAGTCGAGGACAAAACCACCACGACCAACCGGACCATTGTTGATGATGTATGCGGAACGGTCAAGGCTGGTGCGTCAGGACTGGGTTCCCACGTTCACGCTTGGTATACCCCCAATGCTGACCTGTAACCAGGCGAGATTTGCGCCATCGTGGGTCCCTCTGGCTGTGGCAAGACTACGTTGCTCAGCGTTTTGGCCGACAAACCCATCAAGGCCAAAAAGATTGAGTCGGAAATTCTGGTCAACTCAAGCTTCGTGTCGCGCTCAGACTTCAAGAGAGCGTCGTGTTTCGTTGAGCATGAAGACGCTTTCATCGGCTCTCTCACGGCTCGGGAGAGCGTTGAGTTCGCCTCGCGCCTGGCTTGCTCTGCGTAAGAATGCTCCTTGAGCCCATGGTGCTCCCCTCGAGATGTGATTTGGCGAGCTCATACGATTTCGCCCGTTAGTTCCCTTCCCCGCCATGTCCGCGATAACCGAATCGATTCACTTCTCCATTCCTTCGGCCTGACGGAGCAGGCCAACACGCTCATCGGCACGTCGCTTCGCCATGGCATCTCGGTCGGCGAGAAGCGTCGAGTCAGCGTCGTGTCTCAGCTCATCACCTGCCCGAAGATACTTTTTCTCGATGAGCCCACGAGCGGCCTCGATTCGGCCGCGAGCTACAAAGTCGTCAGCTACCTCAAATCTGTCGCCAAGCAAAACAATCTCATCGTGATCATCTCCATCCACCAACCCTCGGCCAAAACCTTTGGTCTTTTCGACAAGCTGATGCTCTTGACTGGCGGCAAGATGCATTACTTTGGCTCCATGGATGGCTTCGTACCGTACTATGAGTCCACTGGCATCCAAATCCAAAGCAACGTCAACCCTTCCGAACATCTCCTCGATCTCGTCAACATCGATTTTGCCGAGGACAGGGCGGCGGCTGAGAAGCGCCTTGGTGAGCTGCATGAGGCTTGGGAACGCTCGCCGCAATACAAAGAAGTTTGCAGCGCCTTGCCGGTGACGGGGACTTCGACCAGTGGCAACATCAAGCTCAAGTTCGTCGATAAGAGGCCCAGCAAGTGGAGTCTGACTCTAACGCTCCTCCATCGCAACTTTATTAAAAGCCACCGCGATGTGATGGCGTATGGGACCCGTCTCGTCCTATTCGCCGTCATAGCTCTACTGTCAGGCACCGTCTGGCTCCGTCTCGACTCGGGACAGTCTTCAATTCAGTCCTACATCATTGCTCTCTTTGCCGGCACCACGCTCGTTCCCTTTATATCGATTGCGTATACCCCGGCATTTCTCGAAGACCACCACCAGTACACGAAGGAGAGGGGAAGTGGATTATACGGTCCGACCGAGTTCATCATTGCCAACTCTCTCATTGGGATTCCGTACATCTTCACCTTTGCCTGTACTTATTCAGTGGTGGTATATTGGGCCATCAACTTCCAACCGACAACCGCAGCCTTTCTCACCTCGATTATGTGGATCTTTCTTGACCTTTTGGCAGCAGAGTCGGTCGTTGTACTTCTGGCTGCCATTTTCAATAGTTTCATCACTTCACTTTCTCTATATGCGTTTGCCAGCGCCCTTTTCGCGACAAACAGCGGCTTCATGGTCCCTCCGACGATGATCAACCGTTTTTACAAAAATGCCGTCTACCACTTGAACCATCAAAAGTACGTTTTCCAGGGCTTGATGGCCAACGAGTTCAAGGATCGGGTAATATCTTGCGAGAATGGGTGCCGCTGCATTTACAACTCACCTCTCGCCGACCAGTGCAAGATTGCCGGACAAGCAGTCCTCGACTACTACGACATTTCTGGCAAGCGAAGCCTTGCTAGAAACGTGGGCATTACAATAGCCATTATATTTGTCTACCGTCTGCTGGCTTGGTCTGTTCTGAAAATGCGCAGGTGAAATCCGGGTTGTTGGCATGGCGTCTGGAGGTTCAGTCTTGGGATTGGAGAACTTGGGATAAAGCGAGGCCCTTTATGGGCAGAAGAATGGATACCCTTAGGGCAGCGTACCGCTATAATACGATGGTTTTTCTTCCTGCTCTAATTCCGAGTCCCAGCTCATGACCCCTTGCACATAGGCCGTCCATCCCGGAGCTACAAAGTCAAAGTCATTTTCGCAGGCACGATCTCGGGGAGCTCGGTAGTCTGACAAGGATTCCAATCGGGGATACGCCGAAAATGCGGAGTGCCAAGGAGGCCGTGTTTTGCTTAAGTTGGTCAAGCTTCAAACAAAGCCGGGGTTGCATCCATGCACGATGTATGTCGGGCATTATGCAACTAACCAGCCCCTGTGCTCGGCATTGAACCAGTGAGCTCCTCTTTTCACACAGTCTGCTTCACCAGCTTCAACTCAAACGTGACGGCCATAGCAAGCGTGGCATTATTGTCCGTAACTGAGCTACTAACCAACTGACTCACGAGACTCCACATTCGTGTATCGTCAGGTCCAGCCTCGACTCGTGCATATTCAAGCTTAAAATCCATCAGTAGCGATCAGAGCAGGGGTCATGTTTGCGGTATTACTGCGAGTCGCTTTCACAGCCTTTGTCGCCGTCTCCATCTTGTACTTGGCGTGGTCGTCACTTCTGCGGACACTTCCTCAGGCCGCTCATACGCGAACGCCGACGCCGCCTGACATGGTCGCGTTTCCAGAACCTGGCTGCGCCGGTGAAGGATCGGGGACGGTGGACTTACATGACGCCGGCTCCCAGGCCACGATGGCAAGTGTTGACGGAGTTACGGCGCTGCATACCGCGGCGATTGACGGGTCGGAAGCAGCCACACGCCTACTCCTCGACGCCGGAGCCAATGTTTCTGCCGTCAACTTCGACCAAGAGACGCCTCTGCACGTGGCGGCTATGTTTGGGCATGAAGCCGTTGTCAGGCTTCTCATCGACTTCGGGGTTAATGTTTCGGCGCCAAATTGCTATGGAAGCACAGCGCTACACGGTGCCGGCCTCCGCGGGCACGCAGCCGTCGTCAGGCTTCTCCTCGATGCCAAAGCCAGCGTCCATGCGGTGGACAACAACGGCGACTCGCCATTGCTGTCCTCGGTAAGCGGCGGTCTTGCGGTAGTGGCCCAGCTGCTTGATGCTGGAGCCGATGTCTCGGCAACAGGCTATGGTAGAGAGACGGCCCTGCATCGAGCCGCGGCATGGGAGTCCAGAGATGTGGTGCAGCGACTTCTCGATGTTGGAGCAGACATCTCGGCAAGATCGAACAATGGAGAAACACCGCTGCACGAGGCTGTCACTTGGGGCCAAGGGGATCGAGGGAAGCTACAGCTGCTGCTCGATACCGGCGCTGATGTATCTGCCGTCACTGCCCAAGGGGAGACACCGTTGCATCGTGCAGCCGCCGCGGGAGATGGAATAGCAGTTTCAGTGCTCCTGGATGCCGGCGCCGACTTGACGAAAGCGAACCAAGACGGAAAGACGGCGCTCCATCTCGCGGCAGGTCGAGGGGGTGAAAACGCCATTACCGCTCTGCTGAAAGCCGGAGCCGATGTGAGGGAGGCAACTGGAGACAGCGAGACGGCTTTGCATCTCGTAGCGTCCATTCCCGTGGAGAACCAAGGCTCGCGGAACAGCGCGCGGCTGTTGCTGGAGGCTGGCGCGGATGTCTCGGCGACGAACAGCGACGGAGAGGTGGCACTCCATTATGCGGTTGCCCAGCGGCTTGAGAACACCACGCGCCTCATCCTCAACGCCGGGGCCGATGTCATGGCGAGAACTCCCAACGGCAAGACACCGTTGCATATTGCAGCAACGAAAGGATGGGAGCAGGGGACGCAGCTGCTGCTTGACAAGGGAGCCGACGTGTCAGCAACCACTGATGACGGGAAGATGCCGCTCCATTTCGCGGCAGCCGGGGGGTGGGAAGAAGAGACACGGCTGCTCCTTGGAGCCGGGGCCAGTGTCGCTGCACAAACAGCTGCTGGCGAGACACCGCTGCACTGCGCAGTCACCCAGGGGCCGAAATCGCATCTTCCGCCGCTCTGGCCGGAACTGCAACCGGATTTGCTGGACCAGATGTCGCAAAGGGGCGTGGCGGTTATACGGGCGCTCATTGATGCCGGGGCCAGCCCAGTCACGCCGACGACCGAGGGGGAGACGGCCTTGCAGCGCGCCGAGGCCTTGGGGTTGGACGCCGTGGCCGAGGTGCTTCGCCAAGCGGAGGCTGACGCCGTGGAGTTGTAGTGTTCGTTGTATTGGTCCGCCAGGGGTAGCTTGCGTTCCGCTCCAAGCTGGACACGGTGACGACTGAGAAGCCTGCTGCTGCCGGATGTAAACAAACATGAAGCTACGAATTACTCACGCTGCGACGTTGGCGGAGAAGAGTGCGGCGAACTTCCCTTAGCGCGCACCCGAGACGAGAAAGCTGTCTCTCGTTCAGTGCACAAAGTGAAGAATGTAACGGGAGATTATGCTTGGATAGAAGGGTCTCTCTTTCTCAGGGGCGAAGGCGAAGTGCAGCCTCGAGGGCAATGTTTTAACTGGGGAACTGTAGACGAGCGAGGTGGCATGGATGCCTGGGCCGGGTTTCTCCCGTTCGAAGAATGGAGAACAGCTGTGAAAGGAGGGGGCAGACGTCCGGAGAAGGCTTGGGAGAGACTGGGGCTGGCGTTGACGCCCTTTCATTTTACGCCTTCGGGGCCGAAGGCTATGAGCTAGCTGTACATCTATCATCCACGCCGAGATCCGCACCTGCTTGATATTGCCGACCCAGTCTCCCGTGGGTATGACGTGACGATCCCAAGTGTCTTCATCCCTGAGTCCCGACCGTTAGGCCGACCGTCCGGTGCGTATTCTCGACAACTTGAGATGAATCGTTGCATGTGGGTAAAGAGGGCTTGTTACCTTCGATCACCGGCGCAGACCGGGGAAAGCCTGCCGGACGCTTGTCGTTTGGGCCCCTTGCAACGCCTGTTCGCATTGCTTTCCAGCGGCGCCGCCTTCGGCCTCCCCTGGACGGTCTCTCCTATCCTTCGGTTTTATTTGATCCCGCCAAAAATGCGCTACTCGGAGGCCTGGATAGACAACGATGAAGTCGCGATTTGCCTTGTTGGCGCAAACCGGGGACGCGAGACGAGACGAGACGAATACCCTTACTATACTTACTATAGTCGGAAGCACATGTTTCCTGTCTCGAGGAGAGAGCGCCACATGTATCCGCGTAAGCTTTTTCGAGCTTACTGTCAATGGAATCCTCTTGGAGGGCCACCATGCTCTCTGACTCGTCATCCCGCTTAACGGAAACGAGGCAGCCTCAGGGGTTTACCAATCCCGGGGGTACGCGTACACCAGACGACATGTCCACATGGGAGATTGGCATAGGAAGCCCGCTAATAAACACCCTTAATATGCCAATTGCGGGCTTCTAGAAAGCATTACTCGTGCGAGATGCTGACAGCACAGTCCTCTTGGCGGGGGCTTGGACTCGTGGCGGACCGTTCATGCGACCGAAATACCGGTATAAGTGGGATGTTTCTATGTCCGAAAACAACTACCTCTTGGCTGCGAGGAGAGGTCGAGCTTTTTACCCCACGACAGACATTTTGTAGCTGGAGCAAGATATTTGAGAGAGGTAGGTGTCATATCAATGCAGACATCGACATTCTGCTTAAAAGACGAGCATGCTCGCCGTCATGGACGCTCCCTCAGACAGCTCTCCAGCCGACATTGCCCAGCCTACCTCTCGTTAAAATGCGTACTCAGATTCTCTTTTCGGCTTTGGCAAACACGGCCTTGGCCGCTCGACCATTCCTCAACGAGCCCGACACCGGATTCGACGATGCTTTGAGTAACTTGACCGCAGGGTCGCTGCCCAACGTGGAGCAGATGGTGAGCTTGCCGGACTTTGACGCAGTTGCCCGGAAATATCTGCCCATCAGGAACTACACATACTACCGCAACGGCGCCGCTGGTGAGTGGTCGTATCGCAACAACCTCGAAGTCTTCCGTCGATATCGCCTTCGCCCTCGAGTCCTGAGGGACATTTCCAACATCGAGTCCACTCTCCCGTACGGCCCCTTGACTCTCTAGTTCACCAATTGTTCAGGCCCTGACGTCATCGATAGAACCAAGATCCTGGGCCACAACTTCTCGGCTCCCTTTTACATCAGCCCTTGCGCACGGGGTGAATTGGGGCACCCGGAAGCCGAATTGAACTTTGTCAAAGCCGCCGCCGAAGAGAACATTCTCTACATGGTAGGATGATACTCTGATGGTTGCAGTTGGACTTGTTACTGAAGGCCTTAATCTCCTTAGCCGGCCCTCTATGCGTCCAAGACGATTGATGAAATTGCAGCGGCCAAGAGCTCCGATCAAGTTCTATTTCAACAGGTAACTGCCCGCGTCCTTTCACAAGGGAGCCATATCGTTATGCTAAGCCCGCTCTAGCTGTACCTGTCGTCCAACGACACCGAGAATCAAGCGCTTCTGGATGCTACCAAAAAGGCAAACGCGGCCGCTGTCGTCTTCACGGTCGACTCCGCAGCTGACGGAAACCGCCACCGCGCGGCACGATTCGATGTCGGATCTGCGTAAGTCTAGCTTCCTGTCATGGCTACGAAGGTCTCGGCTAACCGGCGGCAGTGATTCGGATTATTCTTCCTTCACTGTATGTTGGCACTACCGCTCATGCGCTTTACTCTACTGCCCCTGGGCTGTTGGCTACATATATCTGGCTGACACTAGCATGTTTGCAGTGGGATTTCTACAAGAAGCTCAAAACAATGACCGATCTGCCCATCATTCTCAAGGGCATCATGACGGTCGAAGACGCTCGCATAGCAGTCCAGAACAACGTCTCGGGCATCATTCTTTCCAACCACGGCGGCCGACAGCTTGACGGGGCCCCATCATCGCTTGAGGTTGCGCTGGAGATCAACCAGCAGGATCCATCCATCTTCAGCGAGACTGAAGTCTTCGCTGACGGCGGCGTCCGCTACGGAGCGGATGTACTCATGCTTCTCTCGCTCGGCGTCAAGGCCGTCGGCCTCGGCCGCCCTTTCATGTATGCCAACATCTTCGGCAAGCCTGGGGTGAAAAGGGCCATCAGCCTCCTGAAGCGCGAGATTGCCCTCGACGCAGGTAACCTTGGCGTTGCTGACCTGCAGCAGCTGACCAACAATATTGTAGGTGACTGGAATCACCCTCGTATTTTTTCAACTTCTAACCGCAAAGCTAGGTAGATTGGACTCCAAACAACTGGGTTGGTTGAGGCTGGGCCCTCGAAGATTCCCTGTCCATAGAGCATTACATTCACAGCCAAAGTACATTATCAATCAAAACGTAGCAAAGACATGCAGCGTCTGCCTAAACACATCGTCTTGAAAGTGCCCGGTGTGAGACATTCAAGTCTACCTCTCACATTCGCGACTCACCTTTATTGGTAAGGTTCTTCGAGTGTGATCCTCATCTTATTGTGTGTTGTAATGCCATTTAGGTCATCGCCATTCGGTGGGAATTTAGCCGAACTCTGCGTAAACGAGTTGATATACATGTTTAGCTACCAATTAAGATAGGAATATCTAACTCGACTCAGCTTTCTCTATGAGGCATAAATAGACGCTCTCACATGTACCAAGTGACGGCTGTCAGCTTCGGCACTGCTTGTCCTGCTGCTGCAAGCGCACTGAATATGTTGCGTCATTACGTACGTGTACCAGTCACATCCCATGTTCCCTGTTGATCGCGTAACTCCGCCCACCGGTATTCCCTGGATCTTACGCATCTCCGCGAACCAGTCCCTGGGGTTCATGCTGTGTTTTGTTCCCAGCCAGTGGGAGGGTCTGTGACCTTAGCGTACATGCAGGCCCTGCTCAAGCGGCGGGAGGGCGCACTCGCAGTTCGTCCATGAATTTGTCAAAGGGCCCAATTATCTATACACCTCCTTTTATTAACTGTACACCAAAAAGTGGATCAACTGTGGCTGGGTCAGGCGCAGTGCCGATGCCGCTAATTTTGGTGCGCCCATTCCGGCCGGCCAGCTGGCCAGTTCGTGATGCTTGCGTAACAACATCCTGTAACCGTAACTATCAGCAATACCATCAAAACTGAAGCTATTCGCACCGCGTTTTCTGCCCTTACGAGCCCGAATCATGGAGTCGCTTACGAAGACACTATTCCCGACCTTCCAGGCCGCGATGGAAGCCGCCGATACCGTTGCTGAGGCTGAGGCTACGCCCTACACATTCGAACATCGAAGCGGGATAACGCTGGCCAACGCAAGTCTGCACTTGTTCGTTGTATCAAGGCCGGCCCCTACGAAAATCGGAAGGATAAAGCTGCTCATATCTCTCGTCGTCGCCTCAATACAGCAACCCAGAAAACAGACTGTGAATTTCGCCTCTCGTTGAAGGAAAAACGCGGTTACTGGACTATCTCTTATCTTCACGATGTTCACAATCATCGCCTTGTTGATGACCCGATGGTCTTTCCGAAGTACCGGGCGCTTGTTATCCAGAAGTATCGCGACGACATTATCCGGAAGTTTAATAACAATACCCGGCCGACCGATATTGCTGGCGAGCTTCGTGACCTGGTTCACGACGATCCTCGTTTAGCCGGTATCACGGCTCAAGACGTGAGTAACGCCTTGGCTAGGCACCGTCAGGAAGAACTAGCTGGCCGTACGCCTCTTCAGTTTCTCTACGACCGGCTAGATAAGTCCGACTTCTTTCATCGAGATAGTCGTGATCCCCAGGGCCGGCTAACTGGGCTATTTCTCGCGCCTCGTGCTACCTTCCATCGATGGCGTCAGCATCACGATGTCCTCGTCCTCGACTGTACCTACAAGACGAACCGATTCAATATGCCGTTATTGAATATCTGCGCGGCCACTCGAGATAACAAAACGTTCTCTATTGCCTCTATCTTCTTGAACGGCGAGACCGAGTCCCATTACTATTGGGCTATCTCGTTGCTGCTAGTCCTTTGCGAGAAGAGTCGATCCCATTTCAAGGGTCACTGTCACGGACCGAGATACTGCGTTGCTTAAGGCGTTAGATAGCTTTCGCGAGCTTCAAAACAGTACTAACCTTCTCTGCACGTGGCATATTAACCAGAATGTCGTTGCGAAATGCAAGCAATTTTTCCTAAGGCATCAAAATCGGCAATCGAGTCGTACGGGCCCCGGCATTCCAAGCGTTTCTACAAGAGTGGAACGAGATCGTCAAGTCACAAGATGTGAATAGCTTCAACGAACGTTTACGCCAATTTGAGACACCAGGCCGCCACCCGCTTGCAGCTATACAATACTGTTGCAATACGTGGCTAACGCCTTGGAAGGAGAAGTTTGTATCTTGTTTCGTTAATCAATATCGCCACTTCGGGCGTACAACGACCTCGATCGTCGAGGACTTCACTCATATGAAGAAGTTCCTTTGGTCCTGTACGGGCGATTTGACGACCGTTTTCCAACGATTCGAACGCTTCTGGGGCCATCAGGCTGCTCAGATCACAGCGATAGAGAATCGAAACCTCCACAAGATATCAACGTTCTCCTACAGGCGCCGTATATGCCGATCCGCGAGCGAGTATCGTCATATGCGTTAAAGCTACTAATAGATGAGCATCGCAAGATCCTCTAGACCCCGAAGTCAACGGGCCAAACCGCCGCCAGGTCAATGTCCTTTAATTGGGCTACTAGTCGAGGGCTACCGTGCTGCCATCGAATCTTCGAGTCTATCAACACCAATACCTCCTTACACTCGACGACTTCGACCCATTTTGGTATATTCCGATCGATACAAGCGCTCAGGGCACAAGCCCTACTCGGGCACCATACGAGCCACAAGTTATCAGGGCTAAGGGCCGCCCCAGGGCTCACTCAACCTCGAAGAGTCACGGCGGTCAAGAACAACGCGGCGGGAGCCGTCACCCAACGGGATCGCTGAACGGCATTAGCGGGCTGAGGCTATACGACTGCCTCCTCCTCAACGGCACCAGCGGCGATGACGGGTACGGTAACGGCCGCGATGACTTCAACGGAACGAGGGCTGCGGCATCGAGGAAAACGGCGATACGTACGAGGCAGGCACACGGATGCAACGGGCGTATCAACAAGCCGGGCGTCAAACGCCAGTCTCTGATGATGACGATCAGCCGGTACGGCGGGAGACCCAAGACTGCATCTTCGTCGCCGGCCTCACGGACGATGCCGCCCTTGAGGATGTATGGGATCAATTGGAATCACAGTTAGATGAAGCGGATCAGGCACGTAGTGCACTCGAAGAAGGAGGCCTGTTGTAAACACCAAAGAATAGTCTCATCAGCATAGAAAGCGCAGTACGAATAGCTTCAATTTTGGGTGCCTTATCGTTGAAGGAGAACTGTTACTACCTGGCTCTACTTATCGTAGAGAATGTGTGCATACAAATTGGCGGTATCGGCCCTCTTCGGCCGTCAGCCACAGTTAATCCACTTTTTGGGTGTACAGTTAATGAAAGTGGGTGGATAGATAACTTGGGCCTTTGTCAAATAGGTTTGTGTATCTTGCTCGTGTTTCTGGGGTGGGGTTGCTTGTTGATGCCCCATTTAAACGACGATTTGATGCCAGAGCGAGAGAGAAAGAGGCGCAGCTGGCCTTGGCAGAGCACGTTATCAATTACGTGGGCAAAACATGAACCTTTGGGATTTCTTTGCAATGCGGAGCCGTTCGGTATAGCATATCGGTAGCCCCCGACAAGCATGCTGGGGGAAGACGAAAACATGGGAAGCCTGCGAGTAAAACATGATCACGGGACTCGAGCTCTTTGAACCCGCACTTAAGAAGCCGAAGCTTAACGTGTTCGATATTTCATGAAAAGGTGGTTGTAGTATGTCAAGATCTAAGGGTTGATACTGCTGAATTTGCAGGTAGTGGACCTGAGGCTGATAGGAGCCAACGTATTCGACCTGACTATTTCGTAACATGCCGGCATAATCAGGGTCGAAACCCGACCTGCCAGTAGCACAGGCTAATCCATATTCTTTGGCTCGTTCCACTCAATCGGCGGAAATTGCTTAATACTCATGCGACGCTACAAATACTCGGCCTACAGACACAACTAGACTTTAAAAGTGGGCGCCCGTGGCTACCCATGGGCTGCCTAATTTTTTCAGTCTAGTCTATAGGTAGAAATAGGTTTTAAGACAAAAGACTATATTTACCTATAGGTTATTAATATATACTTTAGGTAAAGCTAGGTACCTAGACTAGCCTAAAATAACTTAGTAGATTCCTATTCGAAGTTACTTTTAGTTAAGCGAATTTATAGAGATTAAAGAACTAAAAGTCTAGTACTAATTAATTATACTAATTATCTCTTTATCTCTAACTTAGAGCTAGGATATTTTTAGCCTCTTTTACTCCTAACTTTCTACCCTTATACTTCCCATGGCTAGGATAAGCTTAAGCTATCTATAGTTATTATAGGCTCTTTTATACCTAACGATTATAGTAATTCTTCGAATATTTTATCCTTATTAGCCTTATTATCTAAGGGGACTTTATAGGTCTTTTTAATTATTTGGGGCTATTTATAGTCGGAATTATCTTTATTTTCGCTCCCCTTACTATTAATCTCTATAGTAATAGTTTTCTTCTTTTACTATACCTTCGATTATCGTTACTCCTTTAACTACTTCTGCTTTTTATTAAAATTATCTCTTTAAGCCTAAACTTTATAAGCACGCACTTCTTTAATCTTTACTAGTCGCGTGCTTCGTAGAAGCTTTTATTTTTCGACTCTTAATAGATTAGAAAAATTATGCTAGGAGGTAGAACTATATACTAAAGGAAAAAAGTTAGTATAAACGATTAATATAATAACTTCTAATAAGGTATATATACTAGCTTTATTTTAGACTAAGAAAGACTAGTCTTATTTCTTAAGGATACTAATAATATCTTTAAGAGTAGTAATATCTTTTTACTAAATTATAACTCTTTTAGCCGCGATAACTAGCTATCCTATTACTATTTATAGTCGCTAGTTAGTATAATAATTAGTATAATAATTATATTAACTTACCTTAGAATATAGTAGCTAGTATACTCTTTGCCGACTCCTAGATAGCTGCTAATACTGCCTTCTAGATACGAAGGCTAGGAGTAATATCTTATATAACCTCTTAAATAAAGCGGGTAAACGAAGCGCGAGGGATAAGTAAATTAGGAATTTACTAGAATTTTCGAATTTCGCGTAAAGTAATAGCTAATATTAAAATTAGTAGATA